TCCAGTGTAACTGCCCCATGAAGGAACAGGCTGTGGGGAGTGTGTCCAGACATGCCCTTGCGCCTCCCTCAACGCAGCCCTGCCTGGGCCGTTCCCTGGGCCTAGGCCTCTGCTGAGGCCTACTGGGAGTGGAGGTGCTGGCAGGGGCTGTCTCCACACTGCAACAGCCCCTGGGGCAGAGCCTTCTGGCAGAGGGAAGAGGGGAGAAAGGGGGTAGGTAGCCAAGCCCTCTTTGGCCCAGCAGCCTCAGGGCAGCAGGGAGAGCAAGAGGCCCACAGTGCCCCTAGGTCGGCTCTCCCCCTTCCCACACAGGCAGTGCTGCCGGGGCTGCCAGGGAACTGCCTGAGAGACTGCGGCTCAGCCGAGCTCTCTGAAGGGGCAGGGGGCAGGAACAGACGTGTGCATGTGGTTCTGCCCTGGCCTGGGAGTGTGGACCCCCTAGCTGGTCCCCAGGCTCAGGGCCATGGGCCCTGAGAGAGGCCCACCCCAAAGCGCTTTTCTCCCGGCTTTGAGAACAGAGTGCGAGCCTCGCGGGAACACCCGGCCAGAGTGCTTGCAAACGGGGATTTGCACGCAGGCGGGGAGGTCTTCCAGAGGGAGAGGGCAGGTCCTGCTCAGAGGCCCCACAGGCCAGAGGCAGAACCCAGCAATGCCCCTGCTCTTGGCCAGCCCTGCCCAGGCCTTCCTGGCCTCCAGTGTAACTGCCCCATGAAGGAACAGGCTGTGGGGAGTGTGTCCAGACATGCCCTTGCGCCTCCCTCAACGCAGCCCTGCCTGGGCCGTTCCCTGGGCCTAGGCCTCTGCTGAGGCCTACTGGGAGTGGAGGTGCTGGCAGGGGCTGTCTCCACACTGCAACAGCACCGGGGGCAGAGCCTTCTGGCAGAGGGAAGAGGGGAGAAAGGGGGTAGGTAGCCAAGCCCTCTTTGGCCCAGCAGCCTCAGGGCAGCAGGGAGTGCAAGAGGCCCACAGTGCCCCTAGGTCGGCTCTCCCCCTTCCCACACAGGCAGTGCTGCCGGTGCTGCCAGGGAACTGCCTGAGAGACTGCGGCTCAGCCGAGCTCTCTGAAGGGGCAGGGGGCAGGAACAGACGTGTGCATGTGGTTCTGCCCTGGCCTGGGAGTGTGGACCCCCTAGCTGGTCCCCAGGCTCAGGGCCATGGGCCCTGAGAGAGGCCCACCCCAAAGCGCTTTTCTCCCGGCTTTGAGACCAGAGTGCGAGCCTTGCGGGAACACCCGGCCAGAGTGCTTGCAAACGGGGATTTGCACGCAGGCGGGGTGGTCTTCCAGAGGGAGAGGGCAGGTCCTGCTCAGAGGCCCCACAGGCCAGAGGCAGAACCCAGCAATGCCCCTGCTCTTGGCCAGCCCTGCGCAGGCCTTCCTGGCCTCCAGTGTAACTGCCCCATGAAGGAACAGGCTGTGGGGAGTGTGTCCAGTCATGCCCTTGCGCCTCCCTCAACGCAGCCCTGCCTGGGCCGTTCCCTGGGCCTAGGCCTCTGCTGAGGCCTACTGGGAGTGGAGGTGCTGGCAGGGGCTGTCTCCACACTGCAACAGCCCCGGGGGCAGAGCCTTCTGGCAGAGGGAAGAGGGGAGAAATGGGGTAGGTAGCCAAGCCCTCTTTGGCCCAGCAGCCTCAGGGCAGCAGGGAGAGCAAGAGGCCCACAGTGCCCCTAGGTCGGCTCTCCCCCTTCCCACACAGGCAGTGCTGCCGGGGCTGCCAGGGAACTGCCTGAGAGACTGCGGCTCAGCCGAGCTCTCTGAAGGGGCAGGGGGCAGGAACAGACGTGTGCATGTGGTTCTGCCCTGGCCTGGGAGTGTGGACCCCCTAGCTGGTCCCCAGGCTCAGGGCCATGGGCCCTGAGAGAGGCCCACCCCAAAGCGCTTTTCTCCCGGCTTTGAGACCAGAGTGCGAGCCTTGCGGGAACACCCGGCCAGAGTGCTTGCAAACGGGGATTTGCACGCAGGCGGGGAGGTCTTCCAGAGGGAGAGGGCAGGTCCTGCTCAGAGGACCCACAGGCCAGAGGCAGAACCCAGCAATGCCCCTGCTCTTGGCCAGCCCTGCCCAGGCCTTCCTGGCCTCCAGTGTAACTGCCCCATGAAGGAACAGGCTGTGGGGAGTGTGTCCAGACATGCCCTTGCGCCTCCCTCAACGCAGACCTGCCTGGGCCGTTCCCTGGGCCTAGGCCTCTGCTGAGGCCTACTGGGAGTGGAGGTGCTGGCAGGGGCTGTCTCCACACTGCAACAGCCCCGGGGGCAGAGCCTTCTGGCAGAGGGAAGAGGGGAGAAAGGGGATAGATAGCCAAGCCCTCTTTGGCCCAGCAGCCTCAGGGCAACAGGGAGAGCAAGAGGCCCACAGTGCCCCTAGGTTGGCTCTCCCCCTTCCCGCATAGGCAGTGCTGCCGGGGCTGCCAGGGAACTGTCTGAGAGACGGCGCCTCAGCCGAGCTCTCTGAAGGTGCAGGGGGCAGGAACAGACGTGTGCATGTGGTTCTGCCTTGGCCAGGGAGTGTGGACCCCCTAGCTGGTCCCCAGGCTCAGGGCCATGGGCCCTGAGAGAGGCCCACCCCAAAGCGCTTTTCTCCCGGCTTTGAGACCAGAGTGCGAGCCTTGCGGGAACACCCGGCCATAGGGCTTGCAAACGGGGATTTGCACGCAGGCGGGGAGGTCTTCCTGAGGGAGAGGGCAGGTCCTGCTCAGAGGCCCCACAGGCCAGAGGCAGAACCCAGCAATGCCCCTGCTCTTGGCCAGCCCTGCCCAGGCCTTCCTGGCCTCCAGTGTAACTGCCCCATGAAGGAACAGGCTGTGGGGAGTGTGTCCAGACATGCCCTTGCGCCTCCCTCAACGCAGCCCTGCCTGGGGCTTTCCCTGGGCCTAGGCCTCTGCTGAGGCCTACTGGGAGTGGAGGTGCTGGCAGGGGCTGTCTCCACACTGCAACAGCCCCGGGGGCAGAGCCTTCTGGCAGAGGGAAGAGGGGAGAAAGGGGATAGATAGCCAAGCCCTCTTTGGCCCAGCAGCCTCAGGGCAGCAGGGAGATCAGGAGGCCCACAGTGCACCTAGGTCAGATCTCCCCCTTCCCACACAGGCAGTGCTGCCGGGGCTGCCAGGAAACTGCCTGAGACACTGCGGATCAGCCGAGCTGTCTGAAGGTGCAGGGGGCAGGAACAGACGTGTGCATGTGGTCTGCCTTGGCCTGGGAGTGTGGACCCCCTAGCTGGTCCCCAGGCTCAGGGCCATGGGCCCTAAGAGAGGCCCACCCCAAAGCGCTTTTCTCCCGGCTTTGAGACCAGAGTGCGAGCCTTGCGGGAACACCCGGCGAGAGTGCTTTCATGCGGAGTTCATTGCTTCAAAAGGTGAGGATGCCTGACTCCTCTTGAATACTGATAGGAATCCCAAAATCCCTGTGACTACTGGAAAGTGACCTTGGGTGCCCTACCTCACCTCGAGAAGCGTCCCTTTTGCCCTGCCAAGCCTCGAAGTGATTCCTGAGTTGTCCCTCGTTACTAGACAGGAGTCCTGACGTCACTGAAGAAAATCGTGTTTTGAAGGGCCATCCCCTCTGTAAGTCGAGAACATACCTCAGGTCCCCGCCGCAACTCGAGAAACACCATGAGACTTCCCCCTAGAGGCGAGATGAGGCCCCATTCCCCTGCAGTGCATGCAGAGCTATTCCGTGATCCCATTCAAACAAGTCAGGAGCTTCGACTTGCTTAATGGATCTCGAGACAGTCCCCAAGAACACTGTCACCAGTCTAGACGGACCCTGAGGTCATCCCAGCAACGCAAAGCAGCTCCATGTGCCCCACAGCAACTGGAGATGAGGCCCAATTCCCCTGCATTGACTCCAGAGCAATTCCCCTTTCCCCATTCAACACGACCGGTGGCTCGACTTCCTTCAGGCAACTCCAGAGATGCCCCGATAACACTGTCCCAAGTCTAGAGGAACACCAACTTCAGCACAGCAACTCGAGGAATGCTCCGTGTACCACAAATCGTCTCGAGTTGAGAGCTGATTCCCTGCCTTAGGCCCAAGACGTATGCCAAATTTCCAGAAGCACCTCAGGAGGAGGCTTCTCTCAGCAATAGATATGTGGGAGGGACCCCGAGTTTGCTGCCTCAAGGGGAATACACAGGGAGAAGCCCTAACTTGAAAGGAAGCCGGATTTCTTTGCAGTGGCTTGAATACTAGGCTCGTCTTTCATCTCACAACTTGAAGGGATGTCTGAATCCCCTGTGGAGACCTTAGAGAAAGCCCTAGGTCCCTGCCTCATTTTGACGGAATGCCTCACATCCCGCTGACACATCGAGAGGCACGCGGAGTTCATTGCTTCAAAAGGTGACGATGCCTGACTCCTCTTGAATACTGATAGGAATCCCAAAATCCCTGTGGCTACTGGAAAGAGTCCTTGGGTGCCCTGCCTCACCTCGAGAAGCGTCCCTTTTGCCCTGCCAAGCCTCTAAGAGATTCCTGAGGTGTCCCTCGTTACTAGACAGGAGTCCTGACGTCACTGAAGAAACTCGTGTTTTGAAGGGCCATCCCCGCCGTAAGTCGAGAACATACCCCAGGTCCCCGCCGCAACTCGAGAAAAACCTAGAGACTTCCCCCTAGAGGCGAGATGAGGCCCCATTCCCCTGCAGTGCATGCAGAGCTATTCCGTGATCCCATTCAAACAAGTCAGGAGCTTCGACTTGCTTAATGGATCTCGAGACAGTCCCCAAAAACACTGTCACCAGTCTACACGGACCCTGAGGTTAACCCAGCAACGAAAAGCAGCTCCATGTGCCCCAAATCCACTCGAGATGAGGCCCGATTCCCCTGCATTGACTCCAGAGCCATTCCCCGTTCCCCATTCAACACGACCGGTGGCTCGACTTCCTTCAGGCAACTCCAGAGATGCCCCCAGAACACTGTCCCAAGTCTAGAGGAACACCAACTTCAGCACAGCAACTCGAGGAATGCTCCGTGTACCCCAAATCGTCTCGAGATGAGAGCTGATTTCCTGGCGTAGGCTCAAGACGTATGCCAACTTCCCAGAAGCACCTCAGGAGGAGGCTTCTCTCAGCAATAGGTATGTGGGAGGGACCCCGAGTTTGCTGCCTCAAGGGGAATATACAGCGAGAGGCCCTAACTTGAAAGGAGGCCGGATTTCCTTGCAGTGGCTTGAATACAGGCTCGTCTTTCATCTCACAACATGAAGGGATGTCTGAATCCCCTGTGGAGACCTTAGAGAAAGCCCTAGGTCCCTGCCTCATTTTGACGGAATGCCTCACATCCCGCTGACACCTCGAGAGGCACGCGGAGTTCATTGCTTCTAAAGGTGACGATGCCTGACTCCTCTTGAATACTGATAGGAATCCCAAAATCCCTGTGGTTACTGGAAAGGGTCCTTGGGTGCCCTGCCTCACCTCGAGAAGCGTCCCTTTTGCCCTGCCAAGCCTCGAAGAGATTCCTGAGGTGTCCCTCGTTACTAGACAGGAGTCCTGACGTCACTGAAGAAACTCGTGTTTTGAAGGGCCATCCCCGCCGTAAGTCGAGAACATACCCCAGGTCCCCGCCGCAACTCGAGAAAAACCATGAGACTTCCCCCTAGAGGCGAGATGAGGCCCCATTCCCCTGCAGTGCATGCAGAGCTATTCCGTGATCCCATTCAAACAAGTCAGGAGCTTCGACTTGCTTAATGGATCTCGAGACAGTCCCCAAGAACACTGTCACCAGTCTAGACGGACCCTGAGGTCATCCCAGCAACGCAAAGCAGCTCCATGTGCCCCACAGCAACTGGAGATGAGGCCCAATTCCCCTGCATTGACTCCAGAGCAATTCCCCTTTCCCCATTCAACACGACCGGTGGCTCGACTTCCTTCAGGCAACTCCAGAGATGCCCCGATAACACTGTCCCAAGTCTAGAGGAACACCAACTTCAGCACAGCAACTCGAGGAATGCTCCGTGTACCACAAATCGTCTCGAGTTGAGAGCTGATTCCCTGCCTTAGGCCCAAGACGTATGCCAAATTTCCAGAAGCACCTCAGGAGGAGGCTTCTCTCAGCAATAGATATGTGGGAGGGACCCCGAGTTTGCTGCCTCAAGGGGAATACACAGGGAGAAGCCCTAACTTGAAAGGAAGCCGGATTTCTTTGCAGTGGCTTGAATACTAGGCTCGTCTTTCATCTCACAACTTGAAGGGATGTCTGAATCCCCTGTGGAGACCTTAGAGAAAGCCCTAGGTCCCTGCCTCATTTTGACGGAATGCCTCACATCCCGCTGACACATCGAGAGGCACGCGGAGTTCATTGCTTCAAAAGGTGACGATGCCTGACTCCTCTTGAATACTGATAGGAATCCCAAAATCCCTGTGGCTACTGGAAAGAGTCCTTGGGTGCCCTGCCTCACCTCGAGAAGCGTCCCTTTTGCCCTGCCAAGCCTCTAAGAGATTCCTGAGGTGTCCCTCGTTACTAGACAGGAGTCCTGACGTCACTGAAGAAACTCGTGTTTTGAAGGGCCATCCCCGCCGTAAGTCGAGAACATACCCCAGGTCCCCGCCGCAACTCGAGAAAAACCTAGAGACTTCCCCCTAGAGGCGAGATGAGGCCCCATTCCCCTGCAGTGCATGCAGAGCTATTCCGTGATCCCATTCAAACAAGTCAGGAGCTTCGACTTGCTTAATGGATCTCGAGACAGTCCCCAAAAACACTGTCACCAGTCTACACGGACCCTGAGGTTAACCCAGCAACGAAAAGCAGCTCCATGTGCCCCAAATCCACTCGAGATGAGGCCCGATTCCCCTGCATTGACTCCAGAGCCATTCCCCGTTCCCCATTCAACACGACCGGTGGCTCGACTTCCTTCAGGCAACTCCAGAGATGCCCCCAGAACACTGTCCCAAGTCTAGAGGAACACCAACTTCAGCACAGCAACTCGAGGAATGCTCCGTGTACCCCAAATCGTCTCGAGATGAGAGCTGATTTCCTGGCGTAGGCTCAAGACGTATGCCAACTTCCCAGAAGCACCTCAGGAGGAGGCTTCTCTCAGCAATAGGTATGTGGGAGGGACCCCGAGTTTGCTGCCTCAAGGGGAATATACAGCGAGAGGCCCTAACTTGAAAGGAGGCCGGATTTCCTTGCAGTGGCTTGAATACAGGCTCGTCTTTCATCTCACAACATGAAGGGATGTCTGAATCCCCTGTGGAGACCTTAGAGAAAGCCCTAGGTCCCTGCCTCATTTTGACGGAATGCCTCACATCCCGCTGACACCTCGAGAGGCACGCGGAGTTCATTGCTTCTAAAGGTGACGATGCCTGACTCCTCTTGAATACTGATAGGAATCCCAAAATCCCTGTGGTTACTGGAAAGGGTCCTTGGGTGCCCTGCCTCACCTCGAGAAGCGTCCCTTTTGCCCTGCCAAGCCTCGAAGAGATTCCTGAGGTGTCCCTCGTTACTAGACAGGAGTCCTGACGTCACTGAAGAAACTCGTGTTTTGAAGGGCCATCCCCGCCGTAAGTCGAGAACATACCCCAGGTCCCCGCCGCAACTCGAGAAAAACCATGAGACTTCCCCCTAGAGGCGAGATGAGGCCCCATTCCCCTGCAGTGCATGCAGAGCTATTCCGTGATCCCATTCAAACAAGTCAGGAGCTTCGACTTGCTTAATGGATCTCGAGACAGTCCCCAAGAACACTGTCACCAGTCTAGACGGACCCTGAGGTCATCCCAGCAACGCAAAGCAGCTCCATGTGCCCCACAGCAACTGGAGATGAGGCCCAATTCCCCTGCATTGACTCCAGAGCAATTCCCCTTTCCCCATTCAACACGACCGGTGGCTCGACTTCCTTCAGGCAACTCCAGAGATGCCCCGATAACACTGTCCCAAGTCTAGAGGAACACCAACTTCAGCACAGCAACTCGAGGAATGCTCCGTGTACCACAAATCGTCTCGAGTTGAGAGCTGATTCCCTGCCTTAGGCCCAAGACGTATGCCAAATTTCCAGAAGCACCTCAGGAGGAGGCTTCTCTCAGCAATAGATATGTGGGAGGGACCCCGAGTTTGCTGCCTCAAGGGGAATACACAGGGAGAAGCCCTAACTTGAAAGGAAGCCGGATTTCTTTGCAGTGGCTTGAATACTAGGCTCGTCTTTCATCTCACAACTTGAAGGGATGTCTGAATCCCCTGTGGAGACCTTAGAGAAAGCCCTAGGTCCCTGCCTCATTTTGACGGAATGCCTCACATCCCGCTGACACATCGAGAGGCACGCGGAGTTCATTGCTTCAAAAGGTGACGATGCCTGACTCCTCTTGAATACTGATAGGAATCCCAAAATCCCTGTGGCTACTGGAAAGAGTCCTTGGGTGCCCTGCCTCACCTCGAGAAGCGTCCCTTTTGCCCTGCCAAGCCTCTAAGAGATTCCTGAGGTGTCCCTCGTTACTAGACAGGAGTCCTGACGTCACTGAAGAAACTCGTGTTTTGAAGGGCCATCCCCGCCGTAAGTCGAGAACATACCCCAGGTCCCCGCCGCAACTCGAGAAAAACCTAGAGACTTCCCCCTAGAGGCGAGATGAGGCCCCATTCCCCTGCAGTGCATGCAGAGCTATTCCGTGATCCCATTCAAACAAGTCAGGAGCTTCGACTTGCTTAATGGATCTCGAGACAGTCCCCAAAAACACTGTCACCAGTCTACACGGACCCTGAGGTTAACCCAGCAACGAAAAGCAGCTCCATGTGCCCCAAATCCACTCGAGATGAGGCCCGATTCCCCTGCATTGACTCCAGAGCCATTCCCCGTTCCCCATTCAACACGACCGGTGGCTCGACTTCCTTCAGGCAACTCCAGAGATGCCCCCAGAACACTGTCCCAAGTCTAGAGGAACACCAACTTCAGCACAGCAACTCGAGGAATGCTCCGTGTACCCCAAATCGTCTCGAGATGAGAGCTGATTTCCTGGCGTAGGCTCAAGACGTATGCCAACTTCCCAGAAGCACCTCAGGAGGAGGCTTCTCTCAGCAATAGGTATGTGGGAGGGACCCCGAGTTTGCTGCCTCAAGGGGAATATACAGCGAGAGGCCCTAACTTGAAAGGAGGCCGGATTTCCTTGCAGTGGCTTGAATACAGGCTCGTCTTTCATCTCACAACATGAAGGGATGTCTGAATCCCCTGTGGAGACCTTAGAGAAAGCCCTAGGTCCCTGCCTCATTTTGACGGAATGCCTCACATCCCGCTGACACCTCGAGAGGCACGCGGAGTTCATTGCTTCTAAAGGTGACGATGCCTGACTCCTCTTGAATACTGATAGGAATCCCAAAATCCCTGTGGTTACTGGAAAGGGTCCTTGGGTGCCCTGCCTCACCTCGAGAAGCGTCCCTTTTGCCCTGCCAAGCCTCGAAGAGATTCCTGAGGTGTCCCTCGTTACTAGACAGGAGTCCTGACGTCACTGAAGAAACTCGTGTTTTGAAGGGCCATCCCCGCCGTAAGTCGAGAACATACCCCAGGTCCCCGCCGCAACTCGAGAAAAACCATGAGACTTCCCCCTAGAGGCGAGATGAGGCCCCATTCCCCTGCAGTGCATGCAGAGCTATTCCGTGATCCCATTCAAACAAGTCAGGAGCTTCGACTTGCTTAATGGATCTCGAGACAGTCCCCAAGAACACTGTCACCAGTCTAGACGGACCCTGAGGTCATCCCAGCAACGCAAAGCAGCTCCATGTGCCCCACAGCAACTGGAGATGAGGCCCAATTCCCCTGCATTGACTCCAGAGCAATTCCCCTTTCCCCATTCAACACGACCGGTGGCTCGACTTCCTTCAGGCAACTCCAGAGATGCCCCGATAACACTGTCCCAAGTCTAGAGGAACACCAACTTCAGCACAGCAACTCGAGGAATGCTCCGTGTACCACAAATCGTCTCGAGTTGAGAGCTGATTCCCTGCCTTAGGCCCAAGACGTATGCCAAATTTCCAGAAGCACCTCAGGAGGAGGCTTCTCTCAGCAATAGATATGTGGGAGGGACCCCGAGTTTGCTGCCTCAAGGGGAATACACAGGGAGAAGCCCTAACTTGAAAGGAAGCCGGATTTCTTTGCAGTGGCTTGAATACTAGGCTCGTCTTTCATCTCACAACTTGAAGGGATGTCTGAATCCCCTGTGGAGACCTTAGAGAAAGCCCTAGGTCCCTGCCTCATTTTGACGGAATGCCTCACATCCCGCTGACACATCGAGAGGCACGCGGAGTTCATTGCTTCAAAAGGTGACGATGCCTGACTCCTCTTGAATACTGATAGGAATCCCAAAATCCCTGTGGCTACTGGAAAGAGTCCTTGGGTGCCCTGCCTCACCTCGAGAAGCGTCCCTTTTGCCCTGCCAAGCCTCTAAGAGATTCCTGAGGTGTCCCTCGTTACTAGACAGGAGTCCTGACGTCACTGAAGAAACTCGTGTTTTGAAGGGCCATCCCCGCCGTAAGTCGAGAACATACCCCAGGTCCCCGCCGCAACTCGAGAAAAACCTAGAGACTTCCCCCTAGAGGCGAGATGAGGCCCCATTCCCCTGCAGTGCATGCAGAGCTATTCCGTGATCCCATTCAAACAAGTCAGGAGCTTCGACTTGCTTAATGGATCTCGAGACAGTCCCCAAAAACACTGTCACCAGTCTACACGGACCCTGAGGTTAACCCAGCAACGAAAAGCAGCTCCATGTGCCCCAAATCCACTCGAGATGAGGCCCGATTCCCCTGCATTGACTCCAGAGCCATTCCCCGTTCCCCATTCAACACGACCGGTGGCTCGACTTCCTTCAGGCAACTCCAGAGATGCCCCCAGAACACTGTCCCAAGTCTAGAGGAACACCAACTTCAGCACAGCAACTCGAGGAATGCTCCGTGTACCCCAAATCGTCTCGAGATGAGAGCTGATTTCCTGGCGTAGGCTCAAGACGTATGCCAACTTCCCAGAAGCACCTCAGGAGGAGGCTTCTCTCAGCAATAGGTATGTGGGAGGGACCCCGAGTTTGCTGCCTCAAGGGGAATATACAGCGAGAGGCCCTAACTTGAAAGGAGGCCGGATTTCCTTGCAGTGGCTTGAATACAGGCTCGTCTTTCATCTCACAACATGAAGGGATGTCTGAATCCCCTGTGGAGACCTTAGAGAAAGCCCTAGGTCCCTGCCTCATTTTGACGGAATGCCTCACATCCCGCTGACACCTCGAGAGGCACGCGGAGTTCATTGCTTCTAAAGGTGACGATGCCTGACTCCTCTTGAATACTGATAGGAATCCCAAAATCCCTGTGGTTACTGGAAAGGGTCCTTGGGTGCCCTGCCTCACCCCGAGAAGCGTCCCTTTTGCCCTGCCAAGCCTCGAAGAGATTCCTGAGGTGTCCCTCGTTACTAGACAGGAGTCCTGACGTCACTGAAGAAACTCGTGTTTTGAAGGGCCATCCCCGCCGTAAGTCGAGAACATACCCCAGGTCCCCGCCGCAACTCGAGAAAAACCATGAGACTTCCCCCTAGAGGCGAGATGAGGCCCCATTCCCCTGCAGTGCATGCAGAGCTATTCCGTGATCCCATTCAAACAAGTCAGGAGCTTCGACTTGCTTAATGGATCTCGAGACAGTCCCCAAGAACACTGTCACCAGTCTAGACGGACCCTGAGGTCATCCCAGCAATGCAAAGCAGCTCCATGTGCCCCACAGCAACTGGAGATGAGGCCCGATTCCCCTGCATTGACTCCAGAGCAATTCCCCTTTCCCCATTCAACACGACCGGTGGCTCGACTTCCTTCAGGCAACTCCAGAGATGCCCCGATAACACTGTCCCAAGTCTAGAGGAACACCAACTTCAGCACAGCAACTCGAGGAATGCTCCGTGTACCCCAAATCGTCTCGAGTTGAGAGCTGATTCCCTGGCTTAGGCTCAAGACGTATGCCAACTTTCCAGAAGCACCTCAGGAGGAGGCTTCTCTCAGCAATAGGTATGTGGGAAGGACCCCGAGTTTGCTGCCTCAAGGGGAATATACAGGGAGAAGCCCTAACTTGAAAGGAAGCCGGATTTCTTTGCAATGGCTTGAATACTAGGCTCGTCTTTCATCTCACAACTTGAAGGGATGTCTGAATCCCCTGTGGAGACCTTAGAGAAAGCCCTAGGTCCCTGCCTCATTTTGACGGAATGCCTCACATCCCGCTGACACATCGAGAGACACGCGGAGTTCATTGCTTCAAAAGGTGACGATGCCTGACTCCTCTTGAATACTGATAGGAATCCCAAAATCCCTGTGGCTACTGGAAAGGGTCCTTGGGTGCCCTGCCTCACCTCGAGAAGCGTCCCTTTTGCCCTGCCAAGCCTCGAAGAGATTCCTGTGGTGTCCCTCGTTACTAGACAGGAGTCCTGACGTCACTGAAGAAACTCGTGTTTTGAAGGGCCATCCCCGCCGTAAGTCGAGAACATACCCCAGGTCCCCGCCGCAACTCGAGAAAAACCATGAGACTTCCCCCTAGAGGCGAGATGAGGCCCCATTCCCCTGCAGTGCATGCAGAGCTATTCCGTGATCCCATTCAAACAAGTCAGGAGCTTCGACTTGCTTAATGGATCTCGAGACAGTCCCCAAGAACACTGTCACCAGTCTAGACGGACCCTGAGGTCACCCCAGCAACGCAAAGCTGCTCCATGTGCCCCAAATCAACTCGAGATGAGGCCCGATTCCCCTGCATTGACTCCAGATCCATTCCCCGTTCCCCATTCAACACGACCGGTGGCTCGACTTCCTTCAGGCAACTCCAGAGATGCCCCGAGAACACTGTCCCAAGTCTAGAGGAACACCAACTTCAGCACAGCAACTCGAAGAATGCTCCGTGTACCCTAAATCATCTCGAGATGAGAGCTGATTCCCTGGCTTAGGCTCAAGACGTATGCCAACTTTCCAGAAGCACCTCAGGAGGAGGCTTCTCTCAGCAATAGGTATTTCGGAGGGACCCCGAGTTTGCTGCCTCATGGGGAATATACAGCGAGAAGCCCTAACTTGAAAGGAGGCCAGATTTCCTTGCAGTGGCTTGAATACAGGCTCGTCTTTGATCTCACAACATGAAGGGATGTCTGAATCCCCTGTGGAGACCTTAGAGAAAGCCCTAGGTCCCTGCCTCATTTTGACGGAATGCCTCACATCCCGCTGACACCTCGAGAGGCACGCGGAGTTCATTGCTTCAAAAGGTGACGATGCTTGACTCCTCTTGAATACTGATAGGAATCCCAAAATCCCTGTGGCTACTGGAAAGGGTCCTTGGGTGCCCTGCCTCACCTCGAGAAGCGTCCCTTTTGCCCTGCCAAGCCTCGAAGAGATTCCTGAGGTGTCCCTCGTTACTAGACAGGAGTCCTGACGTCACTGAAGAAACTCGTGTTTTGAAGGGCTATCCCCGCCGTAAGTCGAGAACATACCCCAGGTCCCCGCCGCAACTCGAGAAAAACCATGAGACTTCCCCCTAGAGGCGAGATGAGGCCCCATTCCCCTGCAGTGCATGCAGAGCTATTCCGTGATCCCATTCAAACAAGTCAGGAGCTTCGACTTGCTTAATGGATCTCGAGACAGTCCCCAAGAACACTGTCACCAGTCTAGACGGACCCTGAGGTCACCCAGCAATGCAAAGCAGCTCCATTTGCCACAAATCAACTCGAGATGAGGACGGATTCCCCTGCATTGACTCCAGAGCCATTCCCTGTTCCCCATTCAACACGACTGGTGCTCGACTTCCTTCAGGCAACTCCAGAGATGCCCCGAGAACACTGTCCCAAGTCTAGAGGAACACCAACTTCAGCACAGCAACTCGAGGAATGCTCCGTGTACCCCAAATCATCTCGAGATGAGAGCTGATTCCCTGGCTTAGGCTCAAGACGTATGCCTACTTTCCAGAAGCACCTCAGGAGGAGGCTTCTCTCAGCAATAGGTATGTGGGAGGGACCCCGATTTTGCTGCCTCAAGGGGAATACACAGGGAGAAGCCCTAATATGAACGGAGGCCAGATTTCCTTGCAGTGGCTTGAATACAGGCTCGTCTTTGATCTGACAACATGAAGGGATGTCTGAATCCCCTCTGGAGACCTTAGAGGAAGCCCTATGTCCCTGTCTCATTTTGACGGAATACCTCACATCCCCCTGACACCTCGAGAGGCACGCAGAGTTCATTGCTTCAAAAGGTGACGATGCCTGACTCCTCTTGAATACTGATAGGAATCCCAAAATCCCTGTGGCTACTGGAAAGGGTCCTTGGGTGCCCTGCCTCACCTCGAGAAGCGTCCCTTTTGCCCTGCCAAGCCTCGAAGAGATTCCTGAGGTGTCCCTCATTACTATACAGGAGTCCTGACGTCACTGAAGAAACTCGTGTTTTGAAGGGCCATCCCCGCCGTAAGTGGAGAACATAACCCAGGTCCCCGCCGCAACTCGAGAAAAACCATGAGACTTCCCCCTATAGGCGAGATGAGGCCCCATTCCCCTGCAGTGCATGCAGAGCTATTCCGTGATCCCATTCAAACAAGTCAGGAGCTTCGACTTGATTAATGGATCTCGAGACAGTCCCCAAGAACACTGTCACAAGTCTAGACGGACCCTGAGGTCACCCAGCAATGCAAAGCAGCTCCATGTGCCCCAAATCAACTCGAGATGTGGCCCGATTCCCTTGCATTGACACCAGAGCCATTCCACGTTCCCCTTTCAACACGACCGGTGGCTCGACTTCCTTCAGGCAACTCCAGAGATGCCCCGAGAACACTGTCCCAAGTCTAGAGGAACACCAACTTCAGCACAGCAACTCGAGGAATGCACTCTGTACCCCAAATCGTCTCGAGATGAGAGCTGATTCCCTGGCTTAGGCTCAAGACGTATGCCAGCTTTCCAGAAGCACATCAGGAGGAAGGTTCTCAGCAATAGGTATGTGGGAGGGACACCAAGTTTGCTGCCTAAAGGGGAATATACATCGAGAAGCCCTAACATGAAAGGAGGCCAGATTTCCTTGCAGTAGCTTGAATACAGGCTTGTCTTTCATCTCACAACATGAAGGGATGTCTGAATCCCCTGTGGAGACCTTAGAGAAAGCCCTAGGTCCCTGCCTCATTTTGATGGAATGCCTCACATCCCGCTGACACCTCGAGAGGCACGCGGAGTTCATTGCTTCAAAAGGTGACGATGCCTGACTCCTCTTGAATACTAATAGGAATCCCAAAATCCCTGTGGCTACTGGAAAGGGTCCTTGGGTGCCCTGCCTCACCTCGAGAAGCGTCCCTTTTGCCCTGCCAAGCCTCGAAGAGATTCCTGAGGTGTCCCTCATTACTAGGCAGGAGTCCTGACGTCACTGAAGAAACTCGTGTTTTGAAGGGCCATCCCCGCCGTGAGTCGAGAACATACCCCAGGTCCCCGCCGCAACTCGAGAAAAACCTAGAGACTTCCCCCTAGAGGCGAGATGAGGCCCCATTCCCCTGCAGTGCATGCAGAGCTATTCCGTGATCCCATTCAAACAAGTCAGGAGCTTCGACTTGTTTAATGGATCTCGAGACAGTCCCCAAGAACACTGTCACCAGTCTAGACGGACCCTGAGGTCACCCCAGCAACGCAAAGCTGCTCCATGTGCCCCAAATCAACTCGAGATGAGGCCCGATTCCCCTGCATTGACTCCAGAGCCATTCCCCGTTCCCCATTCAACAAGACCGGTGGCTCGACTTTCTTCAGGCAACTCCAGAGATGCCCAGAGAACACTTTCCCAAGTCTAGAGGAACACGAACTTCAGCAAAGCAACCCGAGGAATGCTCCGTGTACCCCAAATCATCTCGAGATGAGAGCTGATTCCCTGGCTTAGGCTCAAGACATATGCCAACTTTCCAGAAGCACCTCAGGAGGAGGCTTCTCTCAGCAATAGGTATGCGGGAGGGACCCCGAGTTTGCTGCCTCGAGGGGAATATACAGCGAGAAGCCCTAACTTGAAAGGAGGCCGGATTTCCTTGCAGTGGCTTGAATACAGGCTCGTCTTTGATCTGACAACATGAAGGGATGTCTGAATCACCTGTGGAGACTTTAGAGAAAGCCCTAGGTCCCTGCCTCATTTTGACGGAATGCCTCACATCCCGCTGACACCTCGAGAGGCACCCGGAGTTCATTGCTTCAAAAGGTGACGATGCTTGACTCCTCTTGAATACTGATAGGAATCCCAAAATCCCTGTGGCTACTGAAAAGGGTCCTTGGGTGCCCTGCCTCACTTCGAGAAGCGTCCCTTTTGCCCTGCCAAGCCTCGAAGAGATTCCTGAGGTGTCCCTCGTTACTAGGCAGGAGTCCTGACGTCACTGAAGAAACTCGTGTTTTGAAGGGCCATCCCCGCCGTAAGTCGAGAACATACCCCAGGTCCCCGCCGCAACTCGAGAAAAACCATGAGACTTCCCCCTAGAGGCGAGATGAGGCCCCATTCCCCTTCAGTGCATGCAGAGCTATTCCGTGATCCCATTCAAACAAGTCAAGAGCTTCGACTTGCTTAATGGATCTCGAGACAGTCCCCAAGAACACTGTCACCAGTCTAGACGGACCCTGAGGTCACCCCAGCAACGCAAAGCAGCTCCATGTGCCCCAAATGAACTCGAGATGAGGCCCGATTCCCCTGCATTGACTCCAGAGCCATTCCCCGTTCCCCATTCAACACGACCGGTGGCTCGACTTCCTTCAGGCAACTCCAGAGATGCCCAGAGAACACTTTCCCAAGTCTAGAGGAACACCAACTTCAGCACAGCAACTCGAGGAATGCTCTGTGTACCCCAAATCATTTCGAGATGAGAGCTGATTCCCTGGCTTAGGCTCAAGACGTATGCCAACTTTCCAGAAGCACCTCAGGAGGAGGCTGCTCTCAGCAATAGGTATGTGGGAGGGACCCCGAGTTTGCTGCCTCAAGGGGAATATACAGCGAGAAGCCCTAACTTGAAAGGAGGCCGGATTTCCTTGCAGTGGCTTGAATACAGGCTCGTCTTTGATCTGACAACATGAAGGGATGTCTGAATCCCCTGTGGAGACCTTAGGGAAAGCCCTAGGTCCCTGCCTCATTTTGACAGAATGCCTCACATCCCGCTGACACCTCGAGAGGCACGCGGAGTTCATTGCTTCAAAAGTTGACGATGCCTGACTCCTCTCGAATACTGATAGGAATCCCAAAATCCCTGTGGCTACTGGAAAGGGCCCTTGGGTGCCCTGCCGCACCTCGAGAAGCGTTCCTTTTGCCCTGCCAAGCCTCGAAGAGATTCCTGAGGTGTCCCTCGTTACTAGGCAGGAGTCCTGACGTCACTGGAGAAACTCGTGTTTTGAAGGGCTATCCCCGCCGTAAGTCGAGAACATACCCCAGGTCCCCGCCGCAACTCGAGAAAAACCATGAGACTTCCCCCTAGAGGCGAGATGAGGCCCCATTCCCCTGCAGTGCATGCAGAGCTATTCCGTGATCCCATTCAAACAAGTCAAGAGCTTCGACTTGCTTAATGGATCTCGAGACAGTCCCCAAGAACACTGTCACCAGTCAAGACGGACCCTGAGGTCACCCCGCAACGCAAAGCAGCTCCATGTGCCCCAAATCAACTCGAGATGAGGCCGGATTCCCCTGCATTGACTCCAGAGCCATTCCCCGTTCCCCATTCAACACGACCGGTGGCTCGACTTCCTTCAGGCAACTCCAGAGATGCCCCGAGAACACTGTCCCAAGTCTAGAGGAACACCAACTTCAGCACAGCAACTCGAGGAATGCTCTGTGTACCCCAAATCGTCTCGAGATGAGAGCTGATTCCCTGGCTTAGGCTCAAGACGTATGCCAACTTTCCAGAAGCACCTCAGGAGGAGGCTTCTCAGCAATAGGTATGTGGGAGGGACTCCGAGTTTGCTGCCTAAAGAAGAATATACATCGAGAAGCCCTAACTTGAAAGGAGGCCAGATTTCCTTGCAGTAGCTTGAATACAGGCTTGTCTTTCATCTCACAACATGAAGGGATGTCTGAATCCCCTGTGGAGACCTTAGAGAAAGCCCTTGGTCCCTGCCTCATTTTGACGGAATGCCTCACATCCCGCTGACACCTCGAGAGGCACGCGGAGTTCATTGCTTCAAAAGGTGACGATGCCTGACTCCTCTTGAATACTGATAGGAATCCCAAAATCCCTGTGACTACTGGAAAGGGTCCTTGGGTGCCCTGCCTCACCTCGAGAAGCGTCCCTTTTGCCCTGCCAAGCCTCGAAGAGATTCCTGAGGTGTCCCTCGTTACTAGGCAGGAGTCCTGACGTTACTGAAGAAACTCGTGTCTTGAAGGGCCATCCCCGCCGTAAGTCGAGAACATACCCCAGGTCCCCGCCACAACTCGAGAAAAACCATGAGACTTCCCCCTAGAGGCGAGATGAGGCCCCATTCCCCTGCAGTGCATTCAGAGCTATTCCGTGATCCCATTCAAACAAGTCAGGAGCTTCGACTTGCTTAATGGATCTCGAGACAGTCCCCAAGAACACTGTCACCAGTCTAGACGGACCCTGAGGTCACCCCAGCAGCGCAAAGCTGCTCCATGTGCCCCAAATCAACTAGAGATGAGGCCCGATTCCCCTGCATTGACTCCAGAGCCATTCCCCGTTCCCCATTCAACACGACCGGTGGCTCGACTTCCTTCAGGCAACTCCAGAGATGCCCCGAGAACACTGTCCCAAGTCTAGAGGAACACCAACTTCAGCACAGCAACTCGAGGAATGCACTCTGTACCCCAAATCGTCTCGAGATGAGAGCTGATTCCCTGGCTTAGGCTCAAGACTTATGCCAACTTTCCAGAAGCACCTCAGGAGGAGGCTTCTCAGCAATAGGTATGTGGGAGGGACTCCGAGTTTGCTGCCTAAAGAAGAATATACATCGAGAAGCCCTAACTTGAAAGGAGGCCAGATTTCCTTGCAGTAGCTTGAATACAGGCTTGTCTTTCATCTCACAACATGAAGGGATGTCTGAATCCCCTGTGGAGACCTTAGAGAAAGCCCTAGGTCCCTGCCTCATTTTGACGGAATGCCTCACATCCCGCTGACACTTCGAGAGGCACGCGGAGTTCATTGCTTCAAAAGGTGACGATGCCTGACTCCTCTTGAATACTGATAGGAATCCCAAAATCCCTGTGGCTACTGGAAAGGGTCCTTGGGTGCCCTGCTCACCTCGAGAAGCGTTCCTTTTGCCCTGCCAAGCCTCGAAGAGATTCCTGAGGTGTCCCTCGTTACTAGGCAGGAGTCCTGACGTCACTGGAGAAACTCGTGTTTTGAAGGGCCATCCCCGCCGTAAGTCGAGAACATACCCCAGGTCCCCGCCGCAACTCGAGAAAACCGTGAGACTTCCCCCTAGAGGCGAGATGAGACCCCATTCCCCTGCAGTGCATGCAGAGCTATTCCGTGATCCCATTCAAACAAGTCAGGAGCTTCGACTTGCTTAATGGATCTCGGGACAGTCCCCAGAACACTGTCACCAGTCTAGACGGACCCTGAGGTCACCCCAGCAACGCAAAGCTGCTCCATGTGCCCCAAATCAACTCGAGATGAGGCCCGATTCCCCTGCATTGACTCCAGAGCCATTCCCCGTTCCCCATTCAAGACGACCGGTGGCTCGAATTCCTTCACGCAACTCCAGAGATTCCCCGAGAACACTGTCCCAAGGCTAGAGGAACACCAACTTCAGCACAGCAACTCGAGGAATGCTCCGTGTACCCCAAATCATCTCGAGATGAGAGCTGATTCCCTGGCTTAGGCTCAAGACTTATGCCAACTTTCCAGAAGCATCTCAGGAGGAGGCTTCTCTCAGCAATAGGTATGTGGGAGGGACCCCGAGTTTGCTGCCTCAAGGGGAATACACAGGGAGAAGCCCTAATGTGAACGGAGGCCAGATTTCCTTGCAGTGGGTTGAATACAGGCTCGACTTTGATCTGAAAACATGAAGGGATGTCTGAATCCCCTGTGGAGACCTTAGAGGAAGCCGTAGGTCCCTGCCTCATTTTGACGGAATACCTGACATCCCCCTGACACCTCGAGAGGCACGCAGAGTTCATTGCTTCAAAAGGTGACGATGCCTGACTCCTCTTGAATACTTATAGGAATCCCAAAATCCCTGTTGCTACTGGAAAGGGTCCTTGGGTGCCCTGGCTCACCTGGAGAAGCGTCCCTTTTGCCCTGCCAAGCCTCGAAGAGATTGCTGAGGTGTCCCTCGTTACTAGACAGGAGTCCTGACGTCACTGAAGAAACTCGTGTTTTGAAGGGCCATCCCCGCCGTAAGTCGAGAACATACCCCAGGTCCCCGCCGCAACTCGAGAAAAACCATGAGACTTCCCCCTATAGGCGAGATGAGGACCCATTCCCCTGCAGTGCATGCAGAGCTATTCCGTGATCCCATTCAAACAAGTCAGGAGCTTCGACTTGCTTAAAGGATCTCGAGACAGTCCCCAAGAACACTGTCACCAGTCTAGACGGACCCTGAGGTCACCCCAGCAACGCAAAGCAGCTCCATGTGCCCCATATCAACTCGAGATGAGGCCCGATTCCCCTGCATTGACTCCAGAGCCATTCCCCGTTCCCCGTTCAACAAGAACGGTGGCTCGACTTCCTTCAGGCAACTCCAGAGATGCCCCGAGAACACTGTCCCAAGTCTAGAGGAACACCAACTTCAGCACAGCAACTCGAGGAATGCTCTGTGTACCCCAAATCATCTCGAGATGCGAGCTGATTCCCTGGCTTAGGCTCAAGACGTATGCCAACTTCCCAGAAGCACCTCAGGAGGAGGCTTCTCTCAGCAATAGGTATGTGGGAGGGACCCCGAGTTTGCTGCCTCAAGGGGAATATACAGCGAGAAGCCCTAACTTGAAAGGAGGCCGGATTTCCTTGCAGTGGCTTGAATACAGGCTCGTCTTTCATCTCACAACATGAAGGGATGTCTGAATCCCCTGTGGAGACCTTAGAGAAAGCCCTAGGTCCCTGCCTCATTTTGACGGAATGCCTCACATCCCGCTGACACCTCGAGAGGCACGCGGAGTTCATTGCTTCAAAAGGTGACGATGCCTGACTCCTCTTGAATACTGATAGGAATCCCAAAATCCCTGTGGCTACTGGAAAGGGTCCTTGGGTGCCCTGCCTCACCTCGAGAAGCGTCCCTTTTGCCCTGCCAAGCCTCGAAGAAATTGCTGTGGTGTCCCTTGTTACTAGACAGGAGTCCTGACGTCACTGGAGAAACTCGTGTTTTGAAGGGCCATCCCCGCCGTAAGTCGAGAACATACCCCAGGTCCCCGCCGCAACTCGAAAAAAACCGTGAGACTTCCCCCTAGAGGCGAGATGAGGCACCATTCCCCTGCAGTGCATGCAGAGCTATTCCGTGATCCCATTCAAACAAGTCAGGAGCTTCGACTTGGTTAATGGATCTCGAGACAGTCCCCAAGAACACTGTCACCACTCTAGACGGACCCTGAGGTCACCCAGCAATGCAAAGCAACTCCATGTGCCCCAAATCAACTCGAGATGAGGCCGGATTCCCCTGCATTGACTCCAGAGCCATTCCCCGTTCCCCATTCAACACGAACGGTGGCTCGACTTCCTTCAGGCAACTCCAGAGATGCCCCGAGAACACTGTCCCAAGTCTAGAGGAAAACCAACTTCAGCACAGCAACTTGAGGAATGCTCCGTGTACCCCAAATCATCTCGAGATGAGAGCTGATTCCCTGGCTTAGGCTCAAGACGTATGCCAAATTTCCAGAAGCACCTCAGGAGGAGGCTTCTCTCAGCAATAGGTATGTGGGAGGGACCCCGAGTTTGCTGCCTCAAGGGGAATACACAGGGAGAAGCCCTAATGTGAACGGAGGCCAGATTTCCTTGCAGTGGCTTGAATACAGGCTCGTCTTTGATCTGACAACATGAAGGGATGTCTGAATCCCCTGTGGAGACCTTAGAGGAAGCCCTAGGTCCCTGCCTCATTTTGACGGAATACCTAACATCCCCCTGACACCTCGAGAGGCACGCAGAGTTCATTGCTTCAAAAGGTGACGATGCCTGACTCCTCTTGAATACTGATAGGAATCCCAAAATTCCTGTGGCTACTGGAAAGGGTCCTTGGGTGCCCTGCCTCACCTCGAGAAGCGTCCCTTTGGCCCTGCCAAGCCTCGAAGAGATTCCTGAGGTGTCCCACGTTACTAGACAGGAGTCCTTACGTCACTGAAGAAACTCGTGTTTTGAAGGGCCATCCCCGCCATAAGTCGAGAACATACCCCAGTTCCCCGCCGCAACTCGAGAAAAACCGTGAGACTTCCCCCTAGAGGCGAGATGAGGCACCATTCCCCTGCAGTGCATGCAGAGCTATTCCGTGATCCCATTCAAACAAGTCAGGAGCTTCGACTTGCTTAATGGATCTCGAGACAGTCCCCAAGAACACTGTCACCAGTCTAGACGGACCCTGAGGTCACCCCAGCAACGCAAAGCAGTTCCATGTGCCCCAAATCAAATCGAGATGAGGCCCGATTCCCCTGCATTGACTCCAGAGTCATTCCCCGTTCCGCATTCAACACGACCGGTGGCTCGACTTCCTTCAGGCAACTCCAGAGATGCCCAGAGAACACTTTCCCAAGTCTAGAGGAACACCAACTTCAGCACAGCAACTCGAGGAATGCTCTGTGTACCCCAAATCGTCTCGAGATGAGAGCTGATTCCCTGGCTTAGGCTCAAGACGTATGCCAACTTTCCAGAAGCACCTCAGGAGGAGGCTTCTCAGCAATAGGTATGTGGGAGGGACTCCGAGTTTGCTGCCTCAAGGGGAATATACAGCGAGAAGCCCTAACTTGAAAGGAGGCCGGATTTCCTTGCAGTAGCTTGAATACAGGCTTGTCTTTCATCTCACAACATGAAGGGATGTCTGAATCCCCTGTGGAGACCTTAGAGAAAGCCCTAGGTCCCTGCATCATTTTGACGGAATGCCTCACATCCCGCTGACACCTCGAGAGGCACGCGGAGTTCATTGCTTCAAAAGGTGACGAGGCCTGACTCCTCTTGAATACTGATAGGAATCCCAAAATCCCTGTGGCTACTGAAAAGGGTCCTTGGGTGCCCTGCCTCACCTCGAGAAGCGTCCCTTTTGCCCTGCCAAGCCTCGAAGAGATTGCTGAGTTGTCCCTCGTTACTAGACAGGAGTCCTGACGTCACTGAAGAAACTCGTGTTTTGAGGGGCCATCCCCGTCGTAAGTCGAGAACATACCCCAGGTCCCCGCCGCAACTCGAGAAAAACCATGAGATTTCCCCCTAGAGGTGAGATGAGACCCCATTCCCCTGCAGTGCATGCAGAGCTATTCCGTGATCCCATTCAAACAAGTCAGGAGCTTCGACTTGCTTAATGGATCTCGAGACAGTCCCCAAGAACACTGTCACCAGTCTAGACGGACCCTGAGGTCACCCCAGCAACGCAAAGCTGCTCCATGTGCCCCAAATCAACTCGAGATGAGGCCGGATTCCCCTGCATTGACTCCAGAGCCATTCCCCGTTCCCCATTCAACACGACCGGTGGCTCGACTTCCTTCAGGCAACTCCAGAGATGCCCAGAGAACACTTTCCCAAGTGTAGAGGAACACCAACTTCAGCACAGCAACTCGAGGAATGCTCCGTGTACCCCAAATCATCTCGAGATGAGAGCTGATTCCCTGGCTTAGGCTCAAGACGTATGCCAACTTTCCAGAAGCACCTCAGGAGGAGGCTTCTCTCAGCAATAGGTATGTGGGAGGGACCCCGAGTTTCCTGACTCAAGGGGAATACACAGGGAGAATACCTAATGTGAACGGAGGCCAGATTTCCTTGCAGTGGCTTGAATATAGGCTCGTCTTTGATCTGACAACATGAAGGGATGTCTGAATCCCCTGTGGAGTCCTTAGAAGAAGCCCTAGGTCCCTGCCTCATTTTGACGGAATACCTCACATCCCCCTGACACTTCGAGAGGCACGCAGAGTTCATTGCTTGAAAAGGTGACGATGCCTGTCTCCTCTTGGATACTTATAGGAATCCCAAAATCCCTGTGGCTACTGGAAAGGGTCCTTGGGTGCCCTGCCTCACCTCGAGAAGCGTCCCTTTTGCCCTGCCAAGCCTCGAAGAGATTGCTGAGGTGTCCCTCATTACTAGGCAGGACTCCTGACGTCACTGAAGAAACTCGTGTTTTGAAGGGCCATCCCCGCCGTAAGTCGAGAACATACCCCAGGTCCCCGCCGCAACTCGAGAAAAACCGTGAGACTTCCCCCTAGAGGCGAGATGAGGCACCATTCCCCTGCAGTGCATGCAGAGCTATTCCGTGATCCCATTCAAACAAGTCAGGAGCTTCGACTTGCTTAATGGATCTCGAGACAGTCCCCAAGAACACTGTCACCAGTCTAGACGGACCCTGAGGTCACCCAGCAATGCAAAGCAGCTCCATGTGCCCCAAATCAACTCGAGATGAGGCCGGATTCCCCTGCATTGACTCCAGAGCCATTCCCCGTTCCCCATTCAACACGACCGGTGGCTCGACTTCCTTCAGGCAACTCCAGAGATGCCCCGAGAACACTGTCCCAAGTCTAGAGGAACACCAACTTCAGCACAGCAACTCGAGGAATGCTCCGTGTACCACAAATCATCTCGAGATGAGAGCTGATTCCCTGGCATAGGCTCAAGACGTATGCCAACTTTCCAGAAGCATCTCAGGAGGAGGCTTCTCTCAGCAATAGGTATGTGGGAGGGACCCCGAGTTTGCTGCCTCAAGGGGAATACACAGGGAGAAGCCCTAATGTGAACGAAGGCCAGATTTCCTTGCAGTGGCTTGAATACAGGCTCGTCTTTGATCTCACAACATGAAGGGATGTCTGAATCCCCTGTGGAGACCTTAGAGGAAGCCCTAGGTCCCTGCCTCATTTTGACGGAATACCTCACATCCCCCTGACACCTCGAGAGGCACGCAGAGTTCATTGCTTCAAAAGGTGACGCTGCCTGACTCCTCTTGAATACTTATAGGAATCCCAAAATCCCTGTGGCTACTGGAAAGGGTCCTTGGGTGCCATGGCTCACCTCGAGAAGCGTCCCTTTTGCCCTGCCAAGCCTCAAAGAGATTGCTGAGGTGTCCCTCATTACTAGACAGGAGTCCTGACGTCACTGAAGAAACTCGTGTTTTGAAGGGCCATCCCCGCCGTAAGTCGAGAACATACCCCAGGTCCCCGCCGCAACTCGAGGAAAACCATGAGACTTCCCCCTAGAGGCGAGATGAGGCCCCATTCCCCTGCAGTGCATGCAGAGCTATTCCGTGATCCCATTCAAACAAGTCAGGAGCTTCGACTTGCTTAATGGATCTCGAGACAGTCCCCAAGAACACTGTCACCAGTCTAGACGGACCCTGAGGTCACCCCAGCAACGCAAAGCAGCTCCATGTGCCCCAAATCAAATCGAGATGAGGCCCGATTCCCCGGCATTGACTCCAGAGCCATTCCCCGTTCCCCATTCAACACGACTGGTGGCTCGCTTTCCTTCAGGCAACTCCAGAGATGCCCCGAGAACACTGTCCCAAGTCTAGTGGAACACCAACTTCAGCACAGCAACTCGAGGAATGCTCTGTGTACCCCAAATCGTCTCGAGATGAGAGCTGATTCCCTGGCTTAGGCTCAAGACGTATGCCAAATTTCCAGAAGCACCTCAGGAGGAGGCTTCTCAGCAATAGGTATGTGGGAGGGACTCCGAGTTTGCTGCCTCAAGTGGAATATACAGCGAGAAGCCCTAACTTGAAAGGAGGCCGGATTTCCTTGCAGTAGCTTGAATACAGGCTTGTCTTTCATCTCACAACATGAAGGGATGTCTGAATCCCCTGTGGAGACCTTAGAGAAAGACCTAGGTCCCTGCCTCATTTTGACGGAATGCCTCACATCCCGCTGACACCTCGAGAGGCACGCGGAGTTCATTGCTTTAAAAGGTGACGAGGCCTGACTCCTCTTGAATACTGATAGGAATCCCAAAATCCCTGTGGCTACTGGAAAGGGTCCTTGGGTGCCCTGCCTCACCTCGAGAAGCGTCCCTTTTGCCCTGCCAAGCCTCGAAGAGATTGCTGAGTTGTCCCTCGTTACTAGACAGGAGTCCTGACGTCACTGAAGAAACTCGTGTTTTGAAGGGCCATCCCCGACGTAAGTCGAGAACATACCCCAGGTCCCCGCCGCAACTCGAGAAAAACCATGAGACTTCCCCCTAGAGGCGAGATGAGGCCCCATTCCCCTGCAGTGCATGCAGAGCTATTCCGTGATCCCATTCAAACAAGTCAGGAGCTTCGACTTGCTTAATGGATCTCGAGACAGTCCCCAAGAACACTGTCACCAGTCTAGACGGACCCTGAGGACACCCCAGCAACGCAAAGCTGCTCCATGTGCCCCAAATCAACTCGAGATGAGGCCGGATTCCCCTGCATTGACTCCAGAGCCATTCCCCGTTCCCCATTCAACACGACCGGTGGCTCGACTTCCTTCAGGAAACTCCAGAGATGCCCCGAGAACACTTTCCCAAGTCTAGAGGAACACCAACTTCAGCACAGCAACTCGAGGAATGCTCCGTGTACCCCAAATCATCTCGAGATGAGAGCTGATTCCCTGGCTTAGGCTCAAGACGTATGCCAACTTTCCAGAAGCACCTCAGGAGGAGGCTTCTCTCAGCAATAGGTATGTGGGAGGGACCCCGAGTTTCCTGCCTCAAGGGGAATGCACAGGGAGAAGCCCTAACTTGAAAGGAGGCCAGATTTCCTTGCAGTGGCTTGAATACAGGCTCGTCTTTGATCTAACAACATGAAGGGATGTCTGAATCCCCTGTGGAGTCCTTAGAAGAAGCCCTAGATCCCTGCCTCATTTTGACGGAATACCTCACATCCCCCTGACACTTCGAGAGGCACGCAGAGTTCATTGCTTGAAAAGATGACGATGCCTGACTCCTCTTGAATACTTATAGGAATCCCAAAATCCCTGTGGCTACTGGAAAGGGTCCTTGGGTGCCCTGGCTCACCTCGAGAGGCGTCCCTTTTGCCCTGCCAAGCCTCGAAGAGATTGCTGAGGTGTCCCTCATTACTAGACAGGAGTCCTGACGTCACTGAAGAAACTCGTGTTTTGAAGGGCCATCCCCGCCAAAAGTCGAGAACATACCCCAGGTCCCAACCGCAACTCGAGGAAAACTATGAGACTTCCCCCTAGAGGGGAGATGAGGCCCCATTCCCTTGCAGTGCATGCAGAGCTATTCCGTGATCCCATTCAAACAAGTCAGGAGCTTCGACTTGCTTAATGGATCTCGAGACAGTCCCCAAGAACACTGTCACCAGTCTAGACGGACCCTGAGGTCACCCCAGCAACGCAAAGCAGCTCCATGTGCCCCAAATCAACTCGAGATGAGGCCCGATTCCCCTGCATTGACTCCAGAGCCATTCCCCGTTCCCCATTCAACACGACCTGTGGCTCGACTTCCTTCAGGCAACTCCAGAGATGCCCCGAGAACACTGTCCCAAGTCTAGAGGAACACCAACTTCAGCACAGCAACTCGAGGAATGCTCCGTGTACCACAAATCGTCTCGAGATGCGAGCTGATTCCCTGGCTTAGGCTCAAGACGTATGCCAACTTCCCAGAAGCACCTCAGGAGGAGGCTTCTCTCAGCAATAGGTATGTGGGAGGGACCCCGAGTTTGCTGCCTCAAGGGGAATATACAGCGAGAAGCCCTAACTTGAAAGGAGGCCGGATTTCCTAGCAGTGGCTTGAATACAGGCTCGTCTTTCATCTCACAACATGAAGGGATGTCTGAATCCCCTGTGGAGACCTTAGAGAAAGCCCTAGGTCCCTGCCTCATTTTGACGGAATGCCTCACATCCCGCTGACACCTCGAGAGGCACGCGGAGTTCATTGCTTCAAAAGGTGACGATGCCTGACTCCTCTTGAATACTGATAGGAATCCCAAAATCCCTGTGGCTACTGGAAAGGGTCCTTGGGTGCCCTGCCTCACCTCGAGAAGCGTCCCTTTTACCCTGCCAAGCCTCGAAGAGATTCCTGAGGTGTCCCTCATTACTAGACAGGAGTCCTGACGTCACTGAAGAAACTCGTGTTTTGAAGGGCCATCCCCGCCGTAAGTCGAGAACATACCCCAGGTCCCCGCCGCAACTCGAGAAAAACCATGAGACTTCCCCCTAGAGGCGAGATGAGGCCCCATTCCCCTGCAGTGCATGCAGAGCTATTCCGTGATCCCATTCAAACAAGTCAGGAGCTTCGACTTGCTTAATGGATCTCGAGACAGTCCCCAAGAACACTGTCACCAGTCTAGACGGACCCTGAGGTCACCCCAGGAACGCAAAGCAGCTCCATGTGCCCCAAATCAACTCGAGATGAGCCCCGATTCCCCTGCATTGACTCCAGAGCCATTCCCCGTTCCCCATTCAACACGACCGGTGGCTCGACTTCCTTCAGGCAACTCCAGAGATGCCCCGAGAACACTGTCCCAAGTCTAGAGGAACACCAACTTCAGCACAGCAACTCGAGGAATGCTCCGTGTACCCCAAATCGTCTCGAGATGCGAGCTGATTCCCAGGGTTAGGCTCAAGACGTATGCCAACTTCCCAGAAGCACCTCAGGAGGAGGCTTCTCTTAGCAATAGGTATGTGGGAGGGACCCCGAGTTTGCTGCCTCAAGGGGAATATACAGCGAGAAGCCCTAACTTGAAAGGAGGCCGGATTTCCTTGCAGTGGCTTGAATACAGGCTCCTCTTTCATCTCACAACATGAAGGGATGTCTGAATCCCCTGTGGAGACCTTAGAGAAAGCCCTAGGTCCCTGCCTCATTTTGACGGAATGCCTCACATCCCGCTGACACCTCGAGAGGCACGCGGAGTGCATTGCTTCAAAAGGTGTCCATGCCTGACTCCTCTTGAATACTGATAGGAATCCCAAAATCCCTGTGGCTACTGGAAAGGGTCCTTGGGTGCCCTGCCTCACCTCGAGAAGCGTCCCTTTGGCCCTGCCAAGCCTCGAAGAGATTCCTGAGGTGTCCCTCGTTACTAGACAGGAGTCCTGACGTCACTGAAAAAACTCGTGTTTTGAAGGGCCATCCCCGCCGTAAGTCGAGAACATACCCCAGGTCCCCGCCGCAACTCGAGAAAAACCATGAGACTTCCCCCTAGAGGCGAGATGAGGCCCCATTCCCCTGCAGTGCATGCAGAGCTATTCCGTGATCCCATTCAAACAAGTCAGGAGCTTCGACTTGCTTAATGGATCTCGAGACAGTCCCCAAGAACACTGTCACCAGTCTAGACGGACCCTGAGGTCACCCCAGCAACGCAAAGCTGCTCCATGTGCCCCAATTCAACTCGAAATGAGGCCCGATTCCCCTGCATTGACTCCAGAGCCATTCCCCGTTCCCCATTCAACACGACCGGTGGCTCGACTTCCTTCAGGCAACTCCAGAGATGCCCAGAGAACACTTTCCCAAGTCTAGAGGAACACCAACTTCAGCACAGCAACTCGAGGAATGCTCCGTGTACCCCAAATCATCTCGAGATGAGAGCTGATTCCCTGGCTTAGGCTCAAGACGTATGCCAACTTTCCAGAAGCACCTCAGGAGGAGGCTTCTCTCAGCAATAGGTATGTGGGAGGGACCCCGAGTTTGCTGCCTCAAGGGGAATACACAGGGAGAAGCCCTAACTTGAAAGGAGGCCAGATTTCCTTGCAGTGGCTTGAATACAGGCTCGTCTTTGATCTCACAACATGAAGGGATGTCTGAATCCCCTGTGGAGACATTAGAGGAAGCCCTAGGTCCCTGCCTCATTTTGACGGAATACCTCACATCCCCCTGACACCTCGAGAGGCACGCGGAGTTCATTGCTTCAAAAGGTGACGATGCCTGACTCCTCTTGAATACTTATAGGAATCCCAAAATCCCTGTGGCTACTGGAAAGGGTCCTTGGGTGCCCTGGCTCACCTCGAGAGGCGTCCCTTTTGCCCTGCCAAGCCTCGAAGAGATTGCTGAGGTGTCCCTCATTACTAGACAGGAGTCCTGACGTCACTGAAGAAACTCGTGTTTTGAAGGGCCATCCCCGCCGTAAGTCGAGAACATACCCCAGGTCCCAGCCGCAACTCGAGGAAAACAATGAGTCTTCCCACTAGAGGCGAGATGAGGCCCCATTCCCCTGCAGTGCATGCAGAGCTATTCCGTGATCCCATTCAAACAAGTCAGGAGCTTCGACTTGCTTAATGGGTCTCGAGAGAGTCCCCAAGAACACTCTCACCAGTCTAGACGGACCCTGAGGTCACCCCAGCAACGCAAAGCAGGTCCATGTGCCCCAAATCAACTCGAGATGAGGCCCGATTCCCCTGCATTGACTCCAGAGCCATTCCCCGTTCCCCGTTCAACACGAACGGTGGCTCGCCTTCCTTCAGGCAACTCCAGAGATGCCCCGAGAACACTGTCCCAAGTCTAAAGGAATACCAACTTCACACAGCAACTCGAGGAATGTTCCGTGTACCACAAATCATCTCGAGATGAGAGCTGATTCCCTGGCTTAGGCTCAAGACGTATGCCAACTTTCCAGAAGCACCTCAGGAGGAGGTTTCTCTCAGCAATAGGTATGTGGGAGGGATCCCGAGTTTGCTGCCTCAAGGGGAATATACAGCGAGAAGCCCTAACTTGAAAGGAGGCCGGATTTCCTTGCAGTGGCTTGAATACAGGCTCGTCTTTCATCTCACAACATGAAGGGATGTCTGAATCCCCTGTGGAGACCTTAGAGAAAGGCCTAGGTCCCTGCCTCATTTTGACGGAATGCCTCACATCCCGCTGACACCTCGAGAGGCACGCGGAGTTCATTGCTTCAAAAGGTGACGATGCCTGACTCCTCTTGAATTCTGACAGGAATCCCAAAATCCCTGTGGCTACTGGAAAGGGTCCTTGGGTGCCCTGCCTCACCTCGAGAAGCGTCCCTTTTGCCCTGCCAAGCCTCGAAGAGATTCCTGAGGTGTCCCTCGTTACTAGACAGGAGTCCTGACGTCACTGAAGAAACTCGTGTTTTGAAGGGCCATCCCCGCCGTAAGTCGAGAACATACCCCAGGTCCCCGCCGCAACTCGAGAAAAACCATGAGACTTCCCCCTAGAGGCGAGATGAGGCCCCATTCCCCTGCAGTGCATGCAGAGCTATTCCGTGATCCCATTCAAACAAGTCAGGAGCTTCGACTTGCTTAATGGATCTCGAGACAGTCCCCAAGAACACTGTCACCAGTCTAGACGGACCCTGAGGTCACCCCAGCAACGCAAAGCAGCTCCATGTGCCCCAAATCAACTCGAGATGAGGCCCGATTCCCCTGCATTGACTCCAGAGCCATTCCCCGTTCCCCATTCAACACGACCGGTGGCTCGACTTCCTTCAGGCAACTCCAGAGATGCCCCGAGAACACTGTCCCAAGTCTAGAGGAACACCAACTTCAGCACAGCAACTCGAGGAATGCTCCGTGTACCCCAAATCGTCTCGAGATGAGAGCTGATTCCCTGGCTTAGGCTCAAGACGTATGCCAACTTCCCAGAAGCACCTCAGGAGGAGGCTTCTCTCAGCAATAGGTATGTGGGAGGGACCCCGAGTTTGCTGCCTCAAGGGGAATATACAGCGAGAAGCCCTAACTTGAAAGGAGGCCGGATTTCCTTGCAGTGGCTTGAATACAGGCTAGTCTTTCATCTCACAACATGAAGGGATGTCTGAATCCCCTGTGGAGACCTTAGAGAAAGCCCTAGGTCCCTGCCTCATTTTGACGGAATGCCTCACATCCCGCTGACACCTCGAGAGGCACGCGGAGTTCATTGCTCCAAAATGTGACGATGCCTGACTCCTCTTGAATACTGATAGGAATCCCAAAATCCCTGTGGCTACTGGAAAGGGTCCTTGGGTGCCCTGCCTCACCTCGAGAAGCGTCCCTTTTGCCGTGCCAAGCCTCGTAGAGATTCCTGAGGTGTCCCTCGTTACTAGACAGGAGTCCTGACGTCACTGAAGAAACTCGTGTTTTGAAGGGCCATCCCCGCCGTAAGTCGAGAACATACCCCAGGTCCCCGCCGCAACTCGAGAAAAACCATGAGACTTCCCCCTAGAGGCGAGATGAGGCCCCATTCCCCTGCAGTGCATGCAGAGCTATTCCGTGATCCCATTCAAACAAGTCAGGAGCTTTGACTTGCTTAATGGATCTCGAGACAGTCCCCAAGAACACTGTCACCAGTCTAGACGGACCCGGAGGTCACCCCAGCAAAACAAAGCAGCTCCATGTGCCCCAAATCAACTCGAGATGAGGCCCGATTCCCCTGCATTGACTCCAGAGCCATTCCCCGTTCCCCATTCAACACGACTGGTGGCTCGACTTCCTTCAGGCAACTCCAGAGATGCCCCGAGAACACTGTCCCAAGTCTAGAGGAAAACCAACTTCAGCACAGCAACTCGAGGAATGCTCCGTCTACCCCAAATCGTCTCGAGATGCGAGCTGATTCCCTGGCTTAGGCTCAAGACGTATGCCAACTTCCCAGAAGCACCTCAGGAGGAGGCTTCTCTCAGCAATAGGTATGTGGGAGGGACCCCGAGTTTGCTGCCTCAAGGGGAATATACAGCGAGAAGCCCTAACTTGAAAGGAGGCCGGATTTCCTTGCAGTGGCTTGAATACAGGCTCGTCTTTCATCTCACAACATGAAGGGATGTCTGAATCCCCTGTGGAGACCTTAGAGAAAGCCCTAGGTCCCTGCCTCATTTTGACGGAATGCCTCACATCCCGCTGACACCTCGAGAGGCACGCGGAGTTCATTGCTTCAAAAGGTGACGATGCCTGACTCCTCTTGAATACTGATAGGAATCCGAAAATCCCTGTGGCTACTGGAAAGGGTTCTTGGGTGCCCTGCCTCACCTCGAGAAGCGTCCCTTTGGCCCTGCCAAGCCTCGTAGAGATTCCTGAGGTGTCCCTTGTTACTAGACAGGAGTCCTGACGTCACTGAAGAAACTCGTGTTTTGAAGGGCCATCCCCGCCGTAAGTCGAGAACATACCCCAGGTCCCCGCCGCAACTCGAGAAAAACCATGAGACTTCCCCCTAGAGGCGAGATGAGGCCCCATTCCCCTGCAGTGCATGCAGAGCTATTCCGTGATCCCATTCAAACAAGTCAGGAGCTTCGACTTGCTTAATGGATCTCGAGACAGTCCCCAAGAACACTGTCACCAGTCTAGACGGACCCTGAGGTCACCCCAGCAACGCAAAGCAGCTCCATGTGCCCCATATCAACTCGAGATGAGGCCCGATTCCCCTGCATTGACTCCAGAGCCATTCCCCGTTCCCCGTTCAACACGAACGGAGGCTCGCCTTCCTTCAGGCAAATCCAGAGATGCCCAGAGAACACTTTCCCAAGTCTAGAGGAACACCAACTTCAGCACAGCAACTCGAGGAATGCTCCGTGTACCCCAAATCATCTCGAGATGAGAGCTGATTCCCTGGCTTAGGCTCAAGACGTATGCCAACTTTCCAGAAGCACCTCAGGAGGAGGCTTCTCTCAGCAATTGGTATGTGGGAGGGACCCCGAGTTTGCTGCCTCAAGGGGAATATACAGCGAGAAGCCCTAACTTGAAAGGAGGCCGGATTTCCTTGCAGTGGCTTGAATACAGGCCTGTCTTTGATCTGACAACATGAAGGGATGTCTGAATCCCCTGTGGAGACATTAGAGAAAGCCCTAGGTCCCTGCCTCATTTTGACAGAATGCCTCACATCCCGCTGACACCTCGAGAGGCACGCGGAGTTCATTGCTTCAAAAGGTGACGATGCATGACTCCTCTTGAATACTGATAGGAATCCCAAAATCCCTGTGGCTACTGGAAAGGGTCCTTGGGTGCCCTGCCGCACCTCGAGAAGCGTTCCTTTTGCCCTGCCAAGCCTCGAAGAGATTCCTGAGGTGTCCCTCGTTACTAGGCAGGAGTCCTGACGTCACTGGAGAAACTCGTGTTTTGAAGGGCCATCCCCGCCAAAAGTCGAGAACATACCCCAGGTCCCCGCCGCAACTCGAGAAAAACCGTGAGACTTCCCCCTAGAGGCGAGATGAGGCCCCATTCCCCTGCAGTGCATGCAGAGCTATTCTGTGATCCCATTCAAACAAGTCAGGAGCTTCGACTTGCTTAATGGATCTCGAGACAGTCCCCAAGAACACTGTCACCAGTCTAGACGGACCCTGAGGTCACCCAGCAACGCAAAGCTGCTCCATGTGCCCCAAGTCAACTCGAGATGAGGCCCGATTCCCCTGCATTGACTCCAGAGCCATTCCCCGTTCCCCATTCAACACGACCGGTGGCTCGACTTCCTTCAGGCAACTCCAGAGATGCCCCGAGAACACTGTCCCAAGTCTAGAGGAACACCAACTTCAGGACAGCAACTCGAGGAATGCTCTGTTTACCCCAAATCGTCTCGAGATGAGAGCTGATTCCCTGGCTTAGGCTCAAGACGTATGCCAACTTTCCAGAAGCACCTCAGGAGGAGGCTTCTCTCAGCAATAGGTATGTGGGAGGGACCCAGAGTTTGTTGCCTCAAGGGGAATATACAGCGAGAAGCCCTAACTTGAAAGGAGGCCGGATTTCCTTGCAGTGGCTTGAATACAGGCTCGTCTTTCATCTCACAACATGAAGGGATGTCTGAATCCCCTGTGGAGACCTTAGAGAAAGCCCTAGGTCCCTGCCTCATTTTGACAGAATGCCTCACATCCCGCTGACACCTCGAGAGGCACGCGGAGTTCATTGCTTCAAAAGGTGACGATGCCTGACTCCTCTTGAATACTGATAGGAATCCCAAATCCCTGTGGCTACTGGAAAGGGTCCTTGGGTGCCCTGCCTCACCTCGAGAAGCGTCCCTTTTGCCCTGCCAAGCCTCGAAGAGATTGCTGTGGTGTCCCTTGTTACTAGACAGGAGTCCTGACGTCACTGGAGAAACTCGTGTTTTGAAGGGCCATCCCCGCCGTAAGTCGAGAACATACCCCAGGTCCCCGCCGCAACTCGAGAAAAACCGTGAGACTTCCCCCTAGAGGCGAGATGAGGCCCCATTCCCCTGCAGTGCATGCAGAGCTATTCCGTGATCCCATTCAAACAAGTCAGGAGCTTCGACTTGCTTAATGCATCTCGAGACAGTCCCCAAGAACACTGTCACCAGTCTAGACGGACCCTGAGGTCACCCCAGCAACGCAAAGCAGCTCCATGTGCCCCAAGTCAAGTCGAGATGAGGCCCGATTCCCCTGCATTGACTCCAGAGCCATTCCCCGTTCCGCATTCAACACGACCGGTGGCTCGACTTCCTTCAGGCAACTCCAGAGATGCCCAGAGAACACTTTCCCAAGTCTAGAGGAACACCAACTTCAGCACAGCAACTCGAGGAATGCTCTGTGTACCCCAAATCGTCTCGAGATGAGAGCTGATTCCCTGGCTTAGGCTCAAGACGTATGCCAACTTTCCAGAAGCACCTCAGGAGGAGGCTTCTCAGCAATAGGTATGTGGGAGGGACTCCGAGTTTGCTGCCTCAAGGGGAATATACAGCGAGAAGCCCTAACTTGAAAGGAGGCCGGATTTCCTTGCAGTAGCTTGAATACAGGCTTGTCTTTCATCTCACAACATGAAGGGATGTCTGAATCCCCTGTGGAGACCTTAGAGAAAGCCCTAGGTCCCTGCATCATTTTGACGGAATGCCTCACATCCCGCTGACACCTCGAGAGGCACGCAGAGTTCATTGCTTTAAAAGGTGACGAGGCCTGACTCCTCTTGAATACTGATAGGAATCCCAAAATCCCTGTGGCTACTGAAAAGGGTCCTTGGGTGCCCTGCCTCACCTCGAGAAGCGTCCCTTTTGCCCTGCCAAGCCTCGAAGAGATTGCTGAGTTGTCCCTCGTTACTAGACAGGAGTCCTGACGTCACTGAAGAAACTCGTGTTTTGAGGGTCCATTCCCGTCGTAAGTCGAGAACATACCCCAGGTCCCCGCCGCAACTCGAGAAAAACAATGAGACTTCCCCCTAGAGGCGAGATGAGGCCCCATTCCCCTGCAGTGCATGCAGAGCTATTCCGTGATCCCATTCAAACAAGTCAGGAGCTTCGACTTGCTTAATGGATCTCGAGACAGTCCCCAAGAACACTGTCACCAGTCTAGACGGACCCTGAGGTCACCCCAGCAACGCAAAGCTGCTCCATGTGCCCCAAATCAACTCGAGATGAGGCCGGATTCCCCTGCATTGACTCCAGAGCCATTCCCCGTTCCCCATTCAACACGACCGGTGGCTCGACTTCCTTCAGGCAACTCCAGAGATGCCCAGAGAACACTTTCCCAAGTCTAGAGGAACACCAACTTCAGCACAGCAACTCGAGGAATGCTCCGTGTACCCCAAATCATCTCGAGATGAGAGCTGATTCCCTGGCTTAGGCTCAAGACGTATGCCAACTTTCCAGAAGCACCTCAGGAGGAGGCTTCTCTCAGCAATAGGTATGTGGGAGGGACCCCGAGTTTCCTGACTCAAGGGGAATACACAGGGAGAATACCTAATGTGAACGGAGGCCAGATTTCCTTGCAGTGGCTTGAATATAGGCTCGTCTTTGATCTGACAACATGAAGGGATGTCTGAATCCCCTGTGGAGTCCTTAGAAGAAGCCCTAGGTCCCTGCCTCATTTTGACGGAATCCCTCACATCCCCCTGACACTTCGAGAGGCACGCAGAGTTCATTGCTTGAAAAGGTGACGATGCCTGTCTCCTCTTGGATACTTATAGGAATCCCAAAATCCCTGTGGCTACTGGAAAGGGTCCTTGGGTGCCCTGCCTCACCTCGAGAAGCGTCCCTTTTGCCCTGCCAAGCCTCGAAGAGATTGCTGAGGTGTCCCTCGTTACTAGGCAGGACTCCTGACGTCACAGAAGAAACTCGTGTTTTGAAGGGCCATCCCCGCCGTAAGTCGAGAACATACCCCAGGTCCCCGTCGCAACTCGAGAAAAACCGTGAGACTTCCCCCTAGAGGCGAGATGAGGCACCATTCCCCTGCAGTGCATGCAGAGCTATTCCGTGATCCCATTCAAACAAGTCAGGAGCTTCGACTTGCTTAATGGATCTCGAGACAGTCCCCAAGAACACTGTCACCAGTCTAGACGGACCCTGAGGTCACCCAGCAATGCAAAGCAGCTCCATGTGCCCCAAATCAACTCGAGATGAGGCCGGATTCCCCTGCATTGACTCCAGAGCCATTCCCCGTTCCCCATTCAACACGACCGGTGGCTCGACTTCCTTCAGGCAACTCCAGAGATGCCCCGAGAACACTGTCCCAAGTCTAGAGGAACACCAACTTCAGCACAGCAACTCGAGGAATGCTCCGTGTACCCCAAATCATCTCGAGATGAGAGCTGATTCCCTGGCTTAGGCTCAAGACGTATGCCAACTTTCCAGAAGCACCTCAGGAGGAGGCTTCTCTCAGCAATAGGTATGTGGGAGGGACCCCGAGTTTCCTGCCTCAAGGGGAATGCAGAGGGAGAATACCTAATGTGAACGGAGGCCAGATTTCCTTGCAGTGGCTTGAATATAGGCTCGTCTTTGATCTGACAACATGAAGGGATGTATGAATCCCCTGTGGAGTCCTTAGAAGAAGCCCTAGATCCCTGCCTCATTTTGACGGAATACCTCACATCCCCCTGACACTTCGAGAGGCACGCAGAGTTCATTGCTTGAAAAGATGACGATGCCTGACTCCTCTTGAATACTTATAGGAATCCCAAAATCCCTGTGGCTACTGGAAAGGGTCCTTGGGTGCCCTGGCTCACCTCGAGAGGCGTCCCTTTTGCCCTGCCAAGCCTCGAAGAGATTGCTGAGGTGTCCCTCATTACTAGACAGGAGTCCTGACGTCACTGAAGAAACTCGTGTTTTGAAGGGCCATCCCCGCCAAAAGTCGAGAACATACCCCAGGTCCCAACCGCAACTCGAGGAAAACTATGAGACTTCCCCCTAGAGACGAGATGAGGCCCCATTCCCTTGCAGTGCATGCAGAGCTATTCCGTGATCCCATTCAAACAAGTCAGGAGCTTCGACTTGCTTAATGGATCTCGAGACAGTCCCCAAGAACACTGTCACCAGTCTAGACGGACCCTGAGGTCACCCAGCAATGCAAAGCAGATCCATGTGCCCCAAATCAACTCGAGATGAGGCCAGATTCCCCTGCATTGACTCCAGAGCCATTCCCTGTTCCCCATTCAACACGACCTGTGGCTCGACTTCCTTCAGGCAACTCCAGAGATGCCCCGAGAACACTGTCCCAACTCTAGAGGACCACCAACTTCAGCACAGCAACTCGAGGAATGCTCTGTGTACCCCAAATCGCCTCGAGATGAGAGCTGATTCCCTGGCTTAGGCTCAAGACGTATGCCAACTTTCCAGAAGCACCTCAGGAGTAGACTTCTCTCAGCAATAGGTATGTGGGAGGGACCCCGAGTTTGCTGCCTCAAAGGGAATATACAGCGAGAAGCCCTAACTTGAAAGGAGCCCGGATTTCCTTGCAGTGGCTTGAATACAGGCTCGTCTTTCATCTCACAACATGAAGGGATGTCTGAATCCCCTGTGGAGACCTTAGAGGAAGCCCTAGGTCCCTGCCTCATTTTGACGGAATCCTCACATCCCGCTGACACCTCGAGAGGCACGCGGAGTTCATTGCTTCAAAAGGTGACGATGCCTGACTCCTCTTGAATACTTATAGGAATCCCAAAATCCCTGTGGCTACTGGAAATGGTCCTTGGGTGCCCTGGCTCACCTCGGGAAGCGTCCCTTTTGCCCTGCCAAGCCTCGAAGAGATTTCTGAGGTGTCCCTCGTTACTAGACAGGAGTCCTGACGTCACTGAAGAAACTCGTGTTTTGAAGGGCCATCCCCGCCGTAAGTCGAGAACATACCCCAGGTCCCCACCGCAACTCGAGAAAAACCATGAGACTTCCCCCTAGAGGCGAGATGAGGCCCCATTCCCCTGCAGTGCATGCAGAGCTATTCCGTGATCCCATTCAAACAAGTCAGGAGCTTCGACTTGCTTAATGGATCTCGAGACAGTCCCCAAGATCACTGTCACCAGTCTAGACGGACCCTGAGGTCACCCAGCAATGCAAAGCAGCTCCTTGTGCCCCAAATCAACTCGAGATGAGACAGGATTCCCCTGCATTGACTCCAGAGCCATTCCCCGTTCCCCATTCAACACGACCGGTGGCTCGACTTCCTTCAGGCAACTCCAGAGATGCCCCGAGAACACTGTCCCAAGTCTAGAGGAACACCAACTTCAGCACAGCAACCCGAGGAATGCTCCGTGTACCCCAAATCATCTCGAGATGAGAGCTGATTCCCTGGCTTAGGCTCAAGACGTATGCCAACTTTCCAGAAGCACCTCAGGAGGAGGCTTCTCTCAGCAATAGGTATGTGGGAGGGACCCCGAGTTTGCTGCCTCAAGGGGAATACACAGGGAGAAGACCTAATGTGAAAGGAGGCCAGATTTCCTTGCAGTGGCTTGAATACAGGCTCGTCTTTGATCTCACAACATGAAGGTATGTCTGAATCCCCTGTGGAGACATTAGAGGAAGCCCTAGGTCCCTGCCTCATTTTGACGGAATACCTCACATCCCCCTGACACCTCGAGAGGCACGCGGAGTTCATTGCTTCAAAAGGTGACGATGCCTGACTCCTCTTGAATACTTATAGGAATCCCAAAATCCCTGTGGCTACTGGAAAGGGTCCTTGGGTGCCCTGGCTCACCTCGAGAAGCGTCCCATTTGCCCTGCCATGCCTCGAAGAGATTATGAGGTGTCCCTCATTACTAGACAGGAGTCCTGACGTCACTGAAGAAACTCGTGTTTTGAAGGGCCATCCCCGCCGTAAGTCGAGAACATACCCCAGGTCCCCGCCGCAACTCGAGAAAAACCATGAGACTTCCCCCTAGAGGGGAGATGAGGCCCCATTCCCCTGCAGTGCATGCAGCGCTATTCCGTGATCCCATTCAAACAAGTCAGGAGCTTCGACTTGCTTAATGGATCTCGAGACAGTCCCCAAGAACACTGTCACCAGTCTAGACGGACCCTGAGGTCACCCCAGCAACGCAAAGCAGCTCCATGTGCCCCAAATCAACTCGAGATGAGGCCGGATTCCCCTGCATTGACTCCAGAGCCATTCCCCGTTCCCCATTCAACACGACCGGTGGCTCGACTTCCTTCAGGCAACTCCAGAGATGCCCAGAGAACACTTCCCAAGTCTAGAGGAACACCAACTTCAGCACAGCAACTCGAGGAATGCTCCGTGTACCCCAAATCACCTCGAGATGAGAACTGATTCTCTGGCTTAGGGTCAAGACGTATGCCAACTTTCCAGAAGCACCTCAGGAGGAGGCTTCTCTCAGCAATAGGTATGTGGGAGGGACCCCGAGTTTCCTGCCTCAAGGGGAATACACAGGGAGAATACCTAATGTGAACGGAGGCCAGATTTCCTTGCAGTGGCTTGAATATAGGCTCGTCTTTGATCTGACAACATGAAGGGGTGTCTGAATCCCCTGTGGAGTCCTTAGAAGAAGCCCTAGGTCCCTGCCTCATTTTGACGGAATACCTCACATCCCCCTGACACCTCGAGAGGCACGCAGAGTTCATTGCTTCAAAAGGTGACGATGCCTGACTCCTCTTGAATACTTATAGGAATCCCAAAATCCCTGTGGCTACTCTAAAGGGTCCTTGGGTGCCCTGGCTCACCTCGAGAGGCGTCCCTTTTGCCCTGCCAAGCCTCGAAGAGATTGCTGAGGTGTCCCTCATTACTAGACAGGAGTCCTGACGTCACTGAAGAAACTCGTGTTTTGAAGGGCCATCCCCGCCGTAAGTCGAGAACATACCCCAGGTCCCAGCCGCAACTCGAGGAAAACAATGAGTCTTCCCCCTAGAGGCGAGATGAGGCCCCATTCCCCTGCAGTGCATGCAGAGCTATTCCGTGATCCCATTCAAACAAGTCAGGAGCTGCGACTTGCTTAATGGATCTCGAGAGAGTCCCCAAGAACACTCTCACCAGTCTAGACGGACCCTGAGGTCACCCCAGCAACGCAAAGCAGGTCCATGTGCCCCAAATCAACTCGAGATGAGGCCCGATTCCCCTGCATTGACTCCAGAGCCATTCCCCGTTCCCCGTTCAACACGAACGGTGGCTCGCCTTCCTTCAGGCAACTCCAGAGATGCCCCGAGAACACTGTCCCAAGTCTAGAGGAACACCAACTTCACACAGCAACTCGAGGAATGTTCCGTGTACCACAAATCATCTCGAGATGAGAGCTGATTCCCTGGCTTAGGCTCAAGACGTATGCCAACTTTCCAGAAGCACCTCAGGAGGAGGTTTCTCTCAGCAATAGGTATGTGGGAGGGACCCCGAGTTTGCTGCCTCAAGGGGAATATACAGCGAGAAGCCCTAACTTGAAAGGAGGCCGGATTTCCTTGCAGTGGCTTGAATACAGGCTCGTCTTTCATCTCACAACATGAAGGGATGTCTGAATCCCCTGTGGAGACCTTAGAGAAAGGCCTAGGTCCCTGCCTCATTTTGACGGAATGCCTCACATCCCGCTGACACCTCGAGAGGCACGCGGAGTTCATTGCTTCAAAAGGTGATGATGCCTGACTCCTCTTGAATACTGACAGGAATCCCAAAATCCCTGTGGCTACTGGAAAGGGTCCTTGGGTGCCCTGCCTCACCTCGAGAAGCGTCCCTTTTGCCCTGCCAAGCCTCGAAGAGATTCCTGAGGTGTCCCTCGTTACTAGACAGGAGTCCTGACGTCACTGAAGAAACTCGAGTTTTGAAGGGCCATCCCCGCCGTAAGTCGAGAACATACCCCAGGTCCCCGCCGCAACTCGAGAAAAACCATGAGACTTCCCCCTAGAGGCGAGATGAGGCCCCATTCCCCTGCAGTGCATGCAGAGCTATTCCGTGATCCCATTCAAACAAGTCAGGAGCTTCGACTTGCTTAATGGATCTCGAGACAGTCCCCAAGAACACTGTCACCAGTCTAGACGGACCCTGAGGTCACCCCAGCAACGCAAAGCAGCTCCATGTGCCCCAAATCAACTCGAGATGAGGCCCGATTCCCCTGCATTGACTCCAGAGCCATTCCCCGTTCCCCATTCAACACGACCTGTGGCTCGACTTCCTTCAGGCAACTCCAGAGATGCCCCGAGAACACTGTCCCAAGTCTAGAGGAACACCAACTTCAGCACAGCAACTCGAGGAATGCTCCGTGTACCACAAATCGTCTCGAGATGCGAGCTGATTCCCTGGCTTAGGCTCAAGACGTATGCCAACTTCCCAGAAGCACCTCAGGAGGAGGCTTCTCTCAGCAATAGGTATGTGGGAGGGACCCCGAGTTTGCTGCCTCAAGGGGAATATACAGCGAGAAGCCCTAACTTGAAAGGAGGCCGGATTTCCTAGCAGTGGCTTGAATACAGGCTCGTCTTTCATCTCACAACATGAAGGGATGTCTGAATCCCCTGTGGAGACCTTAGAGAAAGCCCTAGGTCCCTGCCTCATTTTGACGGAATGCCTCACATCCCGCTGACACCTCGAGAGGCACGCGGAGTTCATTGCTTCAAAAGGTGACGATGCCTGACTCCTCTTGAATACTGATAGGAATCCCAAAATCCCTGTGGCTACTGGAAAGGGTCCTTGGGTGCCCTGCCTCACCTCGAGAAGCGTCCCTTTTACCCTGCCAAGCCTCGAAGAGATTCCTGAGGTGTCCCTCGTTACTAGACAGGAGTCCTGACGTCACTGAAGAAACTCGTGTTTTGAAGGGCCATCCCCGCCGTAAGTCGAGAACATACCCCAGGTCCCCGCCGCAACTCGAGAAAAACCATGAGACTTCCCCCTAGAGGCGAGATGAGGCCCCATTCCCCTGCAGTGCATGCAGAGCTATTCCGTGATCCCATTCAAACAAGTCAGGAGCTTCGACTTGCTTAATGGATCTCGAGACAGTCCCCAAGAACACTGTCACCAGTCTAGACGGACCCTGAGGTCACCCCAGGAACGCAAAGCAGCTCCATGTGCCCCAAATCAACTCGAGATGAGCCCCGATTCCCCTGCATTGACTCCAGAGCCATTCCCCGTTCCCCATTCAACACGACCGGTGGCTCGACTTCCTTCAGGCAACTCCAGAGATGCCCCGAGAACACTGTCCCAAGTCTAGAGGAACACCAACTTCAGCACAGCAACTCGAGGAATGCTCCGAGTACCCCAAATCATCTCGAGATGCGAGCTGATTCCCTGGCTTAGGCTCAAGACGTATGCCAACTTCCCAGAAGCACCTCAGGAGGAGGCTTCTCTTAGCAATAGGTATGTGGGAGGGACCCCGAGTTTGCTGCCTCAAGGGGAATATACAGCGAGAAGCCCTAACTTGAAAGGAGGCCGGATTTCCTTGCAGTGGCTTGAATACAGGCTCGTCTTTCATCTCACAACATGAAGGGATGTCTGAATCCCCTGTGGAGACCTTAGAGAAAGCCCTAGGTCCCTGCCTCATTTTGACGGAATGCCTCACATCCCGCTGACACCTCGAGAGGCACGCGGAGTTCATTGCTTCAAAAGGTGACCATGCCTGACTCCTCTTGAATACTGATAGGAATCCCAAAATCCCTGTGGCTACTGGAAAGGGTCCTTGGGTGCCCTGCCTCACCTCGAGAAGCGTCCCTTTTGCCCTGCCAAGCCTCGAAGAGATTCCTGAGGTGTCCCTCGTTACTAGACAGGAGTCCTGACGTCACTGAAGAAACTCGTGTTTTGAAGGGCCATCCCCGCCGTAAGTCGAGAACATACCCCAGGTCCCCGCCGCAACTCGAGAAAAACCATGAGACTTCCCCCTAGAGGCGAGATGAGGCCCCATTCCCCTGCAGTGCATGCAGAGCTATTCCGTGATCCCATTCAAACAAGTCAGGAGCTTCGACGTGCTTAATGGATCTCGAGACAGTCCCCGAGAACACTGTCACCAGTCTAGACGGACCCTGAGGTCACCCCAGCAACGCAAAGCAGCTCCATGTGCCCCAAATCAACTCGAGATGAGGCCCGATTCCCCTGCATTGACTCCAGAGCCATTCCCCGTTCCCCATTCAACACGACCGGTGGCTCGACTTCCTTCAGGCAACTCCAGAGATGCCCCGAGAACACTGTCCCAAGTCTAGAGGAACACCAACTTCAGCACAGCAACTCGAGGAATGCTCCGTGTACCCCAAATCGTCTCGAGATGAGAGCTGATTCCCAGGCTTAGGCTCAAGACGTATGCCAACTTCCCAGAAGCACCTCAGGAGGAGGCTTCTCTCAGCAATAGGTATGTGGGAGGGACCCCGAGTTTGCTGCCTCAAGGGGAATATACAGCGAGAAGCCCTAACTTGAAAGGAGGCCGGATTTCCTTGCAGTGGCTTGAATACAGGCTCGTCTTTCATCTCACAACATGAAGGGATGTCTGAATCCCCTGTGGAGACCTTAGAGAAAGCCCTAGGTCCCTGCCTCATTTTGACGGAATGCCTCACATCCCGCTGACACCTCGAGAGGCACGCGGAGTTCATTGCTTCAAAAGGTGACGATGCCTGACTCCTCTTGAATACTGATAGGAATCCCAAAATCCCTGTGGCTACTGGAAAGGGTCCTTGGGTGCCCTGCCTCACCTCGAGAAGCGTCCCTTTTGCCCTGCCAAGCCTCGAAGAGATTCCTGAGGTGTCCCTCGTTACTAGACAGGAGTCCTGACGTCACTGAAGAAACTCGTGTTTTGAAGGGCCATCCCCGCCGTAAGTCGAGAACATACCCCAGGTCCCCGCCGCAACTCGAGAAAAACCATGAGACTTCCCCCTAGAGGCGAGATGAGGCCCCATTCCCCTGCAGTGCATGCAGAGCTATTCCGTGATCCCATTCAAACAAGTCAGGAGCTTCGACTTGCTTAATGGATCTCGAGACAGTCCCCAAGAACACTGTCACCAGTCTAGACGGACCCTGAGGTCACCCCAGCAACGCAAAGCAGCTCCATGTGCCCCAAATCAACTCGAGATGAGGCCCGATTCCCCTGCATTGACTCCAGAGCCATTCCCCGTTCCCCATTCAACAGGACCGGTGGCTCGACTTCCTTCAGGCAACTCCAGAGATGCCCCGAGAACACTGTCCCAAGTCTAGAGGAACACCAACTTCAGCACAGCAACTCGAGGAATGCTCCGTGTACCCCAAATCGTCTCGAGATGAGAGCTGATTCCCAGGCTTAGGCTCAAGACGTATGCCAACTTCCCAGAAGCACCTCAGGAGGAGGCTTCTCTCAGCAATAGGTATGTGGGAGGGACCCCGAGTTTGCTGCCTCAAGGGGAATATACAGCGAGAAGCCCTAACTTGAAAGGAGGCCGGATTTCCTTGCAGTGGCTTGAATACAGGCTCGTCTTTCATCTCACAACATGAAGGGATGTCTGAATCCCCTGTGGAGACCTTAGAGAAAGCCCTAGGTCCCTGCCTCATTTTGACGGAATGCCTCACATCCCGCTGACACCTCGAGAGGCACGCGGAGTTCATTGCTTCAAAAGGTGACGATGCCTGATTCCTCTTGAATACTGATAGGAATCCCAAAATCCCTGTGGCTACTGGAAAGGGTCCTTGGGTGCCCTGCCTCACCTCGAGAAGCGTCCCTTTTGCCCTGCCAAGCCTCGAAGAGATTCCTGAGGTGTCCCTCGTTACTAGACAGGAGTCCTGACATCACTGAAGAAACTCGAGTTTTGAAGGGCCATCCCCGCCGTAAGTCGAGAACATACCCTAGGTCCCCGCCGCAACTCGAGAAAAACCATGAGACTTCCCCCTAGAGGCGAGATGAGGCCCCATTCCCCTGCAGTGCATGCAGAGCTATTCCGTGATCCCATTCAAACAAGTCAGGAGCTTCGACTTGCTTAATGGATCTCGAGACAGTCCCCAAGAACACTGTCACCAGTCTAGACGGAACCTGAGGTCACCCCAGCAACGCAAAGCAGCTCCATGTGCCCCAAATCAACTCGAGATGAGGCCCGATTCCCCTGCATTGACTCCAGAGCCATTCCCCGTTCCCCATTCAACACGACCGGTGGCTCGACTTCCTTCAGGCAACTCCAGAGATGCCCCGAGAACACTGTCCCAAGTCTAGAGGAACACCAACTTCAGCACAGCAACTCGAGGAATGCTCCGTGTACCCCAAATCGTCTCGAGATGAGAGCTGATTCCCTGGCTTAGGCTCAAGACGTATGCCAACTTCCCAGAAGCACCTCAGGAGGAGGCTTCTCTCAGCAATAGGTATGTGGGAGGGACCCCGAGTTTGCTGCCTCAAGGGGAATATACAGCGAGAAGCCCTAACTTGAAAGGAGGCCGGATTTCCTTGCAGTGGCTTGAATACCGGCTCGTCTTTCATTTCACAACATGAAGGGATGTCTGAATCCCCTGTGGAGACCTTAGAGAAAGCCCTAGGTCCCTGCCTCATTTTGACGGAATGCCTCACATCCCGCTGACACCTCGAGAGGCACGCGGAGTTCATTGCTTCAAAAGGTGACGATGCCTGACTCCTCTTGAATACTGATAGGAATCCCAAAATCCCTGTGGCTACTGGAAAGGGTCCTTGGGTGCCCTGCCTCACCTCGAGAAGCGTCCCTTTTGCCCTGCCAAGCCTCGAAGAGATTCCTGAGGTGTCCCTCGTTACTAGACAGGAGTCCTGACGTCACTGAAGAAACTCGTGTTTTGAAGGGCCATCCCCGCCGTAAGTCGAGAACATACCCCAGGTCCCCGCCGCAACTCGAGAAAAACCATGAGACTTCCCCCTAGAGGCGAGATGAGGCCCCATTCCCCTGCAGTGCATGCAGAGCTATTCCGTGATCCCATTCAAACAAGTCAGGAGCTTCGACTTGCTTAATGGATCTCGAGACAGTCCCCAAGAACACTGTCACCAGTCTAGACGGACCCTGAGGTCACCCCAGCAACGCAAAGCAGCTCCATGTGCCCCAAATCAACTCAAGATGAGGCCCGATTCCCCTGCATTGACTCCAGAGCCATTCCCCGTTCCCCATTCAACACGACCGGTGGCTCGACTTCCTTCAGGCAACTCCAGAGATGCCCCGAGAACACTGTTCCAAGTCTAGAGGAACACCAACTTCAGCACAGCAACTCGAGGAATGCTCCGTGTACCCCAAATCGTCTCGAGATGCGAGCTGATTCCCTGGCTTAGGCTCAAGACGTATGCCAACTTCCCAGAAGCACCTCAGGAGGAGGCTTCTCTCAGCAATAGGTATGTGGGAGGGACCCCGAGTTTGCTGCCTCAAGGGGAATATACAGCGAGAAGCCCTAACTTGAAAGGAGGCCGGATTTCCTTGCAGTGGCTTGAATACAGGCTCGTCTTTCATCTCACAACATGAAGGGATGTCTGAATCCCCTGTGGAGACCTTAGAGAAAGCCCTAGGTCCCTGCCTCATTTTGACGGAATGCCTCACATCCCGCTGACACCTCGAGAGGCACGCGGAGTTCATTGCTTCAAAAGGTGACGATGCCTGACTCCTCTTGAATACTGACAGGAATCCCAATATCCCTGTGGCTACTGGAAAGGGTCCTTGGGTGCCCTGCCTCACCTCGAGAAGCGTCCCTTTTGCCCTGCCAAGCCTCGAAGAGATTCCTGAGGTGTCCCTCGTTACTAGACAGGAGTCCTGACGTCACTGAAGAAACTCGAGTTTTGAAGGGCCATCCCCGCCGTAAGTCGAGAACATACCCCAGGTCCCCGCCGCAACTCGAGAAAAACCATGAGACTTCCCCCTAGAGGCGAGATGAGGCCCCATTCCCCTGCAGTGCATGCAGAGCTATTCCGTGATCCCATTCAAACAAGTCAGGAGCTTCGACTTGCTTAATGGATCTCGAGACAGTCCCCAAGAACACTGTCACCAGTCTAGACGGACCCTGAGGTCACCCCAGCAACGCAAAGCAGCTCCATGTGCCCCAAATCAACACGAGATGAGGCCCGATTCCCCTGCATTGACTCCAGAGCCATTCCCCGTTCCCCATTCAACACGACCGGTGGCTCGACTTCCTTCAGGCAACTCCAGAGATGCCCCGAGAACACTGTCCCAAGTCTAGAGGAACACCAACTTCAGCACAGCAACTCGAGGAATGCTCCGTGTACCCCAAATCGTCTCGAGATGCGAGCTGATTCCCTGGCTTAGGCTCAAGACGTATGCCAACTTCCCAGAAGCACCTCAGGAGGAGGCTTCTCTCAGCAATAGGTATGTGGGAGGGACCCCGAGTTTGCTGCCTCAAGGGGAATATACAGCGAGAAGCCCTAACTTGAAAGGAGGCCGGATTTCCTAGCAGTGGCTTGAATACAGGCTCGTCTTTCATCTCACAACATGAAGGGATGTCTGAATCCCCTGTGGAGACCTTAGAGAAAGCCCTAGGTCCCTGCTTCATTTTGACGGAATGACTCTCATCCCGCTGACACCTCGAGAGGCACGCGGAGTTCATTGCAAAAGGTGACGATGCCTGACTCCTCTTGAATACTGATAGGAATCCCAAAATCCCTGTGGCTACTGGAAAGGGTCCTTGGGTGCCCTGCCTCACCTCGAGAAGCGTCCCTTTTGCCCTGCCAAGCCTCGAAGAGATTCCTGAGGTGTCCCTCGTTACTAGACAGGAGTCCTGACGTCACTGAAGAAACTCGTGTTTTGAAGGGCCATCCCCGCCGTAAGTCGAGAACATACCCCAGGTCCCCGCCGCAACTCGAGAAAAACCATGAGACTTCCCCCTAGAGGCGAGATGAGGCCCCATTCCCCTGCAGTGCATGCAGAGCTATTCCGTGATCCCATTCAAACAAGTCAGGAGCTTCGACTTGCTTAATGGATCTCGAGACAGTCCCCAAGAACACTGTCACCAGTCTAGACGGACCCTGAGGTCACCCCAGCAACGCAAAGCAGCTCCATGTGCCCCAAATCAACTCGAGATGAGGCCCGGTTCCCCTGCATTGACTCCAGAGCCATTCCCCGTTCCCCGTTCAACACGAACGGAGGCTCGCCTTCCTTCAGGCATCTCCAGAGATGCCCCGAGAACACTGTCCCAAGTCTAGAGGAACACCAACTTCAGCACAGCAACTCGAGGAATGCTCTGTGTACCCCAAATCATCTCGAGATGAGAGCTGATTCCCTGGCTTAGGCTCAAGACGTATGCCAACTTTCCAGAAGCACCTCAGGAGGAGGCTTCTCTCAGCAATAGGTATGTGGGAGGGACCCCGAGTTTCCTGCCTCAAGGGGAATGCAGAGGGAGAATACCTAATGTGAACGGAGGCCAGATTTCCTTGCAGTGGCTTGAATATAGGCTCGTCTTTGATCTGACAACATGAAGGGATGTATGAATCCCCTGTGGAGTCCTTAGAAGAAGCCCTAGATCCCTGCCTCATTTTGACGGAATACCTCACATCCCCCTGACACTTCGAGAGGCACGCAGAGTTCATTGCTTGAAAAGATGACGATGCCTGACTCCTCTTGAATACTTATAGGAATCCCAAAATCCCTGTGGCTACTGGAAAGGGTCCTTGGGTGCCCTGGCTCACCTCGAGAGGCGTCCCTTTTGCCCTGCCAAGCCTCGAAGAGATTGCTGAGGTGTCCCTCATTACTAGACAGGAGTCCTGACGTCACTGAAGAAACTCGTGTTTTGAAGGGCCATCCCCGCCAAAAGTCGAGAACATACCCCAGGTCCCAACCGCAACTCGAGGAAAACTATGAGACTTCCCCCTAGAGGCGAGATGAGGCCCCATTCCCTTGCAGTGCATGCAGAGCTATTCCGTGATCCCATTCAAACAAGTCAGGAGCTTCGACTTGCTTAATGGATCTCGAGACAGTCCCCAAGAACACTGTCACCAGTCTAGACGGACCCTGAGGTCACCCAGCAATGCAAAGCAGATCCATGTGCCCCAAATCAACTCGAGATGAGGCCAGATTCCCCTGCATTGACTCCAGAGCCATTCCCTGTTCCCCATTCAACACGACCTGTGGCTCGACTTCCTTCAGGCAACTCCAGAGATGCCCCGAGAACACTGTCCCAACTCTAGAGGACCACCAACTTCAGCACAGCAACTCGAGGAATGCTCTGTGTACCCCAAATCGCCTCGAGATGAGAGCTGATTCCCTGGCTTAGGCTCAAGACGTATGCCAACTTTCCAGAAGCACCTCAGGAGTAGACTTCTCTCAGCAATAGGTATGTGGGAGGGACCCCGAGTTTGCTGCCTCAAAGGGAATATACAGCGAGAAGCCCTAACTTGAAAGGAGCCCGGATTTCCTTGCAGTGGCTTGAATACAGGCTCGTCTTTCATCTCACAACATGAAGGGATGTCTGAATCCCCTGTGGAGACCTTAGAGGAAGCCCTAGGTCCCTGCCTCATTTTGACGGAATCCTCACATCCCGCTGACACCTCGAGAGGCACGCGGAGTTCATTGCTTCAAAAGGTGACGATGCCTGACTCCTCTTGAATACTTATAGGAATCCCAAAATCCCTGTGGCTACTGGAAATGGTCCTTGGGTGCCCTGGCTCACCTCGGGAAGCGTCCCTTTTGCCCTGCCAAGCCTCGAAGAGATTTCTGAGGTGTCCCTCGTTACTAGACAGGAGTCCTGACGTCACTGAAGAAACTCGTGTTTTGAAGGGCCATCCCCGCCGTAAGTCGAGAACATACCCCAGGTCCCCACCGCAACTCGAGAAAAACCATGAGACTTCCCCCTAGAGGCGAGATGAGGCCCCATTCCCCTGCAGTGCATGCAGAGCTATTCCGTGATCCCATTCAAACAAGTCAGGAGCTTCGACTTGCTTAATGGATCTCGAGACAGTCCCCAAGATCACTGTCACCAGTCTAGACGGACCCTGAGGTCACCCAGCAATGCAAAGCAGCTCCTTGTGCCCCAAATCAACTCGAGATGAGACAGGATTCCCCTGCATTGACTCCAGAGCCATTCCCCGTTCCCCATTCAACACGACCGGTGGCTCGACTTCCTTCAGGCAACTCCAGAGATGCCCCGAGAACACTGTCCCAAGTCTAGAGGAACACCAACTTCAGCACAGCAACCCGAGGAATGCTCCGTGTACCCCAAATCATCTCGAGATGAGAGCTGATTCCCTGGCTTAGGCTCAAGACGTATGCCAACTTTCCAGAAGCACCTCAGGAGGAGGCTTCTCTCAGCAATAGGTATGTGGGAGGGACCCCGAGTTTGCTGCCTCAAGGGGAATACACAGGGAGAAGACCTAATGTGAAAGGAGGCCAGATTTCCTTGCAGTGGCTTGAATACAGGCTCGTCTTTGATCTCACAACATGAAGGTATGTCTGAATCCCCTGTGGAGACATTAGAGGAAGCCCTAGGTCCCTGCCTCATTTTGACGGAATACCTCACATCCCCCTGACACCTCGAGAGGCACGCGGAGTTCATTGCTTCAAAAGGTGACGATGCCTGACTCCTCTTGAATACTTATAGGAATCCCAAAATCCCTGTGGCTACTGGAAAGGGTCCTTGGGTGCCCTGGCTCACCTCGAGAAGCGTCCCATTTGCCCTGCCATGCCTCGAAGAGATTATGAGGTGTCCCTCATTACTAGACAGGAGTCCTGACGTCACTGAAGAAACTCGTGTTTTGAAGGGCCATCCCCGCCGTAAGTCGAGAACATACCCCAGGTCCCCGCCGCAACTCGAGAAAAACCATGAGACTTCCCCCTAGAGGGGAGATGAGGCCCCATTCCCCTGCAGTGCATGCAGCGCTATTCCGTGATCCCATTCAAACAAGTCAGGAGCTTCGACTTGCTTAATGGATCTCGAGACAGTCCCCAAGAACACTGTCACCAGTCTAGACGGACCCTGAGGTCACCCCAGCAACGCAAAGCAGCTCCATGTGCCCCAAATCAACTCGAGATGAGGCCGGATTCCCCTGCATTGACTCCAGAGCCATTCCCCGTTCCCCATTCAACACGACCGGTGGCTCGACTTCCTTCAGGCAACTCCAGAGATGCCCAGAGAACACTTCCCAAGTCTAGAGGAACACCAACTTCAGCACAGCAACTCGAGGAATGCTCCGTGTACCCCAAATCACCTCGAGATGAGAACTGATTCTCTGGCTTAGGGTCAAGACGTATGCCAACTTTCCAGAAGCACCTCAGGAGGAGGCTTCTCTCAGCAATAGGTATGTGGGAGGGACCCCGAGTTTCCTGCCTCAAGGGGAATACACAGGGAGAATACCTAATGTGAACGGAGGCCAGATTTCCTTGCAGTGGCTTGAATATAGGCTCGTCTTTGATCTGACAACATGAAGGGGTGTCTGAATCCCCTGTGGAGTCCTTAGAAGAAGCCCTAGGTCCCTGCCTCATTTTGACGGAATACCTCACATCCCCCTGACACCTCGAGAGGCACGCAGAGTTCATTGCTTCAAAAGGTGACGATGCCTGACTCCTCTTGAATACTTATAGGAATCCCAAAATCCCTGTGGCTACTCTAAAGGGTCCTTGGGTGCCCTGGCTCACCTCGAGAGGCGTCCCTTTTGCCCTGCCAAGCCTCGAAGAGATTGCTGAGGTGTCCCTCATTACTAGACAGGAGTCCTGACGTCACTGAAGAAACTCGTGTTTTGAAGGGCCATCCCCGCCGTAAGTCGAGAACATACCCCAGGTCCCAGCCGCAACTCGAGGAAAACAATGAGTCTTCCCCCTAGAGGCGAGATGAGGCCCCATTCCCCTGCAGTGCATGCAGAGCTATTCCGTGATCCCATTCAAACAAGTCAGGAGCTGCGACTTGCTTAATGGATCTCGAGAGAGTCCCCAAGAACACTCTCACCAGTCTAGACGGACCCTGAGGTCACCCCAGCAACGCAAAGCAGGTCCATGTGCCCCAAATCAACTCGAGATGAGGCCCGATTCCCCTGCATTGACTCCAGAGCCATTCCCCGTTCCCCGTTCAACACGAACGGTGGCTCGCCTTCCTTCAGGCAACTCCAGAGATGCCCCGAGAACACTGTCCCAAGTCTAGAGGAACACCAACTTCACACAGCAACTCGAGGAATGTTCCGTGTACCACAAATCATCTCGAGATGAGAGCTGATTCCCTGGCTTAGGCTCAAGACGTATGCCAACTTTCCAGAAGCACCTCAGGAGGAGGTTTCTCTCAGCAATAGGTATGTGGGAGGGACCCCGAGTTTGCTGCCTCAAGGGGAATATACAGCGAGAAGCCCTAACTTGAAAGGAGGCCGGATTTCCTTGCAGTGGCTTGAATACAGGCTCGTCTTTCATCTCACAACATGAAGGGATGTCTGAATCCCCTGTGGAGACCTTAGAGAAAGGCCTAGGTCCCTGCCTCATTTTGACGGAATGCCTCACATCCCGCTGACACCTCGAGAGGCACGCGGAGTTCATTGCTTCAAAAGGTGACGATGCCTGACTCCTCTTGAATACTGACAGGAATCCCAAAATCCCTGTGGCTACTGGAAAGGGTCCTTGGGTGCCCTGCCTCACCTCGAGAAGCGTCCCTTTTGCCCTGCCAAGCCTCGAAGAGATTCCTGAGGTGTCCCTCGTTACTAGACAGGAGTCCTGACGTCACTGAAGAAACTCGAGTTTTGAAGGGCCATCCCCGCCGTAAGTCGAGAACATACCCCAGGTCCCCGCCGCAACTCGAGAAAAACCATGAGACTTCCCCCTAGAGGCGAGATGAGGCCCCATTCCCCTGCAGTGCATGCAGAGCTATTCCGTGATCCCATTCAAACAAGTCAGGAGCTTCGACTTGCTTAATGGATCTCGAGACAGTCCCCAAGAACACTGTCACCAGTCTAGACGGACCCTGAGGTCACCCCAGCAACGCAAAGCAGCTCCATGTGCCCCAAATCAACTCGAGATGAGGCCCGATTCCCCTGCATTGACTCCAGAGCCATTCCCCGTTCCCCATTCAACACGACCTGTGGCTCGACTTCCTTCAGGCAACTCCAGAGATGCCCCGAGAACACTGTCCCAAGTCTAGAGGAACACCAACTTCAGCACAGCAACTCGAGGAATGCTCCGTGTACCACAAATCGTCTCGAGATGCGAGCTGATTCCCTGGCTTAGGCTCAAGACGTATGCCAACTTCCCAGAAGCACCTCAGGAGGAGGCTTCTCTCAGCAATAGGTATGTGGGAGGGACCCCGAGTTTGCTGCCTCAAGGGGAATATACAGCGAGAAGCCCTAACTTGAAAGGAGGCCGGATTTCCTAGCAGTGGCTTGAATACAGGCTCGTCTTTCATCTCACAACATGAAGGGATGTCTGAATCCCCTGTGGAGACCTTAGAGAAAGCCCTAGGTCCCTGCCTCATTTTGACGGAATGCCTCACATCCCGCTGACACCTCGAGAGGCACGCGGAGTTCATTGCTTCAAAAGGTGACGATGCCTGACTCCTCTTGAATACTGATAGGAATCCCAAAATCCCTGTGGCTACTGGAAAGGGTCCTTGGGTGCCCTGCCTCACCTCGAGAAGCGTCCCTTTTACCCTGCCAAGCCTCGAAGAGATTCCTGAGGTGTCCCTCGTTACTAGACAGGAGTCCTGACGTCACTGAAGAAACTCGTGTTTTGAAGGGCCATCCCCGCCGTAAGTCGAGAACATACCCCAGGTCCCCGCCGCAACTCGAGAAAAACCATGAGACTTCCCCCTAGAGGCGAGATGAGGCCCCATTCCCCTGCAGTGCATGCAGAGCTATTCCGTGATCCCATTCAAACAAGTCAGGAGCTTCGACTTGCTTAATGGATCTCGAGACAGTCCCCAAGAACACTGTCACCAGTCTAGACGGACCCTGAGGTCACCCCAGGAACGCAAAGCAGCTCCATGTGCCCCAAATCAACTCGAGATGAGCCCCGATTCCCCTGCATTGACTCCAGAGCCATTCCCCGTTCCCCATTCAACACGACCGGTGGCTCGACTTCCTTCAGGCAACTCCAGAGATGCCCCGAGAACACTGTCCCAAGTCTAGAGGAACACCAACTTCAGCACAGCAACTCGAGGAATGCTCCGAGTACCCCAAATCATCTCGAGATGCGAGCTGATTCCCTGGCTTAGGCTCAAGACGTATGCCAACTTCCCAGAAGCACCTCAGGAGGAGGCTTCTCTTAGCAATAGGTATGTGGGAGGGACCCCGAGTTTGCTGCCTCAAGGGGAATATACAGCGAGAAGCCCTAACTTGAAAGGAGGCCGGATTTCCTTGCAGTGGCTTGAATACAGGCTCGTCTTTCATCTCACAACATGAAGGGATGTCTGAATCCCCTGTGGAGACCTTAGAGAAAGCCCTAGGTCCCTGCCTCATTTTGACGGAATGCCTCACATCCCGCTGACACCTCGAGAGGCACGCGGAGTTCATTGCTTCAAAAGGTGACCATGCCTGACTCCTCTTGAATACTGATAGGAATCCCAAAATCCCTGTGGCTACTGGAAAGGGTCCTTGGGTGCCCTGCCTCACCTCGAGAAGCGTCCCTTTTGCCCTGCCAAGCCTCGAAGAGATTCCTGAGGTGTCCCTCGTTACTAGACAGGAGTCCTGACGTCACTGAAGAAACTCGTGTTTTGAAGGGCCATCCCCGCCGTAAGTCGAGAACATACCCCAGGTCCCCGCCGCAACTCGAGAAAAACCATGAGACTTCCCCCTAGAGGCGAGATGAGGCCCCATTCCCCTGCAGTGCATGCAGAGCTATTCCGTGATCCCATTCAAACAAGTCAGGAGCTTCGACGTGCTTAATGGATCTCGAGACAGTCCCCGAGAACACTGTCACCAGTCTAGACGGACCCTGAGGTCACCCCAGCAACGCAAAGCAGCTCCATGTGCCCCAAATCAACTCGAGATGAGGCCCGATTCCCCTGCATTGACTCCAGAGCCATTCCCCGTTCCCCATTCAACACGACCGGTGGCTCGACTTCCTTCAGGCAACTCCAGAGATGCCCCGAGAACACTGTCCCAAGTCTAGAGGAACACCAACTTCAGCACAGCAACTCGAGGAATGCTCCGTGTACCCCAAATCGTCTCGAGATGAGAGCTGATTCCCAGGCTTAGGCTCAAGACGTATGCCAACTTCCCAGAAGCACCTCAGGAGGAGGCTTCTCTCAGCAATAGGTATGTGGGAGGGACCCCGAGTTTGCTGCCTCAAGGGGAATATACAGCGAGAAGCCCTAACTTGAAAGGAGGCCGGATTTCCTTGCAGTGGCTTGAATACAGGCTCGTCTTTCATCTCACAACATGAAGGGATGTCTGAATCCCCTGTGGAGACCTTAGAGAAAGCCCTAGGTCCCTGCCTCATTTTGACGGAATGCCTCACATCCCGCTGACACCTCGAGAGGCACGCGGAGTTCATTGCTTCAAAAGGTGACGATGCCTGACTCCTCTTGAATACTGATAGGAATCCCAAAATCCCTGTGGCTACTGGAAAGGGTCCTTGGGTGCCCTGCCTCACCTCGAGAAGCGTCCCTTTTGCCCTGCCAAGCCTCGAAGAGATTCCTGAGGTGTCCCTCGTTACTAGACAGGAGTCCTGACGTCACTGAAGAAACTCGTGTTTTGAAGGGCCATCCCCGCCGTAAGTCGAGAACATACCCCAGGTCCCCGCCGCAACTCGAGAAAAACCATGAGACTTCCCCCTAGAGGCGAGATGAGGCCCCATTCCCCTGCAGTGCATGCAGAGCTATTCCGTGATCCCATTCAAACAAGTCAGGAGCTTCGACTTGCTTAATGGATCTCGAGACAGTCCCCAAGAACACTGTCACCAGTCTAGACGGACCCTGAGGTCACCCCAGCAACGCAAAGCAGCTCCATGTGCCCCAAATCAACTCGAGATGAGGCCCGATTCCCCTGCATTGACTCCAGAGCCATTCCCCGTTCCCCATTCAACACGACCGGTGGCTCGACTTCCTTCAGGCAACTCCAGAGATGCCCCGAGAACACTGTCCCAAGTCTAGAGGAACACCAACTTCAGCACAGCAACTCGAGGAATGCTCCGTGTACCCCAAATCGTCTCGAGATGAGAGCTGATTCCCAGGCTTAGGCTCAAGACGTATGCCAACTTCCCAGAAGCACCTCAGGAGGAGGCTTCTCTCAGCAATAGGTATGTGGGAGGGACCCCGAGTTTGCTGCCTCAAGGGGAATATACAGCGAGAAGCCCTAACTTGAAAGGAGGCCGGATTTCCTTGCAGTGGCTTGAATACAGGCTCGTCTTTCATCTCACAACATGAAGGGATGTCTGAATCCCCTGTGGAGACCTTAGAGAAAGCCCTAGGTCCCTGCCTCATTTTGACGGAATGCCTCACATCCCGCTGACACCTCGAGAGGCACGCGGAGTTCATTGCTTCAAAAGGTGACGATGCCTGATTCCTCTTGAATACTGATAGGAATCCCAAAATCCCTGTGGCTACTGGAAAGGGTCCTTGGGTGCCCTGCCTCACCTCGAGAAGCGTCCCTTTTGCCCTGCCAAGCCTCGAAGAGATTCCTGAGGTGTCCCTCGTTACTAGACAGGAGTCCTGACATCACTGAAGAAACTCGAGTTTTGAAGGGCCATCCCCGCCGTAAGTCGAGAACATACCCTAGGTCCCCGCCGCAACTCGAGAAAAACCATGAGACTTCCCCCTAGAGGCGAGATGAGGCCCCATTCCCCTGCAGTGCATGCAGAGCTATTCCGTGATCCCATTCAAACAAGTCAGGAGCTTCGACTTGCTTAATGGATCTCGAGACAGTCCCCAAGAACACTGTCACCAGTCTAGACGGACCCTGAGGTCACCCCAGCAACGCAAAGCAGCTCCATGTGCCCCAAATCAACTCGAGATGAGGCCCGATTCCCCTGCATTGACTCCAGAGCCATTCCCCGTTCCCCATTCAACACGACCGGTGGCTCGACTTCCTTCAGGCAACTCCAGAGATGCCCCGAGAACACTGTCCCAAGTCTAGAGGAACACCAACTTCAGCACAGCAACTCGAGGAATGCTCCGTGTACCCCAAATCGTCTCGAGATGAGAGCTGATTCCCTGGCTTAGGCTCAAGACGTATGCCAACTTCCCAGAAGCACCTCAGGAGGAGGCTTCTCTCAGCAATAGGTATGTGGGAGGGACCCCGAGTTTGCTGCCTCAAGGGGAATATACAGCGAGAAGCCCTAACTTGAAAGGAGGCCGGATTTCCTTGCAGTGGCTTGAATACCGGCTCGTCTTTCATTTCACAACATGAAGGGATGTCTGAATCCCCTGTGGAGACCTTAGAGAAAGCCCTAGGTCCCTGCCTCATTTTGACGGAATGCCTCACATCCCGCTGACACCTCGAGAGGCACGCGGAGTTCATTGCTTCAAAAGGTGACGATGCCTGACTCCTCTTGAATACTGATAGGAATCCCAAAATCCCTGTGGCTACTGGAAAGGGTCCTTGGGTGCCCTGCCTCACCTCGAGAAGCGTCCCTTTTGCCCTGCCAAGCCTCGAAGAGATTCCTGAGGTGTCCCTCGTTACTAGACAGGAGTCCTGACGTCACTGAAGAAACTCGTGTTTTGAAGGGCCATCCCCGCCGTAAGTCGAGAACATACCCCAGGTCCCCGCCGCAACTCGAGAAAAACCATGAGACTTCCCCCTAGAGGCGAGATGAGGCCCCATTCCCCTGCAGTGCATGCAGAGCTATTCCGTGATCCCATTCAAACAAGTCAGGAGCTTCGACTTGCTTAATGGATCTCGAGACAGTCCCCAAGAACACTGTCACCAGTCTAGACGGACCCTGAGGTCACCCCAGCAACGCAAAGCAGCTCCATGTGCCCCAAATCAACTCGAGATGAGGCCCGATTCCCCTGCATTGACTCCAGAGCCATTCCCCGTTCCCCATTCAACACGACCGGTGGCTCGACTTCCTTCAGGCAACTCCAGAGATGCCCCGAGAACACTGTTCCAAGTCTAGAGGAACACCAACTTCAGCACAGCAACTCGAGGAATGCTCCGTGTACCCCAAATCGTCTCGAGATGCGAGCTGATTCCCTGGCTTAGGCTCAAGACGTATGCCAACTTCCCAGAAGCACCTCAGGAGGAGGCTTCTCTCAGCAATAGGTATGTGGGAGGGACCCCGAGTTTGCTGCCTCAAGGGGAATATACAGCGAGAAGCCCTAACTTGAAAGGAGGCCGGATTTCCTTGCAGTGGCTTGAATACAGGCTCGTCTTTCATCTCACAACATGAAGGGATGTCTGAATCCCCTGTGGAGACCTTAGAGAAAGCCCTAGGTCCCTGCCTCATTTTGACGGAATGCCTCACATCCCGCTGACACCTCGAGAGGCACGCGGAGTTCATTGCTTCAAAAGGTGACGATGCCTGACTCCTCTTGAATACTGACAGGAATCCCAATATCCCTGTGGCTACTGGAAAGGGTCCTTGGGTGCCCTGCCTCACCTCGAGAAGCGTCCCTTTTGCCCTGCCAAGCCTCGAAGAGATTCCTGAGGTGTCCCTCGTTACTAGACAGGAGTCCTGACGTCACTGAAGAAACTCGAGTTTTGAAGGGCCATCCCCGCCGTAAGTCGAGAACATACCCCAGGTCCCCGCCGCAACTCGAGAAAAACCATGAGACTTCCCCCTAGAGGCGAGATGAGGCCCCATTCCCCTGCAGTGCATGCAGAGCTATTCCGTGATCCCATTCAAACAAGTCAGGAGCTTCGACTTGCTTAATGGATCTCGAGACAGTCCCCAAGAACACTGTCACCAGTCTAGACGGACCCTGAGGTCACCCCAGCAACGCAAAGCAGCTCCATGTGCCCCAAATCAACACGAGATGAGGCCCGATTCCCCTGCATTGACTCCAGAGCCATTCCCCGTTCCCCATTCAACACGACCGGTGGCTCGACTTCCTTCAGGCAACTCCAGAGATGCCCCGAGAACACTGTCCCAAGTCTAGAGGAACACCAACTTCAGCACAGCAACTCGAGGAATGCTCCGTGTACCCCAAATCGTCTCGAGATGCGAGCTGATTCCCTGGCTTAGGCTCAAGACGTATGCCAACTTCCCAGAAGCACCTCAGGAGGAGGCTTCTCTCAGCAATAGGTATGTGGGAGGGACCCCGAGTTTGCTGCCTCAAGGGGAATATACAGCGAGAAGCCCTAACTTGAAAGGAGGCCGGATTTCCTAGCAGTGGCTTGAATACAGGCTCGTCTTTCATCTCACAACATGAAGGGATGTCTGAATCCCCTGTGGAGACCTTAGAGAAAGCCCTAGGTCCCTGCTTCATTTTGACGGAATGACTCTCATCCCGCTGACACCTCGAGAGGCACGCGGAGTTCATTGCAAAAGGTGACGATGCCTGACTCCTCTTGAATACTGATAGGAATCCCAAAATCCCTGTGGCTACTGGAAAGGGTCCTTGGGTGCCCTGCCTCACCTCGAGAAGCGTCCCTTTTGCCCTGCCAAGCCTCGAAGAGATTCCTGAGGTGTCCCTCGTTACTAGACAGGAGTCCTGACGTCACTGAAGAAACTCGTGTTTTGAAGGGCCATCCCCGCCGTAAGTCGAGAACATACCCCAGGTCCCCGCCGCAACTCGAGAAAAACCATGAGACTTCCCCCTAGAGGCGAGATGAGGCCCCATTCCCCTGCAGTGCATGCAGAGCTATTCCGTGATCCCATTCAAACAAGTCAGGAGCTTCGACTTGCTTAATGGATCTCGAGACAGTCCCCAAGAACACTGTCACCAGTCTAGACGGACCCTGAGGTCACCCCAGCAACGCAAAGCAGCTCCATGTGCCCCAAATCAACTCGAAATGAGGCCCGATTCCCCTGAATTGACTCCAGAGCCATTCCCCGTTCCCCATTCAACACGACCGGTGGCTCGACTTCCTTCAGGCAACTCCAGAGATGCCCCGAGAACACTGTCCCAAGTCTAGAGGAACACCAACTTCAGCACAGCTACTCGAGGAATGCTCCGTGTACCCCAAATCGTCTCGAGATGCGAGCTGATTCCCTGGCTTAGGCTCAAGACGTATGCCAACTTCCCAGAAGCACCTCAGGAGGAGGCTTCTCTCAGCAATAGGTATGTGGGAGGGACCCCGAGTTTGCTGCCTCAAGGGGAATATACAGCGAGAAGCCCTAACTTGAAAGGAGGCCGGATTCCCTTGCAGTGGCTTGAATACAGGCTCGTCTTTCATCTCACAACATGAAGGGATGTCTGAATCCCCTGTGGAGACCTTAGAGAAAGCCCTAGGTCCCTGCCTCATTTTGACGGAATGCCTCACATCCCGCTGACACCTCGAGAGGCACGCGGAGTTCATTGCTTCAAAAGGTGACGATGCCTGACTCCTCTTGAATACTGATAGGAATCCCAAAATCCCTGTGGCTACTGGAAAGGGTCCTTGGGTGCCCTGCCTCACCTCGAGAAGCGTCCCTTTTGCCCTGCCAAGCCTCGAAGAGATTCCTGAGGTGTCCCTCGTTACTAGACAGGAGTCCTGACGTCACTGAAGAAACTCGTGTTTTGAAGGGCCATCCCCGCCGTAAGTCGAGAACATACCCCAGGTCCCCGCCGCAACTCAAGAAAAACCATGAGACTTCCCCCTAGAGGCGAGATGAGGCCCCATTCCCCTGCAGTGCATGCAGAGCTATTCCGTGATCCCATTCAAACAAGTCAGGAGCTTCGACTTGCTTAATGGATCTCGAGACAGTCCCCAAGAACACTGTCACCAGTCTAGACGGACCCTGAGGTCACCCCAGCAACGCAAAGCAGCTCCATGTGCCCCAAATCAACTCGAGATGAGCCCCGATTCCCCTGCATTGACACCAGAGCCATTCCCCGTTCCCCATTCAACACGACCGGTGGATCGACTTCATTCAGGCAACTCCAGAGATGCCCCGAGAACACTGTCCCAAGTCTAGAGGAACACCAACTTCAGCACAGCAGCTCGAGGAATGCTCCGTGTACCCCAAATCATCTCGAGATGCGAGCTGATTCCCTGGCTTAGGCTCAAGACGTATGCCAACTTCCCAGAAGCACCTCAGGAGGAGGCTTCTCTCAGCAATAGGTATGTGGGAGGGACCCCGAGTTTGCTGCCTCAAGGGGAATATACAGCGAGAAGCCCTAACTTGAAAGGAGGCCGGATTTCCTTGCAGTGGCTTGAATACAGGCTCGTCTTTCATCTCACAACATGAAGGGATGTCTGAATCCCCTGTGGAGACCTTAGAGAAAGCCCTAGGTCCCTGCCTCATTTTGACGGAATGCCTCACATCCCGCTGACACCTCGAGAGGCACGCGGAGTTCATTGCTTCAAAAGGTGACGATGCCTGACTCCTCTTGAATACTGATAGGAATCCCAAAATCCCTGTGGCTACTGGAAAGGGTCCTTGGGTGCCCTGCCTCACCTCGAGAAGCGTCCCTTTTGCCCTGCCAAGCCTCGAAGAGATTCCTGAGGTGTCCCTCGTTACTAGACAGGAGTCCTGACGTCACTGAAGAAACTCGTGTTTTGAAGGGCCATCCCCGCCGTAAGTCGAGAACATACCCCAGGTCCCCGCCGCAACTCGAGAAAAACCATGAGACTTCCCCCTAGAGGCGAGATGAGGCCCCATTCCCCTGCAGTGCATGCAGAGCTATTCCGTGATCCCATTCAAACAAGTCAGGAGCTTCGACTTGCTTAATGGATCTCGAGACAGTCCCCAAGAACACTGTCACCAGTCTAGACGGACCCTGAGGTCACCCCAGCAACGCAAAGCAGCTCCATGTGCCCCAAATCAACTCGAGATGAGGCCCGATTCCCCTGCATTGACTCCAGAGCCATTCCCCGTTCCCCATTCAACACGACCGGTGGATCGACTTCATTCAGGCAACTCCAGAGATGCCCCGAGAACACTGTCCCAAGTCTAGAGGAACACCAACTTCAGCACAGCAGCTCGAGGAATGCTCCGTGTACACCAAATCATCTCGAGATGCGAGCTGATTCCCTGGCTTAGGCTCAAGACGTATGCCAACTTCCCAGAAGCACCTCAGGAGGAGGCTTCTCTCAGCAATAGGTATGTGGGAGGGACCCCGAGTTTGCTGCCTCAAGGGGAATATACAGCGAGAAGCCCTAACTTGAAAGGAGGCCGGATTTCCTTGCAGTGGCTTGAATACAGGCTCGTCTTTCATCTCACAACATGAAGGGATGTCTGAATCCCCTGTGGAGACCTTAGAGAAAGCCCTAGGTCCCTGCCTCATTTTGACGGAATGCCTCACATCCCGCTGACACCTCGAGAGGCACGCGGAGTTCATTGCTTCAAAAGGTGACGATGCCTGACTCCTCTTGAATACTGATAGGAATCCCAAAATCCCTGTGGCTACTGGAAAGGGTCCTTGGGTGCCCTGCCTCACCTCGAGAAGCGTCCCTTTTGCCCTGCCAAGCCTCGAAGAGATTCCTGAGGTGTCCCTCGTTACTAGACAGGAGTCCTGACGTCACTGAAGAAACTCGTGTTTTGAAGGGCCATCCCCGCCGTAAGTCGAGAACATACCCCAGGTCCCCGCCGCAACTCGAGAAAAACCATGAGACTTCCCCCTAGAGGCGAGATGAGGCCCCATTCCCCTGCAGTGCATGCAGAGCTATTCCGTGATCCCATTCAAACAAGTCAGGAGCTTCGACTTGCTTAATGGATCTCGAGACAGTCCCCAAGAACACTGTCACCAGTCTAGACGGACCCTGAGGTCACCCCAGCAACGCAAAGCAGCTCCATGTGCCCCAAATCAACTCGAGATGAGGCCCGATTCCCCTGCATTGACACCAGAGCCATTCCCCGTTCCCCATTCAACACGACCGGTGGCTCAACTTCATTCAGGCAACTCCAGAGATGCCCCGAGAACACTGTCCCAAGTCTAGAGGAACACCAACTTCAGCACAGCAGCTCGAGGAATGCTCCGTGTACCCCAAATCGTCTCGAGATGCGAGCTGATTCCCTGGCTTAGGCTCAAGACGTATGCCAACTTCCCAGAAGCACCTCAGGAGGAGGCTTCTCTCAGCAATAGGTATGTGGGAGGGACCCCGAGTTTGCTGCCTCAAGGGGAATATACAGCGAGAAGCCCTAACTTGAAAGGAGGCCGGATTTCCTTGCAGTGGCTTGAATACAGGCTCGTCTTTCATCTCACAACATGAAGGGATGTCTGAATCCCCTGTGGAGACCTTAGAGAAAGCCCTAGGTCCCTGCCTCATTTTGACGGAATGCCTCACATCCCGCTGACACCTCGAGAGGCACGCGGAGTTCATTGCTTCAAAAGGTGACGATGCCTGACTCCTCTTGAATACTGATAGGAATCCCAAAATCCCTGTGGCTACTGGAAAGGGTCCTTGGGTGCCCTGCCTCACCTCGAGAAGCGTCCCTTTGGCCCTGCCAAGCCTCGAAGAGATTCCTGAGGTGTCCCTCGTTACTAGACAGGAGTCCTGACGTCACTGAAGAAACTCGTGTTTTGAAGGGCCATCCCCGCCGTAAGTCGAGAACATACCCCAGGTCCCCGCCGCAACTCGAGAAAAACCATGAGACTTCCCCCTAGAGGCGAGATGAGGCCCCATTCCCCTGCAGTGCATGCAGAGCTATTCCGTGATCCCATTCAAACAAGTCAGGAGCTTCGACTTGCTTAATGGATCTCGAGACAGTCCCCAAGAACACTGTCACCAGTCTAGACGGACCCTGAGGTCACCCCAGCAACGCAAAGCAGCTCCATGTGCCCCAAATCAACTCGAGATGAGGCCCGATTCCCCTGCATTGACTCCAGAGCCATTCCCCGTTCCCCATTCAACACGACCGGTGGCTCGACTTCCTTCAGGCAACTCCAGAGATGCCCCGAGAACACTGTCCCAAGTCTAGAGGAACACCAACTTCAGCACAGCAACTCGAGGAATGCTCCGTGTACCCCAAATCGTCTCGAGATGAGAGCTGATTCCCTGGCTTAGGCTCAAGACGTATGCCAACTTCCCAGAAGCACCTCAGGAGGAGGCTTCTCTCAGCAATAGGTATGTGGGAGGGACCCCGAGTTTGCTGCCTCAAGGGGAATATACAGCGAGAAGCCCTAACTTGAAAGGAGGCCGGATTTCCTTGCAGTGGCTTGAATACAGGCTCGTCTTTCATCTCACAACATGAAGGGATGTCTGAATCCCCTGTGGAGACCTTAGAGAAAGCCCTAGGTCCCTGCCTCATTTTGACGGAATGCCTCACATCCCGCTGACACCTCGAGAGGCACGCGGAGTTCATTGCTTCAAAAGGTGACGATGCCTGATTCCTCTTGAATACTGATAGGAATCCCAAAATCCCTGTGGCTACTGGAAAGGGTCCTTGGGTGCCCTGCCTCACCTCGAGAAGCGTCCCTTTGGCCCTGCCAAGCCTCGAAGAGATTCCTGAGGTGTCCCTCGTTACTAGACAGGAGTCCTGACGTCACTGAAGAAACTCGAGTTTTGAAGGGCCATCCCCGCCGTAAGTCGAGAACATACCCCAGGTCCCCACCGCAACTCGAGAAAAACCATGAGACTTCCCCCTAGAGGCGAGATGAGGCCCCATTCCCCTGCAGTGCATGCAGAGCTATTCCGTGATCCCATTCAAACAAGTCAGGAGCTTCGACTTGCTTAATGGATCTCGAGACAGTCCCCAAGAACACTGTCACCAGTCTAGACGGACCCTGAGGTCACCCCAGCAACGCAAAGCAGCTCCATGTGCCCCAAATCAACTCGAGATGAGGCCCGATTCCCCTGCATTGACTCCAGAGCCATTCCCCGTTCCCCATTCAACACGACCGGTGGCTCGACTTCCTTCAGGCAACTCCAGAGATGCCCCGAGAACACTGTCCCAAGTCTAGAGGAACACCAACTTCAGCACAGCAACTCGAGGAATGCTCCGTGTACCCCAAATCGTCTCGAGATGAGAGCTGATTCCCTGGCTTAGGCTCAAGACGTATGCCAACTTCCCAGAAGCACCTCAGGAGGAGGCTTCTCTCAGCAATAGGTATGTGGGAGGGACCCCGAGTTTGCTGCCTCAAGGGGAATATACAGCGAGAAGCCCTAACTTGAAAGGAGGCCGGATTTCCTTGCAGTGGCTTGAATACAGGCTCGTCTTTCATCTCACAACATGAAGGGATGTCTGAATCCCCTGTGGAGACCTTAGAGAAAGCCCTAGGTCCCTGCCTCATTTTGACGGAATGCCTCACATCCCGCTGACACCTCGAGAGGCACGCGGAGTTCATTGCTTCTAAAGGTGACGATGCCTGATTCCTCTTGAATACTGATAGGAATCCCAAAATCCCTGTGGCTACTGGAAAGGGTCCTTGGGTGCCCTGCCTCACCTCGAGAAGCGTCCCTTTTGCCCTGCCAAGCCTCGAAGAGATTCCTGAGGTGTCCCTCGTTACTAGACAGGAGTCCTGACGTCACTGAAGAAACTCGAGTTTTGAAGGGCCATCCCCGCCGTAAGTCGAGAACATACCCCAGGTCCCCGCCGCAACTCGAGAAAAACCATGAGACTTCCCCCTAGAGGCGAGATGAGGCCCCATTCCCCTGCAGTGCATGCAGAGCTATTCCGTGATCCCATTCAAACAAGTCAGGAGCTTCTACTTGCTTAATGGATCTCGAGACAGTCCCCAAGAACACTGTCACCAGTCTAGACGGACCCTGAGGTCACCCCAGCAACGCAAAGCAGCTCCATGTGCCCCAAATCAACTCGAGATGAGGCCCGATTCCCCTGCATTGACTCCAGAGTCATTCCCCGTTCCCCATTCAACACGACCGGTGGCTCGACTTCCTTCAGGCAACTCCAGAGATGCCCCGATAACACTGTCCCAAGTCTAGAGGAACACCAACTTCAGCACAGCAACTCGAGGAATGCTCCGTCTACCCCAAATCGTCTCGAGATGCGAGCTGATTCCCTGGCTTAGGCTCAAGAGGTATGCCAACTTCCCAGAAGCACCTCAGGAGGAGGCTTCTCTCAGCAATAGGTATGTGGGAGGGACCCCGAGTTTGCTGCCTCAAGGGGAATATACAGCGAGAAGCCCTAACTTGAAAGGAGGCCGGATTTCCTTGCAGTGGCTTGAATACAGGCTCGTCTTTCATCTCACAACATGAAGGGATGTCTGAATCCCCTGTGGAGACCTTAGAGAAAGCCCTAGGTCCCTGCCTCATTTTGACGGAATGCCTCACATCCCGCTGACACCTCGAGAGGCACGCGGAGTTCATTGCTTCAAAAGGTGACGATGCCTGACTCCTCTTGAATACTGACAGGAATCCCAAAATCCCTGTGGCTACTGGAAAGGGTCCTTGGGTGCCCTGCCTCACCTCGAGAAGCGTCCCTTTTGCCCTGCCAAGCCTCGAAGAGATTCCTGAGGTGTCCCTCGTTACTAGACAGGAGTCCTGACGTCACTGAAGAAACTCGAGTTTTGAAGGGCCATCCCCGCCGTAAGTCGAGAACATACCCCAGGTCCCCGCCGCAACTCGAGAAAAACCATGAGACTTCCCCCTAGAGGCGAGATGAGGCCCCATTCCCCTGCAGTGCATGCAGAGCTATTCCGTGATCCCATTCAAACAAGTCAGGAGCTTCGACTTGCTTAATGGATCTCGAGACAGTCCCCAAGAACACTGTCACCAGTCTAGACGGACCCTGAGGTCACCCCAGCAACGCAAAGCAGCTCCATGTGCCCCAAATCAACACGAGATGAGGCCCGATTCCCCTGCATTGACTCCAGAGCCATTCCCCGTTCCCCATTCAACACGACCGGTGGCTCGACTTCCTTCAGGCAACTCCAGAGATGCCCCGAGAACACTGTCCCAAGTCTAGAGGAACACCAACTTCAGCACAGCAACTCGAGGAATGCTCCGTGTACCCCAAATCGTCTCGAGATGAGAGCTGATTCCCTGGCTTAGGCTCAAGACGTATGCCAACTTCCCAGAAGCACCTCAGGAGGAGGCTTCTCTCAGCAATAGGTATGTGGGAGGGACCCCGAGTTTGCTGCCTCAAGGGGAATATACAGCGAGAAGCCCTAACTTGAAAGGAGGCCGGATTTCCTTGCAGTGGCTTGAATACAGGCTCGTCTTTCATCTCACAACATGAAGGGATGTCTGAATCCCCTGTGGAGACCTTAGAGAAAGCCCTAGGTCCCTGCCTCATTTTGACGGAATGCCTCACATCCCGCTGACACCTCGAGAGGCACGCGGAGTTCATTGCTTCAAAAGGTGACGATGCCTGACTCCTCTTGAATACTGATAGGAATCCCAAAATCCCTGTGGCTACTGGAAAGGGTCCTTGGGTGCCCTGCCTCACCTCGAGAAGCGTCCCTTTGGCCCTGCCAAGCCTCGAAGAGATTCCTGAGGTGTCCCTCGTTACTAGACAGGAGTCCTGACGTCACTGAAGAAACTCGTGTTTTGAAGGGCCATCCCCGCCGTAAGTCGAGAACATACCCCAGGTCCCCGCCGCAACTCGAGAAAAACCATGAGACTTCCCCCTAGAGGCGAGATGAGGCCCCATTCCCCTGCAGTGCATGCAGAGCTATTCCGTGATCCCATTCAAACAAGTCAGGAGCTTCGACTTGCTTAATGGATCTCGAGACAGTCCCCAAGAACACTGTCACCAGTCTAGACGGACCCTGAGGTCACCCCAGCAACGCAAAGCAGCTCCATGTGCCCCAAATCAACTCGAGATGAGGCCCGATTCCCCTGCATTGACTCCAGAGCCATTCCCCGTTCCCCATTCAACACGACCGGTGGCTCGACTTCCTTCAGGCAACTCCAGAGATGCCCCGAGAACACTGTCCCAAGTCTAGAGGAACACCAACTTCAGCACAGCAACTCGAGGAATGCTCCGTGTACCCCAAATCGTCTCGAGATGCGAGCTGATTCCCTGGCTTAGGCTCAAGACGTATGCCAACTTCCCAGAAGCACCTCAGGAGGAGGCTTCTCTCAGCAATAGGTATGTGGGAGGGACCCCGAGTTTGCTGCCTCAAGGGGAATATACAGCGAGAAGCCCTAACTTGAAAGGAGGCCGGATTTCCTTGCAGTGGCTTGAATACAGGCTCGTCTTTCATCTCACAACATGAAGGGATGTCTGAATCCCCTGTGGAGACCTTAGAGAAAGCCCTAGGTCCCTGCCTCATTTTGACGGAATGCCTCACATCCCGCTGACACCTCGAGAGGCACGCGGAGTTCATTGCTTCAAAAGGTGACGATGCCTGATTCCTCTTGAATACTGATAGGAATCCCAAAATCCCTGTGGCTACTGGAAAGGGTCCTTGGGTGCCCTGCCTCACCTCGAGAAGCGTCCCTTTGGCCCTGCCAAGCCTCGAAGAGATTCCTGAGGTGTCCCTCGTTACTAGACAGGAGTCCTGACGTCACTGAAGAAACTCGAGTTTTGAAGGGCCATCCCCGCCGTAAGTCGAGAACATACCCCAGGTCCCCGCCGCAACTCGAGAAAAACCATGAGACTTCCCCCTAGAGGCGAGATGAGGCCCCATTCCCCTGCAGTGCATGCAGAGCTATTCCGTGATCCCATTCAAACAAGTCAGGAGCTTCTACTTGCTTAATGGATCTCGAGACAGTCCCCAAGAACACTGTCACCAGTCTAGACGGACCCTGAGGTCACCCCAGCAACGCAAAGCAGCTCCATGTGCCCCAAATCAACTCGAGATGAGGCCCGATTCCCCTGCATTGACTCCAGAGTCATTCCCCGTTCCCCATTCAACACGACCGCTGGCTCGACTTCCTTCAGGCAACTCCAGAGATGCCCCGAGAACACTGTCCCAAGTCTAGAGGAACACCAACTTCAGCACAGCAACTCGAGGAATGCTCCGTCTACCCCAAATCGTCTCGAGATGCGAGCTGATTCCCTGGCTTAGGCTCAAGAGGTATGCCAACTTCCCAGAAGCACCTCAGGAGGAGGCTTCTCTCAGCAATAGGTATGTGGGAGGGACCCCGAGTTTGCTGCCTCAAGGGGAATATACAGCGAGAAGCCCTAACTTGAAAGGAGGCCGGATTTCCTTGCAGTGGCTTGAATACAGGCTCGTCTTTCATCTCACAACATGAAGGGATGTCTGAATCCCCTGTGGAGACCTTAGAGAAAGCCCTAGGTCCCTGCCTCATTTTGACGGAATGCCTCACATCCCGCTGACACCTCGAGAGGCACGCGGAGTTCATTGCTTCAAAAGGTGACGATGCCTGACTCCTCTTGAATACTGACAGGAATCCCAAAATCCCTGTGGCTACTGGAAAGGGTCCTTGGGTGCCCTGCCTCACCTCGAGAAGCGTCCCTTTTGCCCTGCCAAGCCTCGAAGAGATTCCTGAGGTGTCCCTCGTTACTAGACAGGAGTCCTGACGTCACTGAAGAAACTCGAGTTTTGAAGGGCCATCCCCGCCGTAAGTCGAGAACATACCCCAGGTCCCCGCCGCAACTCGAGAAAAACCATGAGACTTCCCCCTAGAGGCGAGATGAGGCCCCATTCCCCTGCAGTGCATGCAGAGCTATTCCGTGATCCCATTCAAACAAGTCAGGAGCTTCGACTTGCTTAATGGATCTCGAGACAGTCCCCAAGAACACTGTCACCAGTCTAGACGGACCCTGAGGTCACCCCAGCAACGCAAAGCAGCTCCATGTGCCCCAAATCAACACGAGATGAGGCCCGATTCCCCTGCATTGACTCCAGAGCCATTCCCCGTTCCCCATTCAACACGACCGGTGGCTCGACTTCCTTCAGGCAACTCCAGAGATGCCCCGAGAACACTGTCCCAAGTCTAGAGGAACACCAACTTCAGCACAGCAACTCGAGGAATGCTCCGTGTACCCCAAATCGTCTCGAGATGAGAGCTGATTCCCTGGCTTAGGCTCAAGACGTATGCCAACTTCCCAGAAGCACCTCAGGAGGAGGCTTCTCTCAGCAATAGGTATGTGGGAGGGACCCCGAGTTTGCTGCCTCAAGGGGAATATACAGCGAGAAGCCCTAACTTGAAAGGAGGCCGGATTTCCTTGCAGTGGCTTGAATACAGGCTCGTCTTTCATCTCACAACATGAAGGGATGTCTGAATCCCCTGTGGAGACCTTAGAGAAAGCCCTAGGTCCCTGCCTCATTTTGACGGAATGCCTCACATCCCGCTGACACCTCGAGAGGCACGCGGAGTTCATTGCTTCAAAAGGTGACGATGCCTGACTCCTCTTGAATATTGACAGGAATCCCAAAATCACTGTGGCTACTGGAAAGGGTCCTTGGGTGCCCTGCTTCACCTCGAGAAGCGTCCCTTTGGCCCTGCCAAGCCTCGAAGAGATTCCTGAGGTGTCCCTCGTTACTAGACAGGAGTCCTGACGTCACTGAAGAAACTCGAGTTTTGAAGGGCCATCCCCGCCGTAAGTCGAGAACATACCCCAGGTCCCCGCCGCAACTCGAGAAAAACCATGAGACTTCCCCCTAGAGGCGAGATGAGGCCCCATTCCCCTGCAGTGCATGCAGAGCTATTCCGTGATCCCATTCAAACAAGTCAGGAGCTTCTACTTGCTTAATGGATCTCGAGACAGTCCCCAAGAACACTGTCACCAGTCTAGACGGACCCTGAGGTCACCCCAGCAACGCAAAGCAGCTCCATGTGCCCCAAATCAACTCGAGATGAGGCCCGATTCCCCTGCATTGACTCCAGAGCCATTCCCCGTTCCCCCTTCAACACGACCGGTGGCTCGACTTCCTTCAGGCAACTCCAGAGATGCCCCGAGAACACTGTCCCAAGTCTAGAGGAACACCAACTTCAGCACAGCAACTCGAGGAATGCTCCGTGTACCCCAAATCGTCTCGAGATGCGAGCTGATTCCCTGGCTTAGTCTCTAGACGTATGCCAACTTCCCAGAAGCACCTCAGGAGGAGGCTTCTCTCAGCAACAGGTATGTGGGAGGGACCCCGAGTTTGCTGCCTCAAGGGGAATATACAGCGAGAAGCCCTAACTTGAAAGGAGGCCGGATTTCCTTGCAGTGGCTTGAATACAGGCTCGTCTTTCATCTCACAACATGAAGGGATGTCTGAATCCCCTGTGGAGACCTTAGAGAAAGCCCTAGGTCCCTGCCTCATTTTGACGGAATGCCTCACATCCCGCTGACACCTCGAGAGGCACCCGGAGTTCATTGCTTCAAAAGGTGACGATGCCTGACTCCTCTTGAATACTGATAGGAATCCCAAAATCCCTGTGGCTACTGGAAAGGGTCCCTGGGTGCCCTGCCTCACCTCGAGAAGCGTCCCTTTTGCCCTGCCAAGCCTCGAAGAGATTCCTGAGGTGTCCCTCGTTACTAGACAGGAGTCCTGACGTCACTGAAGAAACTCGTGTTTTGAAGGGCCATCCCCGCCGTAAGTCGAGAACATACCCCAGGTCCCCGCCGCAACTCGAGAAAAACCATGAGACTTCCCTCTAGAGGCGAGATGAGGCACCATTCCCCTGCAGTGCATGCAGAGCTATTCCGTGATCCCATTCAAACAAGTCAGGAGCTTCGACTTGCTTAATGGATCTCGAGACAGTCCCCAAGAACACTGTCACCAGTCTAGACGGACCCTGAGGTCACCCCAGCAACGCAAAGCAGCTCCATGTGCCCAAAATCAACTCGAGATGAGGGCCGATTCCACTGCATTGACTCCAGAGCCATTCCCCGTTCCCCATTCAACACGACCGGTGGCTCGACTTCCTTCAGGCAACTCCAGAGATGCCCCGAGAACACTGTCCCAAGGCTAGAGGAACACCAACTTCAGCACAGCAACTCGAGGAATGCTCCGTGTACCCCAAATCGTCTCGAGATGCGAGCTGATTCCCTGGCTTAGGCTCAAGACGTATGCCAACTTCCCAGAAGCACCTCAGGAGGAGGCTTCTCTCAGCAATAGGTATGTGGGAGGGACCCCGAGTTTGCTGCCTCAAGGGGAATATACAGCGAGAAGCCCTAACTTGAAAGGAGGCCGGATTTCCTTGCAGTGGCTTGAATACAGGCTCGTCTTTCATCTCACAACATGAAGGGATGTCTGAATCCCCTGTGGAGACCTTAGAGAAAGCCCTAGGTCCCTGCCTCATTTTGACGGAATGCCTCACATCGCGCTGACACCTCGAGAGGCACGCGGAGTTCATTGCTTCAAAAGGTGACGATGCCTGACTCCTCTTGAATACTGATAGGAATCCCAAAATCCCTGTGGCTACTGGAAATGGTCCTTGGGTGCCCTGCCTCACCTCGAGAAGCGTCCCTTTTGCCCTGCCAAGCCTCGAAGAGATTCCTGAGGTGTCCCTCGTTACTAGACAGGAGTCCTGACGTCACTGAAGAAACTCGTGTTTTGAAGGGCCATCCCCGCCGTAAGTCGAGAACATACCCCAGGTCCCCGCCGCAACTCGAGAAAAACAATGAGACTTCCCCCTAGAGGCGAGATGAGGCCCCATTCCCCTGCAGTGCATGCAGAGCTATTCCGTGATCCCATTCAAACAAGTCAGGAGCTTCGACTTGCTTAATGGATCTCGAGACAGTCCCCAAGAACACTGTCACCAGTCTAGACGGACCCTGAGGTCACCCCAGCAACGCAAAGCAGCTCCATGTGCCCCAAATCAACTCGAGATGAGGCCCGATTCCCCTGCATTGACTCCAGAGCCATTCCCCGTTCCCATTCAACACGACCGGTGGCTCGACTTCCTTCAGGCAACTCCAGAGATGCCCCGAGAACACTGTCCCAAGTCTAGAGGAACACCAACTTCAGCACAGCAACTCGAGGAATGCTCCGTGTACCCCAAATCGTCTCGAGATGCGAGCTGATTCCCTGGCTTAGGCTCAAGACGTATGCCAACTTCCCAGAAGCACCTCAGGAGGAGGCTTCTCTCAGCAATAGGTATGTGGGAGGGACCCCGAGTTTGCTGCCTCAAGGGGAATATACAGCGAGAAGCCCTAACTTGAAAGGAGGCCGGATTTCCTTGCAGTGGCTTGAATACAGGCTCGTCTTTCATCTCACAACATGAAGGGATGTCTGAATCCCCTGTGGAGACCTTAGAGAAAGCCCTAGGTCCCTGCCTCATTTTGACGGAATGCCTCACATCCCGCTGACACCTCGAGAGGCACGCGGAGTTCATTGCTTCAAAAGGTGACGATGCCTGACTCCTCTTGAATACTGATAGGAATCCCAAAATCCCTGTGGCTACTGGAAAGGGTCCTTGGGTGCCCTGCCTCACCTCGAGAAGCGTCCCTTTTGCCCTGCCAAGCCTCGAAGAGATTCCTGAGGTGTCCCTCGTTACTAGACAGGAGTCCTGACGTCACTGAAGAAACTCGTGTTTTGAAGGGCCATCCCCGCCGTAAGTCGAGAACATACCCCAGGTCCCCGCCGCAACTCGAGAAAAACAATGAGACTTCCCCCTAGAGGCGAGATGAGGCCCCATTCCCCTGCAGTGCATGCAGAGCTATTCCGTGATCCCATTCAAACAAGTCAGGAGCTTCGACTTGCTTAATGGATCTCGAGACAGTCCCCAAGAACACTGTCACCAGTCTAGACGGACCCTGAGGTCACCCCAGCAACGCAAAGCAGCTCCATGTGCCCCAAATCAACTCGAGATGAGGCCCGATTCCCCTGCATTGACTCCAGAGCCATTCCCCGTTCCCATTCAACACGACCGGTGGCTCGACTTCCTTCAGGCAACTCCAGAGATGCCCCGAGAACACTGTCCCAAGTCTAGAGGAACACCAACTTCAGCACAGCAACTCGAGGAATGCTCCGTGTACCCCAAATCGTCTCGAGATGCGAGCTGATTCCCTGGCTTAGGCTCAAGACGTATGCCAACTTCCCAGAAGCACCTCAGGAGGAGGCTTCTCTCAGCAATAGGTATGTGGGAGGGACCCCGAGTTTGCTGCCTCAAGGGGAATATACAGCGAGAAGCCCTAACTTGAAAGGAGGCCGGATTTCCTTGCAGTGGCTTGAATACAGGCTCGTCTTTCATCTCACAACATGAAGGGATGTCTGAATCCCCTGTGGAGACCTTAGAGAAAGCCCTAGGTCCCTGCCTCATTTTGACGGAATGCCTCACATCCCGCTGACACCTCGAGAGGCACGCGGAGTTCATTGCTTCAAAAGGTGACGATGCCTGACTCCTCTTGAATACTGATAGGAATCCCAAAATCCCTGTGGCTACTGGAAAGGGTCCTTGGGTGCCCTGCCTCACCTCGAGAAGCGTCCCTTTTGCCCTGCCAAGCCTCGAAGAGATTCCTGAGGTGTCCCTCGTTACTAGACAGGAGTCCTGACGTCACTGAAGAAACTCGTGTTTTGAAGGGCCATCCCTGCCGTAAGTCGAGAACATACCCCAGGTCCCCGCCGCAACTCGAGAAAAACCATGAGACTTCCCCCTAGAGGCGAGATGAGGCCCCATTCCCCTGCAGTGCATGCAGAGCTATTCCGTGATCCCATTCAAACAAGTCAGGAGCTTCGACTTGCTTAATGGATATCGAGACAGTCCCCAAGAACACTGTCACCAGTCTAGACGGACCCTGAGGTCACCCCAGCTACGCAAAGCAGCTCCATGTGCCCGAAATCAACTCTAGATGAGGCCCGATTCCCCTGCATTGACCCCAGAGCCATTCCCCGTTCCCCATTCAACACGACCGGTGGCTCGACTTCCTTCAGGCAACTCCAGAGATGCCCCAAGAACACTGTCCCAAGTCTAGAGGAACACCAACTTCAGCACAGCAACTCGAGGAATGCTCCGTGTACCCCAAATCGTCTCGAGATGAGAGCTGATTCCCTGGCTTAGGCTCAAGACGTATGCCAACTTCCCAGAAGCACCTCAGGAGGAGGCTTCTCTCAGCAATAGGTATGTGGGAGGGACCCCGAGTTTGCTGCCTCAAGGGGAATATACAGCGAGAAGCCCTAACTTGAAAGGAGGCCGGATTTCCTTGCAGTGGCTTGAATACAGGCTCGTCTTTCATCTCACAACATGAAGGGATGTCTGAATCCCCTGTGGAGACCTTAGAGAAAGCCCTAGGTCCCTGCCTCATTTTGACGGAATGCCTCACATCGCGCTGACACCTCGAGAGGCACGCGGAGTTCATTGCTTCAAAAGGTGACGATGCCTGACTCCTCTTGAATACTGATAGGAATCCCAAAATCCCTGTGGCTACTGGAAAGGATCCTTGGGTGCCCTGCCTCACCTCGAGAAGCGTCCCTTTGGCCCTGCCAAGCATCGAAGAGATTCCTGAGGTGTCCCTCGTTACTAGACAGGAGTCCTGACGTCACTGAAGAAACTCGTGTTTTGAAGGGCCATCCCCGCCGTAAGTCGAGAACATACCCCAGGTCCCCGCCGCAACTTGAGAAAAACCATGAGACTTCCCCCTAGAGGCGAGATGAGGCCCCATTCCCCTGCAGTGCATGCAGAGCTATTCCGTGATCCCATTCAAACAAGTCAGGAGCTTCGACTTGCTTAATGGATCTCGAGACAGTCCCCAAGAACACTGTCACCAGTCTAGACGGACCCTGAGGTCACCCCAGCAACGCAAAGCAGCTCCATGTGCCCCAAATCAACTCGAGATGAGGCCCGATTCCCCTGCATTGACTCCAGAGCCATTCCCCGTTCCCCATTCAACACGACCGGTGGCTCGACTTCCTTCAGGCAACTCCAGAGATGCCCCGAGAACACTGTCCCAAGGCTAGAGGAACACCAACTTCAGCACAGCAACTCGAGGAATGCTCCGTGTACCCCAAATCGTCTCGAGATGCGAGCTGATTCCCTGGCTTAGGCTCAAGACGTATGCCAACTTCCCAGAAGCACCTCAGGAGGAGGCTTCTCTCAGCAATAGGTATGTGGGAGGGACCCCGAGTTTGCTGCCTCAAGGGGAATATACAGCGAGAAGCCCTAACTTGAAAGGAGGCCGGATTTCCTTGCAGTGGCTTGAATACAGGCTCGTCTTTCATCTCACAACATGAAGGGATGTCTGAATCCCCTGTGGAGACCTTAGAGAAAGCCCTAGGTCCCTGCCTCATTTTGACGGAATGCCTCACATCCCGCTGACACCTCGAGAGGCTCGCGGAGTTCATTGCTTCAAAAGGTGACGATGCCTGACACCTCTTGAATACTGATAGGAATCCCAAAATCCCTGTGGCTACTGGAAAGGGTCCTTGGGTGCCCTGCCTCACCTCGAGAAGCGTCCCTTTTGCCCTGCCAAGCCTCGAAGAGATTCCTGAGGTGTCCCTCGTTACTAGACAGGAGTCCTGACGTCACTGAAGAAACTCGTGTTTTGAAGGGCCATCCCCGCCGTAAGTCGAGAACATACCCCAGGTCCCCGCCGCAACTCGAGAAAAACCATGAGACTTCCCCCTAGAGGCGAGATGAGGCCCCATTCCCCTGCAGTGCATGCAGAGCTATTCCGTGATCCCATTCAAACAAGTCAGGAGCTTCTACTTGCTTAATGGATCTCGAGACAGTCCCCAAGAACACTGTCACCAGTCTAGACGGACACTGAGGTCACCCCAGCAACGCAAAGCAGCTCCATGTGCCCCAAATCAACTTGAGATGAGGCCCGATTCCCCTGCATTGACTCCAGAGCCATTCCCCGTTCCCCATTCAACACGACCGGTGGCTCGACTTCCTTCAGGCAACTCCAGAGATGCCCCGAGAACACTGTCCCAAGTCTAGGGGAACATCAACTTCAGCACAGAAACTCGAGGAATGCTCCGTGTACCCCAAATCGTGTCGAGATGCGAGCTGATTCCCTGGCTTAGGCTCAAGACGTATGCCAACTTTCCAGAAGCACCTCAGGAGGAGGCTTCTCTCAGCAATAGGTATGTGGGAGGGCCCCGAGTTTGCTGCCTCAAGGGGAATATACAGCGAGAAGCCCTAACTTGAAAGGAGCCCGGATTTCCTTGCAGTGGCTTGAATACAGGCTCGTCTTTCATCTCACAACATGAAGGGATGTCTGAATCCCCTGTGGAGACCTTAGAGAAAGCCCTAGGTCCCTGCCTCATTTTGACAGAATGCCTCACATCCCGCTGACACCTCGAGAGGCACGCGGAGTTCATTGCTTCAAAAGGTGACGATGCCTGACTCCTCTTGAATACTGATAGGAATCCCAAAATCCCTGTGGCTACTGGAAAGGGTCCTTGGGTGCCCTGCCTCACCTCGAGAAGCGTCCCTTTAGCCCCGCCAAGCCTCGAAGAGATTCCTGAGGTGTCCCTCGTTACTAGACAGGAGTCCTGACGTCACTGAAGAAACTCGAGTTTTGAAGGGCCATCCCCGCCGTAAGTCGAGAACATACCCCAGGTCCCCGCCGCAACTCGAGAAAAACCATGAGACTTCCCCCTAGAGGCGAGATGAGGCCCCATTCCCCTGCAGTGCATGCAGAGCTATTCCGTGATCCCATTCAAACAAGTCAGGAGCTTCGACTTGCTTAATGGATCTCGAGACAGTCCCCAAGAACACTGTCACCAGTCTAGACGGACCCTGAGGTCACCACAGCAACGCAAAGCAGCTCCATGTGCCCCAAATCAACTCGAGATGAGGCCCGATTCCCCTGCATTGACTCCAGAGCCATTCCCCGTTCCCCATTCAACACGACCGGTGGCTCGACTTCCTTCAGGCAACTCCAGAGATGCCCCGAGAACACTGTCCCAAGTCTAGAGGAACACCAACTTCAGCACAGCAACTCGAGGAATGCTCCGTGTACCCCAAATCGTCTCGAGATGCGAGCTGATTCCCTGGCTTAGTCTCTAGACGTATGCCAACTTCCCAGAAGCACCTCAGGAGGAGGCTTCTCTCAGCAACAGGTATGTGGGAGGGACCCCGAGTTTGCTGCCTCAAGGGGAATATACAGCGAGAAGCCCTAACTTGAAAGGAGGCCGGATTTCCTTGCAGTGGCTTGAATACAGGCTCGTCTTTCATCTCACAACATGAAGGGATGTCTGAATCCCCTGTGGAGACCTTAGAGAAAGCCCTAGGTCCCTGCCTCATTTTGACGGAATGCCTCACATCGCGCTGACACCTCGAGAGGCACGCGGAGTTCACTGCTTCAAAAGGTGACGATGCCTGACTCCTCTTGAATACTGATAGGAATCCCAAAATCCCTGTGGCTACTGGAAAGGGTCCTTGGGTGCCCTGCCTCACCTCGAGAAGCGTCCCTTTTGCCCTGCCAAGCCTCGAAGAGATTCCTGAGGTGTCCCTCGTTACTAGACAGGAGTCCTGACGTCACTGAAGAAACTCGTGTTTTGAAGGGCCATCCCCGCCGTAAGTCGAGAACATACCCCAGGTCCCCGCCGCAACTCGAGAAAAACCATGAGACTTCCCCCTAGAGGCGAGATGAGGCCCCATTCCCCTGCAGTGCATGCAGAGCTATTCCGTGATCCCATTCAAACAAGTCAGGAGCTTCGACTTGCTTAATGGATCTCGAGAGAGTCCCCAAGAACACTGTCACCAGTCTAGACGGACCCTGAGGTCACCCCAGCAACGCAAAGCAGCTCCATGTGCCGCAAATCAACTCGAGATGAGGCCCGATTCCCCTGCATTGACTCCAGAGCCATTCCCCGTTCCCCATTCAACACGACCGGTGGCTCGACTTCCTTCAGGCAACTCCAGAGATGCCCCGAGAACACTGTCCCAAGTCTAGAGGAACATCAACTTCAGCACAGCAACTCGAGGAATGCTCCGTGTACCCCAAATCGTGTCGAGATGCGAGCTGATTCCCTGGCTTAGGCTCAAGACGTATGCCAACTTCCCAGAAGCACCTCAGGAGGAGGCTTCTCTCAGCAATAGGTATGTGGGAGGGACCCCGAGTTTGCTGCCTCAAGGGGAATATACAGCGAGAAGCCCTAACTTGAAAGGAGCCCGGATTTCCTTGCAGTGGCTTGAATACAGGCTCGTCTTTCATCTCACAACATGAAGGGATGTCTGAATCCCCTGTGGAGACCTTAGAGAAAGCCCTAGGTCCCTGCCTCATTTTGACAGAATGCCTCACATCCCGCTGACACCTCGAGAGGCACGCGGAGTTCATTGCTTCAAAAGGTGACGATGCCTGACTCCTCTTGAATACTGATAGGAATCCCAAAATCCCTGTGGCTACTGGAAAGGGTCCTTGGGTGCCCTGCCTCACCTCGAGAAGCGTCCCTTTTGCCCCGCCTAGCCTCGAAGAGATTCCTGAGGTGTCCCTCGTTACTAGACAGGAGTCCTGACGTCACTGAAGAAACTCGAGTTTTGAAGGGCCATCCCCGCCGTAAGTCGAGAACATACCCCAGGTCCCCGCCGCAACTCGAGAAAAACCATGAGACTTCCCCCTAGAGGCGAGATGAGGCCCCATTCCCCTGCAGTGCATGCAGAGCTATTCCGTGATCCCATTCAAACAAGTCAGGAGCTTCTACTTGCTTAATGGATCTCGAGACAGTCCCCAAGAACACTGTCACCAGTCTAGACGGACACTGAGGTCACCCCAGCAACGCAAAGCAGCTCCATGTGCCCCAAATCAACTTGAGATGAGGCCCGATTCCCCTGCATTGACTCCAGAGCCATTCCCCGTTCCCCATTCAACACGACCGGTGGCTCGACTTCCTTCAGGCAACTCCAGAGATGCCCCGAGAACACTGTCCCAAGTCTAGGGGAACATCAACTTCAGCACAGAAACTCGAGGAATGCTCCGTGTACCCCAAATCGTGTCGAGATGCGAGCTGATTCCCTGGCTTAGGCTCAAGACGTATGCCAACTTTCCAGAAGCACCTCAGGAGGAGGCTTCTCTCAGCAATAGGTATGTGGGAGGGCCCCGAGTTTGCTGCCTCAAGGGGAATATACAGCGAGAAGCCCTAACTTGAAAGGAGCCCGGATTTCCTTGCAGTGGCTTGAATACAGGCTCGTCTTTCATCTCACAACATGAAGGGATGTCTGAATCCCCTGTGGAGACCTTAGAGAAAGCCCTAGGTCCCTGCCTCATTTTGACAGAATGCCTCACATCCCGCTGACACCTCGAGAGGCACGCGGAGTTCATTGCTTCAAAAGGTGACGATGCCTGACTCCTCTTGAATACTGATAGGAATCCCAAAATCCCTGTGGCTACTGGAAAGGGTCCTTGGGTGCCCTGCCTCACCTCGAGAAGCGTCCCTTTAGCCCCGCCAAGCCTCGAAGAGATTCCTGAGGTGTCCCTCGTTACTAGACAGGAGTCCTGACGTCACTGAAGAAACTCGAGTTTTGAAGGGCCATCCCCGCCGTAAGTCGAGAACATACCCCAGGTCCCCGCCGCAACTCGAGAAAAACCATGAGACTTCCCCCTAGAGGCGAGATGAGGCCCCATTCCCCTGCAGTGCATGCAGAGCTATTCCGTGATCCCATTCAAACAAGTCAGGAGCTTCGACTTGCTTAATGGATCTCGAGACAGTCCCCAAGAACACTGTCACCAGTCTAGACGGACCCTGAGGTCACCACAGCAACGCAAAGCAGCTCCATGTGCCCCAAATCAACTCGAGATGAGGCCCGATTCCCCTGCATTGACTCCAGAGCCATTCCCCGTTCCCCATTCAACACGACCGGTGGCTCGACTTCCTTCAGGCAACTCCAGAGATGCCCCGAGAACACTGTCCCAAGTCTAGAGGAACACCAACTTCAGCACAGCAACTCGAGGAATGCTCCGTGTACCCCAAATCGTCTCGAGATGCGAGCTGATTCCCTGGCTTAGTCTCTAGACGTATGCCAACTTCCCAGAAGCACCTCAGGAGGAGGCTTCTCTCAGCAACAGGTATGTGGGAGGGACCCCGAGTTTGCTGCCTCAAGGGGAATATACAGCGAGAAGCCCTAACTTGAAAGGAGGCCGGATTTCCTTGCAGTGGCTTGAATACAGGCTCGTCTTTCATCTCACAACATGAAGGGATGTCTGAATCCCCTGTGGAGACCTTAGAGAAAGCCCTAGGTCCCTGCCTCATTTTGACGGAATGCCTCACATCGCGCTGACACCTCGAGAGGCACGCGGAGTTCACTGCTTCAAAAGGTGACGATGCCTGACTCCTCTTGAATACTGATAGGAATCCCAAAATCCCTGTGGCTACTGGAAAGGGTCCTTGGGTGCCCTGCCTCACCTCGAGAAGCGTCCCTTTTGCCCTGCCAAGCCTCGAAGAGATTCCTGAGGTGTCCCTCGTTACTAGACAGGAGTCCTGACGTCACTGAAGAAACTCGTGTTTTGAAGGGCCATCCCCGCCGTAAGTCGAGAACATACCCCAGGTCCCCGCCGCAACTCGAGAAAAACCATGAGACTTCCCCCTAGAGGCGAGATGAGGCCCCATTCCCCTGCAGTGCATGCAGAGCTATTCCGTGATCCCATTCAAACAAGTCAGGAGCTTCGACTTGCTTAATGGATCTCGAGAGAGTCCCCAAGAACACTGTCACCAGTCTAGACGGACCCTGAGGTCACCCCAGCAACGCAAAGCAGCTCCATGTGCCGCAAATCAACTCGAGATGAGGCCCGATTCCCCTGCATTGACTCCAGAGCCATTCCCCGTTCCCCATTCAACACGACCGGTGGCTCGACTTCCTTCAGGCAACTCCAGAGATGCCCCGAGAACACTGTCCCAAGTCTAGAGGAACATCAACTTCAGCACAGCAACTCGAGGAATGCTCCGTGTACCCCAAATCGTGTCGAGATGCGAGCTGATTCCCTGGCTTAGGCTCAAGACGTATGCCAACTTCCCAGAAGCACCTCAGGAGGAGGCTTCTCTCAGCAATAGGTATGTGGGAGGGACCCCGAGTTTGCTGCCTCAAGGGGAATATACAGCGAGAAGCCCTAACTTGAAAGGAGCCCGGATTTCCTTGCAGTGGCTTGAATACAGGCTCGTCTTTCATCTCACAACATGAAGGGATGTCTGAATCCCCTGTGGAGACCTTAGAGAAAGCCCTAGGTCCCTGCCTCATTTTGACAGAATGCCTCACATCCCGCTGACACCTCGAGAGGCACGCGGAGTTCATTGCTTCAAAAGGTGACGATGCCTGACTCCTCTTGAATACTGATAGGAATCCCAAAATCCCTGTGGCTACTGGAAAGGGTCCTTGGGTGCCCTGCCTCACCTCGAGAAGCGTCCCTTTTGCCCCGCCTAGCCTCGAAGAGATTCCTGAGGTGTCCCTCGTTACTAGACAGGAGTCCTGACGTCACTGAAGAAACTCGAGTTTTGAAGGGCCATCCCCGCCGTAAGTCGAGAACATACCCCAGGTCCCCGCCGCAACTCGAGAAAAACCATGAGACTTCCCCCTAGAGGCGAGATGAGGCCCCATTCCCCTGCAGTGCATGCAGAGCTATTCCGTGATCCCATTCAAACAAGTCAGGAGCTTCGACTTGCTTAATGGATCTCGAGACAGTCCCCAAGAACACTGTCACCAGTCGAGACGGACCCTGAGGTCACCCCAGCAACGCAAAGCAGCTCCATGTGCCCGAAATCAACTCGAGATGAGGCCCGATTCCCCTGCATTGACCCCAGACCCATTCCCCGTTCCCCATTCAACACGACCGGTGGCTCGACTTCCTTCAGGCAACTCCAGAGATGCCCCAAGAACACTGTCCCAAGTCTTGAGGAACACCAACTTCAGCACAGCAACTCGAGGAATGCTCCGTGTACCCCAAATCGTCTCGAGATGAGAGCTGATTCCCTGGCTTAGGCTCAAGACGTATGCCAACTTCCCAGAAGCACCTCAGGAGGAGGCTTCTCTCAGCAATAGGTATGTGGGAGGGACCCCGAGTTTGCTGCCTCAAGGGGAATATACAGCGAGAAGCCCTAACTTGAAAGGAGGCCGGATTTCCTTGCAGTGGCTTGAATACAGGCTCGTCTTTCATCTCACAACATGAAGGGATGTCTGAATCCCCTGTGGAGACCTTAGAGAAAGCCCTAGGTCCCTGCCTCATTTTGACGGAATGCCTCACATCGCGCTGACACCTCGAGAGGCACGCGGAGTTCATTGCTTCAAAAGGTGACGATGCCTGACTCCTCTTGAATACTGATAGGAATCCCAAAATCCCTGTGGCTACTGGAAAGGATCCTTGGGTGCCCTGCCTCACCTCGAGAAGCGTCCCTTTGGCCCTGCCAAGCATCGAAGAGATTCCTGAGGTGTCCCTCGTTACTAGACAGGAGTCCTGACGTCACTGAAGAAACTCGTGTTTTGAAGGGCCATCCCCGCCGTAAGTCGAGAACATACCCCAGGTCCCCGCCGCAACTCGAGAAAAACCATGAGACTTCCCCCTAGAGGCGAGATGAGGCCCCATTCCCCTGCAGTGCATGCAGAGCTATTCCGTGATCCCATTCAAACAAGTCAGGAGCTTCGACTTGCTTAATGGATCTCGAGACAGTCCCCAAGAACACTGTCACCAGTCTAGACGGACCCTGAGGTCACCCCAGCAACGCAAAGCAGCTCCATGTGCCCGAAATCAACTCGAGATGAGGCCCGATTCCCCTGCATTGACTCCAGAGCCATTCGCCGTTCCCCATTCAACACGACCGGTGGCTCGACTTCCTTCAGGCAACTCCAGAGATGCCCCGAGAACACTGTCCCAAGGCTAGAGGAACACCAACTTCAGCACAGCAACTCGAGGAATGCTCCGTGTACCCCAAATCGTCTCGAGATGCGAGCTGATTCCCTGGCTTAGGCTCAAGACGTATGCCAACTTCCCAGAAGCACCTCAGGAGGAGGCTTCTCTCAGCAATAGGTATGTGGGAGGGACCCCGAGTTTGCTGCCTCAAGGGGAATATACAGCGAGAAGCCCTAACTTGAAAGGAGGCCGGATTTCCTTGCAGTGGCTTGAATACAGGCTCGTCTTTCATCTCACAACATGAAGGGATGTCTGAATCCCCTGTGGAGACCTTAGAGAAAGCCCTAGGTCCCTGCCTCATTTTGACGGAATGCCTCACATCCCGCTGACACCTCGAGAGGCACGCGGAGTTCATTGCTTCAAAAGGTGACGATGCCTGACTCCTCTTGAATACTGATAGGAATCCCAAAATCCCTGTGGCTACTGGAAAGGGTCCTTGGGTGCCCTGCCTCACCTCGAGAAGCGTCCCTTTTGCCCTGCCAAGCCTCGAAGAGATTCCTGAGGTGTCCCTCGTTACTAGACAGGAGTCCTGACGTCACTGAAGAAACTCGTGTTTTGAAGGGCCATCCCCGCCGTAAGTCGAGAACATACCCCAGGTCCCCGCCGCAACTCGAGAAAAACCATGAGACTTCCCCCTAGAGGCGAGATGAGGCCCCATTCCCCTGCAGTGCATGCAGAGCTATTCCGTGATCCCATTCAAACAAGTCAGGAGCTTCGACTTGCTTAATGGATCTCGAGACAGTCCCCAAGAACACTGTCACCAGTCTAGACGGACCCTGAGGTCACCCCGGAAACGCAAAGCAGCTCCATGTGCCCCAAATCAACTCGAGATGAGGCCCGATTCCCCTGCATTGACTCCAGAGCCATTCCCCGTTCCCCATTCAACACGACCGGTGGCTCGACTTCCTTCAGGCAACTCCAGAGATGCCCCGAGAACACTGTCCCAAGTCTAGAGGAACATCAACTTCAGCACAGAAACTCGAGGAATGCTCCGTGTACCCCAAATCGTGTCGAGATGCGAGCTGATTCCCTGGCTTAGGCTCAAGACGTATGCCAACTTTCCAGAAGCACCTCAGGAGGAGGCTTCTCTCAGCAATAGGTATGTGGGAGGGACCCCGAGTTTGCTGCCTCAAGGGGAATATACAGCGAGAAGCCCTAACTTGAAAGGAGCCCGGATTTCCTTGCAGTGGCTTGAATACAGGCTGGTCTTTCATCTCACAACATGAAGGGATGTCTGAATCCCCTGTGGAGACCTCAGAGAAAGCCCTAGGTCCCTGCCTCATTTTGACAGAATGCCTCACATCCCGCTGACACCTCGAGAGGCACGCGGAGTTCATTGCTTCAAAAGGTGACGATGCCTGACTCCTCTTGAATACTGATAGGAATCCCAAAATCCCTGTGGCTACTGGAAAGGGTCCTTGGGTGCCCTGCCTCACCTCGAGAAGCGTCCCTTTAGCCCCGCCAAGCCTCGAAGAGATTCCTGAGGTGTCCCTCGTTACTAGACAGGAGTCCTGACGTCACTGAAGAAACTCGAGTTTTGAAGGGCCATCCCCGCCGTAAGTCGAGAACATACCCCAGGTCCCCGCCGCAACTCGAGAAAAACCATGAGACTTCCCCCTAGAGGCGAGATGAGGCCCCATTCCCCTGCAGTGCATGCAGAGCTATTCCGTGATCCCATTCAAACAAGTCAGGAGCTTCGACTTGCTTAATGGATCTCGAGACAGTCCCCAAGAACACTGTCACCAGTCTAGACGGACCCTGAGGTCACCACAGCAACGCAAAGCAGCTCCATGTGCCCCAAATCAACTCGAGATGAGGCCCGATTCCCCTGCATTGACTCCAGAGCCATTCCCCGTTCCCCATTCAACACGACCGGTGGCTCGACTTCCTTCAGGCAACTCCAGAGATGCCCCGAGAACACTGTCCCAAGTCTAGAGGAACACCAACTTCAGCACAGCAACTCGAGGAATGCTCCGTGTACCCCAAATCGTCTCGAGATGCGAGCTGATTCCCTGGCTTAGTCTCTAGACGTATGCCAACTTCCCAGAAGCACCTCAGGAGGAGGCTTCTCTCAGCAACAGGTATGTGGGAGGGACCCCGAGTTTGCTGCCTCAAGGGGAATATACAGCGAGAAGCCCTAACTTGAAAGGAGGCCGGATTTCCTTGCAGTGGCTTGAATACAGGCTCGTCTTTCATCTCACAACATGAAGGGATGTCTGAATCCCCTGTGGAGACCTTAGAGAAAGCCCTAGGTCGCTGCCTCATTTTGACGGAATGCCTCACATCCCGCTGACACCTCGAGAGGCACCCGGAGTTCATTGCTTCAAAAGGTGACGATGCCTGACTCCTCTTGAATACTGATAGGAATCCCAAAATCCCTGTGGCTACTGGAAAGGGTCCTTGGGTGCCCTGCCTCACCTCGAGAAGCGTCCCTTTTGCCCTGCCAAGCCTCGAAGAGATTCCTGAGGTGTCCCTCGTTACTAGACAGGAGTCCTGACGTCACTGAAGAAACTCGTGTTTTGAAGGGCCATTCCCGCCGTAAGTCGAGAACATACCCCAGGTCCCCGCCGCAACTCGAGAAAAACCATGAGACTTCCCTCTAGAGGCGAGATGAGGCCCCATTCCCCTGCAGTGCATGCAGAGCTATTCCGTGATCCCATTCAAACAAGTCAGGAGCTTCGACTTGCTTAATGGATCTCGAGACAGTCCCCAAGAACACTGTCACCAGTCTAGACGGACCCTGAGGTCACCCCAGCAACGCAAAGCAGCTCCATGTGCCCAAAATCAACTCGAGATGAGGCCCGATTCCCCTGCATTGACTCCAGAGCCATTCCCCGTTCCCCATTCAACACGACCGGTGGCTCGACTTCCTTCAGGCAACTCCAGAGATGCCCCAAGAACACTGTCCCAAGTCTAGAGGAACACCAACTTCAGCACAGCAACTCGAGGAATGCTTCGTGTACCCCAAATCGTCTCGAGATGAGAGCTGATTCCCTGGCTTAGGCTCAAGACGTATGCCAACTTCCCAGAAGCACCTCAGGAGGAGGCTTCTCTCAGCAATAGGTATGTGGGAGGGACCCCGAGTTTGCTGCCTCAAGGGGAATATACAGCGAGAAGCCCTAACTTGAAAGGAGGCCGGATTTCCTTGCAGTGGCTTGAATACAGGCTCGTCTTTCATCTCACAACATGAAGGGATGTCTGAATCCCCTGTGGAGACCTTAGAGAAAGCCCTAGGTCCCTGCCTCATTTTGACGGAATGCCTCACATCGCGCTGACACCTCGAGCGGCACGCGGAGTTCATTGCTTCAAAAGGTGACGATGCCTGACTCCTCTTGAATACTGATAGGAATCCCAAAATACCTGTGGCTACTGGAAAGGGTCCTTGGGTGCCCTGCCTCACCTCGAGAAGCGTCCCTTTTGCCCTGCCAAGCCTCGAAGAGATTCCTGAGGTGTCCCTCGTTACTAGACAGGAGTCCTGACGTCACTGAAGAAACTCGTGTTTTGAAGGGCCATCCCCGCCGTAAGTCGAGAACATACCCCAGGTCCCCGCCGCAACTCGAGAAAAACCATGAGACTTCCCCCTAGAGGCGAGATGAGGCCCCATTCCCCTGCAGTGCATGCAGAGCTATTCCGTGATCCCATTCAAACAAGTCAGGAGCTTCGACTTGCTTAATGGATCTCGAGACAGTCCCCAAGAACACTGTCACCAGTCTAGACGGACCCTGAGGTCACCCCAGCAACGCAAAGCAGCTCCATGTGCCGCAAATCAACTCGAGATGAGGCCCGATTCCCCTGCATTGACTCCAGAGCCATTCCCCGTTCCCCATTCAACACGACCGGTGGCTCGACTTCCTTCAGGCAACTCCAGAGATGCCCCGAGAACACTGTCCCAAGTCTAGAGGAACATCAACTTCAGCACAGCAACTCGAGGAATGCTCCGTGTACCCCAAATCGTGTCGAGATGCGAGCTGATTCCCTGGCTTAGGCTCAAGACGTATGCCAACTTTCCAGAAGCACCTCAGGAGGAGGCTTCTCTCAGCAATAGGTATGTGGGTGGGACCCCGAGTTTGCTGCCTCAAGGGGAATATACAGCGAGAAGCCCTAACTTGAAAGGAGCCCGGATTTCCTTGCAGTGGCTTGAATACAGGCTCGTCTTTCATCTCACAACATGAAGGGATGTCTGAATCCCCTGTGGAGACCTTAGAGAAAGCCCTAGGTCCCTGCCTCATTTTGACAGAATGCCTCACATCCCGCTGACACCTCGAGAGGCACGCGGAGTTCATTGCTTCAAAAGGTGACGATGCCTGACTCCTCTTGAATACTGATAGGAATCCCAAAATCCCTGTGGCTACTGGAAAGGGTCCTTGGGTGCCCTGCCTCACCTCGAGAAGCGTCCCTTTTGCCCCGCCTAGCCTCGAAGAGATTCCTGAGGTGTCCCTCGTTACTAGACAGGAGTCCTGACGTCACTGAAGAAACTCGAGTTTTGAAGGGCCATCCCCGCCGTAAGTCGAGAACATACCCCAGGTCCCCGCCGCAACTCGAGAAAAACCATGAGACTTCCCCCTAGAGGCGAGATGAGGCCCCATTCCCCTGCAGTGCATGCAGAGCTATTCCGTGATCCCATTCAAACAAGTCAGGAGCTTCTACTTGCTTAATGGATCTCGAGACAGTCCCCAAGAACACTGTCACCAGTCTAGACGGACCCTGAGGTCACCCCAGCAACGCAAAGCAGCTCCATGTGCCCCAAATCAACTCGAGATGAGGCCCGATTCCCCTGCATTGACTCCAGAGCCATTCCCCGTTCCCCATTCAACACGACCGGTGGCTCGACTTCCTTCAGGCAACTCCAGAGATGCCCCGAGAACACTGTCCCAAGTCTAGAGGAACACCAACTTCAGCACAGCAACTCGAGGAATGCTCTGTCTATCCCAAATCGTCTCAAGATGCGAGCTGATTCCCTGGCTTAGGCTCAAGACGTATGCCAACTTCCCAGAAGCACCTCAGGAGGAGGCTTCTCTCAGCAATAGGTATGTGGGAGGGACCCCGAGTTTGCTGCCTCAAGGGGAATATACAGCGAGAAGCCCTAACTTGAAAGGAGGCCGGATTTCCTTGCAGTGGCTTGAATACAGGCTCGTCTTTCATCTCACAACATGAAGGGATGTCTGAATCCCCTGTGGAGACCTTAGAGAAAGCCCTAGGTCCCTGCCTCATTTTGACGGAATGCCTCACATCCCGCTGACACCTCGAGAGGCATGCGGAGTTCATTGCTTCAAAAGGTGACGATGCCTGACTCCTCTTGAATACTGACAGGAATCCCAAAATCCCTGTGGCTACTGGAAAGGGTCCTTGGGTGCCCTGCCTCACCTCGAGAAGCGTCCCTTTTGCCCTGCCAAGCCTCGAAGAGATTCCTGAGGTGTCCCTCGTTACTAGACAGGAGTCCTGACGTCACTGAAGAAACTCGTGTTTTGAAGGGCCATCCCCGCCGTAAGTCGAGAACATACCCCAGGTCCCCGCCGCAACTCGAGAAAAACCATGAGACTTCCCCCTAGAGGCGAGATGAGGCCCCATTCCCCTGCAGTGCATGCAGAGCTATTCCGTGATCCCATTCAAACAAGTCAGGAGCTTCGACTTGCTTAATGGATCTCGAGACAGTCCCCAAGAACACTGTCACCAGTCTAGACGGACCCTGAGGTCACCCCAGCAACGCAAAGCAGCTCCATGTGCCCCAAATCAACTCGAGATGAGGCCCGATTCCCCTGCATTGACTCCAGAGCCATTCCCCGTTCCCCATTCAACACGACCGGTGGCTCGACTTCCTTCAGGCAACTCCAGAGATGCCCCGAGAACACTGTCCCAAGTCTAGAGGAACACCAACTTCAGCACAGCAACTCGAGGAATGCTCCGTGTACCCCAAATCGTCTCGAGATGCGAGCTGATTCCCTGGCTTAGGCTCAAGACGTATGCCAACTTCCCAGAAGCACCTCAGGAGGAGACTTCTCTCAGCAATAGGTATGTGGGAGGGACCCCGAGTTTGCTGCCTCAAGGGGAATATACAGCGAGAAGCCGTAACTTAAAAGGAGGCCGGATTTCCTTGCAGTGGCTTGAATACAGGCTCGTCTTTCATCTCACAACATGAAGGGATGTCTGAATCCCCTGTGGAGACCTTAGAGAAAGCCCTAGGTCCCTGCCTCATTTTGACGGAATGCCTCACATCCCGCTGACACCTCGAGAGGCACGCGGAGTTCATTGCTTCAAAAGGTGACGATGCCTGACTCCTCTTGAATACTGATAGGAATCCCAAAATCCCTGTGGCTACTGGAAAGGGTCTTGGGTGCCCTGCCTCACCTCGAGAAGCGTCCCTTTTGCCCTGCCAAGCCTCGAAGAGATTCCTGAGGTGTCCCTCGTTACTAGACAGGAGTCCTGACGTCACTGAAGAAACTCGTGTTTTGAAGGGCCATCCCCGCCGTAAGTCGAGAACATACCCCAGGTCCCCGCCGCAACTCGAGAAAAACCATGAGACTTCCCCCTAGAGGCGAGATGAGGCCCCATTCCCCTGCAGTGCATGCAGAGCTATTCCGTGATCCAATTCAAACAAGTCAGGAGCTTCGACTTGCGTAATGGATCTCGAGACAGTCCCCAAGAACACTGTCACCAGTCTAGACGGACCCTGAGGTCACCCCAGCAACGCAAAGCAGCTCCATGTGCCCCAAATCAACTCGAGATGAGGCCCGATTCCCCTGCATTGACTCCAGAGCCATTCCCCGTTCCCCATTCAACACGACCGGTGGCTCGACTTCCTTCAGGCAACTCCAGAGATGCCCCGAGAACACTGTCCCAAGTCTAGAGGAACACCAACTTCAGCACAGCAACTCGAGGAATGCTCCGTGTACCCCAAATCGTCTCGAGATGCGAGCTGATTCCCTGGCTTAGGCTCAAGACGTATGCCAACTTCCCAGAAGCACCTCAGGAGGAGGCTTCTCTCAGCAATAGGTATGTGGGAGGGACCCCGAGTTTGCTGCCTCAAGGGGAATATACAGCGAGAAGCCCTAACTTGAAAGGAGGCCGGATTTCCTTGCAGTGGCTTGAATACAGGCTCGTCTTTCATCTCACAACATGAAGGGATGTCTGAATCCCCTGTGGAGACCTTAGAGAAAGCCCTAGTTCCCTGCCTCATTTTGATGGAATGCCTCACATCCCACTGACACCTCGAGAGGCATGCGGAGTTCATTGCTTCAAAAGGTGACGATGCCTGACTCCTCTTGAATACTGACAGGAATCCCAAAATCCCTGTGGCTACTTTAAAGGGTCCTTGGGTGCCCTGCCTCACCTCGAGAAGCGTCCCTTTTGCCCTGCCAAGCCTCGAAGAGATTCCTGAGGTGTCCCTCGTTACTAGACAGGAGTCCTGACGTCACTGAAGAAACTCGTGTTTTGAAGGGCCATCCCCGCCGTAAGTCGAGAACATACCCCAGGTCCCCGCCGCAACTCGAGAAAAACCATGAGACTTCCCCCTAGAGGCGAGATGAGGCCCCATTCCCCTGCAGTGCATGCAGAGCTATTCCGTGATCCCATTCAAACAAGTCAGGAGCTTCGACTTGCTTAATGGATCTCGAGACAGTCCCCAAGAACACTGTCACCAGTCTAGACGGACCCTGAGGTCACCCCAGCAACGCAAAGCAGCTCCATGTGCCCCAAATCAACTCGAGATGAGGCCCGATTCCCCTGCATTGACTCCAGAGCCATTCCCCGTTCCCCATTCAACACGACCGGTGGCTCGACTTCCTTCAGGCAACTCCAGAGATGCCCCGAGAACACTGTCCCAAGTCTAGAGGAACACCAACTTCAGCACAGCAACTCGAGGAATGCTCCGTGTACCCCAAATCGTCTCGAGATGCGAGCTGATTCCCTGGCTTAGGCTCAAGACGTATGCCAACTTCCCAGAAGCACCTCAGGAGGAGGCTTCTCTCAGCAATAGGTATGTGGGAGGGACCCCGAGTTTGCTGCCTCAAGGGGAATATACAGCGAGAAGCCCTAACTTGAAAGGAGGCCGGATTTCCTTGCAGTGGCTTGAATACAGGCTCGTCTTTCATCTCACAACATGAAGGGATGTCTGAATCCCCTGTGGAGACCTTAGAGAAAGCCCTAGGTCCCTGCCTCATTTTGACGGAATGCCTCACATCCCGCTGACACCTCGAGAGGCACGCGGAGTTCATTGCTTCAAAAGGTGACGATGCCTGACTCCTCTTGAATACTGACAGGAATCCCAAAATCCCTGTGGCTACTGGAAAGGGTACTTGGGTGCCCTGCCTCACCTCGAGAAGCGTCCCTTTTGCCCTGCCAAGCCTCGAAGAGATTCCTGAGGTGTCCCTCGTTACTAGACAGGAGTCCTGACGTCACTGAAGAAACTCGTGTTTTGAAGGGCCATCCCCGCCGTAAGTCGAGAACATACCCCAGGTCCCTGCCGCAACTCGAGAAAAACCATGAGACTTCCCCCTAGAGGCGAGATGAGGCCCCATTCCCCTGCAGTGCATGCAGAGCTATTCCGTGATCCCATTCAAACAAGTCAGGAGCTTCGACTTGCTTAATGGATCTCGAGACAGTCCCCAAGAACACTGTCACCAGTCTAGACGGACCCTGAGGTCACCCCAGCAACGCAAAGCAGCTCCATGTGCCCCAAACCAACTCGAGATGAGGCCCGATTCCCCTGCATTGACTCCAGAGCCATTCCCCGTTCCCCATTCAACACGACCGGTGGCTCGACTTCCTTCAGGCAACTCCAGAGATGCCCCGAGAACACTGTCCCAAGTCTAGAGGAACACCAACTTCAGCACAGCAACTCGAGGAATGCTCCGTGTACCCCAAATCGTCTCGAGATGCGAGCTGATTCCCTGGCTTAGGCTCAAGACGTATGCCAACTTCCCAGAAGCACCTCAGGAGGAGGCTTCTCTCAGCAATAGGTATGTGGGAGGGACCCCGAGTTTGCTGCCTCAAGGGGAATATACAGCGAGAAGCCCTAACTTGAAAGGAGGCCGGATTTCCTTGCAGTGGCTTGAATACAGGCTCGTCTTTCATCTCACAACATGAAGGGATGTCTGAATCCCCTGTGGAGACCTTAGAGAAAGCCCTAGGTCCATGCCTCATTTTGACGGAATGCCTCACATCGCGCTGAAACCTCGAGAGGCACGCGGAGTTCATTGCTTCAAAAGGTGACGATGCCTGACTCCTCTTGAATACTGATAGGAATCCCAAAATCCCTGTGGCTACTGGAAAGGGTCCTTGGGTGCCCTGCCTCACCTCGAGAAGCGTCCCTTTGGCCCTGCCAAGCCTCGAAGAGATTCCTGAGGTGTCCCTCGTTACTAGACAGGAGTCCTGACGTCACTGAAGAAACTCGAGTTTTGAAGGGCCATCCCCGCCGCAACTCGAGAAAAACCATGAGATTTCCCCCTAGAGGCGAGATGAGGCCCCATTCCCCTGCAGTGCATGCAGAGCTATTCCGTGATCCCATTCAAACAAGTCAGGAGCTTCGACTTGCTTAATGGATCTCGAGACAGTCCCCAAGAACACTGTCACCAGTCTAGACGGACCCTGAGGTCACCCCAGCAACGCAAAGCAGCTCCATGTGCCCCAAATCAACTCGAGATGAGGCCCGATTCCCCTGCATTGACTCCAGAGCCATTCCCCGTTCCCCATTCAACACGACCGGTGGCTCGACTTCCTTCAGGCAACTCCAGAGATGCCCCGAGAACACTGTCCCAAGTCTAGAGGAACACCAACTTCAGCACAGCAACTCGAGGAATGCTCCGTGTACCCCAAATCGTCTCGAGATGCGAGCTGATTCCCTGGCTTAGGCTCAAGACGTATGCCAACTTCCCAGAAGCACCTCAGGAGGAGGCTTCTCTCAGCAAATAGATATGTGGGAGGGACCCCGAGTTTGCTGCCTCAAGGGGAATATACAGCGAGAAGCCCTAACTTGAAAGGAGGCCGGATTTCCTTGCAGTGGCTTGAATACAGGCTCGTCTTTCATCTCACAACATGAAGGGATGTCTGAATCCCCTGTGGAGACCTTAGAGAAAGCCCTAGGTCCCTGCCTCATTTTGACGGAATGCCTCACATCCCGCTGACACCTCGAGAGGCACGCGGAGTTCATTGCTTCAAAAGGTGACGATGCCTGACTCCTCTTGAATACTGATAGGAATCCCAAAATCCCTGTGGCTACTGGAAAGGGTCCTTGGGTGCCCTGCCTCACCTCGAGAAGCGTCCCTTTTGCCCTGCCAAGCCTCGAAGAGATTCCTGAGGTGTCCCTCGTTACTAGACAGGAGTCCTGACGTCACTGAAGAAACTCGTGTTTTGAAGGGCCATCCCCGCCGTAAGTCGAGAACATACCCCAGGTCCCCGCCGCAACTCGAGAAAAACCATGAGACTTACCCCTAGAGGCGAGATGAGGCCCCATTCCCCTGCAGTGCATGCAGAGCTATTCCGTGATCCCATTCAAACAAGTCAGGAGCTTCGACTTGCTTAATGGATCTCGAGACAGTCCCCAAGAACACTGTCACCAGTCTAGACGGACCCTGAGGTCACCCCAGCAACGCAAAGCAGCTCCATGTGCCCCAAATCAACTCGAGATGAGGCCCGATTCCCCTGCATTGACTCCAGAGCCATTCCCCGTTCCCCATTCAACACGACCGGTGGCTCGACTTCCTTCAGGCAACTCCAGAGATGCCCCGAGAACACTGTCCCAAGTCTATAGGAACACCAACTTCAGCACAGCAACTCGAGGAATGCTCCGTGTACCCCAAATCGTCTCGAGATGAGAGCTGATTCCCTGGCTTAGGCTCAAGACGTATGCCAACTACCCAGAAGCACCTCAGGAGGAGGCTTCTCTCAGCAATAGGTATGTGGGAGGGACCCCGAGTTTGCTGCCTCAAGGGGAATATACAGCGAGAAGACCTAACTTGAAAGGAGGCCGGATTTCCTTGCAGTGGCTTGAATACAGGCTCGTCTTTCATCTCACAACATGAAGGGATGTCTGAATCCCCTGTGGAGACCTTAGAGAAAGCCCTAGGTCCCTGCCTCATTTTGACGGAATGCCTCACATCCCGCTGACACCTCGAGAGGCACGCGGAGTTCATTGCTCCAAAAGGTGACGATGCCTGACTCCTCTTGAATACTGATAGGAATCCCAAAATCCCTGTGGCTACTGGAAAGGGTCCTTGGGTGCCCTGCCTCCCCTCGAGAAGCGTCCCTTTTGCCCTGCCAAGCCTCGAAGAGATTCCTGAGGTGTCCCTCGTTACTAGACAGGAGTCCTGACGTCACTGAAGAAACTCGTGTTTTGAAGGGCCATCCCCGCCGTAAGTCGAGAACATACCCCAGGTCCCCGCCGCAACTCGAGAAAAACCATGAGACTTCCCCCTAGAGGCGAGATGAGGCCCCATTCCCCTGCAGTGCATGCAGAGCTATTCCGTGATCCCATTCAGACAAGTCAGGAGCTTCCACTTGCTTAATGGATCTCGAGACAGTCCCCAAGAACACTGTCACCAGTCTGGACGGACCCTGAGGTCACCCCAGCAACGCAAAGCAGCTCCATGTGCCCCAAATCAACTCGAGATGAGTCCCGATTCCCCTGCATTGACCCCAGAGCCATTCCCCGTTCCCCATTCAACACGACCGGTGGCTCGACTTCCTTCAGGCAACTCCAGAGATGCCCTGAGAACACTGTCCCAAGTCTAGAGGAACACCAACTTCAGCACAGCAACTCGAGGAATGCTCCGTGTACCCCAAATCGTCTCGAGATGCGAGCTGATTCCCTGGCTTAGGCTCAAGACGTATGCCAACTTCCCAGAAGCACCTCAGGAGGAGGCTTCTCTCAGCAATAGGTATGTGGGAGGGACCCCGAGTTTGCTGCCTCAAGGGGAATATACAGCGAGAAGCCCTAACTTGAAAGGAGGCCGGATTTCCTTGCAGTGGCTTGAATACAGGCTCGTCTTTCATCTCACAACATGAAGGGATGTCTGAATCCCCTGTGGAGACCTTAGAGAAAGCCCTAGGTCCCTGCCTCATTTTGACGGAATGCCTCACATCGCGCTGACACCTCGAGAGGCACGCGGAGTTCATTGCTTCAAAAGGTGACGATGCCTGACTCCTCTTGAATACTGATAGGAATCCCAAAATCCCTGTGGCTACTGGAAAGGGTCCTTGGGTGCCCTGCCTCACCTCGAGAAGCGTCCCTTTTGCCCTGCCAAGCCTCGAAGAGATTCCTGAGGTGTCCCTCGTTACTAGACAGGAGTCCTGACGTCACTGAAGAAACTCGTGTTTTGAAGGGCCATCCCCGCCGTAAGTCGAGAACATACCCCAGGTCCCCGCCGCAACTCGAGAAAAACCATGAGACTTCCCCCTAGAGGCGAAATGAGGCCCCATTCCCCTGCAGTGCATGCAGAGCTATTCCGTGATCCCATTCAAACAAGTCAGGAGCTTCGACTTGCGTAATGGATCTCGAGACAGTCCCCAAGAACACTGTCACCAGTCTAGACGGACCCTGAGGTCACCCCAGCAACGCAAAGCAGCTCCATGTGCCCCAAATCAACTCGAGATGAGGCCCGATTCCCCTGCATTGACTCCAGAGCCATTCCCCGTTCCCCATTCAACACGACCGGTGGCTCGACTTCCTTCAGGCAACTCCAGAGATGCCCCGAGAACACTGTCCCAAGTCTAGAGGAACACCAACTTCAGCACAGCAACTCGAGGAATGCTCTGTCTATCCCAAATCGTCTCAAGATGCGAGCTGATTCCCTGGCTTAGGCTCAAGACGTATGCCAACTTCCCAGAAGCACCTCAGGAGGAGGCTTCTCTCAGCAATAGGTATGTGGGAGGGACCCCGAGTTTGCTGCCTCAAGGGGAATATACAGCGAGAAGCCCTAACTTGAAAGGAGGCCGGATTTCCTTGCAGTGGCTTGAATACAGGCTCGTCTTTCATCTCACAACATGAAGGGATGTCTGAATCCCCTGTGGAGACCTTAGAGAAAGCCCTAGGTCCCTGCCTCATTTTGACGGAATGCCTCACATCCCGCTGACACCTCGAGAGGCATGCGGAGTTCATTGCTTCAAAAGGTGACGATGCCTGACTCCTCTTGAATACTGACAGGAATCCCAAAATCCCTGTGGCTACTGGCAAGGGTCCTTGGGTGCCCTGCCTCACCTCGAGAAGCGTCCCTTTTGCCCTGCCAAGCCTCGAAGAGATTCCTGAGGTGTCCCTCGTTACTAGACAGGAGTCCTGACGTCACTGAAGAAACTCGTGTTTTGAAGGGCCATCCCCGCCGTAAGTCGAGAACATACCCCAGGTCCCCGCCGCAACTCGAGAAAAACCATGAGACTTCCCCCTAGAGGCGAGATGAGGCCCCATTCCCCTGCAGTGCATGCAGAGCTATTCCGTGATCCCATTCAAACAAGTCAGGAGCTTCGACTTGCTTAATGGATCTCGAGACAGTCCCCAAGAACACTGTCACCAGTCTAGACGGACCCTGAGGTCACCCCAGCAACGCAAAGCAGCTCCATGTGCCCCAAATCAACTCGAGATGAGGCCCGATTCCCCTGCATTGACTCCAGAGCCATTCCCCGTTCCCCATTCAACACGACCGGTGGCTCGACTTCCTTCAGGCAACTCCAGAGATGCCCCGAGAACACTGTCCCAAGTCTAGAGGAACACCAACTTCAGCACAGCAATTCGAGGAATGCTCCGTGTACCCCAAATCGTCTCGAGATGCGAGCTGATTCCCTGGCTTAGGCTCAAGACGTATGCCAACTTCCCAGAAGCACCTCAGGAGGAGGCTTCTCTCAGCAATAGGTATGTGGGAGGGACCCCGAGTTTGCTGCCTCAAGGGGAATATACAGCGAGAAGCCCTAACTTGAAAGGAGGCCGGATTTCCTTGCAGTGGCTTGAATACAGGCTCGTCTTTCATCTCACAACATGAAGGGATGTCTGAATCCCCTGTGGAGACCTTAGAGAAAGCCCTAGGTCCCTGCCTCATTTTGACGGAATGCCTCACATCCCGCTGACACCTCGAGAGGCACGCGGAGTTCATTGCTTCAAAAGGTGACGATGCCTGACTCCTCTTGAATACTGATAGGAATCCCAAAATCCCTGTGGCTACTGGAAAGGGTCCTTGGGTGCCCTGCCTCACCTCGAGAAGCGTCCCTTTTGCCCTGCCAAGCCTCGAAGAGATTCCTGAGGTGTCCCTCGTTACTAGACAGGAGTCCTGACGTCACTGAAGAAACTCGTGTTTTGAAGGGCCATCCCCGCCGTAAGTCGAGAACATACCCCAGCTCCCCGCCGCAACTCGAGAAAAACCATGAGACTTCCCCCTAGAGGCTAGATGAGGCCCCATTCCCCTGCAGTGCATGCAGAGCTATTCCGTGATCCCATTCAAACAAGTCAGGAGCTTCGACTTGCTTAATGGATCTCGAGACAGTCCCCAAGAACACTGTCACCAGTCTAGACGGACCCTGAGGTCACCCCAGCAACGCAAAGCAGCTCCATGTGCCCCAAATCAACTCGAGATGAGGCCCGATTCCCCTGCATTGACTCCAGAGCCATTGCCCGTTCCCCATTCAACACGACCGGTGGCTCGACTTCCTTCAGGCAACTCCAGAGATGCCCCGAGAACACTGTCCCAAGTCTAGAGGAACACCAACTTCAGCACAGCAGCTCGAGGAATGCTCCGTGTACCCCAAATCGTCTCGAGATGAGAGCTGATTCCCTGGCTTAGGCTCAAGACGTATGCCAAATTCCCAGAAGCACCTCAGGAGGAGGCTTCTCTCAGCAATAGGTATGTGGGAGGGACCCCGAGTTTGCTGCCTCAAGGGGAATATACAACGAGAAGCCCTAACTTGAAAGGAGGCCGGATTTCCTTGCAGTGGCTTGAATACAGGCTCGTCTTTCATCTCACAACATGAAGGGATGTCTGAATCCCCTGTGGAGACCTTAGAGAAAGCCCTAGGTCCCTGCCTCATTTTGACGGAATGCCTCACATCGCGCTGACACCTCGAGAGGCACGCGGAGTTCATTGCTTCAAAAGGTGACGATGCCTGACTCCTCTTGAATACTGATAGGAATCCCAAAATCCCTGTGGCTACTGGAAAGGGTCCTTGGGTGCCCTGCCTCACCTCGAGAAGCGTCCCTTTGGCCCTGCCAAGCCTCGAAGAGATTCCTGAGGTGTCCCTCGTTACTAGACAGGAGTCCTGACATCACTGAAGAAACTCGTGTTTTGAAGGGCCATCCCCGCTGTAAGTCGAGAACATACCCCAGGTCCCCGCCGCAACTCGAGAAAAAACATGAGACTTCCCCCTAGAGGCGAGATGAGGCCCCATTCCCCTGCAGTGCATGCAGAGCTATTCCGTGATCCCATTCAAACAAGTCAGGAGCTTCGACTTGCTTAATGGATCTCGAGACAGTCCCCGAGAACATTGTCACCAGTCTAGACGGACCCTGAGGTCACCCCAGCAACGCAAAGCAGCTCCAGGTGCCCCAAATCAACTCGAGATGAGGCCCGATCCCCTGCATTGACTCCAGAGCCATTCCCCGTTCCCCATTCAACACGACCGGTGGCTCGACTTCCTTCAGGCAACTCCAGAGATGCCCCGAGAACACTGTCCCAAGTCTAGAGGAACACCAACTTCAGCACAGCAACTCGAGGAATGCTCCGTCTACCCCAAATCGTCTCGAGATGCGAGCTGATTCCCTGGCTTAGGCTCAAGACGTATGCCAACTTCCCAGAAGCACCTCAGGAGGAGGCTTCTCTAAGCAATAGGTATGTGGGAGGGACCCCGAGTTTGCTGCCTCAAGGGGAATATACAGCGAGAAGCCCTAACTTGAAAGGAGGCCGGATTTCCTTGCAGTGGCTTGAATACAGGCTCGTCTTTCATCTCACAACATGAAGGGATGTCTGAATCCCCTGTGGAGACCTTAGAGAAAGGCCTAGGTCCCTGCCTCATTTTGACGGAATGCCTCACATCCCGCTGACACCTCGAGAGGCACGCGGAGTTCATTGCTTCAAAAGGTGACGATGCCTGACTCCTCTTGAATACTGATAGGAATCCCAAAATCCCTGTGGCTACTGGAAAGGGTCCTTGGGTGCCCTGCCTCACATCGAGAAGCGTCCCTTTTGCCCTGCCAAGCCTCGAAGAGATTCCTGAGGTGTCCCTCGTTACTAGACAGGAGTCCTGACGTCACTGAAGAAACTCGTGTTTTGAAGGGCCATCCCTGCGTAAGTCGAGAACATACCCCAGGTCCCCGCCGCAACTCGAGAAAAACCATGAGACTTCCCCCTAGAGGCGAGATGAGGCCCCATTCCCCTGCAGTGCATGCAGAGCTATTCCGTGATCCCATTCAAACAAGTCAGGAGCTTCGACTTGCTTAATGGATCTCGAGACAGTCCTCAAGAACACTGTCACCAGTCTAGACGGACCCTGAGGTCACCCCAGCAACGCAAAGCAGCTCCATGTGCCCCAAATCAACTCGAGATGAGGCCCGATTCCCCTGCATTGACTCCAGAGCCATTCCCCGTTCCCCATTCAACACGACCGGTGGCTCGACTTCCTTCAGGCAACTCCAGAGATGCCCCGAGAACACTGTCCCAAGTCTAGAGGAACACCAACTTCAGCACAGCAACTCGAGGAATGCTCCGTGTACCCCAAATCGTCTCGAGATGCGAGCTGATTCCCTGGCTTAGGCTCAAGACGTATGCCAACTTCCCAGAAGCACCTCAGGAGGAGGCTTCTCTCAGCAATAGGTATGTGGGAGGGACCCCGAGTTTGCTGCCTCAAGGGGAATATACAGCGAGAAGCCCTAACTTGAAAGGAGGCCGGATTTCCTTGCAGTGCCTTGAATACAGGCTCGTCTTTCATCTCACAACATGAAGGGATGTCTGAATCCCCTGTGGAGACCTTAGAGAAAGCCCTAGGTCCCTGCCTCATTTTGACGGAATGCCTCACATCCCGCTGACACCTCGAGAGGCACGCGGAGTTCATTGCTTCAAAAGGTGACGATGCCTGACTCCTCTTGAATACTGATAGGAATCCCAAAATCCCTGTGGCTACTGGAAAGGGTCCTTGGGTGCCCTGCCTCACCTCGAGAAGCGTCCCTTTTGCCCTGCCAAGCCTCGAAGAGATTCCTGAGGTGTCCCTCGTTACTAGACAGGAGTCCTGACGTCTCTGAAGAAACTCGTGTTTTGAAGGGCCATCCCCGCCGTAAGTCGAGAACATACCCCAGGTCCCCGCCGCAACTCGAGAAAAACCATGAGACTTCCCCCTAGAGGCGAGATGAGGCCCCATTCCCCTGCAGTGCATGCAGAGCTATTCCGTGATCCCATTCAAACAAGTCAGGAGCTTCGACTTGCTTAATGGATCTCGAGACAGTCCCCAAGAACACTGTCACCAGTCTAGACGGACCCTGAGGTCACCCCAGCAACGCAAAGCAGCTCCATGTGCCCCAAATCAACTCGAGATGAGGCCCGATTCCCCTGCATTGACTCCAGAGCCATTCCCCGTTCCCCATTCAACACGACCGGTGGCTCGACTTCCTTCAGGCAACTCCAGAGATGCCCCGAGAACACTGTCCCAAGTCTAGAGGAACACCAACTTCAGCACAGCAACTCGAGGAATGCTCTGTGTACCCCAAATCGTCTCGAGATGCGAGCTGATTCCCTGGCTTAGGCTCAAGACGTATGCCAACTTCCCAGAAGCACCTCAGGAGGAGGCTTCTCTCAGCAATAGGTATGTGGGAGGGACCCCGAGTTTGCTGCCTCAAGGGGAATATACCGCGAGAAGCCCTAACTTGAAAGGAGGCCGGATTTCCTTGCAGTGGCTTGAATACAGGCTCGTCTTTCATCTCACAACATGAAGGGATGTCTGAATCCCCTGTACCTTAGAGAAAGCCCTAGGTCCCTGCCTCATTTTGACGGAATGCCTCACATCCCGCTGACACCTCGAGAGGCACGCGGAGTTCATTGCTTCAAAAGGTGACGATGCCTGACTCCTCTTGAATACTGATAGGAATCCCAAAATCCCTGTAGCTACTAGAAAGGGTCTTGGGTGCCCTGCCTCACCTCGAGAAGCGTCCCTTTTGCCCTGCCAAGCCTCGAAGAGATTCCTGAGGTGTCCCTCGTTACTAGACAGGAGTCCTGACGTCACTGAAGAAACTCGTGTTTTGAAGGGCCATCCCCGCCGTAAGTCGAGAACATACCCCAGGTCCCCGCCGCAACTCGAGAAAAACCATGAGACTTCCCCCTAGAGGCGAGATGAGGCCCCATTCCCCTGCAGTGCATGCAGAGCTATTCCGTGATCCCATTCAAACAAGTCAGGAGCTTCGACTTGCTTAATGGATCTCGAGACAGTCCCCAAGAACACTGTCACCAGTCTAGACGGACCCTGAGGTCACCCCAGCAACGCAAAGCAGCTCCATGTGCCCCAAATCAACTCGAGATGAGGCCTGATTCCCCTGCATTGACTCCAGAGCCATTCCCCGTTCCCCATTCAACACGACCGGTGGCTCGACTTCCTTCAGGCAACTCCAGAGATGCCCCGAGAACACTGTCCCAAGTCTAGAGGAACACCACCTTCAGCACAGCAATTCGAGGAATGCTCCGTCTACCCCAAATCGTCTCGAGATGCGAGCTGATTCCCTGGCTTAGGCTCAAGACGTATGCCAACTTCCCAGAAGCACCTCAGGAGGAGGCTTCTCTCAGCAATAGGTATGTGGGAGGGAACCCGAGTTTGCTGCCTCAAGGAGAATATACAGCGAGAAGCCCTAACTTGAAAGGAGGCCGGATTTCCTTGCAGTGGCTTGAATACAGGCTCGTCTTTCATCTCACAACATGAAGGGATGTCTGAATCCCCTGTGGAGACCTTAGAGAAAGCCCTAGGTCCCTGCCTCATTTTGACGGAATGCCTCACATCCCGCTGACACCTCGAGAGGCACGCGGAGTTCATTGCTTCAAAAGGTGACGATGCCTGACTCCTCTTGAATACTGATAGGAATCCCAAAATCCCTGTGGCTACTGGAAAGGGTCCTTGGGTGCCCTGCCTCACCTCGAGAAGCGTCCCTTTTGCCCTGCCAAGCCTCGAAGAGATTCCTGAGGTGTCCCTCGTTACTAGACAGGAGTCCTGACGTCACTGAAGAAACTCGTGTTTTGAAGGGCCATCCCCGCCGTAAGTCGAGAACATACCCCAGGTCCCCGCCGCAACTCGAGAAAAACCATGAGACTTCCCCCTAGAGGCGAGATGAGGCCCCATTCCCCTGCAGTGCATGCAGAGCTATTCCGTGATCCCATTCAAACAAGTCAGGAGCTTCGACTTGCTTAATGGATCTCGAGACAGTCCCCAAGAACACTGTCACCAGTCTAGACGGACCCTGAGGTCACCCCAGCAACGCAAAGCAGCTCCATGTGCCCCAAATCAACTCGAGATGAGGCCCGATTCCCCTGCATTGACTCCAGAGCCATTCCCCGTTCCCCATTCAACACGACCGGTGGCTCGACTTCCTTCAGGCAACTCCAGAGATGCCCCGAGAACACTGTCCCAAGTCTAGAGGAACACCAACTTCAGCACAGCAGCTCGAGGAATGCTCCGTGTACCCCAAATCGTCTCGAGATGCGAGCTGATTCCCTGGCTTAGGCTCAAGACGTATGCCAACTTCCCAGAAGCACCTCAGGAGGAGGCTTCTCTCAGCAATAGGTATGTGGGAGGGACCCCGAGTTTGCTGCCTCAAGGGGAATATACAGCGAGAAGCACTAACTTGAAAGGAGGCCGGATTTCCTTGCAGTGGCTTGAATACAGGCTCGTCTTTCATCTCACAACATGAAGGGATGTCTGAATCCCCTGTGGAGACCTTAGAGAAAGCCCTAGGTCCCTGCCTCATTTTGACGGAATGCCTCACATCGTGCTGACACCTCGAGAGGCACGCGGAGTTCATTGCTTCAAAAGGTGACCATGCCTGACTCCTCTTGAATACTGATAGGAATCCCAAAATCCCTGTGGCTCCTGGAAAGAGTCCTTGGGTGCCCTGCCTCACCTCGAGAAGCGTCCTTTTGCCCTGCCAAGCCTCGAAGAGATTCCTGAGGTGTCCCTCGTTACTAGACAGGAGTCCTGACGTCACTGAAGAAACTCGTGTTTTGAAGGGCCATCCCCGCCGTAAGTCGAGAACATACCCCAGGTCCCTGCCGCAACTCGAGAAAAACCATGAGACTTCCCCCTAGAGGCGAGATGAGGCCCCATTCCCCTGCAGTGCATGCAGAGCTATTCCGTGATCCCATTCAAACAAGTCAGGAGCTTCGACTTGCTTAATGGATCTCGAGACAGTCCCCAAGAACACTGTCACCAGTCTAGACGGACCCTGAGGTCACCCCAGCAACGCAAAGCAGCTCCATGTGCCCCAAATCAACTCGAGATGAGGCCCGATTCCCCTGCATTGACTCCAGAGCCATTCCCCGTTCCCCATTCAACACGACCGGTGGCTCGACTTCCTTCAGGCAACTCCAGAGATGCCCCGAGAACACTGTCCCAAGTCTAGAGGAACACCAACTTCAGCACAGCAGCTCGAGGAATGCTCCGTGTACCCCAAATCGTCTCGAGATGAGAGCTGATTCCCTGGCTTAGGCTCAAGACGTATGCCAACTTCCCAGAAGCACCTCAGGAGGAGGCTTCTCTCAGCAATAGGTATGTGGGAGGGACCCCGAGTTTGCTGCCTCAAGGGGAATATACAGCGAGAAGCCCTAACTTGAAAGGAGGCCGGATTTCCTTGCAGTGGCTTGAATACAGGCTCGTCTTTCATCTCACAACATGAAGGGATGTCTGAATCCCCTGTGGAGACCTTAGAGAAAGCCCTAGGTCCCTGCCTCATTTTGACGGAATGCCTCACATCCCGCTGACACCTCGAGAGGCACGCGGAGTTCATTGCTTCAAAAGGTGACGATGCCTGACTCCTCTTGAATACTGATAGGAATCCCCAAATCCCTGTGGCTACTGGAAAGGGTCCTTGGGTGCCCTGCCTCACCTCGAGAAGCGTCCCTTTTGCCCTGCCAAGCCTCGAAGAGATTCCTGAGGTGTCCCTCGTTACTAGACAGGAGTCCTGACGTCACTGAAGAAACTCGTGTTTTGAAGGGCCATCCCCGCCGTAAGTCGAGAACATACCCCAGGTCCCCGCCGCAACTCGAGAAAAACCATGATACTTCCCCCTAGAGGCGAGATGAGGCCCCATTCCCCTGCAGTGCATGCAGAGCTATTCCGTGATCCCATTCAAACAAGTCAGCAGCTTCGACTTGCTTAATGGGTCTCGAGACAGTCCCCAAGAACACTGTCACCAGTCTAGACGGACCCTGAGGTCACCCCAGCAACGCAAAGCAGCTCCATGTGCCCCAAATCAACTCGAGATGAGGCCCGATTCCCCTGCATTGACTCCAGAGCCATTCCCCGTTCCCCATTCAACACGACCGGTGGCTCGACTTCCTTCAGGCAACTCCAGAGATGCCCCGAGAACACTGTCCCAAGTCTAGAGGAACACCAACTTCAGCACAGCAATTCGAGGAATGCTCCGTCTACCCCAAATCGTCTCGTGATGCGAGCTGATTCCCTGGCTTAGGCTCAAGACGTATGCCAACTTCCCAGAAGCACCTCAGGAGGAGGCTTCTCTCAGCAATAGGTATGTGGGAGGGACCCCGAGTTTGCTGCCTCAAGGGGAATATACCGCGAGAAGCCCTAACTTGAAAGGAGGCCGGATTTCCTTGCAGTGGCTTGAATACAGGCTCGTCTTTCATCTCACAACATGAAGGGATGTCTGAATCCCCTGTACCTTAGAGAAAGCCCTAGGTCCCTGCCTCATTTTGACGGAATGCCTCACATCCCGCTGACACCTCGAGAGGCACGCGGAGTTCATTGCTTCAAAAGGTGACGATGCCTGACTCCTCTTGAATACTGATAGGAATCCCAAAATCCCTGTGGCTACTGGAAAGGGTCCTTGGGTGCCCTGCCTCACCTCGAGAAGCGTCCCTTTTGCCCTGCCAAGCCTCGAAGAGATTCCTGAGGTGTCCCTCGTTACTAGACAGGAGTCCTGACGTCACTGAACAAACTCGTGTTTTGAAGGGCCATCCCCGCCGTAAGTCGAGAACATACCCCAGGTCCCCGCCGCAACTCGAGAAAAACCATGAGACTTCCCCCTAGAGGCGAGATGAGGCCCCATTCCCCTGCAGTGCATGCAGAGCTATTCCGTGATCCCATTCAAACAAGTCAGGAGCTTCGACTTGCTTAATGGATCTCGAGACAGTCCCCAAGAACACTGTCACCAGTCTAGACGGACCCTGAGGTCACCCCAGCAACGCAAAGCAGCTCCATGTGCCCCAAATCAACTCGAGATGAGGCCCGATTCCCCTGCATTGACTCCAGAGCCATTCCCCGTTCCCCATTCAACACGACCGGTGGCTCGACTTCCTTCAGGCAACTCCAGAGATGCCCCGAGAACACTGTCCCAAGTCTAGAGGAACACCAACTTCAGCACAGCAACTCGAGGAATGCTCCGTGTACCCCAAATCGTCTCGAGATGCGAGCTGATTCCCTGGCTTAGGCTCAAGACGTATGCCAACTTCCCAGAAGCACCTCAGGAGGAGGCTTCTCTCAGCAATAGGTATGTGGGAGGGACCCCGAGTTTGCTGCCTCAAGGGGAATATACAGCGAGAAGCCGTAACTTAAAAGGAGGCCGGATTTCCTTGCAGTGGCTTGAATACAGGCTCGTCTTTCATCTCACAACATGAAGGGATGTCTGAATCCCCTGTGGAGACCTTAGAGAAAGCCCTAGGTCCCTGCCTCATTTTGACGGAATGCCTCACATCCCGCTGACACCTCGAGAGGCACGCGGAGTTCATTGCTTCAAAAGGTGACGATGCCTGACTCCTCTTGAATACTGATAGGAATCCCAAAATCCCTGTGGCTACTGGAAAGGGTCTTGGGTGCCCTGCCTCACCTCGAGAAGCGTCCCTTTTGCCCTGCCAAGCCTCGAAGAGATTCCTGAGGTGTCCCTCGTTACTAGACAGGAGTCCTGACGTCACTGAAGAAACTCGTGTTTTGAAGGGCCATCCCCGCCGTAAGTCGAGAACATACCCCAGGTCCCCGCCGCAACTCGAGAAAAACCATGAGACTTCCCCCTAGAGGCGAGATGAGGCCCCATTCCCCTGCAGTGCATGCAGAGCTATTCCGTGATCCCATTCAAACAAGTCAGGAGCTTCGACTTGCTTAATGGATCTCGAGACAGTCCCCAAGAACACTGTCACCAGTCTAGACGGACCCTGAGGTCACCCCAGCAACGCAAAGCAGCTCCATGTGCCCCAAATCAACTCGAGATGAGGCCTGATTCCCCTGCATTGACTCCAGAGCCATTCCCCGTTCCCCATTCAACACGACCGGTGGCTCGACTTCCTTCAGGCAACTCCAGAGATGCCCCGAGAACACTGTCCCAAGTCTAGAGGAACACCACCTTCAGCACAGCAATTCGAGGAATGCTCCGTCTACCCCAAATCGTCTCGAGATGCGAGCTGATTCCCTGGCTTAGGCTCAAGACGTATGCCAACTTCCCAGAAGCACCTCAGGAGGAGGCTTCTCTCAGCAATAGGTATGTGGGAGGGAACCCGAGTTTGCTGCCTCAAGGAGAATATACAGCGAGAAGCCCTAACTTGAAAGGAGGCCGGATTTCCTTGCAGTGGCTTGAATACAGGCTCGTCTTTCATCTCACAACATGAAGGGATGTCTGAATCCCCTGTGGAGACCTTAGAGAAAGCCCTAGGTCCCTGCCTCATTTTGACGGAATGCCTCACATCCCGCTGACACCTCGAGAGGCACGCGGAGTTCATTGCTTCAAAAGGTGACGATGCCTGACTCCTCTTGAATACTGATAGGAATCCCAAAATCCCTGTGGCTACTGGAAAGGGTCCTTGGGTGCCCTGCCTCACCTCGAGAAGCGTCCCTTTTGCCCTGCCAAGCCTCGAAGAGATTCCTGAGGTGTCCCTCGTTACTAGACAGGAGTCCTGACGTCACTGAAGAAACTCGTGTTTTGAAGGGCCATCCCCGCCGTAAGTCGAGAACATACCCCAGGTCCCCGCCGCAACTCGAGAAAAACCATGAGACTTCCCCCTAGAGGCGAGATGAGGCCCCATTCCCCTGCAGTGCATGCAGAGCTATTCCGTGATCCCATTCAAACAAGTCAGGAGCTTCGACTTGCTTAATGGATCTCGAGACAGTCCCCAAGAACACTGTCACCAGTCTAGACGGACCCTGAGGTCACCCCAGCAACGCAAAGCAGCTCCATGTGCCCCAAATCAACTCGAGATGAGGCCCGATTCCCCTGCATTGACTCCAGAGCCATTCCCCGTTCCCCATTCAACACGACCGGTGGCTCGACTTCCTTCAGGCAACTCCAGAGATGCCCCGAGAACACTGTCCCAAGTCTAGAGGAACACCAACTTCAGCACAGCAGCTCGAGGAATGCTCCGTGTACCCCAAATCGTCTCGAGATGCGAGCTGATTCCCTGGCTTAGGCTCAAGACGTATGCCAACTTCCCAGAAGCACCTCAGGAGGAGGCTTCTCTCAGCAATAGGTATGTGGGAGGGACCCCGAGTTTGCTGCCTCAAGGGGAATATACAGCGAGAAGCACTAACTTGAAAGGAGGCCGGATTTCCTTGCAGTGGCTTGAATACAGGCTCGTCTTTCATCTCACAACATGAAGGGATGTCTGAATCCCCTGTGGAGACCTTAGAGAAAGCCCTAGGTCCCTGCCTCATTTTGACGGAATGCCTCACATCGTGCTGACACCTCGAGAGGCACGCGGAGTTCATTGCTTCAAAAGGTGACCATGCCTGACTCCTCTTGAATACTGATAGGAATCCCAAAATCCCTGTGGCTCCTGGAAAGAGTCCTTGGGTGCCCTGCCTCACCTCGAGAAGCGTCCTTTTGCCCTGCCAAGCCTCGAAGAGATTCCTGAGGTGTCCCTCGTTACTAGACAGGAGTCCTGACGTCACTGAAGAAACTCGTGTTTTGAAGGGCCATCCCCGCCGTAAGTCGAGAACATACCCCAGGTCCCTGCCGCAACTCGAGAAAAACCATGAGACTTCCCCCTAGAGGCGAGATGAGGCCCCATTCCCCTGCAGTGCATGCAGAGCTATTCCGTGATCCCATTCAAACAAGTCAGGAGCTTCGACTTGCTTAATGGATCTCGAGACAGTCCCCAAGAACACTGTCACCAGTCTAGACGGACCCTGAGGTCACCCCAGCAACGCAAAGCAGCTCCATGTGCCCCAAATCAACTCGAGATGAGGCCCGATTCCCCTGCATTGACTCCAGAGCCATTCCCCGTTCCCCATTCAACACGACCGGTGGCTCGACTTCCTTCAGGCAACTCCAGAGATGCCCCGAGAACACTGTCCCAAGTCTAGAGGAACACCAACTTCAGCACAGCAGCTCGAGGAATGCTCCGTGTACCCCAAATCGTCTCGAGATGAGAGCTGATTCCCTGGCTTAGGCTCAAGACGTATGCCAACTTCCCAGAAGCACCTCAGGAGGAGGCTTCTCTCAGCAATAGGTATGTGGGAGGGACCCCGAGTTTGCTGCCTCAAGGGGAATATACAGCGAGAAGCCCTAACTTGAAAGGAGGCCGGATTTCCTTGCAGTGGCTTGAATACAGGCTCGTCTTTCATCTCACAACATGAAGGGATGTCTGAATCCCCTGTGGAGACCTTAGAGAAAGCCCTAGGTCCCTGCCTCATTTTGACGGAATGCCTCACATCCCGCTGACACCTCGAGAGGCACGCGGAGTTCATTGCTTCAAAAGGTGACGATGCCTGACTCCTCTTGAATACTGATAGGAATCCCAAAATCCCTGTGGCTACTGGAAAGGGTCCTTGGGTGCCCTGCCTCACCTCGAGAAGCGTCCCTTTTGCCCTGCCAAGCCTCGAAGAGATTCCTGAGGTGTCCCTCGTTACTAGACAGGAGTCCTGACGTCACTGAAGAAACTCGTGTTTTGAAGGGCCATCCCCGCCGTAAGTCGAGAACATACCCCAGGTCCCCGCCGCAACTCGAGAAAAACCATGAGACTTCCCCCTAGAGGCGAGATGAGGCCCCATTCCCCTGCAGTGCATGCAGAGCTATTCCGTGATCCCATTCAAACAAGTCAGGAGCTTCGACTTGCTTAATGGATCTCGAGACAGTCCCCAAGAACACTGTCACCAGTCTAGACGGACCCTGAGGTCACCCCAGCAACGCAAAGCAGCTCCATGTGCCCCAAATCAACTCGAGATGAGGCCCGATTCCCCTGCATTGACTCCAGAGCCATTCCCCGTTCCCCATTCAACACGACCGGTGGCTCGACTTCCTTCAGGCAACTCCAGAGATGCCCCGAGAACACTGTCCCAAGTCTAGAGGAACACCAACTTCAGCACAGCAGCTCGAGGAATGCTCCGTGTACCCCAAATCGTCTCGAGATGAGAGCTGATTCCCTGGCTTAGGCTCAAGACGTATGCCAACTTCCCAGAAGCACCTCAGGAGGAGGCTTCTCTCAGCAATAGGTATGTGGGAGGGACCCCGAGTTTGCTGCCTCAAGGGGAATATACAGCGAGAAGCCCTAACTTGAAAGGAGGTCGGATTTCCTTGCAGTGGCTTGAATACAGGCTCGTCTTTCATCTCACAACATGAAGGGATGTCTGAATCCCCTGTGGAGACCTTAGAGAAAGCCCTAGGTCCCTGCCTCATTTTGAGGGAATGCCTCACATCGTGCTGACACCTCGAGAGGCACGCGGAGTTCATTGCTTCAAAAGGTGACGATGCCTGACTCCTCTTGAATACTGATAGGAATCCCAAAATCCCTGTGGCTACTGGAAAGGGTCCTTGGGTGCCCTGCCTCACCTCGAGAAGCGTCCCTTTTGCCCTGCCAAGCCTCGAAGAGATTCCTGAGGTGTCCCTCGTTACTAGACAGGAGTCCTGACGTCACTGAAGAAACTCGTGTTTTGAAGGGCCATCCCCGCCGTAAGTCGAGAACATACCCCAGGTCCCCGCCGCAACTCGAGAAAAACCATGAGACTTACCCCTAGAGGCGAGATGAGGCCCCATTCCCCTGCAGTGCATGCAGAGCTATTCCGTGATCCCATTCAAACAAGTCAGGAGCTTCGACTTGCTTAATGGATCTCGAGACAGTCCCCAAGAACACTGTCACCAGTCTAGACGGACCCTGAGGTCACCCCAGCAACGCAAAGCAGCTCCATGTGCCCCAAATCAACTCGAGATGAGGCCCGATTCCCCTGCATTGACTCCAGAGCCATTCCCCGTTCCCCATTCAACACGACCGGTGGCTCGACTTCCTTCAGGCAACTCCAGAGATGCCCCGAGAACACTGTCCCAAGTCTAGAGGAACACCAACTTCAGCACAGCAGCTCGAGGAATGCTCCGTGTACCCCAAATCGTCTCGAGATGAGAGCTGATTCCCTGGCTTAGGCTCAAGACGTATGCCAACTTCCCAGAAGCACCTCAGGAGGAGGCTTCTCTCAGCAATAGGTATGTGGGAGGGACCCCGAGTTTGCTGCCTCAAGGGGAATATACAGCGAGAAGCACTAACTTGAAAGGAGGCCGGATTTCCTTGCAGTGGCTTGAATACAGGCTCGTCTTTCATCTCACAACATGAAGGGATGTCTGAATCCCCTGTGGAGACCTTAGAGAAAGCCCTAGGTCCCTGCCTCATTTTGACGGAATGCCTCACATCGTGCTGACACCTCGAGAGGCACGCGGAGTTCATTGCTTCAAAAGGTGACGATGCCTGACTCCTCTTGAATACTGATAGGAATCCCAAAATCCCTGTGGCTCCTGGAAAGAGTCCTTGGGTGCCCTGCCTCACCTCGAGAAGCGTCCCTTTTGCCCTGCCAAGCCTCGAAGAGATTCCTGAGGTGTCCTTCGTTACTAGACAGGAGTCCTGACGTCACTGAAGAAACTCGTGTTTTGAAGGGCCATCCCCGCCGTAAGTCGAGAACATACCCCAGGTCCCTGCCGCAACTCGAGAAAAACCATGAGACTTCCCCCTAGAGGCGAGATGAGGCCCCATTCCCCTGCAGTGCATGCAGAGCTATTCCGTGATCCCATTCAAACAAGTCAGGAGCTTCGACTTGCTTAATGGATCTCGAGACAGTCCCCAAGAACACTGTCACCAGTCTAGACGGACCCTGAGGTCACCCCAGCAACGCAAAGCAGCTCCATGTGCCCCAAATCAACTCGAGATGAGGCCCGATTCCCCTGCATTGACTCCAGAGCCATTCCCCGTTCCCCATTCAACACGACCGGTGGCTCGACTTCCTTCAGCCAACTCCAGAGATGCCCCGAGAACACTGTCCCAAGTCTAGAGGAACACCAACTTCAGCACAGCAGCTCGAGGAATGCTCCGTGTACCCCAAATCGTCTCGAGATGAGAGCTGATTCCCTGGCTTAGGCTCAAGACGTATGCCAACTTCCCAGAAGCACCTCAGGAGGAGGCTTCTCTCAGCAATAGGTATGTGGGAGGGACCCCGAGTTTGCTGCCTCAAGGGGAATATACAGCGAGAAGCCCTAACTTGAAAGGAGGCCGGATTTCCTTGCAGTGGCTTGAATACAGGCTCGTCTTTCATCTCACAACATGAAGGGATGTCTGAATCCCCTGTGGAGACCTTAGAGAAAGCCCTAGGTCCCTGCCTCATTTTGACAGAATGCCTCACATCGTGCTGACACCTCGAGAGTCACGCGGAGTTCATTGCTTCAAAAGGTGACGATGCCTGACTCCTGTTGAATACTGATAGGAATCCCAAAATCCCTGTGGCTACTGGAAAGGGTCCTTGGGTGCCCTGCCTCACCTCGAGAAGCGTCCCTTTTGCCCTGCCAAGCCTCGAAGAGATTCCTGAGGTGTCCCTCGTTACTAGACAGGAGTCCTGACGTCACTGAAGAAACTCGTGTTTTGAAGGGCCATCCCCGCCGTAAGTCGAGAACATACCCCAGGTCCCCGCCGCAACTCGAGAAAAACCATGAGACTTCCCCCTAGAGGCGAGATGAGGCCCCATTCCCCTGCAGTGCATGCAGAGCTATTCCGTGATCCCATTCAAACAAGTCAGGAGCTTCGACTTGCTTAATGGATCTCGAGACAGTCCCCAAGAACACTGTCACCAGTCTAGACGGACCCTGAGGTCACCCCAGCAACGCAAAGCAGCTCCATATGCCCCAAATCAACTCGAGATGAGGCCCGATTCCCCTGCATTGACTCCAGAGCCATTCCCCGTTCCCCATTCAACACGACCGGTGGCTCGACTTCCTTCAGGCAACTCCAGAGATGCCCGAGAACACTGTCCCAAGTCTAGAGGAACACCAACTTCAGCACAGCAGCTCGAGGAATGCTCCGTGTACCCCAAATCGTCTCGAGATGAGAGCTGATTCCCTGACTTAGGCTCAAGACGTATGCCAACTTCCCAGGAGCACCTCAGGAGGAGGCTTCTCTCAGCAATAGGTATGTGGGAGGGACCCCGAGTTTGCTGCCTCAAGGGGAATATACAGCGAGAAGCCCTAACTTGAAAGGAGGCCGGATTTCCTTGCAGTGGCTTGAATACAGGCTCGTCTTTCATCTCACAACATGAAGGGATGTCTGAATCCCCTGTGGAGACCTTAGAGAAAGCCCTAGGTCCCTGCCTCATTTTGAGGGAATGCCTCACATCGTGCTGACATCTCGAGAGGCACGCGGAGTTCATTGCTTCAAAAGGTGACGATGCCTGATTCCTCTTGAATACTGATAGGAATCCCAAAATCCCTGTGGCTACTGGAAAGGGTCCTTGGGTGCCCTGCCTCACCTCGAGAAGCGTCCCTTTTGCCCTGCCAAGCCTCGAAGAGATTCCTGAGGTGTCCCTCGTTACTAGACAGGAGTCCTGACGTCACTGAAGAAACTCGTGTTTTGAAGGGCCATCCCCGCCGTAAGTCGAGAACATACCCCAGGTCCCCGCCGCAACTCGAGAAAAACCATGAGACTTCCCCCTAGAGGCGAGATGAGGCCCCATTCCCCTGCAGTGCATGCAGAGCTATTCCGTGATCCCATTCAAACAAGTCAGGAGCTTCGACTTGCTTAATGGATCTCGAGACAGTCCCCAAGAACACTGTCACCAGTCTAGACGGACCCTGAGGTCACCCCAGCAACGCAAAGCAGCTCCATGTGCCCCAAATCAACTCGAGATGAGGCCCGATTCCCCTGCATTGACTCCAGAGCCATTCCCCGTTCCCCATTCAACACGACCGGTGGCTCGACTTCCTTCAGGCAACTCCAGAGATGCCCCGAGAACACTGTCCCAAGTCTAGAGGAACACCAACTTCAGCACAGCAACTCGAGGAATGCTCCGTGTACCCCAAATCGTCTCGAGATGCGAGCTGATTCCCTGGCTTAGGCTCAAGACGTATGCCAACTCCCCAGAAGCACCTCAGGAGGAGGCTTCTCTCAGCAATAGGTATGTGGGAGGGACCCCGAGTTTGCTGCCTCAAGGGGAATATACAGCGAGAAGCCCTAACTTGAAAGGAGGCCGGATTTCCTTGCAGTGGCTTGAATACAGGCTCGTCTTTCATCTCACAACATGAAGGGATGTCTGAATCCCCTGTGGAGACCTTAGAGAAAGCCCTAGGTCCCTGCCTCATTTTGACGGAATGCCTCACATCCCGCTGACACCTCGAGAGGCACGCGGAGTTCATTGCTTCAAAAGGTGACGATGCCTGACTCCTCTTGAATACTGATAGGAATCCCAAAATCCCTGTGGCTACTGGAAAGGGTCCTTGGGTGCCCTGCGTCACCTCGAGAAGCGTCCCTTTTGCCCTGCCAAGCCTCGAAGAGATTCCTGAGGTGTCCCTCGTTACTAGACAGGAGTCCTGACGTCACTGAAGAAACTCGTGTTTTGAAGGGCCATCCCCGCCGTAAGTCGAGAACATACCCCAGGTCCCCGCCGCAACTCGAGAAAAACCATGAGACTTCCCCCTAGAGGCGAGATGAGGCCCCATTCCCCTGCAGTGCATGCAGAGCTATTCCGTGATCCCATTCAAACAAGTCAGGAGCTTCGACTTGCTTAATGGATCTCGAGACAGTCCCCAAGAACACTGTCACCAGTCTAGACGGACCCTGAGGTCACCCCAGCAACGCAAAGCAGCTCCATGTGCCCCAAATCAACTCGAGATGAGGCCCGATTCCCCTGCATTGACTCCAGAGCCATTCCCCGTTCCCCATTCAACACGACCAGTGGCTCGACTTCCTTCAGGCAACTCCAGAGATGCCCCGAGAACACTGTCCCAAGTCTAGAGGAACACCAACTTCAGCACAGCAGCTCGAGGAATGCTCCGTGTACCCCAAATCGTCTCGAGATGAGAGCTGATTCCCTGGCTTAGGCTCAAGACGTATGCCAGCTTCCCAGAAGCACCTCAGGAGGAGGCTTCTCTCAGCAATAGGTATGTGGGAGGGACCCCGAGTTTGCTGCCTCAAGGGGAATATACAGCGAGAAGCCCTAACTTGAAAGGAGGCCGGATTTCCTTGCAGTGGCTTGAATACAGGCTCGTCTTTCATCTCACAACATGAAGGGATGTCTGAATCCCCTGTGGAGACCTTAGAGAAAGCCCTAGGTCCCTGCCTCATTTTGAGGGAATGCCTCACATCGTGCTGACACCTCGAGAGGCACGCGGAGTTCATTGCTTCAAAAGGTGACGATGCCTGACTCCTCTTGAATACTGATAGGAATCCCAAAATCCCTGTGGCTACTGGAAAGGGTCCTTGGGTGCCCTGCCTCACCTCGAGAAGCGTCCCTTTTGCCCTGCCAAGCCTCGAAGAGATTCCTGAGGTGTCCCTCGTTACTAGACAGGAGTCCTGACGTCACTGAAGAAACTCGTGTTTTGAAGGGCCATCCCCGCCGTAAGTCGAGAACATACCCCAGGTCCCCGCCGCAACTCGAGAAAAACCATGAGACTTCCCCCTAGAGGCGAGATGAGGCCCCATTCCCCTGCAGTGCATGCAGAGCTATTCCGTGATCCCATTCAAACAAGTCAGGAGCTTCGACTTGCTTAATGGATCTCGAGACAGTCCCCAAGAACACTGTCACCAGTCTAGACGGACCCTGAGGTCACCCCAGCAACGCAAAGCAGCTCCATGTGCCCCAAATCAACTCGAGATGAGGCCCGATTCCCCTGCATTGACTCCAGAGCCATTCCCCGTTCCCCATTCAACACGACCGGTGGCTCGACTTCCTTCAGGCAACTCCAGAGATGCCCCGAGAACACTGTCCCAAGTCTAGAGGAACACCAACTTCAGCACAGCAGCTCGAGGAATGCTCCGTGTACCCCAAATCGTCTCGAGATGAGAGCTGATTCCCTGGCTTAGGCTCAAGACGTATGCCAGCTTCCCAGAAGCACCTCAGGAGGAGGCTTCTCTCAGCAATAGGTATGTGGGAGGGACCCCGAGTTTGCTGCCTCAAGGGGAATATACAGCGAGAAGCCCTAACTTGAAAGGAGGCCGGATTTCCTTGCAGTGGCTTGAATACAGGCTCGTCTTTCATCTCACAACATGAAGGGATGTCTGAATCCCCTGTGGAGACCTTAGAGAAAGCCCTAGGTCCCTGCCTCATTTTGACGGAATGCCTCACATCCCGCTGACACCTCGAGAGGCACGCGGAGTTCATTGCTTCAAAAGGTGACGATGCCTGACTCCTCTTGAATACTGATAGGAATCCCAAAATCCCTGTGGCTACTGGAAAGGGTCCTTGGGTGCCCTGCCTCACCTCGAGAAGCGTCCCTTTTGCCCTGCCAAGCCTCGAAGAGATTCCTGAGGTGTCCCTCGTTACTAGACAGGAGTCCTGACGTCACTGAAGAAACTCGTGTTTTGAAGGGCCATCCCCGCCGTAAGTCGAGAACATACCCCAGGTCCCCGCCGCAACTCGAGAAAAACCATGAGACTTCCCCCTAGAGGCGAGATGAGGCCCCATTCCCCTGCAGTGCATGCAGAGCTATTCCGTGATCCCATTCAAACAAGTCAGGAGCTTCGACTTGCTTAATGGATCTCGAGACAGTCCCCAAGAACACTGTCACCAGTCTAGACGGACCCTGAGGTCACCCCAGCAACGCAAAGCAGCTCCATGTGCCCCAAATCAACTCGAGATGAGGCCCGATTCCCCTGCATTGACTCCAGAGCCATTCCCCGTTCCCCATTCAACACGACCGGTGGCTCGACTTCCTTCAGGCAACTCCAGAGATGCCCCGAGAACACTGTCCCAAGTCTAGAGGAACACCAACTTCAGCACAGCAACTCGAGGAATGCTCCGTGTACCCCAAATCGTCTCGAGATGCGAGCTGATTCCCTGGCTTAGGCTCAAGACGTATGCCAACTCCCCAGAAGCACCTCAGGAGGAGGCTTCTCTCAGCAATAGGTATGTGGGAGGGACCCCGAGTTTGCTGCCTCAAGGGGAATATACAGCGAGAAGCCCTAACTTGAAAGGAGGCCGGATTTCCTTGCAGTGGCTTGAATACAGGCTCGTCTTTCATCTCACAACATGAAGGGATGTCTGAATCCCCTGTGGAGACCTTAGAGAAAGCCCTAGGTCCCTGCCTCATTTTGACGGAATGCCTCACATCCCGCTGACACCTCGAGAGGCACGCGGAGTTCATTGCTTCAAAAGGTGACGATGCCTGACTCCTCTTGAATACTGATAGGAATCCCAAAATCCCTGTGGCTACTGGAAAGGGTCCTTGGGTGCCCTGCGTCACCTCGAGAAGCGTCCCTTTTGCCCTGCCAAGCCTCGAAGAGATTCCTGAGGTGTCCCTCGTTACTAGACAGGAGTCCTGACGTCACTGAAGAAACTCGTGTTTTGAAGGGCCATCCCCGCCGTAAGTCGAGAACATACCCCAGGTCCCCGCCGCAACTCGAGAAAAACCATGAGACTTCCCCCTAGAGGCGAGATGAGGCCCCATTCCCCTGCAGTGCATGCAGAGCTATTCCGTGATCCCATTCAAACAAGTCAGGAGCTTCGACTTGCTTAATGGATCTCGAGACAGTCCCCAAGAACACTGTCACCAGTCTAGACGGACCCTGAGGTCACCCCAGCAACGCAAAGCAGCTCCATGTGCCCCAAATCAACTCGAGATGAGGCCCGATTCCCCTGCATTGACTCCAGAGCCATTCCCCGTTCCCCATTCAACACGACCGGTGGCTCGACTTCCTTCAGGCAACTCCAGAGATGCCCCGAGAACACTGTCCCAAGTCTAGAGGAACACCAACTTCAGCACAGCAGCTCGAGGAATGCTCCGTGTACCCCAAATCGTCTCGAGATGAGAGCTGATTCCCTGGCTTAGGCTCAAGACGTATGCCAGCTTCCCAGAAGCACCTCAGGAGCAGGCTTCTCTCAGCAATAGGTATGTGGGAGGGACCCCGAGTTTGCTGCCTCAAGGGGAATATACAGCGAGAAGCCCTAACTTGAAAGGAGGCCGGATTTCCTTGCAGTGGCTTGAATACAGGCTCGTCTTTCATCTCACAACATGAAGGGATGTCTGAATCCCCTGTGGAGACCTTAGAGAAAGCCCTAGGTCCCTGCCTCATTTTGAGGGAATGCCTCACATCGTGCTGACACCTCGAGAGGCACGCGGAGTTCATTGCTTCAAAAGGTGACGATGCCTGACTCCTCTTGAATACTGATAGGAATCCCAAAATCCCTGTGGCTACTGGAAAGGGTCCTTGGGTGCCCTGCCTCACCTCGAGAAGCGTCCCTTTTGCCCTGCCAAGCCTCGAAGAGATTCCTGAGGTGTCCCTCGTTACTAGACAGGAGTCCTGACGTCACTGAAGAAACTCGTGTTTTGAAGGGCCATCCCCGCCGTAAGTCGAGAACATACCCCAGGTCCCCGCCGCAACTCGAGAAAAACCATGAGACTTACCCCTAGAGGCGAGATGAGGCCCCATTCCCCTGCAGTGCATGCAGAGCTATTCCGTGATCCCATTCAAACAAGTCAGGAGCTTCGACTTGCTTAATGGATCTCGAGACAGTCCCCAAGAACACTGTCACCAGTCTAGACGGACCCTGAGGTCACCCCAGCAACGCAAAGCAGCTCCATGTGCCCCAAATCAACTCGAGATGAGGCCCGATTCCCCTGCATTGACTCCAGAGCCATTCCCCGTTCCCCATTCAACACGACCGGTGGCTCGACTTCCTTCAGGCAACTCCAGAGATGCCCCGAGAACACTGTCCCAAGTCTAGAGGAACACCAACTTCAGCACAGCAGCTCGAGGAATGCTCCGTGTACCCCAAATCGTCTCGAGATGAGAGCTGATTCCCTGGCTTAGGCTCAAGACGTATGCCAACTTCCCAGAAGCACCTCAGGAGGAGGCTTCTCTCAGCAATAGGTATGTGGGAGGGACCCCGAGTTTGCTGCCTCAAGGGGAATATACAGCGAGAAGCCCTAACTTGAAAGGAGGCCGGATTTCCTTGCAGTGGCTTGAATACAGGCTCGTCTTTCATCTCACAACATGAAGGGATGTCTGAATCCCCTGTGGAGACCTTAGAGAAAGCCCTAGGTCCCTGCCTCATTTTGACGGAATGCCTCACATCCCGCTGACACCTCGAGAGGCACGCGGAGTTCATTGCTTCAAAAGGTGACGATGCCTGACTCCTCTTGAATACTGATAGGAATCCCAAAATCCCTGTGGCTACTGGAAAGGGTCCTTGGGTGCCCTGCCTCACCTCGAGAAGCGTCCCTTTTGCCCTGCCAAGCCTCGAAGAGATTCCTGAGGTGTCCCTCGTTACTAGACAGGAGTCCTGACGTCACTGAAGAAACTCGTGTTTTGAAGGGCCATCCCCGCCGTAAGTCGAGAACATACCCCAGGTCCCCGCCGCAACTCGAGAAAAACCATGAGACTTCTCCCTAGAGGCGAGATGAGGCCCCATTCCCCTGCAGTGCATGCAGAGCTATTCCGTGATCCCATTCAAACAAGTCAGGAGCTTCGACTTGCTTAATGGATCTCGAGACAGTCCCCAAGAACACTGTCACCAGTCTAGACGGACCCTGAGGTCACCCCAGCAACGCAAAGCAGCTCCATGTGCCCCAAATCAACTCGAGATGAGGCCCGATTCCCCTGCATTGACTCCAGAGCCATTCCCCGTTCCCCATTCAACACGACCGGTGGCTCGACTTCCTTCAGGCAACTCCAGAGATGCCCCGAGAACACTGTCCCAAGTCTAGAGGAACACCAACTTCAGCACAGCAGCTCGAGGAATGCTCCGTGTACCCCAAATCGTCTCGAGATGAGAGCTGATTCCCTGGCTTAGGCTCAAGACGTATGCCAACTTCCCAGAAGCACCTCAGGAGGAGGCTTCTCTCAGCAATAGGTATGTGGGAGGGACCCCGAGTTTGCTGCCTCAAGGGGAATATACAGCGAGAAGCCCTAACTTGAAAGGAGGTCGGATTTCCTTGCAGTGGCTTGAATACAGGCTCGTCTTTCATCTCACAACATGAAGGGATGTCTGAATCCCCTGTGGAGACCTTAGAGAAAGCCCTAGGTCCCTGCCTCATTTTGAGGGAATGCCTCACATCGTGCTGACATCTCGAGAGGCACGCGGAGTTCATTGCTTCAAAAGGTGACGATGCCTGATTCCTCTTGAATACTGATAGGAATCCCAAAATCCCTGTGGCTACTGGAAAGGGTCATTGGGTGCCCTGCCTCACCTCGAGAAGCGTCCCTTTTGCCCTGCCAAGCCTCGAAGAGATTCCTGAGGTGTCCCTCGTTACTAGACAGGAGTCCTGACGTCACTGAAGAAACTCGTGTTTTGAAGGGCCATCCCCGCCGTAAGTCGAGAACATACCCCAGGTCCCCGCCGCAACTCGAGAAAAACCATGAGACTTCCCCCTAGAGGCGAGATGAGGCCCCATTCCCCTGCAGTGCATGCAGAGCTATTCCGTGATCCCATTCAAACAAGTCAGGAGCTTCGACTTGCTTAATGGATCTCGAGACAGTCCCCAAGAACACTGTCACCAGTCTAGACGGACCCTGAGGTCACCCCAGCAACGCAAAGCAGCTCCATGTGCCCCAAATCAACTCGAGATGAGGCCCGATTCCCCTGCATTGACTCCAGAGCCATTCCCCGTTCCCCATTCAACACGACCGGTGGCTCGACTTCCTTCAGGCAACTCCAGAGATGCCCCGAGAACACTGTCCCAAGTCTAGAGGAACACCAACTTCAGCACAGCAACTCGAGGAATGCTCCGTGTACCCCAAATCGTCTCGAGATGCGAGCTAATTCCCTGGCTTAGGCTCAAGACGTATGCCAACTCCCCAGAAGCACCTCAGGAGGAGGCTTCTCTCAGCAATAGGTATGTGGGAGGGACCCCGAGTTTGCTGCCTCAAGGGGAATATACAGCGAGAAGCCCTAACTTGAAAGGAGGCCGGATTTCCTTGCAGTGGCTTGAATACAGGCTCGTCTTTCATCTCACAACATGAAGGGATGTCTGAATCCCCTGTGGAGACCTTAGAGAAAGCCCTAGGTCCCTGCCTCATTTTGACGGAATGCCTCACATCCCGCTGACACCTCGAGAGGCACGCGGAGTTCATTGCTTCAAAAGGTGACGATGCCTGACTCCTCTTGAATACTGATAGGAATCCCAAAATCCCTGTGGCTACTGGAAAGGGTCCTTGGGTGCCCTGCGTCACCTCGAGAAGCGTCCCTTTTGCCCTGCCAAGCCTCGAAGAGATTCCTGAGGTGTCCCTCGTTACTAGACAGGAGTCCTGACGTCACTGAAGAAACTCGTGTTTTGAAGGGCCATCCCCGCCGTAAGTCGAGAACATACCCCAGGTCCCCGCCGCAACTCGAGAAAAACCATGAGACTTCCCCCTAGAGGCGAGATGAGGCCCCATTCCCCTGCAGTGCATGCAGAGCTATTCCGTGATCCCATTCAAACAAGTCAGGAGCTTCGACTTGCTTAATGGATCTCGAGACAGTCCCCAAGAACACTGTCACCAGTCTAGACGGACCCTGAGGTCACCCCAGCAACGCAAAGCAGCTCCATGTGCCCCAAATCAACTCGAGATGAGGCCCGATTCCCCTGCATTGACTCCAGAGCCATTCCCCGTTCCCCATTCAACACGACCGGTGGCTCGACTTCCTTCAGGCAACTCCAGAGATGCCCCGAGAACACTGTCCCAAGTCTAGAGGAACACCAACTTCAGCACAGCAGCTCGAGGAATGCTCCGTGTACCCCAAATCGTCTCGAGATGAGAGCTGATTCCCTGGCTTAGGCTCAAGACGTATGCCAACTTCCCAGAAGCACCTCAGGAGGAGGCTTCTCTCAGCAATAGGTATGTGGGAGGGACCCCGAGTTTGCTGCCTCAAGGGGAATATACAGCGAGAAGCCCTAACTTGAAAGGAGGCCGGATTTCCTTGCAGTGGCTTGAATACAGGCTCGTCTTTCATCTCACAACATGAAGGGATGTCTGAATCCCCTGTGGAGACCTTAGAGAAAGCCCTAGGTCCCTGCCTCATTTTGAGGGAATGCCTCACATCGTGCTGACACCTCGAGAGGCACGCGGAGTTCATTGCTTCAAAAGGTGACGATGCCTGACTCCTCTTGAATACTGATAGGAATCCCAAAATCCCTGTGGCTACTGGAAAGGGTCCTTGGGTGCCCTGCCTCACCTCGAGAAGCGTCCCTTTTGCCCTGCCAAGCCTCGAAGAGATTCCTGAGGTGTCCCTCGTTACTAGACAGGAGTCCTGACGTCACTGAAGAAACTCGTGTTTTGAAGGGCCATCCCCGCCGTAAGTCGAGAACATACCCCAGGTCCCCGCCGCAACTCGAGAAAAACCATGAGACTTACCCCTAGAGGCGAGATGAGGCCCCATTCCCCTGCAGTGCATGCAGAGCTATTCCGTGATCCCATTCAAACAAGTCAGGAGCTTCGACTTGCTTAATGGATCTCGAGACAGTCCCCAAGAACACTGTCACCAGTCTAGACGGACCCTGAGGTCACCCCAGCAACGCAAAGCAGCTCCATGTGCCCCAAATCAACTCGAGATGAGGCCCGATTCCCCTGCATTGACTCCAGAGCCATTCCCCGTTCCCCATTCAACACGACCGGTGGCTCGACTTCCTTCAGGCAACTCCAGAGATGCCCCGAGAACACTGTCCCAAGTCTAGAGGAACACCAACTTCAGCACAGCAACTCGAGGAATGCTCCGTCTACCCCAAATCGTCTCGAGATGCGAGCTGATTCCCTGGCTTAGGCTCAAGACGTATGCCAACTTCCCAGAAGCACCTCAGGAGGAGGCTTCTCTCAGCAATAGGTATGTGGGAGGGACCCCGAGTTTGCTGCCTCAAGGGGAATATACAGCGAGAAGCCCTAACTTGAAAGGAGGCCGGATTTCCTTGCAGTGGCTTGAATACAGGCTCGTCTTTCATCTCACAACATGAAGGGATGTCTGAATCCCCTGTGGAGACCTTAGAGAAAGCCCTAGGTCCCTGCCTCATTTTGACGGAATGCCTCACATCCCGCTGACACCTCGAGAGGCACGCGGAGTTCATTGCTTCAAAAGGTGACGATGCCTGACTCCTCTTGAATACTGATAGGAATCCCAAAATCCCTGTGGCTACTGGAAAGGGTCCTTGGGTGCCCTGCCTCACCTCGAGAAGCGTCCCTTTTGCCCTGCCAAGCCTCGAAGAGATTCCTGAGGTGTCCCTCGTTACTAGACAGGAGTCCTGACGTCACTGAAGAAACTCGTGTTTTGAAGGGCCATCCCCGCCGTAAGTCGAGAACATACCCCAGGTCCCCGCCGCAACTCGAGAAAAACCATGAGACTTCCCCCTAGAGGCGAGATGAGGCCCCATTCCCCTGCAGTGCATGCAGAGCTATTCCGTGATCCCATTCAAACAAGTCAGGAGCTTCGACTTGCTTAATGGATCTCGAGACAGTCCCCAAGAACACTGTCACCAGTCTAGACGGACCCTGAGGTCACCCCAGCAACGCAAAGCAGCTCCATGTGCCCCAAATCAACTCGAGATGAGGCCCGATTCCCCTGCATTGACTCCAGAGCCATTCCCCGTTCCCCATTCAACACGACCGGTGGCTCGACTTCCTTCAGGCAACTCCAGAGATGCCCCGAGAACACTGTCCCAAGTCTAGAGGAACACCAACTTCAGCACAGCAACTCGAGGAATGCTCCGTCTACCCCAAATCGTCTCGAGATGCGAGCTGATTCCCTGGCTTAGGCTCAAGACGTATGCCAACTTCCCAGAAGCACCTCAGGAGGAGGCTTCTCTCAGCAATAGGTATGTGGGAGGGACCCCGAGTTTGCTGCCTCAAGGGGAATATACAGCGAGAAGCCCTAACTTGAAAGGAGGCCGGATTTCCTTGCAGTGGCTTGAATACAGGCTCGTCTTTCATCTCACAACATGAAGGGATGTCTGAATCCCCTGTGGAGACCTTAGAGAAAGCCCTAGGTCCCTGCCTCATTTTGACGGAATGCCTCACATCCCGCTGACACCTCGAGAGGCACGCGGAGTTCATTGCTTCAAAAGGTGACGATGCCTGACTCCTCTTGAATACTGATAGGAATCCCAAAATCCCTGTGGCTACTGGAAAGGGTCCTTGGGTGCCCTGCCTCACCTCGAGAAGCGTCCCTTTTGCCCTGCCAAGCCTCGAAGAGATTCCTGAGGTGTCCCTCGTTACTAGACAGGAGTCCTGACGTCACTGAAGAAACTCGTGTTTTGAAGGGCCATCCCCGCCGTAAGTCGAGAACATACCCCAGGTCCCCGCCGCAACTCGAGAAAAACCATGAGACTTCCCCCTAGAGGCGAGATGAGGCCCCATTCCCCTGCAGTGCATGCAGAGCTATTCCGTGATCCCATTCAAACAAGTCAGGAGCTTCGACTTGCTTAATGGATCTCGAGACAGTCCCCAAGAACACTGTCACCAGTCTAGACGGACCCTGAGGTCACCCCAGCAACGCAAAGCAGCTCCATGTGCCCCAAATCAACTCGAGATGAGGCCCGATTCCCCTGCATTGACTCCAGAGCCATTCCCCGTTCCCCATTCAACACGACCGGTGGCTCGACTTCCTTCAGGCAACTCCAGAGATGCCCCGAGAACACTGTCCCAAGTCTAGAGGAACACCAACTTCAGCACAGCAGCTCGAGGAATGCTCCGTGTACCCCAAATCGTCTCGAGATGAGAGCTGATTCCCTGGCTTAGGCTCAAGACGTATGCCAACTTCCCAGAAGCACCTCAGGAGGAGGCTTCTCTCAGCAATAGGTATGTGGGAGGGACCCCGAGTTTGCTGCCTCAAGGGGAATATACAGCGAGAAGCCCTAACTTGAAAGGAGGTCGGATTTCCTTGCAGTGGCTTGAATACAGGCTCGTCTTTCATCTCACAACATGAAGGGATGTCTGAATCCCCTGTGGAGACCTTAGAGAAAGCCCTAGGTCCCTGCCTCATTTTGAGGGAATGCCTCACATCGTGCTGACATCTCGAGAGGCACGCGGAGTTCATTGCTTCAAAAGGTGACGATGCCTGATTCCTCTTGAATACTGATAGGAATCCCAAAATCCCTGTGGCTACTGGAAAGGGTCATTGGGTGCCCTGCCTCACCTCGAGAAGCGTCCCTTTTGCCCTGCCAAGCCTCGAAGAGATTCCTGAGGTGTCCCTCGTTACTAGACAGGAGTCCTGACGTCACTGAAGAAACTCGTGTTTTGAAGGGCCATCCCCGCCGTAAGTCGAGAACATACCCCAGGTCCCCGCCGCAACTCGAGAAAAATCATGAGACTTCCCCCTAGAGGCGAGATGAGGCCCCATTCCCCTGCAGTGCATGCAGAGCTATTCCGTGATCCCATTCAAACAAGTCAGGAGCTTCGACTTGCTTAATGGATCTCGAGACAGTCCCCAAGAACACTGTCACCAGTCTAGACGGACCCTGAGGTCACCCCAGCAACGCAAAGCAGCTCCATGTGCCCCAAATCAACTCGAGATGAGGCCCGATTCCCCTGCATTGACTCCAGAGCCATTCCCCGTTCCCCATTCAACACGACCGGTGGCTCGACTTCCTTCAGGCAACTCCAGAGATGCCCCGAGAACACTGTCCCAAGTCTAGAGGAACACCAACTTCAGCACAGCAACTCGAGGAATGCTCCGTGTACCCCAAATCGTCTCGAGATGCGAGCTGATTCCCTGGCTTAGGCTCAAGACGTATGCCAACTCCCCAGAAGCACCTCAGGAGGAGGCTTCTCTCAGCAATAGGTATGTGGGAGGGACCCCGAGTTTGCTGCCTCAAGGGGAATATACAGCGAGAAGCCCTAACTTGAAAGGAGGCCGGATTTCCTTGCAGTGGCTTGAATACAGGCTCGTCTTTCATCTCACAACATGAAGGGATGTCTGAGTCCCCTGTGGAGACCTTAGAGAAAGCCCTAGGTCCCTGCCTCATTTTGACGGAATGCCTCACATCCCGCTGACACCTCGAGAGGCACGCGGAGTTCATTGCTTCAAAAGGTGACGATGCCTGACTCCTCTTGAATACTGATAGGAATCCCAAAATCCCTGTGGCTACTGGAAAGGGTCCTTGGGTGCCCTGCGTCACCTCGAGAAGCGTCCCTTTTGCCCTGCCAAGCCTCGAAGAGATTCCTGAGGTGTCCCTCGTTACTAGACAGGAGTCCTGACGTCACTGAAGAAACTCGTGTTTTGAAGGGCCATCCCCGCCGTAAGTCGAGAACATACCCCAGGTCCCCGCCGCAACTCGAGAAAAACCATGAGACTTCCCCCTAGAGGCGAGATGAGGCCCCATTCCCCTGCAGTGCATGCAGAGCTATTCCGTGATCCCATTCAAACAAGTCAGGAGCTTCGACTTGCTTAATGGATCTCGAGACAGTCCCCAAGAACACTGTCACCAGTCTAGACGGACCCTGAGGTCACCCCAGCAACGCAAAGCAGCTCCATGTGCCCCAAATCAACTCGAGATGAGGCCCGATTCCCCTGCATTGACTCCAGAGCCATTCCCCGTTCCCCATTCAACACGACCGGTGGCTCGACTTCCTTCAGGCAACTCCAGAGATGCCCCGAGAACACTGTCCCAAGTCTAGAGGAACACCAACTTCAGCACAGCAGCTCGAGGAATGCTCCGTGTACCCCAAATCGTCTCGAGATGAGAGCTGATTCCCTGGCTTAGGCTCAAGACGTATGCCAACTTCCCAGAAGCACCTCAGGAGGAGGCTTCTCTCAGCAATAGGTATGTGGGAGGGACCCCGAGTTTGCTGCCTCAAGGGGAATATACAGCGAGAAGCCCTAACTTGAAAGGAGGCCGGATTTCCTTGCAGTGGCTTGAATACAGGCTCGTCTTTCATCTCACAACATGAAGGGATGTCTGAATCCCCTGTGGAGACCTTAGAGAAAGCCCTAGGTCCCTGCCTCATTTTGAGGGAATGCCTCACATCGTGCTGACACCTCGAGAGGCACGCGGAGTTCATTGCTTCAAAAGGTGACGATGCCTGACTCCTCTTGAATACTGATAGGAATCCCAAAATCCCTGTGGCTACTGGAAAGGGTCCTTGGGTGCCCTGCCTCACCTCGAGAAGCGTCCCTTTTGCCCTGCCAAGCCTCGAAGAGATTCCTGAGGTGTCCCTCGTTACTAGACAGGAGTCCTGACGTCACTGAAGAAACTCGTGTTTTGAAGGGCCATCCCCGCCGTAAGTCGAGAACATACCCCAGGTCCCCGCCGCAACTCGAGAAAAACCATGAGACTTACCCCTAGAGGCGAGATGAGGCCCCATTCCCCTGCAGTGCATGCAGAGCTATTCCGTGATCCCATTCAAACAAGTCAGGAGCTTCGACTTGCTTAATGGATCTCGAGACAGTCCCCAAGAACACTGTCACCAGTCTAGACGGACCCTGAGGTCACCCCAGCAACGCAAAGCAGCTCCATGTGCCCCAAATCAACTCGAGATGAGGCCCGATTCCCCTGCATTGACTCCAGAGCCATTCCCCGTTCCCCATTCAACACGACCGGTGGCTCGACTTCCTTCAGGCAACTCCAGAGATGCCCCGAGAACACTGTCCCAAGTCTAGAGGAACACCAACTTCAGCACAGCAACTCGAGGAATGCTCCGTCTACCCCAAATCGTCTCGAGATGCGAGCTGATTCCCTGGCTTAGGCTCAAGACGTATGCCAACTTCCCAGAAGCACCTCAGGAGGAGGCTTCTCTCAGCAATAGGTATGTGGGAGGGACCCCGAGTTTGCTGCCTCAAGGGGAATATACAGCGAGAAGCCCTAACTTGAAAGGAGGCCGGATTTCCTTGCAGTGGCTTGAATACAGGCTCGTCTTTCATCTCACAACATGAAGGGATGTCTGAATCCCCTGTGGAGACCTTAGAGAAAGCCCTAGGTCCCTGCCTCATTTTGACGGAATGCCTCACATCCCGCTGACACCTCGAGAGGCACGCGGAGTTCATTGCTTCAAAAGGTGACGATGCCTGACTCCTCTTGAATACTGATAGGAATCCCAAAATCCCTGTGGCTACTGGAAAGGGTCCTTGGGTGCCCTGCCTCACCTCGAGAAGCGTCCCTTTTGCCCTGCCAAGCCTCGAAGAGATTCCTGAGGTGTCCCTCGTTACTAGACAGGAGTCCTGACGTCACTGAAGAAACTCGTGTTTTGAAGGGCTATCTCCGCCGTAAGTCGAGAACATACCCCAGGTCCCCGCCGCAACTCGAGAAAAACCATGAGACTTCCCCCTAGAGGCGAGATGAGGCCCCATTCCCCTGCAGTGCATGCAGAGCTATTCCGTGATCCCATTCAAACAAGTCAGGAGCTTCGACTTGCTTAATGGATCTCGAGACAGTCCCCAAGAACACTGTCACCAGTCTAGACGGACCCTGACGTCACCCCAGCAACGCAAAGCAGCTCCATGTGCCCCAAATCAACTCGAGATGAGGCCCGATTCCCCTGCATTGACTCCAGAGCCATTCACCGTTCCCCATTCAACACGACCGGTGGCTCGACTTCCTTCAGGCAACTCCAGAGATGCCCCGAGAACACTGTCCCAAGTCTAGAGGAACACCAACTTCAGCACAGCAACTCGAGGAATGCTCCGTGTACCCCAAATCGTCTCGAGATGAGAGCTGATTCCCTGGCTTAGGCTCAAGACGTATGCCAACTTCCCAGAAGCACCTCAGGAGGAGGCTTCTCTCAGCAATAGGTATGTGGGAGGGACCTCGAGTTTGCTGCCTCAAGGGGAATATACAGCGAGAAGCCCTAACTTGAAAGGAGGCCGGATTTCCTTGCAGTGGCTTGAATACAGGCTCGTCTTTCATCTCACAACATGAAGGGATGTCTGAATCCCCTGTGGAGACCTTAGAGAAAGCCCTAGGTCCCTGCCTCATTTTGACGGAATGCCTCACATCGTGCTGACACCTCGAGAGGCACGCGGAGTTCATTGCTTCAAAAGGTGACGATGCCTGACTCCTCTTGAATACTGATAGGAATCCCAAAATCCCTGTGGCTACTGGAAAGGGTCCTTGGGTGCCCTGCCTCACCTCGAGAAGCGTCCCTTTTGCCCTGCCAAGCCTCGAAGAGATTCCTGAGGTGTCCCTCATTACTAGACAGGAGTCCTGACGTCACTGAAGAAACTCGTGTTTTGAAGGGCCATCCCCGCCGTAAGTCGAGAACATACCCCAGGTCCCCGCCGCAACTCGAGAAAAACCATGAGACTTCCCCCTAGAGGCGAGATGAGGCCCCATTCCCCTGCAGTGCATGCAGAGCTATTCCGTGATCCCATTCAAACAAGTCAGGAGCTTCGACTTGCTTAATGGATCTCGAGACAGTCCCCAAGAACACTGTCAGCAGTCTAGACGGACCCTGAGGTCACCCCAGCAACGCAAAGCAGCTCCATGTGCCCCAAATCAACTCGAGATGAGGCCCGATTCCCCTGCATTGACTCCAGAGCCATTCCCCGTTCCCCATTCAACACGACCGGTGGCTCGACTTCCTTCAGGCAACTCCAGAGATGCCCGAGAACACTGTCCCAAGTCTAGAGGAACACCAACTTCAGCACAGCAACTCGAGGAATGCTCCGTGTACCCCAAATCGTCTCGAGATGCGAGCTGATTCCCTGGCTTAGGCTCAAGACGTATGCCAACTCCCCAGAAGCACCTCAGGAGGAGGCTTCTCTCAGCAATAGGTATGTGGGAGGGACCCCGAGTTTGCTGCCTCAAGGGGAATATACAGCGAGAAGCCCTAACTTGAAAGGAGGCCGGATTTCCTTGCAGTGGCTTGAATACAGGCTCGTCTTTCATCTCACAACATGAAGGGATGTCTGAGTCCCCTGTGGAGACCTTAGAGAAAGCCCTAGGTCCCTGCCTCATTTTGACGGAATGCCTCACATCCCGCTGACACCTCGAGAGGCACGCGGAGTTCATTGCTTCAAAAGGTGACGATGCCTGACTCCTCTTGAATACTGATAGGAATCCCAAAATCCCTGTGGCTACTGGAAAGGGTCCTTGGGTGCCCTGCGTCACCTCGAGAAGCGTCCCTTTTGCCCTGCCAAGCCTCGAAGAGATTCCTGAGGTGTCCCTCGTTACTAGACAGGAGTCCTGACGTCACTGAAGAAACTCGTGTTTTGAAGGGCCATCCCCGCCGTAAGTCGAGAACATACCCCAGGTCCCCGCCGCAACTCGAGAAAAACCATGAGACTTCCCCCTAGAGGCGAGATGAGGCCCCATTCCCCTGCAGTGCATGCAGAGCTATTCCGTGATCCCATTCAAACAAGTCAGGAGCTTCGACTTGCTTAATGGATCTCGAGACAGTCCCCAAGAACACTGTCACCAGTCTAGACGGACCCTGAGGTCACCCCAGCAACGCAAAGCAGCTCCATGTGCCCCAAATCAACTCGAGATGAGGCCCGATTCCCCTGCATTGACTCCAGAGCCATTCCCCGTTCCCCATTCAACACGACCGGTGGCTCGACTTCCTTCAGGCAACTCCAGAGATGCCCCGAGAACACTGTCCCAAGTCTAGAGGAACACCAACTTCAGCACAGCAGCTCGAGGAATGCTCCGTGTACCCCAAATCGTCTCGAGATGAGAGCTGATTCCCTGGCTTAGGCTCAAGACGTATGCCAACTTCCCAGAAGCACCTCAGGAGGAGGCTTCTCTCAGCAATAGGTATGTGGGAGGGACCCCGAGTTTGCTGCCTCAAGGGGAATATACAGCGAGAAGCCCTAACTTGAAAGGAGGCCGGATTTCCTTGCAGTGGCTTGAATACAGGCTCGTCTTTCATCTCACAACATGAAGGGATGTCTGAATCCCCTGTGGAGACCTTAGAGAAAGCCCTAGGTCCCTGCCTCATTTTGAGGGAATGCCTCACATCGTGCTGACACCTCGAGAGGCACGCGGAGTTCATTGCTTCAAAAGGTGACGATGCCTGACTCCTCTTGAATACTGATAGGAATCCCAAAATCCCTGTGGCTACTGGAAAGGGTCCTTGGGTGCCCTGCCTCACCTCGAGAAGCGTCCCTTTTGCCCTGCCAAGCCTCGAAGAGATTCCTGAGGTGTCCCTCGTTACTAGACAGGAGTCCTGACGTCACTGAAGAAACTCGTGTTTTGAAGGGCCATCCCCGCCGTAAGTCGAGAACATACCCCAGGTCCCCGCCGCAACTCGAGAAAAACCATGAGACTTACCCCTAGAGGCGAGATGAGGCCCCATTCCCCTGCAGTGCATGCAGAGCTATTCCGTGATCCCATTCAAACAAGTCAGGAGCTTCGACTTGCTTAATGGATCTCGAGACAGTCCCCAAGAACACTGTCACCAGTCTAGACGGACCCTGAGGTCACCCCAGCAACGCAAAGCAGCTCCATGTGCCCCAAATCAACTCGAGATGAGGCCCGATTCCCCTGCATTGACTCCAGAGCCATTCCCCGTTCCCCATTCAACACGACCGGTGGCTCGACTTCCTTCAGGCAACTCCAGAGATGCCCCGAGAACACTGTCCCAAGTCTAGAGGAACACCAACTTCAGCACAGCAACTCGAGGAATGCTCCGTCTACCCCAAATCGTCTCGAGATGCGAGCTGATTCCCTGGCTTAGGCTCAAGACGTATGCCAACTTCCCAGAAGCACCTCAGGAGGAGGCTTCTCTCAGCAATAGGTATGTGGGAGGGACCCCGAGTTTGCTGCCTCAAGGGGAATATACAGCGAGAAGCCCTAACTTGAAAGGAGGCCGGATTTCCTTGCAGTGGCTTGAATACAGGCTCGTCTTTCATCTCACAACATGAAGGGATGTCTGAATCCCCTGTGGAGACCTTAGAGAAAGCCCTAGGTCCCTGCCTCATTTTGACGGAATGCCTCACATCCCGCTGACACCTCGAGAGGCACGCGGAGTTCATTGCTTCAAAAGGTGACGATGCCTGACTCCTCTTGAATACTGATAGGAATCCCAAAATCCCTGTGGCTACTGGAAAGGGTCCTTGGGTGCCCTGCCTCACCTCGAGAAGCGTCCCTTTTGCCCTGCCAAGCCTCGAAGAGATTCCTGAGGTGTCCCTCGTTACTAGACAGGAGTCCTGACGTCACTGAAGAAACTCGTGTTTTGAAGGGCTATCTCCGCCGTAAGTCGAGAACATACCCCAGGTCCCCGCCGCAACTCGAGAAAAACCATGAGACTTCCCCCTAGAGGCGAGATGAGGCCCCATTCCCCTGCAGTGCATGCAGAGCTATTCCGTGATCCCATTCAAACAAGTCAGGAGCTTCGACTTGCTTAATGGATCTCGAGACAGTCCCCAAGAACACTGTCACCAGTCTAGACGGACCCTGACGTCACCCCAGCAACGCAAAGCAGCTCCATGTGCCCCAAATCAACTCGAGATGAGGCCCGATTCCCCTGCATTGACTCCAGAGCCATTCACCGTTCCCCATTCAACACGACCGGTGGCTCGACTTCCTTCAGGCAACTCCAGAGATGCCCCGAGAACACTGTCCCAAGTCTAGAGGAACACCAACTTCAGCACAGCAACTCGAGGAATGCTCCGTGTACCCCAAATCGTCTCGAGATGAGAGCTGATTCCCTGGCTTAGGCTCAAGACGTATGCCAACTTCCCAGAAGCACCTCAGGAGGAGGCTTCTCTCAGCAATAGGTATGTGGGAGGGACCTCGAGTTTGCTGCCTCAAGGGGAATATACAGCGAGAAGCCCTAACTTGAAAGGAGGCCGGATTTCCTTGCAGTGGCTTGAATACAGGCTCGTCTTTCATCTCACAACATGAAGGGATGTCTGAATCCCCTGTGGAGACCTTAGAGAAAGCCCTAGGTCCCTGCCTCATTTTGACGGAATGCCTCACATCGTGCTGACACCTCGAGAGGCACGCGGAGTTCATTGCTTCAAAAGGTGACGATGCCTGACTCCTCTTGAATACTGATAGGAATCCCAAAATCCCTGTGGCTACTGGAAAGGGTCCTTGGGTGCCCTGCCTCACCTCGAGAAGCGTCCCTTTTGCCCTGCCAAGCCTCGAAGAGATTCCTGAGGTGTCCCTCATTACTAGACAGGAGTCCTGACGTCACTGAAGAAACTCGTGTTTTGAAGGGCCATCCCCGCCGTAAGTCGAGAACATACCCCAGGTCCCCGCCGCAACTCGAGAAAAACCATGAGACTTCCCCCTAGAGGCGAGATGAGGCCCCATTCCCCTGCAGTGCATGCAGAGCTATTCCGTGATCCCATTCAAACAAGTCAGGAGCTTCGACTTGCTTAATGGATCTCGAGACAGTCCCCAAGAACACTGTCAGCAGTCTAGACGGACCCTGAGGTCACCCCAGCAACGCAAAGCAGCTCCATGTGCCCCAAATCAACTCGAGATGAGGCCCGATTCCCCTGCATTGACTCCAGAGCCATTCCCCGTTCCCCATTCAACACGACCGGTGGCTCGACTTCCTTCAGGCAACTCCAGAGATGCCCGAGAACACTGTCCCAAGTCTAGAGGAACACCAACTTCAGCACAGCAGCTCGAGGAATGCTCCGTGTACCCCAAATCGTCTCGAGATGAGAGCTGATTCCCTGGCTTAGGCTCAAGACGTATGCCAACTTCCCAGGAGCACCTCAGGAGGAGGCTTCTCTCAGCAATAGGTATGTGGGAGGGACCCCGAGTTTGCTGCCTCAAGGGGAATATACAGCGAGAAGCCCTAACTTGAAAGGAGGCCGGATTTCCTTGCAGTGGCTTGAATACAGGCTCGTCTTTCATCTCACAACATGAAGGGATGTCTGAATCCCCTGTGGAGACCTTAGAGAAAGCCCTAGGTCCCTGCCTCATTTTGAGGGAATGCCTCACATCGTGCTGACATCTCGAGAGGCACGCGGAGTTCATTGCTTCAAAAGGTGACGATGCCTGATTCCTCTTGAATACTGATAGGAATCCCAAAATCCCTGTGGCTACTGGAAAGGGTCCTTGGGTGCCCTGCCTCACCTCGAGAAGCGTCCCTTTTGCCCTGCCAAGCCTCGAAGAGATTCCTGAGGTGTCCCTCGTTACTAGACAGGAGTCCTGACGTCACTGAAGAAACTCGTGTTTTGAAGGGCCATCCCCGCCGTAAGTCGAGAACATACCCCAGGTCCCCGCCGCAACTCGAGAAAAACCATGAGACTTACCCCTAGAGGCGAGATGAGGCCCCATTCCCCTGCAGTGCATGCAGAGCTATTCCGTGATCCCATTCAAACAAGTCAGGAGCTTCGACTTGCTTAATGGATCTCGAGACAGTCCCCAAGAACACTGTCACCAGTCTAGACGGACCCTGAGGTCACCCCAGCAAAGCAAAGCAGCTCCATGTGACCCAAATCAACTCGAGATGAGGCCCGATTCCCCTGCATTGACTCCAGAGCCATTCCCCGTTCCCCATTCAACACGACCGGTGGCTCGACTTCCTTCAGGCAACTCCAGAGATGCCCCGAGAACACTGTCCCAAGTCTAGAGGAACACCAACTTCAGCACAGCAACTCGAGGAATGCTCCGTGTACCCCAAATCGTCTCGAGATGCGAGCTGATTCCCTGGCTTAGGCTCAAGACGTATGCCAACTCCCCAGAAGCACCTCAGGAGGAGGCTTCTCTCAGCAATAGGTATGTGGGAGGGACCCCGAGTTTGCTGCCTCAAGGGGAATATACAGCGAGAAGCCCTAACTTGAAAGGAGGCCGGATTTCCTTGCAGTGGCTTGAATACAGGCTCGTCTTTCATCTCACAACATGAAGGGATGTCTGAATCCCCTGTGGAGACCTTAGAGAAAGCCCTAGGTCCCTGCCTCATTTTGAAGGAATGCCTCACATCCCGCTGACACCTCGAGAGGCACGCGGAGTTCATTGCTTCAAAAGGTGACGATGCCTGACTCCTCTTGAATACTGATAGGAATCCCAAAATCCCTGTGGCTACTGGAAAGGGTCCTTGGGTGCCCTGCCTCACCTCGAGAAGCGTCCCTTTTGCCCTGCCAAGCCTCGAAGAGATTCCTGAGGTGTCCCTCGTTACTAGACAGGAGTCCTGACGTCACTGAACAAACTCGTGTTTTGAAGGGCCATCCCCGCCGTAAGTCGAGAACATACCCCAGGTCCCCGCCGCAACTCGAGAAAAACCATGAGACTTCCCCCTAGAGGCGAGATGAGGCCCCATTCCCCTGCAGTGCATGCAGAGCTATTCCGTGATCCCATTCAAACAAGTCAGGAGCTTCGACTTGCTTAATGGATCTCGAGACAGTCCCTAAGAACACTGTCACCAGTCTAGACGGACCCTGAGGTCACCCCAGCAACGCAAAGCAGCTCCATGTGCCCCAAATCAACTCGAGATGAGGCCCGATTCCCCTGCATTGACTCCAGAGCCATTCCCCGTTCCCCATTCAACACGACCGGTGGCTCGACTTCCTTCAGGCAACTCCAGAGATGCCCCGAGAACACTGTCCCAAGTCTAGAGGAACACCAACTTCAGCACAGCAGCTCGAGGAATGCTCCGTGTACCCCAAATCGTCTCGAGATGAGAGCTGATTCCCTGGCTTAGGCTCAAGACGTATGCCAACTTCCCAGAAGCACCTCAGGAGGAGGCTTCTCTCAGCAATAGGTATGTGGGAGGGACCCCGAGTTTGCTGCCTCAAGGGGAATATACAGCGAGAAGCCCTAACTTGAAAGGAGGCCGGATTTCCTTGCAGTGGCTTGAATACAGGCTCGTCTTTCATCTCACAACATGAAGGGATGTCTGAATCCCCTGTGGAGACCTTAGAGAAAGCCCTAGGTCCCTGCCTCATTTTGAGGGAATGCCTCACATCGTGCTGACACCTCGAGAGGCACGCGGAGTTCATTGCTTCAAAAGGTGACGATGCCTGACTCCTCTTGAATACTGATAGGAATCCCAAAATCCCTGTGGCTACTGGAAAGGGTCCTTGGGTGCCCTGCCTCACCTCGAGAAGCGTCCCTTTTGCCCTGCCAAGCCTCGAAGAGATTCCTGAGGTGTCCCTCGTTACTAGACAGGAGTCCTGACGTCACTGAAGAAACTCGTGTTTTGAAGGGCCATCCCCGCCGTAAGTCGAGAACATACCCCAGGTCCCCGCCGCAACTCGAGAAAAACCATGAGACTTACCCCTAGAGGCGAGATGAGGCCCCATTCCCCTGCAGTGCATGCAGAGCTATTCCGTGATCCCATTCAAACAAGTCAGGAGCTTCGACTTGCTTAATGGATCTCGAGACAGTCCCCAAGAACACTGTCACCAGTCTAGACGGACCCTGAGGTCACCCCAGCAACGCAAAGCAGCTCCATGTGCCCCAAATCAACTCGAGATGAGGCCCGATTCCCCTGCATTGACTCCAGAGCCATTCCCCGTTCCCCATTCAACACGACCGGTGGCTCGACTTCCTTCAGGCAACTCCAGAGATGCCCCGAGAACACTGTCCCAAGTCTAGAGGAACACCAACTTCAGCACAGCAGCTCGAGGAATGCTCCGTGTACCCCAAATCGTCTCGAGATGAGAGCTGATTCCCTGGCTTAGGCTCAAGACGTATGCCAACTTCCCAGAAGCACCTCAGGAGGAGGCTTCTCTCAGCAATAGGTATGTGGGAGGGACCCCGAGTTTGCTGCCTCAAGGGGAATATACAGCGAGAAGCACTAACTTGAAAGGAGGCCGGATTTCCTTGCAGTGGCTTGAATACAGGCTCGTCTTTCATCTCACAACATGAAGGGATGTCTGAATCCCCTGTGGAGACCTTAGAGAAAGCCCTAGGTCCCTGCCTCATTTTGACGGAATGCCTCACATCGTGCTGACACCTCGAGAGGCACGCGGAGTTCATTGCTTCAAAAGGTGACGATGCCTGACTCCTCTTGAATACCGATAGGAATCCCAAAATCCCTGTGGCTCCTGGAAAGAGTCCTTGGGTGCCCTGCCTCACCTCGAGAAGCGTCCCTTTTGCCCTGCCAAGCCTCGAAGAGATTCCTGAGGTGTCCCTCGTTACTAGACAGGAGTCCTGACGTCACTGAAGAAACTCGTGTTTTGAAGGGCCATCCCCGCCGTAAGTCGAGAACATACCCCAGGTCCCTGCCGCAACTCGAGAAAAACCATGAGACTTCCCCCTAGAGGCGAGATGAGGCCCCATTCCCCTGCAGTGCATGCAGAGCTATTCCGTGATCCCATTCAAACAAGTCAGGAGCTTCGACTTGCTTAATGGATCTCGAGACAGTCCCCAAGAACACTGTCACCAGTCTAGACGGACCCTGAGGTCACCCCAGCAATGCAAAGCAGCTCCATGTGCCCCAAATCAACTCGAGATGAGGCCCGATTCCCCTGCATTGACTCCAGAGCCATTCCCCGTTCCCCATTCAACACGACCGGTGGCTCGACTTCCTTCAGGCAACTCCAGAGATGCCCCGAGAACACTGTCCCAAGTCTAGAGGAACACCAACTTCAGCACAGCAGCTCGAGGAATGCTCCGTGTACCCCAAATCGTCTCGAGATGAGAGCTGATTCCCTGGCTTAGGCTCAAGACGTATGCCAACTTCCCAGAAGCACCTCAGGAGGAGGCTTCTCTCAGCAATAGGTATGTGGGAGGGACCCCGAGTTTGCTGCCTCAAGGGGAATATACAGCGAGAAGCCCTAACTTGAAAGGAGGCCGGATTTCCTTGCAGTGGCTTGAATACAGGCTCGTCTTTCATCTCACAACATGAAGGGATGTCTGAATCCCCTGTGGAGACCTTAGAGAAAGCCCTAGGTCCCTGCCTCATTTTGACAGAATGCCTCACATCGTGCTGACACCTCGAGAATCACGCGGAGTTCATTGCTTCAAAAGGTGACGATGCCTGACTCCTGTTGAATACTGATAGGAATCCCAAAATCCCTGTGGCTACTGGAAAGGGTCCTTGGGTGCCCTGCCTCCCCTCGAGAAGCGTCCCTTTTGCCCTGCCAAGCCTCGAAGAGATTCCTGAGGTGTCCCTCGTTACTAGACAGGAGTCCTGACGTCACTGAAGAAACTCGTGTTTTGAAGGGCCATCCCCGCCGTAAGTCGAGAACATACCCCAGGTCCCCGCCGCAACTCGAGAAAAACCATGAGACTTCCCCCTAGAGGCGAGATGAGGGCCCATTCCCCTGCAGTGCATGCAGAGCTATTCCGTGATCCCATTCAAACAAGTCAGGAGCTTCGACTTGCTTAATGGATCTCGAGACAGTCCCCAAGAACACTGTCACCAGTCTAGACGGACCCTGAGGTCACCCCAGCAACGCAAAGCAGCTCCATGTGCCCCAAATCAACTCGAGATGAGGCCCGATTCCCCTGCATTGACTCCAGAGCCATTCCCCGTTCCCCATTCAACACGACCGGTGGCTCGACTTCCTTCAGGCAACTCCAGAGATGCCCGAGAACACTGTCCCAAGTCTAGAGGAACACCAACTTCAGCACAGCAGCTCGAGGAATGCTCCGTGTACCCCAAATCGTCTCGAGATGAGAGCTGATTCCCTGGCTTAGGCTCAAGACGTATGCCAACTTCCCAGGAGCACCTCAGGAGGAGGCTTCTCTCAGCAATAGGTATGTGGGAGGGACCCCGAGTTTGCTGCCTCAAGGGGAATATACAGCGAGAAGCCCTAACTTGAAAGGAGGCCGGATTTCCTTGCAGTGGCTTGAATACAGGCTCGTCTTTCATCTCACAACATGAAGGGATGTCTGAATCCCCTGTGGAGACCTTAGAGAAAGCCCTAGGTCCCTGCCTCATTTTGAGGGAATGCCTCACATCGTGCTGACATCTCGAGAGGCACGCGGAGTTCATTGCTTCAAAAGGTGACGATGCCTGATTCCTCTTGAATACTGATAGGAATCCCAAAATCCCTGTGGCTACTGGAAAGGGTCATTGGGTGCCCTGCCTCACCTCGAGAAGCGTCCCTTTTGCCCTGCCAAGCCTCGAAGAGATTCCTGAGGTGTCCCTCGTTACTAGACAGGAGTCCTGACGTCACTGAAGAAACTCGTGTTTTGAAGGGCCATCCCCGCCGTAAGTCGAGAACATACCCCAGGTCCCCGCCGCAACTCGAGAAAAATCATGAGACTTCCCCCTAGAGGCGAGATGAGGCCCCATTCCCCTGCAGTGCATGCAGAGCTATTCCGTGATCCCATTCAAACAAGTCAGGAGCTTCGACTTGCTTAATGGATCTCGAGACAGTCCCCAAGAACACTGTCACCAGTCTAGACGGACCCTGAGGTCACCCCAGCAACGCAAAGCAGCTCCATGTGCCCCAAATCAACTCGAGATGAGGCCCGATTCCCCTGCATTGACTCCAGAGCCATTCCCCGTTCCCCATTCAACACGACCGGTGGCTCGACTTCCTTCAGGCAACTCCAGAGATGCCCCGAGAACACTGTCCCAAGTCTAGAGGAACACCAACTTCAGCACAGCAACTCGAGGAATGCTCCGTGTACCCCAAATCGTCTCGAGATGCGAGCTGATTCCCTGGCTTAGGCTCAAGACGTATGCCAACTCCCCAGAAGCACCTCAGGAGGAGGCTTCTCTCAGCAATAGGTATGTGGGAGGGACCCCGAGTTTGCTGCCTCAAGGGGAATATACAGCGAGAAGCCCTAACTTGAAAGGAGGCCGGATTTCCTTGCAGTGGCTTGAATACAGGCTCGTCTTTCATCTCACAACATGAAGGGATGTCTGAGTCCCCTGTGGAGACCTTAGAGAAAGCCCTAGGTCCCTGCCTCATTTTGACGGAATGCCTCACATCCCGCTGACACCTCGAGAGGCACGCGGAGTTCATTGCTTCAAAAGGTGACGATGCCTGACTCCTCTTGAATACTGATAGGAATCCCAAAATCCCTGTGGCTACTGGAAAGGGTCCTTGGGTGCCCTGCGTCACCTCGAGAAGCGTCCCTTTTGCCCTGCCAAGCCTCGAAGAGATTCCTGAGGTGTCCCTCGTTACTAGACAGGAGTCCTGACGTCACTGAAGAAACTCGTGTTTTGAAGGGCCATCCCCGCCGTAAGTCGAGAACATACCCCAGGTCCCCGCCGCAACTCGAGAAAAACCATGAGACTTCCCCCTAGAGGCGAGATGAGGCCCCATTCCCCTGCAGTGCATGCAGAGCTATTCCGTGATCCCATTCAAACAAGTCAGGAGCTTCGACTTGCTTAATGGATCTCGAGACAGTCCCCAAGAACACTGTCACCAGTCTAGACGGACCCTGAGGTCACCCCAGCAACGCAAAGCAGCTCCATGTGCCCCAAATCAACTCGAGATGAGGCCCGATTCCCCTGCATTGACTCCAGAGCCATTCCCCGTTCCCCATTCAACACGACCGGTGGCTCGACTTCCTTCAGGCAACTCCAGAGATGCCCCGAGAACACTGTCCCAAGTCTAGAGGAACACCAACTTCAGCACAGCAGCTCGAGGAATGCTCCGTGTACCCCAAATCGTCTCGAGATGAGAGCTGATTCCCTGGCTTAGGCTCAAGACGTATGCCAACTTCCCAGAAGCACCTCAGGAGGAGGCTTCTCTCAGCAATAGGTATGTGGGAGGGACCCCGAGTTTGCTGCCTCAAGGGGAATATACAGCGAGAAGCCCTAACTTGAAAGGAGGCCGGATTTCCTTGCAGTGGCTTGAATACAGGCTCGTCTTTCATCTCACAACATGAAGGGATGTCTGAATCCCCTGTGGAGACCTTAGAGAAAGCCCTAGGTCCCTGCCTCATTTTGAGGGAATGCCTCACATCGTGCTGACACCTCGAGAGGCACGCGGAGTTCATTGCTTCAAAAGGTGACGATGCCTGACTCCTCTTGAATACTGATAGGAATCCCAAAATCCCTGTGGCTACTGGAAAGGGTCCTTGGGTGCCCTGCCTCACCTCGAGAAGCGTCCCTTTTGCCCTGCCAAGCCTCGAAGAGATTCCTGAGGTGTCCCTCGTTACTAGACAGGAGTCCTGACGTCACTGAAGAAACTCGTGTTTTGAAGGGCTATCTCCGCCGTAAGTCGAGAACATACCCCAGGTCCCCGCCGCAACTCGAGAAAAACCATGAGACTTCCCCCTAGAGGCGAGATGAGGCCCCATTCCCCTGCAGTGCATGCAGAGCTATTCCGTGATCCCATTCAAACAAGTCAGGAGCTTCGACTTGCTTAATGGATCTCGAGACAGTCCCCAAGAACACTGTCACCAGTCTAGACGGACCCTGACGTCACCCCAGCAACGCAAAGCAGCTCCATGTGCCCCAAATCAACTCGAGATGAGGCCCGATTCCCCTGCATTGACTCCAGAGCCATTCACCGTTCCCCATTCAACACGACCGGTGGCTCGACTTCCTTCAGGCAACTCCAGAGATGCCCCGAGAACACTGTCCCAAGTCTAGAGGAACACCAACTTCAGCACAGCAACTCGAGGAATGCTCCGTGTACCCCAAATCGTCTCGAGATGAGAGCTGATTCCCTGGCTTAGGCTCAAGACGTATGCCAACTTCCCAGAAGCACCTCAGGAGGAGGCTTCTCTCAGCAATAGGTATGTGGGAGGGACCTCGAGTTTGCTGCCTCAAGGGGAATATACAGCGAGAAGCCCTAACTTGAAAGGAGGCCGGATTTCCTTGCAGTGGCTTGAATACAGGCTCGTCTTTCATCTCACAACATGAAGGGATGTCTGAATCCCCTGTGGAGACCTTAGAGAAAGCCCTAGGTCCCTGCCTCATTTTGACGGAATGCCTCACATCGTGCTGACACCTCGAGAGGCACGCGGAGTTCATTGCTTCAAAAGGTGACGATGCCTGACTCCTCTTGAATACTGATAGGAATCCCAAAATCCCTGTGGCTACTGGAAAGGGTCCTTGGGTGCCCTGCCTCACCTCGAGAAGCGTCCCTTTTGCCCTGCCAAGCCTCGAAGAGATTCCTGAGGTGTCCCTCATTACTAGACAGGAGTCCTGACGTCACTGAAGAAACTCGTGTTTTGAAGGGCCATCCCCGCCGTAAGTCGAGAACATACCCCAGGTCCCCGCCGCAACTCGAGAAAAACCATGAGACTTCCCCCTAGAGGCGAGATGAGGCCCCATTCCCCTGCAGTGCATGCAGAGCTATTCCGTGATCCCATTCAAACAAGTCAGGAGCTTCGACTTGCTTAATGGATCTCGAGACAGTCCCCAAGAACACTGTCAGCAGTCTAGACGGACCCTGAGGTCACCCCAGCAACGCAAAGCAGCTCCATGTGCCCCAAATCAACTCGAGATGAGGCCCGATTCCCCTGCATTGACTCCAGAGCCATTCCCCGTTCCCCATTCAACACGACCGGTGGCTCGACTTCCTTCAGGCAACTCCAGAGATGCCCGAGAACACTGTCCCAAGTCTAGAGGAACACCAACTTCAGCACAGCAGCTCGAGGAATGCTCCGTGTACCCCAAATCGTCTCGAGATGAGAGCTGATTCCCTGGCTTAGGCTCAAGACGTATGCCAACTTCCCAGGAGCACCTCAGGAGGAGGCTTCTCTCAGCAATAGGTATGTGGGAGGGACCCCGAGTTTGCTGCCTCAAGGGGAATATACAGCGAGAAGCCCTAACTTGAAAGGAGGCCGGATTTCCTTGCAGTGGCTTGAATACAGGCTCGTCTTTCATCTCACAACATGAAGGGATGTCTGAATCCCCTGTGGAGACCTTAGAGAAAGCCCTAGGTCCCTGCCTCATTTTGAGGGAATGCCTCACATCGTGCTGACATCTCGAGAGGCACGCGGAGTTCATTGCTTCAAAAGGTGACGATGCCTGATTCCTCTTGAATACTGATAGGAATCCCAAAATCCCTGTGGCTACTGGAAAGGGTCCTTGGGTGCCCTGCCTCACCTCGAGAAGCGTCCCTTTTGCCCTGCCAAGCCTCGAAGAGATTCCTGAGGTGTCCCTCGTTACTAGACAGGAGTCCTGACGTCACTGAAGAAACTCGTGTTTTGAAGGGCCATCCCCGCCGTAAGTCGAGAACATACCCCAGGTCCCCGCCGCAACTCGAGAAAAACCATGAGACTTACCCCTAGAGGCGAGATGAGGCCCCATTCCCCTGCAGTGCATGCAGAGCTATTCCGTGATCCCATTCAAACAAGTCAGGAGCTTCGACTTGCTTAATGGATCTCGAGACAGTCCCCAAGAACACTGTCACCAGTCTAGACGGACCCTGAGGTCACCCCAGCAAAGCAAAGCAGCTCCATGTGACCCAAATCAACTCGAGATGAGGCCCGATTCCCCTGCATTGACTCCAGAGCCATTCCCCGTTCCCCATTCAACACGACCGGTGGCTCGACTTCCTTCAGGCAACTCCAGAGATGCCCCGAGAACACTGTCCCAAGTCTAGAGGAACACCAACTTCAGCACAGCAACTCGAGGAATGCTCCGTGTACCCCAAATCGTCTCGAGATGCGAGCTGATTCCCTGGCTTAGGCTCAAGACGTATGCCAACTCCCCAGAAGCACCTCAGGAGGAGGCTTCTCTCAGCAATAGGTATGTGGGAGGGACCCCGAGTTTGCTGCCTCAAGGGGAATATACAGCGAGAAGCCCTAACTTGAAAGGAGGCCGGATTTCCTTGCAGTGGCTTGAATACAGGCTCGTCTTTCATCTCACAACATGAAGGGATGTCTGAATCCCCTGTGGAGACCTTAGAGAAAGCCCTAGGTCCCTGCCTCATTTTGAAGGAATGCCTCACATCCCGCTGACACCTCGAGAGGCACGCGGAGTTCATTGCTTCAAAAGGTGACGATGCCTGACTCCTCTTGAATACTGATAGGAATCCCAAAATCCCTGTGGCTACTGGAAAGGGTCCTTGGGTGCCCTGCCTCACCTCGAGAAGCGTCCCTTTTGCCCTGCCAAGCCTCGAAGAGATTCCTGAGGTGTCCCTCGTTACTAGACAGGAGTCCTGACGTCACTGAACAAACTCGTGTTTTGAAGGGCCATCCCCGCCGTAAGTCGAGAACATACCCCAGGTCCCCGCCGCAACTCGAGAAAAACCATGAGACTTCCCCCTAGAGGCGAGATGAGGCCCCATTCCCCTGCAGTGCATGCAGAGCTATTCCGTGATCCCATTCAAACAAGTCAGGAGCTTCGACTTGCTTAATGGATCTCGAGACAGTCCCTAAGAACACTGTCACCAGTCTAGACGGACCCTGAGGTCACCCCAGCAACGCAAAGCAGCTCCATGTGCCCCAAATCAACTCGAGATGAGGCCCGATTCCCCTGCATTGACTCCAGAGCCATTCCCCGTTCCCCATTCAACACGACCGGTGGCTCGACTTCCTTCAGGCAACTCCAGAGATGCCCCGAGAACACTGTCCCAAGTCTAGAGGAACACCAACTTCAGCACAGCAGCTCGAGGAATGCTCCGTGTACCCCAAATCGTCTCGAGATGAGAGCTGATTCCCTGGCTTAGGCTCAAGACGTATGCCAACTTCCCAGAAGCACCTCAGGAGGAGGCTTCTCTCAGCAATAGGTATGTGGGAGGGACCCCGAGTTTGCTGCCTCAAGGGGAATATACAGCGAGAAGCCCTAACTTGAAAGGAGGCCGGATTTCCTTGCAGTGGCTTGAATACAGGCTCGTCTTTCATCTCACAACATGAAGGGATGTCTGAATCCCCTGTGGAGACCTTAGAGAAAGCCCTAGGTCCCTGCCTCATTTTGAGGGAATGCCTCACATCGTGCTGACACCTCGAGAGGCACGCGGAGTTCATTGCTTCAAAAGGTGACGATGCCTGACTCCTCTTGAATACTGATAGGAATCCCAAAATCCCTGTGGCTACTGGAAAGGGTCCTTGGGTGCCCTGCCTCACCTCGAGAAGCGTCCCTTTTGCCCTGCCAAGCCTCGAAGAGATTCCTGAGGTGTCCCTCGTTACTAGACAGGAGTCCTGACGTCACTGAAGAAACTCGTGTTTTGAAGGGCCATCCCCGCCGTAAGTCGAGAACATACCCCAGGTCCCCGCCGCAACTCGAGAAAAACCATGAGACTTACCCCTAGAGGCGAGATGAGGCCCCATTCCCCTGCAGTGCATGCAGAGCTATTCCGTGATCCCATTCAAACAAGTCAGGAGCTTCGACTTGCTTAATGGATCTCGAGACAGTCCCCAAGAACACTGTCACCAGTCTAGACGGACCCTGAGGTCACCCCAGCAACGCAAAGCAGCTCCATGTGCCCCAAATCAACTCGAGATGAGGCCCGATTCCCCTGCATTGACTCCAGAGCCATTCCCCGTTCCCCATTCAACACGACCGGTGGCTCGACTTCCTTCAGGCAACTCCAGAGATGCCCCGAGAACACTGTCCCAAGTCTAGAGGAACACCAACTTCAGCACAGCAGCTCGAGGAATGCTCCGTGTACCCCAAATCGTCTCGAGATGAGAGCTGATTCCCTGGCTTAGGCTCAAGACGTATGCCAACTTCCCAGAAGCACCTCAGGAGGAGGCTTCTCTCAGCAATAGGTATGTGGGAGGGACCCCGAGTTTGCTGCCTCAAGGGGAATATACAGCGAGAAGCACTAACTTGAAAGGAGGCCGGATTTCCTTGCAGTGGCTTGAATACAGGCTCGTCTTTCATCTCACAACATGAAGGGATGTCTGAATCCCCTGTGGAGACCTTAGAGAAAGCCCTAGGTCCCTGCCTCATTTTGACGGAATGCCTCACATCGTGCTGACACCTCGAGAGGCACGCGGAGTTCATTGCTTCAAAAGGTGACGATGCCTGACTCCTCTTGAATACCGATAGGAATCCCAAAATCCCTGTGGCTCCTGGAAAGAGTCCTTGGGTGCCCTGCCTCACCTCGAGAAGCGTCCCTTTTGCCCTGCCAAGCCTCGAAGAGATTCCTGAGGTGTCCCTCGTTACTAGACAGGAGTCCTGACGTCACTGAAGAAACTCGTGTTTTGAAGGGCCATCCCCGCCGTAAGTCGAGAACATACCCCAGGTCCCTGCCGCAACTCGAGAAAAACCATGAGACTTCCCCCTAGAGGCGAGATGAGGCCCCATTCCCCTGCAGTGCATGCAGAGCTATTCCGTGATCCCATTCAAACAAGTCAGGAGCTTCGACTTGCTTAATGGATCTCGAGACAGTCCCCAAGAACACTGTCACCAGTCTAGACGGACCCTGAGGTCACCCCAGCAATGCAAAGCAGCTCCATGTGCCCCAAATCAACTCGAGATGAGGCCCGATTCCCCTGCATTGACTCCAGAGCCATTCCCCGTTCCCCATTCAACACGACCGGTGGCTCGACTTCCTTCAGGCAACTCCAGAGATGCCCCGAGAACACTGTCCCAAGTCTAGAGGAACACCAACTTCAGCACAGCAGCTCGAGGAATGCTCCGTGTACCCCAAATCGTCTCGAGATGAGAGCTGATTCCCTGGCTTAGGCTCAAGACGTATGCCAACTTCCCAGAAGCACCTCAGGAGGAGGCTTCTCTCAGCAATAGGTATGTGGGAGGGACCCCGAGTTTGCTGCCTCAAGGGGAATATACAGCGAGAAGCCCTAACTTGAAAGGAGGCCGGATTTCCTTGCAGTGGCTTGAATACAGGCTCGTCTTTCATCTCACAACATGAAGGGATGTCTGAATCCCCTGTGGAGACCTTAGAGAAAGCCCTAGGTCCCTGCCTCATTTTGACAGAATGCCTCACATCGTGCTGACACCTCGAGAGTCACGCGGAGTTCATTGCTTCAAAAGGTGACGATGCCTGACTCCTGTTGAATACTGATAGGAATCCCAAAATCCCTGTGGCTACTGGAAAGGGTCCTTGGGTGCCCTGCCTCCCCTCGAGAAGCGTCCCTTTTGCCCTGCCAAGCCTCGAAGAGATTCCTGAGGTGTCCCTCGTTACTAGACAGGAGTCCTGACGTCACTGAAGAAACTCGTGTTTTGAAGGGCCATCCCCGCCGTAAGTCGAGAACATACCCCAGGTCCCCGCCGCAACTCGAGAAAAACCATGAGACTTCCCCCTAGAGGCGAGATGAGGGCCCATTCCCCTGCAGTGCATGCAGAGCTATTCCGTGATCCCATTCAAACAAGTCAGGAGCTTCGACTTGCTTAATGGATCTCGAGACAGTCCCCAAGAACACTGTCACCAGTCTAGACGGACCCTGAGGTCACCCCAGCAACGCAAAGCAGCTCCATGTGCCCCAAATCAACTCGAGATGAGGCCCGATTCCCCTGCATTGACTCCAGAGCCATTCCCCGTTCCCCATTCAACACGACCGGTGGCTCGACTTCCTTCAGGCAACTCCAGAGATGCCCGAGAACACTGTCCCAAGTCTAGAGGAACACCAACTTCAGCACAGCAGCTCGAGGAATGCTCCGTGTACCCCAAATCGTCTCGAGATGAGAGCTGATTCCCTGGCTTAGGCTCAAGACGTATGCCAACTTCCCAGGAGCACCTCAGGAGGAGGCTTCTCTCAGCAATAGGTATGTGGGAGGGACCCCGAGTTTGCTGCCTCAAGGGGAATATACAGCGAGAAGCCCTAACTTGAAAGGAGGCCGGATTTCCTTGCAGTGGCTTGAATACAGGCTCGTCTTTCATCTCACAACATGAAGGGATGTCTGAATCCCCTGTGGAGACCTTAGAGAAAGCCCTAGGTCCCTGCCTCATTTTGACGGAATGCCTCACATCCCGCTGACACCTCGAGAGGCACGCGGAGTTCATTGCTTCAAAAGGTGACGATGCCTGACTCCTCTTGAATACTGACAGGAATCCCAAAATCCCTGTGGCTACTGGAAAGGGTCCTTGGGTGCCCTGCCTCACCTCGAGAAGCGTCCCTTTTGCCCTGCCAAGCCTCGAAGAGATTCCTGAGGTGTCCCTCGTTACTAGACAGGAGTCCTGACGTCACTGAAGAAACTCGTGTTTTGAAGGGCCATCCCCGCCGTAAGTCGAGAACATACCCCAGGTCCCCGCCGCAACTCGAGAAAAACCATGAGACTTCCCCCTAGAGGCGAGATGAGGCCCCATTCCCCTGCAGTGCATGCAGAGCTATTCCGTGATCCCATTCAAACAAGTCAGGAGCTTCGACTTGCTTAATGGATCTCGAGACAGTCCCCAAGAACACTGTCACCAGTCTAGACGGACCCTGAGGTCACCCCAGCAACGCAAAGCAGCTCCATGTGCCCCAAATCAACTCGAGATGAGGCCCGATTCCCCTGCATTGACTCCAGAGCCATTCCCCGTTCCCCATTCAACACGACCGGTGGCTCGACTTCCTTCAGGCAACTCCAGAGATGCCCCGAGAACACTGTCCCAAGTCTAGAGGAACACCAACTTCAGCACAGCAGCTCGAGGAATGCTCCGTGTACCCCAAATCGTCTCGAGATGAGAGCTGATTCCCTGGCTTAGGCTCAAGACGTATGCCAACTTCCCAGAAACACCTCAGGAGGAGGCTTCTCTCAGCAATAGGTATGTGGGAGGGACCCCGAGTTTGCTGCCTCAAGGGGAATATACAGCGAGAAGCCCTAACTTGAAAGGAGGCCGGATTTCCTTGCAGTGGCTTGAATACAGGCTCGTCTTTCATCTCACAACATGAAGGGATGTCTGAATCCCCTGTGGAGACCTTAGAGAAAGCCCTAGGTCCCTGCCTCATTTTGAGGGAATGCCTCACATCGTGCTGACACCTCGAGAGGCACGCGGAGTTCATTGCTTCAAAAGGTGACGATGCCTGACTCTTCTTGAATACTGATAGGAATCCCAAAATCCCTGTGGCTACTGGAAAGGGTCCTTGGGTGCCCTGCCTCACCTCGAGAAGCGTCCCTTTTGCCCTGCCAAGCCTCGAAGAGATTCCTGAGGTGTCCCTCGTTACTAGACAGGAGTCCTGACGTCACTGAAGAAACTCGTGTTTTGAAGGGCCATCCCCGCCGTAAGTCGAGAACATACCCCAGGTCCCCGCCGCAACTCGAGAAAAACCATGAGACTTCCCCCTAGAGGCGAGATGAGGCCCCATTCCCCTGCAGTGCATGCAGAGCTATTCCGTGATCCCATTCAAACAAGTCAGGAGCTTCGACTTGCTTAATGGATCTCGAGACAGTCCCCAAGAACACTGTCACCAGTCTAGACGGACCCTGAGGTCACCCCAGCAACGCAAAGCAGCTCCATGTGCCCCAAATCAACTCGAGATGAGGCCCGATTCCCCTGCATTGACTCCAGAGCCATTCCCCGTTCCCCATTCAACACGACCGGTGGCTCGACTTCCTTCAGGCAACTCCAGAGATGCCCCGAGAACACTGTCCCAAGTCTAGAGGAACACCAACTTCAGCACAGCAGCTCGAGGAATGCTCCGTGTACCCCAAATCGTCTCGAGATGAGAGCTGATTCCCTGGCTTAGGCTCAAGACGTATGCCAACTTCCCAGAAGCACCTCAGGAGGAGGCTTCTCTCAGCAATAGGTATGTGGGAGGGACCCCGAGTTTGCTGCCTCAAGGGGAATATACAGCGAGAAGCCCTAACTTGAAAGGAGGTCGGATTTCCTTGCAGTGGCTTGAATACAGGCTCGTCTTTCATCTCACAACATGAAGGGATGTCTGAATCCCCTGTGGAGACCTTAGAGAAAGCCCTAGGTCCCTGCCTCATTTTGAGGGAATGCCTCACATCGTGCTGACACCTCGAGAGGCACGCGGAGTTCATTGCTTCAAAAGGTGACGATGCCTGACTCCTCTTGAATACTGATAGGAATCCCAAAATCCCTGTGGCTACTGGAAAGGGTCCTTGGGTGCCCTGCCTCACCTCGAGAAGCGTCCCTTTTGCCCTGCCAAGCCTCGAAGAGATTCCTGAGGTGTCCCTCGTTACTAGACAGGAGTCCTGACGTCACTGAAGAAACTCGTGTTTTGAAGGGCCATCCCCGCCGTAAGTCGAGAACATACCCCAGGTCCCCGCCGCAACTCGAGAAAAACCATGAGACTTACCCCTAGAGGCGAGATGAGGCCCCATTCCCCTGCAGTGCATGCAGAGCTATTCCGTGATCCCATTCAAACAAGTCAGGAGCTTCGACTTGCTTAATGGATCTCGAGACAGTCCCCAAGAACACTGTCACCAGTCTAGACGGACCCTGAGGTCACCCCAGCAACGCAAAGCAGCTCCATGTGCCCCAAATCAACTCGAGATGAGGCCCGATTCCCCTGCATTGACTCCAGAGCCATTCCCCGTTCCCCATTCAACACGACCGGTGGCTCGACTTCCTTCAGGCAACTCCAGAGATGCCCCGAGAACACTGTCCCAAGTCTAGAGGAACACCAACTTCAGCACAGCAGCTCGAGGAATGCTCCGTGTACCCCAAATCGTCTCGAGATGAGAGCTGATTCCCTGGCTTAGGCTCAAGACGTATGCCAACTTCCCAGAAGCACCTCAGGAGGAGGCTTCTCTCAGCAATAGGTATGTGGGAGGGACCCCGAGTTTGCTGCCTCAAGGGGAATATACAGCGAGAAGCACTAACTTGAAAGGAGGCCGGATTTCCTTGCAGTGGCTTGAATACAGGCTCGTCTTTCATCTCACAACATGAAGGGATGTCTGAATCCCCTGTGGAGACCTTAGAGAAAGCCCTAGGTCCCTGCCTCATTTTGACGGAATGCCTCACATCGTGCTGACACCTCGAGAGGCACGCGGAGTTCATTGCTTCAAAAGGTGACGATGCCTGACTCCTCTTGAATACTGATAGGAATCCCAAAATCCCTGTGGCTCCTGGAAAGAGTCCTTGGGTGCCCTGCCTCACCTCGAGAAGCGTCCCTTTTGCCCTGCCAAGCCTCGAAGAGATTCCTGAGGTGTCCCTCGTTACTAGACAGGAGTCCTGACGTCACTGAAGAAACTCGTGTTTTGAAGGGCCATCCCCGCCGTAAGTCGAGAACATACCCCAGGTCCCTGCCGCAACTCGAGAAAAACCATGAGACTTCCCCCTAGAGGCGAGATGAGGCCCCATTCCCCTGCAGTGCATGCAGAGCTATTCCGTGATCCCATTCAAACAAGTCAGGAGCTTCGACTTGCTTAATGGATCTCGAGACAGTCCCCAAGAACACTGTCACCAGTCTAGACGGACCCTGAGGTCACCCCAGCAACGCAAAGCAGCTCCATGTGCCCCAAATCAACTCGAGATGAGGCCCGATTCCCCTGCATTGACTCCAGAGCCATTCCCCGTTCCCCATTCAACACGACCGGTGGCTCGACTTCCTTCAGGCAACTCCAGAGATGCCCCGAGAACACTGTCCCAAGTCTAGAGGAACACCAACTTCAGCACAGCAGCTCGAGGAATGCTCCGTGTACCCCAAATCGTCTCGAGATGAGAGCTGATTCCCTGGCTTAGGCTCAAGACGTATGCCAACTTCCCAGAAGCACCTCAGGAGGAGGCTTCTCTCAGCAATAGGTATGTGGGAGGGACCCCGAGTTTGCTGCCTCAAGGGGAATATACAGCGAGAAGCCCTAACTTGAAAGGAGGCCGGATTTCCTTGCAGTGGCTTGAATACAGGCTCGTCTTTCATCTCACAACATGAAGGGATGTCTGAATCCCCTGTGGAGACCTTAGAGAAAGCCCTAGGTCCCTGCCTCATTTTGACGGAATGCCTCACATCCCGCTGACACCTCGAGAGGCACGCGGAGTTCATTGCTTCAAAAGGTGACGATGCCTGACTCCTCTTGAATACTGATAGGAATCCCAAAATCCCTGTGGCTACTGGAAAGGGTCCTTGGGTGCCCTGCCTCACCTCGAGAAGCGTCCCTTTGGCCCTGCCAAGCCTCGAAGAGATTCCTGAGGTGTCCCTCGTTACTAGACAGGAGTCCTGACGTCACTGAAGAAACTCGTGTTTTGAAGGGCCATCCCCGCCGTAAGTCGAGAACATACCCCAGGTCCCCGCCGCAACTCGAGAAAAACCATGAGACTTCCCCCTAGAGGCGAGATGAGGCCCCATTCCCCTGCAGTGCATGCAGAGCTATTCCGTGATCCCATTCAAACAAGTCAGGAGCTTCGACTTGCTTAATGGATCTCGAGACAGTCCCCAAGAACACTGTCACCAGTCTAGACGGACCCTGAGGTCACCCCAGCAACGCAAAGCAGCTCCATGTGCCCCAAATCAACTCGAGATGAGGCCCGATTCCCCTGCATTGACTCCAGAGCCATTCCCCGTTCCCCATTCAACACGACCGGTGGCTCGACTTCCTTCAGGCATCTCCAGAGATGCCCGAGAACACTGTCCCAAGTCTAGAGGAACACCAACTTCAGCACAGCAGCTCGAGGAATGCTCCGTGTACCCCAAATCGTCTCGAGATGAGAGCTGATTCCCTGGCTTAGGCTCAAGACGTATGCCAACTTCCCAGGAGCACCTCAGGAGGAGGCTTCTCTCAGCAATAGGTATGTGGGAGGGACCCCGAGTTTGCTGCCTCAAGGGGAATATACAGCGAGAAGCCCTAACTTGAAAGGAGGCCGGATTTCCTTGCAGTGGCTTGAATACAGGCTCGTCTTTCATCTCACAACATGAAGGGATGTCTGAATCCCCTGTGGAGACCTTAGAGAAAGCCCTAGGTCCCTGCCTCATTTTGAGGGAATGCCTCACATCGTGCTGACATCTCGAGAGGCACGCGGAGTTCATTGCTTCAAAAGGTGACGATGCCTGATTCCTCTTGAATACTGATAGGAATCCCAAAATCCCTGTGGCTACTGGAAAGGGTCCTTGGGTGCCCTGCCTCACCTCGAGAAGCGTCCCTTTTGCCCTGCCAAGCCTCGAAGAGATTCCTGAGGTGTCCCTCGTTACTAGACAGGAGTCCTGACGTCACTGAAGAAACTCGTGTTTTGAAGGGCCATCCCCGCCGTAAGTCGAGAACATACCCCAGGTCCCCGCCGCAACTCGAGAAAAACCATGAGACTTCCCCCTAGAGGCGAGATGAGGCCCCATTCCCCTGCAGTGCATGCAGAGCTATTCCGTGATCCCATTCAAACAAGTCAGGAGCTTCGACTTGCTTAATGGATCTCGAGACAGTCCCCAAGAACACTGTCACCAGTCTAGACGGACCCTGAGGTCACCCCAGCAACGCAAAGCAGCTCCATGTGCCCCAAATCAACTCGAGATGAGGCCCGATTCCCCTGCATTGACTCCAGAGCCATTCCCCGTTCCCCATTCAACACGACCGGTGGCTCGACTTCCTTCAGGCAACTCCAGAGATGCCCCGAGAACACTGTCCCAAGTCTAGAGGAACACCAACTTCAGCACAGCAACTCGAGGAATGCTCCGTCTACCCCAAATCGTCTCGAGATGCGAGCTGATTCCCTGGCTTAGGCTCAAGACCTATGCCAACTTCCTAGAAGCACCTCAGGAGGAGGCTTCTCTCAGCAATAGGTATGTGGGAGGGACCCCGAGTTTGCTGCCTCAAGGGGAATATACAGCGAGAAGCCCTAACTTGAAAGGAGGCCGGATTTCCTTGCAGTGGCTTGAATACAGGCTCGTCTTTCATCTCACAACATGAAGGGATGTCTGAATCCCCTGTGGAGACCTTAGAGAAAGCCCTAGGTCCCTGCCTCATTTTGACGGAATGCCTCACATCCCGCTGACACCTCGAGAGGCACGCGGAGTTCATTGCTTCAAAAGGTGACGATGCCTGACTCCTCTTGAATACTGATAGGAATCCCAAAATCCCTGTGGCTACTGGAAAGGGTCCTTGGGTGCCCTGCCTCACCTCGAGAAGCGTCCCTTTTGCCCTGCCAAGCCTCGAAGAGATTCCTGAGGTGTCCCTCGTTACTAGACAGGAGTCCTGACGTCACTGAAGAAACTCGTGTTTTGAAGGGCCATCCCCGCCGTAAGTCGAGAACATACCCCAGGTCCCCGCCGCAACTCGAGAAAAACCATGAGACTTCCCCCTAGAGGCGAGATGAGGCCCCATTCCCCTGCAGTGCATGCAGAGCTATTCCGTGATCCCATTCAAACAAGTCAGGAGCTTCGACTTGCTTAATGGATCTCGAGACAGTCCCCAAGAACACTGTCACCAGTCTAGACGGACCCTGAGGTCACCCCAGCAACGCAAAGCAGCTCCATGTGCCCCAAATCAACTCGAGATGAGGCCCGATTCCCCTGCATTGACTCCAGAGCCATTCCCCGTTCCCCATTCAACACGACCGGTGGCTCGACTTCCTTCAGGCAACTCCAGAGATGCCCCGAGAACACTGTCCCAAGTCTAGAGGAACACCAACTTCAGCACAGCAGCTCGAGGAATGCTCCGTGTACCCCAAATCGTCTCGAGATGAGAGCTGATTCCCTGGCTTAGGCTCAAGACGTATGCCAACTTCCCAGAAGCACCTCAGGAGGAGGCTTCTCTCAGCAATAGGTATGTGGGAGGGACCCCGAGTTTGCTGCCTCAAGGGGAATATACAGCGAGAAGCCCTAACTTGAAAGGAGGTCGGATTTCCTTGCAGTGGCTTGAATACAGGCTCGTCTTTCATCTCACAACATGAAGGGATGTCTGAATCCCCTGTGGAGACCTTAGAGAAAGCCCTAGGTCCCTGCCTCATTTTGAGGGAATGCCTCACATCGTGCTGACACCTCGAGAGGCACGCGGAGTTCATTGCTTCAAAAGGTGACGATGCCTGACTCCTCTTGAATACTGATAGGAATCCCAAAATCCCTGTGGCTACTGGAAAGGGTCCTTGGGTGCCCTGCCTCACCTCGAGAAGCGTCCCTTTTGCCCTGCCAAGCCTCGAAGAGATTCCTGAGGTGTCCCTCGTTACTAGACAGGAGTCCTGACGTCACTGAAGAAACTCGTGTTTTGAAGGGCCATCCCCGCCGTAAGTCGAGAACATACCCCAGGTCCCCGCCGCAACTCGAGAAAAACCATGAGACTTACCCCTAGAGGCGAGATGAGGCCCCATTCCCCTGCAGTGCATGCAGAGCTATTCCGTGATCCCATTCAAACAAGTCAGGAGCTTCGACTTGCTTAATGGATCTCGAGACAGTCCCCAAGAACACTGTCACCAGTCTAGACGGACCCTGAGGTCACCCCAGCAACGCAAAGCAGCTCCATGTGCCCCAAATCAACTCGAGATGAGGCCCGATTCCCCTGCATTGACTCCAGAGCCATTCCCCGTTCCCCATTCAACACGACCGGTGGCTCGACTTCCTTCAGGCAACTCCAGAGATGCCCCGAGAACACTGTCCCAAGTCTAGAGGAACACCAACTTCAGCACAGCAGCTCGAGGAATGCTCCGTGTACCCCAAATCGTCTCGAGATGAGAGCTGATTCCCTGGCTTAGGCTCAAGACGTATGCCAACTTCCCAGAAGCACCTCAGGAGGAGGCTTCTCTCAGCAATAGGTATGTGGGAGGGACCCCGAGTTTGCTGCCTCAAGGGGAATATACAGCGAGAAGCACTAACTTGAAAGGAGGCCGGATTTCCTTGCAGTGGCTTGAATACAGGCTCGTCTTTCATCTCACAACATGAAGGGATGTCTGAATCCCCTGTGGAGACCTTAGAGAAAGCCCTAGGTCCCTGCCTCATTTTGACGGAATGCCTCACATCGTGCTGACACCTCGAGAGGCACGCGGAGTTCATTGCTTCAAAAGGTGACGATGCCTGACTCCTCTTGAATACTGATAGGAATCCCAAAATCCCTGTGGCTCCTGGAAAGAGTCCTTGGGTGCCCTGCCTCACCTCGAGAAGCGTCCCTTTTGCCCTGCCAAGCCTCGAAGAGATTCCTGAGGTGTCCCTCGTTACTAGACAGGAGTCCTGACGTCACTGAAGAAACTCGTGTTTTGAAGGGCCATCCCCGCCGTAAGTCGAGAACATACCCCAGGTCCCTGCCGCAACTCGAGAAAAACCATGAGACTTCCCCCTAGAGGCGAGATGAGGCCCCATTCCCCTGCAGTGCATGCAGAGCTATTCCGTGATCCCATTCAAACAAGTCAGGAGCTTCGACTTGCTTAATGGATCTCGAGACAGTCCCCAAGAACACTGTCACCAGTCTAGACGGACCCTGAGGTCACCCCAGCAACGCAAAGCAGCTCCATGTGCCCCAAATCAACTCGAGATGAGGCCCGATTCCCCTGCATTGACTCCAGAGCCATTCCCCGTTCCCCATTCAACACGACCGGTGGCTCGACTTCCTTCAGGCAACTCCAGAGATGCCCCGAGAACACTGTCCCAAGTCTAGAGGAACACCAACTTCAGCACAGCAGCTCGAGGAATGCTCCGTGTACCCCAAATCGTCTCGAGATGAGAGCTGATTCCCTGGCTTAGGCTCAAGACGTATGCCAACTTCCCAGAAGCACCTCAGGAGGAGGCTTCTCTCAGCAATAGGTATGTGGGAGGGACCCCGAGTTTGCTGCCTCAAGGGGAATATACAGCGAGAAGCCCTAACTTGAAAGGAGGCCGGATTTCCTTGCAGTGGCTTGAATACAGGCTCGTCTTTCATCTCACAACATGAAGGGATGTCTGAATCCCCTGTGGAGACCTTAGAGAAAGCCCTAGGTCCCTGCCTCATTTTGACGGAATGCCTCACATCCCGCTGACACCTCGAGAGGCACGCGGAGTTCATTGCTTCAAAAGGTGACGATGCCTGACTCCTCTTGAATACTGATAGGAATCCCAAAATCCCTGTGGCTACTGGAAAGGGTCCTTGGGTGCCCTGCCTCACCTCGAGAAGCGTCCCTTTGGCCCTGCCAAGCCTCGAAGAGATTCCTGAGGTGTCCCTCGTTACTAGACAGGAGTCCTGACGTCACTGAAGAAACTCGTGTTTTGAAGGGCCATCCCCGCCGTAAGTCGAGAACATACCCCAGGTCCCCGCCGCAACTCGAGAAAAACCATGAGACTTCCCCCTAGAGGCGAGATGAGGCCCCATTCCCCTGCAGTGCATGCAGAGCTATTCCGTGATCCCATTCAAACAAGTCAGGAGCTTCGACTTGCTTAATGGATCTCGAGACAGTCCCCAAGAACACTGTCACCAGTCTAGACGGACCCTGAGGTCACCCCAGCAACGCAAAGCAGCTCCATGTGCCCCAAATCAACTCGAGATGAGGCCCGATTCCCCTGCATTGACTCCAGAGCCATTCCCCGTTCCCCATTCAACACGACCGGTGGCTCGACTTCCTTCAGGCATCTCCAGAGATGCCCGAGAACACTGTCCCAAGTCTAGAGGAACACCAACTTCAGCACAGCAGCTCGAGGAATGCTCCGTGTACCCCAAATCGTCTCGAGATGAGAGCTGATTCCCTGGCTTAGGCTCAAGACGTATGCCAACTTCCCAGGAGCACCTCAGGAGGAGGCTTCTCTCAGCAATAGGTATGTGGGAGGGACCCCGAGTTTGCTGCCTCAAGGGGAATATACAGCGAGAAGCCCTAACTTGAAAGGAGGCCGGATTTCCTTGCAGTGGCTTGAATACAGGCTCGTCTTTCATCTCACAACATGAAGGGATGTCTGAATCCCCTGTGGAGACCTTAGAGAAAGCCCTAGGTCCCTGCCTCATTTTGAGGGAATGCCTCACATCGTGCTGACATCTCGAGAGGCACGCGGAGTTCATTGCTTCAAAAGGTGACGATGCCTGATTCCTCTTGAATACTGATAGGAATCCCAAAATCCCTGTGGCTACTGGAAAGGGTCCTTGGGTGCCCTGCCTCACCTCGAGAAGCGTCCCTTTTGCCCTGCCAAGCCTCGAAGAGATTCCTGAGGTGTCCCTCGTTACTAGACAGGAGTCCTGACGTCACTGAAGAAACTCGTGTTTTGAAGGGCCATCCCCGCCGTAAGTCGAGAACATACCCCAGGTCCCCGCCGCAACTCGAGAAAAACCATGAGACTTCCCCCTAGAGGCGAGATGAGGCCCCATTCCCCTGCAGTGCATGCAGAGCTATTCCGTGATCCCATTCAAACAAGTCAGGAGCTTCGACTTGCTTAATGGATCTCGAGACAGTCCCCAAGAACACTGTCACCAGTCTAGACGGACCCTGAGGTCACCCCAGCAACGCAAAGCAGCTCCATGTGCCCCAAATCAACTCGAGATGAGGCCCGATTCCCCTGCATTGACTCCAGAGCCATTCCCCGTTCCCCATTCAACACGACCGGTGGCTCGACTTCCTTCAGGCAACTCCAGAGATGCCCCGAGAACACTGTCCCAAGTCTAGAGGAACACCAACTTCAGCACAGCAACTCGAGGAATGCTCCGTCTACCCCAAATCGTCTCGAGATGCGAGCTGATTCCCTGGCTTAGGCTCAAGACCTATGCCAACTTCCTAGAAGCACCTCAGGAGGAGGCTTCTCTCAGCAATAGGTATGTGGGAGGGACCCCGAGTTTGCTGCCTCAAGGGGAATATACAGCGAGAAGCCCTAACTTGAAAGGAGGCCGGATTTCCTTGCAGTGGCTTGAATACAGGCTCGTCTTTCATCTCACAACATGAAGGGATGTCTGAATCCCCTGTGGAGACCTTAGAGAAAGCCCTAGGTCCCTGCCTCATTTTGACGGAATGCCTCACATCCCGCTGACACCTCGAGAGGCACGCGGAGTTCATTGCTTCAAAAGGTGACGATGCCTGACTCCTCTTGAATACTGATAGGAATCCCAAAATCCCTGTGGCTACTGGAAAGGGTCCTTGGGTGCCCTGCCTCACCTCGAGAAGCGTCCCTTTTGCCCTGCCAAGCCTCGAAGAGATTCCTGAGGTGTCCCTCGTTACTAGACAGGAGTCCTGACGTCACTGAAGAAACTCGTGTTTTGAAGGGCCATCCCCGCCGTAAGTCGAGAACATACCCCAGGTCCCCGCCGCAACTCGAGAAAAACCATGAGACTTCCCCCTAGAGGCGAGATGAGGCCCCATTCCCCTGCAGTGCATGCAGAGCTATTCCGTGATCCCATTCAAACAAGTCAGGAGCTTCGACTTGCTTAATGGATCTCGAGACAGTCCCCAAGAACACTGTCACCAGTCTAGACGGACCCTGAGGTCACCCCAGCAACGCAAAGCAGCTCCATGTGCCCCAAATCAACTCGAGATGAGGCCCGATTCCCCTGCATTGACTCCAGAGCCATTCCCCGTTCCCCATTCAACACGACCGGTGGCTCGACTTCCTTCAGGCAACTCCAGAGATGCCCCGAGAACACTGTCCCAAGTCTAGAGGAACACCAACTTCAGCACAGCAGCTCGAGGAATGCTCCGTGTACCCCAAATCGTCTCGAGATGAGAGCTGATTCCCTGGCTTAGGCTCAAGACGTATGCCAACTTCCCAGAAGCACCTCAGGAGGAGGCTTCTCTCAGCAATAGGTATGTGGGAGGGACCCCGAGTTTGCTGCCTCAAGGGGAATATACAGCGAGAAGCCCTAACTTGAAAGGAGGTCGGATTTCCTTGCAGTGGCTTGAATACAGGCTCGTCTTTCATCTCACAACATGAAGGGATGTCTGAATCCCCTGTGGAGACCTTAGAGAAAGCCCTAGGTCCCTGCCTCATTTTGAGGGAATGCCTCACATCGTGCTGACACCTCGAGAGGCACGCGGAGTTCATTGCTTCAAAAGGTGACGATGCCTGACTCCTCTTGAATACTGATAGGAATCCCAAAATCCCTGTGGCTACTGGAAAGGGTCCTTGGGTGCCCTGCCTCACCTCGAGAAGCGTCCCTTTTGCCCTGCCAAGCCTCGAAGAGATTCCTGAGGTGTCCCTCGTTACTAGACAGGAGTCCTGACGTCACTGAAGAAACTCGTGTTTTGAAGGGCCATCCCCGCCGTAAGTCGAGAACATACCCCAGGTCCCCGCCGCAACTCGAGAAAAACCATGAGACTTACCCCTAGAGGCGAGATGAGGCCCCATTCCCCTGCAGTGCATGCAGAGCTATTCCGTGATCCCATTCAAACAAGTCAGGAGCTTCGACTTGCTTAATGGATCTCGAGACAGTCCCCAAGAACACTGTCACCAGTCTAGACGGACCCTGAGGTCACCCCAGCAACGCAAAGCAGCTCCATGTGCCCCAAATCAACTCGAGATGAGGCCCGATTCCCCTGCATTGACTCCAGAGCCATTCCCCGTTCCCCATTCAACACGACCGGTGGCTCGACTTCCTTCAGGCAACTCCAGAGATGCCCCGAGAACACTGTCCCAAGTCTAGAGGAACACCAACTTCAGCACAGCAGCTCGAGGAATGCTCCGTGTACCCCAAATCGTCTCGAGATGAGAGCTGATTCCCTGGCTTAGGCTCAAGACGTATGCCAACTTCCCAGAAGCACCTCAGGAGGAGGCTTCTCTCAGCAATAGGTATGTGGGAGGGACCCCGAGTTTGCTGCCTCAAGGGGAATATACAGCGAGAAGCACTAACTTGAAAGGAGGCCGGATTTCCTTGCAGTGGCTTGAATACAGGCTCGTCTTTCATCTCACAACATGAAGGGATGTCTGAATCCCCTGTGGAGACCTTAGAGAAAGCCCTAGGTCCCTGCCTCATTTTGACGGAATGCCTCACATCGTGCTGACACCTCGAGAGGCACGCGGAGTTCATTGCTTCAAAAGGTGACGATGCCTGACTCCTCTTGAATACTGATAGGAATCCCAAAATCCCTGTGGCTCCTGGAAAGAGTCCTTGGGTGCCCTGCCTCACCTCGAGAAGCGTCCCTTTTGCCCTGCCAAGCCTCGAAGAGATTCCTGAGGTGTCCCTCGTTACTAGACAGGAGTCCTGACGTCACTGAAGAAACTCGTGTTTTGAAGGGCCATCCCCGCCGTAAGTCGAGAACATACCCCAGGTCCCTGCCGCAACTCGAGAAAAACCATGAGACTTCCCCCTAGAGGCGAGATGAGGCCCCATTCCCCTGCAGTGCATGCAGAGCTATTCCGTGATCCCATTCAAACAAGTCAGGAGCTTCGACTTGCTTAATGGATCTCGAGACAGTCCCCAAGAACACTGTCACCAGTCTAGACGGACCCTGAGGTCACCCCAGCAACGCAAAGCAGCTCCATGTGCCCCAAATCAACTCGAGATGAGGCCCGATTCCCCTGCATTGACTCCAGAGCCATTCCCCGTTCCCCATTCAACACGACCGGTGGCTCGACTTCCTTCAGGCAACTCCAGAGATGCCCCGAGAACACTGTCCCAAGTCTAGAGGAACACCAACTTCAGCACAGCAGCTCGAGGAATGCTCCGTGTACCCCAAATCGTCTCGAGATGAGAGCTGATTCCCTGGCTTAGGCTCAAGACGTATGCCAACTTCCCAGAAGCACCTCAGGAGGAGGCTTCTCTCAGCAATAGGTATGTGGGAGGGACCCCGAGTTTGCTGCCTCAAGGGGAATATACAGCGAGAAGCCCTAACTTGAAAGGAGGCCGGATTTCCTTGCAGTGGCTTGAATACAGGCTCGTCTTTCATCTCACAACATGAAGGGATGTCTGAATCCCCTGTGGAGACCTTAGAGAAAGCCCTAGGTCCCTGCCTCATTTTGACGGAATGCCTCACATCCCGCTGACACCTCGAGAGGCACGCGGAGTTCATTGCTTCAAAAGGTGACGATGCCTGACTCCTGTTGAATACTGATAGGAATCCCAAAATCCCTGTGGCTACTGGAAAGGGTCCTTGGGTGCCCTGCCTCACCTCGAGAAGCGTCCCTTTTGCCCTGCCAAGCCTCGAAGAGATTCCTGAGGTGTCCCTCGTTACTAGACAGGAGTCCTGACGTCACTGAAGAAACTCGTGTTTTGAAGGGCCATCCCCGCCGTAAGTCGAGAACATACCCCAGGTCCCCGCCGCAACTCGAGAAAAACCATGAGACTTCCCCCTAGAGGCGAGATGAGGCCCCATTCCCCTGCAGTGCATGCAGAGCTATTCCGTGATCCCATTCAAACAAGTCAGGAGCTTCGACTTGCTTAATGGATCTCGAGACAGTCCCCAAGAACACTGTCACCAGTCTAGACGGACCCTGAGGTCACCCCAGCAACGCAAAGCAGCTCCATGTGCCCCAAATCAACTCGAGATGAGGCCCGATTCCCCTGCATTGACTCCAGAGCCATTCCCCGTTCCCCATTCAACACGACCGGTGGCTCGACTTCCTTCAGGCATCTCCAGAGATGCCCGAGAACACTGTCCCAAGTCTAGAGGAACACCAACTTCAGCACAGCAGCTCGAGGAATGCTCCGTGTACCCCAAATCGTCTCGAGATGAGAGCTGATTCCCTGGCTTAGGCTCAAGACGTATGCCAACTTCCCAGGAGCACCTCAGGAGGAGGCTTCTCTCAGCAATAGGTATGTGGGAGGGACCCCGAGTTTGCTGCCTCAAGGGGAATATACAGCGAGAAGCCCTAACTTGAAAGGAGGCCGGATTTCCTTGCAGTGGCTTGAATACAGGCTCGTCTTTCATCTCACAACATGAAGGGATGTCTGAATCCCCTGTGGAGACCTTAGAGAAAGCCCTAGGTCCCTGCCTCATTTTGAGGGAATGCCTCACATCGTGCTGACATCTCGAGAGGCACGCGGAGTTCATTGCTTCAAAAGGTGACGATGCCTGATTCCTCTTGAATACTGATAGGAATCCCAAAATCCCTGTGGCTACTGGAAAGGGTCCTTGGGTGCCCTGCCTCACCTCGAGAAGCGTCCCTTTTGCCCTGCCAAGCCTCGAAGAGATTCCTGAGGTGTCCCTCGTTACTAGACAGGAGTCCTGACGTCACTGAAGAAACTCGTGTTTTGAAGGGCCATCCCCGCCGTAAGTCGAGAACATACCCCAGGTCCCCGCCGCAACTCGAGAAAAACCATGAGACTTCCCCCTAGAGGCGAGATGAGGCCCCATTCCCCTGCAGTGCATGCAGAGCTATTCCGTGATCCCATTCAAACAAGTCAGGAGCTTCGACTTGCTTAATGGATCTCGAGACAGTCCCCAAGAACACTGTCACCAGTCTAGACGGACCCTGAGGTCACCCCAGCAACGCAAAGCAGCTCCATGTGCCCCAAATCAACTCGAGATGAGGCCCGATTCCCCTGCATTGACTCCAGAGCCATTCCCCGTTCCCCATTCAACACGACCGGTGGCTCGACTTCCTTCAGGCAACTCCAGAGATGCCCCGAGAACACTGTCCCAAGTCTAGAGGAACACCAACTTCAGCACAGCAACTCGAGGAATGCTCCGTGTACCCCAAATCGTCTCGAGATGCGAGCTGATTCCCTGGCTTAGGCTCAAGACGTATGCCAACTCCCCAGAAGCACCTCAGGAGGAGGCTTCTCTCAGCAATAGGTATGTGGGAGGGACCCCGAGTTTGCTGCCTCAAGGGGAATATACAGCGAGAAGCCCTAACTTGAAAGGAGGCCGGATTTCCTTGCAGTGGCTTGAATACAGGCTCGTCTTTCATCTCACAACATGAAGGGATGTCTGAATCCCCTGTGGAGACCTTAGAGAAAGCCCTAGGTCCCTGCCTCATTTTGACGGAATGCCTCACATCCCGCTGACACCTCGAGAGGCACGCGGAGTTCATTGCTTCAAAAGGTGACGATGCCTGACTCCTCTTGAATACTGATAGGAATCCCAAAATCCCTGTGGCTACTGGAAAGGGTCCTTGGGTGCCCTGCCTCACCTCGAGAAGCGTCCCTTTTGCCCTGCCAAGCCTCGAAGAGATTCCTGAGGTGTCCCTCGTTACTAGACAGGAGTCCTGACGTCACTGAAGAAACTCGTGTTTTGAAGGGCTATCTCCGCCGTAAGTCGAGAACATACCCCAGGTCACCGCCGCAACTCGAGAAAAACCATGAGACTTCCCCCTAGAGGCGAGATGAGGCCCCATTCCCCTGCAGTGCATGCAGAGCTATTCCGTGATCCCATTCAAACAAGACAGGAGCTTCGACTTGCTTAATGGATCTCGAGACAGTCCCCAAGAACACTGTCACCAGTCTAGACGGACCCTGAGGTCACCCCAGCAACGCAAAGCAGCTCCATGTGCCCCAAATCAACTCGAGATGAGGCCCGATTCCCCTGCATTGACTCCAGAGCCATTCCCCGTTCCCCATTCAACACGACCGGTGGCTCGACTTCCTTCAGGCAACTCCAGAGATGCCCCGAGAACACTGTCCCAAGTCTAGAGGAACACCAACATCAGCACAGCAGCTCGAGGAATGCTCCATGTACCCCAAATCGTCTCGAGATGAGAGCTGATTCCCTGGCTTAGGCTCAAGACGTATGCCAACTTCCCAGAAACACCTCAGGAGGAGGCTTCTCTCAGCAATAGGTATGTGGGAGGGACCCCGAGTTTGCTGCCTCAAGGGGAATATACAGCGAGAAGCCCTAACTTGAAAGGAGGCCGGATTTCCTTGCAGTGGCTTGAATACAGGCTCGTCTTTCATCTCACAACATGAAGGGATGTCTGAATCCCCTGTGGAGACCTTAGAGAAAGCCCTAGGTCCCTGCCTCATTTTGAGGGAATGCCTCACATCGTGCTGACACCTCGAGAGGCACGCGGAGTTCATTGCTTCAAAAGGTGACGATGCCTGACTCTTCTTGAATACTGATAGGAATCCCAAAATCCCTGTGGCTACTGGAAAGGGTCCTTGGGTGCCCTGCCTCACCTCGAGAAGCGTCCCTTTTGCCCTGCCAAGCCTCGAAGAGATTCCTGAGGTGTCCCTCGTTACTAGACAGGAGTCCTGACGTCACTGAAGAAACTCGTGTTTTGAAGGGCCATCCCCGCCGTAAGTCGAGAACATACCCCAGGTCCCCGCCGCAACTCGAGAAAAACCATGAGACTTCCCCCTAGAGGCGAGATGAGGCCCCATTCCCCTGCAGTGCATGCAGAGCTATTCCGTGATCCCATTCAAACAAGTCAGGAGCTTCGACTTGCTTAATGGATCTCGAGACAGTCCCCAAGAACACTGTCACCAGTCTAGACGGACCCTGAGGTCACCCCAGCAACGCAAAGCAGCTCCATGTGCCCCAAATCAACTCGAGATGAGGCCCGATTCCCCTGCATTGACTCCAGAGCCATTCCCCGTTCCCCATTCAACACGACCGGTGGCTCGACTTCCTTCAGGCAACTCCAGAGATGCCCCGAGAACACTGTCCCAAGTCTAGAGGAACACCAACTTCAGCACAGCAACTCGAGGAATGCTCCGTCTACCCCAAATCGTCTCGAGATGCGAGCTGATTCCCTGGCTTAGGCTCAAGACGTATGCCAACTTCCCAGAAGCACCTCAGGAGGAGGCTTCTCTCAGCAATAGGTATGTGGGAGGGACCCCGAGTTTGCTGCCTCAAGGGGAATATACAGCGAGAAGCCCTAACTTGAAAGGAGGCCGGATTTCCTTGCAGTGGCTTGAATACAGGCTCGTCTTTCATCTCACAACATGAAGGGATGTCTGAATCCCCTGTGGAGACCTTAGAGAAAGCCCTAGGTCCCTGCCTCATTTTGACGGAATGCCTCACATCCCGCTGACACCTCGAGAGGCACGCGGAGTTCATTGCTTCAAAAGGTGACGATGCCTGACTCCTCTTGAATACTGATAGGAATCCCAAAATCCCTGTGGCTACTGGAAAGGGTCCTTGGGTGCCCTGCCTCACCTCGAGAAGCGTCCCTTTTGCCCTGCCAAGCCTCGAAGAGATTCCTGAGGTGTCCCTCGTTACTAGACAGGAGTCCTGACGTCACTGAAGAAACTCGTGTTTTGAAGGGCTATCTCCGCCGTAAGTCGAGAACATACCCCAGGTCCCCGCCGCAACTCGAGAAAAACCATGAGACTTCCCCCTAGAGGCGAGATGAGGCCCCATTCCCCTGCAGTGCATGCAGAGCTATTCCGTGATCCCATTCAAACAAGTCAGGAGCTTCGACTTGCTTAATGGATCTCGAGACAGTCCCCAAGAACACTGTCACCAGTCTAGACGGACCCTGACGTCACCCCAGCAACGCAAAGCAGCTCCATGTGCCCCAAATCAACTCGAGATGAGGCCCGATTCCCCTGCATTGACTCCAGAGCCATTCCCCGTTCCCCATTCAACACGACCGGTGGCTCGACTTCCTTCAGGCAACTCCAGAGATGCCCCGAGAACACTGTCCCAAGTCTAGAGGAACACCAACTTCAGCACAGCAACTCGAGGAATGCTCCGTGTACCCCAAATCGTCTCGAGATGAGAGCTGATTCCCTGGCTTAGGCTCAAGACGTATGCCAACTTCCCAGAAGCACCTCAGGAGGAGGCTTCTCTCAGCAATAGGTATGTGGGAGGGACCTCGAGTTTGCTGCCTCAAGGGGAATATACAGCGAGAAGCCCTAACTTGAAAGGAGGCCGGATTTCCTTGCAGTGGCTTGAATACAGGCTCGTCTTTCATCTCACAACATGAAGGGATGTCTGAATCCCCTGTGGAGACCTTAGAGAAAGCCCTAGGTCCCTGCCTCATTTTGACGGAATGCCTCACATCGTGCTGACACCTCGAGAGGCACGCGGAGTTCATTGCTTCAAAAGGTGACGATGCCTGACTCCTCTTGAATACTGATAGGAATCCCAAAATCCCTGTGGCTACTGGAAAGGGTCCTTGGGTGCCCTGCCTCACCTCGAGAAGCGTCCCTTTTGCCCTGCCAAGCCTCGAAGAGATTCCTGAGGTGTCCCTCGTTACTAGACAGGAGTCCTGACGTCACTGAAGAAACTCGTGTTTTGAAGGGCCATCCCCGCCGTAAGTCGAGAACATACCCCAGGTCTCCGCCGCAACTCGAGAAAAACCATGAGACTTACCCCTAGAGGCGAGATGAGGCCCCATTCCCCTGCAGTGCATGCAGAGCTATTCCGTGATCCCATTCAAACAAGTCAGGAGCTTCGACTTGCTTAATGGATCTCGAGACAGTCCCCAAGAACACTGTCACCAGTCTAGACGGACCCTGAGGTCACCCCAGCAACGCAAAGCAGCTCCATGTGCCCCAAATCAACTCGAGATGAGGCCCGATTACCCTGCATTGACTCCAGAGCCATTCCCCGTTCCCCATTCAACACGACCGGTGGCTCGACTTCCTTCAGGCAACTCCAGAGATGCCCCGAGAACACTGTCCCAAGTCTAGAGGAACACCAACTTCAGCACAGCAGCTCGAGGAATGCTCCGTGTACCCCAAATCGTCTCGAGATGCGAGCTAATTCCCTGGCTTAGGCTCAGGACGTATGCCAACTTCCCAGAAGCACCTCAGGAGGAGGCTTCTCTCAGCAATAGGTATGTGGGAGGGACCCCGAGTTTGCTGCCTCAAGGGGAATATACAGCGAGAAGCCCTAACTTGAAAGGAGGCCGGATTTCCTTGCAGTGGCTTGAATACAGGCTCGTCTTTCATCTCACAACATGAAGGGATGTCTGAATCCCCTGCGGAGACCTTAGAGAAAGCCCTAGGTCCCTGCCTCATTTTGACGGAATGCCTCACATCCCGCTGACACCTCGAGAGGCACGCGGAGTTCATTGCTTCAAAAGGTGACGATGCCTGACTCCTCTTGAATACTGATAGGAATCCCAAAATCCCTGTGGCTACTGGAAAGGGTCCTTGGGTGCCTTGCCTCACCTCGAGAAGCGTCCCTTTTGCCCTGCCAAGCCTCGAAGAGATTCCTGAGGTGTCCCTCGTTACTAGACAGGAGTCCTGACGTCACTGAAGAAACTCGTGTTTTGAAGGGCCATCCCCGCCGTAAGTCGAGAACATACCCCAGGTCCCCGCCGCAACTCGAGAAAAACCATGAGACTTCCCCCTAGAGGCGAGATGAGGCCCCATTCCCCTGCAGTGCATGCAGAGCTATTCCGTGATCCCATTCAAACAAGTCAGGAGCTTCGACTTGCTTAATGGATCTCGAGACAGTCCCCAAGAACACTGTCACCAGTCTAGACGGACCCTGAGGTCACCCCAGCAACGCAAAGCAGCTCCATGTGCCCCAAATCAACTCGAGATGAGGCCCGATTCCCCTGCATTGACTCCAGAGCCATTCCCCGTTCCCCATTCAACACGACCGGTGGCTCGACTTCCTTCAGGCAACTCCAGAGATGCCCCGAGAACACTGTCCCAAGTCTAGAGGAACACCAACTTCAGCACAGCAGCTCGAGGAATGCTCCGTGTACCCCAAATCGTCTCGAGATGCGAGCTGATTCCCTGGCTTAGGCTCAAGACGTATGCCAACTTCCCAGAAGCACCTCAGGAGGAGGCTTCTCTCAGCAATAGGTATGTGGGAGGGACCCCGAGTTTGCTGCCTCAAGGGGAATATACAGCGAGAAGCCCTAACTTGAAAGGAGGCCGGATTTCCTTGCAGTGGCTTGAATACAGGCTCGTCTTTCATCTCACAACATGAAGGGATGTCTGAATTCCCTGTGGAGACCTTAGAGAAGGCCCTAGGTCCCTGCCTCATTTTGACGGAATGCCTCACATCCCGCTGACACCTCGAGAGGCACGCGGAGTTCATTGCTTCAAAAGGTGACGATGCCTGACTCCTCTTGAATACTGATAGGAATCCCAAAATCCCTGTGGCTACTGGAAAGGGTCCTTGGGTGCCCTGCCTCACCTCGAGAAGCGTCCCTTTTGCCCTGCCAAGCCTCGAAGAGATTCCTGAGGTGTCCCTCGTTACTAGACAGGAGTCCTGACGTCACTGAAGAAACTCGTGTTTTGAAGGGCTATCTCCGCCGTAAGTCGAGAACATACCCCAGGTCCCCGCCGCAACTCGAGAAAAACCATGAGACTTCCCCCTAGAGGCGAGATGAGGCCCCATTCCCCTGCAGTGCATGCAGAGCTATTCCGTGATCCCATTCAAACAAGACAGGAGCTTCGACTTGCTTAATGGATCTCGAGACAGTCCCCAAGAACACTGTCACCAGTCTAGACGGACCCTGAGGTCACCCCAGCAACGCAAAGCAGCTCCATGTGCCCCAAATCAACTCGAGATGAGGCCCGATTCCCCTGCATTGACTCCAGAGCCATTCCCCGTTCCCCATTCAACACGACCGGTGGCTCGACTTCCTTCAGGCAACTCCAGAGATGCCCCGAGAACACTGTCCCAAGTCTAGAGGAACACCAACTTCAGCACAGCAGCTCGAGGAATGCTCCATGTACCCCAAATCGTCTCGAGATGAGAGCTGATTCCCTGGCTTAGGCTCAAGACGTATGCCAACTTCCCAGAAACACCTCAGGAGGAGGCTTCTCTCAGCAATAGGTATGTGGGAGGGACCCCGAGTTTGCTGCCTCAAGGGGAATATACAGCGAGAAGCCCTAACTTGAAAGGAGGCCGGATTTCCTTGCAGTGGCTTGAATACAGGCTCGTCTTTCATCTCACAACATGAAGGGATGTCTGAATCCCCTGTGGAGACCTTAGAGAAAGCCCTAGGTCCCTGCCTCATTTTGAGGGAATGCCTCACATCGTGCTGACACCTCGAGAGGCACGCGGAGTTCATTGCTTCAAAAGGTGACGATGCCTGACTCTTCTTGAATACTGATAGGAATCCCAAAATCCCTGTGGCTACTGGAAAGGGTCCTTGGGTGCCCTGCCTCACCTCGAGAAGCGTCCCTTTTGCCCTGCCAAGCCTCGAAGAGATTCCTGAGGTGTCCCTCGTTACTAGACAGGAGTCCTGACGTCACTGAAGAAACTCGTGTTTTGAAGGGCCATCCCCGCCGTAAGTCGAGAACATACCCCAGGTCCCCGCCGCAACTCGAGAAAAACCATGAGACTTCCCCCTAGAGGCGAGATGAGGCCCCATTCCCCTGCAGTGCATGCAGAGCTATTCCGTGATCCCATTCAAACAAGTCAGGAGCTTCGACTTGCTTAATGGATCTCGAGACAGTCCCCAAGAACACTGTCACCAGTCTAGACGGACCCTGAGGTCACCCCAGCAACGCAAAGCAGCTCCATGTGCCCCAAATCAACTCGAGATGAGGCCCGATTCCCCTGCATTGACTCCAGAGCCATTCCCCGTTCCCCATTCAACACGACCGGTGGCTCGACTTCCTTCAGGCAACTCCAGAGATGCCCCGAGAACACTGTCCCAAGTCTAGAGGAACACCAACTTCAGCACAGCAACTCGAGGAATGCTCCGTCTACCCCAAATCGTCTCGAGATGCGAGCTGATTCCCTGGCTTAGGCTCAAGACGTATGCCAACTTCCCAGAAGCACCTCAGGAGGAGGCTTCTCTCAGCAATAGGTATGTGGGAGGGACCCCGAGTTTGCTGCCTCAAGGGGAATATACAGCGAGAAGCCCTAACTTGAAAGGAGGCCGGATTTCCTTGCAGTGGCTTGAATACAGGCTCGTCTTTCATCTCACAACATGAAGGGATGTCTGAATCCCCTGTGGAGACCTTAGAGAAAGCCCTAGGTCCCTGCCTCATTTTGACGGAATGCCTCACATCCCGCTGACACCTCGAGAGGCACGCGGAGTTCATTGCTTCAAAAGGTGACGATGCCTGACTCCTCTTGAATACTGATAGGAATCCCAAAATCCCTGTGGCTACTGGAAAGGGTCCTTGGGTGCCCTGCCTCACCTCGAGAAGCGTCCCTTTTGCCCTGCCAAGCCTCGAAGAGATTCCTGAGGTGTCCCTCGTTACTAGACAGGAGTCCTGACGTCACTGAAGAAACTCGTGTTTTGAAGGGCTATCTCCGCCGTAAGTCGAGAACATACCCCAGGTCCCCGCCGCAACTCGAGAAAAACCATGAGACTTCCCCCTAGAGGCGAGATGAGGCCCCATTCCCCTGCAGTGCATGCAGAGCTATTCCGTGATCCCATTCAAACAAGTCAGGAGCTTCGACTTGCTTAATGGATCTCGAGACAGTCCCCAAGAACACTGTCACCAGTCTAGACGGACCCTGACGTCACCCCAGCAACGCAAAGCAGCTCCATGTGCCCCAAATCAACTCGAGATGAGGCCCGATTCCCCTGCATTGACTCCAGAGCCATTCACCGTTCCCCATTCAACACGACCGGTGGCTCGACTTCCTTCAGGCAACTCCAGAGATGCCCCGAGAACACTGTCCCAAGTCTAGAGGAACACCAACTTCAGCACAGCAACTCGAGGAATGCTCCGTGTACCCCAAATCGTCTCGAGATGAGAGCTGATTCCCTGGCTTAGGCTCAAGACGTATGCCAACTTCCCAGAAGCACCTCAGGAGGAGGCTTCTCTCAGCAATAGGTATGTGGGAGGGACCTCGAGTTTGCTGCCTCAAGGGGAATATACAGCGAGAAGCCCTAACTTGAAAGGAGGCCGGATTTCCTTGCAGTGGCTTGAATACAGGCTCGTCTTTCATCTCACAACATGAAGGGATGTCTGAATCCCCTGTGGAGACCTTAGAGAAAGCCCTAGGTCCCTGCCTCATTTTGACGGAATGCCTCACATCGTGCTGACACCTCGAGAGGCACGCGGAGTTCATTGCTTCAAAAGGTGACGATGCCTGACTCCTCTTGAATACTGATAGGAATCCCAAAATCCCTGTGGCTACTGGAAAGGGTCCTTGGGTGCCCTGCCTCACCTCGAGAAGCGTCCCTTTTGCCCTGCCAAGCCTCGAAGAGATTCCTGAGGTGTCCCTCGTTACTAGACAGGAGTCCTGACGTCACTGAAGAAACTCGTGTTTTGAAGGGCCATCCCCGCCGTAAGTCGAGAACATACCCCAGGTCTCCGCCGCAACTCGAGAAAAACCATGAGACTTACCCCTAGAGGCGAGATGAGGCCCCATTCCCCTGCAGTGCATGCAGAGCTATTCCGTGATCCCATTCAAACAAGTCAGGAGCTTCGACTTGCTTAATGGATCTCGAGACAGTCCCCAAGAACACTGTCACCAGTCTAGACGGACCCTGAGGTCACCCCAGCAACGCAAAGCAGCTCCATGTGCCCCAAATCAACTCGAGATGAGGCCCGATTCCCCTGCATTGACTCCAGAGCCATTCCCCGTTCCCCATTCAACACGACCGGTGGCTCGACTTCCTTCAGGCAACTCCAGAGATGCCCCGAGAACACTGTCCCAAGTCTAGAGGAACACCAACTTCAGCACAGCAGCTCGAGGAATGCTCCGTGTACCCCAAATCGTCTCGAGATGCGAGCTAATTCCCTGGCTTAGGCTCAGGACGTATGCCAACTTCCCAGAAGCACCTCAGGAGGAGGCTTCTCTCAGCAATAGGTATGTGGGAGGGACCCCGAGTTTGCTGCCTCAAGGGGAATATACAGCGAGAAGCCCTAACTTGAAAGGAGGCCGGATTTCCTTGCAGTTGCTTGAATACAGGCTCGTCTTTCATCTCACAACATGAAGGGATGTCTGAATCCCCTGCGGAGACCTTAGAGAAAGCCCTAGGTCCCTGCCTCATTTTGACGGAATGCCTCACATCCCGCTGACACCTCGAGAGGCACGCGGAGTTCATTGCTTCAAAAGGTGACGATGCCTGACTCCTCTTGAATACTGATAGGAATCCCAAAATCCCTGTGGCTACTGGAAAGGGTCCTTGGGTGCCTTGCCTCACCTCGAGAAGCGTCCCTTTTGCCCTGCCAAGCCTCGAAGAGATTCCTGAGGTGTCCCTCGTTACTAGACAGGAGTCCTGACGTCACTGAAGAAACTCGTGTTTTGAAGGGCCATCCCCGCCGTAAGTCAAGAACATACCCCAGGTCCCCGCCGCAACTCGAGAAAAACCATGAGACTTCCCCCTAGAGGCGAGATGAGGCCCCATTCCCCTGCAGTGCATGCAGAGCTATTCCGTGATCCCATTCAAACAAGTCAGGAGCTTCGACTTGCTTAATGGATCTCGAGACAGTCCCCAAGAACACTGTCACCAGTCTAGACGGACCCTGAGGTCACCCCAGCAACGCAAAGCAGCTCCATGTGCCCCAAATCAACTCGAGATGAGGCCCGATTCCCCTGCATTGACTCCAGAGCCATTCCCCGTTCCCCATTCAACACGACCGGTGGCTCGACTTCCTTCAGGCAACTCCAGAGATGCCCCGAGAACACTGTCCCAAGTCTAGAGGAACACCAACTTCAGCACAGCAGCTCGAGGAATGCTCCGTGTACCCCAAATCGTCTCGAGATGCGAGCTGATTCCCTGGCTTAGGCTCAAGACGTATGCCAACTTCCCAGAAGCACCTCAGGAGGAGGCTTCTCTCAGCAATAGGTATGTGGGAGGGACCCCGAGTTTGCTGCCTCAAGGGGAATATACAGCGAGAAGCCCTAACTTGAAAGGAGGCCGGATTTCCTTGCAGTGGCTTGAATACAGGCTCGTCTTTCATCTCACAACATGAAGGGATGTCTGAATTCCCTGTGGAGACCTTAGAGAAGGCCCTAGGTCCCTGCCTCATTTTGACGGAATGCCTCACATCCCGCTGACACCTCGAGAGGCACGCGGAGTTCATTGCTTCAAAAGGTGACGATGCCTGACTCCTCTTGAATACTGATAGGAATCCCAAAATCCCTGTGGCTACTGGAAAGGGTCCTTGGGTGCCCTGCGTCACCTTGAGAAGCGTCCCTTTTGCCCTGCCAAGCCTCGAAGAGATTCCTGAGGTGTCCCTCGTTACTAGACAGGAGTCCTGACGTCACTGAAGAAACTCGTGTTTTGAAGGGCCATCCCCGCCGTAAGTCGAGAACATACCCCAGGTCCCCGCCGCAACTCGAGAAAAACCATGAGACTTCCCCCTAGAGGCCAGATGAGGCCCCATTCCCCTGCAGTGCATGCAGAGCTATTCCGTGATCCCATTCAAACAAGTCAGGAGCTTCGACTTGCTTAATGGATCTCGAGACAGTCCCCAAGAACACTGTCACCAGTCTAGACGGACACTGAGGTCACCCCAGCAACGCAAAGCAGCTCCATGTGCCCCAAATCAACTCGAGATGAGGCCCGATTCCCCTGCATTGACTCCAGAGCCATTCCCCGTTCCCCATTCAACACGACCGGTGGCTCGACTTCCTTCAGGCAACTCCAGAGATGCCCCGAGAACACTGTCCCAAGTCTAGAGGAACACCAACTTCAGCACAGCAGCTCGAGGAATGCTCCGTGTACCCCAAATCGTCTCGAGATGCGAGCTGATTCCCTGGCTTAGGCTCAAGACGTATGCCAACTTCCCAGAAGCACCTCAGGAGGAGGCTTCTCTCAGCAATAGGTATGTGGGAGGGACCCCGAGTTTGCTGCCTCAAGGCGAATATACAGCGAGAAGCCCTAACTTGAAAGGAGGCCGGATTTCCTTGCAGTGGCTTGAATACAGGCTCGTCTTTCATCTCACAACATGAAGGGATGTCTGAATCCCCTGTGGAGACCTTAGAGAAAGCCCTAGGTCCCTGCCTCATTTTCACGGAATGCCTCACATCCCGCTGACACCTCGAGAGGCACGCGGAGTTCATTGCTTCAAAAGGTGACGATGCCTGACTCCTCTTGAATACTGATAGGAATCCCAAAATCCCTGTGGCTACTGGAAAGGGTCCTTGGGTGCCCTGCCTCACCTCGAGAAGCGTCCCTTTTGCCCTGCCAAGCCTCGAAGAGATTCCTGAGGTGTCCCTCGTTACTAGACAGGAGTCCTGACGTCACTGAAGAAACTCGTGTTTTGAAGGGCCATCCCCGCCGTAAGTCGAGAACATACCCCAGGTCTCCGCCGCAACTCGTGAAAAACCATGAGACTTACCCCTAGAGGCGAGATGAGGCCCCATTCCCCTGCAGTGCATGCAGAGCTATTCCGTGATCCCATTCAAACAAGTCAGGAGCTTCGACTTGCTTAATGGATCTCGAGACAGTCCCCAAGAACACTGTCACCAGTCTAGACGGACCCTGAGGTCACCCCAGCAACGCAAAGCAGCTCCATGTGCCCCAAATCAACTCGAGATGAGGCCCGATTCCCCTGCATTGACTCCAGAGCCATTCCCCGTTCCCCATTCAACACGACCGGTGGCTCGACTTCCTTCAGGCAACTCCAGAGATGCCCCGAGAACACTGTCCCAAGTCTAGAGGAACACCAACTTCAGCACAGCAACTCGAGGAATGCTCCGTGTACCCCAAATCGTCTCGAGATGTGAGCTGATTCCCTGGCTTAGGCTCAAGACGTATGCCAACTTCCCAGAAGCACCTCAGGAGGAGGCTTCTCTCAGCAATAGGTATGTGGGAGGGACCCCGAGTTTGCTGCCTCAAGGGGAATATACAGCGAGAAGCCCTAACTTGAAAGGAGGCCGGATTTCCTTGCAGTGGGTTGAATACAGGCTCGTCTTTCATCTCACAACATGAAGGGATGTCTGAATCCCCTGTGGAGACCTTAGAGAAAGGCCTAGGTCCCTGCCTCATTTTGACGGAATGCCTCACATCCCGCTGACACCTCGAGAGGCATGCGGAGTTCATTGCTTCAAAAGGTGACGATGCCTGACTCCTCTTGAATACTTATAGGAATCCCAAAATCCCTGTGGCTACTGCAAAGGGTCCTTGGGTGCCCTGCGTCACCTCGAGAAGCGTCCCTTTTGCCCTGCCAAGCCTCGAAGAGATTCCTGAGGTGTCCCTCGTTACTAGACAGGAGTCCTGACGTCACTGAAGAAACTCGTGTTTTGAAGGGCCATCCCCGCCGTAAGTCGAGAACATACCCCAGGTCCCCGCCGCAACTCGAGAAAAACCATGAGACTTCCCCCTAGAGGCCAGATGAGGCCCCATTCCCCTGCAGTGCATGCAGAGCTATTCCGTGATCCCATTCAAACAAGTCAGGAGCTTCGACTTGCTTAATGGATCTCGAGACAGTCCCCAAGAACACTGTCACCAGTCTAGACGGACCCTGAGGTCACCCCAGCAACGCAAAGCAGCTCCATGTGCCCCAAATCAACTCGAGATGAGGCCCGATTCCCCTGCATTGACTCCAGAGCCATTCCCCGTTCCCCATTCAACACGACCGGTGGCTCGACTTCCTTCAGGCAACTCCAGAGATGCCCCGAGAACACTGTCCCAAGTCTAGAGGAACACCAACTTCAGCACAGCAACTCGAGGAATGCTCCGTGTACCCCAAATCGTCTCGAGATGCGAGCTGATTCCCTGGCTTAGGCTCAAGACGTATGCCAACTTCCCAGAAGCACCTCAGGAGGAGGCTTCTCTCAGCAATAGGTATGTGGGAGGGACCCCGAGTTTGCTGCCTCAAGGGGAATATACAGCGAGAAGCCCTAACTTGAAAGGAGGCCGGATTTCCTTGCAGTGGCTTGAATACAGGCTCGTCTTTCATCTCACAACATGAAGGGATGTCTGAATTCCCTGTGGAGACCTTAGAGAAAGCCCTAGGTCCCTGCCTCATTTTGACGGAATGCCTCACATCCCGCTGACACCTCGAGAGGCACGCGGAGTTCATTGCTTCAAAAGGTGACGATGCCTGACTCCTCTTGAATACTGATAGGAATCCCAAAATCCCTGTGGCTACTGGAAAGGGTCCTTGGGTGCCCTGCGTCACCTTGAGAAGCGTCCCTTTTGCCCTGCCAAGCCTCGAAGAGATTCCTGAGGTGTCCCTCGTTACTAGACAGGAGTCCTGACGTCACTGAAGAAACTCGTGTTTTGAAGGGCCATCCCCGCCGTAAGTCGAGAACATACCCCAGGTCCCCGCCGCAACTCGAGAAAAACCATGAGACTTCCCCCTAGAGGCCAGATGAGGCCCCATTCCCCTGCAGTGCATGCAGAGCTATTCCGTGATCCCATTCAAACAAGTCAGGAGCTTCGACTTGCTTAATGGATCTCGAGACAGTCCCCAAGAACACTGTCACCAGTCTAGAGGAACCTGAGGTCACCCCAGCAACGCAAAGCAGCTCCATGTGCCCCAAATCAACTCGAGATGAGGCCCGATTCCCCTGCATTGACTCCAGAGCCATTCCCCGTTCCCCATTCAACACGACCGGTGGCTCGACTTCCTTCAGGCAACTCCAGAGATGCCCCGAGAACACTGTCCCAAGTCTAGAGGAACACCAACTTCAGCACAGCAGCTCGAGGAATGCTCCGTGTACCCCAAATCGTCTCGAGATGCGAGCTGATTCCCTGGCTTAGGCTCAAGACGTATGCCAACTTCCCAGAAGCACCTCAGGAGGAGGCTTCTCTCAGCAATAGGTATGTGGGAGGGACCCCGAGTTTGCTGCCTCAAGGGGAATATACAGCGAGAAGCCCTAACTTGAAAGGAGGCCGGATTTCCTTGCAGTGGCTTGAATACAGGCTCGTCTTTCATCTCACAACATGAAGGGATGTCTGAATTCCCTGTGGAGACCTTAGAGAAAGCCCTAGGTCCCTGCCTCATTTTGACGGAATGCCTCACATCCCGCTGACACCTCGAGAGTCACGCGGAGTTCATTGCTTCAAAAGGTGACGATGCCTGACTCCTCTTGAATACTGATAGGAATCCCAAAATCCCTGTGGCTACTGGAAAGGGTCCTTGGGTGCCCTGCGTCACCTTGAGAAGCGTCCCTTTTGCCCTGCCAAGCCTCGAAGAGATTCCTGAGGTGTCCCTCGTTACTAGACAGGAGTCCTGACGTCACTGAAGAAACTCGTGTTGTGAAGGGCCATCCCCGCCGTAAGTCGAGAACATACCCCAGGTCCCCGCCGCAACTCGAGAAAAACCATGAGACTTCCCCCTAGAGGCCAGATGAGGCCCCATTCCCCTGCAGTGCATGCAGAGCTATTCCGTGATCCCATTCAAACAAGTCAGGAGCTTCGACTTGCTTAATGGATCTCGAGACAGTCCCCAAGAACACTGTCACCAGTCTAGACGGACCCTGAGGTCACCCCAGCAACGCAAAGCAGCTCCATGTGCCCCAAATCAACTCGAGATGAGGCCCGATTCCCCTGCATTGACTCCAGAGCCATTCCCCGTTCCCCATTCAACACGACCGGTGGCTCGACTTCCTTCAGGCAACTCCAGAGATGCCCCGAGAACACTGTCCCAAGTCTAGAGGAACACCAACTTCAGCACAGCAGCTCGAGGAATGCTCCGTGTACCCCAAATCGTCTCGAGATGCGAGCTGATTCCCTGGCTTAGGCTCAAGACGTATGCCAACTTCCCAGAAGCACCTCAGGAGGAGGCTTCTCTCAGCAATAGGTATGTGGGAGGGACCCCGAGTTTGCTGCCTCAAGGGGAATATACAGCGAGAAGCCCTAACTTGAAAGGAGGCCGGATTTCCTTGCAGTGGCTTGAATACAGGCTCGTCTTTCATCTCACAACATGAAGGGATGTCTGAATTCCCTGTGGAGACCTTAGAGAAAGCCCTAGGTCCCTGCCTCATTTTGACGGAATGCCTCACATCCCGCTGACACCTCGAGAGGCACGCGGAGTTCATTGCTTCAAAAGGTGACGATGCCTGACTCCTCTTGAATACTGATAGGAATCCCAAAATCCCTGTGGCTACTGGAAAGGGTCCTTGGGTGCCCTGCGTCACCTTGAGAAGCGTCCCTTTTGCCCTGCCAAGCCTCGAAGAGATTCCTGAGGTGTCCCTCGTTACTAGACAGGAGTCCTGACGTCACTGAAGAAACTCGTGTTTTGAAGGGCCATCCCCGCCATAAGTCGAGAACATACCCCAGGTCCCCGCCGCAACTCGAGAAAAACCATGAGACTTCCCCCTAGAGGCCAGATGAGGCCCCATTCCCCTGCAGTGCATGCAGAGCTATTCCGTGATCCCATTCAAACAAGTCAGGAGCTTCGACTTGCTTAATGGATCTCGAGACAGTCCCCAAGAACACTGTCACCAGTCTAGACGGACCCTGAGGTCACCCCAGCAACGCAAAGCAGCTCCATGTGCCCCAAATCAACTCGAGATGAGGCCCGATTCCCCTGCATTGACTCCAGAGCCATTCCCCGTTCCCCATTCAACACGACCGGTGGCTCGACTTCCTTCAGGCAACTCCAGAGATGCCCCGAGAACACTGTCCCAAGTCTAGAGGAACACCAACTTCAGCACAGGAGCTCGAGGAATGCTCCGTGTACCCCAAATCGTCTCGAGATGCGAGCTGATTCCCTGGCTTAGGTTCAAGACGTATGCCAACTTCCCAGAAGCACCTCAGGAGGAGGCTTCTCTCAGCAATAGATATGTGGGAGGGACCCCGAGTTTGCTGCCTCAAGGGGAATATACAGCGAGAAGCCCTAACTTGAAAGGAGGCCGGATTTCCTTGCAGTGGCTTGAATACAGGCTCGTCTTTCATCTCACAACATGAAGGGATGTCTGAATCCCCTGTGGAGACCTTAGAGAAAGCCCTAGGTCCCTGCCTCATTTTGACGGAATGCCTCACATCCCGCTGACACCTCGAGACGCACGCGGAGTTCATTGCTTCAAAAGGTGACGATGCCTGACTCCTCTTGAATACTGATAGGAATCCCAAAATCCCTGTGGCTACTGGAAAGGGTCCTTGGGTGCCCTGCCTCACCTCGAGAAGCGTCCCTTTTGCCCTGCCAAGCCTCGAAGAGATTCCTGAGGTGTCCCTCGTTACTAGACAGGAGTCCTGACGTCACTGAAGAAACTCGTGTTTTGAAGGGCCATCCCCGCCGTAAGTAGAGAACATACCCCAGGTCCCCGCCGCAACTCGAGAAAAACCATGAGACTTCCCCCTAGAGGCCAGATGAGGCCCCATTCCCCTGCAGTGCATGCAGAGCTATTCCGTGATCCCATTCAAACAAGTCAGGAGCTTCGACTTGCTTAATGGATCTCGAGACAGTCCCCAAGAACACTGTCATCAGTCTAGACGGACCCTGAGGTCACCCCAGCAACGCAAAGCAGCTCCATGTGCCCCAAATTAACTCGAGATGAGGCCCGATTCCCCTGCATTGACTCCAGAGCCATTCCCCGTTCCCCATTCAACACGACCGGTGGCTCGACTTCCTTCAGGCAACTCCAGAGATGCCCCGAGAACACTGTCCCAAGTCTAGAGGAACACCAACTTCAGCACAGCAGCTCGAGGAATGCTCCGTGTACCCCAAATCGTCTCGAGATGCGAGCTGATTCCCTGGCTTAGGCTCAAGACGTATGCCAACTTCCCAGAAGCACCTCAGGAGGAGGCTTCTCTCAGCAATAGGTATGTGGGAGGGACCCCGAGTTTGCTGCCTCAAGGCGAATATACAGCGAGAAGCCCTAACTTGAAAGGAGGCCGGATTTCCTTGCAGTGGCTTGAATACAGGCTCGTCTTTCATCTCACAACATGAAGGGATGTCTGAATCCCCTGTGGAGACCTTAGAGAAAGCCCTAGGTCCCTGCCTCATTTTGACGGAATGCCTCACATCCCGCTGACACCTCGAGAGGCACGCGGAGTTCATTGCTTCAAAAGGTGACGATGCCTGACTCCTCTTGAATACTGATAGGAATCCCAAAATCCCTGTGGCTACTGGAAAGGGTCCTTGGGTGCCCTGCCTCACCTCGAGAAGCGTCCCTTTTGCCCTGCCAAGCCTCGAAGAGATTCCTGAGGTGTCCCTCGTTACTAGACAGGAGTCCTGTCGTCACTGAAGAAACTCGTGTTTTGAAGGGCCATCCCCGCCATAAGTCGAGAACATACCCCAGGTCTCCGCCGCAACTCGTGAAAAACCATGAGACTTCCCCCTAGAGGCGAGATGAGGCCCCATTCCCCTGCAGTGCATGCAGAGCTATTCCGTGATCCCATTCAAACAAGTCAGGAGCTTCGACTTGCTTAATGGATCTCGAGACAGTCCCCAAGAACACTGTCACCAGTCTAGACGGACCCTGAGGTCACCCCAGCAACGCAAAGCAGCTCCATGTGCCCCAAATCAACTCGAGATGAGGCCCGATTCCCCTGCATTGACTCCAGAGCCATTCCCCGTTCCCCATTCAACACGACCGGTGGCTCGACTTCCTTCAGGCAACTCCAGAGATGCCCCGAGAACACTGTCCCAAGTCTAGAGGAACACCAACTTCAGCACAGCAACTCGAGGAATGCTCCGTGTACCCCAAATCGTCTCGAGATGTGAGCTGATTCCCTGGCTTAGGCTCAAGACGTATGCCAACTTCCCAGAAGCACCTCAGGAGGAGGCTTCTCTCAGCAATAGGTATGTGGGAGGGACCCCGAGTTTGCTGCCTCAAGGGGAATATACAGCGAGAAGCCCTAACTTGAAAGGAGGCCGGCTTTCCTTGCAGTGGCTTGAATACAGGCTCGTCTTTCATCTCACAACATGAAGGGATGTCTGAATCCCCTGTGGAGACCTTAGAGAAAGGCCTAGGTCCCTGCCTCATTTTGACGGAATGCCTCACATCCCGCTGACACCTCGAGAAGCATGCGGAGTTCATTGCTTCAAAAGGTGACGATGCCTGACTCCTCTTGAATACTTATAGGAATCCCAAAATCCCTGTGGCTACTGGAAAGGGTCCTTGGGTGCCCTGCCTCACCTCGAGAAGCGTCCCTTTTGCCCTGCCAAGCCTCGAAGAGATTCCTGAGGTGTCCCTCGTTACTAGACAGGAGTCCTGACGTCACTGAAGAAACTCGTGTTTTGAAGGGCCATCCCCGCCGTAAGTCGAGAACATACCCCAGGTCCCCGCCGCAACTCGAGAAAAACCATGAGACTTCCCCCTAGAGGCGAGATGAGGCCCCATTCCCCTGCAGTGCATGCAGAGCTATTCCGTGATCCCATTCAAACAAGTCAGGAGCTTCGACTTGCTTAATGGATCTCGAGACAGTCCCCAAGAACACTGTCACCAGTCTAGACGGACCCTGAGGTCACCCCAGCAACGCAAAGCAGCTCCATGTGCCCCAAATCAACTCGAGATGAGGCCCGATTCCCCTGCATTGACTCCAGAGCCATTCCCCGTTCCCCATTCAACACGACCGGTGGCTCGACTTCCTTCAGGCAACTCCAGAGATGCCCCGAGAACACTGTCCCAAGTCTAGAGGAACACCAACTGCAGCACAGCAGCTCGAGGAATGCTCCGTGTACCCCAAATCGTCTCGAGATGCGAGCTGATTCCCTGGCTTAGGCTCAAGACGTATGTCAACTTCCCAGAAGCACCTCAGGAGGAGGCTTCTCTCAGCAATAGGTATGTGGGAGGGACCCCGAGTTTGCTGCCTCAAGGGGAATATACAGCGAGAAGCCCTAACTTGAAAGGAGGCCGGATTTCCTTGCAGTGGCTTGAATACAGGCTCGTCTTTCATCTCACAACATGAAGGGATGTCTGAATCCCCTGTGGAGACCTTAGAGAAAGCCCTAGGTCCCTGCCTCATTTTGACGGAATGCCTCACATCCCGCTGACACCTCGAGAGGCACGCGGAGTTCATTGCTTCAAAAGGTGACGATGCCTGACTCCTCTTGAATACTGATAGGAATCCCAAAATCCCTGTGGCTACTGGAAAGGGTCCTTGGGTGCCCTGCCTCACCTCGAGAAGCGTCCCTTTTGCCCTGCCAAGCCTCGAAGAAATTCCTGAGGTGTCCCTCGTTACTAGGCAGGAGTCCTGACGTCACTGAAGAAACTCGTGTTTTGAAGGGCCATCCCCGCCGTAAGTCGAGAACATACCCCAGGTCCCCGCCGCAACTCGAGAAAAACCATGAGACTTCCCCCTAGAGGCCAGATGAGGCCCCATTCCCCTGCAGTGCATGCAGAGCTATTCCGTGATCCCATTCAAACAAGTCAGGAGCTTCGACTTGCTTAATGGATCTCGAGACAGTCCCCAAGAACACTGTCATCAGTCTAGACGGACCCTGAGGTCACCCCAGCAACGCAAAGCAGCTCCATGTGCCCCAAATTAACTCGAGATGAGGCCCGATTCCCCTGCATTGACTCCAGAGCCATTCCCCGTTCCCCATTCAACACGACCGGTGGCTCGACTTCCTTCAGGCAACTCCAGAGATGCCCCGAGAACACTGTCCCAAGTCTAGAGGAACACCAACTTCAGCACAGCAGCTCGAGGAATGCTCCGTGTACCCCAAATCGTCTCGAGATGCGAGCTGATTCCCTGGCTTAGGCTCAAGACGTATGCCAACTTCCCAGAAGCACCTCAGGAGGAGGCTTCTCTCAGCAATAGGTATGTGGGAGGGACCCCGAGTTTGCTGCCTCAAGGCGAATATACAGCGAGAAGCCCTAACTTGAAAGGAGGCCGGATTTCCTTGCAGTGGCTTGAATACAGGCTCGTCTTTCATCTCACAACATGAAGGGATGTCTGAATCCCCTGTGGAGACCTTAGAGAAAGCCCTAGGTCCCTGCCTCATTTTGACGGAATGCCTCACATCCCGCTGACACCTCGAGAGGCACGCGGAGTTCATTGCTTCAAAAGGTGACGATGCCTGACTCCTCTTGAATACTGATAGGAATCCCAAAATCCCTGTGGCTACTGGAAAGGGTCCTTGGGTGCCCTGCCTCACCTCGAGAAGCGTCCCTTTTGCCCTGCCAAGCCTCGAAGAGATTCCTGAGGTGTCCCTCGTTACTAGACAGGAGTCCTGTCGTCACTGAAGAAACTCGTGTTTTGAAGGGCCATCCCCGCCATAAGTCGAGAACATACCCCAGGTCTCCGCCGCAACTCGTGAAAAACCATGAGACTTCCCCCTAGAGGCGAGATGAGGCCCCATTCCCCTGCAGTGCATGCAGAGCTATTCCGTGATCCCATTCAAACAAGTCAGGAGCTTCGACTTGCTTAATGGATCTCGAGACAGTCCCCAAGAACACTGTCACCAGTCTAGACGGACCCTGAGGTCACCCCAGCAACGCAAAGCAGCTCCATGTGCCCCAAATCAACTCGAGATGAGGCCCGATTCCCCTGCATTGACTCCAGAGCCATTCCCCGTTCCCCATTCAACACGACCGGTGGCTCGACTTCCTTCAGGCAACTCCAGAGATGCCCCGAGAACACTGTCCCAAGTCTAGAGGAACACCAACTTCAGCACAGCAACTCGAGGAATGCTCCGTGTACCCCAAATCGTCTCGAGATGTGAGCTGATTCCCTGGCTTAGGCTCAAGACGTATGCCAACTTCCCAGAAGCACCTCAGGAGGAGGCTTCTCTCAGCAATAGGTATGTGGGAGGGACCCCGAGTTTGCTGCCTCAAGGGGAATATACAGCGAGAAGCCCTAACTTGAAAGGAGGCCGGCTTTCCTTGCAGTGGCTTGAATACAGGCTCGTCTTTCATCTCACAACATGAAGGGATGTCTGAATCCCCTGTGGAGACCTTAGAGAAAGGCCTAGGTCCCTGCCTCATTTTGACGGAATGCCTCACATCCCGCTGACACCTCGAGAAGCATGCGGAGTTCATTGCTTCAAAAGGTGACGATGCCTGACTCCTCTTGAATACTTATAGGAATCCCAAAATCCCTGTGGCTACTGGAAAGGGTCCTTGGGTGCCCTGCCTCACCTCGAGAAGCGTCCCTTTTGCCCTGCCAAGCCTCGAAGAGATTCCTGAGGTGTCCCTCGTTACTAGACAGGAGTCCTGACGTCACTGAAGAAACTCGTGTTTTGAAGGGCCATCCCCGCCGTAAGTCGAGAACATACCCCAGGTCCCCGCCGCAACTCGAGAAAAACCATGAGACTTCCCCCTAGAGGCGAGATGAGGCCCCATTCCCCTGCAGTGCATGCAGAGCTATTCCGTGATCCCATTCAAACAAGTCAGGAGCTTCGACTTGCTTAATGGATCTCGAGACAGTCCCCAAGAACACTGTCACCAGTCTAGACGGACCCTGAGGTCACCCCAGCAACGCAAAGCAGCTCCATGTGCCCCAAATCAACTCGAGATGAGGCCCGATTCCCCTGCATTGACTCCAGAGCCATTCCCCGTTCCCCATTCAACACGACCGGTGGCTCGACTTCCTTCAGGCAACTCCAGAGATGCCCCGAGAACACTGTCCCAAGTCTAGAGGAACACCAACTGCAGCACAGCAGCTCGAGGAATGCTCCGTGTACCCCAAATCGTCTCGAGATGCGAGCTGATTCCCTGGCTTAGGCTCAAGACGTATGTCAACTTCCCAGAAGCACCTCAGGAGGAGGCTTCTCTCAGCAATAGGTATGTGGGAGGGACCCCGAGTTTGCTGCCTCAAGGGGAATATACAGCGAGAAGCCCTAACTTGAAAGGAGGCCGGATTTCCTTGCAGTGGCTTGAATACAGGCTCGTCTTTCATCTCACAACATGAAGGGATGTCTGAATCCCCTGTGGAGACCTTAGAGAAAGCCCTAGGTCCCTGCCTCATTTTGACGGAATGCCTCACATCCCGCTGACACCTCGAGAGGCACGCGGAGTTCATTGCTTCAAAAGGTGACGATGCCTGACTCCTCTTGAATACTGATAGGAATCCCAAAATCCCTGTGGCTACTGGAAAGGGTCCTTGGGTGCCCTGCCTCACCTCGAGAAGCGTCCCTTTTGCCCTGCCAAGCCTCGAAGAGATTCCTGAGGTGTCCCTCGTTACTAGGCAGGAGTCCTGACGTCACTGAAGAAACTCGTGTTTTGAAGGGCCATCCCCGCCGTAAGTCGAGAACATACCCCAGGTCCCCGCCGCAACTCGAGAAAAACCATGAGACTTCCCCCTAGAGGCCAGATGAGGCCCCATTCCCCTGCAGTGCATGCAGAGCTATTCCGTGATCCCATTCAAACAAGTCAGGAGCTTCGACTTGCTTAATGGATCTCGAGACAGTCCCCAAGAACACTGTCACCAGTCTAGACGTACCCTGAGGTCACCCCAGCAACGCAAAGCAGGTCCATGTGCCCCAAATCAACTCGAGATGAGGCCCGATTCCCCTGCATTGACTCCAGAGCCATTCCCCGTTCCCCATTCAACACGACCGGTGGCTCGACTTCCTTCAGGCAACTCCAGAGATGCCCCGAGAACACTGTCCCAAGTCTAGAGGAACACCAACTTCAGCACAGCAGCTCGAGGAATGCTCCGTGTACCCCAAATCGTCTCGAGATGCGAGCTGATTCCCTGGCTTAGGCTCAAGACGTATGCCAACTTCCCAGAAGCACCTCAGGAGGAGGCTTCTCTCAGCAATAGGTATGTGGGAGGGACCCCGAGTTTGCTGCCTCAAGGCGAATATACAGCGAGAAGCCCTAACTTGAAAGGAGGCCGGATTTCCTTGCAGTGGCTTGAATACAGGCTCGTCTTTCATCTCACAACATGAAGGGATGTCTGAATCCCCTGTGGAGACCTTAGAGAAAGCCCTAGGTCCCTGCCTCATTTTGACGGAATGCCTCACATCCCGCTGACACCTCGAGAGGCACGCGGAGTTCATTGCTTCAAAAGGTGACGATGCCTGACTCCTCTTGAATACTGATAGGAATCCCAAAATCCCTGTGGCTACTGGAAAGGGTCCTTGGGTGCCCTGCCTCACCTCGAGAAGCGTCCCTTTTGCCCTGCCAAGCCTCGAAGAGATTCCTGAGGTGTCCCTCGTTACTAGACAGGAGTCCTGACGTCACTGAAGAAACTCGTGTTTTGAAGGGCCATCCCCGCCGTAAGTCGAGAACATACCCCAGGTCCCCGCCGCAACTCGAGAAAAACCATGAGACTTCCCCCTAGAGGCCAGATGAGGCCCCATTCCCCTGCAGTGCATGCAGAGCTATTCCGTGATCCCATTCAAACAAGTCAGGAGCTTCGACTTGCTTAATGGATCTCGAGACAGTCCCCAAGAACACTGTCACCAGTCTAGACGGACCCTGAGGTCACCCCAGCAACGCAAAGCAGCTCCATGTGCCCCAAATCAACTCGAGATGAGGCCCGATTCCCCTGCATTGACTCCAGAGCCATTCCCCGTTCCGCATTCAACACGACCGGTGGCTCGACTTCCTTCAGGCAACTCCAGAGATGCCCCGAGAACACTGTCCCAAGTCTAGAGGAACACCAACTTCAGCACAGCAGCTCGAGGAATGCTCCGTGTACCCCAAATCGTCTCGAGATGCGAGCTGATTCCCTGGCTTAGGCTCAAGACGTATGCCAACTTCCCAGAAGCACCTCAGGAGGAGGCTTCTCTCAGCAATAGGTATGTGGGAGGGACCCCGAGTTTGCTGCCTCAAGGGGAATATACAGCGAGAAGCCCTAACTTGAAAGGAGGCCGGATTTCATTGCAGTGGCTTGAATACAGGCTCGTCTTTCATCTCACAACATGAAGGGATGTCTGAATCCCCTGTGGAGACCTTAGAGAAAGCCCTAGGTCCCTGCCTCATTTTGACGGAATGCCTCACATCCCGCTGACACCTCGAGAGGCACACGGAGTTCATTGCTTCAAAAGGTGACGATGCCTGACTCCTCTTGAATACTGATAGGAATCCCAAAATCCCTGTGGCTACTGGAAAGGGTCCTTGGGTGCCCTGCCTCACCTCGAGAAGCGTCCCTTTTGCCCTGCCAAGCCTCGAAGAGATTCCTGAGGTGTCCCTCGTTACTAGACAGGAGTCCTGACGTCACTGAAGAAACTCGTGTTTTGAAGGGCCATCCCCGCCGTAAGTCGAGAACATACCCCAGGTCCCCGCCGCAACTCGAGAAAAACCATGAGACTTCCCCCTAGAGGCGAGATGAGGCCCCATTCCCCTGCAGTGCATGCAGAGCTATTCCGTGACCCCATTCAAACAAGTCAGGAGCTTCCACTTGCTTAATGGATCTCGAGACAGTCCCCAAGAACACTGTCACCAGTCTAGACGGACCCTGAGGTCACCCCAGCAACGCAAAGCAGCTCCATGTGCCCCAAATCAACTCGAGATGAGGCCCGATTCCCCTGCATTGACTCCAGAGCCATTCCCCGTTCCCCATTCAACACGACCGGTGGCTCAACTTCCTTCAGGCAACTCCAAAGATGCCCCGAGAACACTGTCCCAAGTCTAGAGGAACACCAACTTCAGCACAGCAGCTCGAGGAATGCTCCGTGTACCCCAAATCGTCTCGAGATGAGAGCTGATTCCCTGGCTTAGGCTCAAGACGTATGCCAACTTCCCAGAAGCACCTCAGGAGGAGGCTTCTCTCAGCAATAGGTATGTGGGAGGGACCCCGAGTTTGCTGCCTTAAGGGGAATATACAGCGAGAAGCCCTAACTTGAAAGGAGGCCGGATTTCCTTGCAGTGGCTTGAATACAGGCTCGTCTTTCATCTCACATCATGAAGGGATGTCTGAATCCCCTGTGGAGACCTTAGAGAAAGCCCTAGGTCCCTGCCTCATTTTGACGGAATGCCTCACATCCCGCTGACACCTCGAGAGGCACGCGGAGTTCATTGCTTCAAAAGGTGACGATGCCTGACTCCTCTTGAATACTGATAGGAATCCCAAAATCCCTGTGGCTACTGGAAAGGGTCCTTGGGTGCCCTGCGTCACCTCGAGAAGCGTCCCTTTTGCCCTGCCAAGCCTCGAAGAGATTCCTGAGGTGTCCCTCGTTACTAGACAGGAGTCCTGACGTCACTGAAGAAACTCGTGTTTTGAAGGGCCATCCCCGCCGTAAGTCGAGAACATACCCCAGGTCCCCGCCGCAACTCGAGAAAAACCATGAGACTTCCCCCTAGAGGCGAGATGAGGCCCCATTCCCCTGCAGTGCATGCAGAGCTATTCCGTGATCCCATTCAAACAAGTCAGGAGCTTCGACTTGCTTAATGGATCTCGAGACAGTCCCCAAGAACACTGTCACCAGTCTAGACGGACCCTGAGGTCACCCCAGCAACGCAAAGCAGCTCCATGTGCCCCAAATCAACTCGAGATGAGGCCCGATTCCCCTGCATTGACTCCAGAGCCATTCCCCGTTCCCCATTCAACACGACCGGTTGCTCGACTTCCTTCAGGCAACCCCAGAGATGCCCCGAGAACACTGTCCCAAGTCTAGAGGAACACCAACTTCAGCACAGCAACTCGAGGAATGCTCCGTGTACCCCAAATCGTCTCGAGATGCGAGCTGATTCCCTGGCTTAGGCTCAAGACGTATGCCAACTTCCCAGAAGCACCTCAGGAGGAGGCTTCTCTCAGCAATAGGTATGTGGGAGGGACCCCGAGTTTGCTGCCTCAAGGGGAATATACAGCGAGAAGCCCTAACTTGAAAGGAGGCCGGATTTCCTTGCAGTGGCTTGAATACAGGCTCGTCTTTCATCTCACAACATGAAGGGATGTCTGAATCCCCTGTGGAGACCTTAGAGAAAGCCCTAGGTCCCTGCCTCATTTTGACGGAATGCCTCACATCCCGCTGACACCTCGAGAGGCACGCGGAGTTCATTGCTTCAAAAGGTGACGATGCCTGACTCCTCTTGAATACTGATAGGAATCCCAAAATCCCTGTGGCTACTGGAAAGGGTCCTTGGGTGCCCTGCCTCACCTCGAGAAGCGTCCCTTTTGCCCTGCCAAGCCTCGAAGAGATTCCTGAGGTGTCCCTCGTTACTAGACAGGAGTCCTGACGACACTGAAGAAACTCGTGTTTTGAAGGGCCATCCCCGCCGTAAGTCGAGAACATACCCCAGGTCCCCGCCGCAACTCGAGAAAAACCATGAGACTTCCCCCTAGAGGCGAGATGAGGCCCCATTCCCCTGCAGTGCATGCAGAGCTATTCCGTGATCCCATTCAAACAAGTCAGGAGCTTCCACTTGCTTAATGGATCTCGAGACAGTCCCCAAGAACACTGTCACCAGTCTAGACGGACCCTGAGGTCACCCCAGCAACCCAAAGCAGCTCCATGTGCCCCAAATCAACTCGAGATGAGGCCCGATTCCCCTGCATTGACTCCAGAGCCATTCCCCGTTCCCCATTCAACACGACCGGTGGCTCGACTTCCTTCAGGCAACTCCAGAGATGCCCCGAGAACACTGTCCCAAGTCTAGAGGAACACCAACTTCAGCACAGCAGCTCGAGGAATGCTCCGTGTACCCAAAATCGTCTCGAGATGAGAGCTGATTCCCTGGCTTAGGCTCAAGACGTATGCCAACTTCCCAGAAGCACCTCAGGAGGAGGCTTCTTTCAGCAATAGGTATGTGGGAGGGACCCGGAGTTTGCTGCCTCAAGGGGAATATACAGCGAGAAGCCCTAACTTGAAAGGGGGCCGGATTTCCTTGCAGTGGCTTGAATACAGGCTCGTCTTTCATCTCACAACATGAAGGGATGTCTGAATCCCCTGTGGAGACCTTAGAGAAAGCCCTAGGTCCCTGCCTCATTTTGACGGAATGCCTCACATCCCGCTGACACCTCGAGAGGCACGCGGAGTTCATTGCTTCAAAAGGTGACGATGCCTGACTCCTCTTGAATACTGATAGGAATCCCAAAATCCCTGTGGCTACTGGAAAGGGTCCTTGGGTGCCCTGCCTCACCTCGAGAAGCGTCCCTTGTGCCCTGCCAAGCCTCGAAGAGATTCCTGAGGTGTCCCTCGTTACTAGACAGGAGTCCTGACGTCACTGAAGAAACTCGTGTTTTGAAGGGCCATCCCCGCCGTAAGTCGAGAACATACCCCAGGTCCCCGCCGCAACTCGAGAAAAACCATGAGACTTCCCCCTAGAGGCGAGATGAGGTCCCATTCCCCTGCAGTGCATGCAGAGCTATTCCGTGATCCCATTCAAACAAGTCAGGAGCTTCGACTTGCTTAATGGATCTCGAGACAGTCCCCAAGAACACTGTCACCAGTCTAGACGGACCCTGAGGTCACCCCAGCAACGCAAAGCAGCTCCATGTGCCCCAAATCAACTCAAGATGAGGCCCAATTCCCCTGCATTGACTCCAGAGCCATTCCCCGTTCCCCATTCAACACGACGGGTGGCTCGACTTCCTTCAGGCAACTCCAGAGATGCCCCGAGAACACTGTCCCAAGTCTAGAGGCACACCAACTTCAGCACAGCAGCTCGAGGAATGCTCCGTGTACCCCAAATCGTCTCGAGATGCGAGCTGATTCCCTGGCTTAGGCTCAAGACGTATGCCAACTTCCCAGAAGCACCTCAGGAGGAGGCTTCTCTCAGCAATAGGTATGTGGGAGGGACCCCGAGTTTGCTGCCTCAAGGGGAATATACAGCGAGAAGCCCTAACTTGAAAGGAGGCCGGATTTCCTTGCAGTGGCTTGAATACAGGCTCGTCTTTCATCTCACAACATGAAGGGATGTCTGAATCCCCTGTGGAGACCTTAGAGAAAGCCCTAGGTCCCCGCCTCATTTTGACGGAATGCCTCACATCGCGCTGACACCTCGAGAGGCACGCGGAGTTCATTGCTTCAAAAGGTGACGATGCCTGACTCCTCTTGAATACTGATAGGAATCCCAAAATCCCTGTGGCTACTGGAAAGGGTCCTTGGGTGCCCTGCCTCACCTCGAGAAGCGTCCCTTTTGCCCTGCCAAGCCTCGAAGAGATTCCTGAGGTGTCCCTCGTTACTAGACAGGAGTCCTGACGTCACTGAAGAAACTCGTGTTTTGAAGGGCCATCCCCGCCGTAAGTCGAGAACATACCCCAGGTCCCCGCCGCAACTCGAGAAAAACCATGAGACTTCCCCCTAGAGGCGAGATGAGGCCCCATTCCCCTGCAGTGCATGCAGAGCTATTCCGTGATCCCATTCAAACAAGTCAGGAGCTTCGACTTGCTTAATGGTTCTCGAGACAGTCCCCAAGAACACTGTCACCAGTCTAGACGGACCCTGAGGTCACCCCAGCAACGCAAAGCAGCTCCATGTGCCCCAAATCAACTCGAGATGAGGCCCGATTCCCCTGCATTGACTCCAGAGCCATTCCCCGTTCCCCATTCAACACGACCGGTGGCTTGACTTCCTTCAGGCAACTCCAGAGATGCCCCGAGAACACTGTCCCAAGTCTAGAGGAACACCAACTTCAGCACAGCAGCTCGAGGAATGCTCCGTGTACCCCAAATCGTCTCGAGATGCGAGCTGATTCCCTGGCTTAGGCTCAAGACGTATGCCAACTTCCCAGAAGCACCTCAGGAGGAGGCTTCTCTCAGCAATAGGTATGTGGGAGGGACCCCGAGTTTGCTGCCTCAAGGCGAATATACAGCGAGAAGCCCTAACTTGAAAGGAGGCCGGATTTCCTTGCAGTGGCTTGAATACAGGCTCGTCTTTCATCTCACAACATGAAGGGATGTCTGAACCCCTGTGGAGACCTTAGAGAAAGGCCTAGGTCCCTGCCTCATTTTGACGGAATGCCTCACATCCCGCTGACACCTCGAGAGGCACGCGGAGTTCATTGCTTCAAAAGGTGACGATGCCTGACTCCTCTTGAATACTGATAGGAATCCCAAAATCCCTGTGGCTACTGGAAAGGGTCCTTGGGTGCCCTGCCTCACCTCGAGAAGCGTCCCTTGTGCCCTGCCAAGCCTCGAAGAGATTCCTGAGGTGTCCCTCGTTACTAGACAGGAGTCCTGACGTCACTGAAGAAACTCGTGTTTTGAAGGGCCATCCCCGCCGTAAGTCGAGAACATACCCCAGGTCCCCGCCGCAACTCGAGAAAAACCATGAGACTTCCCTCTAGAGGCGAGATGAGGCCCCATTCCCCTGCAGTGCATGCAGAGCTATTCCGTGATCCCATTCAAACAAGTCAGGAGCTTCGACTTGCTTAATGGATCTCGAGACAGTCCCCAAGAACACTGTCACCAGTCTAGACGGACCCTGAGGTCACCCCAGCAATGCAAAGCAGCTCCATGTGCCCCAAATCAACTCGAGATGAGGCCCGATTCCCCTGCATTGACTCCAGAGCCATTCCCCGTTCCCCATTCAACACGACCGGTGGCTCGACTTCCTTCAGGCAACTCCAGAGATGCCCCGAGAACACTGTCCCAAGTCTAGAGGAACACCAACTTCAGCACAGCAGCTCGAGGAATGCTCCGTGTACCCCAAATCGTCTCGAGATGCGAGCTGATTCCCTGGCTTAGGCTCAAGACGTATGCCAACTTCCCAGAAGCACCTCAGGAGGAGGCTTCTCTCAGCAATAGGTATGTGGGAGGGACCCCGAGTTTGCTGCCTCAAGGGGAATATACAGCGAGAAGCCCTAACTTGAAAGGAGGCCGGATTTCATTGCAGTGGCTTGAATACAGGCTCGTCTTTCATCTCACAACATGAAGGGATGTCTGAATCCCCTGTGGAGACCTTAGAGAAAGCCCTAGGTCCCTGCCTCATTTTGACGGAATGCCTCACATCCCGCTGACACCTCCAGAGGCACACGGAGTTCATTGCTTCAAAAGGTGACGATGCCTGACTCCTCTTGAATACTGATAGGAATCCCAAAATCCCTGTGGCTACTGGAAAGGGTCCTTGGGTGCCCTGCCTCACCTCGAGAAGCGTCCCTTTTGCCCTGCCAAGCCTCGAAGAGATTCCTGAGGTGTCCCTCGTTACTAGACAGGAGTCCTGACGTCACTGAAGAAACTCGTGTTTTGAAGGGCCATCCCCGCCGTAAGTCGAGAACATACCCCAGGTCCCCGCCGCAACTCGAGAAAAACCATGAGACTTCCCCCTAGAGGCGAGATGAGGCCCCATTCCCCTGCAGTGCATGCAGAGCTATTCCGTGATCCCATTCAAACAAGTCAGGAGCTTCGACTTGCTTAATGGATCTCGAGACAGTCCCCAAGAACACTGTCACCAGTCTAGACGGACCCTGAGGTCACCCCAGCAATGGAAAGCAGCTCCATGTGCCCCAAATCAACTCGAGATGAGGCCCGATTCCCCTGCATTGACTCCAGAGCCATTCCCCGTTCCCCATTCAACACGACCGGTGGCTCGACTTCCTTCAGGCAACTCCAGAGATGCCCCGAGAACACTGTCCCAAGTCTAGAGGAACACCAACTTCAGCACAGCAGCTCGAGGAATGCTCCGTGTACCCCAAATCGTCTCGAGATGCGAGCTGATTCCCTGGCTTAGGCTCAAGACGTATGCCAACTTCCCAGAAGCACCTCAGGAGGAGGCTTCTCTCAGCAATAGGTATGTGGGAGGGACCCCGAGTTTGCTGCCTCAAGGGGAATATACAGCGAGAAGCCCTAACTTGAAAGGAGGCCGGATTTCATTGCAGTGGCTTGAATACAGGCTCGTCTTTCATCTCACAACATGAAGGGATGTCTGAATCCAGTGTGGAGACCTTAGAGAAAGCCCTAGGTCCCTGCCTCATTTTGACGGAATGCCTCACATCCCGCTGACACCTCGAGAGGCACACGGAGTTCATTGCTTCAAAAGGTGACGATGCCTGACTCCTCTTGAATACTGATAGGAATCCCAAAATCCCTGTGGCTACTGGAAAGGGTCCTTGGGTGCCCTGCCTCACCTCGAGAAGCGTCCCTTTTGCCCTGCCAAGCCTCGAAGAGATTCCTGAGGTGTAACTCGTTACTAGACAGGAGTCCTGACGTCACTGAAGAAACTCGTGTTTTGAAGGGCCATCCCCGCCGTAAGTCGAGAACATACCCCAGGTCCCCGCCGCAACTCGAGAAAAACCATGAGACTTCCCCCTAGAGGCGAGATGAGGCCCCATTCCCCTGCAGTGCATGCAGAGCTATTCCGTGACCCCATTCAAACAAGTCAGGAGCTTCCACTTGCTTAATGGATCTCGAGACAGTCCCCAAGAACACTGTCACCAGTCTAGACGGACCCTGAGGTCACCCCAGCAACGCAAAGCAGCTCCATGTGCCCCAAATCAACTCGAGATGAGGCCCGATTCCCCTGCATTGACTCCAGAGCCATTCCCCATTCCCCATTCAACACGACCGGTGGCTCGACTTCCTTCAGGCAACTCCAGAGATGCCCCGAGAACACTGTCCCAAGTCTAGAGGAACACCAACTTCAGCACAGCAGCTCGAGGAATGCTCCGTGTACCCCAAATCGTCTCGAGATGAGAGCTGATTCCCTGGCTTAGGCTCAAGACGTATGCCAACTTCCCAGAAGCACCTCAGGAGGAGGCTTCTTTCAGCAATAGGTATGTGGGAGGGACCCCGAGTTTGCTGCCTCAAGGGGAATATACAGCGAGAAGCCCTAACTTGAAAGGAGGCCGGATTTCCTTGCAGTGGCTTGAATACAGGCTCGTCTTTCATCTCACAACATGAAGGGATGTCTGAATCCCCTGTGGAGACCTTAGAGAAAGCCCTAGGTCCCTGCCTCATTTTGACGGAATGCCTCACATCGCGCTGACACCTCGAGAGGCACGCGGAGTTCATTGCTTCAAAAGGTGACGATGCCTGACTCCTCTTGAATACTGATAGGAATCCCAAAATCCCTGTGGCTACTGGAAAGGGTCCTTGGGTGCCCTGCCTCACCTCGAGAAGCGTCCCTTTTGCCCTGCCAAGCCTCGAAGAGATTCCTGAGGTGTCCCTCGTTACTAGACAGGAGTCCTGACCTCACTGAAGAAACTCGTGTTTTGAAGGGCCATCCCCGCCGTAAGTCGAGAACATACCCCAGGTCCCCGCCGCAACTCGAGAAAAACCATGAGACTTCCCCCTAGAGGCGAGATGAGGCCCCATTCCCCTGCAGTGCATGCAGAGCTATTCCGTGATCCCATTCAAACAAGTCAGGAGCTTCGACTTGCTTAATGGATCTCGAGACAGTCCCCAAGAACACTGTCACCAGTCTAGACGGACCCTGAGGTCACCCCAGCAACGCAAAGCAGCTCCATGTGCCCCAAATCAACTCGAGATGAGGCCCGATTCCCCTGCATTGACTCCAGAGCCATTCCCCGTTCCCCATTCAACACGACCGGTGGCTCGACTTCCTTCAGGCAACTCCAGAGATGCCCCGAGAACACTGTCCCAAGTCTAGAGGAACACCAACTTCAGTACAGCAGCTCGAGGAATGCTCCGTGTACCCCAAATCGTCTCGAGATGCGAGCTGATTCCCTGGCTTAGGCTCAAGACGTATGCCAACTTCCCAGAAGCACCTCAGGAGGAGGCTTCTCTCAGCAATAGGTATGTGGGAGGGACCCCGAGTTTGCTGCCTCAAGGGGAATATACAGCGAGAAGCCCTAACTTGAAAGGAGGCCGGATTTCCTTGCAGTGGCTTGAATACAGGCTCGTCTTTCATCTCACAACATGAAGGGATGTCTGAATCCCCTGTGGAGACCTTAGAGAAAGCCCTAGGTCCCTGCCTCATTTTGACAGAATGCCTCACATCCCGCTGACACCTCGAGAGGCACGCGGAGTTCATTGCTTCAAAAGGTGACGATGCCTGACTCCTCTTGAATACTGATAGGAATCCCAAAATCCCTGTGGCTACTGGAAAGGGTCCTTGGGTGCCCTGCCTCACCTCGAGAAGCGTCCCTTTTGCCCTGCCAAGCCTCGAAGAGATTCCTGAGGTGTCCCTCGTTACTAGACAGGAGTCCTGACGTCACTGAAGAAACTCGTGTTTTGAAGGGCCATCCCCGCCGTAAGTCGAGAACATACCCCAGGTCCCCGCCGCAACTCGAGAAAAACCATGAGACTTCCCCCTAGAGGCGAGATGAGGCCCCATTCCCCTGCAGTGCATGCAGAGCTATTCCGTGATCCCATTCAAACAAGTCAGGAGCTTCGACTTGCTTAATGGATCTCGAGACAGTCCCCAAGAACACTGTCACCAGTCTAGACGGACCCTGAGGTCACCCCAGCAACGCAAAGCAGCTCCATGTGCCCCAAATCAACTCGAGATGAGGCCCGATTCCCCTGCATTGACTCCAGAGCCATTCCCCGTTCCCCATTCAACACGACCGGTGGCTCGACTTCCTTCAGGCAACTCCAGAGATGCCCCGAGAACACTGTCCCAAGTCTAGAGGAACACCAACTTCAGCACAGCAGCTCGAGGAATGCTCCGTGTACCCCAAATCGTCTCGAGATGCGAGCTGATTCCCTGGCTTAGGCTCAAGACGTATGCCAACTTCCCAGAAGCACCTCAGGAGGAGGCTTCTCTCAGCAATAGGTATGTGGGAGGGACCCCGAGTTTGCTGCCTCAAGGGGAATATACAGCGAGAAGCCCTAACTTGAAAGGAGGCCGGATTTCCTTGCAGTGGCTTGAATACAGGCTGGTCTTTCATCTCACAACATGAAGGGATGTCTGAATCCCCTGTGGAGACCTTAGAGAAAGCCCTAGGTCCCTGCCTCATTTTGACGGAATGCCTCACATCCCGCTGACACCTCGAGAGGCACGCGGAGTTCATTGCTTCAAAAGGTGACGATGCCTGACTCCTCTTGAATACTGATAGGAATCCCAAAATCCCTGTGGCTACTGGAAAGGGTCCTTGGGTGCCCTGCCTCACCTCGAGAAGCGTCCCTTTTGCCCTGCCAAGCCTCGAAGAGATTCCTGAGGTGTCCCTCGTTACTAGACAGGAGTCCTGACGTCACTGAAGAAACTCGTGTTTTGAAGGGCCATCCCCGCCGTAAGTCGAGAACATACCCCAGGTCCCCGCCGCAACTCGAGAAAAACCATGAGACTTCCCCCTAGAGGCGAGATGAGGCCCCATTCCCCTGCAGTGCATGCAGAGCTATTCCGTGATCCCATTCAAACAAGTCAGGAGCTTCGACTTGCTTAATGGATCTCGAGACAGTCCCCAAGAACACTGTCACCAGTCTAGACGGACCCTGAGGTCACCCCAGCAACGCAAAGCAGCTCCATGTGCCCCAAATCAACTCAAGATGAGGCCCAATTCCCCTGCATTGACTCCAGAGCCATTCCCCGTTCCCCATTCAACACGACGGGTGGCTCGACTTCCTTCAGGCAACTCCAGATATGCCCCGAGAACACTGTCCCAAGTCTAGAGGCACACCAACTTCAGCACAGCAGCTCGAGGAATGCTCCGTGTACCCCAAATCGTCTCGAGATGAGAGCTGATTCCCTGGCTTAGGCTCAAGACGTATGCCAACTTCCCAGAAGCACCTCAGGAGGAGGCTTCTCTCAGCAATAGGTATGTGGGAGGGACCCCGAGTTTGCTGCCTCAAGGGGAATATACAGCGAGAAGCCCTAACTTGAAAGGAGGCCGGATTTCCTTGCAGTGGCTTGAATACAGGCTCGTCTTTCATCTCACAACATGAAGGGATGTCTGAATCCCCTGTGGAGACCTTAGAGAAAGCCCTAGGTCCCTGCCTCATTTTGACGGAATGCCTCACATCCCGCTGACACCTCGAGAGGCACGCGGAGTTCATTGCTTCAAAAGGTGACGATGCCTGACTCCTCTTGAATACTGATAGGAATCCCAAAATCCCTGTGGCTACTGGAAAGGGTCCTTGGGTGCCCTGCCTCACCTCGAGAAGCGTCCCTTTTGCCCTGCCAAGCCTCGAAGAGATTCCTGAGGTGTCCCTCGTTACTAGACAGGAGTCCTGACGTCACTGAAGAAACTCGTGTTTTGAAGGGCCATCCCCGCCGTAAGTCGAGAACATACCCCAGGTCCCCGCCGCAACTCGAGAAAAACCATGAGACTTCCCCCTAGAGGCGAGATGAGGCCCCATTCCCCTGCAGTGCATGCAGAGCTATTCCGTGATCCCATTCAAACAAGTCAGGAGCTTCGACTTGCTTAATGGATCTCGAGACAGTCCCCAAGAACACTGTCACCAGTCTAGACGGACCCTGAGGTCACCCCAGCAACGCAAAGCAGCTCCATGTGCCCCAAATCAACTCGAGATGAGGCCCGATTCCCCTGCATTGACTCCAGAGCCATTCCCCGTTCCCCATTCAACACGACCGGTGGCTCGACTTCCTTCAGGCAACTCCAGAGATGCCCCGAGAACACTGTCCCAAGTCTAGAGGAACACCAACTTCAGCACAGCAGCTCGAGGAATGCTCCGTGTACCCCAAATCGTCTCGAGATGCGAGCTGATTCCCTGGCTTAGGCTCAAGACGTATGCCAACTTCCCAGAAGCACCTCAGGAGGAGGCTTCTCTCAGCAATAGGTATGTGGGAGGGACCCCGAGTTTGCTGCCTCAAGGGGAATATACAGCGAGAAGCCCTAACTTGAAAGGAGGCCGGATTTCCTTGCAGTGGCTTGAATACAGGCTGGTCTTTCATCTCACAACATGAAGGGATGTCTGAATCCCCTGTGGAGACCTTAGAGAAAGCCCTAGGTCCCTGCCTCATTTTGACGGAATGCCTCACATCCCGCTGACACCTCGAGAGGCACGCGGAGTTCATTGCTTCAAAAGGTGACGATGCCTGACTCCTCTTGAATACTGATAGGAATCCCAAAATCCCTGTGGCTACTGGAAAGGGTCCTTGGGTGCCCTGCCTCACCTCGAGAAGCGTCCCTTTTGCCCTGCCAAGCCTCGAAGAGATTCCTGAGGTGTCCCTCGTTACTAGACAGGAGTCCTGACGTCACTGAAGAAACTCGTGTTTTGAAGGGCCATCCCCGCCGTAAGTCGAGAACATACCCCAGGTCCCCGCCGCAACTCGAGAAAAACCATGAGACTTCCCCCTAGAGGCGAGATGAGGCCCCATTCCCCTGCAGTGCATGCAGAGCTATTCCGTGATCCCATTCAAACAAGTCAGGAGCTTCGACTTGCTTAATGGATCTCGAGACAGTCCCCAAGAACACTGTCACCAGTCTAGACGGACCCTGAGGTCACCCCAGCAACGCAAAGCAGCTCCATGTGCCCCAAATCAACTCAAGATGAGGCCCGATTCCCCTGCATTGACTCCAGAGCCATTCCCCGTTCCCCATTCAACACGACGGGTGGCTCGACTTCCTTCAGGCAACTCCAGAGATGCCCCGAGAACACTGTCCCAAGTCTAGAGGCACACCAACTTCAGCACAGCAGCTCGAGGAATGCTCCGTGTACCCCAAATCGTCTCGAGATGAGAGCTGATTCCCTGGCTTAGGCTCAAGACGTATGCCAACTTCCCAGAAGCACCTCAGGAGGAGGCTTCTCTCAGCAATAGGTATGTGGGAGGGACCCCGAGTTTGCTGCCTCAAGGGGAATATACAGCGAGAAGCCCTAACTTGAAAGGAGGCCGGATTTCCTTGCAGTGGCTTGAATACAGGCTCGTCTTTCATCTCACAACATGAAGGGATGTCTGAATCCCCTGTGGAGACCTTAGAGAAAGCCCTAGGTCCCTGCCTCATTTTGACGGAATGCCTCACATCCCGCTGACACCTCGAGAGGCACGCGGAGTTCATTGCTTCAAAAGGTGACGATGCCTGACTCCTCTTGAATACTGATAGGAATCCCAAAATCCCTGTGGCTACTGGAAAGGGTCCTTGGGTGCCCTGCCTCACCTCGAGAAGCGTCCCTTTTGCCCTGCCAAGCCTCGAAGAGATTCCTGAGGTGTCCCTCGTTACTAGACAGGAGTCCTGACGTCACTGAAGAAACTCGTGTTTTGAAGGGCCATCCCCGCCGTAAGTCGAGAACATACCCCAGGTCCCCGCCGCAACTCGAGAAAAACCATGAGACTTCCCCCTAGAGGCGAGATGAGGCCCCATTCCCCTGCAGTGCATGCAGAGCTATTCCGTGATCCCATTCAAACAAGTCAGGAGCTTCGACTTGCTTAATGGATCTCGAGACAGTCCCCAAGAACACTGTCACCAGTCTAGACGGACCCTGAGGTCACCCCAGCAACGCAAAGCAGCTCCATGTGCCCCAAATCAACTCGAGATGAGGCCCGATTCCCCTGCATTGACTCCAGAGCCATTCCCCGTTCCCCATTCAACACGACCGGTGGCTCGACTTCCTTCAGGCAACTCCAGAGATGCCCCGAGAACACTGTCCCAAGTCTAGAGGAACACCAACTTCAGCACAGCAACTCGAGGAATGCTCCGTGTACCCCAAATCGTCTCGAGATGAGAGCTGATTCCCTGGCTTAGGCTCAAGACGTATGCCAACTTCCCAGAAGCACCTCAGGAGGAGGCTTCTCTCAGCAATAGGTATGTGGGAGGGACCCCGAGTTTGCTGCCTCAAGGGGAATATACAGCGAGAAGCCCTAACTTGAAAGGAGGCCGGATTTCCTTGCAGTGGCTTGAATACAGGCTCGTCTTTCATCTCACAACATGAAGGGATGTCTGAATCCCCTGTGGAGACCTTAGAGAAAGCCCTAGGTCCCTGCCTCATTTTGACGGAATGCCTCACATCCCGCTGACACCTCGAGAGGCACGCGGAGTTCATTGCTTCAAAAGGTGACGATGCCTGACTCCTCTTGAATACTGATAGGAATCCCAAAATCCCTGTGGCTACTGGAAAGGGTCCTTGGGTGCCCTGCCTCACCTCGAGAAGCGTCCCTTTTGCCCTGCCAAGCCTCGAAGAGATTCCTGAGGTGTCCCTCGTTACTAGACAGGAGTCCTGACGTCACTGAAGAAACTCGTGTTTTGAAGGGCCATCCCCGCCGTAAGTTGAGAACATACCCCAGGTCCCCGCCGCAACTCGAGAAAAACCATGAGACTTCCTCCTAGAGGCGAGATGAGGCCCCATTCCCCTGCAGTGCATGCAGAGCTATTCCGTGATCCCATTCAAACAAGTCAGGAGCTTCCACTTGCTTAATGGATCTCGAGACAGTCCCCAAGAACACTGTCACCAGTCTAGACGGACCCTGAGGTCACCCCAGCAACGCAAAGCAGCTCCATGTGCCCCAAATCAACTCGAGATGAGGCCCGATTCCCCTGCATTGACTCCAGAGCCATTCCCCGTTCCCCATTCAACACGACCGGTGGCTCGACTTCCTTCAGGCAACTCCAGAGATGCCCCGAGAACACTGTCCCAAGTCTAGAGGAACACCAACTTCAGCACAGCAACTCGAGGAATGCTCCGTGTACCCCAAATCGTCTCGAGATGAGAGCTGATTCCCTGGCTTAGGCTCAAGACGTATGCCAACTTCCCAGAAGCACCTCAGGAGGAGGCTTCTCTCAGCAATAGGTATGTGGGAGGGACCCCGAGTTTGCTGCCTCAAGGGGAATATACAGCGAGAAGCCCTAACTTGAAAGGAGGCCGGATTTCCTTGCAGTGGCTTGAATACAGGCTCGTCTTTCATCTCACAACATGAAGGGATGTCTGAATCCCCTGTGGAGACCTTAGAGAAAGCCCTAGGTCCCTGCCTCATTTTGACGGAATGCCTCACATGGCGCTGACACCTCGAGAGGCACGCGGAGTTCATTGCTTCAAAAGGTGACGATGCCTGACTCCTCTTGAATACTGATAGGAATCCCAAAATCCCTGTGGCTACTGGAAAGGGTCCTTGGGTGCCCTGCCTCACCTCGAGAAGCTTCCCTTTTGCCCTGCCAAGCCTCGAAGAGATTCCTGAGGTGTCCCTCGTTACTAGACAGGAGTCCTGACGTCACTGAAGAAACTCGTGTTTTGAAGGGCCATCCCCGCCGTAAGTCGAGAACATACCCCAGGTCCCCGCCGCAACTCAAGAAAAACCATGAGACTTCCCCCTAGAGGCCAGATGAGGCCCCATTCCCCTGCAGTGCATGCAGAGCTATTCCGTGATCCCATTGAAACAAGTCAGGAGCTTCGACTTGCTTAATGGATCTCGAGACAGTCCCCAAGAACACTGTCACCAGTCTAGACGGACCCTGAGGTTACCCCAGCAACGCAAAGCAGCTCCATGTGCCCCAAATCAACTCGAGATGAGGCCCGATTCCCCTGCATTGACTCCAGAGCCATTCCCCGTTCCCCATTCAACACGACCGGTGGCTCGACTTCCTTCAGGCAACTCCAGAGATGCCCCGAGAACACTGTCCCAAGTCTAGAGGAACACCAACTTCAGCACAGCAGCTCGAGGAATGCTCCGTGTACCCCAAATCGTCTCGAGATGCGAGCTGATTCCCTGGCTTAGGCTCAAGACGTATGCCAACTTCCCAGAAGCACCTCAGGAGGAGGCTTCTCTCAGCAATAGGTATGTGGGAGGGACCCCGAGTTTGCTGCCTCAAGGGGAATATACAGCGAGAAGCCCTAACTTGAAAGGAGGCCGGATTTCCTTGCAGTGGCTTGAATACAGGCTCGTCTTTCATCTCACAACATGAAGGGATGTCTGAATCCCCTGTGGAGACCTTAGAGAAAGCCCTAGGTCCCTGCCTCATTTAGACGGAATGCTTCACATCCCGCTGACACCTCGAGAGGCACGCGGAGTTCATTGCTTCAAAAGGTGACGATGCCTGACTCCTCTTGAATACTGATAGGAATCCCAAAATCCCTGTGGCTACTGGAAAGGGTCCTTGGGTGCCCTGCCTCACCTCGAGAAGCGTCCCTTTTGCCCTGCCAAGCCTCGAAGAGATTCCTGAGGTGTCCCTAGTTACTAGACAGGAGTCCTGACGTCACTGAAGAAACTCGTGTTTTGAAGGGCCATCCCCGCCGTAAGTCGAGAACATACCCCAGGTCCCCGCCGCAACTCGAGAAAAACCATGAGACTTCCCCCTAGAGGCGAGATGAGGCCCCATTCCCCTGCAGGGCATGCAGAGCTATTCCGTGATCCCATTCAAACAAGTCAGGAGCTTCGACTTGCTTAATGGATCTCGAGACAGTCCCCAAGAACACTGTCACCAGTCTAGACGGACCCTGAGGTCACCCCAGCAACGCAAAGCAGCTCCATGTGCCCCAAATCAACTCGAGATGAGGCCCGATTCCCCTGCATTGACTCCAGAGCCATTCCCCGTTCCCCATTCAACACGACCGGTGGCTCGACTTCCTTCAGGCAACTCCAGAGATGCCCCGAGAACACTGTCCCAAGTCTAGAGGAACACCAACTTCAGCACAGCAGCTCGAGGAATGCTCCGTGTACCCCAAATCGTCTCGAGATGAGAGCTGATTCCCTGGCTTAGGCTCAAGACGTATGCCAACTTCCCAGAAGCACCTCAGGAGGAGGCTTCTCTCAGCAATAGTTATGTGGGAGGGACCCCGAGTTTGCTGCCTCAAGGGGAATATACAGCGAGAAGCCCTAACTTGAAAGGAGGCCGGATTTCCTTGCAGTGGCTTGAATACAGGCTCGTCTTTCATCTCACAACATGAAGGGATGTCTGAATCCCCTGTGGAGACCTTAGAGAAAGCCCTAGGTCCCTGCCTCATTTTGACGGAATGCCTCACATCGCGCTGACACCTCGAGAGGCACGCGGAGTTCATTGCTTCAAAAGGTGACGATGCCTGACTCCTCTTGAATACTGATACGAATCCCAAAATCCCTGTGGCTACTGGAAAGGGTCCTTGGGTGCCCTGCCTCACCTCGAGAAGCGTCCCTTTTGCCCTGCCAAGCCTCGAAGAGATTCCTGAGGTCTCCCTCGTTACTAGACAGGAGTCCTGACGTCACTGAAGAAACTCGTGTTTTGAAGGGCCATCCCCGCCGTAAGTCGAGAACATACCCCAGGTCCCCGCCGCAACTCGAGAAAAACCATGAGACTTCCCCCTAGAGGCGAGATGAGGCCCCATTCCCCTGCAGTGCATGCAGAGCTATTCCGTGATCCCATTCAAACAAGTCAGGAGCTTCGACTTGCTTAATGGATCTCGAGACAGTCCCCAAGAACACTGTCACCAGTCTAGACGGACCCTGAGGTCACCCCAGCAACGCAAAGCAGCTCCATGTGCCCCAAATCAACTCGAGATGAGGCCCGATTCCCCTGCATTGACTCCAGAGCCATTCCCCGTTCCCCATTCAACACGACCGGTGGCTCGACTTCCTTCAGGCAACTCCAGAGATGCCCCGAGAACACTGTCCCAAGTCTAGAGGAACACCAACTTCAGCACAGCAACTCGAGGAATGCTCCGTGTACCCCAAATCGTCTCGAGATGCGAGCTGATTCCCTGGCTTAGGCTCAAGACGTATGCCAACTTCCCAGAAGCACCTCAGGAGGAGGCTTCTCTCAGCAATAGGTATGTGGGAGGGACCCCGAGTTTGCTGCCTCAAGGGGAATATACAGCGAGAAGCCCTAACTTGAAAGGAGGCCGGATTTCCTTGCAGTGGCTTGAATACAGGCTCGTCTTTCATCTCACAACATGAAGGGATGTCTGAATCCCCTGTGGAGACCTTAGAGAAAGCCCTAGGTCCCTGCCTCATTTTGACGGAATGCCTCACATCCCGCTGACACCTCGAGAGGCACGTGGAGTTCATTGCTTCAAAAGGTGACGATGCCTGACTCCTCTTGAATACTGATAGGAATCCCAAAATCCCTGTGGCTACTGGAAAGGGTCCTTGGGTGCCCTGCCTCACCTCGAGAAGCGTCCCTTTTGCCCTGCCAAGCCTCGAAGAGATTCCTGAGGTGTCCCTCGTTACTAGACAGGAGTCCTGACGTCACTGAAGAAACTCATGTTTTGAAGGGCCATCCCCGCCGTAAGTCGAGAACATACCCCAGGTCCCGGCCGCAACTCGAGAAAAACCATGAGACTTCCCCCTAGAGGCGAGATGAGGCCCCATTCCCCTGCAGTGCATGCAGAGCTATTCCGTGATCCCATTCAAACAAGTCAGGAGCTTCGACTTGCTTAATGGATCTCGAGACAGTCCCCAAGAACACTGTCACCAGTCTAGATGGACCCTGAGGTCACCCCAGCAACGCAAAGCAGCTCCATGTGCCCCAAATCAACTCGAGATGAGGCCCGATTCCCCTGCATTGACTCCAGAGCCATTCCCCGTTCCCCATTCAACACGACCGGTGGCTCGACTTCCTTCAGGCAACTCCAGAGATGCCCCGAGAACACTGTCCCAAGTCTAGAGGAACACCAACTTCAGCACAGCAGCTCGAGGAATGCTCCGTGTACCCCAAATCGTCTCGAGATGCGAGCTGATTCCCTGGCTTAGGCTCAAGACGTATGCCAACTTCCCAGAAGCACCTCAGGAGGAGGCTTCTCTCAGCAATAGGTATGTGGGAGGGACCCCGAGTTTGCTGCCTCAAGGGGAATATACAGCGAGAAGCCCTAACTTGAAAGGAGGCCGGATTTCCTTGCAGTGGCTTGAATACAGGCTCGTCTTTCATCTCACAACATGAAGGGATGTCTGAATCCCCTGTGGAGACCTTAGAGAAAGCCCTAGGTCCCTGCCTCATTTTGACGGAATGCCTCACATCCCGCTGACACCTCGAGAGGCACGCGGAGTTCATTGCTTCAAAAGGTGACGATGCCTGACTCCTCTTGAATACTGATAGGAATCCCAAAATCCCTGTGGCTACTGGAAAGGGTCCTTGGGTGCCCTGCCTCACCTCGAGAAGCGTCCCTTTTGCCCTGCCAAGCCTCGAAGAGATTCCTGAGGTGTCCCTCGTTACTAGACAGGAGTCCTGACGTCACTGAACAAACTCGTGTTTTGAAGGGCCATCCCCGCCGTAAGTCGAGAACATACCCCAGGTCCCCACCGCAACTCGAGAAAAACCATGAGACTTCCCCCTAGAGGCGAGATGAGGCCCCATTCCCCTGCAGTGCATGCAGAGCTATTCCGTGATCCCATTCAAACAAGTCAGGAGCTTCGACTTGCTTAATGGATCTCGAGACAGTCCCCAAGAACACTGTCACCAGTCTAGACGGACCCTGAGGTCACCCCAGCAACGCAAAGCAGCTCCATGTGCCCCAAATCAACTCGAGATGAGGCCCGATTCCCCTGCATTGACTCCAGAGCCATTCCCCGTTCCCCATTCAACACGACCGGTGGCTCGACTTCCTTCAGGCAACTCCAGAGATGCCCCGAGAACACTGTCCCAAGTCTAGAGGAACACCAACTTCAGCACAGCAACTCGAGGAATGCTCCGTGTACCCCAAATCGTCTCGAGATGAGAGCTGATTCCCTGGCTTAGGCTCAAGACGTATGCCAACTACCCAGAAGCACCTCAGGAGGAGGCTTCTCTCAGCAATAGGTATGTGGGAGGGACCCCGAGTTTGCTGCCTCAAGGGGAATATACAGCGAGAAGCCCTAACTTGAAAGGAGGCCGGATTTCCTTGCAGTGGCTTGAATACAGGCTCGTCTTTCATCTCACAACATGAAGGGATGTCTGAATCCCCTGTGGAGACCTTAGAGAAAGCCCTAGGTCCCTGCCTCATTTTGACGGAATGCCTCACATCCCGCTGACACCTCGAGAGGCACGCGGAGTTCATTGCTTCAAAAGGTGACGATGCCTGACTCCTCTTGAATACTGATACGAATCCCAAAATCCCTGTGGCTACTGGAAAGGGTCCTTGGGTGCCCTGCCTCCCCTCGAGAAGCGTCCCTTTTGCCCTGCCAAGCCTCGAAGAGATTCCTGAGGTGTCCCTCGTTACTAGACAGGAGTCCTGACGTCACTGAAGAAACTCGTGTTTTGAAGGGCCATCCCCGCCGTAAGTCGAGAACATACCCCAGGTCCCCGCCGCAACTCGAGAAAAACCATGAGACTTCCCCCTAGAGGCGAGATGAGGCCCCATTCCCCTGCAGTGCATGCAGAGCTATTCCGTGATCCCATTCAGACAAGTCAGGAGCTTCCACTTGCTTAATGGATCTCGAGACAGTCCCCAAGAACACTGTCACCAGTCTGGACGGACCCTGAGGTCACCCCAGCAACGCAAAGCAGCTCCATGTGCCCCAAATCAACTCGAGATGAGGCCCGATTCCCCTGCATTGACTCCAGAGCCATTCCCCGTTCCCCATTCAACACGACCGGTGGCTCGACTTCCTTCAGGCAACTCCAGAGATGCCCCGAGAACACTGTCCCAAGTCTAGAGGAACACCAACTTCAGCACAGCAACTCGAGGAATGCTCCGTGTACCCCAAATCGTCTCGAGATGCGAGCTGATTCCCTGGCTTAGGCTCAAGACGTATGCCAACTCCCCAGAAGCACCTCAGGAGGAGGCTTCTCTCAGCAATAGGTATGTGGGAGGGACCCCGAGGTTGCTGCCTCAAGGGGAATATACAGCGAGAAGCCCTAACTTGAAAGGAGGCCGGATTTCCTTGCAGTGGCTTGAATACAGGCTCGTCTTTCATCTCACAACATGAAGGGATGTCTGAATCCCCTGTGGAGACCTTAGAGAAAGCCCTAGGTCCCTGCCTCATTTTGACGGAATGCCTCACATCCCGCTGACACCTCGAGAGGCACGCGGAGTTCATTGCTTCAAAAGGTGACGATGCCTGACTCCTCTTGAATACTGATAGGAATCCCAAAATCCCTGTGGCTACTGGAAAGGGTCCTTCTGTGCCCTGCCTCACCTCGAGAAGCGTCCCTTTTGCCCTGCCAAGCCTCGAAGAGATTCCTGAGGTGTCCCTCGTTACTAGACAGGAGTCCTGACGTCACTGAAGAAACTCGTGTTTTGAAGGGCCATCCCCGCCGTAAGTCGAGAACATACCCCAGGTCCCCGCCGCAACTCGAGAAAAACCATGAGACTTCCCCCTAGAGGCGAGATGAGGCCCCATTCCCCTGCAGTGCATGCAGAGCTATTCCGTGATCCCATTCAAACAAGTCAGGAGCTTCGACTTGCTTAATGGATCTCGAGACAGTCACCAAGAACACTGTCACCAGTCTAGACGGACCCTGAGGTCACCCCAGCAAGGCAAAGCAGCTCCATGTGCCCCAAATCAACTCGAGATGAGGCCCGATTCCCCTGCATTGACTCCAGAGCCATTCCCCGTTCCCCATTCAACACGACCGGTGGCTCGACTTCCTTCAGGCAACTCCAGAGATGCCCCGAGAACACTGTCCCAAGTCTAGAGGAACACCAACTTCAGCACAGCAACTCGAGGAATGCTCCGTGTACCCCAAATCGTCTCGAGATGAGAGCTGATTCCCTGGCTTAGGCTCAAGACGTATGCCAACTACCCAGAAGCACCTCAGGAGGAGGCTTCTCTCAGCAATAGGTATGTGGGAGGGACCCCGAGTTTGCTGCCTCAAGGGGAATATACAGCGAGAAGCCCTAACTTGAAAGGAGGCCGGATTTCCTTGCAGTGGCTTGAATACAGGCTCGTCTTTCATCTCACAACATGAAGGGATGTCTGAATCCCCTGTGGAGACCTTAGAGAAAGACCTAGGTCCCTGCCTCATTTTGACGGAATGCCTCACATCGCGCTAACACCTCGAGAGGCACGCGGAGTTCATTGCTTCAAAAGGTGACGATGCCTGACTCCTCTTGAATACTGATAGGAATCCCAAAATCCCTGTGGCTACTGGAAAGGGCCCTTGGGTGCCCTGCCTCCCCTCGAGAAGCGTCCCTTTTGCCCTGCCAAGCCTCGAAGAGATTCCTGAGGTGTCCCTCGTTACTAGACAGGAGTCCTGACGTCACAGAAGAAACTCGTGTTTTGAAGGGCCATCCCCGCCGTAAGTCGAGAACATACCCCAGGTCCCCGCCGCAACTCGAGAAAAACCATGAGACTTCCCCCTAGAGGCGAGATGAGGCCCCATTCCCCTGCAGTGCATGCAGAGCTATTCCGTGATCCCATTCAGACAAGTCAGGAGCTTCCACTTGCTTAATGGATCTCGAGACAGTCCCCAAGAACACTGTCACCAGTCTGGACGGACCCTGAGGTCACCCCAGCAACGCAAAGCAGCTCCATGTGCCCCAAATCAACTCGAGATGAGGCCCGATTCCCCTGCATTGACTCCAGAGCCATTCCCCGTTCCCAATTCAACACGACCGGTGGCTCGACTTCCTTCAGGCAACTCCAGAGATGCCCCGAGAACACTGTCCCAAGTCTAGAGGAACACCAACTTCAGCACAGCAACTCGAGGAATGCTCCGTGTACCCCAAATCGTCTCGAGATGCGAGCTGATTCCCTGGCTTAGGCTCAAGACGTATGCCAACTCCCCAGAAGCACCTCAGGAGGAGGCTTCTCTCAGCAATAGGTATGTGGGAGGGACCCCGAGTTTGCTGCCTCAAGGGGAATATACAGCGAGAAGCCCTAACTTGAAAGCAGGCCGGATTTCCTTGCAGTGGCTTGAATACAGGCTCGTCTTTCATCTCACAACATGAAGGGATGTCTGAATCCCCTGTGGAGACCTTAGAGAAAGCCCTAGGTCCCTGCCTCATTTTGACGGAATGCCTCACATCCCGCTGACACCTCGAGAGGCACGCGGAGTTCATTGCTTCAAAAGGTGACGATGCCTGACTCCTCTTGAATACTGATAGGAATCCCAAAATCCCTGTGGCTACTGGAAAGGGTCCTTGGGTGCCCTGCCTCACCTCGAGAAGCGTCCCTTTTGCCCTGCCAAGCCTCGAAGAGATTCCTGAGGTGTCCCTCGTTACTAGACAGGAGTCCTGACGTCACTGAAGAAACTCGTGTTTTGAAGGGCCATCCCCGCCGTAAGTCGAGAACATACCCCAGGTCCCCGCCGAAACTCGAGAAAAACCATGAGACTTCCCCTAGAGGCGAGATGAGGCCCCATTCCCCTGCAGTGCATGCAGAGCTATTCCGTGATCCCATTCAAACAAGTCAGGAGCTTCGACTTGCTTAATGGATCTCGAGTCAGTCCCCAAGAACACTGTCACCAGTCTAGACGGACCCTGAGGTCACCCCAGCAACGCAAAGCAGCTCCATGTGCCCCAAATCAACTCGAGATGAGGCCCGATTCCCCTGCATTGACTCCAGAGCCATCCCCCGTTCCCCATTCAACACGACCGGTGGCTCGACTTCCTTCAGGCAACTCCAGAGATGCCCCGAGAACACTGTCCCAAGTCTAGAGGAACACCAACTTCAGCACAGCAACTCGAGGAATGCTCCGTGTACCCCAAATCGTCTCGAGATGAGAGCTGATTCCCTGGCTTAGGCTCAAGACGTATGCCAACTACCCAGAAGCACCTCAGGAGGAGGCTTCTCTCAGCAATAGGTATGTGGGAGGGACCCCGAGTTTGCTGCCTCAAGGGGAATATACAGCGAGAAGCCCTAACTTGAAAGGAGGCCGGATTTCCTTGCAGTGGCTTGAATACAGGCTCGGCTTTCATCTCACAACATGAAGGGATGTCTGAATCCCCTGTGGAGACCTTAGAGAAAGCCCTAGGTCCCTGCCTCATTTTGACGGAATGCCTCACATCCCGCTGACACCTCGAGAGGCACGCGGAGTTCATTGCTTCAAAAGGTGACGATGCCTGACTCCTCTTGAATACTGATAGGAATCCCAAAATCCCTGTGGCTACTGGAAAGGGTCCTTGGGTGCCCTGCCTCCCCTCGAGAAGCGTCCCTTTTGCCCTGCCAAGCCTCGAAGAGATTCCTGAGGTGTCCCTCGTTACTAGACAGGAGTCCTGACGTCACTGAAGAAACTCGTGTTTTGAAGGGCCATCCCCGCCGTAAGTCGAGAACATACCCCAGGTCCCCGCCGCAACTCGAGAAAAACCATGAGACTTCCCCCTAGAGGCGAGATGAGGCCCCATTCCCCTGCAGTGCATGCAGAGCTATTCCGTGATCCCATTCAGACAAGTCAGGAGCTTCCACTTGCTTAATGGATCTCGAGACAGTCCCCAAGAACACTGTCACCAGTCTGGACGGACCCTGAGGTCACCCCAGCAACGCAAAGCAGCTCCATGTGCCCCAAATCAACTCGAGATGAGGCCCGATTCCCCTGCATTGACTCCAGAGCCATTCCCCGTTCCCCATTCAACACGACCGGTGGCTCGACTTCCTTCAGGCAACTCCAGAGATGCCCCGAGAACACTGTCCCAAGTCTAGAGGAACACCAACTTCAGCACAGCAACTCGAGGAATGCTCCGTGTACCCCAAATCGTCTCGAGATGCGAGCTGATTCCCTGGCTTAGGCTCAAGACGTATGCCAACTTCCCAGAAGCACCTCAGGAGGAGGCTTCTCTCAGCAAATAGATATGTGGGAGGGACCCCGAGTTTGCTGCCTCAAGGGGAATATACAGCGAGAAGCCCTAACTTGAAAGGAGGCCGGATTTCCTTGCAGTGGCTTGAATACAGGCTCGTCTTTCATCTCACAACATGAAGGGATGTCTGAATCCCCTGTGGAGACCTTAGAGAAAGCCCTAGGTCCCTGCCTCATTTTGACGGAATGCCTCACATCCCGCTGACACCTCGAGAGGCACGCGGAGTTCATTGCTTCAAAAGGTGACGATGCCTGACTCCTCTTGAATACTGATAGGAATCCCAAAATCCCTGTGGCTACTGGAAAGGGTCCTTGGGTGCCCTGCCTCACCTCGAGAAGCGTCCCTTTTGCCCTGCCAAGCCTCGAAGAGATTCCTGAGGTGTCCCTCGTTACTAGACAGTAGTCCTGACGTCACTGAAGAAACTCGTGTTTTGAAGGGCCATCCCCGCCGTAAGTCGAGAACATACCCCAGGTCCCCGCCGCAACTCGAGAAAAACCATGAGACTTCCCCCTAGAGGCGAGATGAGGCCCCATTCCCCTGCAGTGCATGCAGAGCTATTCCGTGATCCCATTCAAACAAGTCAGGAGCTTCGACTTGCTTAATGGATCTCGAGACAGTCCCCAAGAACACTGTCACCAGTCTAGACGGACCCTGAGGTCACCCCAGCAACGCAAAGCAGCTCCATGTGCCCCAAATCAACTCGAGATGAGGCCCGATTCCCCTGCATTGACTCCAGAGCCATTCCCCGTTCCCCATTCAACACGACCGGTGGCTCGACTTCCTTCAGGCAACTCCAGAGATGCCCCGAGAACACTGTCCCAAGTCTAGAGGAACACCAACTTCAGCACAGCAACTCGAGGAATGCTCCGTGTACCCCAAATCGTCTCGAGATGAGAGCTGATTCCCTGGCTTAGGCTCAAGACGTATGCCAACTACCCAGAAGCACCTCAGGAGGAGGCTTCTCTCAGCAATAGGTATGTGGGAGGGACCCCGAGTTTGCTGCCTCAAGGGGAATATATAGCGAGAAGACCTAACTTGAAAGGAGGCCGGATTTCCTTGCAGTGGCTTGAATACAGGCTCGTCTTTCATCTCACAACATGAAGGGATGTCTGAATCCCCTGTGGAGACCTTAGAGAAAGCCCTAGGTCCCTGCCTCATTTTGACGGAATGCCTCACATCGTGCTGACACCTCGAGAGGCACGCGGAGTTCATTGCTTCAAAAGGTGACGATGCCTGACTCCTCTTGAATACTGATAGGAATCCCAAAATCCCTGTGGCTACTGGAAAGGGTCCTTGGGTGCCCTGCCTCCCCTCGAGAAGCGTCCCTTTTGCCCTGCCAAGCCTCGAAGAGATTCCTGAGGTGTCCCTCGTTACTAGACAGGAGTCCTGACGTCACTGAAGAAACTCGTGTTTTGAAGGGCCATCCCCGCCGTAAGTCGAGAACATACCCCAGGTCCCCGCCGCAACTCGAGAAAAACCATGAGACTTCCCCCTAGAGGCGAGATGAGGCCCCATTCCCCTGCAGTGCATGCAGAGCTATTCCGTGATCCCATTCAAACAAGTCAGGAGCTTCGACTTGCTTAATGGATCTCGAGACAGTCCCCAAGAACACTGTCACCAGTCTAGACGGACCCTGAGGTCACCCCAGCAACGCAAAGCAGCTCCATGTGCCCCAAATCAACTCGAGATGAGGCCCGATTCCCCTGCATTGACTCCAGAGCCATTCCCCGTTCCCCATTCAACACGACCGGTGGCTCGACTTCCTTCAGGCAACTCCAGAGATGCCCCGAGAACACTGTCCCAAGTCTATAGGAACACCAACTTCAGCACAGCAACTCGAGGAATGCTCCGTGTACCCCAAATCGTCTCGAGATGAGAGCTGATTCCCTGGCTTAGGCTCAAGACGTATGCCAACTACCCAGAAGCACCTCAGGAGGAGGCTTCTCTCAGCAATAGGTATGTGGGAGGGACCCCGAGTTTGCTGCCTCAAGGGGAATATACAGCGAGAAGACCTAACTTGAAAGGAGGCCGGATTTCCTTGCAGTGGCTTGAATACAGGCTCGTCTTTCATCTCACAACATGAAGGGATGTCTGAATCCCCTGTGGAGACCTTAGAGAAAGCCCTAGGTCCCTGCCTCATTTTGACGGAATGCCTCACATCCCGCTGACACCTCGAGAGGCACGCGGAGTTCATTGCTTCAAAAGGTGACGATGCCTGACTCCTCTTGAATACTGATAGGAATCCCAAAATCCCTGTGGCTACTGGAAAGGGTCCTTGGGTGCCCTGCCTCACCTCGAGAAGCGTCCCTTTTGCCCTGCCAAGCCTCGAAGAGATTCCTGAGGTGTCCCTCGTTACTAGACAGGAGTCCTGACGTCACTGAAGAAACTCGTGTTTTGAAGGGCCATCCCCGCCGTAAGTCGAGAACATACCCCAGGTCCCCGCCGCAACTCGAGAAAAACCATGAGACTTCCCCCTAGAGGCGAGATGAGGCCCCATTCCCCTGCAGTGCATGCAGAGCTATTCTGTGATCCCATTCAAACAAGTCAGGAGCTTCGACTTGCTTAATGGATCTCGAGACAGTCCCCAAGAACACTGTCACCAGTCTAGACGGACCCTGAGGTCACCCCAGCAAGGCAAAGCAGCTCCATGTGCCCCAAATCAACTCGAGATGAGGCCCGATTCCCCTGCATTGACTCCAGAGCCATTCCCCGTTCCCCATTCAACACGACCGGTGGCTCGACTTCCTTCAGGCAACTCCAGAGATGCCCCGAGAACACTGTCCCAAGTCTAGAGGAACACCAACTTCAGCACAGCAACTCGAGGAATGCTCCGTGTACCCCAAATCGTCTCGAGATGAGAGCTGATTCCCTGGCTTAGGCTCAAGACGTATGCCAACTTCCCAGAAGCACCTCAGGAGGAGGCTTCTCTCAGCAATAGGTATGTGGGAGGGACCCCGAGTTTGCTGCCTCAAGGGGAATATACAGCGAGAAGCCCTAACTTGAAAGGAGGCCGGATTTCCTTGCAGTGGCTTGAATACAGGCTCGTCTTTCATCTCACAACATGAAGGGATGTCTGAATCCCCTGTGGAGACCTTAGAGAAAGCCCTAGGTCCCTGCCTCATTTTGACGGAATGCCTCACATCCCGCTGACACCTCGAGAGGCACGCGGAGTTCATTGCTTCAAAAGGTGACGATGCCTGACTCCTCTTGAATACTGATAGGAATCCCAAAATCCCTGTGGCTACTGGAAAGGGTCCTTGGGTGCCCTGCCTCACCTCGAGAAGCGTCCCTTTTGCCCTGCCAAGCCTCGAAGAGATTCCTGAGGTGTCCCTCGTTACTAGACAGGAGTCCTGACGTCACTGAAGAAACTCGTGTTTTGAAGGGCCATCCCCGCCGTAAGTCGAGAACATACCCCAGGTCCCCGCCGCAACTCGAGAAAAACCATGAGACTTCCCCCTAGAGGCGAGATGAGGCCCCATTCCCCTGCAGTGCATGCAGAGCTATTCCGTGATCCCATTCAGACAAGTCAGGAGCTTCCACTTGCTTAATGGATCTCGAGACAGTCCCCAAGAACACTGTCACCAGTCTGGACGGACCCTGAGGTCACCCCAGCAACGCAAAGCAGCTCCATGTGCCCCAAATCAACTCGAGATGAGGCCCGATTCCCCTGCATTGACTCCAGAGCCATTCCCCGTTCCCCATTCAACACGACCGGTGGCTCGACTTCCTTCAGGCAACTCCAGAGATGCCCCGAGAACACTGTCCCAAGTCTAGAGGAACACCAACTTCAGCACAGCAACTCGAGGAATGCTCCGTGTACCCCAAATCGTCTCGAGATGCGAGCTGATTCCCTGGCTTAGGCTCAAGACGTATGCCAACTACCCAGAAGCACCTCAGGAGGAGGCTTCTCTCAGCAAATAGATATGTGGGAGGGACCCCGAGTTTGCTGCCTCAAGGGGAATATACAGCGAGAAGCCCTAACTTGAAAGGAGGCCGGATTTCCTTGCAGTGGCTTGAATACAGGCTCGTCTTTCATCTCACAACATGAAGGGATGTCTGAATCCCCTGTGGAGACCTTAGAGAAAGCCCTAGGTCCCTGCCTCATTTTGACGGAATGCCTCACATCCCGCTGACACCTCGAGAGGCACGCGGAGTTCATTGCTTCAAAAGGTGACGATGCCTGACTCCTCTTGAATACTGATAGGAATCCCAAAATCCCTGTGGCTACTGGAAAGGGTCCTTGGGTGCCCTGCCTCACCTCGAGAAGCGTCCCTTTTGCCCTGCCAAGCCTCGAAGAGATTCCTGAGGTGTCCCTCGTTACTAGACAGGAGTCCTGACGTCACTGAAGAAACTCGTGTTTTGAAGGGCCATCCCCGCCGTAAGTCGAGAACATACCCCAGGTCCCCGCCGCAACTCGAGAAAAACCATGAGACTTCCCCCTAGAGGCGAGATGAGGCCCCATTCCCCTGCAGTGCATGCAGAGCTATTCCGTGATCCCATTCAAACAAGTCAGGAGCTTCGACTTGCTTAATGGATCTCGAGACAGTCCCCAAGAACACTGTCACCAGTCTAGACGGACCCTGAGGTCACCCCAGCAACGCAAAGCAGCTCCATGTGCCCCAAATCAACTCGAGATGAGGCCCGATTCCCCTGCATTGACTCCAGAGCCATTCCCCGTTCCCCATTCAACACGACCGGTGGCTCGACTTCCTTCAGGCAACTCCAGAGATGCCCCGAGAACACTGTCCCAAGTCTAGAGGAACACCAACTTCAGCACAGCAACTCGAGGAATGCTCCGTGTACCCCAAATCGTCTCGAGATGAGAGCTGATTCCCTGGCTTAGGCTCAAGACGTATGCCAACTTCCCAGAAGCACCTCAGGAGGAGGCTTCTCTCAGCAATAGGTATGTGGGAGGGACCCCGAGTTTGCTGCCTCAAGGGGAATATACAGCGAGAAGCCCTAACTTGAAAGGAGGCCGGATTTCCTTGCAGTGGCTTGAATACAGGCTCGTCTTTCATCTCACAACATGAAGGGATGTCTGAATCCCCTGTGGAGACCTTAGAGAAAGCCCTAGGTCCCTGCCTCATTTTGACGGAATGCCTCACATCCCGCTGACACCTCGAGAGGCACGCGGAGTTCATTGCTTCAAAAGGTGACGATGCCTGACTCCTCTTGAATACTGATAGGAATCCCAAAATCCCTGTGGCTACTGGAAAGGGTCCTTGGGTGCCCTGCCTCACCTCGAGAAGCGTCCCTTTTGCCCTGCCAAGCCTCGAAGAGATTCCTGAGGTGTCCCTCGTTACTAGACAGGAGTCCTGACGTCACTGAAGAAACTCGTGTTTTGAAGGGCCATCCCCGCCGTAAGTCGAGAACATACCCCAGGTCCCCGCCGCAACTCGAGAAAAACCATGAGACTTCCCCCTAGAGGCGAGATGAGGCCCCATTCCCCTGCAGTGCATGCAGAGCTATTCTGTGATCCCATTCAAACAAGTCAGGAGCTTCGACTTGCTTAATGGATCTCGAGACAGTCCCCAAGAACACTGTCACCAGTCTAGACGGACCCTGAGGTCACCCCAGCAAGGCAAAGCAGCTCCATGTGCCCCAAATCAACTCGAGATGAGGCCCGATTCCCCTGCATTGACTCCAGAGCCATTCCTCGTTCCCCATTCAACACGACCGGTGGCTCGACTTCCTTCAGGCAACTCCAGAGATGCCCCGAGAACACTGTCCCAAGTCTAGAGGAACACCAACTTCAGCACAGCAACTCGAGGAATGCTCCGTGTACCCCAAATCGTCTCGAGATGAGAGCTGATTCCCTGGCTTAGGCTCAAGACGTATGCCAACTTCCCAGAAGCACCTCAGGAGGAGGCTTCTCTCAGCAATAGGTATGTGGGAGGGACCCCGAGTTTGCTGCCTCAAGGGGAATATACAGCGAGAAGCCCTAACTTGAAAGGAGGCCGGATTTCCTTGCAGTGGCTTGAATACAGGCTCGTCTTTCATCTCACAACATGAAGGGATGTCTGAATCCCCTGTGGAGACCTTAGAGAAAGCCCTAGGTCCCTGCCTCATTTTGACGGAATGCCTCACATCCCGCTGACACCTCGAGAGGCACGCGGAGTTCATTGCTTCAAAAGGTGACGATGCCTGACTCCTCTTGAATACTGATAGGAATCCCAAAATCCCTGTGGCTACTGGAAAGGGTCCTTGGGTGCCCTGCCTCACCTCGAGAAGCGTCCCTTTTGCCCTGCCAAGCCTCGAAGAGATTCCTGAGGTGTCCCTCGTTACTAGACAGGAGTCCTGACGTCACTGAAGAAACTCGTGTTTTGAAGGGCCATCCCCGCCGTAAGTCGAGAACATACCCCAGGTCCCCGCCGCAACTCGAGAAAAACCATGAGACTTCCCCCTAGAGGCGAGATGAGGCCCCATTCCCCTGCAGTGCATGCAGAGCTATTCTGTGATCCCATTCAAACAAGTCAGGAGCTTCGACTTGCTTAATGGATCTCGAGACAGTCCCCAAGAACACTGTCACCAGTCTAGACGGACCCTGAGGTCACCCCAGCAAGGCAAAGCAGCTCCATGTGCCCCAAATCAACTCGAGATGAGGCCCGATTCCCCTGCATTGACTCCAGAGCCATTCCCCGTTCCCCATTCAACACGACCGGTGGCTCGACTTCCTTCAGGCAACTCCAGAGATGCCCCGAGAACACTGTCCCAAGTCTAGAGGAACACCAACTTCAGCACAGCAACTCGAGGAATGCTCCGTGTACCCCAAATCGTCTCGAGATGCGAGCTGATTCCCTGGCTTAGGCTCAAGACGTATGCCAACTCCCCAGAAGCACCTCAGGAGGAGGCTTCTCTCAGCAATAGGTATGTGGGAGGGACCCCGAGTTTGCTGCCTCAAGGGGAATATACAGCGAGAAGCCCTAACTTGAAAGGAGGCCGGATTTCCTTGCAGTGGCTTGAATACAGGCTCGTCTTTCATCTCACAACATGAAGGGATGTCTGAATCCCCTGTGGAGACCTTAGAGAAAGCCCTAGGTCCCTGCCTCATTTTGACGGAATGCCTCACATCCCGCTGACACCTCGAGAGGCACGCGGAGTTCATTGCTTCAAAAGGTGACGATGCCTGACTCCTCTTGAATACTGATAGGAATCCCAAAATCCCTGTGGCTACTGGAAAGGGTCCTTGGGTGCCCTGCCTCACCTCGAGAAGCGTCCCTTTTGCCCTGCCAAGCCTCGAAGAGATTCCTGAGGTGTCCCTCGTTACTAGACAGGAGTCCTGACGTCACTGAAGAAACTCGTGTTTTGAAGGGCCATCCCCGCCGTAAGTCGAGAACATACCCCAGGTCCCCGCCGCAACTCGAGAAAAACCATGAGACTTCCCCCTAGAGGCGAGATGAGGCCCCATTCCCCTGCAGTGCATGCAGAGCTATTCCGTGATCCCATTCAAACAAGTCAGGAGCTTCGACTTGCTTAATGGATCTCGAGACAGTCCCCAAGAACACTGTCACCAGTCTAGACGGACCCTGAGGTCACCCCAGCAACGCAAAGCAGCTCCATGTGCCCCAAATCAACTCGAGATGAGGCCCGATTCCCCTGCATTGACTCCAGAGCCATTCCCCGTTCCCCATTCAACACGACCGGTGGCTCGACTTCCTTCAGGCAACTCCAGAGATGCCCCGAGAACACTGTCCCAAGTCTAGAGGAACACCAACTTCAGCACAGCAACTCGAGGAATGCTCCGTGTACCCCAAATCGTCTCGAGATGAGAGCTGATTCCCTGGCTTAGGCTCAAGACCTATGCCAACTTCCCAGAAGCACCTCAGGAGGAGGCTTCTCTCAGCAATAGGTATGTGGGAGGGACCCCGAGTTTGCTGCCTCAAGGGAAATATACAGCGAGAAGCCCTAACTTGAAAGGAGGCCGGATTTCCTTGCAGTGGCTTGAATACAGGCTCGTCTTTCATCTCACAACATGAAGGGATGTCTGAATCCCCTGTGGAGACCTTAGAGAAAGCCCTAGGTCCCTGCCTCATTTTGACGGAATGCCTCACATCGCGCTGACACCTCGAGAGGCACGCGGAGTTCATTGCTTCAAAAGGTGACGATGCCTGACTCCTCTTGAATACTGATAGGAATCCCAAAATCCCTGTGGCTACTGGAAAGGGTCCTTGGGTGCCCTGCCTCACCTCGAGAAGCGTCCCTTTTGCCCTGCCAAGCCTCGAAGAGATTCCTGAGGTGTCCCTCGTTACTAGACAGGAGTCCTGACGTCACTGAAGAAACTCGTGTTTTGAAGGGCCATCCCCGCCGTAAGTCGAGAACATACCCCAGGTCCCCGCCACAACTCGAGAAAAACCATGAGACTTCCCCCTAGAGGCGAGATGAGGCCCCATTCCCCTGCAGTGCATGCAGAGCTATTCCGTGATCCCATTCAAACAAGTCAGGAGCTTCGACTTGCTTAATGGATCTCGAGACAGTCACCAAGAACACTGTCACCAGTCTAGACGGACCCTGAGGTCACCCCAGCAACGCAAAGCAGCTCCATGTGCCGCAAATCAACTCGAGATGAGGCCCGATTCCCCTGCATTGACTCCAGAGCCATTCCCCGTTCCCCATTCAACACGACCGGTGGCTCGACTTCCTTCAGGCAACTCCAGAGATGCCCCGAGAACACTGTCCCAAGTCTAGAGGAACACCAACTTCAGCACAGCAACTCGAGGAATGCTCCGTGTACCCCAAATCGTCTCGAGATGAGAGCTGATTCCCTGGCTTAGGCTCAAGACCTATGCCAACTTCCCAGAAGCACCTCAGGAGGAGGCTTCTCTCAGCAATAGGTATGTGGGAGGGACCCCGAGTTTGCTGCCTCAAGGGAAATATACAGCGAGAAGCCCTAACTTGAAAGGAGGCCGGATTTCCTTGCAGTGGCTTGAATACAGGCTCGTCTTTCATCTCACAACATGAAGGGATGTCTGAATCCCCTGTGGAGACCTTAGAGAAAGCCCTAGGTCCCTGCCTCATTTTGACGGAATGCCTCACATCGCGCTGACACCTCGAGAGGCACGCGGAGTTCATTGCTTCAAAAGGTGACGATGCCTGACTCCTCTTGAATACTGATAGGAATCCCAAAATCCCTGTGGCTACTGGAAAGGGTCCTTGGGTGCCCTGCCTCACCTCGAGAAGCGTCCCTTTTGCCCTGCCAAGCCTCGAAGAGATTCCTGAGGTGTCCCTCGTTACTAGACAGGAGTCCTGACGTCACTGAAGAAACTCGTGTTTTGAAGGGCCATCCCCGCCGTAAGTCGAGAACATACCCCAGGTCCCCGCCACAACTCGAGAAAAACCATGAGACTTCCCCCTAGAGGCGAGATGAGGCCCCATTCCCCTGCAGTGCATGCAGAGCTATTCCGTGATCCCATTCAAACAAGTCAGGAGCTTCGACTTGCTTAATGGATCTCGAGACAGTCACCAAGAACACTGTCACCAGTCTAGACGGACCCTGAGGTCACCCCAGCAACGCAAAGCAGCTCCATGTGCCGCAAATCAACTCGAGATGAGGCCCGATTCCCCTGCATTGACTCCAGAGCCATTCCCCGTTCCCCATTCAACACGACCGGTGGCTCGACTTCCTTCAGGCAACTCCAGAGATGCCCCGAGAACACTGTCCCAAGTCTAGAGGAACACCAACTTCAGCACAGCAACTCGAGGAATGCTCCGTGTACCCCAAATCGTCTCGAGATGAGAGCTGATTCCCTGGCTTAGGCTCAAGACGTATGCCAACTACCCAGAAGCACCTCAGGAGGAGGCTTCTCTCAGCAATTGGTATGTGGGAGGGACCCCGAGTTTGCTGCCTCAAGGGGAATATACAGCGAGAAGCCCTAACTTGAAAGGAGGCCGGATTTCCTTGCAGTGGCTTGAATACAGGCTCGTCTTTCATCTCACAACATGAAGGGATGTCTGAATCCCCTGTGGAGACCTTAGAGAAAGCCCTAGGTCCCTGCCTCATTTTGACGGAATGCCTCACATCGCGCTGACACCTCGAGAGGCACGCGGAGTTCATTGCTTCAAAAGGTGACGATGCCTGACTCCTCTTGAATACTGATAGGAATCCCAAAATCCCTGTGGCTACTGGAAAGGGTCCTTGGGTGCACTGCCTCCCCTCGAGAAGCGTCCCTTTTGCCCTGCCAAGCCTCGAAGAGATTCCTGAGGTGTCCCTCGTTACTAGACAGGAGTCCTGACGTCACTGAAGAAACTCGTGTTTTGAAGGGCCATCCCCGCCGTAAGTCGAGAACATACCCCAGGTCCCCGCCGCAACTCGAGAAAAACCATGAGACTTCCCCCTAGAGGCGAGATGAGGCCCCATTCCCCTGCAGTGCATGCAGAGCTATTCCGTGATCCCATTCAGACAAGTCAGGAGCTTCCACTTGCTTAATGGATCTCGAGACAGTCCCCAAGAACACTGTCACCAGTCTGGACGGACCCTGAGGTCACCCCAGCAACGCAAAGCAGCTCCATGTGCCCCAAATCAACTCGAGATGAGGCCCGATTCCCCTGCATTGACTCCAGAGCCATTCCCCGTTCCCCATTCAACACGACCGGTGGCTCGACTTCCTTCAGGCAACTCCAGAGATGCCCCGAGAACACTGTCCCAAGTCTAGAGGAACACCAACTTCAGCACAGCAGCTCGAGGAATGCTCCGTGTACCCCAAATCGTCTCGAGATGCGAGCTGATTCCCTGGCTTAGGCTCAAGACGTATGCCAACTCCCCAGAAGCACCTCAGGAGGAGGCTTCTCTCAGCAATAGGTATGTGGGAGGGACCCCGAGTTTGCTGCCTCAAGGGGAATATACAGCGAGAAGCCCTAACTTGAAAGGAGGCCGGATTTCCTTGCAGTGGCTTGAATACAGGCTCGTCTTTCATCTCACAACATGAAGGGATGTCTGAATCCCCTGTGGAGACCTTAGAGAAAGCCCTAGGTCCCTGCCTCATTTTGACGGAATGCCTCACATCCCGCTGACACCTCGAGAGGCACGCGGAGTTCATTGCTTCAAAAGGTGACGATGCCTGACTCCTCTTGAATACTGATAGGAATCCCAAAATCCCTGTGGCTACTGGAAAGGGTCCTTGGGTGCCCTGCCTCCCCTCGAGAAGCGTCCCTTTTGCCCTGCCAAGCCTCGAAGAGATTCCTGAGGTGTCCCTCGTTACTAGACAGGAGTCCTGACGTCAGTGAAGAAACTCGTGTTTTGAAGGGCCATCCCCGCCGTAAGTCGAGAACATACCCCAGGTCCCCGCCGCAACTCGAGAAAAACCATGAGACTTCCCCCTAGAGGCGAGATGAGGCCCCATTCCCCTGCAGTGCATGCAGAGCTATTCCGTGATCCCATTCAAACAAGTCAGGAGCTTCGACTTGCTTAATGGATCTCGAGACAGTCACCAAGAACACTGTCACCAGTCTAGACGGACCCTGAGGTCACCCCAGCAACGCAAAGCAGCTCCATGTGCCCCAAATCAACTCGAGATGAGGCCCGATTCCCCTGCATTGACTCCAGAGCCATTCCCCGTTCCCCATTCAACACGACCGGTGGCTCGACTTCCTTCAGGCAACTCCAGAGATGCCCCGAGAACACTGTCCCAAGTCTAGAGGAACACCAACTTCAGCACAGCAACTCGAGGAATGCTCCGTGTACCCCAAATCGTCTCGAGATGAGAGCTGATTCCCTGGCTTAGGCTCAAGACGTATGCCAACTCCCCAGAAGCACCTCAGGAGGAGGCTTCTCTCAGCAATAGGTATGTGGGAGGGACCCCGAGTTTGCTGCCTCAAGGGGAATATACAGCGAGAAGCCCTAACTTGAAAGGAGGCCGGATTTCCTTGCAGTGGCTTGAATACAGGCTCGTCTTTCATCTCACAACATGAAGGGATGTCTGAATCCCCTGTGGAGACCTTAGAGAAAGCCCTAGGTCCCTGCCTCATTTTGACGGAATGCCTCACATCGCGCTGACACCTCGAGAGGCACGCGGAGTTCATTGCTTCAAAAGGTGACGATGCCTGACTCCTCTTGAATACTGATAGGAATCCCAAAATCCCTGTGGCTACTGGAAAGGGTCCTTGGGTGCCCTGCCTCCCCTCGAGAAGCGTCCCTTTTGCCCTGCCAAGCCTCGAAGAGATTCCTGAGGTGTCCCTCGTTACTAGACAGGAGTCCTGACGTCACTGAAGAAACTCGTGTTTTGAAGGGCCATCCCCGCCGTAAGTCGAGAACATACCCCAGGTCCCCGCCGCAACTCGAGAAAAACCATGAGACTTCCCCCTAGAGGCGAGATGAGGCCCCATTCCACTGCAGTGCATGCAGAGCTATTCCGTGATCCCATTCAAACAAGTCAGGAGCTTCGACTTGCTTAATGGATCTCGAGACAGTCACCAAGAACACTGTCACCAGTCTAGACGGACCCTGAGGTCACCCCAGCAACGCAAAGCAGCTCCATGTGCCCCAAATCAACTCGAGATGAGGCCCGATTCCCCTGCATTGACTCCAGAGCCATTCCCCGTTCCCCATTCAACACGACCGGTGGCTCGACTTCCTTCAGGCAACTCCAGAGATGCCCCGAGAACACTGTCCCAAGTCTAGAGGAACACCAACTTCAGCACAGCAGCTCGAGGAATGCTCCGTGTACCCCAAATCGTCTCGAGATGAGAGCTGATTCCCTGGCTTAGGCTCAAGACGTATGCCAACTACCCAGAAGCACCTCAGGAGGAGGCTTCTCTCAGCAATAGGTATGTGGGAGGGACCCCGAGTTTGCTGCCTCAAGGGGAATATACAGCGAGAAGCCCTAACTTGAAAGGAGGCCGGATTTCCTTGCAGTGGCTTGAATACAGGCTCGTCTTTCATCTCACAACATGAAGGGATGTCTGAATCCCCTGTGGAGACCTTAGAGAAAGCCCTAGGTCCCTGCCTCATTTTGACGGAATGCCTCACATCCCGCTGACACCTCGAGAGGCACGCGGAGTTCATTGCTTCAAAAGGTGACGATGCCTGACTCCTCTTGAATACTGATAGGAATCCCAAAATCCCTGTGGCTACTGGAAAGGGTCCTTGGGTGCCCTGCCTCCCCTCGAGAAGCGTCCCTTTTGCCCTGCCAAGCCTCGAAGAGATTCCTGAGGTGTCCCTCGTTACTAGACAGGAGTCCTGACGTCACTGAAGAAACTCGTGTTTTGAAGGGCCATCCCCGCCGTAAGTCGAGAACATACCCCAGGTCCCCGCCGCAACTCGAGAAAAACCATGAGACTTCCCCCTAGAGGCGAGATGAGGCACCATTCCCCTGCAGTGCATGCAGAGCTATTCCGTGATCCCATTCAGACAAGTCAGGAGCTTCCACTTGCTTAATGGATCTCGAGACAGTCCCCAAGAACACTGTCACCAGTCTGGACGGACCCTGAGGTCACCCCAGCAACGCAAAGCAGCTCCATGTGCCCCAAATCAACTCGAGATGAGGCCCGATTCCCCTGCATTGACTCCAGAGCCATTCCCCGTTCCCCATTCAACACGACCGGTGGCTCGACTTCCTTCAGGCAACTCCAGAGATGCCCCGAGAACACTGTCCCAAGTCTAGAGGAACACCAACTTCAGCACAGCAACTCGAGGAATGCTCCGTGTACCCCAAATCGTCTCGAGATGCGAGCTGATTCCCTGGCTTAGGCTCAAGACGTATGCCAACTCCCCAGAAGCACCTCAGGAGGAGGCTTCTCTCAGCAATAGGTATGTGGGAGGGACCCCGAGTTTGCTGCCTCAAGGGGAATATACAGCGAGAAGCCCTAACTTGAAAGGAGGCCGGATTTCCTTGCAGTGGCTTGAATACAGGCTCGTCTTTCATCTCACAACATGAAGGGATGTCTGAATCCCCTGTGGAGACCTTAGAGAAAGCCCTAGGTCCCTGCCTCATTTTGACGGAATGCCTCACATCGCGCTGACACCTCGAGAGGCACGCGGAGTTCATTGCTTCAAAAGGTGACGATGCCTGACTCCTCTTGAATACTGATAGGAATCCCAAAATCCCTGTGGCTACTGGAAAGGGTCCTTGGGTGCCCTGCCTCACCTCGAGAACCGTCCCTTTTGCCCTGCCAAGCCTCGAAGAGATTCCTGAGGTGTCCCTCGTTACTAGACAGGAGTCCTGACGTCACTGAAGAAACTCGTGTTTTGAAGGGCCATCCCCGCCGTAAGTCGAGAACATACCCCAGGTCCCCGCCGCAACTCGAGAAAAACCATGAGACTTCCCCCTAGAGGCGAGATGAGGCCCCATTCCCCTGCAGTGCATGCAGAGCTATTCCGTGATCCCATTCAGACAAGTCAGGAGCTTCCACTTGCTTAATGGATCTCGAGACAGTCCCCAAGAACACTGTCACCAGTCTGGACGGACCCTGAGGTCACCCCAGCAACGCAAAGCAGCTCCATGTGCCCCAAATCAACTCGAGATGAGGCCCGATTCCCCTGCATTGACTCCAGAGCCATTCCCCGTTCCCCATTCAACACGACCGGTGGCTCGACTTCCTTCAGGCAACTCCAGAGATGCCCCGAGAACACTGTCCCAAGTCTAGAGGAACACCAACTTCAGCACAGCAACTCGAGGAATGCTCCGTGTACCCCAAATCGTCTCGAGATGCGAGCTGATTCCCTGGCTTAGGCTCAAGACGTATGCCAACTCCCCAGAAGCACCTCAGGAGGAGGCTTCTCTCAGCAATAGGTATGTGGGAGGGACCCCGAGTTTGCTGCCTCAAGGGGAATATACAGCGAGAAGCCCTAACTTGAAAGGAGGCCGGATTTCCTTGCAGTGGCTTGAATACAGGCTCGTCTTTCATCTCACAACATGAAGGGATGTCTGAATCCCCTGTGGAGACCTTAGAGAAAGCCCTAGGTCCCTGCCTCATTTTGTCGGAATGCCTCACATCCTGCTGACACCTCGAGAGGCACGCGGAGTTCATTGCTTCAAAAGGTGACGATGCCTGACTCCTCTTGAATACTGATAGGAATCCCAAAATCCCTGTGGCTACTGGAAAGGGTCCTTGGGTGCCCTGCCTCCCCTCGAGAAGCGTCCCTTTTGCCCTGCCAAGCCTCGAAGAGATTCCTGAGGTGTCCCTCGTTACTAGACAGGAGTCCTGACGTCACTGAAGAAACTCGTGTTTTGAAGGGCCATCCCCGCCGTAAGTCGAGAACATACCCCAGGTCCCCGCCGCAACTCGAGAAAAACCATGAGACTTCCCCCTAGAGGCGAGATGAGGCCCCATTCCCCTGCAGTGCATGCAGAGCTATTCCGTGATCCCATTCAAACAAGTCAGGAGCTTCGACTTGCTTAATGGATCTCGAGACAGTCCCCAAGAACACTGTCACCAGTCTAGACGGACCCTGAGGTCACCCCAGCAACGCAAAGCAGCTCCATGTGCCCCAAATCAACTTGAGATGAGGCCCGATTCCCCTGCATTGACTCCAGAGCCATTCCCCGTTCCCCATTCAACACGACCGGTGGCTCGACTTCCTTCAGGCAACTCCAGAGATGCCCCGAGAACACTGTCCCAAGTCTAGAGGAACACCAACTTCAGCACAGCAGCTCGAGGAATGCTCCGTCTACCCCAAATCGTCTCGAGATGAGAGCTGATTCCCTGGCTTAGGCTCAAGACGTATGCCAACTCCCCAGAAGCACCTCAGGAGGAGGCTTCTCTCAGCAATAGGTATGTGGGAGCGACCCCGAATTGGTGCCTCAAGGGGAATATACAGCGAGAAGCCCTAACTTGAAAGGAGGCCGGATTTCCTTGCAGTGGCTTGAATACAGGCTCGTCTTTCATCTCACAACATGAAGGGATGTCTGAATCCCCTGTGGAGACCTTAGAGAAAGCCCTAGGTCCCTGCCTCATTTTGACGGAATGCCTCACATCGCGCTGACACCTCGAGAGGCACGCGGAGTTCATTGCTTCAAAAGGTGACGATGCCTGACTCCTCTTGAATACTGATAGGAATCCCAAAATCCCTGTGGCTACTGGAAAGGGTCCTTGGGTGCCCTGCCTCACCTCGAGAAGCGTCCCTTTTGCCCTGCCAAGCCTCGAAGAGATTCCTGAGGTGTCCCTCGTTACTAGACAGGAGTCCTGACGTCACTGAAGAAACTCGTGTTTTGAAGGGCCATCCCCGCCGTAAGTCGAGAACATACCCCAGGTCCCCGCCGCAACTCGAGAAAAACCATGAGACTTCCCCCTAGAGGCGAGATGAGGCCCCATTCCCCTGCAGTGCATGCAGAGCTATTCCGTGATCCCATTCAGACAAGTCAGGAGCTTCCACTTGCTTAATGGATCTCGAGACAGTCCCCAAGAACACTGTCACCAGTCTGGACGGACCCTGAGGTCACCCCAGCAACGCAAAGCAGCTCCATGTGCCCCAAATCAACTCGAGATGAGGCCCGATTCCCCTGCATTGACTCCAGAGCCATTCCCCGTTCCCCATTCAACACGACCGGTGGCTCGACTTCCTTCAGGCAACTCCAGAGATGCCCCGAGAACACTGTCCCAAGTCTAGAGGAACACCAACTTCAGCACAGCAGCTCGAGGAATGCTCCGTGTACCCCAAATCGTCTCGAGATGCGAGCTGATTCCCTGGCTTAGGCTCAAGACGTATGCCAACTCCCCAGAAGCACCTCAGGAGGAGGCTTCTCTCAGCAATAGGTATGTGGGAGGGACCCCGAGTTTGCTGCCTCAAGGGGAATATACAGCGAGAAGCCCTAACTTGAAAGGAGGCCGGATTTCCTTGCAGTGGCTTGAATACAGGCTCGTCTTTCATCTCACAACATGAAGGGATGTCTGAATCCCCTGTGGAGACCTTAGAGAAAGCCCTAGGTCCCTGCCTCATTTTGACGGAATGCCTCACATCGCGCTGACACCTCGAGAGGCACGCGGAGTTCATTGCTTCAAAAGGTGACGATGCCTGACTCCTCTTGAATACTGATAGGAATCCCAAAATCCCTGTGGCTACTGGAAAGGGTCCTTGGGTGCCCTGCCTCCCCTCGAGAAGCGTCCCTTTTGCCCTGCCAAGCCTCGAAGAGATTCCTGAGGTGTCCCTCGTTACTAGACAGGAGTCCTGACGTCACTGAAGAAACTCGTGTTTTGAAGGGCCATCCCCGCCGTAAGTCGAGAACATACCCCAGGTCCCCGCCGCAACTCGAGAAAAACCATGAGACTTCCCCCTAGAGGCGAGATGAGGCCCCATTCCCCTGCAGTGCATGCAGAGCTATTCCGTGATCCCATTCAGACAAGTCAGGAGCTTCCACTTGCTTAATGGATCTCGAGACAGTCCCCAAGAACACTGTCACCAGTCTGGACGGACCCTGAGGTCACCCCAGCAACGCAAAGCAGCTCCATGTGCCCCAAATCAACTCGAGATGAGGCCCGATTCCCCTGCATTGACTCCAGAGCCATTCCCCGTTCCCCATTCAACACGACCGGTGGCTCGACTTCCTTCAGGCAACTCCAGAGATGCCCCGAGAACACTGTCCCAAGTCTAGAGGAACACCAACTTCAGCACAGCAGCTCGAGGAATGCTCCGTGTACCCCAAATCGTCTCGAGATGCGAGCTGATTCCCTGGCTTAGGCTCAAGACGTATGCCAACTCCCCAGAAGCACCTCAGGAGGAGGCTTCTCTCAGCAATAGGTATGTGGGAGGGACCCCGAGTTTGCTGCCTCAAGGGGAATATACAGCGAGAAGCCCTAACTTGAAAGGAGGCCGGATTTCCTTGCAGTGGCTTGAATACAGGCTCGTCTTTCATCTCACAACATGAAGGGATGTCTGAATCCCCTGTGGAGACCTTAGAGAAAGCCCTAGGTCCCTGCCTCATTTTGACGGAATGCCTCACATCCCGCTGACACCTCGAGAGGCACGCGGAGTTCATTGCTTCAAAAGGTGACGATGCCTGACTCCTCTTGAATACTGATAGGAATCCCAAAATCCCTGTGGCTACTGGAAAGGGTCCTTGGGTGCCCTGCCTCACCTCGAGAAGCGTCCCTTTTGCCCTGCCAAGCCTCGAAGAGATTCCTGAGGTGTCCCTCGTTACTAGACAGGAGTCCTGACGTCACTGAAGAAACTCGTGTTTTGAAGGGCCATCCCCGCCGTAAGTCGAGAACATACCCCAGGTCCCCGCCGCAACTCGAGAAAAACCATGAGACTTCCCCCTAGAGGCGAGATGAGGCCCCATTCCCCTGCAGTGCATGCAGAGCTATTCCGTGATCCCATTCAAACAAGTCAGGAGCTTCGACTTGCTTAATGGATCTCGAGACAGTCCCCAAGAACACTGTCACCAGTCTGGACGGACCCTGAGGTCACCCCAGCAACGCAAAGCAGCTCCATGTGCCCCAAATCAACTCGAGATGAGGCCCGATTCCCCTGCATTGACTCCAGAGCCATTCCCCGTTCCCCATTCAACACGACCGGTGGCTCGACTTCCTTCAGGCAACTCCAGAGATGCCCCGAGAACACTGTCCCAAGTCTAGAGGAACACCAACTTCAGCACAGCAGCTCGAGGAATGCTCCGTGTACCCCAAATCGTCTCGAGATGAGAGCTGATTCCCTGGCTTAGGCTCAAGACGTATGCCAACTACCCAGAAGCACCTCAGGAGGAGGCTTCTCTCAGCAATAGGTATGTGGGAGGGACCCCGAGTTTGCTGCCTCAAGGGGAATATACAGCGAGAAGCCCTAACTTGAAAGGAGGCCGGATTTCCTTGCAGTGGCTTGAATACAGGCTCGTCTTTCATCTCACAACATGAAGGGATGTCTGAATCCCCTGTGGAGACCTTAGAGAAAGCCCTAGGTCCCTGCCTCATTTTGACGGAATGCCTCACATCCCGCTGACACCTCGAGAGGCACGCGGAGTTCATTGCTTCAAAAGGTGACGATGCCTGACTCCTCTTGAATACTGATAGGAATCCCAAAATCCCTGTGGCTACTGGAAAGGGTCCTTGGGTGCCCTGCCTCCCCTCGAGAAGCGTCCCTTTTGCCCTGCCAAGCCTCGAAGAGATTCCTGAGGTGTCCCTCGTTACTAGACAGGAGTCCTGACGTCACTGAAGAAACTCGTGTTTTGAAGGGCCATCCCCGCCGTAAGTCGAGAACATACCCCAGGTCCCCGCCGCAACTCGAGAAAAACCATGAGACTTCCCCCTAGAGGCGAGATGAGGCCCCATTCCCCTGCAGTGCATGCAGAGCTATTCCGTGATCCCATTCAGACAAGTCAGGAGCTTCCACTTGCTTAATGGATCTCGAGACAGTCCCCAAGAACACTGTCACCAGTCTGGACGGACCCTGAGGTCACCCCAGCAACGCAAAGCAGCTCCATGTGCCCCAAATCAACTCGAGATGAGGCCCGATTCCCCTGCATTGACTCCAGAGCCATTCCCCGTTCCCCATTCAACACGACCGGTGGCTCGACTTCCTTCAGGCAACTCCAGAGATGCCCCGAGAACACTGTCCCAAGTCTAGAGGAACACCAACTTCAGCACAGCAACTCGAGGAATGCTCCGTGTACCCCAAATCGTCTCGAGATGCGAGCTGATTCCCTGGCTTAGGCTCAAGACGTATGCCAACTCCCCAGAAGCACCTCAGGAGGAGGCTTCTCTCAGCAATAGGTATGTGGGAGGGACCCCGAGTTTGCTGCCTCAAGGGGAATATACAGCGAGAAGCCCTAACTTGAAAGGAGGCCGGATTTCCTTGCAGTGGCTTGAATACAGGCTCGTCTTTCATCTCACAACATGAAGGGATGTCTGAATCCCCTGTGGAGACCTTAGAGAAAGCCCTAGGTCCCTGCCTCATTTTGACGGAATGCCTCACATCGCGCTGACACCTCGAGAGGCACGCGGAGTTCATTGCTTCAAAAGGTGACGATGCCTGACTCCTCTTGAATACTGATAGGAATCCCAAAATCCCTGTGGCTACTGGAAAGGGTCCTTGGGTGCCCTGCCTCACCTCGAGAACCGTCCCTTTTGCCCTGCCAAGCCTCGAAGAGATTCCTGAGGTGTCCCTCGTTACTAGACAGGAGTCCTGACGTCACTGAAGAAACTCGTGTTTTGAAGGGCCATCCCCGCCGTAAGTCGAGAACATACCCCAGGTCCCCGCCGCAACTCGAGAAAAACCATGAGACTTCCCCCTAGAGGCGAGATGAGGCCCCATTCCCCTGCAGTGCATGCAGAGCTATTCCGTGATCCCATTCAGACAAGTCAGGAGCTTCCACTTGCTTAATGGATCTCGAGACAGTCCCCAAGAACACTGTCACCAGTCTGGACGGACCCTGAGGTCACCCCAGCAACGCAAAGCAGCTCCATGTGCCCCAAATCAACTCGAGATGAGGCCCGATTCCCCTGCATTGACTCCAGAGCCATTCCCCGTTCCCCATTCAACACGACCGGTGGCTCGACTTCCTTCAGGCAACTCCAGAGATGCCCCGAGAACACTGTCCCAAGTCTAGAGGAACACCAACTTCAGCACAGCAACTCGAGGAATGCTCCGTGTACCCCAAATCGTCTCGAGATGCGAGCTGATTCCCTGGCTTAGGCTCAAGACGTATGCCAACTCCCCAGAAGCACCTCAGGAGGAGGCTTCTCTCAGCAATAGGTATGTGGGAGGGACCCCGAGTTTGCTGCCTCAAGGGGAATATACAGCGAGAAGCCCTAACTTGAAAGGAGGCCGGATTTCCTTGCAGTGGCTTGAATACAGGCTCGTCTTTCATCTCACAACATGAAGGGATGTCTGAATCCCCTGTGGAGACCTTAGAGAAAGCCCTAGGTCCCTGCCTCATTTTGTCGGAATGCCTCACATCCTGCTGACACCTCGAGAGGCACGCGGAGTTCATTGCTTCAAAAGGTGACGATGCCTGACTCCTCTTGAATACTGATAGGAATCCCAAAATCCCTGTGGCTACTGGAAAGGGTCCTTGGGTGCCCTGCCTCACCTCGAGAAGCGTCCCTTTTGCCCTGCCAAGCCTCGAAGAGATTCCTGAGGTGTCCCTCGTTACTAGACAGGAGTCCTGACGTCACTGAAGAAACTCGTGTTTTGAAGGGCCATCCCCGCCGTAAGTCGAGAACATACCCCAGGTCCCCGCCGCAACTCGAGAAAAACCATGAGACTTCCCCCTAGAGGCGAGATGAGGCCCCATTCCCCTGCAGTGCATGCAGAGCTATTCCGTGATCCCATTCAAACAAGTCAGGAGCTTCGACTTGCTTAATGGATCTCGAGACAGTCCCCAAGAACACTGTCACCAGTCTAGACGGACCCTGAGGTCACCCCAGCAACGCAAAGCAGCTCCATGTGCCCCAAATCAACTTGAGATGAGGCCCGATTCCCCTGCATTGACTCCAGAGCCATTCCCCGTTCCCCATTCAACACGACCGGTGGCTCGACTTCCTTCAGGCAACTCCAGAGATGCCCCGAGAACACTGTCCCAAGTCTAGAGGAACACCAACTTCAGCACAGCAGCTCGAGGAATGCTCCGTCTACCCCAAATCGTCTCGAGATGAGAGCTGATTCCCTGGCTTAGGCTCAAGACGTATGCCAACTCCCCAGAAGCACCTCAGGAGGAGGCTTCTCTCAGCAATAGGTATGTGGGAGCGACCCCGAATTGGTGCCTCAAGGGGAATATACAGCGAGAAGCCCTAACTTGAAAGGAGGCCGGATTTCCTTGCAGTGGCTTGAATACAGGCTCGTCTTTCATCTCACAACATGAAGGGATGTCTGAATCCCCTGTGGAGACCTTAGAGAAAGCCCTAGGTCCCTGCCTCATTTTGACGGAATGCCTCACATCGCGCTGACACCTCGAGAGGCACGCGGAGTTCATTGCTTCAAAAGGTGACGATGCCTGACTCCTCTTGAATACTGATAGGAATCCCAAAATCCCTGTGGCTACTGGAAAGGGTCCTTGGGTGCCCTGCCTCACCTCGAGAAGCGTCCCTTTTGCCCTGCCAAGCCTCGAAGAGATTCCTGAGGTGTCCCTCGTTACTAGACAGGAGTCCTGACGTCACTGAAGAAACTCGTGTTTTGAAGGGCCATCCCCGCCGTAAGTCGAGAACATACCCCAGGTCCCCGCCGCAACTCGAGAAAAACCATGAGACTTCCCCCTAGAGGCGAGATGAGGCCCCATTCCCCTGCAGTGCATGCAGAGCTATTCCGTGATCCCATTCAGACAAGTCAGGAGCTTCCACTTGCTTAATGGATCTCGAGACAGTCCCCAAGAACACTGTCACCAGTCTGGACGGACCCTGAGGTCACCCCAGCAACGCAAAGCAGCTCCATGTGCCCCAAATCAACTCGAGATGAGGCCCGATTCCCCTGCATTGACTCCAGAGCCATTCCCCGTTCCCCATTCAACACGACCGGTGGCTCGACTTCCTTCAGGCAACTCCAGAGATGCCCCGAGAACACTGTCCCAAGTCTAGAGGAACACCAACTTCAGCACAGCAGCTCGAGGAATGCTCCGTGTACCCCAAATCGTCTCGAGATGCGAGCTGATTCCCTGGCTTAGGCTCAAGACGTATGCCAACTCCCCAGAAGCACCTCAGGAGGAGGCTTCTCTCAGCAATAGGTATGTGGGAGGGACCCCGAGTTTGCTGCCTCAAGGGGAATATACAGCGAGAAGCCCTAACTTGAAAGGAGGCCGGATTTCCTTGCAGTGGCTTGAATACAGGCTCGTCTTTCATCTCACAACATGAAGGGATGTCTGAATCCCCTGTGGAGACCTTAGAGAAAGCCCTAGGTCCCTGCCTCATTTTGACGGAATGCCTCACATCGCGCTGACACCTCGAGAGGCACGCGGAGTTCATTGCTTCAAAAGGTGACGATGCCTGACTCCTCTTGAATACTGATAGGAATCCCAAAATCCCTGTGGCTACTGGAAAGGGTCCTTGGGTGCCCTGCCTCCCCTCGAGAAGCGTCCCTTTTGCCCTGCCAAGCCTCGAAGAGATTCCTGAGGTGTCCCTCGTTACTAGACAGGAGTCCTGACGTCACTGAAGAAACTCGTGTTTTGAAGGGCCATCCCCGCCGTAAGTCGAGAACATACCCCAGGTCCCCGCCGCAACTCGAGAAAAACCATGAGACTTCCCCCTAGAGGCGAGATGAGGCCCCATTCCCCTGCAGTGCATGCAGAGCTATTCCGTGATCCCATTCAGACAAGTCAGGAGCTTCCACTTGCTTAATGGATCTCGAGACAGTCCCCAAGAACACTGTCACCAGTCTGGACGGACCCTGAGGTCACCCCAGCAACGCAAAGCAGCTCCATGTGCCCCAAATCAACTCGAGATGAGGCCCGATTCCCCTGCATTGACTCCAGAGCCATTCCCCGTTCCCCATTCAACACGACCGGTGGCTCGACTTCCTTCAGGCAACTCCAGAGATGCCCCGAGAACACTGTCCCAAGTCTAGAGGAACACCAACTTCAGCACAGCAGCTCGAGGAATGCTCCGTGTACCCCAAATCGTCTCGAGATGCGAGCTGATTCCCTGGCTTAGGCTCAAGACGTATGCCAACTCCCCAGAAGCACCTCAGGAGGAGGCTTCTCTCAGCAATAGGTATGTGGGAGGGACCCCGAGTTTGCTGCCTCAAGGGGAATATACAGCGAGAAGCCCTAACTTGAAAGGAGGCCGGATTTCCTTGCAGTGGCTTGAATACAGGCTCGTCTTTCATCTCACAACATGAAGGGATGTCTGAATCCCCTGTGGAGACCTTAGAGAAAGCCCTAGGTCCCTGCCTCATTTTGACGGAATGCCTCACATCCCGCTGACACCTCGAGAGGCACGCGGAGTTCATTGCTTCAAAAGGTGACGATGCCTGACTCCTCTTGAATACTGATAGGAATCCCAAAATCCCTGTGGCTACTGGAAAGGGTCCTTGGGTGCCCTGCCTCACCTCGAGAAGCGTCCCTTTTGCCCTGCCAAGCCTCGAAGAGATTCCTGAGGTGTCCCTCGTTACTAGACAGGAGTCCTGACGTCACTGAAGAAACTCGTGTTTTGAAGGGCCATCCCCGCCGTAAGTCGAGAACATACCCCAGGTCCCCGCCGCAACTCGAGAAAAACCATGAGACTTCCCCCTAGAGGCGAGATGAGGCCCCATTCCCCTGCAGTGCATGCAGAGCTATTCCGTGATCCCATTCAAACAAGTCAGGAGCTTCGACTTGCTTAATGGATCTCGAGACAGTCCCCAAGAACACTGTCACCAGTCTGGACGGACCCTGAGGTCACCCCAGCAACGCAAAGCAGCTCCATGTGCCCCAAATCAACTCGAGATGAGGCCCGATTCCCCTACATTGACTCCAGAGCCATTCCCCGTTCCCCATTCAACACGACCGGTGGCTCGACTTCCTTCAGGCAACTCCAGAGATGACCCGAGAACACTGTCCCAAGTCTAGAGGAACACCAACTTCAGCACAGCAACTCGAGGAATGCTCCGTGTACCCCAAATCGTCTCGAGATGAGAGCTGATTCCCTGGCTTAGGCTCAAGACGTATGCCAACTTCCCAGAAGCACCTCAGGAGGAGGCTTCTCTCAGCAATAGGTATGTGGGAGGGACCCCGAGTTTGCTGCCTCAAGGGGAATATACAGCGAGAAGCCCTAACTTGAAAGGAGGCCGGATTTCCTTGCAGTGGCTTGAATACAGGCTCGTCTTTCATCTCACAACATGAAGGGATGTCTGAATCCCCTGTGGAGACCTTAGAGAAAGCCCTAGGTCCCTGCCTCATTTTGACGGAATGCCTCACATCCCGCTGACACCTCGAGAGGCACGCGGAGTTCATTGCTTCAAAAGGTGACGATGCCTGACTCCTCTTGAATACTGATAGGAATCCCAAAATCCCTGTGGCTACTGGAAAGGGTCCTTGGGTGCCCTGCCTCTCCTCGAGAAGCGTCCCTTTTGCCCTGCCAAGCCTCGAAGAGATTCCTGAGGTGTCCCTCGTTACTAGACAGGAGTCCTGACGTCACTGAAGAAACTCGTGTTTTGAAAGGCCATCCCCGCCGTAAGTCGAGAACATACCCCAGGTCCCCGCCGCAACTCGAGAAAAACCATGAGACTTCCCCCTAGAGGCGAGATGAGGCCCCATTCCCTGCAGTGCATGCAGAGCTATTCCGTGATCCCATTCAAACAAGTCAGGAGCTTCGACTTGCTTAATGGATCTCGAGACAGTCCCCAAGAACACTGTCACCAGTCTAGACGGACCCTGAGGTCACCCCAGCAACGCAAAGCAGCTCCATGTGCCCCAAATCAACTCGAGATGAGGCCCGATTCCCCTGCATTGACTCCAGAGCCATTCCCCGTTCCCCATTCAACACGACCGGTGGCTCGACTTCCTTCAGGCAACTCCAGAGATGCCCCGAGAACACTGTCCCAAGTCTAGAGGAACACCAACTTCAGCACAGCAGCTCGAGGAATGCTCCGTGTACCCCAAATCGTCTCGAGATGCGAGCTGATTCCCTGGCTTAGGCTCAAGACGTATGCCAACTTCCCAGAAGCACCTCAGGAGGAGGATTCTCTCAGCAATAGGTATGTGGGAGGGACCCCGAGTTTGCTGCCTCAAGGGGAATATACAGCGAGAAGCCCTAACTTGAAAGGAGGCCGGATTTCCTTGCAGTGGCTTGAATAGAGGCTCGTCTTTCATCTCACAACATGAAGGGATGTCTGAATCCCCTGTGGAGACCTTAGAGAAAGCCCTAGGTCCCTGCCTCATTTTGACGGAATGCCTCACATCCCGCTGACACCTCGAGAGGCACGCGGAGTTCATTGCTTCAAAAGGTGACGATGCCTGACTCCTCTTGAATACTGATAGGAATCCCAAAATCCCTGTGGCTACTGGAAAGGGTCCTTGGGTGCCCTGCCTCACCTCGAGAAGCGTCCCTTTTGCCCTGCCAAGCCTCGAACAGATTCCTGAGGTGTCCCTCGTTACTAGACAGGAGTCCTGACGTCACTGAAGAAACTCGTGTTTTGAAGGGCCATCCCCGCCGTAAGTCGAGAACATACCCCAGGTCCCCGCCGCAACTCGAGAAAAACCATGAGACTTCCCCCTAGAGGCGAGATGAGGCCCCATTCCCCTGCAGTGCATGCAGAGCTATTCCGTGATCCCATTCAGACAAGTCAGGAGCTTCCACTTGCTTAATGGATCTCGAGACAGTCCCCAAGAACACTGTCACCAGTCTGGACGGACCCTGAGGTCACCCCAGCAACGCAAAGCAGCTCCATGTGCCCCAAATCAACTCGAGATGAGGCCCGATTCCCCTGCATTGACTCCAGAGCCATTCCCCGTTCCCCATTCAACACGACCGGTGGCTCGACTTCCTTCAGGCAACTCCAGAGATGCCCCGAGAACACTGTTCCAAGTCTAGAGGAACACCAACTTCAGCACAGCAACTCGAGGAATGCTCCGTGTACCCCAAATCGTCTCGAGATGCGAGCTGATTCCCTGGCTTAGGCTCAAGACGTATGCCAACTCCCCAGAAGCACCTCAGGAGGAGGCTTCTCTCAGCAATAGGTATGTGGGAGGGACCCCGAGTATGCTGCCTCAAGGGGAATATACAGCGAGAAGCCCTAACTTGAAAGGAGGCCGGATTTCCTTGCAGTGGCTTGAATACAGGCTCGTCTTTCATCTCACAACATGAAGGGATGTCTGAATCCCCTGTGGAGACCATAGAGAAAGCCCTAGGTCCCTGCCTCATTTTGACGGAATGCCTCACATCCCGCTGACACCTCGAGAGGCACGCGGAGTTCATTGCTTCAAAAGGTGACGATGCCTGACTCCTCTTGAATACTGATAGGAATCCCAAAATCCCTGTGGCTACTGGAAAGGGTCCTTGGGTGCCCTGCCTCCCCTCGAGAAGCGTCCCTTTTGCCCTGCCAAGCCTCGAAGAGATTCCTGAGGTGTCCCTCGTTACTAGACAGGAGTCCTGACGTCACTGAAGAAACTCGTGTTTTGAAGGGCCATCCCCGCCGTAAGTCGAGAACATACCCCAGGTCCCCGCCGCAACTCGAGAAAAACCATGAGACTTCCCCCTAGAGGCGAGATGAGGCCCCATTCCCCTGCAGTGCATGCAGAGCTATTCCGTGATCCCATTCAGACAAGTCAGGAGCTTCCACTTGCTTAATGGATCTCGAGACAGTCCCCAAGAACACTGTCACCAGTCTGGACGGACCCTGAGGTCACCCCAGCAACGCAAAGCAGCTCCATGTGCCCCAAATCAACTCGAGATGAGGCCCGATTCCCCTGCATTGACTCCAGAGCCATTCCCCGTTCCCCATTCAACACGACCGGTGGCTCGACTTCCTTCAGGCAACTCCAGAGATGCCCCGAGAACACTGTCCCAAGTCTAGAGGAACACCAACTTCAGCACAGCAGCTCGAGGAATGCTCCGTGTACCCCAAATCGTCTCGAGATGCGAGCTGATTCCCTGGCTTAGGCTCAAGACGTATGCCAACTCCCCAGAAGCACCTCAGGAGGAGGCTTCTCTCAGCAATAGGTATGTGGGAGGGACCCCGAGTTTGCTGCCTCAAGGGGAATATACAGCGAGAAGCCCTAACTTGAAAGGAGGCCGGATTTCCTTGCAGTGGCTTGAATACAGGCTCGTCTTTCATCTCACAACATGAAGGGATGTCTGAATCCCCTGTGGAGACCTTAGAGAAAGCCCTAGGTCCCTGCCTCATTTTGACGGAATGCCTCACATCCCGCTGACACCTCGAGAGGCACGCGGAGTTCATTGCTTCAAAAGGTGACGATGCCTGACTCCTCTTGAATACTGATAGGAATCCCAAAATCCCTGTGGCTACTGGAAAGGGTCCTTGGGTGCCCTGCCTCACCTCGAGAAGCGTCCCTTTTGCCCTGCCAAGCCTCGAAGAGATTCCTGAGGTGTCCCTCGTTACTAGACAGGAGTCCTGACGTCACTGAACAAACTCGTGTTTTGAAGGGCCATCCCCGCCGTAAGTCGAGAACATACCCCAGGTCCCCGCCGCAACTCGAGAAAAACCATGAGACTTCCCCCTAGAGGCGAGATGAGGCCCCATTCCCCTGCAGTGCATGCAGAGCTATTCCGTGATCCCATTCAAACAAGTCAGGAGCTTCGACTTGCTTAATGGATCTCGAGACAGTCACCAAGAACACTGTCACCAGTCTGGACGGACCCTGAGGTCACCCCAGCAACGCAAAGCAGCTCCATGTGCCCCAAATCAACTCGAGATGAGGCCCGATTCCCCTGCATTGACTCCAGAGCCATTCCCCGTTCCCCATTCAACACGACCGGTGGCTCGACTTCCTTCAGGCAACTCCAGAGATGCCCCGAGAACACTGTCCCAAGTCTAGAGGAACACCAACTTCAGCACAGCAACTCGAGGAATGCTCCGTGTACCCCAAATCGTCTCGAGATGAGAGCTGATTCCCTGGCTTAGGCTCAAGACGTATGCCAACTACCCAGAAGCACCTCAGGAGGAGGCTTCTCTCAGCAATAGCTTTGTGGGAGGGACCCCGAGTTTGCTGCCTCAAGGGGAATATACAGCGAGAAGCCCTAACTTGAAAGGAGGCCGGATTTCCTTGCAGTGGCTTGAATACAGGCTCGTCTTTCATCTCACAACATGAAGGGATGTCTGAATCCCCTGTGGAGACCTTAGAGAAAGCCCTAGGTCCCTGCCTCATTTTGACGGAATGCCTCACATCCCGCTGACACCTCGAGAGGCACGCGGAGTTCATTGCTTCAAAAGGTGACGATGCCTGACTCCTCTTGAATACTGATAGGAATCCCAAAATCCCTGTGGCTACTGGAAAGGGTCCTTGGGTGCCCTGCCTCACCTCGAGAAGCGTCCCTTTTGCCCTGCCAAGCCTCGAAGAGATTCCTGAGGTGTCCCTCGTTACTAGACAGGAGTCCTGACGTCACTGAAGAAACTCGTGTTTTGAAGGGCCATCCCCGCCGTAAGTCGAGAACATACCCCAGGTCCCCGCCGCAACTCGAGAAAAACCATGAGACTTCCCCCTAGAGGCGAGATGAGGCCCCATTCCCCTGCAGTGCATGCAGAGCTATTCCGTGATCCCATTCAAACAAGTCAGGAGCTTCGACTTGCTTAATGGATCTCGAGACAGTCCCCAAGAACACTGTCACCAGTCTAGACGGACCCTGAGGTCACCCCAGCAACGCAAAGCAGCTCCATGTGCCCCAAATCAACTCGAGATGAGGCCCGATTCCCCTGCATTGACTCCAGAGCCATTCCCCGTTCCCCATTCAACACGACCGGTGGCTCGACTTCCTTCAGGCAACTCCAGAGATGCCCCGAGAACACTGTCCCAAGTCTAGAGGAACACCAACTTCAGCACAGCAACTCGAGGAATGCTCCGTGTACCCCAAATCGTCTCGAGATGAGAGCTGATTCCCTGGCTTAGGCTCAAGACCTATGCCAACTTCCCAGAAGAACCTAAGGAGGAGGCTTCTCTCAGCAATAGGTATGTGGGAGGGACCCCGAGTTTGCTGCCTCAAGGGGAATATACAGCGAGAAGCCCTAACTTGAAAGGAGGCCGGATTTCCTTGCAGTGGCTTGAATACAGGCTCGTCTTTCATCTCACAACATGAAGGGATGTCTGAATCCCCTGTGGAGACCTTAGAGAAAGCCCTAGGTCCCTGCCTCATTTTGACGGAATGCCTCACATCCCGCTGACACCTCGAGAGGCACGCGGAGTTCATTGCTTCAAAAGGTGACGATGCCTGACTCCTCTTGAATACTGATAGGAATCCCAAAATCCCTGTGGCTACTGGAAAGGGTCCTTGGGTGCCCTGCCTCCCCTCGAGAAGCGTCCCTTTTGCCCTGCCAAGCCTCGAAGAGATTCCTGAGGTGTCCCTCGTTACTAGACAGGAGTCCTGACGTCACTGAAGAAACTCGTGTTTTGAAGGGCCATCCCCGCCGTAAGTCGAGAACATACCCCAGGTCCCCGCCGCAACTCGAGAAAAACCATGAGACTTCCCCCTAGAGGCGAGATGAGGCCCCATTCCCCTGCAGTGCATGCAGAGCTATTCCGTGATCCCATTCAAACAAGTCAGGAGCTTCGACTTGCTTAATGGATCTCGAGACAGTCCCCAAGAACACTGTCACCAGTCTGGACGGACCCTGAGGTCACCCCAGCAACGCAAAGCAGCTCCATGTGCCCCAAATCAACTCGAGATGAGGCCCGATTCCCCTGCATTGACTCCAGAGCCATTCCCCGTTCCCCATTCAACACGACCGGTGGCTCGACTTCCTTCAGGCAACTCCAGAGATGCCCCGAGAACACTGTCCCAAGTCTAGAGGAACACCAACTTCAGCCCAGCAGCTCGAGGAATGCTCCGTGTACCCCAAATCGTCTCGAGATGAGAGCTGATTCCCTGGCTTAGGCTCAAGACGTATGCCAACTTCCCAGAAGCACCTCAGGAGGAGGCTTCTCTCAGCAATAGGTATGTGGGAGGGACCCCGAGTTTGCTGCCTCAAGGGGAATATACAGCGAGAAGCCCTAACTTGAAAGGAGGCCGGATTTCCTTGCAGTGGCTTGAATACAGGCTCGTCTTTCATCTCACAACATGAAGGGATGTCTGAATCCCCTGTGGAGAACTTAGAGAAAGCCCTAGGTCCCTGCCTCATTTTGACGGAATGCCTCACATCCCGCTGACACCTCGAGAGGCACGCGGAGTTCATTGCTTCAAAAGGTGACGATGCCTGACTCCTCTTGAATACTGACAGGAATCCCAAAATCCCTGTGGCTACTGGAAAGGGTCCTTGGGTGCCCTGCCTCACCTCGAGAAGCGTCCCTTTTGCCCTGCCAAGCCTCGAAGAGATTCCTGAGGTGTCCCTCGTTACTAGACAGGAGTCCTGACGTCACTGAAGAAACTCGTGTTTTGAAGGGCCATCCCCGCCGTAAGTCGATAACATAACCCAGGTCCCCGCCGCAACTCGAGAAAAACCATGAGACTTCCCCCTAGAGGCGAGATGAGGCCCCATTCCCCTGCAGTGCATGCAGAGCTATTCCGTGATCCCATTCAGACAAGTCAGGAGCTTCGACTTGCTTAATGGATCTCGAGACAGTCCCCAAGAATACTGTCACCAGTCCGGACGGACCCTGAGGTCACCCCAGCAACGCAAAGCAGCTCCATGTGCCCCAAATCAACTCGAGATGAGGCCCGATTCCCCTGCATTGACTCCAGAGCCATTCCCCTTTCCCCATTCAACACGACCGGTGGCTCGACTTCCTTCAGGCAACTCCAGAGATGCCCCGAGAACACTGTCCCAAGTCTAGAGGAACACCAACTTCAGCACAGCAACTCGAGGAATGCTCCGTGTACCCCAAATCGTCTCGAGATGCGAGCTGATTCCCTGGCTTAGGCTCAAGACGTATGCCAACTCCCCAGAAGCACCTCAGGAGGAGGCTTCTCTCAGCAATAGGTATGTGGGAGGGACCCCGAGTTTGCTGCCTCAAGGGGAATATACAGCGAGAAGCCCTAACTTGAAAGGAGGCCGGATTTCCTTGCAGTGGCTTGAATACAGGCTCGTCTTTCATCTCACAACATGAAGGGATGTCTGAATCCCCTGTGGAGACCTTAGAGAAAGCCCTAGGTCCCTGCCTCATTTTGACGGAATGCCTCACATCCCGCTGACACCTCGAGAGGCACGCGGAGTTCATTGCTTCAAAAGGTGACGATGCCTGACTCCTCTTGAATACTGATAGGAATCCCAAAATCACTGTGGCTACTGGAAAGGGTCCTTGGGTGCCCTGCCTCCCCTCGAGAAGCGTCCCTTTTGCCCTGCCAAGCCTCGAAGAGATTCCTGAGGTGTCCCTCGTTACTAGACAGGAGTCCTGACGTCACTGAAGAAACTCGTGTTTTGAAGGGCCATCCCCGCCGTAAGTCGAGAACATACCCCAGGTCCCCGCCGCAACTCGAGAAAAACCATGAGACTTCCCCCTAGAGGCGAGATGAGGCCCCATTCCCCTGCAGTGCATGCAGAGCTATTCCGTGATCCCATTCAAACAAGTCAGTAGCTTCCACTTGCTTAATGGATCTCGAGACAGTCCCCAAGAACACTGTCACCAGTCTGGACGGACCCTGAGGTCACCCCAGCAACGCAAAGCAGCTCCATGTGCCCCAAATCAACTCGAGATGAGGCCCGATTCCCCTGCATTGACTCCAGAGCCATTCCCCTTTCCCCATTCAACACGACCAGTGGCTCGACTTCCTTCAGGCAACTCCAGAGATGCCCCGAGAACACTGTCCCAAGTCTAGAGGAACACCAACTTCAGCACAGCAACTCGAGGAATGCTCCGTGTACCCCAAATCGTCTCGAGATGAGAGCTGATTCCCTGGCTTAGGCTCAAGACGTATGCCAACTTCCCAGAAGCACCTCAGGAGGAGGCTTCTCTCAGCAATAGGTATGTGGGAGGGACCCCGAGTTTGCTGCCTCAAGGGGAATATACAGCGAGAAGCCCTAACTTGAAAGGAGGCCGGATTTCCTTGCAGTGGCTTGAATACAGGCTCGTCTTTCATCTCACAACATGAAGGGATGTCTGAATCCCCTGTGGAGACCTTAGAGAAAGCCCTAGGTCCCTGCCTCATTTTGACGGAATGCCTCACATCCCGCTGACACCTCGAGAGGCACGCGGAGTTCATTGCTTCAAAAGGTGACGATGCCTGACTCCTCTTGAATACTGATAGGAATCCCAAAATCCCTGTGGCTACTGGAAAGGGTCCTTGGGTGCCCTGCCTCCCCTCGAGAAGCGTCCCTTTTGCCCTGCCAAGCCTCGAAGAGATTCCTGAGGTGTCCCTCGTTACTAGACAGGAGTCCTGGCGTCACTGAAGAAACTCGTGTTTTGAAGGGCCATCCCCGCCGTAAGTCGAGAACATACCCCAGGTCCCCGCCGCAACTCGAGAAAAACCATGAGACTTCCCCCTAGAGGCGAGATGAGGCCCCATTCCCCTGCAGTGCATGCAGAGCTATTCCGTGATCCCATTCAGACAAGTCAGGAGCTTCCACTTGCTTAATGGATCTCGAGACAGTCCCCAAGAACACTGTCACCATTCTGGACGGACCCTGAGGTCACCCCAGCAACGCAAAGCAGCTCCATGTGCCCCAAATCAACTCGAGATGAGGCCCGATTCCCCTGCATTGACTCCAGAGCCATTCCCCGTTCCCCATTCAACACGACCGGTGGCTCGACTTCCTTCAGGCAACTCCAGAGATGCCCCGAGAACACTGTCCCAAGTCTAGAGGAACACCAACTTCAGCACAGCAGCTCGAGGAATGCTCCGTGTACCCCAAATCGTCTCGAGATGCGAGCTGATTCCCTGGCTTAGGCTCAAGACGTATGCCAACTCCCCAGAAGCACCTCAGGAGGAGGCTTCTCTCAGCAATAGGTATGTGGGAGGGACCCCGAGTTTGCTGCCTCAAGGGGAATATACAGCGAGAAGCCCTAACTTGAAAGGAGGCCGGATTTCCTTGCAGTGGCTTGAATACAGGCTCGTCTTTCATCTCACAACATGAAGGGATGTCTGAATCCCCTGTGGAGACCTTAGAGAAAGCCCTAGGTCCCTGCCTCATTTTGACGGAATGCCTCACATCGCGCTGACAACTCGAGAGGCACGCGGAGTTCATTGCTTCAAAAGGTGACGATGCCTGACTCCTCTTGAATACTGATAGGAATCCCAAAATCCCTGTGGCTACTGGAAAGGGTCCTTGGGTGCCCTGCCTCACCTCCAGAAGCGTCCCTTTTGCCCTGCCAAGCCTCGAAGAGATTCCTGAGGTGTCCCTCGTTACTAGACAGGAGTCCTGACGTCACTGAAGAAACTCGTGTTTTGAAGGGCCATCCCCGCCGTAAGTCGAGAACATAACCCAGGTCCCCGCCGCAACTCGAGAAAAACCATGAGACTTCCCCCTAGAGGCGAGATGAGGCCCCATTCCCCTGCAGTGCATGCAGAGCTATTCCGTGATCCCATTCAAACAAGTCAGGAGCTTCGACTTGCTTAATGGATCTCGAGACAGTCACCAAGAACACTGTCACCAGTCTGGACGGACCCTGAGGTCACCCCAGCAACGCAAAGCAGCTCCATGTGCCCCAAATCAACTCGAGATGAGGCCCGATTCCCCTGCATTGACTCCAGAGCCATTCCCCGTTCCCCATTCAACACGACCGGTGGCTCGACTTCCTTCAGGCAACTCCAGAGATGCCCCGAGAAGACTGTCCCAAGTCTAGAGGAACACCAACTTCAGCACAGCAACTCGAGGAATGCTCCGTGTACCCCAAATCGTCTCGAGATGAGAGCTGATTCCCTGGCTTAGGCTCAAGACGTATGCCAACTACCCAGAAGCACCTCAGGAGGAGGCTTCTCTCAGCAATAGGTATGTGGGAGGGACCCCGAGTTTGCTGCCTCAAGGGGAATATACAGCGAGAAGCCCTAACTTGAAAGGAGGCCGGATTTCCTTGCAGTGGCTTGAATACAGGCTCGTCTTTCATCTCACAACATGAAGGGATGTCTGAATCCCCTGTGGAGACCTTAGAGAAAGCCCTAGGTCCCTGCCTCATTTTGACGGAATGCCTCACATCGCGCTGACACCTCGAGAGGCACGCGGAGTTCATTGCTTCAAAAGGTGACGATGCCTGACTCCTCTTGAATACTGATAGGAATTCCAAAATCCCTGTGGCTACTGGAAAGGGTCCTTGGGTGCCCTGCCTCACCTCGAGAAGCGTCCCTTTTGCCCTGCCAAGCCTCGAAGAGATTCCTGAGGTGTCCCTCGTTACTAGACAGGAGTCCTGACGTCACTGAAGAAACTCGTGTTTTGAAGGGCCATCCCCGCCGTAAGTCGAGAACATACCCCAGGTCCCCGCCGCAACTCGAGAAAAACCATGAGACTTCCCCCTAGAGGCGAGATGAGGCCCCATTCCCCTGCAGTGCATGCAGAGCTATTCCGTGATCCCATTCAGACAAGTCAGGAGCTTCCACTTGCTTAATGGATCTCGAGACAGTCCCCAAGAACACTGTCACCAGTCTGGACGGACCCTGAGGTCACCCCAGCAACGCAAAGCAGCTCCATGTGCCCCAAATCAACTCGAGATGAGGCCCGATTCCCCTGCATTGACTCCAGAGCCATTCCCCGTTCCCCATTCAACACGACCGGTGGCTCGACTTCCTTCAGGCAACTCCAGAGATGCCCCGAGAACACTGTCCCAAGTCTAGAGGAACACCAACTTCAGCACAGCAACTCGAGGAATGCTCCGTGTTCCCCAAATCGTCTCGAGATGCGAGCTGATTCCCTGGCTTAGGCTCAAGACGTATGCCAACTCCCCAGAAGCACCTCAGGAGGAGGCTTCTCTCAGCAATAGGTATGTGGGAGGGACCCCGAGTTTGCTGCCTCAAGGGGAATATACAGCGAGAAGCCCTAACTTGAAAGGAGGCCGGATTTCCTTGCAGTGGCTTGAATACAGGCTCGTCTTTCATCTCACAACATGAAGGGATGTCTGAATCCCCTGTGGAGACCTTAGAGAAAGCCCTAGGTCCCTGCCTCATTTTGACGGAATGCCTCACATCCCGCTGACACCTCGAGAGGCACGCGGAGTTCATTGCTTCAAAAGGTGACGATGCCTGACTCCTCTTGAATACTGATAGGAATCCCAAAATCCCTGTGGCTACTGGAAAGGGTCCTTGGGTGCCCTGCCTCACCTCGAGAAGCGTCCCTTTTGCCCTGCCAAGCCTCGAAGAGATTCCTGAGGTGTCCCGCGTTACTAGACAGGAGTCCTGACGTCACTGAAGAAACTCGTGTTTTGAAGGGCCATCCCCGCCGTAAGTCGAGAACATACCCCAGGTCCCCGCCGCAACTCGAGAAAAACCATGAGACTTCCCCCTAGAGGCGAGATGAGGCCCCATTCCCCTGCAGTGCATGCAGAGCTATTCCGTGATCCCATTCAAACAAGTCAGGAGCTTCGACTTGCTTAATGGATCTCGAGACAGTCCTCAAGAACACTGTCACCAGTCTAGACGGAACCTGAGGTCACCCCAGCAACGCAAAGCAGCTCCATGTGCCCCAAATCAACTCGAGATGAGGCCCGATTCCCCTGCATTGACTCCAGAGCCATTCCCCGTTCCCCATTCAACACGACCGGTGGCTCGACTTCCTTCAGGCAACTCCAGAGATGCCCCGAGAACACTGTCCCAAGTCTAGAGGAACACCAACTTCAGCACAGCAACTCGAGGAATGCTCCGTGTACCCCAAATCGTCTCGAGATGAGAGCTGATTCCCTGGCTTAGGCTCAAGACGTATGCCAACTTCCCAGAAGCACCTCAGGAGGAGGCTTCTCTCAGCAATAGGTATGTGGGAGGGACCCCGAGTTTGCTGCCTCAAGGGGAATATACAGCGAGAAGCCCTAACTTGAAAGGAGGCCGGATTTCCTTGCAGTGGCTTGAATACAGGCTAGTCTTTCATCTCACAACATGAAGGGATGTCTGAATCCCCTGTAGAGACCTTAGAGAAAGCCCTAGGTCCCTGCCTCATTTTTACGGAATGCCTAGCATCCCGCTGACACCTCGAGAGGCACGCGGAGTTCATTGCTTCAAAAGGTGACGATGCCTGACTCCTCTTGAATACTGATAGGAATCCCAAAATCCCTGTGGCTACTGGAAAGGGTCCTTGGGTGCCCTGCCTCACCTCGAGAAGCGTCCCTTTTGCCCTGCCAAGCCTCGAAGAGATTCCTGAGGTGTCCCTCGTTACTAGGCAGGAGTCCTGACGTCACTGAAGAAACTCGTGTTTTGAAGGGCCATCCCCGCCGTAAGTCGAGAACATACCCCAGGTCCCCGCCGCAACTCGAGAAAAACCATGAAACTTCCCCCTAGAGTCGAGATGAGGCCCCATTCCCCTGCAGTGCATGCAGAGCTATTCCGTGATCCCATTCAAACAAGTCAGGAGCTTCGACTTGCTTAATGGATCTCGAGACAGTCCCCAAGAACACTGTCACCAGTCTAGACGGACCCTGAGGTCACCCCAGCCACGCAAAGCAGCTCCATGTGCCCCAAATCAACTCGAGATGAGGCTCGATTCCCCTGCATTGACTCCAGAGCCATTCCCCGTTCCCCATTCAACACGACCGGTGGCTCGACTTCCTTCAGGCAACTCCAGAGATGCCCCGAGAACACTGTCCCAAGTCTAGAGGAACACCAACTTCAGCACAGCAACTCGAGGAACGCTCCGTGTACCCCAAATCGTCTCGAGATGCGAGCTGATTCCCTGGCTTAGGCTCAAGACGTATGCCAACTTCCCAGAAGCACCTCAGGAGGAGGCTTCTCTCAGGAATAGGTATGTGGGAGGGACGCCGAGTTTGCTGCCTCAAGGGGAATATACAGCGAGAAGCCCTAACTTGAAAGGAGGCCGGATTTCCTTGCAGTGGCTTGAATACAGGCTCGTCTTTCATCTCACAACATGAAGGGATGTCTGAATCCCCTGTGGAGACCTTAGAGAAAGCCCTAGGTCCCTGCCTCATTTTGACGGAATGCCTCACATCGCGCTGACACCTCGAGAGGCACGCGGAGTTCATTGCTTCAAAAGGTGACGATGCCTGACTCCTCTTGAATACTGATAGGAATCCCAAAATCCCTGTGGCTACTGGAAAGGGTCCTTGGGTGCCCTGCCTCACCTCGAGAAGCGTCCCTTTTGCCCTGCCAAGCCTCGAAGAGATTCCTGAGGTGTCCCTCGTTACTAGACAGGAGTCCTGACGTCACTGAAGAAACTCGTGTTTTGAAGGGCCATCCCCGCCGTAAGTCGAGAACATACCCCAGGTCCCCGCCGAAACTCGAGAAAAACCATGAGACTTCCCCTAGAGGCGAGATGAGGCCCCATTCCCCTGCAGTGCATGCAGAGCTATTCCGTGATCCCATTCAAACAAGTCAGGAGCTTCCACTTGCTTAATGGATCTCGAGACAGTCCCCAAGAACACTGTCACCAGTCTGGACGGACCCTGAGGTCACCCCAGCAATGCAAAGCAGCTCCATGTGCCCCAAATCAACTCGAGATGAGGCCCGATTCCCCTGCATTGACTCCAGAGCCATTCCCCGTTCCCCATTCAACACGACCAGTGGCTCGACTTCCTTCAGGCAACTCCAGAGATGCCCCGAGAACACTGTCCCAAGTCTAGAGGAACACCAACTTCAGCACAGCAACTCGAGGAATGCTCCGTGTACCCCAAATCGTCTCGAGATGAGAGCTGATTCCCTGGCTTAGGCTCAAGACGTATGCCAACTCCCCAGAAGCACCTCAGGAGGAGGCTTCTCTCAGCAATAGGTATGTGGGAGGGACCCCGAGTTTGCTGCCTCAAGGGGAATATACAGCGAGAAGCCCTAACTTGAAAGGAGGCCGGATTTCCTTGCAGTGGCTTGAATACAGGCTCGTCTTTCATCTCACAACATTAAGGGATGTCTGAATCCCCTGTGGAGACCTTAGAGAAAGCCCTAGGTCCCTGCCTCATTTTGACGGAATGCCTCACATCCCGCTGACACCTCGAGAGGCACGCGGAGTTCATTGCTTCAAAAGGTGACGATGCCTGACTCCTCTTGAATACTGATAGGAATCCCAAAATCCCTGTGGCTACTGGAAAGGGTCCTTGGGTGCCCTGCCTCACCTCGAGAAGCGTCCCTTTTGCCCTGCCAAGCCTCGAAGAGATTCCTGAGGTGTCCCTCGTTACTAGACAGGAGTCCTGACGTCACTGAAGAAACTCGTGTTTTGAAGGGCCATCCCCGCCGTAAGTCGAGAACATACCCCAGGTCCCCGCCGCAACTCGAGAAAAACCATGAGACTTCCCCCTAGAAGCGAGATGAGGCCCCATTCCCCTGCAGTGCATGCAGAGCTATTCCGTGATCCCATTCAAACAAGTCAGGAGCTTCCACTTGCTTAATGGATCTCGAGACAGTCCCCAAGAACACTGTCACCAGTCTAGACGGACCCTGAGTTCACCCCAGCAACGCAAAGCAGCTCCATGTGCCCCAAATCAACTCGAGATGAGGCCCGATTCCCCTGCATTGACTCCAGAGCCATTCCCCGTTCCCCATTCAACACGACCGGTGGCTCGACTTCCTTCAGGCAACTCCAGAGATGCCCCGAGAACACTGTCCCAAGTCTAGAGGAACACCAACTTCAGCACAGCAGCTCGAGGAATGCTCCGTGTACCCCAAATCGTCTCGAGATGAGAGCTGATTCCCTGGCTTAGCCTCAAGACCTATGCCAACTTCCCAGAAGCACCTCAGGAGGAGGCTTCTCTCAGCAATAGGTATGTGGGAGGGACCCCGAGTTTGCTGCCTCAAGGCGAATATACAGCGAGAAGCCCTAACTTGAAAGGAGGCCGGATTTCCTTGCAGTGGCTTGAATACAGGCTCGTCTTTCATCTCACAACATGAAGGGATGTCTGAATCCCCTGTGGAGACCTTAGAGAAAGCCCTAGGTCCCTGCCTCATTTTGACGGAATGCCTCACATCCCGCTGACACCTCGAGAGGCACGCGGAGTTCATTGCTTCAAAAGGTGACGATGCATGACTCCTCTTGAATACTGATAGGAATCCCAAAATCCCTGTGGCTACTGGAAAGGGTCCTTGGGTGCCCTGCCTCACCTCGAGAAGCGTCCCTTTTGCCCTGCCAAGCCTCGAAGAGATTCCTGAGGTGTCCCTCGTTACTAGACAGGAGTCCTGACGTCACTGAAGAAACTCGTGTTTTGAAGGGCCATCCCCGCCGTAAGTCGAGAACATACCCCAGGTCCCCGCCGCAACTCGAGAAAAACCATGAGACTTCCCCCTAGAGGCGAGATGAGGCCCCATTCCCCTGCAGTGCATGCAGAGCTATTCCGTGATCCCATTCAAACAAGTCAGGAGCTTCGACTTGCTTAATGGATCTCGAGACAGTCCTCAAGAACACTGTCACCAGTCTAGACGGAACCTGAGGTCACCCCAGCAACGCAAAGCAGCTCCATGTGCCCCAAATCAACTCGAGATGAGGCCCGATTCCCCTGCATTGACTCCAGAGCCATTCCCCGTTCCCCATTCAACACGACCGGTGGCTCGACTTCCTTCAGGCAACTCCAGAGATGCCCCGAGAACACTGTCCCAAGTCTAGAGGAACACCAACTTCAGCACAGCAACTCGAGGAATGCTCCGTGTACCCCAAATCGTCTCGAGATGAGAGCTGATTCCCTGGCTTAGGCTCAAGACGTATGCCAACTTCCCAGAAGCACCTCAGGAGGAGGCTTCTCTCAGCAATAGGTATGTGGGAGGGACCCCGAGTTTGCTGCCTCAAGGGGAATATACAGCGAGAAGCCCTAACTTGAAAGGAGGCCGGATTTCCTTGCAGTGGCTTGAATACAGGCTAGTCTTTCATCTCACAACATGAAGGGATGTCTGAATCCCCTGTAGAGACCTTAGAGAAAGCCCTAGGTCCCTGCCTCATTTTTACGGAATGCCTCATATCCCGCTGACACCTCGAGAGGCACGCGGAGTTCATTGCTTCAAAAGGTGACGATGCCTGACTCCTCTTGAATACTGATAGGAATCCCAAAATCCCTGTGGCTACTGGAAAGGGTCCTTGGGTGCCCTGCCTCACCTCGAGAAGCGTCCCTTTTGCCCTGCCAAGCCTCGAAGAGATTCCTGAGGTGTCCCTCGTTACTAGGCAGGAGTCCTGACGTCACTGAAGAAACTCGTGTTTTGAAGGGCCATCCCCGCCGTAAGTCGAGAACATACCCCAGGTCCCCGCCGCAACTCGAGAAAAACCATGAAACTTCCCCCTAGAGTCGAGATGAGGCCCCATTCCCCTGCAGTGCATGCAGAGCTATTCCGTGATCCCATTCAAACAAGTCAGGAGCTTCGACTTGCTTAATGGATCTCGAGACAGTCCCCAAGAACACTGTCACCAGTCTGGACGGACCCTGAGGTCACCCCAGCCACGCAAAGCAGCTCCATGTGCCCCAAATCAACTCGAGATGAGGCTCGATTCCCCTGCATTGACTCCAGAGCCATTCCCCGTTCCCCATTCAACACGACCGGTGGCTCGACTTCCTTCAGGCAACTCCAGAGATGCCCCGAGAACACTGTCCCAAGTCTAGAGGAACACCAACTTCAGCACAGCAACTCGAGGAACGCTCCGTGTACCCCAAATCGTCTCGAGATGCGAGCTGATTCCCTGGCTTAGGCTCAAGACGTATGCCAACTTCCCAGAAGCACCTCAGGAGGAGGCTTCTCTCAGGAATAGGTATGTGGGAGGGACGCCGAGTTTGCTGCCTCAAGGGGAATATACAGCGAGAAGCCCTAACTTGAAAGGAGGCCGGATTTCCTTGCAGTGGCTTGAATACAGGCTCGTCTTTCATCTCACAACATGAAGGGATGTCTGAATCCCCTGTGGAGACCTTAGAGAAAGCCCTAGGTCCCTGCCTCATTTTGACGGAATGCCTCACATCGCGCTGACACCTCGAGAGGCACGCGGAGTTCATTGCTTCAAAAGGTGACGATGCCTGACTCCTCTTGAATACTGATAGGAATCCCAAAATCCCTGTGGCTACTGGAAAGGGTCCTTGGGTGCCCTGCCTCACCTCGAGAAGCGTCCCTTTTGCCCTGCCAAGCCTCGAAGAGATTCCTGAGGTGTCCCTCGTTACTAGACAGGAGTCCTGACGTCACTGAAGAAACTCGTGTTTTGAAGGGCCATCCCCGCCGTAAGTCGAGAACATACCCCAGGTCCCCGCCGAAACTCGAGAAAAACCATGAGACTTCCCCTAGAGGCGAGATGAGGCCCCATTCCCCTGCAGTGCATGCAGAGCTATTCCGTGATCCCATTCAAACAAGTCAGGAGCTTCCACTTGCTTAATGGATCTCGAGACAGTCCCCAAGAACACTGTCACCAGTCTGGACGGACCCTGAGGTCACCCCAGCAATGCAAAGCAGCTCCATGTGCCCCAAATCAACTCGAGATGAGGCCCGATTCCCCTGCATTGACTCCAGAGCCATTCCCCGTTCCCCATTCAACACGACCGGTGGCTCGACTTCCTTCAGGCAACTCCAGAGATGCCCCGAGAACACTGTCCCAAGTCTAGAGGAACACCAACTTAAGCACAGCAACTCGAGGAATGCTCCGTGTACCCCAAATCGTCTCGAGATGAGAGCTGATTCCCTGGCTTAGGCTCAAGACGTATGCCAACTTCCCAGAAGCACCTCAGGAGGAGGCTTCTCTCAGCAATAGGTATGTGGGAGGGACCCCGAGGTTGCTGCCTCAAGGGGAATATACAGCGAGAAGCCCTAACTTGAAAGGAGGCCGGATTTCCTTGCAGTGGCTTGAATACAGGCTCGTCTTTCATTTCACAACATGAAGGGATGTCTGAATCCCCTGTGGAGACCTTAGAGAAAGCCCTAGGTCCCTGCCTCATTTTGACGGAATGCCTCACATCGCGCTGACACCTCGAGAGGCACGCGGAGTTCATTGCTTCAAAAGGTGACGATGCCTGACTCCTCTTGAATACTGATAGGAATCCCCAAATCCCTGTGGCTACTGAAAAGGGTCCTTGGGTGCCCTGCCTCACCTCGAGAAGCGTCCCTTTTGCCCTGCCAAGCCTCGAAGAGATTCCTGAGGTGTCCCTCGTTACTAGACAGGAGTCCTGACGTCACTGAAGAAACTCGTGTTTTGAAGGGCCATCCCCGCCGTAAGTCGAGAACATACCCCAGGTCCCCGCCGCAACTCGAGAAAAACCATGAGACTTCCCCCTAGAGGCGAGATGAGGCCCCATTCCCCTGCAGTGCATGCAGAGCTATTCCGTGATCCCATTCAAACAAGTCAGGAGCTTCGACTTGCTTAATGGATCTCGAGACAGTCCCCAAGAACACTGTCACCAGTCTGGACGGACCCTGAGGTCACCCCAGCAACGCAAAGCAGCTCCATGTGCCCCAAATCAACTCGAGATGAGGCCCGATTCCCCTGCATTGACTCCAGAGCCATTCCCCGTTCCCCATTCAACACGACCGGTGGCTCGACTTCCTTCATTCAACTCCAGAGATGCCCCGAGAACACTGTCCCAAGTCTAGAGGAACACCAACTTCAGCACAGCAACTCGAGGAATGCTCCGTGTACCCCAAATCGTCTCGAGATGCGAGCTGATTCCCTGGCTTAGGCTCAAGACGTATGCCAACTCCCCAGAAGCACCTCAGGAGGAGGCTTCTCTCAGCAATAGGTATGTGGGAGGGACCCCGAGTTTGCTGCCTCAAGGGGAATATACAGCGAGAAGCCCTAACTTGAAAGGAGGCCGGATTTCCTTGCAGTGGCTTGAATACAGGCTCGTCTTTCATCTCACAACATTAAGGGATGTCTGAATCCCCTGTGGAGACCTTAGAGAAAGCCCTAGGTCCCTGCCTCATTTTGACGGAATGCCTCACATCCCGCTGACACCTCGAGAGGCACGCGGAGTTCATTGCTTCAAAAGGTGACGATGCCTGACTCCTCTTGAATACTGATAGGAATCCCAAAATCCCTGTGGCTACTGGAAAGGGTCCTTGGGTGCCCTGCCTCACCTCGAGAAGCGTCCCTTTTGCCCTGCCAAGCCTCGAAGAGATTCCTGAGGTGTCCCTCGTTACTAGACAGGAGTCCTGACGTCACTGAAGAAACTCGTGTTTTGAAGGGCCATCCCCGCCGTAAGTCGAGAACATACCCCAGGTCCCCGCCGCAACTCGAGAAAAACCATGAGACTTCCCCCTAGAAGCGAGATGAGGCCCCATTCCCCTGCAGTGCATGCAGAGCTATTCCGTGATCCCATTCAAACAAGTCAGGAGCTTCCACTTGCTTAATGGATCTCGAGACAGTCCCCAAGAACACTGTCACCAGTCTAGACGGACCCTGAGTTCACCCCAGCAACGCAAAGCAGCTCCATGTGCCCCAAATCAACTCGAGATGAGGCCCGATTCCCCTGCATTGACTCCAGAGCCATTCCCCGTTCCCCATTCAACACGACCGGTGGCTCGACTTCCTTCAGGCAACTCCAGAGATGCCCCGAGAACACTGTCCCAAGTCTAGAGGAACACCAACTTCAGCACAGCAGCTCGAGGAATGCTCCGTGTACCCCAAATCGTCTCGAGATGAGAGCTGATTCCCTGGCTTAGCCTCAAGACCTATGCCAACTTCCCAGAAGCACCTCAGGAGGAGGCTTCTCTCAGCAATAGGTATGTGGGAGGGACCCCGAGTTTGCTGCCTCAAGGCGAATATACAGCGAGAAGCCCTAACTTGAAAGGAGGCCGGATTTCCTTGCAGTGGCTTGAATACAGGCTCGTCTTTCATCTCACAACATGAAGGGATGTCTGAATCCCCTGTGGAGACCTTAGAGAAAGCCCTAGGTCCCTGCCTCATTTTGACGGAATGCCTCACATCCCGCTGACACCTCGAGAGGCACGCGGAGTTCATTGCTTCAAAAGGTGACGATGCCTGACTCCTCTTGAATACTGATAGGAATCCCAAAATCCCTGTGGCTACTGGAAAGGGTCCTTGGGTGCCCTGCCTCACCTCGAGAAGCGTCCCTTTTGCCCTGCCAAGCCTCGAAGAGATTCCTGAGGTGTCCCTCGTTACTAGACAGGAGTCCTGACGTCACTGAAGAAACTCGTGTTTTGAAGGGCCATCCCCGCCGTAAGTCGAGAACATACCCCAGGTCCCCGCCGCAACTCGAGAAAAACCATGAGACTTCCCCCTAGAGGCGAGATGAGGCCCCATTCCCCTGCAGTGCATGCAGAGCTATTCCGTGATCCCATTCAAACAAGTCAGGAGCTTCGACTTGCTTAATGGATCTCGAGACAGTCCCCAAGAACACTGTCACCAGTCTAGACGGACCCTGAGGTCACCCCAGCAACGCAAAGCAGCTCCATGTGCCCCAAATCAACTCGAGATGAGGCCCGATTCCCCTGCATTGACTCCAGAGCCATTCCCCGTTCCCCATTCAACACGACCGGTGGCTCGACTTCCTTCAGGCAACTCCAGAGATGCCCCGAGAACACTGTCCCAAGTCTAGAGGAACACCAACTTCAGCACAGCAACTCGAGGAATGCTCCGTGTACCCCAAATCGTCTCGAGATGAGAGCTGATTCCCTGGCTTAGGCTCAAGACCTATGCCAACTTCCCAGAAGAACCTAAGGAGGAGGCTTCTCTCAGCAATAGGTATGTGGGAGGGACCCCGAGTTTGCTGCCTCAAGGGGAATATACAGCGAGAAGCCCTAACTTGAAAGGAGGCCGGATTTCCTTGCAGTGGCTTGAATACAGGCTCGTCTTTCATCTCACAACATGAAGGGATGTCTGAATCCCCTGTGGAGACCTTAGAGAAAGCCCTAGGTCCCTGCCTCATTTTGACGGAATGCCTCACATCCCGCTGACACCTCGAGAGGCACGCGGAGTTCATTGCTTCAAAAGGTGACGATGCCTGACTCCTCTTGAATACTGATAGGAATCCCAAAATCCCTGTGGCTACTGGAAAGGGTCCTTGGGTGCCCTGCCTCCCCTCGAGAAGCGTCCCTTTTGCCCTGCCAAGCCTCGAAGAGATTCCTGAGGTGTCCCTCGTTACTAGACAGGAGTCCTGACGTCACTGAAGAAACTCGTGTTTTGAAGGGCCATCCCCGCCGTAAGTCGAGAACATACCCCAGGTCCCCGCCGCAACTCGAGAAAAACCATGAGACTTCCCCCTAGAGGCGAGATGAGGCCCCATTCCCCTGCAGTGCATGCAGAGCTATTCCGTGATCCCATTCAAACAAGTCAGGAGCTTCGACTTGCTTAATGGATCTCGAGACAGTCCCCAAGAACACTGTCACCAGTCTGGACGGACCCTGAGGTCACCCCAGCAACGCAAAGCAGCTCCATGTGCCCCAAATCAACTCGAGATGAGGCCCGATTCCCCTGCATTGACTCCAGAGCCATTCCCCGTTCCCCATTCAACACGACCGGTGGCTCGACTTCCTTCAGGCAACTCCAGAGATGCCCCGAGAACACTGTCCCAAGTCTAGAGGAACACCAACTTCAGCCCAGCAGCTCGAGGAATGCTCCGTGTACCCCAAATCGTCTCGAGATGAGAGCTGATTCCCTGGCTTAGGCTCAAGACGTATGCCAACTTCCCAGAAGCACCTCAGGAGGAGGCTTCTCTCAGCAATAGGTATGTGGGAGGGACCCCGAGTTTGCTGCCTCAAGGGGAATATACAGCGAGAAGCCCTAACTTGAAAGGAGGCCGGATTTCCTTGCAGTGGCTTGAATACAGGCTCGTCTTTCATCTCACAACATGAAGGGATGTCTGAATCCCCTGTGGAGAACTTAGAGAAAGCCCTAGGTCCCTGCCTCATTTTGACGGAATGCCTCACATCCCGCTGACACCTCGAGAGGCACGCGGAGTTCATTGCTTCAAAAGGTGACGATGCCTGACTCCTCTTGAATACTGACAGGAATCCCAAAATCCCTGTGGCTACTGGAAAGGGTCCTTGGGTGCCCTGCCTCACCTCGAGAAGCGTCCCTTTTGCCCTGCCAAGCCTCGAAGAGATTCCTGAGGTGTCCCTCGTTACTAGACAGGAGTCCTGACGTCACTGAAGAAACTCGTGTTTTGAAGGGCCATCCCCGCCGTAAGTCGATAACATAACCCAGGTCCCCGCCGCAACTCGAGAAAAACCATGAGACTTCCCCCTAGAGGCGAGATGAGGCCCCATTCCCCTGCAGTGCATGCAGAGCTATTCCGTGATCCCATTCAGACAAGTCAGGAGCTTCGACTTGCTTAATGGATCTCGAGACAGTCCCCAAGAATACTGTCACCAGTCCGGACGGACCCTGAGGTCACCCCAGCAACGCAAAGCAGCTCCATGTGCCCCAAATCAACTCGAGATGAGGCCCGATTCCCCTGCATTGACTCCAGAGCCATTCCCCTTTCCCCATTCAACACGACCGGTGGCTCGACTTCCTTCAGGCAACTCCAGAGATGCCCCGAGAACACTGTCCCAAGTCTAGAGGAACACCAACTTCAGCACAGCAACTCGAGGAATGCTCCGTGTACCCCAAATCGTCTCGAGATGCGAGCTGATTCCCTGGCTTAGGCTCAAGACGTATGCCAACTCCCCAGAAGCACCTCAGGAGGAGGCTTCTCTCAGCAATAGGTATGTGGGAGGGACCCCGAGTTTGCTGCCTCAAGGGGAATATACAGCGAGAAGCCCTAACTTGAAAGGAGGCCGGATTTCCTTGCAGTGGCTTGAATACAGGCTCGTCTTTCATCTCACAACATGAAGGGATGTCTGAATCCCCTGTGGAGACCTTAGAGAAAGCCCTAGGTCCCTGCCTCATTTTGACGGAATGCCTCACATCCCGCTGACACCTCGAGAGGCACGCGGAGTTCATTGCTTCAAAAGGTGACGATGCCTGACTCCTCTTGAATACTGATAGGAATCCCAAAATCACTGTGGCTACTGGAAAGGGTCCTTGGGTGCCCTGCCTCCCCTCGAGAAGCGTCCCTTTTGCCCTGCCAAGCCTCGAAGAGATTCCTGAGGTGTCCCTCGTTACTAGACAGGAGTCCTGACGTCACTGAAGAAACTCGTGTTTTGAAGGGCCATCCCCGCCGTAAGTCGAGAACATACCCCAGGTCCCCGCCGCAACTCGAGAAAAACCATGAGACTTCCCCCTAGAGGCGAGATGAGGCCCCATTCCCCTGCAGTGCATGCAGAGCTATTCCGTGATCCCATTCAAACAAGTCAGTAGCTTCCACTTGCTTAATGGATCTCGAGACAGTCCCCAAGAACACTGTCACCAGTCTGGACGGACCCTGAGGTCACCCCAGCAACGCAAAGCAGCTCCATGTGCCCCAAATCAACTCGAGATGAGGCCCGATTCCCCTGCATTGACTCCAGAGCCATTCCCCTTTCCCCATTCAACACGACCAGTGGCTCGACTTCCTTCAGGCAACTCCAGAGATGCCCCGAGAACACTGTCCCAAGTCTAGAGGAACACCAACTTCAGCACAGCAACTCGAGGAATGCTCCGTGTACCCCAAATCGTCTCGAGATGAGAGCTGATTCCCTGGCTTAGGCTCAAGACGTATGCCAACTTCCCAGAAGCACCTCAGGAGGAGGCTTCTCTCAGCAATAGGTATGTGGGAGGGACCCCGAGTTTGCTGCCTCAAGGGGAATATACAGCGAGAAGCCCTAACTTGAAAGGAGGCCGGATTTCCTTGCAGTGGCTTGAATACAGGCTCGTCTTTCATCTCACAACATGAAGGGATGTCTGAATCCCCTGTGGAGACCTTAGAGAAAGCCCTAGGTCCCTGCCTCATTTTGACGGAATGCCTCACATCCCGCTGACACCTCGAGAGGCACGCGGAGTTCATTGCTTCAAAAGGTGACGATGCCTGACTCCTCTTGAATACTGATAGGAATCCCAAAATCCCTGTGGCTACTGGAAAGGGTCCTTGGGTGCCCTGCCTCCCCTCGAGAAGCGTCCCTTTTGCCCTGCCAAGCCTCGAAGAGATTCCTGAGGTGTCCCTCGTTACTAGACAGGAGTCCTGGCGTCACTGAAGAAACTCGTGTTTTGAAGGGCCATCCCCGCCGTAAGTCGAGAACATACCCCAGGTCCCCGCCGCAACTCGAGAAAAACCATGAGACTTCCCCCTAGAGGCGAGATGAGGCCCCATTCCCCTGCAGTGCATGCAGAGCTATTCCGTGATCCCATTCAGACAAGTCAGGAGCTTCCACTTGCTTAATGGATCTCGAGACAGTCCCCAAGAACACTGTCACCATTCTGGACGGACCCTGAGGTCACCCCAGCAACGCAAAGCAGCTCCATGTGCCCCAAATCAACTCGAGATGAGGCCCGATTCCCCTGCATTGACTCCAGAGCCATTCCCCGTTCCCCATTCAACACGACCGGTGGCTCGACTTCCTTCAGGCAACTCCAGAGATGCCCCGAGAACACTGTCCCAAGTCTAGAGGAACACCAACTTCAGCACAGCAGCTCGAGGAATGCTCCGTGTACCCCAAATCGTCTCGAGATGCGAGCTGATTCCCTGGCTTAGGCTCAAGACGTATGCCAACTCCCCAGAAGCACCTCAGGAGGAGGCTTCTCTCAGCAATAGGTATGTGGGAGGGACCCCGAGTTTGCTGCCTCAAGGGGAATATACAGCGAGAAGCCCTAACTTGAAAGGAGGCCGGATTTCCTTGCAGTGGCTTGAATACAGGCTCGTCTTTCATCTCACAACATGAAGGGATGTCTGAATCCCCTGTGGAGACCTTAGAGAAAGCCCTAGGTCCCTGCCTCATTTTGACGGAATGCCTCACATCGCGCTGACAACTCGAGAGGCACGCGGAGTTCATTGCTTCAAAAGGTGACGATGCCTGACTCCTCTTGAATACTGATAGGAATCCCAAAATCCCTGTGGCTACTGGAAAGGGTCCTTGGGTGCCCTGCCTCACCTCCAGAAGCGTCCCTTTTGCCCTGCCAAGCCTCGAAGAGATTCCTGAGGTGTCCCTCGTTACTAGACAGGAGTCCTGACGTCACTGAAGAAACTCGTGTTTTGAAGGGCCATCCCCGCCGTAAGTCGAGAACATAACCCAGGTCCCCGCCGCAACTCGAGAAAAACCATGAGACTTCCCCCTAGAGGCGAGATGAGGCCCCATTCCCCTGCAGTGCATGCAGAGCTATTCCGTGATCCCATTCAAACAAGTCAGGAGCTTCGACTTGCTTAATGGATCTCGAGACAGTCACCAAGAACACTGTCACCAGTCTGGACGGACCCTGAGGTCACCCCAGCAACGCAAAGCAGCTCCATGTGCCCCAAATCAACTCGAGATGAGGCCCGATTCCCCTGCATTGACTCCAGAGCCATTCCCCGTTCCCCATTCAACACGACCGGTGGCTCGACTTCCTTCAGGCAACTCCAGAGATGCCCCGAGAAGACTGTCCCAAGTCTAGAGGAACACCAACTTCAGCACAGCAACTCGAGGAATGCTCCGTGTACCCCAAATCGTCTCGAGATGAGAGCTGATTCCCTGGCTTAGGCTCAAGACGTATGCCAACTACCCAGAAGCACCTCAGGAGGAGGCTTCTCTCAGCAATAGGTATGTGGGAGGGACCCCGAGTTTGCTGCCTCAAGGGGAATATACAGCGAGAAGCCCTAACTTGAAAGGAGGCCGGATTTCCTTGCAGTGGCTTGAATACAGGCTCGTCTTTCATCTCACAACATGAAGGGATGTCTGAATCCCCTGTGGAGACCTTAGAGAAAGCCCTAGGTCCCTGCCTCATTTTGACGGAATGCCTCACATCGCGCTGACACCTCGAGAGGCACGCGGAGTTCATTGCTTCAAAAGGTGACGATGCCTGACTCCTCTTGAATACTGATAGGAATTCCAAAATCCCTGTGGCTACTGGAAAGGGTCCTTGGGTGCCCTGCCTCACCTCGAGAAGCGTCCCTTTTGCCCTGCCAAGCCTCGAAGAGATTCCTGAGGTGTCCCTCGTTACTAGACAGGAGTCCTGACGTCACTGAAGAAACTCGTGTTTTGAAGGGCCATCCCCGCCGTAAGTCGAGAACATACCCCAGGTCCCCGCCGCAACTCGAGAAAAACCATGAGACTTCCCCCTAGAGGCGAGATGAGGCCCCATTCCCCTGCAGTGCATGCAGAGCTATTCCGTGATCCCATTCAGACAAGTCAGGAGCTTCCACTTGCTTAATGGATCTCGAGACAGTCCCCAAGAACACTGTCACCAGTCTGGACGGACCCTGAGGTCACCCCAGCAACGCAAAGCAGCTCCATGTGCCCCAAATCAACTCGAGATGAGGCCCGATTCCCCTGCATTGACTCCAGAGCCATTCCCCGTTCCCCATTCAACACGACCGGTGGCTCGACTTCCTTCAGGCAACTCCAGAGATGCCCCGAGAACACTGTCCCAAGTCTAGAGGAACACCAACTTCAGCACAGCAACTCGAGGAATGCTCCGTGTTCCCCAAATCGTCTCGAGATGCGAGCTGATTCCCTGGCTTAGGCTCAAGACGTATGCCAACTCCCCAGAAGCACCTCAGGAGGAGGCTTCTCTCAGCAATAGGTATGTGGGAGGGACCCCGAGTTTGCTGCCTCAAGGGGAATATACAGCGAGAAGCCCTAACTTGAAAGGAGGCCGGATTTCCTTGCAGTGGCTTGAATACAGGCTCGTCTTTCATCTCACAACATGAAGGGATGTCTGAATCCCCTGTGGAGACCTTAGAGAAAGCCCTAGGTCCCTGCCTCATTTTGACGGAATGCCTCACATCCCGCTGACACCTCGAGAGGCACGCGGAGTTCATTGCTTCAAAAGGTGACGATGCCTGACTCCTCTTGAATACTGATAGGAATCCCAAAATCCCTGTGGCTACTGGAAAGGGTCCTTGGGTGCCCTGCCTCACCTCGAGAAGCGTCCCTTTTGCCCTGCCAAGCCTCGAAGAGATTCCTGAGGTGTCCCGCGTTACTAGACAGGAGTCCTGACGTCACTGAAGAAACTCGTGTTTTGAAGGGCCATCCCCGCCGTAAGTCGAGAACATACCCCAGGTCCCCGCCGCAACTCGAGAAAAACCATGAGACTTCCCCCTAGAGGCGAGATGAGGCCCCATTCCCCTGCAGTGCATGCAGAGCTATTCCGTGATCCCATTCAAACAAGTCAGGAGCTTCGACTTGCTTAATGGATCTCGAGACAGTCCTCAAGAACACTGTCACCAGTCTAGACGGAACCTGAGGTCACCCCAGCAACGCAAAGCAGCTCCATGTGCCCCAAATCAACTCGAGATGAGGCCCGATTCCCCTGCATTGACTCCAGAGCCATTCCCCGTTCCCCATTCAACACGACCGGTGGCTCGACTTCCTTCAGGCAACTCCAGAGATGCCCCGAGAACACTGTCCCAAGTCTAGAGGAACACCAACTTCAGCACAGCAACTCGAGGAATGCTCCGTGTACCCCAAATCGTCTCGAGATGAGAGCTGATTCCCTGGCTTAGGCTCAAGACGTATGCCAACTTCCCAGAAGCACCTCAGGAGGAGGCTTCTCTCAGCAATAGGTATGTGGGAGGGACCCCGAGTTTGCTGCCTCAAGGGGAATATACAGCGAGAAGCCCTAACTTGAAAGGAGGCCGGATTTCCTTGCAGTGGCTTGAATACAGGCTAGTCTTTCATCTCACAACATGAAGGGATGTCTGAATCCCCTGTAGAGACCTTAGAGAAAGCCCTAGGTCCCTGCCTCATTTTTACGGAATGCCTAGCATCCCGCTGACACCTCGAGAGGCACGCGGAGTTCATTGCTTCAAAAGGTGACGATGCCTGACTCCTCTTGAATACTGATAGGAATCCCAAAATCCCTGTGGCTACTGGAAAGGGTCCTTGGGTGCCCTGCCTCACCTCGAGAAGCGTCCCTTTTGCCCTGCCAAGCCTCGAAGAGATTCCTGAGGTGTCCCTCGTTACTAGGCAGGAGTCCTGACGTCACTGAAGAAACTCGTGTTTTGAAGGGCCATCCCCGCCGTAAGTCGAGAACATACCCCAGGTCCCCGCCGCAACTCGAGAAAAACCATGAAACTTCCCCCTAGAGTCGAGATGAGGCCCCATTCCCCTGCAGTGCATGCAGAGCTATTCCGTGATCCCATTCAAACAAGTCAGGAGCTTCGACTTGCTTAATGGATCTCGAGACAGTCCCCAAGAACACTGTCACCAGTCTAGACGGACCCTGAGGTCACCCCAGCCACGCAAAGCAGCTCCATGTGCCCCAAATCAACTCGAGATGAGGCTCGATTCCCCTGCATTGACTCCAGAGCCATTCCCCGTTCCCCATTCAACACGACCGGTGGCTCGACTTCCTTCAGGCAACTCCAGAGATGCCCCGAGAACACTGTCCCAAGTCTAGAGGAACACCAACTTCAGCACAGCAACTCGAGGAACGCTCCGTGTACCCCAAATCGTCTCGAGATGCGAGCTGATTCCCTGGCTTAGGCTCAAGACGTATGCCAACTTCCCAGAAGCACCTCAGGAGGAGGCTTCTCTCAGGAATAGGTATGTGGGAGGGACGCCGAGTTTGCTGCCTCAAGGGGAATATACAGCGAGAAGCCCTAACTTGAAAGGAGGCCGGATTTCCTTGCAGTGGCTTGAATACAGGCTCGTCTTTCATCTCACAACATGAAGGGATGTCTGAATCCCCTGTGGAGACCTTAGAGAAAGCCCTAGGTCCCTGCCTCATTTTGACGGAATGCCTCACATCGCGCTGACACCTCGAGAGGCACGCGGAGTTCATTGCTTCAAAAGGTGACGATGCCTGACTCCTCTTGAATACTGATAGGAATCCCAAAATCCCTGTGGCTACTGGAAAGGGTCCTTGGGTGCCCTGCCTCACCTCGAGAAGCGTCCCTTTTGCCCTGCCAAGCCTCGAAGAGATTCCTGAGGTGTCCCTCGTTACTAGACAGGAGTCCTGACGTCACTGAAGAAACTCGTGTTTTGAAGGGCCATCCCCGCCGTAAGTCGAGAACATACCCCAGGTCCCCGCCGAAACTCGAGAAAAACCATGAGACTTCCCCTAGAGGCGAGATGAGGCCCCATTCCCCTGCAGTGCATGCAGAGCTATTCCGTGATCCCATTCAAACAAGTCAGGAGCTTCCACTTGCTTAATGGATCTCGAGACAGTCCCCAAGAACACTGTCACCAGTCTGGACGGACCCTGAGGTCACCCCAGCAATGCAAAGCAGCTCCATGTGCCCCAAATCAACTCGAGATGAGGCCCGATTCCCCTGCATTGACTCCAGAGCCATTCCCCGTTCCCCATTCAACACGACCAGTGGCTCGACTTCCTTCAGGCAACTCCAGAGATGCCCCGAGAACACTGTCCCAAGTCTAGAGGAACACCAACTTCAGCACAGCAACTCGAGGAATGCTCCGTGTACCCCAAATCGTCTCGAGATGAGAGCTGATTCCCTGGCTTAGGCTCAAGACGTATGCCAACTCCCCAGAAGCACCTCAGGAGGAGGCTTCTCTCAGCAATAGGTATGTGGGAGGGACCCCGAGTTTGCTGCCTCAAGGGGAATATACAGCGAGAAGCCCTAACTTGAAAGGAGGCCGGATTTCCTTGCAGTGGCTTGAATACAGGCTCGTCTTTCATCTCACAACATTAAGGGATGTCTGAATCCCCTGTGGAGACCTTAGAGAAAGCCCTAGGTCCCTGCCTCATTTTGACGGAATGCCTCACATCCCGCTGACACCTCGAGAGGCACGCGGAGTTCATTGCTTCAAAAGGTGACGATGCCTGACTCCTCTTGAATACTGATAGGAATCCCAAAATCCCTGTGGCTACTGGAAAGGGTCCTTGGGTGCCCTGCCTCACCTCGAGAAGCGTCCCTTTTGCCCTGCCAAGCCTCGAAGAGATTCCTGAGGTGTCCCTCGTTACTAGACAGGAGTCCTGACGTCACTGAAGAAACTCGTGTTTTGAAGGGCCATCCCCGCCGTAAGTCGAGAACATACCCCAGGTCCCCGCCGCAACTCGAGAAAAACCATGAGACTTCCCCCTAGAAGCGAGATGAGGCCCCATTCCCCTGCAGTGCATGCAGAGCTATTCCGTGATCCCATTCAAACAAGTCAGGAGCTTCCACTTGCTTAATGGATCTCGAGACAGTCCCCAAGAACACTGTCACCAGTCTAGACGGACCCTGAGTTCACCCCAGCAACGCAAAGCAGCTCCATGTGCCCCAAATCAACTCGAGATGAGGCCCGATTCCCCTGCATTGACTCCAGAGCCATTCCCCGTTCCCCATTCAACACGACCGGTGGCTCGACTTCCTTCAGGCAACTCCAGAGATGCCCCGAGAACACTGTCCCAAGTCTAGAGGAACACCAACTTCAGCACAGCAGCTCGAGGAATGCTCCGTGTACCCCAAATCGTCTCGAGATGAGAGCTGATTCCCTGGCTTAGCCTCAAGACCTATGCCAACTTCCCAGAAGCACCTCAGGAGGAGGCTTCTCTCAGCAATAGGTATGTGGGAGGGACCCCGAGTTTGCTGCCTCAAGGCGAATATACAGCGAGAAGCCCTAACTTGAAAGGAGGCCGGATTTCCTTGCAGTGGCTTGAATACAGGCTCGTCTTTCATCTCACAACATGAAGGGATGTCTGAATCCCCTGTGGAGACCTTAGAGAAAGCCCTAGGTCCCTGCCTCATTTTGACGGAATGCCTCACATCCCGCTGACACCTCGAGAGGCACGCGGAGTTCATTGCTTCAAAAGGTGACGATGCATGACTCCTCTTGAATACTGATAGGAATCCCAAAATCCCTGTGGCTACTGGAAAGGGTCCTTGGGTGCCCTGCCTCACCTCGAGAAGCGTCCCTTTTGCCCTGCCAAGCCTCGAAGAGATTCCTGAGGTGTCCCTCGTTACTAGACAGGAGTCCTGACGTCACTGAAGAAACTCGTGTTTTGAAGGGCCATCCCCGCCGTAAGTCGAGAACATACCCCAGGTCCCCGCCGCAACTCGAGAAAAACCATGAGACTTCCCCCTAGAGGCGAGATGAGGCCCCATTCCCCTGCAGTGCATGCAGAGCTATTCCGTGATCCCATTCAAACAAGTCAGGAGCTTCGACTTGCTTAATGGATCTCGAGACAGTCCTCAAGAACACTGTCACCAGTCTAGACGGAACCTGAGGTCACCCCAGCAACGCAAAGCAGCTCCATGTGCCCCAAATCAACTCGAGATGAGGCCCGATTCCCCTGCATTGACTCCAGAGCCATTCCCCGTTCCCCATTCAACACGACCGGTGGCTCGACTTCCTTCAGGCAACTCCAGAGATGCCCCGAGAACACTGTCCCAAGTCTAGAGGAACACCAACTTCAGCACAGCAACTCGAGGAATGCTCCGTGTACCCCAAATCGTCTCGAGATGAGAGCTGATTCCCTGGCTTAGGCTCAAGACGTATGCCAACTTCCCAGAAGCACCTCAGGAGGAGGCTTCTCTCAGCAATAGGTATGTGGGAGGGACCCCGAGTTTGCTGCCTCAAGGGGAATATACAGCGAGAAGCCCTAACTTGAAAGGAGGCCGGATTTCCTTGCAGTGGCTTGAATACAGGCTAGTCTTTCATCTCACAACATGAAGGGATGTCTGAATCCCCTGTAGAGACCTTAGAGAAAGCCCTAGGTCCCTGCCTCATTTTTACGGAATGCCTCACATCCCGCTGACACCTCGAGAGGCACGCGGAGTTCATTGCTTCAAAAGGTGACGATGCCTGACTCCTCTTGAATACTGATAGGAATCCCAAAATCCCTGTGGCTACTGGAAAGGGTCCTTGGGTGCCCTGCCTCACCTCGAGAAGCGTCCCTTTTGCCCTGCCAAGCCTCGAAGAGATTCCTGAGGTGTCCCTCGTTACTAGGCAGGAGTCCTGACGTCACTGAAGAAACTCGTGTTTTGAAGGGCCATCCCCGCCGTAAGTCGAGAACATACCCCAGGTCCCCGCCGCAACTCGAGAAAAACCATGAAACTTCCCCCTAGAGTCGAGATGAGGCCCCATTCCCCTGCAGTGCATGCAGAGCTATTCCGTGATCCCATTCAAACAAGTCAGGAGCTTCGACTTGCTTAATGGATCTCGAGACAGTCCCCAAGAACACTGTCACCAGTCTGGACGGACCCTGAGGTCACCCCAGCCACGCAAAGCAGCTCCATGTGCCCCAAATCAACTCGAGATGAGGCTCGATTCCCCTGCATTGACTCCAGAGCCATTCCCCGTTCCCCATTCAACACGACCGGTGGCTCGACTTCCTTCAGGCAACTCCAGAGATGCCCCGAGAACACTGTCCCAAGTCTAGAGGAACACCAACTTCAGCACAGCAACTCGAGGAACGCTCCGTGTACCCCAAATCGTCTCGAGATGCGAGCTGATTCCCTGGCTTAGGCTCAAGACGTATGCCAACTTCCCAGAAGCACCTCAGGAGGAGGCTTCTCTCAGGAATAGGTATGTGGGAGGGACGCCGAGTTTGCTGCCTCAAGGGGAATATACAGCGAGAAGCCCTAACTTGAAAGGAGGCCGGATTTCCTTGCAGTGGCTTGAATACAGGCTCGTCTTTCATCTCACAACATGAAGGGATGTCTGAATCCCCTGTGGAGACCTTAGAGAAAGCCCTAGGTCCCTGCCTCATTTTGACGGAATGCCTCACATCGCGCTGACACCTCGAGAGGCACGCGGAGTTCATTGCTTCAAAAGGTGACGATGCCTGACTCCTCTTGAATACTGATAGGAATCCCAAAATCCCTGTGGCTACTGGAAAGGGTCCTTGGGTGCCCTGCCTCACCTCGAGAAGCGTCCCTTTTGCCCTGCCAAGCCTCGAAGAGATTCCTGAGGTGTCCCTCGTTACTAGACAGGAGTCCTGACGTCACTGAAGAAACTCGTGTTTTGAAGGGCCATCCCCGCCGTAAGTCGAGAACATACCCCAGGTCCCCGCCGAAACTCGAGAAAAACCATGAGACTTCCCCTAGAGGCGAGATGAGGCCCCATTCCCCTGCAGTGCATGCAGAGCTATTCCGTGATCCCATTCAAACAAGTCAGGAGCTTCCACTTGCTTAATGGATCTCGAGACAGTCCCCAAGAACACTGTCACCAGTCTGGACGGACCCTGAGGTCACCCCAGCAATGCAAAGCAGCTCCATGTGCCCCAAATCAACTCGAGATGAGGCCCGATTCCCCTGCATTGACTCCAGAGCCATTCCCCGTTCCCCATTCAACACGACCGGTGGCTCGACTTCCTTCAGGCAACTCCAGAGATGCCCCGAGAACACTGTCCCAAGTCTAGAGGAACACCAACTTAAGCACAGCAACTCGAGGAATGCTCCGTGTACCCCAAATCGTCTCGAGATGAGAGCTGATTCCCTGGCTTAGGCTCAAGACGTATGCCAACTTCCCAGAAGCACCTCAGGAGGAGGCTTCTCTCAGCAATAGGTATGTGGGAGGGACCCCGAGGTTGCTGCCTCAAGGGGAATATACAGCGAGAAGCCCTAACTTGAAAGGAGGCCGGATTTCCTTGCAGTGGCTTGAATACAGGCTCGTCTTTCATTTCACAACATGAAGGGATGTCTGAATCCCCTGTGGAGACCTTAGAGAAAGCCCTAGGTCCCTGCCTCATTTTGACGGAATGCCTCACATCGCGCTGACACCTCGAGAGGCACGCGGAGTTCATTGCTTCAAAAGGTGACGATGCCTGACTCCTCTTGAATACTGATAGGAATCCCCAAATCCCTGTGGCTACTGAAAAGGGTCCTTGGGTGCCCTGCCTCACCTCGAGAAGCGTCCCTTTTGCCCTGCCAAGCCTCGAAGAGATTCCTGAGGTGTCCCTCGTTACTAGACAGGAGTCCTGACGTCACTGAAGAAACTCGTGTTTTGAAGGGCCATCCCCGCCGTAAGTCGAGAACATACCCCAGGTCCCCGCCGCAACTCGAGAAAAACCATGAGACTTCCCCCTAGAGGCGAGATGAGGCCCCATTCCCCTGCAGTGCATGCAGAGCTATTCCGTGATCCCATTCAAACAAGTCAGGAGCTTCGACTTGCTTAATGGATCTCGAGACAGTCCCCAAGAACACTGTCACCAGTCTGGACGGACCCTGAGGTCACCCCAGCAACGCAAAGCAGCTCCATGTGCCCCAAATCAACTCGAGATGAGGCCCGATTCCCCTGCATTGACTCCAGAGCCATTCCCCGTTCCCCATTCAACACGACCGGTGGCTCGACTTCCTTCATTCAACTCCAGAGATGCCCCGAGAACACTGTCCCAAGTCTAGAGGAACACCAACTTCAGCACAGCAACTCGAGGAATGCTCCGTGTACCCCAAATCGTCTCGAGATGCGAGCTGATTCCCTGGCTTAGGCTCAAGACGTATGCCAACTCCCCAGAAGCACCTCAGGAGGAGGCTTCTCTCAGCAATAGGTATGTGGGAGGGACCCCGAGTTTGCTGCCTCAAGGGGAATATACAGCGAGAAGCCCTAACTTGAAAGGAGGCCGGATTTCCTTGCAGTGGCTTGAATACAGGCTCGTCTTTCATCTCACAACATTAAGGGATGTCTGAATCCCCTGTGGAGACCTTAGAGAAAGCCCTAGGTCCCTGCCTCATTTTGACGGAATGCCTCACATCCCGCTGACACCTCGAGAGGCACGCGGAGTTCATTGCTTCAAAAGGTGACGATGCCTGACTCCTCTTGAATACTGATAGGAATCCCAAAATCCCTGTGGCTACTGGAAAGGGTCCTTGGGTGCCCTGCCTCACCTCGAGAAGCGTCCCTTTTGCCCTGCCAAGCCTCGAAGAGATTCCTGAGGTGTCCCTCGTTACTAGACAGGAGTCCTGACGTCACTGAAGAAACTCGTGTTTTGAAGGGCCATCCCCGCCGTAAGTCGAGAACATACCCCAGGTCCCCGCCGCAACTCGAGAAAAACCATGAGACTTCCCCCTAGAAGCGAGATGAGGCCCCATTCCCCTGCAGTGCATGCAGAGCTATTCCGTGATCCCATTCAAACAAGTCAGGAGCTTCCACTTGCTTAATGGATCTCGAGACAGTCCCCAAGAACACTGTCACCAGTCTAGACGGACCCTGAGTTCACCCCAGCAACGCAAAGCAGCTCCATGTGCCCCAAATCAACTCGAGATGAGGCCCGATTCCCCTGCATTGACTCCAGAGCCATTCCCCGTTCCCCATTCAACACGACCGGTGGCTCGACTTCCTTCAGGCAACTCCAGAGATGCCCCGAGAACACTGTCCCAAGTCTAGAGGAACACCAACTTCAGCACAGCAGCTCGAGGAATGCTCCGTGTACCCCAAATCGTCTCGAGATGAGAGCTGATTCCCTGGCTTAGCCTCAAGACCTATGCCAACTTCCCAGAAGCACCTCAGGAGGAGGCTTCTCTCAGCAATAGGTATGTGGGAGGGACCCCGAGTTTGCTGCCTCAAGGCGAATATACAGCGAGAAGCCCTAACTTGAAAGGAGGCCGGATTTCCTTGCAGTGGCTTGAATACAGGCTCGTCTTTCATCTCACAACATGAAGGGATGTCTGAATCCCCTGTGGAGACCTTAGAGAAAGCCCTAGGTCCCTGCCTCATTTTGACGGAATGCCTCACATCCCGCTGACACCTCGAGAGGCACGCGGAGTTCATTGCTTCAAAAGGTGACGATGCATGACTCCTCTTGAATACTGATAGGAATCCCAAAATCCCTGTGGCTACTGGAAAGGGTCCTTGGGTGCCCTGCCTCACCTCGAGAAGCGTCCCTTTTGCCCTGCCAAGCCTCGAAGAGATTCCTGAGGTGTCCCTCGTTACTAGACAGGAGTCCTGACGTCACTGAAGAAACTCGTGTTTTGAAGGGCCATCCCCGCCGTAAGTCGAGAACATACCCCAGGTCCCCGCCGCAACTCGAGAAAAACCATGAGACTTCCCCCTAGAGGCGAGATGAGGCCCCATTCCCCTGCAGTGCATGCAGAGCTATTCCGTGATCCCATTCAAACAAGTCAGGAGCTTCGACTTGCTTAATGGATCTCGAGACAGTCCTCAAGAACACTGTCACCAGTCTAGACGGAACCTGAGGTCACCCCAGCAACGCAAAGCAGCTCCATGTGCCCCAAATCAACTCGAGATGAGGCCCGATTCCCCTGCATTGACTCCAGAGCCATTCCCCGTTCCCCATTCAACACGACCGGTGGCTCGACTTCCTTCAGGCAACTCCAGAGATGCCCCGAGAACACTGTCCCAAGTCTAGAGGAACACCAACTTCAGCACAGCAACTCGAGGAATGCTCCGTGTACCCCAAATCGTCTCGAGATGAGAGCTGATTCCCTGGCTTAGGCTCAAGACGTATGCCAACTTCCCAGAAGCACCTCAGGAGGAGGCTTCTCTCAGCAATAGGTATGTGGGAGGGACCCCGAGTTTGCTGCCTCAAGGGGAATATACAGCGAGAAGCCCTAACTTGAAAGGAGGCCGGATTTCCTTGCAGTGGCTTGAATACAGGCTCGTCTTTCATCTCACAACATGAAGGGATGTCTGAATCCCCTGTGGAGACCTTAGAGAAAGCCCTAGGTCCCTGCCTCATTTTGACGGAATGCCTCACATCCCGCTGACACCTCGAGAGGCACGCGGAGTTCATTGCTTCAAAAGGTGACGATGCCTGACTCCTCTTGAATACTGATAGGAATCCCAAAATCCCTGTGGCTACTGGAAAGGGTCCTTGGGTGCCCTGCCTCACCTCGAGAAGCGTCCCTTTTGCCCTGCCAAGCCTCGAAGAGATTCCTGAGGTGTCCCGCGTTACTAGACAGGAGTCCTGACGTCACTGAAGAAACTCGTGTTTTGAAGGGCCATCCCCGCCGTAAGTCGAGAACATACCCCAGGTCCCCGCCGCAACTCGAGAAAAACCATGAGACTTCCCCCTAGAGGCGAGATGAGGCCCCATTCCCCTGCAGTGCATGCAGAGCTATTCTGTGATCCCATTCAAACAAGTCAGGAGCTTCCACTTGCTTAATGGATCTCGAGACAGTCACCAAGAACACTGTCACCAGTCTGGACGGACCCTGAGGTCACCCCAGCAACGCAAAGCAGCTCCATGTGCCCCAAATCAACTCGAGATGAGGCCCGATTCCCCTGCATTGACTCCAGAGCCATTCCCCGTTCCCCATTCAACACGACCGGTGGCTCGACTTCCTTCAGGCAACTCCAGAGATGCCCCGAGAACACTGTCCCAAGTCTAGAGGAACACCAACTTCAGCACAGCAACTCGAGGAATGCTCCGTGTACCCCAAATCGTCTCGAGATGAGAGCTGATTCCCTGGCTTAGGCTCAAGACGTATGCCAACTACCCAGAAGCACCTCAGGAGGAGGCTTCTCTCAGCAATAGGTATGTGGGAGGGAACCCGAGTTTGCTGCCTCAAGGGGAATATACAGCGAGAAGCCCTAACTTGAAAGGAGGCCGGATTTCCTTGCAGTGGCTTGAATACAGGCTCGTCTTTCATCTCACAACATGAAGGGATGTCTGAATCCCCTGTGGAGACCTTAGAGAAAGCCCTAGGTCCCTGCCTCATTTTGACGGAATGCCTCACATCGCGCTGACACCTCGAGAGGCACGCGGAGTTCATTGCTTCAAAAGGTGACGATGCCTGACTCCTCTTGAATACTGATAGGAATTCCAAAATCCCTGTGGCTACTGGAAAGGGACCTTGGGTGCCCTGCCTCCCCTCGAGAAGCGTCCCTTTTGCCCTGCCAAGCCTCGAAGAGATTCCTGAGGTGTCCCTCGTTACTAGACAGGAGTCCTGACGTCACTGAAGAAACTCGTGTTTTGAAGGGCCATCCCCGCCGTAAGTCGAGAACATACCCCAGGTCCCCGCCGCAACTCGAGAAAAACCATGAGACTTCCCCCTAGAGGCGAGATGAGGCCCCATTCCCCTGCAGTGCATGCAGAGCTATTCCGTGATCCCATTCAGACAAGTCAGGAGCTTCCACTTGCTTAATGGATCTCGAGACAGTCCCCAAGAACACTGTCACCAGTCTGGACGGACCCTGAGGTCACCCCAGCAACGCAAAGCAGCTCCATGTGCCCCAAATCAACTCGAGATGAGGCCCGATTCCCCTGCATTGACTCCAGAGCCATTCCCCGTTCCCCATTCAACACGACCGGTGGCTCGACTTCCTTCAGGCAACTCCAGAGATGCCCCGAGAACACTGTCCCAAGTCTAGAGGAACACCAACTTCAGCACAGCAACTCGAGGAATGCTCCGTGTACCCCAAATCGTCTCGAGATGCGAGCTGATTCCCTGGCTTAGGCTCAAGACCTATGCCAACTCCCCAGAAGCACCTCAGGAGGAGGCTTCTCTCAGCAATAGGTATGTGGGAGGGACCCCGAGTTTGCTGCCTCAAGGGGAATATACAGCGAGAAGCCCTAACTTGAAAGGAGGCCGGATTTCCTTGCAGTGGCTTGAATACAGGCTCGTCTTTCATCTCACAACATGAAGGGATGTCTGAATCCCCTGTGGAGACCTTAGAGAAAGCCCTAGGTCCCTGCCTCATTTTGACGGAATGCCTCACATCGCGCTGACACCTCGAGAGGCACGCGGAGTTCATTGCTTCAAAAGGTGACGATGCCTGACTCCTCTTGAATACTGATAGGAATCCCAAAATCCCTGTGGCTACTGGAAAGGGTCCTTGGGTGCCCTGCCTCACCTCGAGAAGCGTCCCTTTTGCCCTGCCAAGCCTCGAAGAGATTCCTGAGGTGTCCCTCGTTACTAGACAGGAGTCCTGACGTCACTGAAGAAACTCGTGTTTTGAAGGGCCATCCCCGCCGTAAGTCGAGAACATACCCCAGGTCCCCGCCGAAACTCGAGAAAAACCATGAGACTTCCCCTAGAGGCGAGATGAGGCCCCATTCCCCTGCAGTGCATGCAGAGCTATTCCGTGATCCCATTCAAACAAGTCAGGAGCTTCCACTTGCTTAATGGATCTCGAGACAGTCCCCAAGAACACTGTCACCAGTCTGGACGGACCCTGAGGTCACCCCAGCAATGCAAAGCAGCTCCATGTGCCCCAAATCAACTCGAGATGAGGCCCGATTCCCCTGCATTGACTCCAGAGCCATTCCCCGTTCCCCATTCAACACGACCGGTGGCTCGACTTCCTTCAGGCAACTCCAGAGATGCCCCGAGAACACTGTCCCAAGTCTAGAGGAACACCAACTTAAGCACAGCAACTCGAGGAATGCTCCGTGTACCCCAAATCGTCTCGAGATGAGAGCTGATTCCCTGGCTTAGGCTCAAGACGTATGCCAACTTCCCAGAAGCACCTCAGGAGGAGGCTTCTCTCAGCAATAGGTATGTGGGAGGGACCCCGAGGTTGCTGCCTCAAGGGGAATATACAGCGAGAAGCCCTAACTTGAAAGGAGGCCGGATTTCCTTGCAGTGGCTTGAATACAGGCTCGTCTTTCATCTCACAACATGAAGGGATGTCTGAATCCCCTGTGGAGACCTTAGAGAAAGCCCTAGGTCCCTGCCTCATTTTGACGGAATGCCTCACATCGCGCTGACACCTCGAGAGGCACGCGGAGTTCATTGCTTCAAAAGGTGACGATGCCTGACTCCTCTTGAATACTGATAGGAATCCCCAAATCCCTGTGGCTACTGGAAAGGGTCCTTGGGTGCCCTGCCTCACCTCGAGAAGCGTCCCTTTTGCCCTGCCAAGCCTCGAAGAGATTCCTGAGGTGTCCCTCGTTACTAGACAGGAGTCCTGACGTCACTGAAGAAACTCGTGTTTTGAAGGGCCATCCCCGCCGTAAGTCGAGAACATACCCCAGGTCCCCGCCGCAACTCGAGAAAAACCATGAGACTTCCCCCTAGAGGCGAGATGAGGCCCCATTCCCCTGCAGTGCATGCAGAGCTATTCCGTGATCCCATTCAAACAAGTCAGGAGCTTCGACTTGCTTAATGGATCTCGAGACAGTCCCCAAGAACACTGTCACCAGTCTGGACGGACCCTGAGGTCACCCCAGCAACGCAAAGCAGCTCCATGTGCCCCAAATCAACTCGAGATGAGGCCCGATTCCCCTGCATTGACTCCAGAGCCATTCCCCGTTCCCCATTCAACACGACCGGTGGCTCGACTTCCTTCATTCAACTCCAGAGATGCCCCGAGAACACTGTCCCAAGTCTAGAGGAACACCAACTTCAGCACAGCAACTCGAGGAATGCTCCGTGTACCCCAAATCGTCTCGAGATGCGAGCTAATTCCCTGGCTTAGGCTCAAGACGTATGCCAACTCCCCAGAAGCACCTCAGGAGGAGGCTTCTCTCAGCAATAGGTATGTGGGAGGGACCCCGAGTTTGCTGCCTCAAGGGGAATATACAGCGAGAAGCCCTAACTTGAAAGGAGGCCGGATTTCCTTGCAGTGGCTTGAATACAGGCTCGTCTTTCATCTCACAACATTAAGGGATGTCTGAATCCCCTGTGGAGACCTTAGAGAAAGCCCTAGGTCCCTGCCTCATTTTGACGGAATGCCTCACATCCCGCTGACACCTCGAGAGGCACGCGGAGTTCATTGCTTCAAAAGGTGACGATGCCTGACTCCTCTTGAATACTGATAGGAATCCCAAAATCCCTGTGGCTACTGGAAAGGGTCCTTGGGTGCCCTGCCTCACCTCGAGAAGCGTCCCTTTTGCCCTGCCAAGCCTCGAAGAGATTCCTGAGGTGTCCCTCGTTACTAGACAGGAGTCCTGACGTCACTGAAGAAACTCGTGTTTTGAAGGGCCATCCCCGCCGTAAGTCGAGAACATACCCCAGGTCCCCGCCGCAACTCGAGAAAAACCATGAGACTTCCCCCTAGAAGCGAGATGAGGCCCCATTCCCCTGCAGTGCATGCAGAGCTATTCCGTGATCCCATTCAAACAAGTCAGGAGCTTCCACTTGCTTAATGGATCTCGAGACAGTCCCCAAGAACACTGTCACCAGTCTAGACGGACCCTGAGGTCACCCCAGCAACGCAAAGCAGCTCCATGTGCCCCAAATCAACTCGAGATGAGGCCCGATTCCCCTGCATTGACTCCAGAGCCATTCCCCGTTCCCCATTCAACACGACCGGTGGCTCGACTTCCTTCAGGCAACTCCAGAGATGCCCCGAGAACACTGTCCCAAGTCTAGAGGAACACCAACTTCAGCACAGCAGCTCGAGGAATGCTCCGTGTACCCCAAATCGTCTCGAGATGAGAGCTGATTCCCTGGCTTAGCCTCAAGACCTATGCCAACTTCCCAGAAGCACCTCAGGAGGAGGCTTCTCTCAGCAATAGGTATGTGGGAGGGACCCCGAGTTTGCTGCCTCAAGGCGAATATACAGCGAGAAGCCCTAACTTGAAAGGAGGCCGGATTTCCTTGCAGTGGCTTGAATACAGGCTCGTCTTTCATCTCACAACATGAAGGGATGTCTGAATCCCCTGTGGAGACCTTAGAGAAAGCCCTAGGTCCCTGCCTCATTTTGACGGAATGCCTCACATCCCGCTGACACCTCGAGAGGCACGCGGAGTTCATTGCTTCAAAAGGTGACGATGCATGACTCCTCTTGAATACTGATAGGAATCCCAAAATCCCTGTGGCTACTGGAAAGGGTCCTTGGGTGCCCTGCCTCACCTCGAGAAGCGTCCCTTTTGCCCTGCCAAGCCTCGAAGAGATTCCTGAGGTGTCCCTCGTTACTAGACAGGAGTCCTGACGTCACTGAAGAAACTCGTGTTTTGAAGGGCCATCCCCGCCGTAAGTCGAGAACATACCCCAGGTCCCCGCCGCAACTCGAGAAAAACCATGAGACTTCCCCCTAGAGGCGAGATGAGGCCCCATTCCCCTGCAGTGCATGCAGAGCTATTCCGTGATCCCATTCAAACAAGTCAGGAGCTTCGACTTGCTTAATGGATCTCGAGACAGTCCTCAAGAACACTGTCACCAGTCTAGACGGAACCTGAGGTCACCCCAGCAACGCAAAGCAGCTCCATGTGCCCCAAATCAACTCGAGATGAGGCCCGATTCCCCTGCATTGACTCCAGAGCCATTCCCCGTTCCCCATTCAACACGACCGGTGGCTCGACTTCCTTCAGGCAACTCCAGAGATGCCCCGAGAACACTGTCCCAAGTCTAGAGGAACACCAACTTCAGCACAGCAACTCGAGGAATGCTCCGTGTACCCCAAATCGTCTCGAGATGAGAGCTGATTCCCTGGCTTAGGCTCAAGACGTATGCCAACTTCCCAGAAGCACCTCAGGAGGAGGCTTCTCTCAGCAATAGGTATGTGGGAGGGACCCCGAGTTTGCTGCCTCAAGGGGAATATACAGCGATAAGCCCTAACTTGAAAGGAGGCCGGATTTCCTTGCAGTGGCTTGAATACAGGCTCGTCTTTCATCTCACAACATGAAGGGATGTCTGAATCCCCTGTGGAGACCTTAGAGAAAGCCCTAGGTCCCTGCCTCATTTTGACGGAATGCCTCACATCCCGCTGACACCTCGAGAGGCACGCGGAGTTCATTGCTTCAAAAGGTGACGATGCCTGACTCCTCTTGAATACTGATAGGAATCCCAAAATCACTGTGGCTACTGGAAAGGGTCCTTGGGTGCCCTGCCTCCCCTCGAGAAGCGTCCCTTTTGCCCTGCCAAGCCTCGAAGAGATTCCTGAGGTGTCCCTCGTTACTAGACAGGAGTCCTGACGTCACTGAAGAAACTCGTGTTTTGAAGGGCCATCCCCGCCGTAAGTCGAGAACATACCCCAGGTCCCCGCCGCAACTCGAGAAAAACCATGAGACTTCCCCCTAGAGGCGAGATGAGGCCCCATTCCCCTGCAGTGCATGCAGAGCTATTCCGTGATCCCATTCAAACAAGTCAGGAGCTTCGACTTGCTTAATGGATCTCGAGACAGTCACCAAGAACACTGTCACCAGTCTGGACGGACCCTGAGGTCACCCCAGCAACGCAAAGCAGCTCCATGTGCCCCAAATCAACTCGAGATGAGGCCCGATTCCCCTGCATTGACTCCAGAGCCATTCCCCGTTCCCCATTCAACACGACCGGTGGCTCGACTTCCTTCAGGCAACTCCAGAGATGCCCCGAGAACACTGTCCCAAGTCTAGAGGAACACCAACTTCAGCACAGCAACTCGAGGAATGCTCCGTGTACCCCAAATCGTCTCGAGATGAGAGCTGATTCCCTGGCTTAGGCTCAAGACGTATGCCAACTACCCAGAAGCACCTCAGGAGGAGGCTTCTCTCAGCAATAGGTATGTGGGAGGGACCCCGAGTTTGCTGCCTCAAGGGGAATATACAGCGAGAAGCCCTAACTTGAAAGGAGGCCGGATTTCCTTGCAGTGGCTTGAATACAGGCTCGTCTTTCATCTCACAACATGAAGGGATGTCTGAATCCCCTGTGGAGACCTTAGAGAAAGCCCTAGGTCCCTGCCTCATTTTGATGGAATGCCTCACATCGCGCTGACACCTCGAGAGGCACGCGGAGTTCATTGCTTCAAAAGGTGACGATGCCTGACTCCTCTTGAATACTGATAGGAATTCCAAAATCCCTGTGGCTACTGGAAAGGGTCCTTGGGTGCCCTGCCTCCCCTCGAGAAGCGTCCCTTTTGCCCTGCCAAGCCTCGAAGAGATTCCTGAGGTGTCCCTCGTTACTAGACAGGAGTCCTGACGTCACTGAAGAAACTCGTGTTTTGAAGGGCCATCCCCGCCGTAAGTCGAGAACATACCCCAGGTCCCCGCCGCAACTCGAGAAAAACCATGAGACTTCCCCCTAGAGGCGAGATGAGGCCCCATTCCCCTGCAGTGCATGCAGAGCTATTCCGTGATCCCATTCAGACAAGTCAGGAGCTTCCACTTGCTTAATGGATCTCGAGACAGTCCCCAAGAACACTGTCACCAGTCTGGACGGACCCTGAGGTCACCCCAGCAACGCAAAGCAGCTCCATGTGCCCCAAATCAACTCGAGATGAGGCCCGATTCCCCTGCATTGACTCCAGAGCCATTCCCCGTTCCCCATTCAACACGACCGGTGGCTCGACTTCCTTCAGGCAACTCCAGAGATGCCCCGAGAACACTGTTCCAAGTCTAGAGGAACACCAACTTCAGCACAGCAACTCGAGGAATGCTCCGTGTACCCCAAATCGTCTCGAGATGCGAGCTGATTCCCTGGCTTAGGCTCAAGACGTATGCCAACTCCCCAGAAGCACCTCAGGAGGAGGCTTCTCTCAGCAATAGGTATGTGGGAGGGACCCCGAGTTTGCTGCCTCAAGGGGAATATACAGCGAGAAGCCCTAACTTGAAAGGAGGCCGGATTTCCTTGCAGTGGCTTGAATACAGGCTCGTCTTTCATCTCACAACATGAAGGGATGTCTGAATCCCCTGTGGAGACCATAGAGAAAGCCCTAGGTCCCTGCCTCATTTTGACGGAATGCCTCACATCCTGCTGACACCTCGAGAGGCACGCGGAGTTCATTGCTTCAAAAGGTGACGATGCCTGACTCCTCTTGAATACTGATAGGAATCCCAAAATCCCTGTGGCTACTGGAAAGGGTCCTTGGGTGCCCTGCCTCACCTCGAGAAGCGTCCCTTTTGCCCTGCCAAGCCTCGAAGAGATTCCTGAGGTGTCCCTCGTTACTAGACAGGAGTCCTGACGTCACTGAAGAAACTCGTGTTTTGAAGGGCCATCCCCGCCGTAAGTCGAGAACATACCCCAGGTCCCCGCCGCAACTCGAGAAAAACCATGAGACTTCCCCCTAGAGGCCAGATGAGGCCCCATTCCCCTGCAGTGCATGCAGAGCTATTCCGTGATCCCATTCAAACAAGTCAGGAGCTTCGACTTGCTTAATGGATCTCGAGACAGTCACCAAGAACACTGTCACCAGTCTGGACGGACCCTGAGGTCACCCCAGCAACGCAAAGCAGCTCCATGTGCCCCAAATCAACTCGAGATGAGGCCCGATTCCCCTGCATTGACTCCAGAGCCATTCCCCGTTCCCCATTCAACACGACCGGTGGCTCGACTTCCTTCAGGCAACTCCAGAGATGCCCCGAGAACACTGTCCCAAGTCTAGAGGAACACCAACTTCAGCACAGCAACTCGAGGAATGCTCCGTGTACCCCAAATCGTCTCGAGATGAGAGCTGATTCACTGGCTTAGGCTCAAGACGTATGCCAACTACCCAGAAGCACCTCAGGAGGAGGCTTCTCTCAGCAATAGGTATGTGGGAGGGACCCCGAGTTTGCTGCCTCAAGGGGAATATACAGCGAGAAGCCCTAACTTGAAAGGAGGCAGGATTTCCTTGCAGTGGCTTGAATACAGGCTCGTCTTTCATCTCACAACATGAAGGGATGTCTGAATCCCCTGTGGAGACCTTAGAGAAAGCCCTAGGTCCCTGCCTCATTTTGACGGAATGCCTCACATCGCGCTGACACCTCGAGAGGCACGCGGAGTTCATTGCTTCAAAAGGTGACGATGCCTGACTCCTCTTGAATACTGATAGGAATCCCAAAATCCCTGTGGCTACTGGAAAGGGTCCTTGGGTGCCCTGCCTCCCCTCGAGAAGCGTCCCTTTTGCCCTGCCAAGCCTCGAAGAGATTCCTGAGGTGTCCCTCGTTACTAGACAGGAGTCCTGACGTCACTGAAGAAACTCGTGTTTTGAAGGGCCATCCCCGCCGTAAGTCGAGAACATACCCCAGGTCCCCGCCGCAACTCGAGAAAAACCATGAGACTTCCCCCTAGAGGCGAGATGAGGCCCCATTCCCCTGCAGTGCATGCAGAGCTATTCCGTGATCCCATTCAGACAAGTCAGGAGCTTCCACTTGCTTAATGGATCTCGAGACAGTCCCCAAGAACACTGTCACCAGTCTGGACGGACCCTGAGGTCACCCCAGCAACGCAAAGCAGCTCCATGTGCCCCAAATCAACTCGAGATGAGGCCCGATTCCCCTGCATTGACTCCAGAGCCATTCCCCGTTCCCCATTCAACACGACCGGTGGCTCGACTTCCTTCAGGCAACTCCAGAGATGCCCCGAGAACACTGTCCCAAGTCTAGAGGAACACCAACTTCAGCACAGCAACTCGAGGAATGCTCCGTGTACCCCAAATCGTCTCGAGATGCGAGCTGATTCCCTGGCTTAGGCTCAAGACGTATGCCAACTCCCCAGAAGCACCTCAGGAGGAGGCTTCTCTCAGCAATAGGTATGTGGGAGGGACCCCGAGTTTGCTGCCTCAAGGGGAATATACAGCGAGAAGCCCTAACTTGAAAGGAGGCCGGATTTCCTTGCAGTGGCTTGAATACAGGCTCGTCTTTCATCTCACAACATGAAGGGATGTCTGAATCCCCTGTGGAGACCTTAGAGAAAGCCCTAGGTCCCTGCCTCATTTTGACGGAATGCCTCACATCCCGCTGACACCTCGAGAGGCACGCGGAGTTCATTGCTTCAAAAGGTGACGATGCCTGACTCCTCTTGAATACTGATAGGAATCCCAAAATCCCTGTGGCTACTGGAAAGGGTCCTTGGGTGCCCTGCCTCACCTCGAGAAGCGTCCCTTTTGCCCTGCCAAGCCTCGAAGAGATTCCTGAGGTGTCCCTCGTTACTAGACAGGAGTCCTGACGTCACTGAAGAAACTCGTGTTTTGAATGGCTATCCCCGCCGTAAGTCGAGAACATACCCCAGGTCCCCGCCGCAACTCGAGAAAAACCATGAGACTTCCCCCTAGAGGCGAGATGAGGCCCCATTCCCCTGCAGTGCATGCAGAGCTATTCCGTGATCCCATTCAAACAAGTCAGGAGCTTCCACTTGCTTAATGGATCTCGAGACAGTCCCCAAGAACACTGTCACCAGTCTGGACGGACCCTGAGGTCACCCCAGCAACGCAAAGCAGCTCCATGTGCCCCAAATCAACTCGAGATGAGGCCCGATTCCCCTGCATTGACTCCAGAGCCATTCCCCTTTCCCCATTCAACACGACCAGTGGCTCGACTTCCTTCAGGCAACTCCAGAGATGCCCCGAGAACACTGTCCCAAGTCTAGAGGAACACCAACTTCAGCACAGCAACTCGAGGAATGCTCCGTGTACCCCAAATCGTCTCGAGATGAGAGCTGATTCCCTGGCTTAGGCTCAAGACGTATGCCAACTTCCCAGAAGCACCTCAGGAGGAGGCTTCTCTCAGCAATAGGTATGTGGGAGGGACCCCGAGTTTGCTGCCTCAAGGGGAATATACAGCGAGAAGCCCTAACTTGAAAGGAGGCCGGATTTCCTTGCAGTGGCTTGAATACAGGCTCGTCTTTCATCTCACAACATGAAGGGATGTCTGAATCCCCTGTGGAGACCTTAGAGAAAGCCCTAGGTCCCTGCCTCATTTTGACGGAATGCCTCACATCCCGCTGACACCTCGAGAGGCACGCGGAGTTCATTGCTTCAAAAGGTGACGATGCCTGACTCCTCTTGAATACTGATAGGAATCCCAAAATCCCTGTGGCTACTGGAAAGGGTCCTTGGGTGCCCTGCCTCCCCTCGAGAAGCGTCCCTTTTGCCCTGCCAAGCCTCGAAGAGATTCCTGAGGTGTCCCTCGTTACTAGACAGGAGTCCTGGCGTCACTGAAGAAACTCGTGTTTTGAAGGGCCATCCCCGCCGTAAGTCAAGAACATACCCCAGGTCCCCGCCGCAACTCGAGAAAAACCATGAGACTTCCCCCTAGAGGCGAGATGAGGCCCCATTCCCCTGCAGTGCATGCAGAGCTATTCCGTGATCCCATTCAGACAAGTCAGGAGCTTCCACTTGCTTAATGGATCTCGAGACAGTCCCCAAGAACACTGTCACCATTCTGGACGGACCCTGAGGTCACCCCAGCAACGCAAAGCAGCTCCATGTGCCCCAAATCAACTCGAGATGAGGCCCGATTCCCCTGCATTGACTCCAGAGCCATTCCCCGTTCCCCATTCAACACGACCGGTGGCTCGACTTCCTTCAGGCAACTCCAGAGATGCCCCGAGAACACTGTCCCAAGTCTAGAGGAACACCAACTTCAGCACAGCAGCTCGAGGAATGCTCCGTGTACCCCAAATCGTCTCGAGATGCGAGCTGATTCCCTGGCTTAGGCTCAAGACGTATGCCAACTCCCCAGAAGCACCTCAGGAGGAGGCTTCTCTCAGCAATAGGTATGTGGGAGGGACCCCGAGTTTGCTGCCTCAAGGGGAATATACAGCGAGAAGCCCTAACTTGAAAGGAGGCCGGATTTCCTTGCAGTGGCTTGAATACAGGCTCGTCTTTCATCTCACAACATGAAGGGATGTCTGAATCCCCTGTGGAGACCTTAGAGAAAGCCCTAGGTCCCTGCCTCATTTTGACGGAATGCCTCACATCGCGCTGACAACTCGAGAGGCACGCGGAGTTCATTGCTTCAAAAGGTGACGATGCCTGACTCCTCTTGAATACTGATAGGAATCCCAAAATCCCTGTGGCTACTGGAAAGGGTCCTTGGGTGCCCTGCCTCACCTCCAGAAGCGTCCCTTTTGCCCTGCCAAGCCTCGAAGAGATTCCTGAGGTGTCCCTCGTTACTAGACAGGAGTCCTGACGTCACTGAAGAAACTCGTGTTTTGAAGGGCCATCCCCGCCGTAAGTCGAGAACATACCCCAGGTCCCCGCCGCAACTCGAGAAAAACCATGAGACTTCCCCCTAGAGGCGAGATGAGGCCCCATTCCCCTGCAGTGCATGCAGAGCTATTCCGTGATCCCATTCAAACAAGTCAGGAGCTTCGACTTGCTTAATGGATCTCGAGACAGTCACCAAGAACACTGTCACCAGTCTGGACGGACCCTGAGGTCACCCCAGCAACGCAAAGCAGCTCCATGTGCCCCAAATCAACTCGAGATGAGGCCCGATTCCCCTGCATTGACTCCAGAGCCATTCCCCGTTCCCCATTCAACACGACCGGTGGCTCGACTTCCTTCAGGCAACTCCAGAGATGCCCCGAGAAGACTGTCCCAAGTCTAGAGGAACACCAACTTCAGCACAGCAACTCGAGGAATGCTCCGTGTACCCCAAATCGTCTCGAGATGAGAGCTGATTCCCTGGCTTAGGCTCAAGACGTATGCCAACTACCCAGAAGCACCTCAGGAGGAGGCTTCTCTCAGCAATAGGTATGTGGGAGGGACCCCGAGTTTGCTGCCTCAAGGGGAATATACAGCGAGAAGCCCTAACTTGAAAGGAGGCCGGATTTCCTTGCAGTGGCTTGAATACAGGCTCGTCTTTCATCTCACAACATGAAGGGATGTCTGAATCCCCTGTGGAGACCTTAGAGAAAGCCCTAGGTCCCTGCCTCATTTTGACGGAATGCCTCACATCGCGCTGACACCTCGAGAGGCACGCGGAGTTCATTGCTTCAAAAGGTGACGATGCCTGACTCCTCTTGAATACTGATAGGAATCCCAAAATCCCTGTGGCTACTGGAAAGGGTCCTTGGGTGCCCTGCCTCACCTCGAGAAGCGTCCCTTTTGCCCTGCCAAGCCTCGAAGAGATTCCTGAGGTGTCCCGCGTTACTAGACAGGAGTCCTGACGTCACTGAAGAAACTCGTGTTTTGAAGGGCCATCCCCGCCGTAAGTCGAGAACATACCCCAGGTCCCCGCCGCAACTCGAGAAAAACCATGAGACTTCCCCCTAGAGGCGAGATGAGGCCCCATTCCCCTGCAGTGCATGCAGAGCTATTCTGTGATCCCATTCAAACAAGTCAGGAGCTTCCACTTGCTTAATGGATCTCGAGACAGTCACCAAGAACACTGTCACCAGTCTGGACGGACCCTGAGGTCACCCCAGCAACGCAAAGCAGCTCCATGTGCCCCAAATCAACTCGAGATGAGGCCCGATTCCCCTGCATTGACTCCAGAGCCATTCCCCGTTCCCCATTCAACACGACCGGTGGCTCGACTTCCTTCAGGCAACTCCAGAGATGCCCCGAGAACACTGTCCCAAGTCTAGAGGAACACCAACTTCAGCACAGCAACTCGAGGAATGCTCCGTGTACCCCAAATCGTCTCGAGATGAGAGCTGATTCCCTGGCTTAGGCTCAAGACGTATGCCAACTACCCAGAAGCACCTCAGGAGGAGGCTTCTCTCAGCAATAGGTATGTGGGAGGGAACCCGAGTTTGCTGCCTCAAGGGGAATATACAGCGAGAAGCCCTAACTTGAAAGGAGGCCGGATTTCCTTGCAGTGGCTTGAATACAGGCTCGTCTTTCATCTCACAACATGAAGGGATGTCTGAATCCCCTGTGGAGACCTTAGAGAAAGCCCTAGGTCCCTGCCTCATTTTGACGGAATGCCTCACATCGCGCTGACACCTCGAGAGGCACGCGGAGTTCATTGCTTCAAAAGGTGACGATGCCTGACTCCTCTTGAATACTGATAGGAATTCCAAAATCCCTGTGGCTACTGGAAAGGGACCTTGGGTGCCCTGCCTCCCCTCGAGAAGCGTCCCTTTTGCCCTGCCAAGCCTCGAAGAGATTCCTGAGGTGTCCCTCGTTACTAGACAGGAGTCCTGACGTCACTGAAGAAACTCGTGTTTTGAAGGGCCATCCCCGCCGTAAGTCGAGAACATAGCCCAGGTCCCCGCCGCAACTCGAGAAAAACCATGAGACTTCCCCTAGAGGCGAGATGAGGCCCCATTCCCCTGCAGTGCATGCAGAGCTATTCCGTGATCCCATTCAAACAAGTCAGGAGCTTCCACTTGCTTAATGGATCTCGAGACAGTCCCCAAGAACACTGTCACCAGTCTGGACGGACCCTGAGGTCACCCCAGCAATGCAAAGCAGCTCCATGTGCCCCAAATCAACTCGAGATGAGGCCCGATTCCCCTGCATTGACTCCAGAGCCATTCCCCGTTCCCCATTCAACACGACCGGTGGCTCGACTTCCTTCAGGCAACTCCAGAGATGCCCCGAGAACACTGTCCCAAGTCTAGAGGAACACCAACTTAAGCACAGCAACTCGAGGAATGCTCCGTGTACCCCAAATCGTCTCGAGATGAGAGCTGATTCCCTGGCTTAGGCTCAAGACGTATGCCAACTTCCCAGAAGCACCTCAGGAGGAGGCTTCTCTCAGCAATAGGTATGTGGGAGGGACCCCGAGGTTGCTGCCTCAAGGGGAATATACAGCGAGAAGCCCTAACTTGAAAGGAGGCCGGATTTCCTTGCAGTGGCTTGAATACAGGCTCGTCTTTCATCTCACAACATGAAGGGATGTCTGAATCCCCTGTGGAGACCTTAGAGAAAGCCCTAGGTCCCTGCCTCATTTTGACGGAATGCCTCACATCGCGCTGACACCTCGAGAGGCACGCGGAGTTCATTGCTTCAAAAGGTGACGATGCCTGACTCCTCTTGAATACTGATAGGAATTCGAAAATCCCTGTGGCTACTGGAAAGGGTCCTTGGGTGCCCTGCCTCCCCTCGAGAAGCGTCCCTTTTGCCCTGCCAAGCCTCGAAGAGATTCCTGAGGTGTCCCTCGTTACTAGACAGGAGTCCTGACGTCACTGAAGAAACTCGTGTTTTGAAGGGCCATCCCCGCCGTAAGTCGAGAACATACCCCAGGTCCCCGCCGCAACTCGAGAAAAACCATGAGACTTCCCCCTAGAGGCGAGATGAGGCCCCATTCCCCTGCAGTGCATGCAGAGCTATTCCGTGATCCCATTCAGACAAGTCAGGAGCTTCCACTTGCTTAATGGATCTCGAGACAGTCCCCAAGAACACTGTCACCAGTCTGGACGGACCCTGAGGTCACCCCAGCAACGCAAAGCAGCTCCATGTGCCCCAAATCAACTCGAGATGAGGCCCGATTCCCCTGCATTGACTCCAGAGCCATTCCCCGTTCCCCATTCAACACGACCGGTGGCTCGACTTCCTTCAGGCAACTCCAGAGATGCCCCGAGAACACTGTCCCAAGTCTAGAGGAACACCAACTTCAGCACAGCAACTCGAGGAATGCTCCGTGTACCCCAAATCGTCTCGAGATGCGAGCTGATTCCCTGGCTTAGGCTCAAGACGTATGCCAACTCCCCAGAAGCACCTCAGGAGGAGGCTTCTCTCAGCAATAGGTATGTGGGAGGGACCCCGAGTTTGCTGCCTCAAGGGGAATATACAGCGAGAAGCCCTAACTTGAAAGGAGGCCGGATTTCCTTGCAGTGGCTTGAATACAGGCTCGTCTTTCATCTCACAACATGAAGGGATGTCTGAATCCCCTGTGGAGACCTTAGAGAAAGCCCTAGGTCCCTGCCTCATTTTGACGGAATGCCTCACATCCCGCTGACACCTCGAGAGGCACGCGGAGTTCATTGCTTCAAAAGGTGACGATGCCTGACTCCTCTTGAATACTGATAGGAATCCCAAAATCCCTGTGGCTACTGGAAAGGGTCCTTGGGTGCCCTGCCTCACCTCGAGAAGCGTCCCTTTTGCCCTGCCAAGCCTCGAAGAGATTCCTGAGGTGTCCCGCGTTACTAGACAGGAGTCCTGACGTCACTGAAGAAACTCGTGTTTTGAAGGGCCATCCCCGCCGTAAGTCGAGAACATACCCCAGGTCCCCGCCGCAACTCGAGAAAAACCATGAGACTTCCCCCTAGAGGCGAGATGAGGCCCCATTCCCCTGCAGTGCATGCAGAGCTATTCTGTGATCCCATTCAAACAAGTCAGGAGCTTCCACTTGCTTAATGGATCTCGAGACAGTCACCAAGAACACTGTCACCAGTCTGGACGGACCCTGAGGTCACCCCAGCAACGCAAAGCAGCTCCATGTGCCCCAAATCAACTCGAGATGAGGCCCGATTCCCCTGCATTGACTCCAGAGCCATTCCCCGTTCCCCATTCAACACGACCGGTGGCTCGACTTCCTTCAGGCAACTCCAGAGATGCCCCGAGAACACTGTCCCAAGTCTAGAGGAACACCAACTTCAGCACAGCAACTCGAGGAATGCTCCGTGTACCCCAAATCGTCTCGAGATGAGAGCTGATTCCCTGGCTTAGGCTCAAGACGTATGCCAACTACCCAGAAGCACCTCAGGAGGAGGCTTCTCTCAGCAATAGGTATGTGGGAGGGAACCCGAGTTTGCTGCCTCAAGGGGAATATACAGCGAGAAGCCCTAACTTGAAAGGAGGCCGGATTTCCTTGCAGTGGCTTGAATACAGGCTCGTCTTTCATCTCACAACATGAAGGGATGTCTGAATCCCCTGTGGAGACCTTAGAGAAAGCCCTAGGTCCCTGCCTCATTTTGACGGAATGCCTCACATCGCGCTGACACCTCGAGAGGCACGCGGAGTTCATTGCTTCAAAAGGTGACGATGCCTGACTCCTCTTGAATACTGATAGGAATTCCAAAATCCCTGTGGCTACTGGAAAGGGACCTTGGGTGCCCTGCCTCCCCTCGAGAAGCGTCCCTTTTGCCCTGCCAAGCCTCGAAGAGATTCCTGAGGTGTCCCTCGTTACTAGACAGGAGTCCTGACGTCACTGAAGAAACTCGTGTTTTGAAGGGCCATCCCCGCCGTAAGTCGAGAACATACCCCAGGTCCCCGCCGCAACTCGAGAAAAACCATGAGACTTCCCCCTAGAGGCGAGATGAGGCCCCATTCCCCTGCAGTGCATGCAGAGCTATTCCGTGATCCCATTCAGACAAGTCAGGAGCTTCCACTTGCTTAATGGATCTCGAGACAGTCCCCAAGAACACTGTCACCAGTCTGGACGGACCCTGAGGTCACCCCAGCAACGCAAAGCAGCTCCATGTGCCCCAAATCAACTCGAGATGAGGCCCGATTCCCCTGCATTGACTCCAGAGCCATTCCCCGTTCCCCATTCAACACGACCGGTGGCTCGACTTCCTTCAGGCAACTCCAGAGATGCCCCGAGAACACTGTCCCAAGTCTAGAGGAACACCAACTTCAGCACAGCAACTCGAGGAATGCTCCGTGTACCCCAAATCGTCTCGAGATGCGAGCTGATTCCCTGGCTTAGGCTCAAGACGTATGCCAACTCCCCAGAAGCACCTCAGGAGGAGGCTTCTCTCAGCAATAGGTATGTGGGAGGGACCCCGAGTTTGCTGCCTCAAGGGGAATATACAACGAGAAGCCCTAACTTGAAAGGAGGCCGGATTTCCTTGCAGTGGCTTGAATACAGGCTCGTCTTTCATCTCACAACATGAAGGGATGTCTGAATCCCCTGTGGAGACCTTAGAGAAAGCCCTAGGTCCCTGCCTCATTTTGACGGAATGCCTCACATCCCGCTGACACCTCGAGAGGCACGCGGAGTTCATTGCTTCAAAAGGTGACGATGCCTGACTCCTCTTGAATACTGATAGGAATCCCAAAATCCCTGTGGCTACTGGAAAGGGTCCTTGGGTGCCCTGCCTCACCTCGAGAAGCGTCCCTTTTGCCCTGCCAAGCCTCGAAGAGATTCCTGAGGTGTCCCGCGTTACTAGACAGGAGTCCTGACGTCACTGAAGAAACTCGTGTTTTGAAGGGCCATCCCCGCCGTAAGTCGAGAACATACCCCAGGTCCCCGCCGCAACTCGAGAAAAACCATGAGACTTCCCCCTAGAGGCGAGATGAGGCCCCATTCCCCTGCAGTGCATGCAGAGCTATTCTGTGATCCCATTCAAACAAGTCAGGAGCTTCCACTTGCTTAATGGATCTCGAGACAGTCACCAAGAACACTGTCACCAGTCTGGACGGACCCTGAGGTCACCCCAGCAACGCAAAGCAGCTCCATGTGCCCCAAATCAACTCGAGATGAGGCCCGATTCCCCTGCATTGACTCCAGAGCCATTCCCCGTTCCCCATTCAACACGACCGGTGGCTCGACTTCCTTCAGGCAACTCCAGAGATGCCCCGAGAACACTGTCCCAAGTCTAGAGGAACACCAACTTCAGCACAGCAACTCGAGGAATGCTCCGTGTACCCCAAATCGTCTCGAGATGAGAGCTGATTCCCTGGCTTAGGCTCAAGACGTATGCCAACTACCCAGAAGCACCTCAGGAGGAGGCTTCTCTCAGCAATAGGTATGTGGGAGGGAACCCGAGTTTGCTGCCTCAAGGGGAATATACAGCGAGAAGCCCTAACTTGAAAGGAGGCCGGATTTCCTTGCAGTGGCTTGAATACAGGCTCGTCTTTCATCTCACAACATGAAGGGATGTCTGAATCCCCTGTGGAGACCTTAGAGAAAGCCCTAGGTCCCTGCCTCATTTTGACGGAATGCCTCACATCGCGCTGACACCTCGAGAGGCACGCGGAGTTCATTGCTTCAAAAGGTGACGATGCCTGACTCCTCTTGAATACTGATAGGAATTCCAAAATCCCTGTGGCTACTGGAAAGGGACCTTGGGTGCCCTGCCTCCCCTCGAGAAGCGTCCCTTTTGCCCTGCCAAGCCTCGAAGAGATTCCTGAGGTGTCCCTCGTTACTAGACAGGAGTCCTGACGTCACTGAAGAAACTCGTGTTTTGAAGGGCCATCCCCGCCGTAAGTCGAGAACATACCCCAGGTCCCCGCCGCAACTCGAGAAAAACCATGAGACTTCCCCCTAGAGGCGAGATGAGGCCCCATTCCCCTGCAGTGCATGCAGAGCTATTCCGTGATCCCATTCAGACAAGTCAGGAGCTTCCACTTGCTTAATGGATCTCGAGACAGTCCCCAAGAACACTGTCACCAGTCTGGACGGACCCTGAGGTCACCCCAGCAACGCAAAGCAGCTCCATGTGCCCCAAATCAACTCGAGATGAGGCCCGATTCCCCTGCATTGACTCCAGAGCCATTCCCCGTTCCCCATTCAACACGACCGGTGGCTCGACTTCCTTCAGGCAACTCCAGAGATGCCCCGAGAACACTGTCCCAAGTCTAGAGGAACACCAACTTCAGCACAGCAACTCGAGGAATGCTCCGTGTACCCCAAATCGTCTCGAGATGCGAGCTGATTCCCTGGCTTAGGCTCAAGACCTATGCCAACTCCCCAGAAGCACCTCAGGACGAGGCTTCTCTCAGCAATAGGTATGTGGGAGGGACCCCGAGTTTGCTGCCTCAAGGGGAATATACAGCGAGAAGCCCTAACTTGAAAGGAGGCCGGATTTCCTTGCAGTGGCTTGAATACAGGCTCGTCTTTCATCTCACAACATTAAGGGATGTCTGAATCCCCTGTGGAGACCTTAGAGAAAGCCCTAGGTCCCTGCCTCATTTTGACGGAATGCCTCACATCCCGCTGACACCTCGAGAGGCACGCGGAGTTCATTGCTTCAAAAGGTGACGATGCCTGACTCCTCTTGAATACTGATAGGAATCCCAAAATCCCTGTGGCTACTGGAAAGGGTCCTTGGGTGCCCTGCCTCACCTCGAGAAGCGTCCCTTTTGCCCTGCCAAGCCTCGAAGAGATTCCTGAGGTGTCCCTCGTTACTAGACAGGAGTCCTGACGTCACTGAAGAAACTCGTGTTTTGAAGGGCCATCCCCGCCGTAAGTCGAGAACATACCCCAGGTCCCCGCCGCAACTCGAGAAAAACCATGAGACTTCCCCCTAGAAGCGAGATGAGGCCCCATTCCCCTGCAGTGCATGCAGAGCTATTCCGTGATCCCATTCAAACAAGTCAGGAGCTTCCACTTGCTTAATGGATCTCGAGACAGTCCCCAAGAACACTGTCACCAGTCTAGACGGACCCTGAGTTCACCCCAGCAACGCAAAGCAGCTCCATGTGCCCCAAATCAACTCGAGATGAGGCCCGATTCCCCTGCATTGACTCCAGAGCCATTCCCCGTTCCCCATTCAACACGACCGGTGGCTCGACTTCCTTCAGGCAACTCCAGAGATGCCCCGAGAACACTGTCCCAAGTCTAGAGGAACACCAACTTCAGCACAGCAGCTCGAGGAATGCTCCGTGTACCCCAAATCGTCTCGAGATGAGAGCTGATTCCCTGGCTTAGCCTCAAGACCTATGCCAACTTCCCAGAAGCACCTCAGGAGGAGGCTTCTCTCAGCAATAGGTATGTGGGAGGGACCCCGAGTTTGCTGCCTCAAGGCGAATATACAGCGAGAAGCCCTAACTTGAAAGGAGGCCGGATTTCCTTGCAGTGGCTTGAATACAGGCTCGTCTTTCATCTCACAACATGAAGGGATGTCTGAATCCCCTGTGGAGACCTTAGAGAAAGCCCTAGGTCCCTGCCTCATTTTGACGGAATGCCTCACATCCCGCTGACACCTCGAGAGGCACGCGGAGTTCATTGCTTCAAAAGGTGACGATGCATGACTCCTCTTGAATACTGATAGGAATCCCAAAATCCCTGTGGCTACTGGAAAGGGTCCTTGGGTGCCCTGCCTCACCTCGAGAAGCGTCCCTTTTGCCCTGCCAAGCCTCGAAGAGATTCCTGAGGTGTCCCTCGTTACTAGACAGGAGTCCTGACGTCACTGAAGAAACTCGTGTTTTGAAGGGCCATCCCCGCCGTAAGTCGAGAACATACCCCAGGTCCCCGCCGCAACTCGAGAAAAACCATGAGACTTCCCCCTAGAGGCGAGATGAGGCCCCATTCCCCTGCAGTGCATGCAGAGCTATTCCGTGATCCCATTCAAACAAGTCAGGAGCTTCGACTTGCTTAATGGATCTCGAGACAGTCCTCAAGAACACTGTCACCAGTCTAGACGGAACCTGAGGTCACCCCAGCAACGCAAAGCAGCTCCATGTGCCCCAAATCAACTCGAGATGAGGCCCGATTCCCCTGCATTGACTCCAGAGCCATTCCCCGTTCCCCATTCAACACGACCGGTGGCTCGACTTCCTTCAGGCAACTCCAGAGATGCCCCGAGAACACTGTCCCAAGTCTAGAGGAACACCAACTTCAGCACAGCAACTCGAGGAATGCTCCGTGTACCCCAAATCGTCTCGAGATGAGAGCTGATTCCCTGGCTTAGGCTCAAGACGTATGCCAACTTCCCAGAAGCACCTCAGGAGGAGGCTTCTCTCAGCAATAGGTATGTGGGAGGGACCCCGAGTTTGCTGCCTCAAGGGGAATATACAGCGAGAAGCCCTAACTTGAAAGGAGGCCGGATTTCCTTGCAGTGGCTTGAATACAGGCTCGTCTTTCATCTCACAACATGAAGGGATGTCTGAATCCCCTGTGGAGACCTTAGAGAAAGCCCTAGGTCCCTGCCTCATTTTGACGGAATGCCTCACATCCCGCTGACACCTCGAGAGGCACGCGGAGTTCATTGCTTCAAAAGGTGACGATGCCTGACTCCTCTTGAATACTGATAGGAATCCCAAAATCCCTGTGGCTACTGGAAAGGGTCCTTGGGTGCCCTGCCTCACCTCGAGAAGCGTCCCTTTTGCCCTGCCAAGCCTCGAAGAGATTCCTGAGGTGTCCCGCGTTACTAGACAGGAGTCCTGACGTCACTGAAGAAACTCGTGTTTTGAAGGGCCATCCCCGCCGTAAGTCGAGAACATACCCCAGGTCCCCGCCGCAACTCGAGAAAAACCATGAGACTTCCCCCTAGAGGCGAGATGAGGCCCCATTCCCCTGCAGTGCATGCAGAGCTATTCTGTGATCCCATTCAAACAAGTCAGGAGCTTCCACTTGCTTAATGGATCTCGAGACAGTCACCAAGAACACTGTCACCAGTCTGGACGGACCCTGAGGTCACCCCAGCAACGCAAAGCAGCTCCATGTGCCCCAAATCAACTCGAGATGAGGCCCGATTCCCCTGCATTGACTCCAGAGCCATTCCCCGTTCCCCATTCAACACGACCGGTGGCTCGACTTCCTTCAGGCAACTCCAGAGATGCCCCGAGAACACTGTCCCAAGTCTAGAGGAACACCAACTTCAGCACAGCAACTCGAGGAATGCTCCGTGTACCCCAAATCGTCTCGAGATGAGAGCTGATTCCCTGGCTTAGGCTCAAGACGTATGCCAACTACCCAGAAGCACCTCAGGAGGAGGCTTCTCTCAGCAATAGGTATGTGGGAGGGAACCCGAGTTTGCTGCCTCAAGGCGAATATACAGCGAGAAGCCCTAACTTGAAAGGAGGCCGGATTTCCTTGCAGTGGCTTGAATACAGGCTCGTCTTTCATCTCACAACATGAAGGGATGTCTGAATCCCCTGTGGAGACCTTAGAGAAAGCCCTAGGTCCCTGCCTCATTTTGACGGAATGCCTCACATCGCGCTGACACCTCGAGAGGCACGCGGAGTTCATTGCTTCAAAAGGTGACGATGCCTGACTCCTCTTGAATACTGATAGGAATTCCAAAATCCCTGTGGCTACTGGAAAGGGACCTTGGGTGCCCTGCCTCCCCTCGAGAAGCGTCCCTTTTGCCCTGCCAAGCCTCGAAGAGATTCCTGAGGTGTCCCTCGTTACTAGACAGGAGTCCTGACGTCACTGAAGAAACTCGTGTTTTGAAGGGCCATCCCCGCCGTAAGTCGAGAACATACCCCAGGTCCCCGCCGCAACTCGAGAAAAACCATGAGACTTCCCCCTAGAGGCGAGATGAGGCCCCATTCCCCTGCAGTGCATGCAGAGCTATTCCGTGATCCCATTCAGACAAGTCAGGAGCTTCCACTTGCTTAATGGATCTCGAGACAGTCCCCAAGAACACTGTCACCAGTCTGGACGGACCCTGAGGTCACCCCAGCAACGCAAAGCAGCTCCATGTGCCCCAAATCAACTCGAGATGAGGCCCGATTCCCCTGCATTGACTCCAGAGCCATTCCCCGTTCCCCATTCAACACGACCGGTGGCTCGACTTCCTTCAGGCAACTCCAGAGATGCCCCGAGAACACTGTCCCAAGTCTAGAGGAACACCAACTTCAGCACAGCAACTCGAGGAATGCTCCGTGTACCCCAAATCGTCTCGAGATGCGAGCTGATTCCCTGGCTTAGGCTCAAGACCTATGCCAACTCCCCAGAAGCACCTCAGGACGAGGCTTCTCTCAGCAATAGGTATGTGGGAGGGACCCCGAGTTTGCTGCCTCAAGGGGAATATACAGCGAGAAGCCCTAACTTGAAAGGAGGCCGGATTTCCTTGCAGTGGCTTGAATACAGGCTCGTCTTTCATCTCACAACATGAAGGGATGTCTGAATCCCCTGTGGAGACCTTAGAGAAAGCCCTAGGTCCCTGCCTCATTTTGACGGAATGCCTCACATCGCGCTGACACCTCGAGAGGCACGCGGAGTTCATTGCTTCAAAAGGTGACGATGCCTGACTCCTCTTGAATACTGATAGGAATCCCAAAATCCCTGTGGCTACTGGAAAGGGTCCTTGGGTGCCCTGCCTCACCTCGAGAAGCGTCCCTTTTGCCCTGCCAAGCCTCGAAGAGATTCCTGAGGTGTCCCTCGTTACTAGACAGGAGTCCTGACGTCACTGAAGAAACTCGTGTTTTGAAGGGCCATCCCCGCCGTAAGTCGAGAACATACCCCAGGTCCCCGCCGAAACTCGAGAAAAACCATGAGACTTCCCCTAGAGGCGAGATGAGGCCCCATTCCCCTGCAGTGCATGCAGAGCTATTCCGTGATCCCATTCAAACAAGTCAGGAGCTTCCACTTGCTTAATGGATCTCGAGACAGTCCCCAAGAACACTGTCACCAGTCTGGACGGACCCTGAGGTCACCCCAGCAATGCAAAGCAGCTCCATGTGCCCCAAATCAACTCGAGATGAGGCCCGATTCCCCTGCATTGACTCCAGAGCCATTCCCCGTTCCCCATTCAACACGACCGGTGGCTCGACTTCCTTCAGGCAACTCCAGAGATGCCCCGAGAACACTGTCCCAAGTCTAGAGGAACACCAACTTAAGCACAGCAACTCGAGGAATGCTCCGTGTACCCCAAATCGTCTCGAGATGAGAGCTGATTCCCTGGCTTAGGCTCAAGACGTATGCCAACTTCCCAGAAGCACCTCAGGAGGAGGCTTCTCTCAGCAATAGGTATGTGGGAGGGACCCCAAGGTTGCTGCCTCAAGGGGAATATACAGCGAGAAGCCCTAACTTGAAAGGAGGCCGGATTTCCTTGCAGTGGCTTGAATACAGGCTCGTCTTTCATCTCACAACATGAAGGGATGTCTGAATCCCCTGTGGAGACCTTAGAGAAAGCCCTAGGTCCCTGCCTCATTTTGACGGAATGCCTCACATCGCGCTGACACCTCGAGAGGCACGCGGAGTTCATTGCTTCAAAAGGTGACGATGCCTGACTCCTCTTGAATACTGATAGGAATCCCAAAATCCCTGTGGCTACTGGAAAGGGTCCTTGGGTGCCCTGCCTCACCTCGAGAAGCGTCCCTTTTGCCCTGCCAAGCCTCGAAGAGATTCCTGAGGTGTCCCTCGTTACTAGACAGGAGTCCTGACGTCACTGAAGAAACTCGTGTTTTGAAGGGCCATCCCCGCCGTAAGTCGAGAACATACCCCAGGTCCCCGCCGCAACTAGAGAAAAACCATGAGACTTCCCCCTAGAGGCGAGATGAGGCCCCATTCCCCTGCAGTGCATGCAGAGCTATTCCGTGATCCCATTCAAACAAGTCAGGAGCTTCGACTTGCTTAATGGATCTCGAGACAGTCCCCAAGAACACTGTCACCAGTCTGGACGGACCCTGAGGTCACCCCAGCAACGCAAAGCAGCTCCATGTGCCCCAAATCAACTCGAGATGAGGCCCGATTCCCCTGCATTGACTCCAGAGCCATTCCCCGTTCCCCATTCAACACGACCGGTGGCTCGACTTCCTTCATTCAACTCCAGAGATGCCCCGAGAACACTGTCCCAAGTCTAGAGGAACACCAACTTCAGCACAGCAACTCGAGGAATGCTCCGTGTACCCCAAATCGTCTCGAGATGCGAGCTGATTCCCTGGCTTAGGCTCAAGACGTATGCCAACTCCCCAGAAGCACCTCAGGAGGAGGCTTCTCTCAGCAATAGGTATGTGGGAGGGACCCCGAGTTTGCTGCCTCAAGGGGAATATACAGCGAGAAGCCCTAACTTGAAAGGAGGCCGGATTTCCTTGCAGTGGCTTGAATACAGGCTCGTCTTTCATCTCACAACATTAAGGGATGTCTGTATCCCCTGTGGAGACCTTAGAGAAAGCCCTAGGTCCCTGCCTCATTTTGACGGAATGCCTCACATCCCGCTGACACCTCGAGAGGCACGCGGAGTTCATTGCTTCAAAAGGTGACGATGCCTGACTCCTCTTGAATACTGATAGGAATCCCAAAATCCCTGTGGCTACTGGAAAGGGTCCTTGGGTGCCCTGCCTCACCTCGAGAAGCGTCCCTTTTGCCCTGCCAAGCCTCGAAGAGATTCCTGAGGTGTCCCTCGTTACTAGACAGGAGTCCTGACGTCACTGAAGAAACTCGTGTTTTGAAGGGCCATCCCCGCCGTAAGTCGAGAACATACCCCAGGTCCCCGCCGCAACTCGAGAAAAACCATGAGACTTCCCCCTAGAGGCGAGATGAGGCCCCATTCCCCTGCAGTGCATGCAGAGCTATTCCGTGATCCCATTCAAACAAGTCAGGAGCTTCCACTTGCTTAATGGATCTCGAGACAGTCCCCAAGAACACTGTCACCAGTCTAGACGGACCCTGAGTTCACCCCAGCAACGCAAAGCAGCTCCATGTGCCCCAAATCAACTCGAGATGAGGCCCGATTCCCCTGCATTGACTCCAGAGCCATTCCCCGTTCCCCATTCAACACGACCGGTGGCTCGACTTCCTTCAGGCAACTCCAGAGATGCCCCGAGAACACTGTCCCAAGTCTAGAGGAACACCAACTTCAGCACAGCAGCTCGAGGAATGCTCCGTGTACCCCAAATCGTCTCGAGATGAGAGCTGATTCCCTGGCTTAGCCTCAAGACCTATGCCAACTTCCCAGAAGCACCTCAGGAGGAGGCTTCTCTCAGCAATAGGTATGTGGGAGGGACCCCGAGTTTGCTGCCTCAAGGCGAATATACAGCGAGAAGCCCTAACTTGAAAGGAGGCCGGATTTCCTTGCAGTGGCTTGAATACAGGCTCGTCTTTCATCTCACAACATGAAGGGATGTCTGAATCCCCTGTGGAGACCTTAGAGAAAGCCCTAGGTCCCTGCCTCATTTTGACGGAATGCCTCACATCCCGCTGACACCTCGAGAGGCACGCGGAGTTCATTGCTTCAAAAGGTGACGATGCATGACTCCTCTTGAATACTGATAGGAATCCCAAAATCCCTGTGGCTACTGGAAAGGGTCCTTGGGTGCCCTGCCTCACCTCGAGAAGCGTCCCTTTTGCCCTGCCAAGCCTCGAAGAGATTCCTGAGGTGTCCCTCGTTACTAGACAGGAGTCCTGACGTCACTGAAGAAACTCGTGTTTTGAAGGGCCATCCCCGCCGTAAGTCGAGAACATACCCCAGGTCCCCGCCGCAACTCGAGAAAAACCATGAGACTTCCCCCTAGAGGCGAGATGAGGCCCCATTCCCCTGCAGTGCATGCAGAGCTATTCCGTGATCCCATTCAAACAAGTCAGGAGCTTCGACTTGCTTAATGGATCTCGAGACAGTCCTCAAGAACACTGTCACCAGTCTAGACGGAACCTGAGGTCACCCCAGCAACGCAAAGCAGCTCCATGTGCCCCAAATCAACTCGAGATGAGGCCCGATTCCCCTGCATTGACTCCAGAGCCATTCCCCGTTCCCCATTCAACACGACCGGTGGCTCGACTTCCTTCAGGCAACTCCAGAGATGCCCCGAGAACACTGTCCCAAGTCTAGAGGAACACCAACTTCAGCACAGCAACTCGAGGAATGCTCCGTGTACCCCAAATCGTCTCGAGATGAGAGCTGATTCCCTGGCTTAGGCTCAAGACGTATGCCAACTTCCCAGAAGCACCTCAGGAGGAGGCTTCTCTCAGCAATAGGTATGTGGGAGGGACCCCGAGTTTGCTGCCTCAAGGGGAATATACAGCGAGAAGCCCTAACTTGAAAGGAGGCCGGATTTCCTTGCAGTGGCTTGAATACAGGCTCGTCTTTCATCTCACAACATGAAGGGATGTCTGAATCCCCTGTGGAGACCTTAGAGAAAGCCCTAGGTCCCTGCCTCATTTTGACGGAATGCCTCACATCGCGCTGACACCTCGAGAGGCACGCGGAGTTCATTGCTTCAAAAGGTGACGATGCCTGACTCCTCTTGAATACTGATAGGAATCCCAAAATCCCTGTGGCTACTGGAAAGGGTCCTTGGGTGCCCTGCCTCACCTCGAGAAGCGTCCCTTTTGCCCTGCCAAGCCTCGAAGAGATTCCTGAGGTGTCCCTCGTTACTAGACAGGAGTCCTGACGTCACTGAAGAAACTCGTGTTTTGAAGGGCCATCCCCGCCGTAAGTCGAGAACATACCCCAGGTCCCCGCCGCAACTCGAGAAAAACCATGAGACTTCCCCCTAGAGGCGAGATGAGGCCCCATTCCCCTGCAGTGCATGCAGAGCTATTCCGTGATCCCATTCAAACAAGTCAGGAGCTTCCACTTGCTTAATGGATCTCGAGACAGTCACCAAGAACACTGTCACCAGTCTAGACGGACCCTGAGGTCACCCCAGCAACGCAAAGCAGCTCCATGTGCCCCAAATCAACTCGAGATGAGGCCCGATTCCCCTGCATTGACTCCAGAGCCATTCCCCGTTCCCCATTCAACACGACCGGTGGCTCGACTTCCTTCAGGCAACTCCAGAGATGCCCCGAGAACACTGTCCCAAGTCTAGAGGAACACCAACTTCAGCACAGCAACTCGAGGAATGCTCCGTGTACCCCAAATCGTCTCGAGATGCGAGCTGATTCCCTGGCTTAGGCTCAAGACGTATGCCAACTCCCCAGAAGCACCTCAGGAGGAGGCTTCTCTCAGCAATAGGTATGTGGGAGGGACCCCGAGTTTGCTGCCTCAAGGGGAATATACAGCGAGAAGCCCTAACTTGAAAGGAGGCCGGATTTCCTTGCAGTGGCTTGAATACAGGCTCGTCTTTCATCTCACAACATGAAGGGATGTCTGAATCCCCTGTGGAGACCTTAGAGAAAGCCCTAGGTCCCTGCCTCATTTTGACGGAATGCCTCACATCCCGCTGACACCTCGAGAGGCACGCGGAGTTCATTGCTTCAAAAGGTGACGATGCCTGACTCCTCTTGAATACTGATAGGAATCCCAAAATCCCTGTGGCTACTGGAAAGGGTCCTTGGGTGCCCTGCCTCACCTCGAGAAGCGTCCCTTTTGCCCTGCCAAGCCTCGAAGAGATTCCTGAGGTGTCCCTCGTTACTAGACAGGAGTCCTGACGTCACTGAAGAAACTCGTGTTTTGAAGGGCCATCCCCGCCGTAAGTCGAGAACATACCCCAGGTCCCCGCCGCAACTCGAGAAAAACCATGAGACTTCCCCCTAGAGGCGAGATGAGGCCCCATTCCCCTGCAGTGCATGCAGAGCTATTCCGTGATCCCATTCAAACAAGTCAGGAGCTTCCACTTGCTTAATGGATCTCGAGACAGTCCCCAAGAACACTGTCACCAGTCTAGACGGACCCTGAGGTCACCCCAGCAACGCAAAGCAGCTCCATGTGCCCCAAATCAACTCGAGATGAGGCCCGATTCCCCTGCATTGACTCCAGAGCCATTCCCCGTTCCCCATTCAACACGACCGGTGGCTCGACTTCCTTCAGGCAACTCCAGAGATGCCCCGAGAACACTGTCCCAAGTCTAGAGGAACACCAACTTCAGCACAGCAGCTCGAGGAATGCTCCGTGTACCCCAAATCGTCTCGAGATGAGAGCTGATTCCCTGGCTTAGGCTCAAGACCTATGCCAACGTCTCAGAAGCACATCAGGAGGAGGCTTCTCTCAGCAATAGGTATGTGGGAGGGACCCCGAGTTTGCTGCCTCAAGGGGAATATACAGCGAGAAGCCCTAACTTGAAAGGAGGCCGGATTTCCTTGCAGTGGCTTGAATACAGGCTCGTCTTTCATCTCACAACATGAAGGGATGTCTGAATCCCCTGTGGAGACCTTAGAGAAAGCCCTAGGTCCCTGCCTCATTTTGACGGAATGCCTCACATCCCGCTGACACCTCGAGAGGCACGCGGAGTTCATTGCTTCAAAAGGTGACGATGCCTGACTCCTCTTGAATACTGATAGGAATCCCAAAATCCCTGTGGCTACTGGAAAGGGTCCTTGGGTGCCCTGCCTCACCCCTAGAAGCGTCCCTTTTGCCCTGCCAAGCCTCGAAGAGATTCCTGAGGTGTCCCTCGTTACTAGACAGGAGTCCTGACGTCACTGAAGAAACTCGTGTTTTGAAGGGCCATCCCCGCCGTAAGTCGAGAACATACCCCAGGTCCCCGCCGCAACTCGAGAAAAACCATGAGACTTCCCCCTAGAGGCGAGATGAGGCCCCATTCCCCTGCAGTGCATGCAGAGCTATTCCGTGATCCCATTCAAACAAGTCAGGAGCTTCGACTTGCTTAATGGATCTCGAGACAGTCCCCAAGAACACTGTCACCAGTCTAGACGGACCCTGAGGTCACCCCAGCAACGCAAAGCAGCTCCATGTGCCCCAAATCAACTCGAGATGAGGCCCGATTCCCCTGCATTGACTCCAGAGCCATTCCCCGTTCCCCATTCAACACGACCGGTGGCTCGACTTCCTTCAGGCAACTCCAGAGATGCCCCGAGAACACTGTCCCAAGTCTAGAGGAACACCAACTTCAGCACAGCAGCTCGAGGAATGCTCCGTGTACCCCAAATCGTCTCGAGATGCGAGCTGATTCCCTGGCTTAGGCTCAAGACGTATGCCAACTCCCCAGAAGCACCTCAGGAGGAGGCTTCTCTCAGCAATAGATATGTGGGAGGGACCCCGAGTTTGCTGCCTCAAGGGGAATATACAGCGAGAAGCCCTAACTTGAAAGGAGGCCGGATTTCCTTGCAGTGGCTTGAATACAGGCTCGTCTTTCATCTCACAACATGAAGGGATGTCTGAATCCCCTGTGGAGACCTTAGAGAAAGCCCTAGGTCCCTGCCTCATTTTGACGGAATGCCTCACATCGCGCTGACACCTCGAGAGGCACGCGGAGTTCATTGCTTCAAAAGGTGACGATGCCTGACTCCTCTTGAATACTGATAGGAATCCCAAAATCCCTGTGGCTACTGGAAAGGGTCCTTGGGTGCCCTGCCTCACCTCGAGAAGCGTCCCTTTTGCCCTGCCAAGCCTCGAAGAGATTCCTGAGGTGTCCCTCGTTACTAGACAGGAGTCCTGACGTCACTGAAGAAACTCGTGTTTTGAAGGGCCATCCCCGCCGTAAGTCGAGAACATACCCCAGGTCCCCGCCGCAACTCGAGAAAAACCATGAGACTTCCCCCTAGAGGCGAGATGAGGCCCCATTCCCCTGCAGTGCATGCAGAGCTATTCCGTGATCCCATTCAAACAAGTCAGGAGCTTCGACTTGCTTAATGGATCCCGAGACAGTCCCCAAGAACACTGTCACCAGTCTGGACGGACCCTGAGGTCACCCCAGCAACGCAAAGCAGCTCCATGTGCCCCAAATCAACTCGAGATGAGGCCCGATTCCCCTGCATTGACTCCAGAGCCATTCCCCGTTCCCCATTCAACACGACCGGTGGCTCGACTTCCTTCAGGCAACTCCAGAGATGCCCCGAGAACACTGTCCCAAGTCTAGAGGAACACCAACTTCAGCACAGCAACTCGAGGAATGCTCCGTGTACCCCAAATCGTCTCGAGATGCGAGCTGATTCCCTGGCTTAGGCTCAAGACGTATGCCAACTCCCCAGAAGCACCTCAGGAGGAGGCTTCTCTCAGCAATAGGTATGTGGGAGGGACCCCGAGTTTGCTGCCTCAAGGGGAATATACAGCGAGAAGCCCTAACTTGAAAGGAGGCCGGATTTCCTTGCAGTGGCTTGAATACAGGCTCGTCTTTCATCTCACAACATGAAGGGATGTCTGAATCCCCTGTGGAGACCTTAGAGAAAGCCCTAGGTCCCTGCCTCATTTTGACGGAATGCCTCACATCCCGCTGACACCTCGAGAGGCACGCGGAGTTCATTGCTTCAAAAGGTGACGATGCCTGACTCCTCTTGAATACTGATAGGAATCCCAAAATCCCTGTGGCTACTGGAAAGGGTCCTTGGGTGCCCTGCCTCACCTCGAGAAGCGTCCCTTTTGCCCTGCCAAGCCTCGAAGAGATTCCTGAGGTGTCCCTCGTTACTAGACAGGAGTCCTGACGTCACTGAAGAAACTCGTGTTTTGAAGGGCCATCCCCGCCGTAAGTCGAGAACATACCCCAGGTCCCCGCCGCAACTCGAGAAAAACCATGAGACTTCCCCCTAGAGGCGAGATGAGGCCCCATTCCCCTGCAGTGCATGCAGAGCTATTCCGTGATCCCATTCAAACAAGTCAGGAGCTTCGACTTGCTTAATGGATCTCGAGACAGTCCCCAAGAACACTGTCACCAGTCTAGACGGACCCTGAGGTCACCCCAGCAACGCAAAGCAGCTCCATGTGCCCAAAATCAACTCGAGATGAGGCCCGATTCCCCTGCATTGACTCCAGAGCCATTCCCCGTTCCCCATTCAACACGACCGGTGGCTCGACTTCCTTCAGGCAACTCCAGAGATGCCCCGAGAACACTGTCCCAAGTCTAGAGGAACACCAACTTCAGCACAGCAGCTCGAGGAATGCTCCGTGTACCCCAAATCGTCTCGAGATGAGAGCTGATTCCCTGGCTTAGGCTCAAGACCTATGCCAACTTCCCAGAAGCACCTCAGGAGGAGGCTTCTCTCAGCAATAGGTATGTGGGAGGGACCCCGAGTTTGCTGCCTCAAGGCGAATATACAGCGAGAAGCCCTGACTTGAAAGGAGGCCGGATTTCCTTGCAGTGGCTTGAATACAGGCTCGTCTTTCATCTCACAACATGAAGGGATGTCTGAATCCCCTGTGGAGACCTTAGAGAAAGCCCTAGGTCCCTGCCTCATTTTGACGGAATGCCTCACATCCCGCTGACACCTCGAGAGGCACGCGGAGTTCATTGCTTCAAAAGGTGACGATGCCTGACTCCTCTTGAATACTGATAGGAGTCCCAAAATCCCTGTGGCTACTGGAAAGGGTCCTTGGGTGCCCTGCCTCACCTCGAGAAGCGTCCCTTTTGCCCTGCCAAGCCTCGAACAGATTCCTGAGGTGTCCCTCGTTACTAGACAGGAGTCCTGACGTCACTGAAGAAACTCGTGTTTTGAAGGGCCATCCCCGCCGTAAGTCGAGAACATAGCCCAGGTCCCCGCCGCAACTCGAGAAAAACCATGAGACTTCCCCCTAGAGGCGAGATGAGGCCCCATTCCCCTGCAGTGCATGCAGAGCTATTCCGTGATCCCATTCAAACAAGTCAGGAGCTTCGACTTGCTTAATGGATCTCGAGACAGTCCTCAAGAACACTGTCACCAGTCTAGACAGACCCTGAGGTCACCCCAGCAGCGCAAAGCAGCTCCATGTGCCCCAAATCAACTCGAGATGAGGCCCGATTCCCCTGCATTGACTCCAGAGCCATTCCCCGTTCCCCATTCAACACGACCGGTGGCTCGACTTCCTTCAGGCAACTCCAGAGATGCCCCGAGAACACTGTCCCAAGTCTAGAGGAACACCAACTTCAGCACAGCAGCTCGAGGAATGCTCCGTGTACCCCAAATCGTCTCGAGATGCGAGCTGATTCCCTGGCTTAGGCTCAAGACGTATGCCAACTTCCCAGAAGCACCTCAGGAGGAGGCTTCTCTCAGCAATAGTTATGTGGGAGGGACCCCGAGTTTGCTGCCTCAAGGGGAATATACAGCGAGAAGCCCTAACTTGAAAGGAGGCCGGATTTCCTTGCAGTGGCTTGAATACAGGCTCGTCTTTCATCTCACAACATGAAGGGATGTCTGAATCCCCTGTGGAGACCTTAGAGAAAGCCCTAGGTCCCTGCCTCATTTTGACGGAATGCCTCACATCCCGCTGACACCTCGAGAGGCACGCGGAGTTCATTGCTTCAAAAGGTGACGATGCCTGACTCCTCTTGAATACTGATAGGAATCCCCAAATCCCTGTGGCTACTGGAAAGGGTCCTTGGGTGCCCTGCCTCACCTCGAGAAGCGTCCCTTTTGCCCTGCCAAGCCTCGAAGAGATTCCTGAGGTGTCCCTCGTTACTAGACAGGAGTCCTGACGTCACTGAAGAAACTCGTGTTTTGAAGGGCCATCCCCGCCGTAAGTCGAGAACATACCCCAGGTCCCCGCCGCAACTCGAGAAAAACCATGAGACTTCCCCCTAGAGGCCAGATGAGGCCCCATTCCCCTGCAGTGCATGCAGAGCTATTCCGTGATCCCATTCAAACAAGTCAGGAGCTTCGACTTGCTTAATGGATCTCGAGACAGTCCCCAAGAACACTGTCACCTGTCTAGACGGACCCTGAGGTCACCCCAGCAACGCAAAGCAGCTCCATGTGCCCCAAATCAACTCGAGATGAGGCCCGATTCCCCTGCATTGACTCCAGAGACATTCCCCGTTCCCCATTCAACACGACCGGTGGCTCGACTTCCTTCAGGCAACTCCAGAGATGCCCCGAGAACACTGTCCCAAGTCTAGAGGAACACCAACTTCAGCACAGCAACTCGAGGAATGCTCCGTGTACCACAAATCGTCTCGAGATGAGAGCTGATTCCCTGGCTTAGGCTCAAGACCTATGCCAACTTCCCAGAAGCACCTCAGGAGGAGGCTTCTCTCAGCAATAGGTATGTGGGAGGGACCCCGAGTTTGCTGCCTCAAGGGGAATATACAGCGAGAAGCCCTAACTTGAAAAGAGGCCGGATTTCCTTGCAGTGGCTTGAATACAGGCTCGTCTTTCATCTCACAACATGAAGGGATGTCTGAATCCCCTGTGGAGACCTTAGAGAAAGCCCTAGGTCCCTGCCTCATTTTGACGGAATGCCTCACATCCCGCTGACACCTCGAGAGGCACGCGGAGTTCATTGCTTCAAAAGGTGACGATGCCTGACTCCTCTTGAATACTGATAGGAATCCCAAAATCCCTGTGGCTACTGGAAAGGGTCCTTGGGTGCCCTGCCTCACCTCGAGAAGCGTCCCTTTTGCCCGGCCAAGCCTCGAAGAGATTCCTGAGGTGTCCCTCATTACTAGACAGGAGTCCTGACGTCACTGAAGAAACTCGTGTTTTGAAGGGCCATCCCCGCCGTAAGTCGAGAACATACCCCAGGTCCCCGCCGCAACTCGAGAAAAACCATGAGACTTCCCCCTAGAGGCGAGATGAGGCCCCATTCCCCTGCAGTGCATGCAGAGCTATTCCGTGATCCCATTCAAACAAGTCAGGAGCTTCGACTTGCTTAATGGATCTCGAGACAGTCCCTAAGAACACTGTCACCAGTCTGGACGGACCCTGAGGTCACCCCAGCAACGCAAAGCAGCTCCATGTGCCCCAAATCAACTCGAGATGAGGCCCGATTCCCCTGCATTGACTCCAGAGCCATTCCCCGTTCCCCATTCAACACGACCGGTGGCTCGACTTCCTTCAGGCAACTCCAGAGATGCCCCGAGAACACTGTCCCAAGTCTAGAGGAACACCAACTTCAGCACAGCAACTCGAGGAATGCTCCGTGTACCCCAAATCGTCTCGAGATGCGAGCTGATTCCCTGGCTTAGGATCAAGACGTATGCCAACTCCCCAGAAGCACCTCAGGAGGAGGCTTCTCTCAGCAAATAGATCTTTGGGAGGGACCCCGAGTTTGCTGCCTCAAGGGGAATATACAGCGAGAAGCCCTAACTTGAAAGGAGGCCGGATTTCCTTGCAGTGGCTTGAATACAGGCTCGTCTTTCATCTCACAACATGAAGGGATGTCTGAATCCCCTGTGGAGACCTTAGAGAAAGCCCTAGGTCCCTGCCTCATTTTGACGGAATGCCTCACATCCCGCTGACACCTCGAGAGGCACGCGGAGTTCATTGCTTCAAAAGGTGACGATGCCTGACTCCTCTTGAATACTGATAGGAATCCCAAAATCCCTGTGGCTACTGGAAAGGGTCCTTGGGTGCCCTGCCTCACCTCGAGAAGCGTCCCTTTTGCCCTGCCAAGCCTCGAAGAGATTCCTGAGGTGTCCCTCGTTACTAGACAGGAGTCCTGACGTCACTGAAGAAACTCGTGTTTTGAAGGGCCATCCCCGCCGTAAGTCGAGAACATACCCCAGGTCCCCGCCGCAACTCGAGAAAAACCATGAGACTTCCCCCTAGAGGCGAGATGAGGCCCCATTCCCCTGCAGTGCATGCAGAGCTATTCCGTGATCCCATTCAAACAAGTCAGGAGCTTCGACTTGCTTAATGGATCTCGAGACAGTCCCCAAGAACACTGTCACCAGTCTAGACGGAACCTGAGGTCACCCCAGCAACGCAAAGCAGCTCCATGTGCCCCAAATCAACTCGAGATGAGGCCCGATTCCCCTGCATTGACTCCAGAGCCATTCCCCGTTCCCCATTCAACACGACCGGTGGCTCGACTTCCTTCAGGCAACTCCAGAGATGCCCCGAGAACACTGTCCCAAGTCTAGAGGAACACCAACTTCAGCACAGCAACTCGAGGAATGCTCCGTGTACCCCAAATCGTCTCGAGATGAGAGCTGATTCCCTGGCTTAGGCTCAAGACGTATGCCAACTTCCCAGAAGCACCTCAGGAGGAGGCTTCTCTCAGCAATAGGTATGTGGGAGGGACCCCGAGTTTGCTGCCTCAAGGGGAATATACAGCGAGAAGCCCTAACTTGAAAGGAGGCCGGATTTCCTTGCAGTGGCTTGAATACAGGCTCGTCTTTCATCTCACAACATGAAGGGATGTCTGAATCCCCTGTGGAGACCTTAGAGAAAGCCCTAGGTCCCTGCCTCATTTTGACGGAATGCCTCACATCCCGCTGACACCTCGAGAGGCACGCGGAGTTCATTGCTTCAAAAGGTGACGATGCCTGACTCCTCTTGAATACTGATAGGAATCCCAAAATCCCTGTGGCTACTGGAAAGGGTCCTTGGGTGCCCTGCCTCACCTCGAGAAGCGTCCCTTTTGCCCTGCCAAGCCTCGAAGAGATTCCTGAGGTGTCCCTCGTTACTAGACAGGAGTCCTGACGTCACTGAAGAAACTCGTGTTTTGAAGGGCCATCCCCGCCGTAAGTCGAGAACATACCCCAGGTCCCCGCCGCAACTCGAGAAAAACCATGAGACTTCCCCCTAGAGGCGAGATGAGGCCCCATTCCCCTGCAGTGCATGCAGAGCTATTCCGTGATCCCATTCAAACAAGTCAGGAGCTTCCACTTGCTTAATGGATCTCGAGACAGTCCCCAAGAACACTGTCACCAGTCTAGACGGACCCTGAGGTCACCCCAGCAACGCAAAGCAGCTCCATGTGCCCCAAATCAACTCGAGATGAGGCCCGATTCCCCTGCATTGACTCCAGAGCCATTCCCCGTTCCCCATTCAACACGACCGGTGGCTCGACTTCCTTCAGGCAACTCCAGAGATGCCCCGAGTACACTGTCCCAAGTCTAGAGGAACACCAACTTCAGCACAGCAGCTCGAGGAATGCTCCGTGTACCCCAAATCGTCTCGAGATGAGAGCTGATTCCCTGGCTTAGGCTCAAGACGTATGCCAACTTCCCAGAAGCACCTCAGGAGGAGGCTTCTCTCAGCAATAGGTATGTGGGAGGGACCCCGAGTTTGCTGCCTCAAGGGGAATATACAGCGAGAAGCCCTAACTTGAAAGGAGGCCGGATTTCCTTGCAGTGGCTTGAATACAGGCTCGTCTTTCATCTCACAACATGAAGGGATGTCTGAATCCCCTGTGGAGACCTTAGAGAAAGCCCTAGGTCCCTGCCTCATTTTGACGGAATGCCTCACATCCCGCTGACACCTCGAGAGGCACGCGGAGTTCATTGCTTCAAAAGGTGACGATGCCTGACTCCTCTTGAATACTGATAGGAATCCCAAAATCCCTGTGGCTACTGGAAAGGGTCCTTGGGTGCCCTGCCTCACCTCGAGAAGCGTCCCTTTTGCCCTGCCAAGCCTCGAAGAGATTCCTGAGGTGTCCCTCGTTACTAGACAGGAGTCCTGACGTCACTGAAGAAACTCGTGTTTTGAAGGGCCATCCCCGCCGTAAGTCGAGAACATACCCCAGGTCCCCGCCGCAACTCGAGAAAAACCATGAGACTTCCCCCTAGAGGCGAGATGAGGCCCCATTCCCCTGCAGTGCATGCAGAGCTATTCCGTGATCCCATTCAAACAAGTCAGGAGCTTCCACTTGCTTAATGGATCTCGAGACAGACCCCAAGAACACTGTTACCAGTCTGGACGGACCCTGAGGTCACCCCAGCAACGCAAAGCAGCTCCATGTGCCCCAAATCAACTCGAGATGAGGCCCGATTCCCCTGCATTGACTCAAGAGCCATTCCCCGTTCCCCATTCAACACGACCGGTGGCTCGATTTCCTTCAGGCAACTCCAGAGATGCCCCGAGAACACTGTCCCAAGTCTAGAGGAACACCAACTTCAGCACAGCAACTCGAGGAATGCTCCGTGTACCCCAAATCGTCTCGAGATGAGAGCTGATTCCCTGGCTTAGGCTCAAGACGTATGCCAACTTCCCAGAAGCACCTCAGGAGGAGGCTTCTCTCAGCAATAGGTATGTGGGAGGGACCCCGAGTTTGCTGCCTCAAGGGGAATATACAGCGAGAAGCCCTAACTTGAAAGGAGGCCGGATTTCCTTGCAGTGGCTTGAATACAGGCTCGTCTTTCATCTCACAACATGAAGGGATGTCTGAATCCCCTGTGGAGACCTTAGAGAAAGCCATAGGTCCCTGCCTCATTTTGACGGAATGCCTCACATCGCGCTGACACCTCGAGAGGCACGCGGAGTTCATTGCTTCAAAAGGTGACGATGCCTGACTCCTCTTGAATACTGATAGGAATCCCAAAATCCCTGTGGCTACTGGAAAGGGTCCTTGGGTGCCCTGCCTCACCTCGAGAAGCGTCCCTTTTGCCCTGCCAAGCCTCGAAGAGATTCCTGAGGTGTCCCTCGTTACTAGACAGGAGTCCTGACGTCACTGAAGAAACTCGTGTTTTGAAGGGCCATCCCCGCCATAAGTCGAGAACATACCCCAGGTCCCCGCCGCAACTCGAGAAAAACCATGAGACTTCCCCCTAGAGGCGAGATGAGGCCCCATTCCCCTGCAGTGCATGCAGAGCTATTCCGTGATCCCATTCAAACAAGTCAGGAGCTTCGACTTGCTTAATGGATCTCGAGACAGTCCCCAAGAACACTGTCACCAGTCTGGACGGACCCTGAGGTCACCCCAGCAACGCAAAGCAGCTCCATGTGCCCCAAATCAACTCGAGATGAGGCCCGATTCCCCTGGATTGACTCCAGAGCCATTCCCCGTTCCCCATTCAACACGACCGGTGGCTCGACTTCCTTCAGGCAACTCCAGAGAAGCCCCGAGAACACTGTCCCAAGTCTAGAGGAACACCAACTTCAGCACAGCAACTCCAGGAATGCTCCGTGTACCCCAAATCGTCTCGAGATGCGAGCTGATTCCCTGGCTTAGGCTCAAGACGTATGCCAACTCCCCAGAAGCACCTCAGGAGGAGGCTTCTCTCAGCAATAGGTATGTGGGAGGGACCCCGAGTTTGCTGCCTCAAGGGGAATATACAGCGAGAAGCCCTAACTTGAAAGGAGGCCGGATTTCCTTGCAGTGGCTTGAATACAGGCTCGTCTTTCATCTCACAACATGAAGGGATGTCTGAATCCCCTGTGGAGACCTTAGAGAAAGCCCTAGGTCCCTGCCTCATTTTGACGGAATGCCTCACATCCCGCTGACACCTCGAGAGGCACGCGGAGTTCATTGCTTCAAAAGGTGACGATGCCTGACTCCTCTTGAATACTGATAGGAATCCCAAAATCCCTGTGGCTACTGGAAAGGGTCCTTGGGTGCCCTGCCTCACCTCGAGAAGCGTCCCTTTTGCCCTGCCAAGCCTCGAAGAGATTCCTGAGGTGTCCCTCGTTACTAGACAGGAGTCCTGACGTCACTGAAGAAACTCGTGTTTTGAAGGGCCATCCCCGCCGTAAGTCGAGAACATACCCCAGGTCCCCGCCGCAACTCGAGAAAAACCATGAGACTTCCCCCTAGAGGCGAGATGAGGCCCCATTCCCCTGCAGTGCATGCAGAGCTATTCCGTGATCCCATTCAAACAAGTCAGGAGCTTCCACTTGCTTAATGGATCTCGAGACAGTCCCCAAGAACACTGTCACCAGTGTAGACGGACCCTGAGGTCACCCCAGCAACGCAAAGCAGCTCCATGTGCCCCAAATCAACTCGAGATGAGGCCCGATTCCCCTGCATTGACTCCAGAGCCATTCCCCGTTCCCCATTCAACACGACCGGTGGCTCGACTTCCTTCAGGCAACTCCAGAGATGCCCCGAGAACACTGTCCCAAGTCTAGAGGAACACCAACTTCAGCACAGCAGCTCGAGGAATGCTCCGTGTACCCCAAATCGTCTCGAGATGCGAGCTGATTCCCTGGCTTAGGCTCAAGACGTATGCCAACTTCCCAGAAGCACCTCAGGAGGAGGCTTCTCTCAGCAATAGGTATGTGGGAGGGACCCCGAGTTTGCTGCCTCAAGGGGAATATACAGCGAGAAGCCCTAACTTGAAAGGAGGCCGCATTTCCTTGCAGTGGCTTGAATACAGGCTCGTCTTTCATCTCACAACATGAAGGGATGTCTGAATCCCCTGTGGAGACCTTAGAGAAAGCCCTAGGTCCCTGCCTCATTTTGACGGAATGCCTCACATCCCGCTGACACCTCGAGAGGCACGCGGAGTTCATTGCTTCAAAAGGTGACGATGCCTGACTCCTCTTGAATACTGATAGGAATCCCAAAATCCCTGTGGCTACTGGAAAGGGTCCTTGGGTGCCCTGCCTCACCTCGAGAAGCGTCCCTTTTGCCCTGCCAAGCCTCGAAGAGATTCCTGAGATGTCCCTCGTTACTAGACAGGAGTCCTGACGTCACTGAAGAAACTCGTGTTTTGAAGGGCCATCCCCGCCGTAAGTCGAGAACATAGCCCAGGTCCCCGCCGCAACTCGAGAAAAACCATGAGACTTCCCCCTAGAGGCGAGATGAGGCCCCATTCCCCTGCAGTGCATGCAGAGCTATTCCGTGATCCCATTCAAACAAGTCAGGAGCTTCCACTTGCTTAATGGATCTCGAGACAGTCCCCAAGAACACTGTCACCAGTCTGGACGGACCCTGAGGTCACCCCAGCAACGCAAAGCAGCTCCATGTGCCCCAAATCAACTCGAGATGAGGCCCGATTCCCCTGCATTGACTCCAGAGCCATTCCCCGTTCCCCATTCAACACGACCGGTGGCTCGACTTCCTTCAGGCAACTCCAGAGATGCCCCGAGAACACTGTCCCAAGTCTAGAGGAACACCAACTTCAGCACAGCAACTCGAGGAATGCTCCGTGTACCACAAATCGTCTCGAGATGAGAGCTGATTCCCTGGCTTAGGCTCAAGACCTATGCCAACTTCCTAGAAGCACCTCAGGAGGAGGCTTCTCTCAGCAATAGGTATGTGGGAGGGACCCCGAGTTTGCTGCCTCAAGGGGAATATACAGCGAGAAGCCCTAACTTGAAAAGAGGCCGGATTTCCTTGCAGGGGCTTGAATACAGGCTCGTCTTTCATCTCACAACATGAAGGGATGTCTGAATCCCCTGTGGAGACCTTAGAGAAAGCCCTAGGTCCCTGCCTCATTTTGACGGAATGCCTCACATCCCGCTGACACCTCGAGAGGCACGCGGAGTTCATTGCTTCAAAAGGTGACGATGCCTGACTCCTCTTGAATACTGATAGGAATCCCAAAATCCCTGTGGCTACTGGAAAGGGTCCTTGGGTGCCCTGCCTCACCTCGAGAAGCGTCCCTTTTGCCCTGCCAAGCCTCGAAGAGATTCCTGAGGTGTCCCTCGTTACTAGACAGGAGTCCTGACGTCACTGAAGAAACTCGTGTTTTGAAGGGCCATCCCCGCCGTAAGTCGAGAACATACCCCAGGTCCCCGCCGCAACTCGAGAAAAACCATGAGACTTCCCCCTAGAGGCCAGATGAGGCCCCATTCCCCTGCAGTGCATGCAGAGCTATTCCGTGATCCCATTCAAACAAGTCAGGAGCTTCGACTTGCTTAATGGATCTCGAGACAGTCCCCAAGAACACTGTCACCAGTCTGGACGGACCCTGAGGTCACCCCAGCAACGCAAAGCAGCTCCATGTGCCCCAAATCAACTCGAGATGAGGCCCGATTCCCCTGCATTGACTCCAGAGCCATTCCCCGTTCCCCATTCAACACGACCGGTGGCTCGACTTCCTTCAGGCAACTCCAGAGATGCCCCGAGAACACTGTCCCAAGTCTAGAGGAACACCAACTTCAGCACAGCAACTCGAGGAATGCTCCGTGTACCCCAAATCGTCTCGAGATGCGAGCTGATTCCCTGGCTTAGGCTCAAGACGTATGCCAACTCCCCAGAAGCACCTCAGGAGGAGGCTTCTCTCAGCAAATAGATATTTGGGAGGGACCCCGAGTTTGCTGCCTCAAGGGGAATATACAGCGAGAAGCCCTAACTTGAAAGGAGGCCGGATTTCCTTGCAGTGGCTTGAATACAGGCTCGTCTTTCATCTCACAACATGAAGGGATGTCTGAATCCCCTGTGGAGACCTTAGAGAAAGCCCTAGGTCCCTGCCTCATTTTGACGGAATGCCTCACATCCCGCTGACACCTCGAGAGGCACGCGGAGTTCATTGCTTCAAAAGGTGACGATGCCTGACTCCTCTTGAATACTGATAGGAATCCCAAAATCCCTGTGGCTACTGGAAAGGGTCCTTGGGTGCCCTGCCTCACCTCCAGAAGCGTCCCTTTTGCCCTGCCAAGCCTCGAAGAGATTCCTGAGGTGTCCCTCGTTACTAGACAGGAGTCCTGACGTCACTGAAGAAACTCGTGTTTTGAAGGGCCATCCCCGCCGTAAGTCGAGAACATACCCCAGGTCCCCGCCGCAACTCGAGAAAAACCATGAGACTTCCCCCTAGAGGCGAGATGAGGCCCCATTCCCCTGCAGTGCATGCAGAGCTATTCCGTGATCCCATTCAAACAAGTCAGGAGCTTCGACTTGCTTAATGGATCTCGAGACAGTCCCCAAGAAAACTGTCACCAGTCTGGACGGAACCTGAGGTCACCCCAGCAACGCAAAGCAGCTCCATGTGCCCCAAATCAACTCGAGATGAGGCCCGATTCCCCTGCATTGACTCCAGAGCCATTCCCCGTTCCCCATTCAACACGACCGGTGGCTCGACTTCCTTCAGGCAACTCCAGAGATGCCCCGAGAACACTGTCCCAAGTCTAGAGGAACACCAACTTCAGCACAGCAACTCGAGGAATGCTCCGTGTACCCCAAATCGTCTCGAGATGAGAGCTGATTCCCTGGCTTAGGCTCAAGACGTATGCCAACTTCCCAGAAGCACCTCAGGAGGAGGCTTCTCTCAGCAATAGGTATGTGGGAGGGACCCCGAGTTTGCTGCCTCAAGGGGAATATACAGCGAGAAGCCCTAACTTGAAAGGAGGCCGGATTTCCTTGCAGTGGCTTGAATACAGGCTCGTCTTTCATCTCACAACATGAAGGGATGTCTGAATCCCCTGTGGAGACCTTAGAGAAAGCCCTAGGTCCCTGCCTCATTTTGACGGAATGCCTCACATCCCGCTGACACCTCGAGAGGCACGCGGAGTTCATTGCTTCAAAAGGTGACGATGCCTGACTCCTCTTGAATACTGATAGGAATCCCAAAATCCCTGTGGCTACTGGAAAGGGTCCTTGGGTGCCCTGCCTCACCTCGAGAAGCGTCCCTTTTGCCCTGCCAAGCCTCGAAGAGATTCCTGAGATGTCCCTCGTTACTAGACAGGAGTCCTGACGTCACTGAAGAAACTCGTGTTTTGAAGGGCCATCCCCGCCGTAAGTCGAGAACATACCCCAGGTCCCCGCCGCAACTCGAGAAAAACCATGAGACTTCCCCCTAGAGGCGAGATGAGGCCCCATTCCCCTGCAGTGCATGCAGAGCTATTCCATGATCCCATTCAAACAAGTCAGGAGCTTCCACTTGCTTAATGGATCTCGAGACAGTCCCCAAGAACACTGTCACCAGTCTGGACGGACCCTGAGGTCACCCCAGCAACGCAAAGCAGCTCCATGTGCCCCAAATCAACTCGAGATGAGGCCCGATTCCCCTGCATTGACTCCAGAGCCATTCCCCGTTCCCCATTCAACACGACCGGTGGCTCGACTTCCTTCAGGCAACTCCAGAGATGCCCCGAGAACACTGTCCCAAGTCTAGAGGAACACCAACTTCAGCACAGCAGCTCGAGGAATGCTCCGTGTACACCAAATCGTCTCGAGATGCGAGCTGATTCCCTGGCTTAGGCTCAAGACCTATGCCAACTTCCCAGAAGCACCTCAGGAGGAGGCTTCTCTCAGCAATAGGTATGTGGGAGGGACCCCGAGTTTGCTGCCTCAAGGCGAATATACAGCGAGAAGCCCTGACTTGAAAGGAGGCCGGATTTCCTTGCAGTGGCTTGAATACAGGCTCGTCTTTCATCTCACAACATGAAGGGATGTCTGAATCCCCTGTGGAGACCTTAGAGAAAGCCCTAGGTCCCTGCCTCATTTTGACGGAATGCCTCACATCCCGCTGACACCTCGAGAGGCACGCGGAGTTCATTGCTTCAAAAAGTGACGATGCCTGACTCCTCTTGAATACTGATAGGAATCCCAAAATCCCTGTGGCTACTGGAAAGGGTCCTTGGGTGCCCTGCCTCACCTCGAGAAGCGTCCCTTTTGCCCTGCCAAGCCTCGAAGAGATTCCTGAGGTGTCCCTCGTTACTAGACAGGAGTCCTGACGTCACTGAAGAAACTCGTGTTTTGAAGGGCCATCCCCGCCGTAAGTCGAGAACATACCCCAGGTCCCCGCCGCAACTCGAGAAAAACCATGAGACTTCCCCCTAGAGGCGAGATGAGGCCCCATTCCCCTGCAGTGCATGCAGAGCTATTCCGTGATCCCATTCAAACAAGTCAGGAGCTTCGACTTGCTTAATGGATCTCGAGACAGTCCCCAAGAACACTGTCACCAGTCTGGACGGACCCTGAGGTCACCCCAGCAACGCAAAGCAGCTCCATGTGCCCCAAATCAACTCGAGATGAGGCCCGATTCCCCTGGATTGACTCCAGAGCCATTCCCCGTTCCCCATTCAACACGACCGGTGGCTCGACTTCCTTCAGGCAACTCCAGAGATGCCCCGAGAACACTGTCCCAAGTCTAGAGGAACACCAACTTCAGCACAGCAACTCCAGGAATGCTCCGTGTACCCCAAATCGTCTCGAGATGCGAGCTGATTCCCTGGCTTAGGCTCAAGACGTATGCCAACTCCCCAGAAGCACCTCAGGAGGAGGCTTCTCTCAGCAATAGGTATGTGGGAGGGACCCCGAGTTTGCTGCCTCAAGGGGAATATACAGCGAGAAGCCCTAACTTGAAAGGAGGCCGGATTTCCTTGCAGTGGCTTGAATACAGGCTCGTCTTTCATCTCACAACATGAAGGGATGTCTGAATCCCCTGTGGAGACCTTAGAGAAAGCCCTAGGTCCCTGCCTCATTTTGACGGAATGCCTCACATCCCGCTGACACCTCGAGAGGCACGCGGAGTTCATTGCTTCAAAAGGTGACGATGCCTGACTCCTCTTGAATACTGATAGGAATCCCAAAATCCCTGTGGCTACTGGAAAGGGTCCTTGGGTGCCCTGCCTCACCTCGAGAAGCGTCCCTTTTGCCCTGCCAAGCCTCGAAGAGATTCCTGAGGTGTCCCTCGTTACTAGACAGGAGTCCTGACGTCACTGAAGAAACTCGTGTTTTGAAGGGCCATCCCCGCCGTAAGTCGAGAACATACCCCAGGTCCCCGCCGCAACTCGAGAAAAACCATGAGACTTCCCCCTAGAGGCGAGATGAGGCCCCATTCCCCTGCAGTGCATGCAGAGCTATTCCGTGATCCCATTCAAACAAGTCAGGAGCTTCCACTTGCTTAATGGATCTCGAGACAGTCCCCAAGAACACTGTCACCAGTGTAGACGGACCCTGAGGTCACCCCAGCAACGCAAAGCAGCTCCATGTGCCCCAAATCAACTCGAGATGAGGCCCGATTCCCCTGCATTGACTCCAGAGCCATTCCCCGTTCCCCATTCAACACGACCGGTGGCTCGACTTCCTTCAGGCAACTCCAGAGATGCCCCGAGAACACTGTCCCAAGTCTAGAGGAACACCAACTTCAGCACAGCAGCTCGAGGAATGCTCCGTGTACCCCAAATCGTCTCGAGATGCGAGCTGATTCCCTGGCTTAGGCTCAAGACCTATGCCAACTTCCCAGAAGCACCTCAGGAGGAGGCTTCTCTCAGCAATAGGTATGTGGGAGGGACCCCGAGTTTGCTGCCTCAAGGGGAATATACAGCGAGAAGCCCTAACTTGAAAGGAGGCCGCATTTCCTTGCAGTGGCTTGAATACAGGCTCGTCTTTCATCTCACAACATGAAGGGATGTCTGAATCCCCTGTGGAGACCTTAGAGAAAGCCCTAGGTCCCTGCCTCATTTTGACGGAATGCCTCACATCCCGCTGACACCTCGAGAGGCACGCGGAGTTCATTGCTTCAAAAGGTGACGATGCCTGACTCCTCTTGAATACTGATAGGAATCCCAAAATCCCTGTGGCTACTGGAAAGGGTCCTTGGGTGCCCTGCCTCACCTCGAGAAGCGTCCCTTTTGCCCTGCCAAGCCTCGAAGAGATTCCTGAGATGTCCCTCGTTACTAGACAGGAGTCCTGACGTCACTGAAGAAACTCGTGTTTTGAAGGGCCATCCCCGCCGTAAGTCGAGAACATAGCCCAGGTCCCCGCCGCAACTCGAGAAAAACCATGAGACTTCCCCCTAGAGGCGAGATGAGGCCCCATTCCCCTGCAGTGCATGCAGAGCTATTCCGTGATCCCATTCAAACAAGTCAGGAGCTTCCACTTGCTTAATGGATCTCGAGACAGTCCCCAAGAACACTGTCACCAGTCTGGACGGACCCTGAGGTCACCCCAGCAACGCAAAGCAGCTCCATGTGCCCCAAATCAACTCGAGATGAGGCCCGATTCCCCTGCATTGACTCCAGAGCCATTCCCCGTTCCCCATTCAACACGACCGGTGGCTCGACTTCCTTCAGGCAACTCCAGAGATGCCCCGAGAACACTGTCCCAAGTCTAGAGGAACACCAACTTCAGCACAGCAACTCGAGGAATGCTCCGTGTACCACAAATCGTCTCGAGATGAGAGCTGATTCCCTGGCTTAGGCTCAAGACCTATGCCAACTTCCTAGAAGCACCTCAGGAGGAGGCTTCTCTCAGCAATAGGTATGTGGGAGGGACCCCGAGTTTGCTGCCTCAAGGGGAATATACAGCGAGAAGCCCTAACTTGAAAAGAGGCCGGATTTCCTTGCAGTGGCTTGAATACAGGCTCGTCTTTCATCTCACAACATGAAGGGATGTCTGAATCCCCTGTGGAGACCTTAGAGAAAGCCCTAGGTCCCTGCCTCATTTTGACGGAATGCCTCACATCCCGCTGACACCTCGAGAGGCACGCGGAGTTCATTGCTTCAAAAGGTGACGATGCCTGACTCCTCTTGAATACTGATAGGAATCCCAAAATCCCTGTGGCTACTGGAAAGGGTCCTTGGGTGCCCTGCCTCACCTCGAGAAGCGTCCCTTTTGCCCTGCCAAGCCTCGAAGAGATTCCTGAGGTGTCCCTCGTTACTAGACAGGAGTCCTGACGTCACTGAAGAAACTCGTGTTTTGAAGGGCCATCCCCGCCGTAAGTCGAGAACATACCCCAGGTCCCCGCCGCAACTCGAGAAAAACCATGAGACTTCCCCCTAGAGGCCAGATGAGGCCCCATTCCCCTGCAGTGCATGCAGAGCTATTCCGTGATCCCATTCAAACAAGTCAGGAGCTTCGACTTGCTTAATGGATCTCGAGACAGTCCCCAAGAACACTGTCACCAGTCTGGACGGACCCTGAGGTCACCCCAGCAACGCAAAGCAGCTCCATGTGCCCCAAATCAACTCGAGATGAGGCCCGATTCCCCTGCATTGACTCCAGAGCCATTCCCCGTTCCCCATTCAACACGACCGGTGGCTCGACTTCCTTCAGGCAACTCCAGAGATGCCCCGAGAACACTGTCCCAAGTCTAGAGGAACACCAACTTCAGCACAGCAACTCGAGGAATGCTCCGTGTACCCCAAATCGTCTCGAGATGCGAGCTGATTCCCTGGCTTAGGCTCAAGACGTATGCCAACTCCCCAGAAGCACCTCAGGAGGAGGCTTCTCTCAGCAAATAGATATTTGGGAGGGACCCCGAGTTTGCTGCCTCAAGGGGAATATACAGCGAGAAGCCCTAACTTGAAAGGAGGCCGGATTTCCTTGCAGTGGCTTGAATACAGGCTCGTCTTTCATCTCACAACATGAAGGGATGTCTGAATCCCCTGTGGAGACCTTAGAGAAAGCCCTAGGTCCCTGCCTCATTTTGACGGAATGCCTCACATCGCGCTGACACCTCGAGAGGCACGCGGAGTTCATTGCTTCAAAAGGTGACGATGCCTGACTCCTCTTGAATACTGATAGGAATCCCAAAATCCCTGTGGCTACTGGAAAGGGTCCTTGGGTGCCCTGCCTCACCTCGAGAAGCGTCCCTTTTGCCCTGCCAAGCCTCGAAGAGATTCCTGAGGTGTCCCTCGTTACTAGACAGGAGTCCTGACGTCACTGAAGAAACTCGTGTTTTGAAGGGCCATCCCCGCCGTAAGTCGAGAACATACCCCAGGTCCCCGCCGCAACTCGAGAAAAACCATGAGACTTCCCCCTAGAGGCGAGATGAGGCCCCATTCCCCTGCAGTGCATGCAGAGCTATTCCGTGATCCCATTCAAACAAGTCAGGAGCTTCCACTTGCTTAATGGATCTCGAGACAGTCCCCAAGAACACTGTCACCAGTCTGGACGGACCCTGAGGTCACCCCAGCAACGCAAAGCAGCTCCATGTGCCCCAAATCAACTCGAGATGAGGCCCGATTCCCCTGCATTGACTCCAGAGCCATTCCCCGTTCCCCATTCAACACGACCGGTGGCTCGACTTCCTTCAGGCAACTCCAGAGATGCCCCGAGAACACTGTCCCAAGTCTAGAGGAACACCAACTTCAGCACAGCAACTCGAGGAATGCTCCGTGTACCCCAAATCGTCTCGAGATGAGAGCTGATTCCCTGGCTTAGGCTCAAGACGTATGCCAACTTCCCAGAAGCACCTCAGGAGGAGGCTTCTCTCAGCAATAGGTATGTGGGAGGGACCCCGAGTTTGCTGCCTCAAGGGGAATATACAGCGAGAAGCCCTAACTTGAAAGGAGGCCGGATTTCCTTGCAGTGGCTTGAATACAGGCTCGTCTTTCATCTCACAACATGAAGGGATGTCTGAATCCCCTGTGGAGACCTTAGAGAAAGCCCTAGGTCCCTGCCTCATTTTGACGGAATGCCTCACATCGCGCTGACACCTCGAGAGGCACGCGGAGTTCATTGCTTCAAAAGGTGACGATGCCTGACTCCTCTTGAATACTGATAGGAATCCCAAAATCCCTGTGGCTACTGGAAAGGGTCCTTGGGTGCCCTGCCTCACCTCGAGAAGCGTCCCTTTTGCCCTGCCAAGCCTCGAAGAGATTCCTGAGGTGTCCCTCGTTACTAGACAGGAGTCCTGACGTCACTGAAGAAACTCGTGTTTTGAAGGGCCATCCCCGCCGTAAGTCGAGAACATACCCCAGGTCCCCGCCGCAACTCGAGAAAAACCATGAGACTTCCCCCTAGAGGCGAGATGAGGCCCCATTCCCCTGCAGTGCATGCAGAGCTATTCCGTGATCCCATTCAAACAAGTCAGGAGCTTCGATTTGCTTAATGGATCTCGAGACAGTCCCCAAGAACACTGTCACCAGTCTAGACGGACCCTGAGGTCACCCCAGCAACGCAAAGCAGCTCCATGTGTCCCAAATCAACTCGAGATGAGGCCCGATTCCCCTGCATTGACTCCAGAGCCATTCCCCGTTCCCCATTCAACACGACCGGTGGCTCGACTTCCTTCAGGCAACTCCAGAGATGCCCCGAGAACACTGTCCCAAGTCTAGAGGAACACCAACTTCAGCACAGCAGCTCGAGGAATGCTCCGTGTACCCCAAATCGTCTCGAGATGCGAGCTGATTCCCTGGCTTAGGCTCAAGACGTATGCCAACTTCCCAGAAGCACCTCAGGAGGAGGCTTCTCTCAGCAATAGGTATGTGGGAGGGACCCCGAGTTTGCTGCCTCAAGGGGAATATACAGCGAGAAGCCCTAACTTGAAAGGAGGCCGGATTTCCTTGCAGTGGCTTGAATACAGGCTCGTCTTTCATCTCACAACATGAAGGGATGTCTGAATTCCCTGTGGAGACCTTAGAGAAAGCCCTAGGTCCCTGCCTCATTTTGACGGAATGCCTCACATCCCGCTGACACCTCGAGAGGCACGCGGAGTTCATTGCTTCAAAAGGTGACGATGCCTGACTCCTCTTGAATACTGATAGGAATCCCAAAATCCCTGTGGCTACTGGAAAGGGTCCTTGGGTGCCCTGCCTCACCTCGAGAAGCGTCCCTTTTGCCCTGCCAAGCCTCGAAGAGATTCCTGAGATGTCCCTCGTTACTAGACAGGAGTCCTGACGTCACTGAAGAAACTCGTGTTTTGAAGGGCCATCCCCGCCGTAAGTCGAGAACATAGCCCAGGTCCCCGCCGCAACTCGAGAAAAACCATGAGACTTCCCCCTAGAGGCGAGATGAGGCCCCATTCCCCTGCAGTGCATGCAGAGCTATTCCGTGATCCCATTCAAACAAGTCAGGAGCTTCCACTTGCTTAATGGATCTCGAGACAGTCCCCAAGAACACTGTCACCAGTCTGGACGGACCCTGAGGTCACCCCAGCAACGCAAAGCAGCTCCATGTGCCCCAAATCAACTCGAGATGAGGCCCGATTCCCCTGCATTGACTCCAGAGCCATTCCCCGTTCCCCATTCAACACGACCGGTGGCTCGACTTCCTTCAGGCAACTCCAGAGATGCCCCGAGAACACTGTCCCAAGTCTAGAGGAACACCAACTTCAGCACAGCAACTCGAGGAATGCTCCGTGTACCACAAATCGTCTCGAGATGAGAGCTGATTCCCTGGCTTAGGCTCAAGACCTATGCCAACTTCCTAGAAGCACCTCAGGAGGAGGCTTCTCTCAGCAATAGGTATGTGGGAGGGACCCCGAGTTTGCTGCCTCAAGGGGAATATACAGCGAGAAGCCCTAACTTGAAAAGAGGCCGGATTTCCTTGCAGTGGCTTGAATACAGGCTCGTCTTTCATCTCACAACATGAAGGGATGTCTGAATCCCCTGTGGAGACCTTAGAGAAAGCCCTAGGTCCCTGCCTCATTTTGACGGAATGCCTCACATCCCGCTGACACCTCGAGAGGCACGCGGAGTTCATTGCTTCAAAAGGTGACGATGCCTGACTCCTCTTGAATACTGATAGGAATCCCAAAATCCCTGTGGCTACTGGAAAGGGTCCTTGGGTGCCCTGCCTCACCTCGAGAAGCGTCCCTTTTGCCCTGCCAAGCCTCGAACAGATTCCTGAGGTGTCCCTCGTTACTAGACAGGAGTCCTGACGTCACTGAAGAAACTCGTGTTTTGAAGGGCCATCCCCGCCGTAAGTCGAGAACATACCCCAGGTCCCCGCCGCAACTCGAGAAAAACCATGAGACTTCCCCCTAGAGGCCAGATGAGGCCCCATTCCCCTGCAGTGCATGCAGAGCTATTCCGTGATCCCATTCAAACAAGTCAGGAGCTTCGACTTGCTTAATGGATCTCGAGACAGTCCCCAAGAACACTGTCACCAGTCTGGACGGACCCTGAGGTCACCCCAGCAACGCAAAGCAGATCCATGTGCCCCAAATCAACTCGAGATGAGGCCCGATTCCCCTGCATTGACTCCAGAGCCATTCCCCGTTCCCCATTCAACACGACCGGTGGCTCGACTTCCTTCAGGCAACTCCAGAGATGCCCCGAGAACACTGTCCCAAGTCTAGAGGAACACCAACTTCAGCACAGCAACTCGAGGAATGCTCCGTGTACCCCAAATCGTCTCGAGATGCGAGCTGATTCCCTGGCTTAGGCTCAAGACCTATGCCAACTCCCCAGAAGCACCTCAGGAGGAGGCTTCTCTCAGCAATAGGTATGTGGGAGGGACCCCGAGTTTGCTGCCTCAAGGGGAATATACAGCGAGAAGCCCTATCTTGAAAGGAGGCCGGATTTCCTTGCAGTGGCTTGAATACAGGCTCGTCTTTCATCTCACAACATGAAGGGATGTCTGAATCCCCTGTGGAGACCTTAGAGAAAGCCCTAGGTCCCTGCCTCATTTTGACGGAATGCCTCACATCCCGCTGACACCTCGAGAGGCACGCGGAGTTCATTGCTTCAAAAGGTGACGATGCCTGACTCCTCTTGAATACTGATAGGAATCCCAAAATCCCTGTGGCTACTGGAAAGGGTCCTTGGGTGCCCTGCCTCACCTCGAGAAGCGTCCCTTTTGCCCTGCCAAGCCTCGAAGAGATTCCTGAGGTGTCCCTCGTTACTAGACAGGAGTCCTGACGTCACTGAAGAAACTCGTGTTTTGAAGGGCCATCCCCGCCGTAAGTCGAGAACATACCCCAGGTCCCCGCCGCAACTCGAGAAAAACCATGAGACTTCCCCCTAGAGGCGAGATGAGGCCCCATTCCCCTGCAGTGCATGCAGAGCTATTCCGTGATCCCATTCAAACAAGTCAGGAGCTTCCACTTGCTTAATGGGTCTCGAGACAGTCCAAAAGAACACTGTCACCAGTCTAGACGGACCCTGAGGTCACCCCAGCAACGCAAAGCAGCTCCATGTGCCCCAAATCAACTCGAGATGAGGCCCGATTCCCCTGCATTGACTCCAGAGCCATTCCCCGTTCCCCATTCAACACGACCGGTGGCTCGACTTCCTTCAGGCAACTCCAGAGATGCCCCGAGAACACTGTCCCAAGTCTAGAGGAACACCAACTTCAGCACAGCAGCTCGAGGAATGCTCCGTGTACCCCAAATCGTCTCGAGATGAGAGCTGATTCCCTGGCTTAGGCTCAAGACCTATGCCAACTTCCCAGAAGCACCTCAGGAGGAGGCTTCTCTCAGCAATAGGTATGTGGGAGGGACCCCGAGTTTGCTGCCTCAAGGGGAATATACAGCGAGAAGCCCTAACTTGAAAGGAGGCCGGATTTCCTTGCAGTGGCTTGAATACAGGCTCGTCTTTCATCTCACAACATGAAGGGATGTCTGAATACCCTGTGGAGACCTTAGAGAAAGCCCTAGTCCCTGCCTCATTTTGACGGAATGCCTCACATCCCGCTGACACCTCGAGAGGCACGCGGAGTTCATTGCTTCAAAAGGTGACGATGCCTGACTCCTCTTGAATACTGATAGGAATCCCAAAATCCCTGTGGCTACTGGAAAGGGTCCTTGGGTGCCCTGCCTCACCTCGAGAAGCGTCCCTTTTGCCCTGCCAAGCCTCGAAGAGATTTCTGAGGTGTCCCTCGTTACTAGACAGGAGTCCTGACGTCACTGAAGAAACTTGTGTTTTGAAGGGCCATCCCCGCCGTAAGTCGAGAACATACCCCAGGTCCCCGCCGCAACTCGAGAAAAACCATGAGACTTCCCCCTAGAGGCGAGATGAGGCCCCATTCCCCTGCAGTGCATGCAGAGCTATTCCGTGATCCCATTCAAACAAGTCAGGAGCTTCGACTTGCTTAATGGATCTCGAGACAGTCCCCAAGAACACTGTCACCAGTCTGGACGGACCCTGAGGTCACCCCAGCAACGCAAAGCAGCTCCATGTGCCCCAAATCAACTCGAGATGAGGCCCGATTCCCCTGGATTGACTCCAGAGCCACTCCCCATTCTCCATGCAACACGACCCGTGGCTCGACTTCCTTCAGGCAACTCCAGAGATGCCCCGAGAACACTGTCCCAAGTCTAGAGGAACACCAACTTCAGCACAGCAACTCGAGGAATGCTCCGTGTACCCCAAATCGTCTCGAGATGCGAGCTGATTCCCTGGCTTAGGCTCAAGACGTATGCCAACTCCCCAGAAGCACCTCAGGAGGAGGCTTCTCTCAGCAATAGATATGTGGGAGGGACCCCGAGTTTGCTGCCTCAAGGGGAATATACAGGGAGAAGCCCTAACTTGAAAGGAGGCCGGATTTCCTTGCAGTGGCTTGAATACAGGCTCGTCTTTCGTCTCACAACATGAAGGGATGTCTGAATCCCCTGTGGAGACCTTAGAGAAAGCCCTAGGTCCCTGCCTCATTTTGACGGAATGCCTCACATCGCGCTGACACCTCGAGAGGCACGCGGAGTTCATTGCTTCAAAAGGTGACGATGCCTGACTCCTCTTGAATACTGATAGGAATCCCAAAATCCCTGTGGCTACTGGAAAGGGTCCTTGGGTGCCCTGCCTCACCTCGAGAAGCGTCCCTTTTGCCCTGCCAAGCCTCGAAGAGATTCCTGAGGTGTCCCTCGTTACTAGACAGGAGTCCTGACGTCACTGAAGAAACTCGTGTTTTGAAGGGCCATCCCCGCCGTAAGTCGAGAACATACCCCAGGTCCCCGCCGCAACTCGAGAAAAACCATGAGACTTCCCCCTAGAGGCGAGATGAGGCCCCATTCCCCTGCAGTGCATGCAGAGCTATTCCGTGATCCCATTCAAACAAGTCAGGAGCTTCCACTTGCTTAATGGATCTCGAGACAGTTCCCAAGAACACTGTCACCAGTCTAGACGGACCCTGAGGTCACCCCAGCAACGCAAAGCAGCTCCATGTGCCCCAAATCAACTCGAGATGAGGCCCGATTCCCCTGCATTGACTCCAGAGCCATTCCCCGTTCCCCATTCAACACCACCGGTGGCTCGACTTCCTTCAGGCAACTCCAGAGATGCCCCGAGAACACTGTCCCAAGTCTAGAGGAACGCCAACTTCAGCACAGCAACTCGAGGAATGCTCCGTGTACCCCAAATCGTCTCGAGATGCGAGCTGATTCCCTGGCTTAGGCTCAAGACCTATGCCAACTCCCCAGAAGCACCTCAGGAGGAGGCTTCTCTCAGCAATAGGTATGTGGGAGGGACCCCGAGTTTGCTGCCTCAAGGGGAATATACAGCGAGAAGCCCTAACTTGAAAAGAGGCCGGATTTCCTTGCAGTGGCTTGAATACAGGCTCGTCTTTCATCTCACAACATGAAGGGATGTCTGAATCCCCTGTGGAGACCTTAGAGAAAGCCCTAGGTCCCTGCCTCATTTTGACGGAATGCCTCACATCCCGCTGACACCTCGAGAGGCACGCGGAGTTCATTGCTTCAAAAGGTGATGATGCCTGACTCCTCTTGAATACTGATAGGAATCCCAAAATCCCTGTGGCTACTGGAAAGGGTCCTTGGGTGCCCTGCCTCACCTCGAGAAGCGTCCCTTTTGCCCTGCCAAGCCTCGAAGAGATTCCTGAGGTGTCCCTCGTTACTAGACAGGAGTCCTGACGTCACTGAAGAAACTCGTGTTTTGAAGGGCCATCCCCGCCGTAAGTCGAGAACATACCCCAGGTCCCCGCCGCAACTCGAGAAAAACCATGAGACTTCCCCCTAGAGGCCAGATGAGGCCCCATTCCCCTGCAGTGCATGCAGAGCTATTCCGTGATCCCATTCAAACAAGTCAGGAGCTTCGACTTGCTTAATGGATCTCGAGACAGTCCCCAAGAACACTGTCACCAGTCTGGACGGACCCTGAGGTCACCCCAGCAACGCAAAGCAGCTCCATGTGCCCCAAATCAACTCGAGATGAGGCCCGATTCCCCTGCATTGACTCCAGAGCCATTCCCCGTTCCCCATTCAACACGACCGGTGGCTCGACTTCCTTCAGGCAACTCCAGAGATGCCCCGAGAACACTGTCCCAAGTCTAGAGGAACACCAACTTCAGCACAGCAGCTCGAGGAATGCTCCGTGTACCCCAAATCGTCTCGAGATGCGAGCTGATTCCCTGGCTTAGGCTCAAGACGTATGCCAACTCCCCAGAAGCACCTCAGGAGGAGGCTTCTCTCAGCAAATAGATATTTGGGAGGGACCCCGAGTTTGCTGCCTCAAGGGGAATATACAGCGAGAAGCCCTAACTTGAAAGGAGGCCGGATTTCCTTGCAGTGGCTTGAATACAGGCTCGTCTTTCATCTCACAACATGAAGGGATGTCTGAATTCCCTGTGGAGACCTTAGAGAAAGCCCTAGGTCCCTGCCTCATTTTGACGGAATGCCTCACATCCCGCTGACACCTCGAGAGGCACGCGGAGTTCATTGCTTCAAAAGGTGACGATGCCTGACTCCTCTTGAATACTGATAGGAATCCCAAAATCCCTGTGGCTACTGGAAAGGGTCCTTGGGTGCCCTGCCTCACCTCCAGAAGCGTCCCTTTTGCCCTGCCAAGCCTCGAAGAGATTCCTGAGGTGTCCCTCGTTACTAGACAGGAGTCCTGACGTCACTGAAGAAACTCGTGTTTTGAAGGGCCATCCCCGCCGTAAGTCGAGAACATAACCCAGGTCCCCGCCGCAACTCGAGAAAAACCATGAGACTTCCCCCTAGAGGCGAGATGAGGCCCCATTCCCCTGCAGTGCATGCAGAGCTATTCCGTGATCCCATTCAAACAAGTCAGGAGCTTCGACTTGCTTAATGGATCTCGAGACAGTCCCCAAGAACACTGTCACCAGTCTGGACGGAACCTGAGGTCACCCCAGCAACGCAAAGCAGCTCCATGTGCCCCAAATCAACTCGAGATGAGGCCCGATTCCCCTGCATTGACTCCAGAGCCATTCCCCGTTCCCCATTCAACACGACCGGTGGCTCGACTTCCTTCAGGCAACTCCAGAGATGCCCCGAGAACACTGTCCCAAGTCTAGAGGAACACCAACTTCAGCACAGCAACTCGAGGAATGCTCCGTGTACCCCAAATCGTCTCGAGATGAGAGCTGATTCCCTGGCTTAGGCTCAAGACGTATGCCAACTTCCCAGAAGCACCTCAGGAGGAGGCTTCTCTCAGCAATAGGTATGTGGGAGGGACCCCGAGTTTGCTGCCTCAAGGGGAATATACAGCGAGAAGCCCTAACTTGAAAGGAGGCCGGATTTCCTTGCAGTGGCTTGAATACAGGCTCGTCTTTCATCTCACAACATGAAGGGATGTCTGAATCCCCTGTGGAGACCTTAGAGAAAGCCCTAGGTCCCTGCCTCATTTTGACGGAATGCCTCACATCCCGCTGACACCTCGAGAGGCACGCGGAGTTCATTGCTTCAAAAGGTGACGATGCCTGACTCCTCTTGAATACTGATAGGAATCCCAAAATCCCTGTGGCTACTGGAAAGGGTCCTTGGGTGCCCTGCCTCACCTCGAGAAGCGTCCCTTTTGCCCTGCCAAGCCTCGAAGAGATTCCTGAGGTGTCCCTCGTTACTAGACAGGAGTCCTGACGTCACTGAAGAAACTCGTGTTTTGAAGGGCCATCCCCGCCGTAAGTCGAGAACATACCCCAGGTCCCCGCCGCAACTCGAGAAAAACCATGAGACTTCCCCCTAGAGGCGAGATGAGGCCCCATTCCCCTGCAGTGCATGCAGAGCTATTCCATGATCCCATTCAAACAAGTCAGGAGCTTCCACTTGCTTAATGGATCTCGAGACAGTCCCCAAGAACACTGTCACCAGTCTGGACGGACCCTGAGGTCACCCCAGCAACGCAAAGCAGCTCCATGTGCCCCAAATCAACTCGAGATGAGGCCCGATTCCCCTGCATTGACTCCAGAGCCATTCCCCGTTCCCCATTCAACACGACCGGTGGCTCGACTTCCTTCAGGCAACTCCAGAGATGCCCCGAGAACACTGTCCCAAGTCTAGAGGAACACCAACTTCAGCACAGCAGCTCGAGGAATGCTCCGTGTACCCCAAATCGTCTCGAGATGCGAGCTGATTCCCTGGCTTAGGCTCAAGACCTATGCCAACTTCCCAGAAGCACCTCAGGAGGAGGCTTCTCTCAGCAATAGGTATGTGGGAGGGACCCCGAGTTTGCTGCCTCAAGGCGAATATACAGCGAGAAGCCCTAACTTGAAAGGAGGCCGGATTTCCTTGCAGTGGCTTGAATACAGGCTCGTCTTTCATCTCACAACATGAAGGGATGTCTGAATTCCCTGTGGAGACCTTAGAGAAAGCCCTAGGTCCCTGCCTCATTTTGACGGAATGCCTCACATCCCGCTGACACCTCGAGAGGCACGCGGAGTTCATTGCTTCAAAAGGTGACGATGCCTGACTCCTCTTGAATACTGATAGGAATCCCAAAATCCCTGTGGCTACTGGAAAGGGTCCTTGGGTGCCCTGCCTCACCTCGAGAAGCGTCCCTTTTGCCCTGCCAAGCCTCGAAGAGATTCCTGAGATGTCCCTCGTTACTAGACAGGAGTCCTGACGTCACTGAAGAAACTCGTGTTTTGAAGGGCCATCCCCGCCGTAAGTCGAGAACATAGCCCAGGTCCCCGCCGCAACTCGAGAAAAACCATGAGACTTCCCCCTAGAGGCGAGATGAGGCCCCATTCCCCTGCAGTGCATGCAGAGCTATTCCGTGATCCCATTCAAACAAGTCAGGAGCTTCCACTTGCTTAATGGATCTCGAGACAGTCCCCAAGAACACTGTCACCAGTCTGGACGGACCCTGAGGTCACCCCAGCAACGCAAAGCAGCTCCATGTGCCCCAAATCAACTCGAGATGAGGCCCGATTCCCCTGCATTGACTCCAGAGCCATTCCCCGTTCCCCATTCAACACGACCGGTGGCTCGACTTCCTTCAGGCAACTCCAGAGATGCCCCGAGAACACTGTCCCAAGTCTAGAGGAACACCAACTTCAGCACAGCAACTCGAGGAATGCTCCGTGTACCACAAATCGTCTCGAGATGAGAGCTGATTCCCTGGCTTAGGCTCAAGACCTATGCCAACTTCCTAGAAGCACCTCAGGAGGAGGCTTCTCTCAGCAATAGGTATGTGGGAGGGACCCCGAGTTTGCTGCCTCAAGGGGAATATACAGCGAGAAGCCCTAACTTGAAAAGAGGCCGGATTTCCTTGCAGTGGCTTGAATATAGGCTCGTCTTTCATCTCACAACATGAAGGGATGTCTGAATCCCCTGTGGAGACCTTAGAGAAAGCCCTAGGTCCCTGCCTCATTTTGACGGAATGCCTCACATCCCGCTGACACCTCGAGAGGCACGCGGAGTTCATTGCTTCAAAAGGTGACGATGCCTGACTCCTCTTGAATACTGATAGGAATCCCAAAATCCCTGTGGCAACTGGAAAGGGTCCTTGGGTGCCCTGCCTCACCTCGAGAAGCGTCCCTTTTGCCCTGCCAAGCCTCGAAGAGATTCCTGAGGTGTCCCTCGTTACTAGACAGGAGTCCTGACGTCACTGAAGAAACTCGTGTTTTGAAGGGCCATCCCCGCCGTAAGTCGAGAACATACCCCAGGTCCCCGCCGCAACTCGAGAAAAACCATGAGACTTCCCCCTAGAGGCGAGATGAGGCCCCATTCCCCTGCAGTGCATGCAGAGCTATTCCGTGATCCCATTCAAACAAGTCAGGAGCTTCCACTTGCTTAATGGATCTCGAGACAGTCCCCAAGAACACTGTCACCAGTCTGGACGGACCCTGAGGTCACCCCAGCAACGCAAAGCAGCTCCATGTGCCCCAAATCAACTCGAGATGAGGCCCGATTCCCCTGCATTGACTCCAGAGCCATTCCCCGTTCCCCATTCAACACGACCGGTGGCTCGACTTCCTTCAGGCAACTCCAGAGATGCCCCGAGAACACTGTCCCAAGTCTAGAGGAACACCAACTTCAGCACAGCAACTCAAGGAATGCTCCGTGTACCCCAAATCGTCTCGAGATGAGAGCTGATTCCCTGGCTTAGGCTCAAGACGTATGCCAACTTCCCAGAAGCACCTCAGGAGGAGGCTTCTCTCAGCAATAGGTATGTGGGAGGGACCCCGAGTTTGCTGCCTCAAGGGGAATATACAGCGAGAAGCCCTAACTTGAAAGGAGGCCGGATTTCCTTGCAGTGGCTTGAATACAGGCTCGTCTTTCATCTCACAACATGAAGGGATGTCTGAATCCCCTGTGGAGACCTTAGAGAAAGCCCTAGGTCCCTGCCTCATTTTGACGGAATGCCTCACATCGCGCTGACACCTCGAGAGGCACGCGGAGTTCATTGCTTCAAAAGGTGACGATGCCTGACTCCTCTTGAATACTGATAGGAATCCCAAAATCCCTGTGGCTACTGGAAAGGGTCCTTGGGTGCCCTGCCTCACCTCGAGAAGCGTCCCTTTTGCCCTGCCAAGCCTCGAAGAGATTCCTGAGGTGTCCCTCGTTACTAGACAGGAGTCCTGACGTCACTGAAGAAACTCGTGTTTTGAAGGGCCATCCCCGCCATAAGTCGAGAACATACCCCAGGTCCCCGCCGCAACTCGAGAAAAACCATGAGACTTCCCCCTAGAGGCGAGATGAGGCCCCATTCCCCTGCAGTGCATGCAGAGCTATTCCGTGATCCCATTCAAACAAGTCAGGAGCTTCGATTTGCTTAATGGATCTCGAGACAGTCCCCAAGAACACTGTCACCAGTCTAGACGGACCCTGAGGTCACCCCAGCAACGCAAAGCAGCTCCATGTGCCCCAAATCAACTCGAGATGAGGCCCGATTCCCCTGCATTGACTCCAGAGCCATTCCCCGTTCCCCATTCAACACGACCGGTGGCTCGACTTCCTTCAGGCAACTCCAGAGATGCCCCGAGAACACTGTCCCAAGTCTAGAGGAACACCAACTTCAGCACAGCAGCTCGAGGAATGCTCCGTGTACCCCAAATCGTCTCGAGATGCGAGCTGATTCCCTGGCTTAGGCTCAAGACGTATGCCAACTTCCCAGAAGCACCTCAGGAGGAGGCTTCTCTCAGCAATAGGTATGTGGGAGGGACCCCGAGTTTGCTGCCTCAAGGGGAATATACAGCGAGAAGCCCTAACTTGAAAGGAGGCCGGATTTCCTTGCAGTGGCTTGAATACAGGCTCGTCTTTCATCTCACAACATGAAGGGATGTCTGAATTCCCTGTGGAGACCTTAGAGAAAGCCCTAGGTCCCTGCCTCATTTTGACGGAATGCCTCACATCCCGCTGACACCTCGAGAGGCACGCGGAGTTCATTGCTTCAAAAGGTGACGATGCCTGACTCCTCTTGAATACTGATAGGAATCCCAAAATCCCTGTGGCTACTGGAAAGGGTCCTTGGGTGCCCTGCCTCACCTCGAGAAGCGTCCCTTTTGCCCTGCCAAGCCTCGAAGAGATTCCTGAGATGTCCCTCGTTACTAGACAGGAGTCCTGACGTCACTGAAGAAACTCGTGTTTTGAAGGGCCATCCCCGCCGTAAGTCGAGAACATAGCCCAGGTCCCCGCCGCAACTCGAGAAAAACCATGAGACTTCCCCCTAGAGGCGAGATGAGGCCCCATTCCCCTGCAGTGCATGCAGAGCTATTCCGTGATCCCATTCAAACAAGTCAGGAGCTTCCACTTGCTTAATGGATCTCGAGACAGTCCCCAAGAACACTGTCACCAGTCTGGACGGACCCTGAGGTCACCCCAGCAACGCAAAGCAGCTCCATGTGCCCCAAATCAACTCGAGATGAGGCCCGATTCCCCTGCATTGACTCCAGAGCCATTCCCCGTTCCCCATTCAACACGACCGGTGGCTCGACTTCCTTCAGGCAACTCCAGAGATGCCCCGAGAACACTGTCCCAAGTCTAGAGGAACACCAACTTCAGCACAGCAACTCGAGGAATGCTCCGTGTACCACAAATCGTCTCGAGATGAGAGCTGATTCCCTGGCTTAGGCTCAAGACCTATGCCAACTTCCTAGAAGCACCTCAGGAGGAGGCTTCTCTCAGCAATAGGTATGTGGGAGGGACCCCGAGTTTGCTGCCTCAAGGGGAATATACAGCGAGAAGCCCTAACTTGAAAAGAGGCCGGATTTCCTTGCAGTGGCTTGAATACAGGCTCGTCTTTCATCTCACAACATGAAGGGATGTCTGAATCCCCTGTGGAGACCTTAGAGAAAGCCCTAGGTCCCTGCCTCATTTTGACGGAATGCCTCACATCCCGCTGACACCTCGAGAGGCACGCGGAGTTCATTGCTTCAAAAGGTGACGATGCCTGACTCCTCTTGAATACTGATAGGAATCCCAAAATCCCTGTGGCTACTGGAAAGGGTCCTTGGGTGCCCTGCCTCACCTCGAGAAGCGTCCCTTTTGCCCTGCCAAGCCTCGAACAGATTCCTGAGGTGTCCCTCGTTACTAGACAGGAGTCCTGACGTCACTGAAGAAACTCGTGTTTTGAAGGGCCATCCCCGCCGTCAGTCGAGAACATACCCCAGGTCCCCGCCGCAACTCGAGAAAAACCATGAGACTTCCCCCTAGAGGCCAGATGAGGCCCCATTCCCCTGCAGTGCATGCAGAGCTATTCCGTGATCCCATTCAAACAAGTCAGGAGCTTCGACTTGCTTAATGGATCTCGAGACAGTCCCCAAGAACACTGTCACCAGTCTGGACGGACCCTGAGGTCACCCCAGCAACGCAAAGCAGCTCCATGTGCCCCAAATCAACTCGAGATGAGGCCCGATTCCCCTGCATTGACTCCAGAGCCATTCCCCGTTCCCCATTCAACACGACCGGTGGCTCGACTTCCTTCAGGCAACTCCAGAGATGCCCCGAGAACACTGTCCCAAGTCTAGAGGAACACCAACTTCAGCACAGCAACTCGAGGAATGCTCCGTGTACCCCAAATCGTCTCGAGATGCGAGCTGATTCCCTGGCTTAGGCTCAAGACGTATGCCAACTCCCCAGAAGCACCTCAGGAGGAGGCTTCTCTCAGCAAATAGATATTTGGGAGGGACCCCGAGTTTGCTGCCTCAAGGGGAATATACAGCGAGAAGCCCTAACTTGAAAGGAGGCCGGATTTCCTTGCAGTGGCTTGAATACAGGCTCGTCTTTCATCTCACAACATGAAGGGATGTCTGAATCCCCTGTGGAGACCTTAGAGAAAGCCCTAGGTCCCTGCCTCATTTTGACGGAATGCCTCACATCCCGCTGACACCTCGAGAGGCACGCGGAGTTCATTGCTTCAAAAGGTGACGATGCCTGACTCCTCTTGAATACTGATAGGAATCCCAAAATCCCTGTGGCTACTGGAAAGGGTCCTTGGGTGCCCTGCCTCACCTCGAGAAGCGTCCCTTTTGCCCTGCCAAGCCTCGAAGAGATTCCTGAGGTGTCCCTCGTTACTAGACAGGAGTCCTGACGTCACTGAAGAAACTCGTGTTTTGAAGGGCCATCCCCGCCGTAAGTCGAAAACATACCCCAGGTCCCCGCCGCAACTCGAGAAAAACCATGAGACTTCCCCCTAGAGGCGAGATGAGGCCCCATTCCCCTGCAGTGCATGCAGAGCTATTCCGTGATCCCATTCAAACAAGTCAGGAGCTTCCACTTGCTTAATGGATCTCGAGACAGTCCCCAAGAACACTGTCACCAGTCTAGACGGACCCTGAGGTCACCCCAGCAACGCAAAGCAGCTCCATGTGCCCCAAATCAACTCGAGATGAGGCCCGATTCCCCTGCATTGACTCCAGAGCCATTCCCCGTTCCCCATTCAACACGACCGGTGGCTCGACTTCCTTCAGGCAACTCCAGAGATGCCCCGAGAACACTGTCCCAAGTCTAGAGGAACGCCAACTTCAGCACAGCAACTCGAGGAATGCTCCGTGTACCCCAAATCGTCTCGAGATGCGAGCTGATTCCCTGGCTTAGGCTCAAGACCTATGCCAACTCCCCAGAAGCACCTCAGGAGGAGGCTTCTCTCAGCAATAGGTATGTGGGAGGGACCCCGAGTTTGCTGCCTCAAGGGGAATATACAGCGAGAAGCCCTAACTTGAAAGGAGGCCGGATTTCCTTGCAGTGGCTTGAATACAGGCTCGTCTTTCATCTCACAACATGAAGGGATGTCTGAATCCCCTGTGGAGACCTTAGAGAAAGCCCTAGGTCCCTGCCTCATTTTGACGGAATGCCTCACATCCCGCTGACACCTCGAGAGGCACGCGGAGTTCATTGCTTCAAAAGGTGACGATGCCTGACTCCTCTTGAATACTGATAGGAATCCCAAAATCCCTGTGGCTACTGGAAAGGGTCCTTGGGTGCCCTGCCTCACCTCGAGAAGCGTCCCTTTGGCCCTGCCAAGCCTCGAAGAGATTCCTGAGGTGTCCCTCGTTACTAGACAGGAGTCCTGACGTCACTGAAGAAACTCGTGTTTTGAAGGGCCATCCCCGCCGTAAGTCGAGAACATACCCCAGGTCCCCGCCGCAACTCGAGAAAAACCATGAGACTTCCCCCTAGAGGCCAGATGAGGCCCCATTCCCCTGCAGTGCATGCAGAGCTATTCCGTGATCCCATTCAAACAAGTCAGGAGCTTCGACTTGCTTAATGGGTCTCGAGACAGTCCCCAAGAACACTGTCACCAGTCTAGACGGACCCTGAGGTCACCCCAGCAACGCAAAGCAGCTCCATGTGCCCCAAATCAACTCGAGATGAGGCCCGATTCCCCTGCATTGACTCCAGAGCCATTCCCCGTTCCCCATTCAACACGACCGGTGGCTCGACTTCCTTCAGGCAACTCCAGAGATGCCCCGAGAACACTGTCCCAAGTCTAGAGGAACACCAACTTCAGCACAGCAGCTCGAGGAATGCTCCGTGTACCCCAAATCGTCTCGAGATGAGAGCTGATTCCCTGGCTTAGGCTCAAGACGTATGCCAACTTCCCAGAAGCACCTCAGGAGGAGGCTTCTCTCAGCAATAGGTATGTGGGAGGGACCCCGAGTTTGCTGCCTCAAGGGGAATATACAGAGAGAAGCCCTAACTTGAAAGGAGGCCGGATTTCCTTGCAGTGGCTTGAATACAGGCTCGTCTTTCATCTCACAACATGAAGGGATGTCTGAATCCCCTGTGGAGACCTTAGAGAAAGCCCTAGGTCCCTGCCTCATTTTGACGGAATGCCTCACATCGCGCTGACACCTCGAGAGGCACGCGGAGTTCATTGCTTCAAAAGGTGACGATGCCTGACTCCTCTTGAATACTGATAGGAATCCCAAAATCCCTGTGGCTACTGGAAAGGGTCCTTGGGTGCCCTGCCTCACCTCGAGAAGCGTCCCTTTGGCCCTGCCAAGCCTCGAAGAGATTCCTGAGGTGTCCCTCGTTACTAGACAGGAGTCCTGACGTCACTGAAGAAACTCGTGTTTTGAAGGGCCATCCCCGCCGTAAGTCGAGAACATACCCCAGGTCCCCGCCGCAACTCGAGAAAAACCATGAGACTTCCCCCTAGAGGCGAGATGAGGCCCCATTCCCCTGCAGTGCATGCAGAGCTATTCCGTGATCCCATTCAAACAAGTCAGGAGCTTCGACTTGCTTAATGGATCTCGAGACAGTCCCCAAGAACACTGTCACCAGTCTAGACGGACCCTGAGGTCACCCCAGCAACGCAAAGCAGCTCCATGTGCCCCAAATCAACTCGAGATGAGGCCCGATTCCCCTGCATTGACTCCAGAGCCATTCCCCGTTCCCCATTCAACACGACCGGTGGCTCGACTTCCTTCAGGCAACTCCAGAGATGCCCCGAGAACACTGTCCCAAGTCTAGAGGAACACCAACTTCAGCACAGCAACTCGAGGAATGCTCCGTGTACCCCAAATCGTCTCGAGATGAGAGCTGATTCCCTGGCTTAGGCTCAAGACGTATGCCAACTTCCCAGAAGCACCTCAGGAGGAGGCTTCTCTCAGCAATAGGTATGTGGGAGGGACCCCGAGTTTGCTGCCTCAAGGGGAATATACAGCGAGAAGCCCTAACTTGAAAGGAGGCCGGATTTCCTTGCAGTGGCTTGAATACAGGCTCGTCTTTCATCTCACAACATGAAGGGATGTCTGAATCCCCTGTGGAGACCTTAGAGAAAGCCCTAGGTCCCTGCCTCATTTTGACGGAATGCCTCACATCCCGCTGACACCTCGAGAGGCACGCGGAGTTCATTGCTTCAAAAGGTGACGATGCCTGACTCCTCTTGAATACTGATAGGAATCCCAAAATCCCTGTGGCTACTGGAAAGGGTCCTTGGGTGCCCTGCCTCACCTCGAGAAGCGTCCCTTTTGCCCTGCCAAGCCTCGAAGAGATTCCTGAGGTGTCCCTCGTTACTAGACAGGAGTCCTGACGTCACTGAAGAAACTCGTGTTTTGAAGGGCCATCCAAGCCGTAAGTCGAGAACATACCCCAGGTCCCCGCCGCAACTCGAGAAAAACCATGAGACTTCCCCCTAGAGGCGAGATGAGGCCCCATTCCCCTGCAGTGCATGCAGAGCTATTCCGTGATCCCATTCAAACAAGTCAGGAGCTTCGACTTGCTTAATGGATCTCGAGACAGTCCCCAAGAACACTGTCACCAGTCTAGACGGACCCTGAGGTCACCCCAGCAACGCAAAGCAGCTCCATGTGCCCCAAATCAACTCGAGATGAGGCCCGATTCCCCTGCATTGACTCCAGAGCCATTCCCCGTTCCCCATTCAACACGACCGGTGGCTCGACTTCCTTCAGGCAACTCCAGAGATGCCCCGAGAACACTGTCCCAAGTCTAGAGGAACACCAACTTCAACACAGCAACTCGAGGAATGCTCCGTGTACCCCAAATCGTCTCGAGATGAGAGCTGATTCCCTGGCTTAGGCTCAAGACGTATGCCAACTTCCCAGAAGCACCTCAGGAGGAGGCTTCTCTCAGCAATAGGTATGTGGGAGGGACCCCGAGTTTGCTACCTCAAGGGGAATATACAGCGAGAAGCCCTAACTTGAAAGGAGGCCGGATTTCCTTGCAGTGGCTTGAATACAGGCTCGTCTTTCATCTCACAACATGAAGGGATGTCTGAATCCCCTGTGGAGACCTTAGAGAAAGCCCTAGGTCCCTGCCTCATTTTGACGGAATGCCTCACATCGCGCTGACACCTCGAGAGGCACGCGGAGTTCATTGCTTCAAAAGGTGACGATGCCTGACTCCTCTTGAATACTGATAGGAATCCCAAAATCCCTGTGGCTACTGGAAAGGGTCCTTGGGTGCCCTGCCTCACCTCGAGAAGCGTCCCTTTTGCCCTGCCAAGCCTCGAAGAGATTCCTGAGGTGTCCCTCGTTACTAGACAGGAGTCCTGACGTCACTGAAGAAACTCGTGTTTTGAAGGGCCATCCCCGCCGTAAGTCGAGAACATACCCCAGGTCACCGCCGCAACTCGAGAAAAACCATGAGACTTCCCCCTAGAGGCGAGATGAGGCCCCATTCCCCTGCAGTGCATGCAGAGCTATTCCGTGATCCCATTCAAACAAGTCAGGAGCTTCGACTTGCTTAATGGATCTCGAGACAGTCCCCAAGAACACTGTCACCAGTCTGGACGGACCCTGAGGTCACCCCAGCAACGCAAAGCAGCTCCATGTGCCCCAAATCAACTCGAGATGAGGCCCGATTCCCCTGGATTGACTCCAGAGCCATTCCCCGTTCCCCATTCAACACGACCGGTGGCTCGACTTCCTTCAGGCAACTCCAGAGATGCCCCGAGAACACTGTCCCAAGTCTAGAGGAACACCAACTTCAGCACAGCAACTCGAGGAATGCTCCGTGTACCCCAAATCGTCTCGAGATGCGAGCTGATTCCCTGGCTTAGGCTCAAGACGTATGCCAACTCCCCAGAAGCACCTCAGGAGGAGGCTTCTCTCAGCAATAGGTATGTGGGAGGGACCCCGAGTTTGCTGCCTCAAGGGGAATATACAGCGAGAAGCCCTAACTTGAAAGGAGGCCGGATTTCCTTGCAGTGGCTTGAATACAGGCTCGTCTTTCATCTCACAACATGAAGGGATGTCTGAATCCCCTGTGGAGACCTTAGAGAAAGCCCTAGGTCCCTGCCTCATTTTGACGGAACGCCTCACATCCCGCTGACACCTCGAGAGGCACGCGGAGTGCATTGCTTCAAAAGGTGACGATGCCTGACTCCTCTTGAATACTGATAGGAATCCCAAAATCCCTGTGGCTACTGGAAAGGGTCCTTGGGTGCCCTGCCTCACCTCGAGAAGCGTCCCTTTTGCCCTGCCAAGCCTCGAGGAGATTCCTGAGGTGTCCCTCGTTACTAGACAGGAGTCCTGACGTCACTGAAGAAACTCGTGTTTTGAAGGGCCATCCCCGCCGTAAGTCGAGAACATACCCCAGGTCCCCGCCGCAACTCGAGAAAAACCATGAGACTTCCCCCTAGAGGCGAGATGAGGCCCCATTCCCCTGCAGTGCATGCAGAGCTATTCCGTGATCCCATTCAAACAAGTCAGGAGCTTCGACTTGCTTAGAGGATCTCGAGACAGTCCCCAAGAACACTGTCACCAGTCTAGACGGACCCTGAGGTCACCCCAGCAACGCAAAGCAGCTCCATGTGCCCCAAATCAACTCGAGATGAGGCCCGATTCCCCTGCATTGACTCCAGAGCCATTCCCGGTTCCCCATTCAACACGACCGGTGGCTTGACTTCCTTCAGGCAATTCCAGAGATGCCCCGAGAACACTGTCCCAAGTCTAGAGGAACACCAACTTCAGCACAGCAACTCGAGGAATGCTCCGTGTACCACAAATCGTCTCGAGATGAGAGCTGATTCCCTGGCTTAGGCTCAAGACCTATGCCAACTTCCCAGAAGCACCTCAGGAGGAGGCTTCTCTCAGCAATAGGTATGTGGGAGGGACCCCGAGTTTGCTGCCTCAAGGGGAATATACAGCGAGAAGCCCTAACTTGAAAGGAGGCCGGATTTCCTTGCAGTGGCTTGAATACAGGCTCGTCTTTCATCTCACAACATGAAGGGATGTCTGAATCCCCTGTGGAGACCTTAGAGAAAGCCCTAGGTCCCTGCCTCATTTTGACGGAATGCCTCACATCCCGCTGACACCTCGAGAGGCACGCGGAGTTCATTGCTTCAAAAGGTGACGATGCCTGACTCCTCTTGAATACTGATAGGAATCCCAAAATCCCTGTGGCTACTGGAAAGGGTCCTTGGGTGCCCTGCCTCACCTCGAGAAGCGTCCCTTTTAGCCTGCCAAGCCTCGAGGAGATTCCTGAGGTGTCCCTCGTTACTAGACAGGAGTCCTGACGTCACTGAAGAAACTCGTGTTTTGAAGGGCCATCCCCGCCGTAAGTCGAGAACATACCCCAGGTCCCCGCCGCAACTCGAGAAAAACCATGAGACTTCCCCCTAGAGGCGAGATGAGGCCCCATTCCCCTGCAGTGCATGCAGAGCTATTCCGTGATCCCATTCAAACAAGTCAGGAGCTTCGACTTGCTTAATGGATCTCGAGACAGTCCCCAAGAACACTGTCACCAGTCTGGACGGACCCTGAGGTCACCCCAGCATTGCAAAGCAGCTCCATGTGCCCCAAATCAACTCGAGATGAGGCCCGATTCCCCTGCATTGACTCCAGAGCCATTCCCCGTTCCCCATTCAACACGACCGGTGGCTCGACTTTCTTCAGGCAACTCCAGAGATGCCCCGAGAACACTGTCCCAAGTCTAGAGGAACACCAACTTCAGCACAGCAACTCGAGGAATGCTCCGTGTACCACAAATCGTCTCGAGATGAGAGCTGATTCCCTGGCTTAGGCTCAAGACGTATGCCAACTTCCCAGAAGCACCTCAGGAGGAGGCTTCTCTCAGCAATAGGTATGTGGGAGGGACCCCGAGTTTGCTGCCTCAAGGGGAATATACAGCGAGAAGCCCTAACTTGAAAGGAGGCCGGATTTCCTTGCAGTGGCTTGAATACAGGCTCGTCTTTCATCTCACAACATTAAGGGATGTCTGAATCCCCTGTGGAGACCTTAGAGAAAGCCCTAGGTCCCTGCCTCATTTTGACGGAATGCCTCACATCCCGCTGACACCTCGAGAGGCACGCGGAGTTCATTGCTTCAAAAGGTGACGATGCCTGACTCCTCTTGAATACTGATAGGAATCCCAAAATCCCTGTGGCTACTGGAAAGGGTCCTTGGGTGCCCTGCCTCACCTCGAGAAGCGTCCCTTTTGCCCTGCCAAGCCTCGAAGAGATTCCTGAGGTGTCCCTCGTTACTAGACAGGAGTCCTGACGTCACTGAAGAAACTCGTGTTTTGAAGGGCCATCCCCGCCGTAAGTCGAGAACATACCCCAGGTCCCCGCCGCAACTCGAGAAAAACCATGAGACTTCCCCCTATAGGCGAGATGAGGCCCCATTCCCCTGCAGTGCATGCAGAGCTATTCCGTGATCCCATTCAAACAAGTCAGGAGCTTTGACTTGCTTAATGGATTTCGAGACAGTCCCCAAGAACACTGTCACCAGTCTAGACGGACCCTGAGGTCACCCCAGCAACGCAAAGCAGCTCCATGTGCCCCAAATCAACTCGAGATGAGGCCCGATTCCCCTGCATTGACTCCAGAGCCATTCCCCGTTCCCCATTCAACACGACCGGTGGCTCGACTTCCTTCAGGCAACTCCAGAGATGCCCCGAGAACACTGTCCCAAGTCTAGAGGAACACCAACTTCAGCACAGCAGCTCGAGGAATGCTCTGTGTACCCCAAATCGTCTCGAGATGCGAGCTGATTCCCTGGCTTAGGCTCAAGACCTATGCCAACTTCCCAGAAGCACCTCAGGAGGAGGCTTCTCTCAGCAATAGGTATGTGGGAGGGACCCCGAGTTTGCTGCCTCAAGGGGAATATACAGCGAGAAGCCCTAACTTGAAAGGAGGCCGGATTTCCTTGCAGTGGCTTGAATACAGGCTCGTCTTTCATCTCACAACATGAAGGGATGTCTGAATCCCCTGTGGAGACCTTAGAGAAAGCCCTAGGTCCCTGCCTCATTTTGACGGAATGCCTCACATCGCGCTGACACCTCGAGAGGCACGCGGAGTTCATTGCTTCAAAAGGTGACGATGCCTGACTCCTCTTGAATACTGATAGGAATCCCAAAATCCCTGTGGCTACTGGAAAGGGTCCTTGGGTGCCCTGCCTCACCTCGAGAAGCGTCCCTTTTGCCCTGCCAAGCCTCGAAGAGATTCCTGAGGTGTCCCTCGTTACTAGACAGGAGTCCTGACGTCACTGAAGAAACTCGTGTTTTGAAGGGCCATCCCCGCCGTAAGTCGAGAACATACCCCAGGTCCCCGCCGCAACTCGAGAAAAACCATGAGACTTCCCCCTAGAGGCGAGATGAGGCCCCATTCCCCTGCAGTGCATGCAGAGCTATTCCGTGATCCCATTCAAACAAGTCAGGAGCTTCGACTTGCTTAATGGATCTCGAGACAGTCCCCAAGAACACTGTCACCAGTCAAGACGGACCCTGAGGTCACCCCAGCAACGCAAAGCAGCTCCATGTGCCCCAAATCAACTCGAGATGAGGCCCGATTCCCCTGCATTGACTCCAGAGCCATTCCCCGTTCCCCATTCAACACGACCGGTGGCTCGACTTCCTTCAGGCAACTCCAGAGATGCCCCGAGAACACTGTCCCAAGTCTAGAGGAAAACCAACTTCAGCACAGCAGCTCGAGGAATGCTCCGTGTACCCCAAATCGTCTCGAGATGCGAGCTGATTCCCTGGCTTAGGCTCAAGACGTATGCCAACTTCCCAGAAGCACCTCAGGAGGAGGCTTCTCTCAGCAATAGGTATGTGGGAGGGACCCCGAGTTTGCTGCCTCAAGTGGAATATACAGCGAGAAGCCCTAACTTGAAAGGAGGCCGGATTTCCTTGCAGTGGCTTGAATACAGGCTCGTCTTTCATCTCACAACATGAAGGGATGTCTGAATCCCCTGTGGAGACCTTAGAGAAAGCCCTAGGTCCCTGCCTCATTTTGACGGAATGCCTCACATCCCGCTGACACCTCGAGAGGCACGCGGAGTTCATTGCTTCAAAAGGTGACGATGCCTGACTCCTCTTGAATACTGATAGGAATCCCAAAATCCCTGTGGCTACTGGAAAGGGTCCTTGGGTGCCCTGCCTCACCTCGAGAAGCGTCCCTTTTGCCCTGCCAAGCCTCGAAGAGATTCCTGAGGTGTCCCTCGTGACTAGACAGGAGTCCTGACGTCACTGAAGAAACTCGTGTTTTGAAGGGCCATCCCCGCCGTAAGTCGAGAACATACCCCAGGTCCCCGCCGCAACTCGAGAAAAACCATGAGACTTCCCCCTAGAGGCGAGATGAGGCCCCATTCCCCTGCAGTGCATGCAGAGCTATTCCGTGATCCCATTCAAACAAGTCAGGAGCTTCGACTTGCTTAATGGATCTCGAGACAGTCCCCAAGAACACTGTCACCAGTCTAGACGGACCCTGAGGTCACCCCAGCAACGCAAAGCAGCTCCATGTGCCCCAAATCAACTCGAGATGAGGCCCGATTCCCCTGCATTGACTCCAGAGCCATTCCCCGTTCCCCATTCAACACGACCGGTGGCTCGACTTCCTTCAGGCAACTCCAGAGATGCCCCGAGAACACTGTCCCAAGTCTAGAGGAACACCAACTTCAGCACAGCAGCTCGAGGAATGCTCTGTGTACCCCAAATCGTCTCGAGATGCGAGCTGATTCCCTGGCTTAGGCTCAAGACGTATGCCAACTTCCCAGAAGCACCTCAGGAGGAGGCTTCTCTCAGCAACAGGTATGTGGGAGGGACCCCGAGTTTGCTGCCTCAAGGGGAATATACAGTGAGAAGCCCTAACTTGAAAGGAGGCCGGATTTCCTTGCAGTGGCTTGAATACAGGCTCGTCTTTCATCTCACAACATGAAGGGATGTCTGAATCCCCTGTGGAGACCTTAGAGAAAGCCCTAGGTCCCTGCCTCATTTTGACGGAATGCCTCACATCCCGCTGACACCTCGAGAGGCACGCGGAGTTCATTGCTTCAAAAGGTGACGATGCCTGACTCCTCTTGAATACTGATAGGAATCCCAAAATCCCTGTGGCTACTGGAAAGGGTCCTTGGGTGCCCTGCCTCACCTCGAGAAGCGTCCCTTTTGCCCTGCCAAGCCTCGAAGAGATTCCTGAGGTGTCCCTCGTTACTAGACAGGAGTCCTGACGTCACTGAAGAAACTCGTGTTTTGAAGGGCCATCCCCGCCGTAAGTCGAGAACATACCCCAGGTCCCCGCCGCAACTCGAGAAAAACCATGAGACTTCCCCCTAGAGGCGAGATGAGGCCCCATTCCCCTGCAGTGCATGCAGAGCTATTCCGTGATCCCATTCAAACAAGTCAGGAGCTTCGACTTGCTTAATGGATCTCGAGACAGTCCCCAAGAACACTGTCACCAGTCTGGACGGACCCTGAGGTCACCCCAGCAACGCAAAGCAGCTCCATGTGCCCCAAATCAACTCGAGATGAGGCCCGATTCCCCTGCATTGACTCCAGAGCCATTCCCCGTTCCCCATTCAACACGACCGGTGGCTCGACTTCCTTCAGGCAACTCCAGAGATGCCCCGAGAACACTGTCCCAAGTCTAGAGGAACACCAACTTCAGCACAGCAACTCGAGGAATGCTCCGTGTACCCCAAATCGTCTCGAGATGAGAGCTGATTCCCTGGCTTAGGCTCAAGACGTATGCCAACTTCCCAGAAGCACCTCAGGAGGAGGCTTCTCTCAGCAATAGGTATGTGGGAGGGACCCCGAGTTTGCTGCCTCAAGGGGAATATACAGCGAGAAGCCCTAACTTGAAAGGAGGCCGGATTTCCTTGCAGTGGCTTGAATACAGGCTCGTCTTTCATCTCACAACATGAAGGGATGTCTGAATCCCCTGTGGAGACCTTAGAGAAAGCCCTAGGTCCCTGCCTCATTTTGACGGAATGCCTCACATCGCGCTGACACCTCGAGAGGCACGCGGAGTTCATTGCTTCAAAAGGTGACGATGCCTGACTCCTCTTGAATACTGATAGGAATCCCAAAATCCCTGTGGCTACTGGAAAGGGTCCTTGGGTGCCCTGCCTCACCTCGAGAAGCGTCCCTTTTGCCCTGCCAAGCCTCGAAGAGATTCCTGAGGTGTCCCTCGTTACTAGACAGGAGTCCTGACGTCACTGAAGAAACTCGTGTTTTGAAGGGCCATCCCCGCCGTAAGTCGAGAACATACCCCAGGTCCCCGCCGCAACTCGAGAAAAACCATGAGACTTCCCCCTAGAGGCGAGATGAGGCCCCATTCCCCTGCAGTGCATGCAGAGCTATTCCGTGATCCCATTCAAACAAGTCAGGAGCTTCGACTTGCTTAATGGATCTCGAGACAGTCCCCAAGAACACTGTCACCAGTCAAGACGGACCCTGAGGTCACCCCAGCAACGCAAAGCAGCTCCATGTGCCCCAAATCAACTCGAGATGAGGCCCGATTCCCCTGCATTGACTCCAGAGCCATTCCCCGTTCCCCATTCAACACGACCGGTGGCTCGACTTCCTTCAGGCAACTCCAGAGATGCCCCGAGAACACTGTCCCAAGTCTAGAGGAAAACCAACTTCAGCACAGCAGCTCGAGGAATGCTCCGTGTACCCCAAATCGTCTCGAGATGCGAGCTGATTCCCTGGCTTAGGCTCAAGACGTATGCCAACTTCCCAGAAGCACCTCAGGAGGAGGCTTCTCTCAGCAATAGGTATGTGGGAGGGACCCCGAGTTTGCTGCCTCAAGTGGAATATACAGCGAGAAGCCCTAACTTGAAAGGAGGCCGGATTTCCTTGCAGTGGCTTGAATACAGGCTCGTCTTTCATCTCACAACATGAAGGGATGTCTGAATCCCCTGTGGAGACCTTAGAGAAAGCCCTAGGTCCCTGCCTCATTTTGACGGAATGCCTCACATCCCGCTGACACCTCGAGAGGCACGCGGAGTTCATTGCTTCAAAAGGTGACGATGCCTGACTCCTCTTGAATACTGATAGGAATCCCAAAATCCCTGTGGCTACTGGAAAGGGTCCTTGGGTGCCCTGCCTCACCTCGAGAAGCGTCCCTTTTGCCCTGCCAAGCCTCGAAGAGATTCCTGAGGTGTCCCTCGTGACTAGACAGGAGTCCTGACGTCACTGAAGAAACTCGTGTTTTGAAGGGCCATCCCCGCCGTAAGTCGAGAACATACCCCAGGTCCCCGCCGCAACTCGAGAAAAACCATGAGACTTCCCCCTAGAGGCGAGATGAGGCCCCATTCCCCTGCAGTGCATGCAGAGCTATTCCGTGATCCCATTCAAACAAGTCAGGAGCTTCGACTTGCTTAATGGATCTCGAGACAGTCCCCAAGAACACTGTCACCAGTCTAGACGGACCCTGAGGTCACCCCAGCAACGCAAAGCAGCTCCATGTGCCCCAAATCAACTCGAGATGAGGCCCGATTCCCCTGCATTGACTCCAGAGCCATTCCCCGTTCCCCATTCAACACGACCGGTGGCTCGACTTCCTTCAGGCAACTCCAGAGATGCCCCGAGAACACTGTCCCAAGTCTAGAGGAACACCAACTTCAGCACAGCAGCTCGAGGAATGCTCTGTGTACCCCAAATCGTCTCGAGATGCGAGCTGATTCCCTGGCTTAGGCTCAAGACGTATGCCAACTTCCCAGAAGCACCTCAGGAGGAGGCTTCTCTCAGCAACAGGTATGTGGGAGGGACCCCGAGTTTGCTGCCTCAAGGGGAATATACAGTGAGAAGCCCTAACTTGAAAGGAGGCCGGATTTCCTTGCAGTGGCTTGAATACAGGCTCGTCTTTCATCTCACAACATGAAGGGATGTCTGAATCCCCTGTGGAGACCTTAGAGAAAGCCCTAGGTCCCTGCCTCATTTTGACGGAATGCCTCACATCCCGCTGACACCTCGAGAGGCACGCGGAGTTCATTGCTTCAAAAGGTGACGATGCCTGACTCCTCTTGAATACTGATAGGAATCCCAAAATCCCTGTGGCTACTGGAAAGGGTCCTTGGGTGCCCTGCCTCACCTCGAGAAGCGTCCCTTTTGCCCTGCCAAGCCTCGAAGAGATTCCTGAGGTGTCCCTCGTTACTAGACAGGAGTCCTGACGTCACTGAAGAAACTCGTGTTTTGAAGGGCCATCCCCGCCGTAAGTCGAGAACATACCCCAGGTCCCCGCCGCAACTCGAGAAAAACCATGAGACTTCCCCCTAGAGGCGAGATGAGGCCCCATTCCCCTGCAGTGCATGCAGAGCTATTCCGTGATCCCATTCAAACAAGTCAGGAGCTTCGACTTGCTTAATGGATCTCGAGACAGTCCCCAAGAACACTGTCACCAGTCTGGACGGACCCTGAGGTCACCCCAGCAACGCAAAGCAGCTCCATGTGCCCCAAATCAACTCGAGATGAGGCCCGATTCCCCTGCATTGACTCCAGAGCCATTCCCCGTTCCCCATTCAACACGACCGGTGGCTCGACTTCCTTCAGGCAACTCCAGAGATGCCCCGAGAACACTGTCCCAAGTCTAGAGGAACACCAACTTCAGCACAGCAACTCGAGGAATGCTCCGTGTACCCCAAATCGTCTCGAGATGAGAGCTGATTCCCTGGCTTAGGCTCAAGACGTATGCCAACTTCCCAGAAGCACCTCAGGAGGAGGCTTCTCTCAGCAATAGGTATGTGGGAGGGACCCCGAGTTTGCTGCCTCAAGGGGAATATACAGCGAGAAGCCCTAACTTGAAAGGAGGCCGGATTTCCTTGCAGTGGCTTGAATACAGGCTCGTCTTTCATCTCACAACATGAAGGGATGTCTGAATCCCCTGTGGAGACCTTAGAGAAAGCCCTAGGTCCCTGCCTCATTTTGACGGAATGCCTCACATCCCGCTGACACCTCGAGAGGCACGTGGAGTTCATTGCTTCAAAAGGTGACGATGCCTGACTCCTCTTGAATACTGATAGGAATCCCAAAATCCCTGTGGCTACTGGAAAGGGTCCTTGGGTGCCCTGCCTCACCTCGAGAAGCGTCCCTTTTGCCCTGCCAAGCCTCGAAGAGATTCCTGAGGTGTCCCTCGTTACTAGACAGGAGTCCTGACGTCACTGAAGAAACTCGTGTTTTGAAGGGCCATCCCCGCCGTAAGTCGAGAACATACCCCAGGTCCCCGCCGCAACTCGAGAAAAACCATGAGACTTCCCCCTAGAGGCGAGATGAGGCCCCATTCCCCTGCAGTGCATGCAGAGCTATTCCGTGATCCATTTCAAACAAGTCAGGAGCTTCGACTTGCTTAATGGATCTCGAGACAGTCCCCAAGAACACTGTCACCAGTCTAGACGGACCCTGAGGTCACCCCAGCAACGCAAAGCAGCTCCATGTGCCCCAAATCAACTCGAGATGAGGCCCGATTCCCCTGCATTGACTCCAGAGCCATTCCCCGTTCCCCATTCAACACGACCCGTGGCTCGACTTCCTTCAGGCAACTCCAGAGATGCCCCGAGAACACTGTCCCAAGTCTAGGGGAACACCAACTTCAGCACAGCAACTCGAGGAATGCTCCGTGTACCCCAAATCGTTTCGAGATGAGAGCTGATTCCCTGGCTTAGGCTCAAGACGTATGCCAACTTCCCAGAAGCACCTCAGGAGGAGGCTTCTCTCAGCAATAGGTATGTGGGAGGGACCCCGAGTTTGCTGCCTCAAGGGGAATATACAGCGAGAAGCCCTAACTTGAAAGGAGGCCGGATTTCCTTGCAGTGGCTTGAATACAGGCTCGTCTTTCATCTCACAACATGAAGGGATGTCTGAATCCCCTGTGGAGACCTTAGAGAAAGCCCTAGGTCCCTGCCTCATTTTGACGGAATGCCTCACATCGCGCTGACACCTCGAGAGGCACGCGGAGTTCATTGCTTCAAAAGGTGACGATGCCTGACTCCTCTTGAATACTGATAGGAATCCCAAAATCCCTGTGGCTACTGGAAAGGGTCCTTGGGTGCCCTGCCTCACCTCGAGAAGCGTCCCTTTGCCCTGCCAAGCCTCGAAGAGATTCCTGAGGTGTCCCTCGTTACTAGACAGGAGTCCTGACGTCACTGAAGAAACTCGTGTTTTGAAGGGCCATCCCCGCCATAAGTCGAGAACATACCCCAGGTCCCCGCCGCAACTCGAGAAAAACCATGAGACTTCCCCCTAGAGGCGAGATGAGGCCCCATTCCCCTGCAGTGCATGCAGAGCTATTCCGTGATCCCATTCAAACAAGTCAGGAGCTTCGACTTGCTTAATGGATCTCGAGACAGTCCCCAAGAACACTGTCACCAGTCTAGACGGAACCTGAGGTCACCCCAGCAACGCAAAGCAGCTCCATGTGCCCCAAATCAACTCGAGATGAGGCCCGATTCCCCTGCATTGACTCCAGAGCCATTCCCCGTTCCCCATTCAACACGACCGGTGGCTCGACTTCCTTCAGGCAACTCCAGAGATGCCCCGAGAACACTGTCCCAAGTCTAGAGGAACACCAACTTCAGCACAGCAACTCGAGGAATGCTCCGTGTACCCCAAATCGTCTCGAGATGAGAGCTGATTCCCTGGCTTAGGCTCAAGACGTATGCCAACTTCCCAGAAGCACCTCAGGAGGAGGCTTCTCTCAGCAATAGGTATGTGGGAGGGACCCCGAGTTTGCTGCCTCAAGGGGAATATACAGCGAGAAGCCCTAACTTGAAAGGAGGCCGGATTTCCTTGCAGTGGCTTGAATACAGGCTCGTCTTTCATCTCACAACATGAAGGGATGTCTGAATCCCCTGTGGAGACCTTAGAGAAAGCCCTAGGTCCCTGCCTCATTTTGACGGAATGCCTCACATCGCGCTGACACCTCGAGAGGCACGCGGAGTTCATTGCTTCAAAAGGTGACGATGCCTGACTCCTCTTGAATACTGATAGGAATCCCAAAATCCCTGTGGCTACTGGAAAGGGTCCTTGGGTGCCCTGCCTCACCTCGAGAAGCGTCCCTTTTGCCCTGCCAAGCCTCGAAGAGATTCCTGAGGTGTCCCTCGTTACTAGACAGGAGTCCTGACGTCACTGAAGAAACTCGTGTTTTGAAGGGCCATCCCCGCCGTAAGTCGAGAACATACCCCAGGTCCCCGCCGCAACTCGAGAAAAACCATGAGACTTCCCCCTAGAGGCGAGATGAGGCCCCATTCCTCTGCAGTGCATGCAGAGCTATTCCGTGATCCCATTCAAACAAGTCAGGAGCTTCGACTTGCTTAATGGATCTAGAGACAGTCCCCAAGAACACTGTCACCAGTCTAGACGGACCCTGAGGTCACCCCAGCAACGCAAAGCAGCTCCATGTGCCCCAAATCAACTCGAGATGAGGCCCGATTCCCCTGCATTGACTCCAGAGCCATTCCCCGTTCCCCATTCAACACGACCGGTGGCTCGACTTCCTTCAGGCAACTCCAGAGATGCCCCGAGAACACTGTCCCAAGCCTTGAGGAACACCAACTTCAGCACAGCAACTCGAGGAATGCTCCGTGTACCCCAAATCGTCTCGAGATGAGAGCTGATTCCCTGGCTTAGGCTCAAGACGTATGCCAACTTCCCAGAAGCACCTCAGGAGGAGGCTTCTCTCAGCAATAGGTATGTGGGAGGGACCCCGAGTTTGCTGCCTCAAGGCGAATATACAGCGAGAAGCCCTAACTTGAAAGGAGGCCGGATTTCCTTGCAGTGGCTTGAATACAGGCTCGTCTTTCATCTCACAACATGAAGGGATGTCTGAATCCCCTGTGGAGACCTTAGAGAAAGCCCTAGGTCCCTGCCTCATTTTGACGGAATGCCTCACATCCCGCTGACACCTCGAGAGGCACGCGGAGTTCATTGCTTCAAAAGGTGACGATGCCTGACTCCTCTTGAATACTGATAGGAATCCCAAAATCCCTGTGGCTACTGGAAAGGGTCCTTGGGTGCCCTGCCTCACCTCGAGAAGCGTCCCTTTTGCCCTGCCAAGCCTCGAAGAGATTCCTGAGGTGTCCCTCGTGACTAGACAGGAGTCCTGACGTCACTGAAGAAACTCGTGTTTTGAAGGGCCATCCCCGCCGTAAGTCGAGAACATACCCCAGGTCCCCGCCGCAACTCGAGAAAAACCATGAGACTTCCACCTAGAGGCGAGATGAGGCCCCATTCGCCTGCAGTGCATGCAGAGCTATTCCGTGATCCCATTCAAACAAGTCAGGAGCTTCGACTTGCTTAATGGATCTCGAGACAGTCCCCAAGAACACTGTCACCAGTCTAGACGGACCCTGAGGTCACCCCAGCAACGCAAAGCAGCTCCATGTGCCCCAAATCAACTCGAGATGAGGCCCGATTCCCCTGCATTGACTCCAGAGCCATTCCCCGTTCCCCATTCAACACGACCGGTGGCTCCACTTCCTTCAGGCAACTCCAGAGATGCCCCGAGAACACTGTCCCAAGTCTAGAGGAACACCAACTTCAGCACAGCAACTCGAGGAATGCTCCGTGTACCCCAAATCGTCTCGAGATGAGAGCTGATTCCCTGGCTTAGGCTCAAGACGTATGCCAACTTCCCAGAAGCACCTCAGGAGGAGGCTTCTCTCAGCAATAGGTATGTGGGAGGGACCCCGAGTTTGCTGCCTTAAGGGGAATATACAGCGAGAAGCCCTGACTTGAAAGGAGGCCGGATTTCCTTGCAGTGGCTTGAATACAGGCTCGTCTTTCATCTCACAACATGAAGGGATGTCTGAATCCCCTGTGGAGACCATAGAGAAAGCCCTAGGTCCCTGCCTCATTTTGACGGAATGCCTCACATCCCGCTGACACCTCGAGAGGCACGCGGAGTTCATTGCTTCAAAAGGTGACGATGCCTGACTCCTCTTGAATACTGATAGGAATCCCAAAATCCCTGTGGCTACTGGAAAGTGTCCTTGGGTGCCCTGCCTCACCTCGAGAAGCGTCCCTTTTGCCCTGCCAAGCCTCGAAGAGATTCCGGAGGTTTCCCTCGTTACTAGACAGGAGTCCTGACGTCACTGAAGAAACTCGTGTTTTGAAGGGCCATCCCCGCCGTAAGTCGAGAACATACCCCAGGTCCCCGCCGCAACTCGAGAAAAACCATGAGACTTCCCCCTAGAGGCGAGATGAGGCCCCATTCCCCTGCAGTGCATGCAGAGCTATTCCGTGATCCCATTCAAACAAGTCAGGAGCTTCGACTTGCTTAATGGATCTCGAGACAGTCCCCAAGAACACTGTCACCAGTCTAGACGGACCCTGACGTCACCCCAGCAACGCAAAGCAGCTCCATGTGCCCCAAATCAACTCGAGATGAGGCCCGATTCCCCTGCATTGACTCCAGAGCCATTCCCCGTTCCCCATTCAACACGACCGGTGGCTCGACTTCCTTCAGGCAACTCCAGAGATGCCCCGAGAACACTGTCCCAAGTCTAGAGGAACACCAACTTCAGCACAGCAACCCGAGGAATGCTCCGTGTACCACAAATCGTCTCGAGATGCGAGCTGATTCCCTGGCTTAGGCTCAAGACGTATGCCAACTTCCCAGAAGCACCTCAGGAGGAGGCTTCTCTCAGCAATAGGTATGTGGGAGGGACCCCGAGTTTGCTGCCTCAAGGGGAATATACAGCGAGAAGCCCTAACTTGAAAGGAGGCCGGATTTCCTTGCAGTGGCTTGAATACAGGCTCGTCTTTCATCTCACAACATGAAGGGATGTCTGAATCCCCTGTGGAGACCTTAGAGAAAGCCCTAGGTCCCTGCCTCATTTTGACGGAATGCCTCACATCGCGCTGACACCTCGAGAGGCACGCGGAGTTCATTGCTTCAAAAGGTGACGATGCCTGACTCCTCTTGAATACTGATAGGAATCCCAAAATCCCTGTGGCTACTGGAAAGGGTCCTTGGGTGCCCTGCCTCACCTCGAGAAGCGTCCCTTTTGCCCTGCCAAGCCTCGAAGAGATTCCTGAGGTGTCCCTCGTTACTAGACAGGAGTCCTGACGTCACTGAAGAAACTCGTGTTTTGAAGGGCCATCCCCGCCGTAAGTCGAGAACATACCCCAGGTCCCCGCCGCAACTCGAGAAAAACCATGAGACTTCCCCCTAGAGGCGAGATGAGGCCCCATTCCCCTGCAGTGCATGCAGAGCTATTCCGTGATCCCATTCAAACAAGTCAGGAGCTTCGACTTGCTTAATGGATCTCGAGACAGTCCCCAAGAACACTGTCACCAGTCTAGACGGACCCTGAGGTCACCCCAGCAACGCAAAGCAGCTCCATGTGCCCCAAATCAACTCGAGATGAGGCCCGATTCCCCTGCATTGACTCCAGAGCCATTCCCCGTTCCCCATTCAACACGACCGGTGGCTCGACTTCCTTCAGGCAACTCCAGAGATGCCCCGAGAACACTGTCCCAAGTCTAGAGGAACACCAACTTCAGCACAGCAACTCGAGGAATGCTCCGTGTACCCCAAATCGTCTCGAGATGCGAGCTGATTCCCTGGCTTAGGCTCAAGACGTATGCCAACTTCCCAGAAGCACCTCAGGAGGAGGCTTCTCTCAGCAATAGGTATGTGGGAGGGACCCCGAGTTTGCTGCCTCAAGGGGAATATACAGCGAGAAGCCCTAACTTGAAAGGAGGCCGGATTTCCTTGCAGTGGCTTGAATACAGGCTCGTCTTTCATCTCACAACATGAAGGGATGTCTGAATCCCCTGTGGAGACCTTAGAGAAAGCCCTAGGTCCCTGCCTCATTTTGACGGAATGCCTCACATCCCGCTGACACCTCGAGAGGCACGCGGAGTTCATTGCTTCAAAAGGTGACGATGCCTGACTCCTCTTGAATACTGATAGGAATCCCAAAATCCCTGTGGCTACTGGAAAGGGTCCTTGGGTGCCCTGCCTCACCTCGAGAAGCGTCCCTTTTGCCCTGCCAAGCCTCGAAGAGATTCCTGACGTGTCCCTCGTTACTAGACAGGAGTCCTGACGTCACTGAAGAAACTCGTGTTTTGAAGGGCCATCCCCGCCGTAAGTCGAGAACATACCCCAGGTCCCCGCCGCAACTCGAGAAAAACCATGAGACTTCCCCCTAGAGGCGAGATGAGGCCCCATTCCCCTGCAGTGCATGCAGAGCTATTCCGTGATCCCACTCAAACAAGTCAGGAGCTTCGACTTGCTTAATGGATCTCGAGACAGTCCCCAAGAACACTGTCACCAGTCTAGACGGACCCTGAGGTCACCCCAGCAACGCAAAGCAGCTCCATGTGCCCCAAATCAACTCGAGATGAGGCCCGATTCCCCTGCATTGACTCCAGAGCCATTCCCCGTTCCCCATTCAACACGACCGGTGGCTTGACTTCCTTCAGGCAACTCCAGAGATGCCCCGAGAACACTGTCCCAAGTCTAGAGGAACACCAACTTCAGCACAGCAACTCGAGGAATGCTCCGTGTACCCCAAATCATCTCGAGATGAGAGCTGATTCCCTGGCTTAGGCTCAAGACGTATGCCAACTTCCCAGAAGCACCTCAGGAGGAGGCTTCTCTCAGCAATAGGTATGTGGGAGGGACCCCGAGTTTGCTGCCTCAAGGGGAATATACAGCGAGAAGCCCTAACTTGAAAGGAGGCCGGATTTCCTTGCAGTGGCTTGAATACAGGCTCGTCTTTCATCTCACAACATGAAGGGATGTCTGAATCCCCTGTGGAGACCTTAGAGAAAGCCCTAGGTCCCTGCCTCATTTTGACGGAATGCCTTACATCCCGCTGACACCTCGAGAGGCACGCGGAGTTCATTGCTTCAAAAGGTGACGATGCCTGACTCCTCTTGAATACTGATAGGAATCCCAAAATCCCTGTGGCTACTGGAAAGGGTCCTTGGGTGCCCTGCCTCACCTCGAGAAGCGTCCCTTTTGCCCTGCCAAGCCTCGAAGAGATTCCTGAGGTGTCCCTCGTTACTAGACAGGAGTCCTGACGTCACTGAAGAAACTCGTGTTTTGAAGGGCCATCCCCGGCATAAGTCGAGAACATACCCCAGGTCCCCGCCGCAACTCGAGAAAAACCATGAGACTTCCACCTAGAGGCGAGATGAGGCCCCATTCCCCTGCAGTGCATGCAGAGCTATTCCGTGATCCCATTCAAACAAGTCAGGAGCTTCGACTTGCTTAATGGATCTCGAGACAGTCCCCAAGAACACTGTCACCAGTCTAGACGGACCCTGAGGTCACCCCAGCAATGCAAAGCAGCTCCATGTGCCCCAAATCAACTCGAGATGAGGCCCGATTCCCCTGCATTGACTCCAGAGCCATTCCCCGTTCCCCATTCAACACGACCGGTGGCTCGACTTCCTTCAGGCAACTCCAGAGATGCCCCGAGAACACTGTCCCAAGTCTAGAGGAACACCAACTTCAGCACAGCAACTCGAGGAATGCTCCGTGTACCCCAAATCGTCTCGAGATGCGAGCTGATTCCCTGGCTTAGGCTCAAGACGTATGCCAACTTCCCAGAAGCACCTCAGGAGGAGGCTTCTCTCAGCAATAGGTATGTGGGAGGGACCCCGAGTTTGCTGCCTCAAGGGGAATATACAGCGAGAAGCCCTAACTTGAAAGGAGGCCGGATTTCCTTGCAGTGGCTTGAATACAGGCTCGTCTTTCATCTCACAACATGAAGGGATGTCTGAATCCCCTGTGGAGACCTTAGAGAAAGCCCTAGGTCCCTTCCTCATTTTGACGGAATGCCTCACATCCCGCTGACACCTCGAGAGGCACGCGGAGTTCATTGCTTCAAAAGGTGACGATGCCTGACTCCTCTTGAATACTGATAGGAATCCCAAAATCCCTGTGGCTACTGGAAAGGGTCCTTGGGTGCCCTGCCTCACCTCGAGAAGCGTCCCTTTTGCCCTGCCAAGCCTCGAAGAGATTCCTGACGTGTCCCTCGTTACTAGACAGGAGTCCTGACGTCACTGAAGAAACTCGTGTTTTGAAGGGCCATCCCCGCCGTAAGTCGAGAACATACCCCAGGTCCCCGCCGCAACTCGAGAAAAACCATGAGACTTCCCCCTAGAGGCGAGATGAGGCCCCATTCCCCTGCAGTGCATGCAGAGCTATTCCGTGATCCCACTCAAACAAGTCAGGAGCTTCGACTTGCTTAATGGATCTCGAGACAGTCCCCAAGAACACTGTCACCAGTCTAGACGGACCCTGAGGTCACCCCAGCAACGCAAAGCAGCTCCATGTGCCCCAAATCAACTCGAGATGAGGCCCGATTCCCCTGCATTGACTCCAGAGCCATTCCCCGTTCCCCATTCAACACGACCGGTGGCTTGACTTCCTTCAGGCAACTCCAGAGATGCCCCGAGAACACTGTCCCAAGTCTAGAGGAACACCAACTTCAGCACAGCAACTCGAGGAATGCTCCGTGTACCCCAAATCATCTCGAGATGAGAGCTGATTCCCTGGCTTAGGCTCAAGACGTATGCCAACTTCCCAGAAGCACCTCAGGAGGAGGCTTCTCTCAGCAATAGGTATGTGGGAGGGACCCCGAGTTTGCTGCCTCAAGGGGAATATACAGCGAGAAGCCCTAACTTGAAAGGAGGCCGGATTTCCTTGCAGTGGCTTGAATACAGGCTCGTCTTTCATCTCACAACATGAAGGGATGTCTGAATCCCCTGTGGAGACCTTAGAGAAAGCCCTAGGTCCCTGCCTCATTTTGACGGAATGCCTTACATCCCGCTGACACCTCGAGAGGCACGCGGAGTTCATTGCTTCAAAAGGTGACGATGCCTGACTCCTCTTGAATACTGATAGGAATCCCAAAATCCCTGTGGCTACTGGAAAGGGTCCTTGGGTGCCCTGCCTCACCTCGAGAAGCGTCCCTTTTGCCCTGCCAAGCCTCGAAGAGATTCCTGAGGTGTCCCTCGTTACTAGACAGGAGTCCTGACGTCACTGAAGAAACTCGTGTTTTGAAGGGCCATCCCCGGCATAAGTCGAGAACATACCCCAGGTCCCCGCCGCAACTCGAGAAAAACCATGAGACTTCCACCTAGAGGCGAGATGAGGCCCCATTCCCCTGCAGTGCATGCAGAGCTATTCCGTGATCCCATTCAAACAAGTCAGGAGCTTCGACTTGCTTAATGGATCTCGAGACAGTCCCCAAGAACACTGTCACCAGTCTAGACGGACCCTGAGGTCACCCCAGCAACGCAAAGCAGCTCCATGTGCCCCAAATCAACTCGAGATGAGGCCCGATTCCCCTGCATTGACTCCAGAGCCATTCCCCGTTCCCCATTCAACACGACCGGTGGCTCGACTTCCTTCAGGCAACTCCAGAGATGCCCCGAGAACACTGTCCCAAGTCTAGAGGAACACCAACTTCAGCACAGCAAATCGAGGAATGCTCCGTGTACCCCAAATCGTCTCGAGATGAGAGCTGATTCCCTGGCTTAGGCTCAAGACGTATGCCAACTTCCCAGAAGCACCTCAGGAGGAGGCTTCTCTCAGCAATAGTTATGTGGGAGGGACCCCGAGTTTGCTGCCTCAAGGGGAATATACAGCGAGAAGCCCTAACTTGAAAGGAGGCCGGATTTCCTTGCAGTGGCTTGAATACAGGCTCGTCTTTCATCTCACAACATGAAGGGATGTCTGAATCCCCTGTGGAGACCTTAGAGAAAGCCCTAGGTCCCTGCCTCATTTTGACGGAATGCCTCACATCCCGCTGACACCTCGAGAGGCACGCGGAGTTCATTGCTTCAAAAGGTGACGATGCCTGACTCCTCTTGAATACTGATAGGAATCCCAAAATCCCTGTGGCTACTGGAAAGGGTCCTTGGGTGCCCTGCCTCACCTCGAGAAGCGTCCCTTTTGCCCTGCCAAGCCTCGAAGAGATTCCTGAGGTGTCCCTCGTTACTAGACAGGAGTCCTGACGTCACTGAAGAAACTCGTGTTTTGAAGGGCCATCCCCGCCGTAAGTCGAGAACATACCCCAGGTCCCCGCCGCAACTCGAGAAAAACCATGAGACTTCCCCCTAGAGGCGAGATGAGGCCCCATTCCCCTGCAGTGCATGCAGAGCTATTCCGTGATCCCATTCAAACAAGTCAGGAGCTTCGACTTGCTTAATGGATCTCGAGACAGTCCCCAAGAACACTGTCACCAGTCTAGACGGACCCTGAGGTCACCCCAGCAATGCAAAGCAGCTCCATGTGCCCCAAATCAACTCGAGATGAGGCCAGATTCCCCTGCATTGACTCCAGAGCCATTCCCCGTTCCCCATTCAACATGACCGGTGGCTCGACTTCCTTCAGGCAACTCCAGAGATGCCCCGAGAACACTGTCCCAAGTCTAGAGGAACACCAACTTCAGCACAGCAACTCGAGGAATGCTCCGTGTACCCCAAATCGTCTCGAGATGCGAGCTGATTCCCTGGCTTAGGCTCAAGACGTATGCCAACTTCCCAGAAGCACCTCAGGAGGAGGCTTCTCTCAGCAATAGGTATGTGGGAGGGACCCCGAGTTTGCTGCCTCAAGGGGAATATACAGCGAGAAGCCCTAACTTGAAAGGAGGCCGGATTTCCTTGCAGTGGCTTGAATACAGGCTCGTCTTTCATCTCACAACATGAAGGGATGTCTGAATCCCATGTGGAGACCTTAGAGAAAGCCCTAGGTCAATGCCTCATTTTGACGGAATGCCTCACATCGCGCTGACACCTCGAGAGGCACGCGGAGTTCATTGCTTCAAAAGGTGACGATGCCTGACTCCTCTTGAATACTGATAGGAATCCCAAAATCCCTGTGGCTACTGGAAAGGGTCCTTGGGTGCCCTGCCTCACCTCGAGAAGCGTCCCTTTTGCCCTGCCAAGCCTCGAAGAGATTCCTGAGGTGTCCCTCGTTACTAGACAGGAGTCCTGACGTCACTGAAGAAACTCGTGTTTTGAAGGGCCATCCCCGCCGTAAGTCGAGAACATACCCCAGGTCCCCGCCGCAACTCGAGAAAAACCATGAGACTTCCCCCTAGAGGCGAGATGAGGCCCCATTCCCCTGCAGTGCATGCAGAGCTATTCCGTGATCCCATTCAAACAAGTCAGGAGCTTCGACTTGCTTAATGGATCTCGATACAGTCCCCAAGAACACTGTCACCAGTCTAGACGGACCCTGAGGTCACCCCAGCAACGCAAAGCAGCTCCATGTGCCCCAAATCAACTCGAGATGAGGCCCGATTCCCCTGCATTGACACCAGAGCCATTCCCCGTTCCCCATTCAACACGACCGGTGGCTCGACTTCATTCAGGCAACTCCAGAGATGCCCCGAGAACACTGTCCCAAGTCTAGAGGAACACCAACTTCAGCACAGCAACTCGAGGAATGCTCCGTGTACCCCAAATCGTCTCGAGATGAGAGCTGATTCCCTGGCTTAGGCTCAAGACGTATGCCAACTTCCCAGAAGCACCTCAGGAGGAGGCTTCTCTCAGCAATAGGTATGTGGGAGGGAACCCGAGTTTGCTGCCTCAATTGGAATATACAGCAAGAAGCCCTAACTTGAAAGGAGGCCGGATTTCCTTGCAGTGGCTTGAATACAGGCTCGTCTTTCATCTCACAACATGAAGGGATGTCTGAATCCCCTGTGGAGACCTTAGAGAAAGCCCTAGGTCCCTGCCTCATTTTGACGGAATGCCTCACATCCCGCTGACACCTCGAGAGGCACGCGGAGTTCATTGCTTCAAAAGGTGACGATTCCTGACTCCTCTTGAATACTGATAGGAATCCCAAAATCCCTGTGGCTACTGGAAAGGGTCCTTGGGTGCCCTGCCTCACCTCGAGAAGCGTCCCTTTTGCCCTGCCAAGCCTCGAAGAGATTCCTGAGGTGTCCCTCGTTACTAGACAGGAGTCCTGACGTCACTGAAGAAACTCGTGTTTTGAAGGGCCATCCCCGCCGTAAGTCGAGAACATACCCCAGGTCCCCGCCGCAACTCGACAAAAACCATGAGACTTCCCCCTAGAGGCGAGATGAGGCCCCATTCCCCTGCAGTGCATGCAGAGCTATTCCGTGATCCCATTCAAACAAGTCAGGAGCTTCGACTTGCTTAATGGATCTCGAGACAGTCCCCAAGAACACTGTCACCAGTCTAGACGGACCCTGAGGTCACCCCAGCAACGCAAAGCAGCTCCATGTGCCCCAAATCAACTCGAGATGAGGCCCGATTCCCCTGCATTGACTCCAGAGCCATTCCCCGTTCCCCATTCAACATGACCGGTGGCTCGACTTCCTTCAGGCAACTCCAGAGATGCCCCGAGAACACTGTCCCAAGTCTAGAGGAACACCAACTTCAGCACAGCAACTCGAGGAATGCTCCGTGTACCCCAAATCGTCTCGAGATGCGAGCTGATTCCCTGGCTTAGGCTCAAGACGTATGCCAACTTCCCAGAAGCACCTCAGGAGGAGGCTTCTCTCAGCAATAGGTATGTGGGAGGGACCCCGAGTTTGCTGCCTCAAGGGGAATATACAGCGAGAAGCCCTAACTTGAAAGGAGGCCGGATTTCCTTGCAGTGGCTTGAATACAGGCTCGTCTTTCATCTCACAACATGAAGGGATGTCTGAATCCCCTGTGGAGACCTTAGAGAAAGCCCTAGGTCCCTGCCTCATTTTGACGGAATGCCTCACATCCCGCTGACACCTCGAGAGGCACGCGGAGTTCATTGCTTCAAAAGGTGACGATGCCTGACTCCTCTTGAATACTGATAGGAATCCCAAAATCCCTGTGGCTACTGGAAAGGGTCCTTGGGTGCCCTGCCTCACCTCGAGAAGCGTCCCTTTTGCCCTGCCAAGCCTCGAAGAGATTCCTGAGGTGTCCCTCGTTACTAGACAGGAGTCCTGACGTCACTGAAGAAACTCGTGTTTTGAAGGGCCATCCCCGCCGTAAGTCGAGAACATACCCCAGGTCCCCGCCGCAACTCGAGAAAAACCATGAGACTTCCACCTAGAGGCGAGATGAGGCCCCATTCCCCTGCAGTGCATGCAGAGCTATTCCGTGATCCCATTCAAACAAGTCAGGAGCTTCGACTTGCTTAATGGATCTCGAGACAGTCCCCAAGAACACTGTCACCAGTCTAGACGGACCCTGAGGTCACCCCAGCAACGAAAAGCAGCTCCATGTGCCCCAAATCAACTCGAGATGAGGCCCGATTCCCCTGCATTGACTCCAGAGCCATTCCCCGTTCCCCATTCAACACGACCGGTGGCTCGACTTCCTTCAGGCAACTCCAGAGATGCCCCGAGAACACTGTCCCAAGTCTAGAGGAACACCAACTTCAGCACAGCAACTCGAGGAATGCTCCGTGTACCCCAAATCGTCTCGAGATGAGAGCTGATTCCCTGGCTTAGGCTCAAGACGTATGCCAACTTCCCAGAAGCACCTCAGGAGGAGGCTTCTCTCAGCAATAGGTATGTGGGAGGGACCCCGAGTTTGTTGCCTCAAGGGGAATATACAGCGAGAAGCCCTGACTTGAAAGGAGGCCGGATTTCCTTGCAGTAGCTTGAATACAGGCTCGTCTTTCATCTCACAACATGAAGGGATGTCTGAATCCCCTGTGGAGACCTTAGAGAAAGCCCTAGGTCAATGCCTCATTTTGACGGAATGCCTCACATCGCGCTGACACCTCGAGAGGCACGCGGAGTTCATTGCTTCAAAAGGTGACGATGCCTGACTCCTCTTGAATACTGATAGGAATCCCAAAATCCCTGTGGCTACTGGAAAGGGTCCTTGGGTGCCCTGCCTCACCTCGAGAAGCGTCCCTTTTGCCCTGCCAAGCCTCGAAGAAATTCCTGAGGTGTCCCTCGTTACTAGACAGGAGTCCTGACGTCACTGAAGAAACTCGTGTTTTGAAGGGCCATCCCCGCCGTAAGTCGAGAACATACCCCAGGTCCCCGCCGCAACTCGAGAAAAACCATGAGACTTCCCCCTAGAGGCGAGATGAGGCCCCATTCCCCTGCAGTGCATGCAGAGCTATTCCGTGATCCCATTCAAACAAGTCAGGAGCTTCGACTTGCTTAATGGATCTCGATACAGTCCCCAAGAACACTGTCACCAGTCTAGACGGACCCTGAGGTCACCCCAGCAACGCAAAGCAGCTCCATGTGCCCCAAATCAACTCGAGATGAGGCCCGATTCCCCTGCATTGACACCAGAGCCATTCCCCGTTCCCCATTCAACACGACCGGTGGCTCGACTTCATTCAGGCAACTCCAGAGATGCCCCGAGAACACTGTCCCAAGTCTAGAGGAACACCAACTTCAGCACAGCAACTCGAGGAATGCTCCGTGTACCCCAAATCGTCTCGAGATGAGAGCTGATTCCCTGGCTTAGGCTCAAGACGTATGCCAACTTCCCAGAAGCACCTCAGGAGGAGGCTTCTCTCAGCAATAGGTATGTGGGAGGGAACCCGAGTTTGCTGCCTCAATTGGAATATACAGCAAGAAGCCCTAACTTGAAAGGAGGCCGGATTTCCTTGCAGTGGCTTGAATACAGGCTCGTCTTTCATCTCACAACATGAAGGGATGTCTGAATCCCCTGTGGAGACCTTAGAGAAAGCCCTAGGTCCCTGCCTCATTTTGACGGAATGCCTCACATCCCGCTGACACCTCGAGAGGCACGCGGAGTTCATTGCTTCAAAAGGTGACGATGCCTGACTCCTCTTGAATACTGATAGGAATCCCAAAATCCCTGTGGCTACTGGAAAGGGTCCTTGGGTGCCCTGCCTCACCTCGAGAAGCGTCCCTTTTGCCCTGCCAAGCCTCGAAGAGATTCCTGAGGTGTCCCTCGTTACTAGACAGGAGTCCTGACGTCACTGAAGAAACTCGTGTTTTGAAGGGCCATCCCCGCCGTAAGTCGAGAACATACCCCAGGTCCCCGCCGCAACTCGACAAAAACCATGAGACTTCCCCCTAGAGGCGAGATGAGGCCCCATTCCCCTGCAGTGCATGCAGAGCTATTCCGTGATCCCATTCAAACAAGTCAGGAGCTTCGACTTGCTTAATGGATCTCGAGACAGTCCCCAAGAACACTGTCACCAGTCTAGACGGACCCTGAGGTCACCCCAGCAACGCAAAGCAGCTCCATGTGCCCCAAATCAACTCGAGATGAGGCCCGATTCCCCTGCATTGACTCCAGAGCCATTCCCCGTTCCCCATTCAACACGACCGGTGGCTCGACTTCCTTCAGGCAACTCCAGAGATGCCCCGAGAACACTGTCCCAAGTCTAGAGGAACACCAACTTCAGCACAGCTACTCGAGGAATGCTCCGTGTACCCCAAATCGTCTCGAGATGCGAGCTGATTCCCTGGCTTAGGCTCAAGACGTATGCCAACTTCCCAGAAGCACCTCAGGAGGAGGCTTCTCTCAGCAATAGGTATGTGGGAGGGACCCCGAGTTTGCTGCCTCAAGGGGAATATACAGCGAGAAGCCCTAACTTGAAAGGAGGCCGGATTTCCTTGCAGTGGCTTGAATACAGGCTCGTCTTTCATCTCACAACATGAAGGGATGTCTGAATCCCCTGTGGAGACCTTAGAGAAAGCCCTTGGTCCCTGCCTCATTTTGACGGAATGCCTCACATCGCGCTGACACCTCGAGAGGCACGCGGAGTTCATTGCTTCAAAAGGTGACGATGCCTGACTCCTCTTGAATACTGATAGGAATCCCAAAATCCCTGTGGCTACTGGAAAGGGTCCTTGGGTGCCCTGCCTCACCTCGAGAAGCGTCCCTTTTGCCCTGCCAAGCCTCGAAGAGATTCCTGAGGTGTCCCTCGTTACTAGACAGGAGTCCTGACGTCACTGAAGAAACTCGTGTTTTGAAGTGCCATCCCCGCCGTAAGTCGAGAACATACCCCAGGTCCCCACCGCAACTCGAGAAAAACCATGAGACTTCCCCCTAGAGGCGAGATAAGGCCCCATTCCCCTGCAGTGCATGCAGAGCTATTCCGTGATCCCATTCAAACAAGTCAGGAGCTTCGACTTGCTTAATGGATCTCGAGACAGTCCCCAAGAACACTGTCACCAGTCTAGACGGACCCTGAGGTCACCCCAGCAACGCAAAGCATCTCCATGTGCCCCAAATCAACTCGAGATGAGGCCCGATTCCCCTGCATTGACTCCAGAGCCATTCCCCGTTCCCCATTCAACACGACCGGTGGCTCGACTTCCTTCAGGCAACTCCAGAGATGCCCCGAGAACACTGTCCCAAGTCTAGAGGAACACCAACTTCAGCACAGCAACTCGAGGAATGCTCCGTGTACCCCAAATCGTCTCGAGATGCGAGCTGATTCCCTGGCTTAGGCTCAAGACGTATGCCAACTCCCCAGAAGCACCTCAGGAGGAGGCTTCTCTCAGCAATAGGTATGTGGGAGGGACCCCGAGTTTGCTGCCTCAAGGGGAATATACAGCGAGAAGCCCTGACTTGAAAGGAGGCCGGATTTCCTTGCAGTGGCTTGAATACAGGCTCGTCTTTCATCTCACAACATGAAGGGATGTCTGAATCCCCTGTGGAGACCATAGAGAAAGCCCTAGGTCCCTGCCTCATTTTGACGGAATGCCTCACATCCCGCTGACACCTCGAGAGGCACGCGGAGTTCATTGCTTCAAAAGGTGACGATGCCTGACTCCTCTTGAATACTGATAGGAATCCCAAAATCCCTGTGGCTACTGGAAAGGGTCCTTGGGTGCCCTGCCTCACCTCGAGAAGCGTCCCTTTTGCCCTGCCAAGCCTCGAAGAGATTCCTGAGGTGTCCCTCGTTACTAGACAGGAGTCCTGACGTCACTGAAGAAACTCGTGTTTTGAAGGGCCATCCCCGCCTTAAGTCGAGAACATACCCCAGGTCCCCGCCGCAACTCGAGAAAAACCATGAGACTTCCCCCTAGAGGCGAGATGAGGCCCCATTCCCCTGCAGTGCATGCAGAGCTATTCCGTGATCCCATTCAAACAAGTCAGGAGCTTCGACTTGCTTAATGGATCTCGAGACAGTCCCCAAGAACACTGTCACCAGTCTAGACGGACCCTGAGGTCACCCCAGCAACGCAAAGCAGCTCCATGTGCCCCAAATCAACTCGAGATGAGGCCCGATTCCCCTGTCTTGACTCCAGAGCCATTCCCCGTTCCCCATTCAACACGACCGGTGGCTCGACTTCCTTCAGGCAACTCCAGAGATGCCCCGAGAACACTGTCCCAAGTCTAGAGGAACACCAACTTCAGCACAGCAACTCGAGGAATGCTCCGTGTACCCCAAAACGTCTCGAGATGAGAGCTGATTCCCTGGCTTAGGCTCAAGACGTATGCCAACTTCCCAGAAGCACCTCAGGAGGAGGCTTCTCTCAGCAATAGGTATGTGGGAGGGACCCCGAGTTTGCTGCCTTAAGGGGAATATACAGCGAGAAGCCCTGACTTGAAAGGAGGCCGGATTTCCTTGCAGTGGCTTGAATACAGGCTCGTCTTTCATCTCACAACATGAAGGGATGTCTGAATCCCCTGTGGAGACCATAGAGAAAGCCCTAGGTCCCTGCCTCATTTTGACGGAATGCCTCACATCCCGCTGACACCTCGAGAGGCACGCGGAGTTCATTGCTTCAAAAGGTGACGATGCCTGACTCCTCTTGAATACTGATAGGAATCCCAAAATCCCTGTGGCTACTGGAAAGGGTCCTTGGGTGCCCTGCCTCACCTCGAGAAGCGTCCCTTTTGCCCTGCCAAGCCTCGAAGAGATTCCTGAGGTGTCCCTCGTTACTAGACAGGAGTCCTGACGTCACTGAAGAAACTCGTGTTTTGAAGGGCCATCCCCGCCGTAAGTCGAGAACATACCCCAGGTCCCCGCCGCAACTCGAGAAAAACCATGAGACTTCCCCCTAGAGGCGAGATGAGGCCCCATTCCCCTGCAGTGCATGCAGAGCTATTCCGTGATCCCATTCAAACAAGTCAGGAGCTTCGACTTGCTTAATGGATCTCGAGACAGTCCCCAAGAACACTGTCACCAGTCTAGACGGACCCTGAGGTCACCCCAGCAATGCAAAGCAGCTCCATGTGCCCCAAATCAACTCGAGATGAGGCCCGATTCCCCTGCATTGACTCCAGAGCCATTCCCCGTTCCCCATTCAACACGACCGGTGGCTCGACTTCCTTCAGGCAACTCCAGAGATGCCCCGAGAACACTGTCCCAAGTCTAGAGGAACACCAACTTCAGCACAGCAACCCGAGGAATGCTCCGTGTACCCCAAATCGTCTCGAGATGCGAGCTGATTCCCTGGCTTAGGCTCAAGACGTATGCCAACTTCCCAGAAGCACCTCAGGAGGAAGCTTCTCTCAGCAATAGGTATGTGGGAGGGACCCCGAGTTTGCTGCCTCAAGGGGAATATACAGCGAGAAGCCCTGACTTGAAAGGAGGCCGGATTTCCTTGCAGTGGCTTGAATACAGGCTCGTCTTTCATCTCACAACATGAAGGGATGTCTGAATCCCCTGTGGAGACCTTAGAGAAAGCCCTAGGTCCCTGCCTCATTTTGACCGAATGCCTCACATCGCGCTGACACCTCGAGAGGCACGCGGAGTTCATTGCTTCAAAAGGTGACGATGCCTGACTCCTCTTGAATACTGATAGGAATCCCAAAATCCCTGTGGCTACTGGAAAGGGTCCTTGGGTGCCCTGCCTCACCTCGAGAAGCGTCCCTTTTGCCCTGCCAAGCCTCGAAGAGATTCCTGAGGTGTCCCTCGTTACTAGACAGGAGTCCTGACGTCACTGAAGAAACTCGTGTTTTGAAGGGCCATCCCCGCCGTAAGTCGAGAACATACCCCAGGTCCCCGCCGCAACTCGAGAAAAACCATGAGACTTCCCCCTAGAGGCGAGATGAGGCCCCATTCCCCTGCAGTGCATGCAGAGCTATTCCGTGATCCCATTCAAACAAGTCAGGAGCTTCGACTTGCTTAATGGATCTCGAGACAGTCCCCAAGAACACTGTCACCAGTCAAGACGGACCCTGAGGTCACCCCAGCAACGCAAAGCAGCTCCATGTGCCCCAAATCAACTCGAGATGAGGCCCGATTCCCCTGCATTGACTCCAGAGCCATTCCCCGTTCCCCATTCAACACGACCGGTGGCTCGACTTCCTTCAGGCAACTCCAGAGATGCCCCGAGAACACTGTCCCAAGTCTAGAGGAACACCAACTTCAGCACAGCAACACGAGGAATGCTCCGTGTACCCCAAATCGTCTCGAGATGCGAGCTGATTCCCTGGCTTAGGCTCAAGACGTATGCCAACTTCCCAGAAGCACCTCAGGAGGAGGCTTCTCTCAGCAATAGGTATGTGGGAGGGACCCCGAGTTTGCTGCCTCAAGGGGAATATACAGCGAGAAGCCCTGACTTGAAAGGAGGCCGGATTTCCTTGCAGTGGCTTGAATACAGGCTCGTCTTTCATCTCACAACATGAAGGGATGTCTGAATCCCCTGTGTAGGCCATAGAGAAAGCCCTAGGTCCCTGCCTCATTTTGACGGAATGCCTCACATCCCGCTGACAGCTCGAGAGGCACGTGGAGTTCATTGCTTCAAAAGGTGACGATGCCTGACTCCTCTTGAATACTGATAGGAATCCCAAAATCCCTGTGGCTACTGGAAAGGGTCCTTGGGTGCCCTGCCTCACCTCGAGAAGCGTCCCTTTTGCGCTGCCAAGCCTAGAAGAGATTCCTGAGATGTCCCTCGTTACTAGACAGGAGTCCTGACGTCACTGAAGAAACTCGTGTTTTGAAGGGCCATCCCCGCCGTAAGTCGAGAACATACCCCAGGTCCCCGCCGCAACTCGAGAAAAACCATGAGACTTCCCCCTAGAGGCGAGATGAGGCCCCATTCCCCTGCAGTGCATGCAGAGCTATTCCGTGATCCCATTCAAACAAGTCAGGAGCTTCGACTTGCTTAATGGATCTCGAGACAGTCCCCAAGAACAGTGTCACCAGTCTAGACGGACCCTGAGGTCACCCCAGCAATGCAAAGCAGCTCCATGTGCCCCAAATCAACTCGAGATGAGGCCCGATTCCCCTGCATTGACTCCAGAGCCATTCCCCGTTCCCCATTCAACACGACCGGTGGCTCGACTTCCTTCAGGCAACTCCAGAGATGCCCCGAGAACACTGTCCCAAGTCTAGAGGAACACCAACTTCAGCACAGCAACCCGAGGAATGCTCCGTGTACCCCAAATCGTCTCGAGATGCGAGCTGATTCCCTGGCTTAGGCTCAAGACGTATGCCAACTTCCCAGAAGCACCTCAGGAGGAAGCTTCTCTCAGCAATAGGTATGTGGGAGGGACCCCGAGTTTGCTGCCTCAAGGGGAATATACAGCGAGAAGCCCTGACTTGAAAGGAGGCCGGATTTCCTTGCAGTGGCTTGAATACAGGCTCGTCTTTCATCTCACAACATGAAGGGATGTCTGAATCCCCTGTGGAGACCTTAGAGAAAGCCCTAGGTCCCTGCCTCATTTTGACCGAATGCCTCACATCGCGCTGACACCTCGAGAGGCACGCGGAGTTCATTGCTTCAAAAGGTGACGATGCCTGACTCCTCTTGAATACTGATAGGAATCCCAAAATCCCTGTGGCTACTGGAAAGGGTCCTTGGGTGCCCTGCCTCACCTCGAGAAGCGTCCCTTTTGCCCTGCCAAGCCTCGAAGAGATTCCTGAGGTGTCCCTCGTTACTAGACAGGAGTCCTGACGTCACTGAAGAAACTCGTGTTTTGAAGGGCCATCCCCGCCGTAAGTCGAGAACATACCCCAGGTCCCCGCCGCAACTCGAGAAAAACCATGAGACTTCCCCCTAGAGGCGAGATGAGGCCCCATTCCCCTGCAGTGCATGCAGAGCTATTCCGTGATCCCATTCAAACAAGTCAGGAGCTTCGACTTGCTTAATGGATCTCGAGACAGTCCCCAAGAACACTGTCACCAGTCATGACGGACCCTGAGGTCACCCCAGCAACGCAAAGCAGCTCCATGTGCCCCAAATCAACTCGAGATGAGGCCCGATTCCCCTGCATTGACTCCAGAGCCATTCCCCGTTCCCCATTCAACACGACCGGTGGCTCGACTTCCTTCAGGCAACTCCAGAGATGCCCCGAGAACACTGTCCCAAGTCTAGAGGAACACCAACTTCAGCACAGCAACACGAGGAATGCTCCGTGTACCCCAAATCGTCTCGAGATGCGAGCTGATTCCCTGGCTTAGGCTCAAGACGTATGCCAACTTCCCAGAAGCACCTCAGGAGGAGGCTTCTCTCAGCAATAGGTATGTGGGAGGGACCCCGAGTTTGCTGCCTCAAGGGGAATATACAGCGAGAAGCCCTGACTTGAAAGGAGGCCGGATTTCCTTGCAGTGGCTTGAATACAGGCTCGTCTTTCATCTCACAACATGAAGGGATGTCTGAATCCCCTGTGTAGGCCATAGAGAAAGCCCTAGGTCCCTGCCTCATTTTGACGGAATGCCTCACATCCCGCTGACACCTCGAGAGGCACGTGGAGTTCATTGCTTCAAAAGGTGACGATGCCTGACTCCTCTTGAATACTGATAGGAATCCCAAAATCCCTGTGGCTACTGGAAAGGGTCCTTGGGTGCCCTGCCTCACCTCGAGAAGCGTCCCTTTTGCGCTGCCAAGCCTAGAAGAGATTCCTGAGGTGTCCCTCGTTACTAGACAGGAGTCCTGACGTCACTGAAGAAACTCGTGTTTTGAAGGGCCATCCCCGCCGTAAGTCGAGAACATACCCCAGGTCCCCGCCGCAACTCGAGAAAAACCATGAGACTTCCCCCTAGAGGCGAGATGAGGCCCCATTCCCCTGCAGTGCATGCAGAGCTATTCCGTGATCCCATTCAAACAAGTCAGGAGCTTCGACTTGCTTAATGGATCTCGAGACAGTCCCCAAGAACACTGTCACCAGTCTAGACGGACCCTGAGGTCACCCCAGCAATGCAAAGCAGCTCCATGTGCCCCAAATCAACTCGAGATGAGGCCCGATTCCCCTGCATTGACTCCAGAGCCATTCCCCGTTCCCCATTCAACACGACCGGTGGCTCGACTTCCTTCAGGCAACTCCAGAGATGCCCCGAGAACACTGTCCCAAGTCTAGAGGAACACCAACTTCAGCACAGCAACCCGAGGAATGCTCCGTGTACCCCAAATCGTCTCGAGATGCGAGCTGATTCCCTGGCTTAGGCTCAAGACGTATGCCAAATTCCCAGAAGCACCTCAGGAGGAAGCTTCTCTCAGCAATAGGTATGTGGGAGGGACCCCGAGTTTGCTGCCTCAAGGGGAATATACAGCGAGAAGCCCTGACTTGAAAGGAGGCCGGATTTCCTTGCAGTGGCTTGAATACAGGCTCGTCTTTCATCTCACAACATGAAGGGATGTCTGAATCCCCTGTGGAGACCTTAGAGAAAGCCCTAGGTCCCTGCCTCATTTTGACCGAATGCCTCACATCGCGCTGACACCTCGAGAGGCACGCGGAGTTCATTGCTTCAAAAGGTGACGATGCCTGACTCCTCTTGAATACTGATAGGAATCCCAAAATCCCTGTGGCTACTGGAAAGGGTCCTTGGGTGCCCTGCCTCACCTCGAGAAGCGTCCCTTTTGCCCTGCCAAGCCTCGAAGAGATTCCTGAGGTGTCCCTCGTTACTAGACAGGAGTCCTGACGTCACTGAAGAAACTCGTGTTTTGAAGGGCCATCCCCGCCGTAAGTCGAGAACATACCCCAGGTCCCCGCCGCAACTCGAGAAAAACCATGAGACTTCCCCCTAGAGGCGAGATGAGGCCCCATTCCCCTGCAGTGCATGCAGAGCTATTCCGTGATCCCATTCAAACAAGTCAGGAGCTTCGACTTGCTTAATGGATCTCGAGACAGTCCCCAAGAACACTGTCACCAGTCAAGACGGACCCTGAGGTCACCCCAGCAACGCAAAGCAGCTCCATGTGCCCCAAATCAACTCGAGATGAGGCCCGATTCCCCTGCATTGACTCCAGAGCCATTCCCCGTTCCCCATTCAACACGACCGGTGGCTCGACTTCCTTCAGGCAACTCCAGAGATGCCCCGAGAACACTGTCCCAAGTCTAGAGGAACACCAACTTCAGCACAGCAACTCGAGGAATGCTCCGTGTACCCCAAATCGTCTCGAGATGCGAGCTGATTCCCTGGCTTAGGCTCAAGACGTATGCCAACTTCCCAGAAGCACCTCAGGAGGAGGCTTCTCTCAGCAATAGGTATGTGGGAAGGACCCCGAGTTTGGTGCCTTAAGGGGAATATACAGCGAGAAGCCCTGACTTGAAAGGAGGCCGGATTTCCTTGCAGTGGCTTGAATACAGGCTCGTCTTTCATCTCACAACATGAAGGGATGTCTGAATCCCCTGTGTAGACCATAGAGAAAGCCCTAGGTCCCTGCCTCATTTTGACGGAATGCCTCACATCCCGCTGACACCTCGAGAGGCACGCGGAGTTCATTGCTTCAAAAGGTGACGATGCCTGACTCCTCTTGAATACTGATAGGAATCCCAAAATCCCTGTGGCTACTGGAAAGGGTCCTTGGGTGCCCTGCCTCACCTCGAGAAGCGTCCCTTTTGCCCTGCCAAGCCTCGAAGAGATTCCTGAGGTGTCCGTCGTTACTAGACAGGAGTCCTGACGTCACCGAAGAAACTCGTGTTTTGAAGGGCCATCCCCGCCGTAAGTCGAGAACATACCCCAGGTCCCCGCCACAACTCGAGAAAAACCATGAGACTTCCCCCTAGAGGCGAGATGAGGCCCCATTCCCCTGCAGTGCATGCAGAGCTATTCCGTGATCCCATTCAAACAAGTCAGGAGCTTCGACTTGCTTAATGGATCTCGAGACAGTCCCCAAGAACACTGTCACCAGTCTAGACGGACCCTGAGGTCACCCCAGCAACGCAAAGCAGCTCCATGTGCCCCAAATCAACTCGAGATGAGGCCCGATTCCCCTGCATTGACTCCAGAGCCATTCCCCGTTCCCCATTCAACACGACCGGTGGCTCGACTTCCTTCAGGCAACTCCAGAGATGCCCCGAGAACACTGTCCCAAGTCTAGAGGAACACCAACTTCAGCACAGCAACTCGAGGAATGCTCCGTGTACCCCAAATCGTCTCGAGATGAGAGCTGATTCCCTGGCTTAGGCTCAAGACGTATGCCAACTTCCCAGAAGCACCTCAGGAGGAGGCTTCTCTCAGCAATAGGTATGTGGGAGGGACCCCGAGTTTGCTGCCTTAAGGGGAATATACAGCAAGAAGCCCTGACTTGAAAGGAGGCCGGATTTCCTTGCAGTGGCTTGAATACAGGCTCGTCTTTCATCTCACAACATGAAGGGATGTCTGAATCCCCTGTGGAGACCATAGAGAAAGCCCTAGGTCCCTGCCTCATTTTGACCGAATGCCTCACATCCCGCTGACACCTCGAGAGGCACGCGGAGTTCATTGCTTCAAAAGGTGACGATGCCTGACTCCTCTTGAATACTGATAGGAATCCCAAAATCCCTGTGGCTACTGGAAAGGGTCCTTGGGTGCCCTGCCTCACCTCGAGAAGCGTCCCTTTTGCCCTGCCAAGCCTCGAAGAGATTCCTGAGGTGTCCCTCGTTACTAGACAGGAGTCCTGACGTCACTGAAGAAACTCGTGTTTTGAAGTGCCATCCCCGCCGTAAGTCGAGAACATACCCCAGGTCCCCACCGCAACTCGAGAAAAACCATGAGACTTCCCCCTAGAGGCGAGATGAGGCCCCATTCCCCTGCAGTGCATGCAGAGCTATTCCGTGATCCCATTCAAACAAGTCAGGAGCTTCGACTTGCTTAATGGATCTCGAGACAGTCCCCAAGAACACTGTCACCAGTCTAGACGGACCCTGAGGTCACCCCAGCAACGCAAAGCAGCTCCATGTGCCCCAAATCAACTCGAGATGAGGCCCGATTCCCCTGCATTGACTCCAGAGCCATTCCCGTTCCCCATTCAACACGACCGGTGGCTCGACTTCCTTCAGGCAACTCCAGAGATGCCCCGAGAACACTGTCCCAAGTCTAGAGGAACACCAACTTCAGCACAGCAGCTCGAGGAATGCTCCGTGTACCCCAAATCGTCTCGAGATGCGAGCTGATTCCCTGGCTTAGGCTCAAGACGTATGCCAACTTCCCAGAAGCACCTCAGGAGGAGGCTTCTCTCAGCAATAGGTATGTGGGAGGGACCCCGAGTTTGCTGCCTCAAGGGGAATATACAGCGAGAAGCCCTAACTTGAAAGGAGGCCGGATTTCCTTGCAGTGGCTTGAATACAGGCTCGTCTTTCATCTCACAACATGAAGGGATGTCTGAATCCCCTGTGGAGACCTTAGAGAAAGCCCTAGGTCCCTGCCTCATTTTGACGGAATGCCTCACATCCCGCTGACACCTCGAGAGGCACGCGGAGTTCATTGCTTCAAAAGGTGACGATGCCTGACTCCTCTTGAATACTGATAGGAATCCCAAAATCCCTGTGGCTACTGGAAAGGGTCCTTGGGTGCCCTGCCTCACCTCGAGAAGCGTCCCTTTTGCCCTGCCAAGCCTCGAAGAGATTCCTGAGGTGTCCGTCGTTACTAGACAGAAGTCCTGACGTCACCGAAGAAACTCGTGTTTTGAAGGGCCATCCCCGCCGTAAGTCGAGAACATACCCCAGGTCCCCGCCGCAACTCGAGAAAAACCATGAGACTTCCCCCTAGAGGCGAGATGAGGCCCCATTCCCCTGCAGTGCATGCAGAGCTATTCCGTGATCCCATTCAAACAAGTCAGGAGCTTCGACTTGCTTAATGGATCTCGAGACAGTCCCCAAGAACACTGTCACCAGTCTAGACGGACCCTGAGGTCACCCCAGCAACGCAAAGCAGCTCCATGTGCCCCAAATCAACTCGAGATGAGGCCCGATTCCCCTGCATTGACTCCAGAGCCATTCCCCGTTCCCCATTCAACACGACCGGTGGCTCGACTTCCTTCAGGCAACTCCAGAGATGCCCCGAGAACACTGTCCCACGTCTAGAGGAACACCAACTTCAGCACAGCAACTCGAGGAATGCTCCGTGTACCCCAAATCGTCTCGAGATGCGAGCTGATTCCCTGGCTTAGGCTCAAGACCTATGCCAACTTCCCAGAAGCACCTCAGGAGGAGGCTTCTCTCAGCAATAGGTATGTGGGAGGGACCCCGAGTTTGCTGCCTTAAGGGGAATATACAGCGAGAAGCCCTGACTTGAAAGGAGGCCGGATTTCCTTGCAGTGGCTTGAATACAGGCTCGTCTTTCATCTCACAACATGAAGGGATGTCTGAATCCCCTGTGGAGACCATAGAGAAAGCCCTAGGTCCCTGCCTCATTTTGACGGAATGCCTCACATCCCGCTGACACCTCGAGAGGCACGCGGAGTTCATTGCTTCAAAAGGTGACGATGCCTGACTCCTCTTGAATACTGATAGGAATCCCAAAATCCCTGTGGCTACTGGAAAGGGTCCTTGGGTGCCCTGCCTCACCTCGAGAAGCGTCCCTTTTGCACTGCCAAGCCTCGAAGAGATTCCTGAGGTGTCCCTCGTTACTAGACAGGAGTCCTGACGTCACTGAAGAAACTCGTGTTTTGAAGGGCCATCCCCGCCGTAAGTCGAGAACATACCCCAGGTCCCCGCCGCAACTCGAGAAAAACCATGAGACTTCCCCCTAGAGGCGAGATGAGGCCCCATTCCCCTGCAGTGCATGCAGAGCTATTCCGTGATCCCATTCAAACAAGTCAGGAGCTTCGACTTGCTTAATGGATCTCGAGACAGTCCCCAAGAACACTGTCACCAGTCTAGACGGACCCTGAGGTCACCCCAGCAATGCAAAGCAGCTCCATGTGCCCCAAATCAACTCGAGATGAGGCCCGATTCCCCTGCATTGACTCCAGAGCCATTCCCCGTTCCCCATTCAACACGACCGGTGGCTCGACTTCCTTCAGGCAACTCCAGAGATGCCCCGAGAACACTGTCCCAAGTCTAGAGGAACACCAACTTCAGCACAGCAACCCGAGGAATGCTCCGTGTACCCCAAATCGTCTCGAGATGCGAGCTGATTCCCTGGCTTAGGCTCAAGACGTATGCCAACTTCCCAGAAGCACCTCAGGAGGAAGCTTCTCTCAGCAATAGGTATGTGGGAGGGACCCCGAGTTTGCTGCCTCAAGGGGAATATACAGCGAGAAGCCCTGACTTGAAAGGAGGCCGGATTTCCTTGCAGTGGCTTGAATACAGGCTCGTCTTTCATCTCACAACATGAAGGGATGTCTGAATCCCCTGTGGAGACCTTAGAGAAAGCTCTAGGTCCCTGCCTCATTTTGACCCAATGCCTCACATCGCGCTGACACCTCGAGAGGCACGCGGAGTTCATTGCTTCAAAAGGTGACGATGCCTGACTCCTCTTGAATACTGATAGGAATCCCAAAATCCCTGTGGCTACTGGAAAGGGTCCTTGGGTGCCCTGCCTCACCTCGAGAAGCGTCACTTTTGCCCTGCCAAGCCTCGAAGAGATTCCTGAGGTGTCCCTCGTTACTAGACAGGAGTCCTGACGTCACTGAAGAAACTCGTGTTTTGAAGGGCCATCCCCGCCGTAAGTCGAGAACATACCCCAGGTCCCCGCCGCAACTCGAGAAAAACCATGAGACTTCCCCCTAGAGGCGAGATGAGGCCCCATTCCCCTGCAGTGCATGCAGAGCTATTCCGTGATCCCATTCAAACAAGTCAGGAGCTTCGACTTGCTTAATGGATCTCGAGACAGTCCCCAAGAACACTGTCACCAGTCAAGACGGACCCTGAGGTCACCCCAGCAACGCAAAGCAGCTCCATGTGCCCCAAATCAACTCGAGATGAGGCCCGATTCCCCTGCATTGACTCCAGAGCCATTCCCCGTTCCCCATTCAACACGACCGGTGGCTCGACTTCCTTCAGGCAACTCCAGAGATGCCCCGAGAACACTGTCCCAAGTCTAGAGGAACACCAACTTCAGCACAGCAACTCGAGGAATGCTCCGTGTACCCAAAATCGTCTCGAGATGCGAGCTGATTCCCTGGCTTAGGCTCAAGACCTATGCCAACTTCCCAGAAGCACCTCAGGAGGAGGCTTCTCTCAGCAATAGGTATGTGGGAGGGACCCCGAGTTTGCTGCCTTAAGGGGAATATACAGCGAGAAGCCCTGACTTGAAAGGAGGCCAGATTTCCTTGCAGTGGCTTGAATACAGGCTCGTCTTTCATCTCACAACATGAAGGGATGTCTGAATCCCCTGTGGAGACCATAGAGAAAGCCCTAGGTCCCTACCTCATTTTGACGGAATGCCTCACATCCCGCTGACACCTCGAGAGGCACGCGGAGTTCATTGCTTCAAAAGGTGACGATGCCTGACTCCTCTTGAATACTGATAGGAATCCCAAAATCCCTGTGGCTACTGGAAAGGGTCCTTGGGTGCCCTGCCTCACCTCGAGAAGCGTCCCTTTTGCCCTGCCAAGCCTCGAAGAGATTCCTGAGGTGTCCCTCGTTACTAGACAGGAGTCCTGACGTCACTGAAGAAACTCGTGTTTTGAAGGGCCATCCCCGCCGTAAGTCGAGAACATACCCCAGGTCCCCGCCGCAACTCGAGAAAAACCATGAGACTTCCCCCTAGAGGCGAGATGAGGCCCCATTCCCCTGCAGTGCATGCAGAGCTATTCCGTGATCCCATTCAAACAAGTCAGGAGCTTCGACTTGCTTAATGGATCTCGAGACAGTCCCCAAGAACACTGTCACCAGTCAAGACGGACCCTGAGGTCACCCCAGCAACGCAAAGCAGCTCCATGTGCCCCAAATCAACTCGAGATGAGGCCCGATTCCCCTGCATTGTCTCCAGAGCCTTTCCCCGTTCCCCATTCAACACGACCGGTGGCTCGACTTCCTTCAGGCAACTCCAGAGATGCCCCGAGAACACTGTCCCAAGTCTAGAGGAACACCAACTTCAGCACAGCAACTCGAGGAATGCTCCGTGTACCCCAAATCGTCTCGAGATGCGAGCTGATTCCCTGGCTTAGGCTCAAGACGTATGCCAACTTCCCAGAAGCACCTCAGGAGGAGGCTTCTCTCAGCAATAGGTATGTGGGAGGGACCCCGAGTTTGGTGCCTTAAGGGGAATATACAGCGAGAAGCCCTGACTTGAAAAGAGGCCGGATTTCCTTGCAGTGGCTTGAATACAGGCTCGTCTTTCATCTCACAACATGAAGGGATGTCTGAATCCCCTGTGTAGACCATAGAGAAAGCCCTAGGTCCCTGCCTCATTTTGACGGAATGCCTCACATCCCGCTGACACCTCGAGAGGCACGCATAGTTCATTGCTTCAAAAGGTGACGATGCCTGACTCCTCTTGAATACTGATAGGAATCCCAAAATCCCTGTGGCTACTGGAAAGGGTCCTTGGGTGCCCTGCCTCACCTCGAGAAGCGTCCCTTTTGCCCTGCCAAGACTCGAAGAGATTCCTGAGGTGTCCGTCGTTACTAGACAGGAGTCCTGACGTCACCGAAGAAACTCGTGTTTTGAAGGGCCATCCCCGCCGTAAGTCGAGAACATACCCCAGGTCCCCGCCGCAACTCGAGAAAAACCATGAGACTTCCCCCTAGAGGCGAGATGAGGCCCCATTCCCCTGCAGTGCATGCAGAGCTATTCCGTGATCCCATTCAAACAAGTCAGGAGCTTCGACTTGCTTAATGGATCTCGAGACAGTCCCCAAGAACACTGTCACCAGTCTAGACGGACCCTGAGGTCACCCCAGCAACGCAAAGCAGCTCCATGTGCCCCAAATCAACTCGAGATGAGGCCCGATTCCCCTGCATTGACTCCAGAGCCATTCCCCGTTCCCCATTCAACACGACCGGTGGCTCGACTTCCTTCAGGCAACTCCAGAGATGCCCCGAGAACACTGTCCCAAGTCTAGAGGAACACCAACTTCAGCACAGCAACTCGAGGAATGCTCCGTGTACCCCAAATCGTCTCGAGATGAGAGCTGATTCCCTGGCTTAGGCTCAAGACGTATGCCAACTTCCCAGAAGCACCTCAGGAGGAGGCTTCTCTCAGCAATAGGTATGTGGGAGGGACCCCGAGTTTGCTGCCTTAAGGGGAATATACAGCGAGAAGCCCTGACTTGAAAGGAGGCCGGATTTCCTTGCAGTGGCTTGAATACAGGCTCGTCTTTCATCTCACAACATGAAGGGATGTCTGAATCCCCTGTGGAGACCATAGAGAAAGCCCTAGGTCCCTGCCTCATTTTGACCGAATGCCTCACATCCCGCTGACACCTCGAGAGGCACGCGGAGTTCATTGCTTTAAAAGGTGACGATGCCTGACTCCTCTTGAATACTGATAGGAATCCCAAAATCCCTGTGGCTACTGGAAAGGGTCCTTGGGTGCCCTGCCTCACCTCGAGAAGCGTCCCTTTTGCCCTGCCAAGCCTCGAAGAGATTCCTGAGGTGTCCCTCGTTACTAGACAGGAGTCCTGACGTCACTGAAGAAACTCGTGTTTTGAAGTGCCATCCCCGCCGTAAGTCGAGAACATACCCCAGGTCCCCGCCGCAACTCGAGAAAAACCATGAGACTTCCCCCTAGAGGCGAGATGAGGCCCCATTCCCCTGCAGTGCATGCAGAGCTATTCCGTGATCCCACTCAAACAAGTCAGGAGCTTCGACTTGCTTAATGGATCTCGAGACAGTCCCCAAGAACACTGTCACCAGTCTAGACGGACCCTGAGGTCACCCCAGCAACGCAAAGCAGCTCCATGTGCCCCAAATCAACTCGAGATGAGGCCCGATTCCCCTGCATTGACTCCAGAGCCATTCCCCGTTCCCCATTCAACACGACCGGTGGCTCGACTTCCTTCAGGCAACTCCAGAGATGCCCCGAGAACACTGTCCCAAGTCTAGAGGAACACCAACTTCAGCACAGCAACCCGAGGAATGCTCCGTGTACCCCAAATCGTCTCGAGATGCGAGCTGATTCCCTGGCTTAGGCTCAAGACGTATGCCAACTTCCCAGAAGCACCTCAGGAGGAGGCTTCTCTCAGCAATAGGTATGTGGGAGGGACCCCGAGTTTGCTGCCTCAAGGGGAATATACAGCGAGAAGCCCTGACTTGAAAGGAGGCCGGATTTCCTTGCAGTGGCTTGAATACAGGCTCGTCTTTCATCTCACAACATGAAGGGATGTCTGAATCCCCTGTGGAGACCTTAGAGAAAGCCCTAGGTCCCTGCCTCATTTTGACCGAATGCCTCACATCGCGCTGACACCACGAGAGGCACGCGGAGTTCATTGCTTCAAAAGGTGACGATGCCTGACTCCTCTTGAATACTGATAGGAATCCCAAAATCCCTGTGGCTACTGGAAAGGGTCCTTGGGTGCCCTGCCTCACCTCGAGAAGCGTCCCTTTTGCCCTGCCAAGCCTCGAAGAGATTCCTGAGGTGTCCCTCGTTACTAGACAGGAGTCCTGACGTCACTGAAGAAACTCGTGTTTTGAAGGGCCATCCCCGCCGTAAGTCGAGAACATACCCCACGTCCCCGCCGCAACTCGAGAAAAACCATGAGACTTCCCCCTAGAGGCGAGATGAGGCCCCATTCCCCTGCAGTGCATGCAGAGCTATTCCGTGATCCCATTCAAACAAGTCAGGAGCTTCGACTTGCTTAATGGATCTCGAGACAGTCCCCAAGAACACTGTCACCAGTCAAGACGGACCCTGAGGTCACCCCAGCAACGCAAAGCAGCTCCATGTGCCCCACATCAACTCGAGATGAGGCCCGATTCCCCTGCATTGACTCCAGAGCCATTCCCCGTTCCCCATTCAACACGACCGGTGGCTCGACTTCCTTCAGGCAACTCCAGAGATGCACCGAGAACACTGTCCCAAGTCTAGAGGAACACCAACTTCAGCACAGCAACTCGAGGAATGCTCCGTGTACCCCAAATCGTCTCGAGATGCGAGCTGATTCCCTGGCTTAGGCTCAAGACGTATGCCAACTTCCCAGAAGCACCTCAGGAGGAGGCTTCTCTCAGCAATAGTTATGTGGGAGGGACCCCGAGTTTGCTGCCTCAAGGGGAATATACAGCGAGAAGCCCTAACTTGAAAGGAGGCCGGTTTTCCTTGCAGTGGCTTGAATACAGGCTCGTGTTTCATCTCACAACATGAGGGGATGTCTGAATCCCCTGTGGAGACCTTAGAGAAAGCCCTAGGTCCCTGCCTCATTTTGACGGAATGCCTCACATCCCGCTGACACCTCGAGAGGCACGCGGAGTTCATTGCTTCAAAAGGTGACGATGCCTGACTCCTCTTGAATACTGATAGGAATCCCAAAATCCCTGTGGCTACTGGAAAGGGTCCTTGGGTGCCCTGCCTCACCTCGAGAAGCGTCCCTTTTGCCCTGCCAAGCCTCGAAGAGATTCCTGAGGTGTCCCTCGTTACTAGACAGGAGTCCTGACGTCACTGAAGAAACTCGTGTTTTGAAGGGCCATCCCCGCCGTAAGTCGAGAACATACCCCAGGTCCACGCCGCAACTCGAGAAAAACCATGAGACTTCCCCCTAGAGGCGAGATGAGGCCCCATTCCCCTGCAGTGCATGCAGAGCTATTCCGTGATCCCATTCAAACAAGTCAGGAGCTTCGACTTGCTTAATGGATCTCGAGACAGTCCCCAAGAACACTGTCACCAGTCTAGACTGACACTGAGGTCACCCCAGCAACGCAAAGCAGCTCCATGTGCCCCAAATCAACTCGAGATGAGGCCCGATTCCCCTGCATTGACTCCAGAGCCATTCCCCGTTCCCCATTCAACACGACCGGTGGCTCGACTTCCTTCAGGCAACTCCAGAGATGCCCCGAGAACACTGTCCCAAGTCTAGAGGAACACCAACTTCAGCACAGCAACTCGAGGAATGCTCCGTGTACCCCAAATCATCTCGAGA